CGCTTCCTCGGGCGTGAGCTGGAGATGTTCAAGATCGGGAACATCAAGTTCCAGGCCAGCTTCAGTGTCGGCCTGTGCGACGGCGCCATCTGCGGCTTTATTGATCGTGGAAGTCTCTGCAACCTCTCCTGACTTGTTCGTATCCTTGGCATCACTACCTACAAGCTTATCGATGTTGGCATCTGATACAATCTTGCCTTCTTGTCGTAGTTGTTGCTCAATAGCTTCGCGTTGTGCCTTGGCTCTCTCTAATTTGAACTGCCTCCGCTCTTCTCGCCTTGATTGTGTCACCTCGGTGCTTGTCTTCGACGCCTGTGCACCTCGCCTTCGCTTTTCAGCTACTAGCCATTGTGGCTCACTTCGACTGAGGGACCCCTTACCCCAGAAGCCCTGCTCCCAAAGAGCTCGAATAGAGGTTGGATCGGTGACGTGGATTGACTGGGTCTCTACAGAGTAGTATGCTTTATGTACGACGTGATGTGATTGTGGTGGCCACAGCGACTGTGAGATTAGACTGATGACTAGTCGCAAGATGGAAATCGGATTGTGCGGAACGAAGGCAGGCAGTGCATAAACGTCTAATGGTAGAGGCTTCGCATGTATCTCATTATAGTTGGGTCTTTTTGGGCGAGGTTTCCTCGAAGCACCGTTTGCTGGTTCTTGGTTCTGTTGAGGTAGACTGTTTGGACGTGCCTCGCTTCCTGCTGCAGCTTGCTCAGGTCGCATGGCCGCGGACATGCCTGGCATTTCAGCTCAGTGTTCGGTGAAACTGCACTGACGTTAGCACTGAGCGCGAACAGAAGCAATGCGACATGTAGTGAGTAATGTTGATCAGATACCGTTGTAGTCTATTGTAACGGAGACAGCATCGAGCACCTAACGCAGTCAAGTGAATGCCTGCGCCGGCAATCGTATAAGTGAAAAGATGTCATCATGAAAAGGAATTCAAAGGAGCAAAGGCAGAACACGATCGTGACTTCCGCGCACATGACGCTGACAGAAGCTTTGATGATGTGCTGCCTTCAGTACATTTGAAAAAGAGAAAAATAGATCAGACTTACCCAGCCTTTGCGACGTCAAGTAATGGCGTCGTCGACAAGAATTGTGAGCTTCATGGTGATGGTGAAGGAAGCAAGAGCAAAGCGCAAAAAGTTTGGAATTGACTGTTTGCCAAGGCCAGATCTGATTGGTTGAACCGGTCGCCTCAACACGCGTGGTCCAATTGTCCCACCATGACCATCATGACACAAGCTTGTCACTAAGACAGTCGATTCCAGCTGCTTAGAGCATTTGCCTCACCATAGTCAAGAACGGCGTTGGGTTTGTACTTACCTCTGCAGCTTGTTATGACGTAATCGGAGCAGCTCACCTTCCGAGAAATTAACAGAACATCGTCGTAACGCCACGCAAGAGTGATTAGGCATTTACGTTGCTCACGCGCATTCTGCCCTCTTGATCATAGACTCACTCTTAAAACTACTACAGCATTAGATACGGTACAATCGCATTTAATATGCTGCCAGCGGCAAGGTGGTACTTGCGACTGCCACGACAGAGCGCTCCATCATTCGTCACCAAAAGTACACCTCTACAACTACCACTTCGCAGTCGCCTATCAAGACACAAAGCGCCACGAACGAGCTCGCCGTATTCGACGAAACCACCTGGTGACGAAAGTTCGCCGAATACACATGATGGGCCTCCAAAAGAGACATCCAAGGTCGACGCCGTGTCCAACGCCCTCTCTACCACGCCTGATTCCGAAAATAATCTCATCACACCCGTATATATGCCCGAAGACCCACATGCCGTCCTCAAGCAGACCCATCCTGCCATGCGCCTGCTCGACAACTCCTCTCTTATAGTACAACGACAGCTGGAGATGATGAATGTGCTCATGGGCTTTGAGCAAGCGAACCGCTATGTTATCATGGATCCGCATGGCAGTCATATTGGATATCTAGCAGAGCAAGAGCATGGCATAGGAAATGCCATGGCGAGACAGATGTTCAAGACGCATCGGAGCTTTACAACTCACGTCTTTGATCGGGACGAGAAGGAAATACTGAGGTTTCACAGGCCTTTCAGCTGGATCAACTCGAGAATACGCGTTTATGATGCTGTAGGACAGGGCGAGGGCGCGTACACCAGCTCGTCAAGTCTGCAAGGGACAAGCGCGCGAAGCATAGCCAATCAAACCAGCGCAAACGTCTCTAGTTTACCACTGCAGGACATGCGGATTATCGGAGCTGCAGAACAAGAGTGGGCACCTTTACGAAGGAAATACAATCTGTTCCTTGCAAGGAATCTGGAGGATGTTGCTGCTGCACCCGGTACACCCCAGCTATCCTCTGGCGACTTGCCAATCTCCGACTCAAAAGCTGTCGCTGTAGCTGAGGGTGACACACGAGAAGTCGGCATGCTTCAGTTTGCCAGGGTTGACGAGCCTTTTCTTTCCTGGGATTTCAGCTTGATGTCTGAAGACGGACGTCTGGCAGGCTCCGTCAATCGCAACTTCGGTGGCTTTGCGCGTGAAATCTTTACGGATACGGGCGTTTACGCACTGAGGATGGATGCTGCCGGACTAGCAAGTGAGCCATCCCATCTGGTGTCCAAAACTGGTGAACAAAGTAGGCCGTCACTTGAAGGCTATCCTGGTATGACCCTTGATCAACGAGCCGTGATGCTCGCCACGGCCGTTAGCATCGACTTTGATTATTTCAGTCGGCATAGCGGTTCCGGTGGCATGTGGCCAATGTGGATGCCGTGGGTTGGTGGCAGCGGTGAAGCCGCTGGCGGCGCTGCAGCTGGTGAGGCGGGCGCAGCCGGTGCTGGAGCAGTAGGTGCTGCTGGCGAAAGCGGTATCGCAGGCGAAGTCGGCACTGCAGCACGCGGATTAGGTGCTGGAGAAGGTGCAGCGACAGGCGCAGCTACAATGGCAGGCTACGAAGCTATGCAAAGAGGGCGAGAGTCAAGGCAACAAGGAGGAGATGATGCTTCTCCGCAGGCAACTGATCCATATCAACCTAGCCCAGACCAACAGTACGGTACAGGTCAAGCAGGTGAGGATATATGGGGTGAAGACCCTAGTGTAGGACCTCGCGATCAAGACCAAGGCTTCTGGGGTGGAGGGAATGAACAGGCCGGAGGCGATGCTGGTGGCGGTGGTGATGGTGGTGGGTTCAGTTGGGGAGACTTCTTTGACGAGTAAGATCCTCCAGCTTCTTGTGTACTGCTATATCACCATTTAGCATTCATACCATTCTAGACGAAGGGCTCTATACTCCTACAACAAAGACAACTGTAAGGTGCCGCGATTGCATATGCACGTAGTCTGCGGCTGAAGTGCGGCTGTGCTAAGCATCTCAATCCTTAAGCATTATTCCACTTAGCAACTCATTTTTCTTCATCTCGTCTTCCACCAATGTCTTGACGCAACTAGAGTTCCACGCTTAGTTCATCATTGTTGTCCAAGCATACTCAATAACCTTTTATTTCTTAAAGTGAAAGTTTTCGACAAGATGGCCCGTAGCACAATGAGTATTGCGTGGACTGCGAATGTTTATCAATAAACAAGACTAGACACAAAGAAGCAGCAGATCCGTCTCCTGAAACTATCGCGACCTCCATCTGCCGCAAATGTACTACCTGACCGGAATATGGTCCACTGCGAACTCGAGACGTTCGATCTCGATGCTACACCCGAATATATCGCTCTGTCATACACTTGAGGTGATGCATCGAATAATCCACACATCATCGTTGGCAACAACGAAATGGTAGTTAGAATGAATTTGTTTGATTTCTTATACGCCTTTCGCTCAGATGATGCCAATATTCGCCACCTCTGGATCGACCAGGTACGCTCCATGGCTCTTCTTTGACATCTATGTAGACTCATACCGATTACTCAGATATGCATCAACCAGCAGGATACAGCGGAACGCAACCATCAAGTTCGCTTGATGGCTCAAATTTACAGTATATGCATGTACGTTATCGCTTGGCTTGGTTTATCTTCGTCAACAGCGGCACGAAGATTTTCGAACATCAGAAGTGCCGCAAATACAAAGGCCATATTAGGAAATCGCTACTTCACACGTCTCTGGATTGTGCAGGAAGTGTTGCTACCGAAGGAGGCACGCATCTTCTGCGGTAGTACCTGGATACATTGGGATACCCTATTGCAAGCTGCGATATGGGCTGGCTGTCTCGAGCACCCAACACCAACCGGTGACGTGGCTGCTAACTAACCGTTACACCCATTTAAAAAGCATTGAGCCTGGGTACAAGCATTTGCTTGTCAATATGCTGAGCCATTTCTCAGGTATGGGCTGCGAAGACCCTCGAGATTAGTTACACGGCATGCTAGGCCTTGTCTCGGAGGAGCTCCGTCCTATTGTGAATTATGACAATACCGTGGAACAAGTTTATCTTGATACCATGAGGATGCTTGGAGTATGGCATTGTATGAATGCCTCAAATTGGTGGTGGCAAGATCTGCCGTTAAGAATGGGTGTGTCCCTGGCTCACGTCGTATCCATGCAGCCTTTCATCACTGACCTGCTTGCTTGCGGGCCGTAACCGATTGAAACACTCCCGTTCTGGACTCTGCACATGGTCTACGAGAAAGCCGATCCAAAACATCATGGGTTGGGTCGTTGGTGGTACGAATGTGGGGGCCTCCGGCACTATTACGATTGTATCATGGGAGCGTCCGAAGACCCAGAAGCCGTTTTGTGGTCGCTGCTTGATGCTACTCCTGAACGAGGCACACGGTGATGCCGGGGTACCCCGCAGCATCGCGTATCTGCCCCGGAAATTCACCCAGCCTGCAGCTCCAAATTTCCCGACCCGCCACTTCGGGCGCAATTCTTCCGTCAATTCCATGTTGCCGGGGCTCCATCTTCAGTGCTATGGACGATATAATTATAGCCAAGCCTACCAGAAGTCATGATTAGGTTTATTAAGCCTTCCGAAACATCTGCTTCTCGGCCACCATGAAGCTTACCACTACTTCATGCATCTCCCTAACGCTGTGTGCGCACGCAATAGCAGCCCCAAGCTATCCGAAACAAACGCACGGCTCTTTCAGGTGGCGCTCTACGAAATCTCTGGTAGCTTTTGGCGATAGCTACACATATGTACAAGGCACGCTTGGTCATGTGAATTATACTTTCATTGGAGATGAGTTCAACTTCTCTTTCACGTCCAAACAGCTCTTCTCAGATCGCATTGTGCAGAATCTCACGGGAACGGCGGAAGGAGGACCGAACTGGGTCGAGTTCTTGACCGAATGTGGTGTTGAGGATGGCTTGCATGATCCAAGGAAATGCAATGTTCAACTCTGGGACTTTGCATATGCCGGTGCAAACACTATCAACGAAGCTGGATTCACCCCCCTACACCACAACCATACCGTCTCGCTCGAACGTCAAGTAGAGCAATTTGTTTCCTACGGTAACCCAGCCCTTGAATCGATCGATCTCAACAAGAAGAAGGCACTAGTTGCGATATGGATCGGTATCAACGACATCAACGATCTTGTTTCTACTCAAGGCAAGAATGCAACTTTCGCACCGAGCTATGAAAAGGTCCAAGGCAGATTGTTCAAGAGCGTGGAAAATATATACAGTTTAGGTTACAAGAACTTCATGTTCATGAACCTGCCGCCCCTGGATCGTGGTCCAGGAACGCCCAATGTCAACGCCTCTATGGTCTCTTCTTTCAACAAGATCCACGCTGCGCATGCCGATGCCTTCCAAAACCAACACAAAGATGCCAAGGTGCTCCAATTCGATGTCAACAGTGTTTTGAACGATGTGTTGGATCACTACCAAGATTACGGATTCAAGAACGTCACCAACTACTGCCCTGGATACAACCAGCCAGACATTCTGACAGATCCCGGCAAATATGGATGTACGGAGCTGGATACATTTTTTTGGTACAACTCAGGTCATCTAACAAGTAGGACGCACGATATAATGACAAAGGCATTGAGGAAATGGTTGTTGAAGCAATAGATGGAGGCAAATGATGGAGCATTGGAGATATAAACCTTGAATACTCATAACCTCACCTGTCTACAAGGCCCAAACTCTCTGATCGCCTCTACTATCTGATCTTTCTAGCTTGTTCATCCTTCCATACCAAAGCCGAAGAATCGTTGCTATTGCAGCAACTAGGAAACTGCACGCAGCGCACACGAAATTTCCTGTTGGAAATCCTTGACTCCTTTCGCTGTTCATCCAAATCCACTGCGCTATAATCTGGCCAAGACCTGCACAAGAGTTATGCAGGGCAATGGCAAGTGGTAAAGTGAGGAAACTCGGCGAGTTGCAGGTCACCCAGTTCGTCATGGAAGGCGCAGCTGGAAAGGCTCCTGCGGCTGCCATACATAAGCAGCCATAGCGCTGAACGTAGGCATCAGCAGGAAGGAGACCAGCAGTCAGCCAACCTGTGCCCCCGACAAGCGATGCGATGGTGATGTGCCAGCCACGAGCGTTGAAGTGATCAGCAGAGTAAGAGATGGTAATCGCGACGAAAAAGCCGACGACCCATGGCGGGACTGTCAGAAGCTGGGCATGAATAGATTCCTAAGAGGTGCGTGCGCGGAGTCAGTGTATGTCTCACATGCAGTTTGTACAGGGACACTCACGTAGCCTAGGCCAGTAACAATAGTAGGCGTAAAGAAAGTAAAGGATCCCTGAGGAACCACGTCGGCTACATATGCGATGTAGTGCAACAACATTCGTGGACTAAAACATGTGTCCAGAATCTCCTTTCTGGTAGCATGCTCCTGGTTGTAACCGCCACCGCGATCGGCTAGACGATCAACTGCGAATTTCTTCTCGGCGTTACTGAGCCATTTGGCTCGAGCTGGATAATCAGGGAGGAAGAACCATAAGAGGAAGGCAGAAAGTAAGGTGATGATGCCTTCAATAATGAAAAGCCAGCGGAACCCTTCTAGGCCGGCTGCTCCATTAATGTGCCCAACCCCGAACGCGATGGCCCCTCCAAAGGCCCCTGCGAGGTTACAGAATGCGATCACGAGTGCGATGCGCACTGCGCGCTCGTTGTAGCGGTACCAAATTGTGATAAAGTAGACGATTCCTAACAATACATGATTAGCGCGGATTTATCGCTTTCACAGAACATTCTGAACGTACCAGGAAAAAAACCAGCTTCGAAGGCTCCGATCAAGAACCTCAACGCAATTATTGTGGCACTATTTTGGACACCCGCAAAACCGATGGTTAATGCTCCCCACGCGAATAGAAGAATTCCGAGCCACCTAGAAGGCCGGATGTAGTGTTTCATGACGAAATTGCTTGGGACTTCGAAGATGGCGTAAGCCACGGAGAAGAGCGTGACAGTCAGGGCATAGCCATGTGGTGTCAGACCCGTGTTCGTGAGCATGTCGTCGCCCGTTTCGGTGTTTAGCACCCGGGCATTTCCAATGTTTCCTGTCGCAAGATCAGCTAAAGTAACCTTGGACCAGTGTTGGTGTTGTGATTGGAAAATGTATACCTCTGTCAAGAAAGTTCAGGAGATAGACCCAGCAGCACAGTGGTAGAACGCGTCGGTCGAGACGTCGATTGAGCTTCTTGTTATACTTCTCATCATGGATGTCTATCTCTTCTCCACACTCTTGCAGTGTCTCATGCTGCTGCTTGGCTGTATTGATGTCGACATGTTCGAGGTGTTCCTGTTTCTCCCCGTTTAAAGACTTGCTCATATTGGCTTGACTCGGCTTAAGTTCTGTGTTTCTGAATCCGTGTGTTGCAAACGATCGGTGTCAATTGAATGGGGGGTTTTTTTTTAACGACTATGCGATTGAGATAGTCCAGTATAGGTCATAGTAATAGTATCGTTTCGGCAAACCAATCCCGGATATAGCAGCTACGGTTTTACCCCAGATGTGCGGGGTAAAACCCACATCTTCATGTTGCGCATGATTAACCGTGGAGATGATCACCGACACATCCGTTGGGAAGGTGAGTATCGGTATTATCGCCGATGTTTGGTCGCTGTTGGGGTACGGAGGCAGTTTGAACGCCGAATTAAGCATTACGTCATGAAAGCACTGAGACACCAGCCATGTATGCTCAATGGCGTAGGAGGTATTTCTCATCAACAACTTCACCTTTCGAGTAAACTTAGTCTTTAGCTTTCCATTTCCGTATTGTGAGAGATCAGGTACCGTACACCTAGGTACTTAGTTTTCAAGCTGCCAAAGCAGGATTCTTCCATGGAACATGTATTCCGCTTACTCCAAAATTATGCCTCTATATCCAAGTGTCCAATGGTACGTTAGTACGGAGCAAGCTGCTGCAATAGATCCAGAGACAACGCCAGATCTGAATTCAAGCAACCGTCTCGAGAGTAGGTGATACACAATTGATCCTAAGATTTATTAACCTGAGAGAGTCTTGAATTGGTCAGGCATGACCTGTGTCAACATGCTAAATCTCTAGTCTACTAGAAGAACCCAGTTTCTGCTACTTCTCAAACAAGAAAATAACACCTTGACCAACTCCTGCCGCCCCTCATGCACAATAGACGTCAAAACTCTGGTACACCCTCCCGTCCGTCGCACCCCAGCAGGTTCCCTTGTTTTTCTGGTTCCCGAAGTTCAGCTTTCCACCCGTGTTATCGCGACCCTCAAAGACAATCAGACTGCAATCTGCATCTGTTTCTACGATCTGGAAACTGCGGCGACCGCCTGGGAAGTTGCCGCGATTGTGGCTGGGTTGCGTGATGTGAATGTTCTCTTGGAAAGCATGGCAGCCTGGAGGCTGGTGAGTACATAGTGGGAGGGAAACTAAATTGTGAGTGCGAGGGCCTTACTTGTGGAGGAGAAAGTATTGACGCCGAGAATGGAGGCATGTGCACTGGCCGCTAGGAGAGCTGCGATGGTGGTGGTGAGGTACATGATGATGAGGATGGATTTGAGTTTCGGATTATGGAGCAGTATTGGTGAGGTATGATGACGGCTCGCTTTGTATTCCAGGAAATGCATGCTTCTCGCTGTTCCCATTCCAGAGGTTACTCAAAATATTCGTCCTTCCGCTGGAAACGACTTATCGTTAGCAAGTCATGCCGCCTACTCGTCACAACGAAGATAGGAAAACCGCAAGCAGGTGGAAACCCATAGTATTTCAGCTTACATGCATATACAGTGACACAGTGACCAATGACTGCAATATCTGGCGAGGCTGAATTCAATAGTGCAACTCTTTAGAAATTCGAGTGCATGTTGGCTTGCATATACGATTGCTGCCTTCTAGATCCGGTGTCTGCTTGATTGATCGATTAAGTGATGGCGGATCAACGTCTCATATCCGGCGTCGGCTGACCATGGGCCAGGCTTTATGTGCAATGTGTATGTTAGCTAGAGAATGAAAGTAGCATGGTCCTTTGAATGTGAAAGCGCAGGGACCTACACATGCGCAAGTAATGCGTAATTACTTGTTGTAGTGTTTGCTCACCTTAAAGGTACGTTGTCACTGGGAAAAAGCAGAGGAGCTTGTGACATAATACTTTCGTCTACGGTGACAATCATTCGTTGTCTGCGACGGTTCTTTATCCTGACCTTTACATCAAAGTATGGTACTCGTTGGCTCACTTACTTAATACAGGTAGTGACCATGCGAACCCATGTATGCGTCACTGAAATGCGACTTGCTCAGATTATACGGTACCAGTAACATGTTGTGAATAAACTCTATGAGCCTCCTACGGAACTCCTACTCGACGTTACACAGTCAAGATGCGTCGTGATTCAATCTCAGGGCATGATTGAAGCGCGCATTCATGCATGAACATCTCACTCAGTGGTGCTTGCATCAGACTACCCGGTCCTGTCGTCTCATTCAAGGACAAACGTACCAAATACATGCAACTCATCCGTCGTCCTCCATTTTCCCCCTACAAATATTGACTGACCTTTACCATCCCAGAAATGCATCCCGAGCTCCTTAATACCACTTTTGGCCATCACACGCATACTCGCCGGATTTTCGGGACTAACAATGGCTCGTACAAACACCTTGTCGCACGGCTCCCAAAAGGTCTTCCCTCTCTTACAAGCATCAATCACTGCTCTTACGGCACCCGTTGCGTAACCTTTACCCCATGCAGATGGCAGGTAGCTGTAACCCATTTCAACAGTAAGACATCCGGGTTCGAATGTGGAGGGTGGTAGAATGTCGGAACGCAAAACGAGGCTGTGCGGACCCAAAGTTTTGACGCCAATAAGTCCAACGAAGCGGGTTGGGATATCTTCCTTGTTTACTGCATCATTCTCAGCAGGGTGAAGCAACTCGTGTACGGCGTAAGCAATCCGGTAGGACTTGGTTTCGCCATCCTTGACAGTAACAGGTAAAGCATTCTTAAGAAACCTTTCGGTGTCTTCAACGGTTTTGGCGGTTCCGTCAATACTGGGACGCGTTAGTATAGCATCATTACGTTTGACACACGGTGCATTGTTGGTGCCTAAGGAAAAGAATGATGACCTACCTCCAGAAAGACGCTTTCGGATCACTGCGTAGCTCATGTAGCCATTCAAATTCTTGACTTCCTCTCTCTGCTGTCGTAATGAGCGTCAACTTCAATTGAGATGTGAAAAGAACGTTATCCATGGCGGACCAAGTGTTGCAGGACGAGGCTACCCCACCCAGTAAGAGCATACTAACATTTATACTGCGCTCTGCTCAGCCCTGTGAAGGCAGGTACATATCGGAATAGATCAGACAACAAGTCCAATCGGCATTCTTTAAGCTCGGTAAACACTAAACATGGTTTAGCGTGGGAATACAGCCTTCTGCGAGTGGACTAGTCATTCCGGTACTTTGTGACTCTTACGTCTGTCATACCTACAGGTAGAGGGCCTTACCTCACGCACCAATAGATGAACAGTCCCGGACAGCGGGCTGATACATAAAGATAGACACCTCCACCACAGGGACGTTCCAGAACGTGGACGTGCAAATGAAAAAGCTTTGTGGCTATGTACTAGGCTTTGGCAAGCTAGAATCCTGTATTTTGACTGCATGTTGTTCAGCCGAAAGACATGCATGCCGTTGGGTCGGTTTGCTCATATGTTGGTATGACCACCTTTGCTTACTGATAAGCATAAAGGCACCGGCTGTGCAGTCGTTGCCTGCAGGGCTTTGACGCTTAATTGAGATCGACTAATGCTTGTTATGCTTGACAAGAAGCTCTTAAGCTAATCCTGCGCAAACAATCGTGACACTGCATTCTAAGGCAAGGTCATATGGGATATCAGGCCTTGACGTTCAACATGCGGTAGTATTGAGTTCGGTAGTGGCCGTGGTCGCTTCAATTTACCTGGCCTGTTGTGGCGCGAACGGTACAGTCAGGATGGAACCAAACAGTCCATACGATAGTAGCTCGCGACTTTCCCAATCAGCTATGGGATGAGATGCAACGGGCATGAGAGATGTGGACGCAGGAGGATGGCAAAGGCGCAGTTGGATGGCAGAGTACTAGCGGCATCATGTCTTGGCATTCCCGAATCGCCGACCGAACTTTTGGCACAATCGCGACCACCATCTACGCCTGCAGACGCAGCAATGGCACACCCACGGTCGTTAATAGCTCCTCTGAGCAGGCTCACTACAAGCTCAATTGCCGTATCGAGGCCACAAGTCCAGCGCTTCGCCCCAGTACCGTACCAGTCGATACGATGCGCAACCACCAAAGCACAGCCGAAGAAAAAGAAGAAGGCGCGGAACACATTTCTGCAATATGACTTGAAGAGGGCAGATCAATTCTCACTCGTCGATGCAATGCAGTAGGTTCTGCCCAGGCCTGCGTCGGAACGTAACACGGTCGGGGACTGACGGTAGAACAGGTATATCCGCGCCTTTGAAGTAGGCCGCAACCCGTCTTCCTCCAAATACGAATTACACGTTCGATTACGCACACTCAAAAACGGCCCTGTAGTACGAAACCGCTTACGGCTTCCTCACCCTGTCAAGACCGATATACGGATCTGTGTCATCGCCGCCCCCGACTCCAAAGCTGCCGCTGAAGCCAGGGCTGCTGGTGCTGCGCTGGTAGGAGAGGACGAAATATTCAACCAGATCAAGGAAGGCAAGATCGACTTTGACAGATGTGTGTGTCACATTGATAGTCTCCAAAAGATGAACAAAGCGGGGCTAGGAAGAGTGTTAGGTCCCAAGGGTTTGATGCCCAGCACAAAGGCAGGAACGGTTGTCACGCAGGTGGGCACCAGTGTCCGGAATATGGTTGGTGGTAGTGAGTACAGAGAACGTCTGGGCGTCATTCGCATGGCAGTTGGCCAATTAGGCTTCACACCGGAAGAGATGCAAAGAAATGTCAAGGCATTCATGGATGCGCTAAAGAAGGACATGGCGCAGATGAGTGATCGCATCAACAAGGAGATTCACGAGGTGGTTCTCAGCTCGACCAACTCACCTGGCTTCTCATTGAGTGGAGACTTCAGAGGGCCCGAGTCCATATCGCCAAAGGAGTTGAGTGGACCTCTGTAAATATAGCTTTCTGGGATGTATGAACAATGTACCATACCGAACGCCGTCGCTATGCTAGTTGAAGTCTTCTTCTAGGACGACTTGAGTGTTTTGAGGACCTTGACTGCTTCGGCAGATTCCTCCATGTCGGCGTAGATCTTCATTACTTTCATCACGCGACCAGAGCCAGAAGCGCCAGCGCTTTTCGCCTGCTGCAGCGCAGTACTCAGATCCATCAATAGTGTACTCCGCACTTTTGCTGTTCTGGCTGCCTGGGCCGCCACAAACGGATGCTCGCCCAGGTCTTTCTGCAGCCCCAGCACCAATTGGTAATGCACGACATTTCGCCTCAGCTTGACAATCGACACACCGTAGCCTTCTTCCTCTTCCTCTTCGTCTTCATCGTCCTCGCTGTCCGAGACCTCCTCCCCGAGTATGATTGTCTCGTGCCCCGCCGTCTCAATCATAAGCTCAATCTCCAATTCCTTAAGCCGAGCATCATAGTCGACTAAGCGTCTTCCCAACTCGATCTTCTCCCTCGTGTCTCTCCTCTCTTGTAACAATTCTCCTACTTCCTCCTCTCTTTCCCCCACTACACCAACCAAGCCTTCGACATCCTTCCTGAAGCCCAGAAGCCCTACTCGTACCTCCTCTACCTTTTCCTCGCCGCCGTGTAGACTGTTACCCAGATTGAGGAAGTCTTGGTAGTTACTGTTGACGAGGTCTAGCAGCTCTTTGGACAGAAGCTGCGATCGCGAGCGCAGCTCTGAACGTAGGTCTTCTAGAGTTTGGTGTCGATTGTGGAGCGTAGAGAGATATGTTGCCGGTGAAAATTCCGGGTCGAGGAAGTCCGATCGGCGAAGGGGTGTTGCAAAGGGGAGGGAGGAGGGGTCATCTTCGTCTTCGTTGTCGTTGTCGCTGGACGCTGAGCGCGAGTCGTCGCCGAACTAATGAGAGAGGATTAGTCGCCGCGCCCTTTGGAATCGCAAAGTAGATTACAATGCTTGTTTGTTGTACGTACATAGAAGCGACTCATTATTGCTGTCTTAACTCCATGTAGGGGTTGGGAGACGGGCTGTGTGTGCGACACGCGTTGTTACCAGAAGTCCATATCGATAAGAACATGAACCTCGGACACTCGACCACATCTTATGGTTTGTAATGCACCGTTGTCTAGCGGCGTGGGGCAAAGCAAAGTGAAGACGTCAGTCGCCTTGCTGTCGGTGACATTTACCCTTAATTTTGTACCTGGATCTTTTTGTCTAAAGTCTTGTTACTACCAATTTGAAGCTTATAATCTTTGGACTGCTATTTGAACGTGACAAGACGTCATAAGATTCCGGACGATGCCACCGCAACCCGCGCTTCCCGAGCCAGCGCATCCAGAAGTAGACTCAATGCTGAGCCGTAGATTCGGAAAGGAAGTTGCAAACTACTTCTCTGGTACCTAGATAACCCACCTATGCCCCTTCTGCTCCTTCTGCTCCTTGTTTCTAATAGCATCATGCAGGCTCCCCACTCAATCGCGTAGGCTTCCTGCGTCCTGACCACCAGTTCCTCTCCTCGGCCCTCCATCATCCTAGTACTACTTTCCTATTGTTCAAGGATCTCGAGCCCCTCACAAAGTCCGGTACCGAACTTGCACGTTGCAGCTTCTCCGATGTGAAGCCAGTTATTGGCGATAACCCATTCGAGAAATCTGAGGAAGAGGTCATCGCGCAGTACAACTCGAGTTTGTATGTTCCACAGATAATCTTCCTGGGTCTCGATGAAAAGAAAGAGGGGTTCGCATACAAGGAGCACTACAAAGGACAGCCATGGTTTGCCGTCGATGTCACACCTAAGGAGAGTGCGAAGGAAAAGGCAGAAGGCGTGCTAGAGAAACTAACAAGCACGGGTCTGGAGTTTAGTAAGGGAAGGATGAACTTGAATCTACAGGCTGAGGAAGGTAAGGCATTGCTGCTCATTCCCGTCAACGGGCGGAGTACTGTGACTGACAGTTGATAGCGGCCATATATGCGGAAGCCCGCCACCTTCTCGACTGGAATGCGCGGAACCCCTTTTGCGCTTCCTGCGGCTACAAGACCATGTCCGTAAACGCAGGTTTCAAGCGCACTTGCCCGCCGAAAGACATTGCATCTGAGGTCAATCAAGGCGAGCGCCCACCTTGTGCAACCCGAACTGGCATCTCAAACCTCTGTTTCCCTAGGACTGACCCAACTGTCATCATGGCCGTTGTATCCGCCGATGGAAAGAAGATCCTACTAGGACGCCAAAAGCGCTGGCCTCCTAACTGGTATTCTACTCTAGCTGGTTTCCTCGAACCTGCTGAGAGTGTGGAAGAAGCTGTGCGTCGCGAAGTCTGGGAAGAATCTGGCATTCATCTCGGTCGTGTCGTGATTCACAGCACTCAGCCCTGGCCCTATCCTGCTAATCTTATGATTGGCGCTGTCGGACAGGCGATTCCGGAAGGAGAGACGATTCATCTAGGACACGACGCTGAGTTGGAAGATGCGAAGTGGTTCACAGCAGAGGAAGTCAGAGAGGCGCTTCGTGTTGGTACTAGTGGACTTGGTGAAGATGCTGGGCCAGAATACAAAGAGGGTGGACTGAGATTACCACCCAAGACCGCGATTGCAAACCAGCTGTAAGTGCCCCTGTATGAGTTGCATGTGAACCTATACTGACTTCGCATACCCGCTTTTAGCATGACAGCCGTTGTCAATGGCTTCGCCAGTGGAGGCCCGATGATTTAGGGTTGTACTCTGCGGTACAACCAAAAGGATTAGAGGTAAAGCTATAGACATGAATGTAGTTGCAATACAAGCTAGTCGAAACGAGATAGTAATCGTTTGTTGTTAACTTGTCGTTGTTGTATTCTACGTCTTACTGGCCAGCTACTCAAGGACGATGTATCGGCGCAACCGCTCAGGTATCGCATCGTACAGCTTTTTCTGCTCCAACCACTTCTTTGAGAATAGACGATCGGCGTATCTGTATGCACCATCGCACAGCAAGGTAACGACAGTTGATCCCTTGCCCATCTTCTCAGCCACCTCTTTCGCAGCAACGACGTTCAGGCACGAACTTGCGCCAAGGTACAGACCTTCCTCGTCTAGACATCTGTAAACCATCTCGATGGTCTTCTCGTCGCTAATATGCACGGAGCCATCTAGGAGGTCAATGTCGGGCCTCAGGTTGTCTGTTACACGTCCCTGGCCGATTCCTTCTGTTATAGAACCGCCCTGGCGTTCTTGAAGCTTTCCACCACTCTGGATGTATGAATGCAACACGGAGCCTGGTGGATCGGCCAAGAAGCTCTTGACCCTCCCGTCGCTCTTTTCCTTCAGATACCTCGTTACACCTGCGAGCGAGCCTCCAGTACCAGTGGCACAGGTGAAGGCGTCGATTTTGCCACCTGTCTGGTGCCAGATCTCGGGTCCAGTAGTCTCGATATGCGCCTGCCTGTTCGCCACGTTGTCGAATTGGTTCGTCCAGACGGCGTTCTCAAGCCTGTCCGCGTGTCGCTTCGCTTGGTGGTTGTAGTTCTCTGGGTTGTCAAACGCTACCGCCGGTACTGGGTATACCTCTGCACCGAGCAGTCGCAACAAGTCGATCTTTCCCTGAGATTGTGTGTTTGGCATGTAGATTACCAATCGATATCCTTTGGAACGGCAGACGTGTGCGAGACCAATGCCAGTGTTTCCGGCTGTGCCCTCGATGACGGTGCCGCCAGGCTTCAAGAGACCCTGGCGCTCGGCGTTCTCGACGACGAAGAGGGCGGCGCGATCCTTGACGGAGCCACCCGGGTTTTGGAATTCAGCCTTTCCGAGGACATTGCAGCCGGTCTCTTCGGAGAGGCGCTTGAGGCGGATAAGAGGAGTTTTACCGATGGCTGCAATGGCGCATTAGCACAAAAAGCTACAGAGTGTGAATGTCAAAGCATGGTACCATCAAGGAAGCCCCGCTGACCAATGCCTTGGGCTTTTGAGATGTTGATGGCAGTCTGCTGTGCAGCCTCTATTTGACTGAGGCTCTCTGCATTCCGCCATGCCGAGGCAGCGAAGCTTCGCGCGGCCGTTCTGAACATTGTTGTTTGGCAGAAGGAGGCAAACACAAGTCAAGATGACAAAGTTGGACTTCTGGGCTTCACGATGATGCCATTCGGCTGGTCGGCGAATCAACGCGCTTTCGCCCGATGTCGCAGATGCAGGACCCCTGCCGCGCGAGACCCCTGCAGCCGTGAGTGGGCTGCCGCGTGGGGTCAGTAAACAGTTGAACAACAACACCGCCGACCGCAACTCGAGGCGGAGACGGGACGACACCACACCCAACTGACAATACTGCTAAAATGGTCGGCCGTACATCGACGCGTGCGCCGCGATCATCCGCCACTTCAACAACACGCACCGCCAAATCCACGCGCGCATCCTCCGCCAGGCAGTCCTCCAATGCCGTCCAAATCCCCGATGAGGGCCCCGTAACCTCGCTCCGAACACAGATTGCCCACGTCTTCAGTGATGCGCAGAAGACGACGGCGACACAGAGGAAGCTAGTGGTGAACCTGAGGAAGATACAAGAAGCATGCTGCTTCGAGCCACCAGACACGGGCAACAAGGGTGGGAACAAGAACAAGGGCGAGGAGCACGAAGACTTTGACGAGGAAGAGTTCAACGCCGAGGTGGTGAGATGTGTGCTCAGGATCATGTGCGTCAAGAAGAGCGAGCCAGTCGGAGATAGGGTCATCCGCTTCCTGGGCATATTCTTGAAGCATGCCTCTGAGAAAGACCAAACAATTTTCGCTGCCGAGACAGAAGAAGAAGCCACAGCTTTCCATGAAACACCCAGCAGTCGACTCACCTCTCAGATCCTCACCACCATCCTCGCCCTGCTGACGGCCAAGGACAAGACGATCCGCTTTCGAGCCACGCAGACGGTTGCACACATCGTGAATAGCCTCACAACCATCGACGACGAAATATTTGACTTGATAAGACTGGGTTTTACCAAACGTCTGCGGGACAAAGAGCCCTCAGTGCGTGTGCAGGCCATCCTGGGTTTGGGTCGTCTGGCTGGCAACGACGATGACGAGCAGGACGACCAAGACAGCGACGATGAAGGCGCAGGCGGCATCCTCGAAAAGCTCCTGGATATTATGATCAACGATCCGAGCGCTGAAGTCCGACGCGCTGTTCTGCTGAACCTGCCGCTATGGCCGTCCACCCTCCGTTACATTCTAGAACGAGCCCGAGACATGGACGCAACCACTCGCCGCTTAGTATACGGCAAGATCCTGCCCGCTCTGGGTGACTTTCGACACATGTCGCTTGTAGAGCGAGAGAAACTCATCCGATGGGGTCTTCGGGACCGAGACGATCTCGTCCGGAAAGCTGCTGCAGTTTTGTTCCGTGAACGCTGGCTCGAGGACTGTGCCAAGTCACGCGACACACGACCAGAAGAGGAAAAGAAGCCAGGAGATGTAGTTCCTCCAAACCTTGAGGCGCTTTGTGAGCTTCTCGAGCGTATCGATGTCACCAGGTCCGGGGAAGAAGACGGCATGGCTCACGAAGCGATGCGCCAATTCTGGGACGGTCGACCAGATTACCGCAAAGAAATCACATTCGACCATGAGTTCTGGAACAACCTCGATGCGCAGACGGCTTTCATTGCACGCACCTTGAACGATTACAGTCACAGTACTGCTGACGAGAGAGTCCAAAGTATGATTGAGGACAAGATGCCAGAAGTCACCATGTTCGCTTTTGTCCTGCAAAGAGAGCTCAATTCCCTGATGGAATTGGTAGACAAGGTTGCCATCATGGAAGAGAATGATCCCGAGGTTGAAGAAGCACAGGAAGACGTCGAGGAGCAGGATTTCATTGTTCAGCAACTACTCCACATCGCCCACACCCTTGACTACACGGATGAAATGGGTCGTAGGCAAATGTACAACATCATGCGCGAAGCCATCGCTAAGGCTCAGCTGCCGGAAGAGTGTACTAAGCTTGCTATCGAGGTGTTGCGCAAGGTTTGCGGCAGTCGCGGCGAAAAAGACTTCACTGCTCTGATCGTAGAGGCTGTTGCAGATGTTCGCGATTCTTTGCTGGATGCCGATGACGCCACAGTCACTGGAGAGGATGCTGAGGAGAGCTTCCATTCCGCTCAATCTGATGCAGACGGCGATGCACCCTTGATTAAGCCCAAGACTGCAAAAGCTGCGGATAACCTCACCGAAGAAGAGAAAGAAGAACGACAAATTCGCGAGGTTATGGTTTACTCAAAGTGTCTGCATATCGCCCAATGCACACTTCAGAATGTAGAAGGAGACCTCGAGTCAGACACTTCGCTAACCAGTATCTTGAATACGCTCATCATTCCTGCAGTCCAAGCTCACCAGTCTATGATCAGAGAACGTGGTGTCATCTGCTTGGGACTGGCCGCCCTCCTCAGCAAGGTAAGTAGAGAACCGTGAGACTTGCGTAGGCTACGTTGACACGAAACAGGATCTCGCCGACAACAATCTTGATCTCTTCTTCCATTGCTTCATGAAGGGTCACGACGCGCTCAAGGAAATCGTCATCCAAGTACTGAGTGATGTGATAATCACACATCCTCAATTCCTTACGCCTACGATCCTAGACCCAGATGCGTCCACAGACGATGCAGAGCCCATCACAAACCCGCGTGTCCGCCCTATGACAAAGATTCTGCTGAAAGCATTCAGCTCGGACAACAAGCGCATCAGCTTGATCTCCTGTACCGCGGCGTCCAAACTTCTTCTCTTGGGTATCTTGCCCTCTCAAACCATGGCCGAAGTCCTCAAAGCTTTTGTCCTTACATACTTTGACCCCGAAACGGCGATGAACCCGGCGCTGAGACAAGCGCTCAGCTACTTTCTTCCTGTATACTGTCATTCCAAGCTCAAGAACGCAAAGCTGATGAGCGAGATTGCTGTGCCAGTGATTTCGAAGCTACTTATCATGCGCGATGAGAACGTCGAGGAGGAAGATGTGGACGAGATGGTGGGCTGGCCTGTCATCACTGCTCACCTTGCCGAATGGACGGATGGCCGTAAAGTTGTGGGCGCTACCGAACTTGGTCTCGACGGAAAGACGAGTACCATTGTTGAGGCTGAAGAACCACATGTGCTGCTCGCGATCGAGATCTTGGAACGTGCATTGACCAGCACTTGCTCGAAAGATGAGCGAAAACCTTTACTATCCCTACTGGGCAAAATCTTCATTGCACCTTCTGGCCCAAGTCCCAAGGGAGAAGAAGGCGCGCTCAACGAAGAAAGCTTCCGAACTCTGCACGAGCTAGTATCTGAGGCCGTGGAAGGAAAGATTGGCACAGATGCAACACAGCGCAACGCTTTGATAAAGTTAGAATCTACACTAACCAAGCGACTGGGTGAGGCAGCTACACAAGTCCAAGACACAGAGGTGGAGCGCACAGCAACGCCCGAAGCGACCGTCGCTACCGATGCTACAGAAGTCAATCAAGAAGAAGAAACTGAGGGTGATGTCAGCGAAGTCTCTGCATCAAAGAGCAGGAAGAAATCTGTACTACCGCAAGTTGATGATGACGAAGAAGAAGAGGAGGAGGAGGAGGAGGAGGAGGATGAAGACACTATGCTAGCGGGTATGCAAGGCGAAGGCACACGGATGCCTCTTGAGGACGACGATGACGAAGAGGAAGAAGACGACGAGTCTGCAGCTGGACATAGTACATTGACAGTTGGACGGGATGACAGGAGATCAGGCAGGACAACAGTGACTGAAGATGATATCATGGAGAGTCTGCTGCAGAGTGAAATGGAGCACTCTGCTTAGACTTTCTAGTTGTGCATTGTTCTCTTGCTGGGCGGCTGGCGTTGTGTGGTCCCCCAGACTTCTTTACTGGCCATAAGGAAGCTTGGGTGATCGTTGACGAAATAGGAAAGGGTTGGATGAAATCCTGATGTATGCATGCCTTATGATATCCCTTATTACGTTCAAGAACACTGCCGCGAGATCACATACTACCTCAATTTCACTATTTTGACAATCACATGTTCAATCGGAAATTCCAGATAAATCTGTTGATGCGGGACCCTTCTTGATTCGGTGCACATTTAATCCTTGGTGCTCCCGTGTATATCAGCAGATGTCTCACAATGTCCAGAAGAAAAAAGGATAAAAAGTAACGTTGAAATAAAACCTACAGCGTGGGGTATACGACAAAATGCTCCAAAAATAACAAGATCAGTCCCCTCGCCATAAAGCATGCCTTCGGGGTTCCTCAGCGTCGTGTCCACAACTCATAGATACACGCAGACCACTGCATGTGATGAGCTGCTCTCAAGCCAATTATCCGTGACAAATCATAATACTCATCAGTCAAGGACTCCATCAACATATTTCATCAACCTCATGCACGTATCACTATCTTGGTCCAATCTACATCCCTCCTCAGTGATAACATTCCACAATCTCCGCTCGACATCAAATCCAAATTCCTTCACCCGATCTTTCTTATCACCCCATATCCTGCAAGGACGATTGTCGGATCCGTACACCCTGTCATCGTCCAGAATTTTTGCTGGATCGAGCTTGAGGTTATTTTGATGAAGGAAGATGGGTCGTGGTTTTTGTGGAGCTTTATGCATCTTGTTCTGCCCTTCATTGACCTTGATATCAGGATGAGCCAGATCGACGTTCTGCCAGACTTTGTCGGGATGGATGTGGCTGCGCATAGGACTGAGGTATTCGTAGTCCAGAATAGGGTCCGCTTGTGCGATACCAATACCTCTGAAAGTGCCATTCATGTGACTACCGAGAACACCGGGTGGAGTTTGAACTTGGTAGTAGGGCAAACCGACTGCAAGAGCGGCTTGGACAAATGTTTCCTTATCCCCTGCACCAGGACTGCCTTGACTAAGGAGGATATAGTAGTAGTTTGGGCCATAGTAGTTGTAGTACACCATCATGAGAAGAGAAGCACGGTGCACATCTTTGTTGATGAGAAGCTGACCGCTTTCAGTTGAGAGTCTTGACTGCGAAGGGACCTCTGGTATAGCGGCAATGTGGTAAAAGTGTGCGGATATAGTTTGGGCCCAGAAGTCGGGCCAGGTGACTAGGCCATGAGTTGTGTATGGTGCGGTCGAGAAGAGTCTCGCGGGATCTTCTGTAGGAAAGGCGTCGCTATCGAGGAAGAGGACATGCTGGAATGATGAAAAAAGTATGGCGAAGATCTTGTATTGGTAGTGGTTAGGCGGTTTTGCGCGGGCTGCAGTCTCGTATATGTTGGACAGGACTACACAGCGGGCATTGAGAGACGGCAGGACGGCATCGCATAAAGTCGAATCATACTTTGTCCAATCGTCAATGAAGACTTCAACTGGTAGGTTGCATCCAGTCTTCCGAAGCATACGCAACGAAACCAGAAATACAGGTAGATAAAACGCGTCTGCGGTGGTGACGATACCGGTAGTACCTTTCGCGAACTGAAGCTTCGGAGCCAGGCGCTGTGCCGACTTCCGCATAGTATAGTGCGCCCTGAACAGAGCGGTCTCCTCTTTGTCGCTGAGATTCAGTATCCGATCAGGGTGCTCCTGGTGTGGTTGGAGAGGCAGGAAATCTATCGTTAGTCCAGAGTCGTCTTCTTTCAGACGTAGAGACTCGCATTGCGGCTGTGACTGCAGGAGAGCAGTGACCAATTCTTGCCAGAAATCTCGCACAGGTGCGTTGAATGTTGAGCTAGCGGCAGTGAGGTTTTTGCCTGTGAGTAGCGGCATGTTCAGGGCGCCGGAGCCATGATAGCCGCGTGGTATAAAGTAGATGCCGCATATGAAAAGGAAGAGCGGAATGACAACCAAACGAGGTACTGAAGGAATGGTCAGAAGCATAGTCGAGGGTGAATTGTTGTCGAAGGAAGAGGCCCATAGAGTAAATAGTCCGGATGAGAAGCGGGAACGAAGGGAGCTTAGGTACAGTGGTCGAAGTGAAGAGGAAGCTGAGTGGCTGGGCTGCTCGTGTCCAATTACTGAGCGTCAGCACTGCATCGGACTTGCCAACAGAATTCAACAGCGTCTGTGCTAGGGTGTAAAGCTACGAGCCGCGTCATACAAACAGAAGCAGTGACCGTGCTGCGCTTAGGGAAAGCGCAAACTACCTTTCGAGCCTCGGGAACTCCAGGCCAGGAGCTCACGATGGTGTTGAACGACTCTGCAGCGCCCTTGAATGAATCAACTTTCAGTGCAAAGAGCTTGATGAATGTTGTTACTCTGACGTCTCTGCTGTTGCGGGTGACATGTGGTGTGCGTAACAGCACAACTATCGCCTTTCCGTGTATTTCCATGTCCTCATCTCGCAAATGCACAGTAGCCTATCGCAGTCTAGATCCACTTGGGAGCAAGCGTGATGGCGAGACCTGATTAGTCAGTATACCTAGTCCTTATTCAACATTAGCATCGTATTGAAGTGCGATCCTGGAATAGAAACAATTCAGTGGTTATACGGATAGCGTCATCCACAGCAGCGGCAGGTGGCTGAAATAAGGACCGGACCCAGTCACTAGCGGAACGGTCGTGTGGCTGTGATCGGCTTGAACATCATTGTAACCTTGGTATCTTCTATCGACTATTTGGTGCGATTGTCCAGAAATTAGGATTGCGAGCATCATACATCTGATGTGGGTCGATCGAGGGATGGCACACAGTCTGTGTGGCGCTCGAGCGATGATACTGAATATTACCGGACACGAGCTCCAAATCTTTGTCGAGGCGTCACGCCACTCGCACGCTGCAAACTCGCAACTAGTGTGGACTAGCACGAAACGGTCTGCCTGCCATATTTATAGATTGAATTTCACCTCATGTTCAAAACGAGCAATTAGCATGTCATGCCAGAAAAGTCCTCGAGTGCAATTCCGACTACAAAGGTAACGCCATGAAGCTCAAGAGCCTCGCTAATTCTTTTAAACTATGAGACTTTCAAAAGAGTATGACTGAAAAGCCATAGATGCGTAGGTCTACGCGTTTCGTGTTCCAAGATTACAGCGCGACACAACAAACCAGTGCATTGGCAGACCACCACACAGCTTTCATATTCAAGAATGTTCTTTGTGTAAGACTATTGACCGCACCAATAGCTTTTGAGGTATTCGTAGACTCAGCCATATCTGTGCGCAGGCTGCGATACGTGGATAGTAGTCTGGTCGGACCGAGGCGGATTAGCCGAACCGCCATACATAGTCTGCCATATTTGGATAGCCTAACATACGTTTGGTCGCTCAAACCCGAACTGCGGTTGGAGTTCAAGTTAGTTCTATGATTTGGGTTTCGCGACGTTCCTGATTGGCGAGTGGCACCTTGGGATACCAAACACGGGCATCAAGGTAAATTTCTCAGGAAGGCTGTACCACATCCAGATATCTGTTTCGCATCCTCTATGACAAGGACAAAGTGTCATTCTCTTTTTGCCTTCAATATGGTCAAACGATAATCATGGTAATGCACGAGGTCAACGTGGTAATTCTGTGTGGTAGCAGAAATCGACCCTAATAACGATATACCTGCCTCACAACACCCAAAGAGCTCTCGTTCTGGAGGCGAGCAAAAGGCAAAGCCACGTCGCCCAGGGTGGACTTGCACGCTAAGACGTTGTTGAGATGGAGATAACAAACGTCTTTGCAGTCTTTTCCAGTTGCTGTGAACCCGCATCGATATTGACATGAACTCAGGTATTCCATCATCACAAGCATGAGCCATTGACACGAGACGAACGGAAAAATTGCAAATTATTAGGACAGAAAAGGAAGGTAGTTCTATGGTAAGTACAAAAGGCACGAGGCTAAGGAAATGCCTCTTCCATCACGCACGCCTTGATCGCCGAAGCGATTTGTTCAATTTGGATCAAGCAGAAAAAGAAAGAAACCAAGGCATATGGAAAGAAAAGAAGCTCACAGCCTAGGCATCGAACGAAATGGTCGGCCGTGAAATCCAAAAGCTCCAGCAAGCCCGTATTGCCACCGTCCATATTGTACTTTTGTCCATCCGCCCCGCTTTTAAATGAAATGCAAGTCGATCCCCAAACACCCCCATCCTAGGTATCGAACTCCGTCAAATGAGGTTTTCCGTCTATACGCATCCGAGCCGTAGGTAGCCTGCAAATGCCACAAATTCTTAATCGACCGACGCTGTCCAACTCCCCAAAAGCCAATCTTGCCCACGCCAGCCTATCCGAAGAAACCATCCCATATCAAATTGCACCGCAAGATCCGCGCTTCAGATGATCGATACCTATGTACGAGTGCATTTACGCCGGCGACTTGTTGGCGGGGTTCGAGACGTTGCGGCGGTCGTCGTTCATGGAAAGAGAACCGAAGCCTGTCGAAAGGAACGCAAAAGGATCGTTACGACCGTCACCGCCGTTGGCGGCACCCTGGTTGGGGTATGGGTCTGCAGAAGAGAAGGCAGCTTCAGCTGAGCGGCTGTCAAAGGGAGTAGAGTGCATGCCGCCGTTGGGCACATACTGCGCACCCATGGGAGGGTAGGGGCTGGCCGCGCCCATACCAGAAGGCAGAGCATACGAGCTAGGAGGTCCACCGTATTGCTGAGCCGGGAATCCACCACCGCCGTATCCAGCTGGGCCGTATGGGCCGCCGCCGGGAGTACCGCCCATCGAGGGAGGTCCCATACCGAAGCCGGAGGGAGTATCCATAGGAGAGGGGAATGCAGAGTCGGCGACGACAGCTGCACCTGCGCGGCTGGCACCACAGCGAAGGCAGGCAGTGTTCTTAGCGAAGTTGTGGTAGCCGCATCCGTTCTCACCACATTTCCAGTCTCCAGCTCGGAAAGGAACAGCACCAGTACCTCCACGCATGTGTCCGCCACCCATTCCGTGGCCATGGCCATGGCCCATGTGGTGCTGAGGAGGACCCATCATGCCTGGGTGACCACCGTATCCGTAACCGCCGTAAGCCATGGGATCACCACCCGGTGGTCCCTGCTGCATCGCGGGGAAAGAGCATCGGAAACAAGCGGTACGACGCTGGAAGTTGGAGAAGCCGCAAGAAGGGCAGTTCCAGTCACCGGGACGAGGACGGTTTTTGGAGGGAGGGAAAGGAACAATGATGTCGGCAGCGCGGTCAATGACGCGGCTAGACGATGGAGAGACCTCAATGGCCTTTTCATTTAGCGCACGGCCATTCATACAGAGAGACTCTGCAGCCTATGTCATGTCAGCATACCCGATTGAAAGCGGTTTCGATGGAGAACATACCTCTTCGTGAGAGGAAAAGATGGCGAAGCCGGTTCCAGTTGGCTTGTGCTGGTCGGGAGTGCGAAGGGTCCAGAAAGCGATGGGACGTCCGCCAAACTGGGTGAACCAGCTCTCAAGCTCTGACTGAGTGGTGTCGTGGGGAAGGCCGCTCATGTGGAGAACCTTGCTTCTCTCTGACAGAAAGGCGCGAACGTCAGCGCGGGCGTCCATGGGCTTGGTAAGGACGTCTGGGTGGTCTTGTGGGGGTTGTGACTTCCGGATGAGTCCGCGAAGCACGCGAGCCAGTGTAACGGCCTCCTCCATAGCTCGGCGGGGCGAGGCAGGCGCGAGAGCTTGCAAGTGGAAGGGCAGGTTGTGCTTGATGGGGGCCGAGGATTGGACGGGCTCCACCTCGAGAGCTGCACAGATATTGGTCAACGCGCTTGAGCCAAACGGAAGTGACTCTGGGTGGTGGGCCTGCCACCTCTGGTATTCGGTGCGGAGATCAAATGTGCGTGAGTGTTGCAGATAAGGTGGGAGAACCACGGCCTTGTCGCGGGCCTCGCGCGGCAGTTGGACACGGAGGTCCCACGAGTCGAGTGTAACGAAAGCGAATTCGAGGTTCTTGGGAGCGATGTGTTCAGTGTAAAAGTTTGTGAAACGATCGACGGCGTCGCGGAAGGAGCCGGCGTTGCGGACTTGGTCCCATGTGAGGGTTGTCAAGCTGGCTGTGCAGGGCTCGAGGTCAGCGGAAATTGCACAAAAAGTGGAACTTGAAGGAGGTGGTGAAGGGAAGGCTTACTGCATAGGGCCGTGATTGGCGTGTTGACCGGCTTTACAAGGACAGACTCACGATGCAGCTGGCGTAGGGTTAGCAATGGAGCTCGGCATTGGAGTCGGTGGGCTTACCTCCTCGCACGACTTTGCATCGAGCAGGATCCAACCTAGCTCAATCACCTCGGCGGAGTCCTTTGTGACATAGACACCGTGCTCGTCGCAAGTCGTGGCCACATGGATGACGACGTAGCGGTCCAGGTTGGCCGTCTGGGGGCTCGGGGTTGGTTGGGAAGCCATATCTATATCGCTGGGACAGGTCTTGATTAGCTTGGTGTTCTCGAGTCTGCTCAATCACGCTATGGTATCGTCGATTGAGGTTCGGGCGGGCGAGGTCCGTCGAGGAAGAAGGTACGAGGTTTGGCGGAGATGGCAGGCGCGACGGGTGAGCACGTCAGCGGGGAGCCCAGGGTGAATGGTGAAGGGGACGAGTGGGGAACAGCTGGCAAGCCGGGAGCGAGTGAAGGGGAAAACAGAGCCTCGAGGTGACAGACGGGACGAGGTTGAGAAGAGTCCCGGTGAGATGAAACCAAATGCTACGAGATGGGGACGGACGACCTGAGGCTCCGTGCAATGATCCCGGGCAGATTTCTTGACGTGGATAGCAGAGCTAAGGCACAACTTCCAGATCTTGGCGGGAGCTCGACGTTAGTCTGCTTAGTGCCGGGCATGTCAGTGCAAGGTGGGATGTACAGTAGCCTGGTAACAGTCTCTATAGCCCTCTCTTGTACACTTCTTCCACAGGTGGCTTCTTCTATCACTGTAGCGTGCGCGGTAGCGACTGTTTTCAGGGTCACAGCTGGTCAAATCAACGTTAATTTCAACGTCGTCCCTCCAAATTTCCACTCGAAGGACTGCCTGCAGCCGGACATGCCACAAGCACGGCGGACAGCAGCTCCCGCAGCCGCTCGGCAAAGCTGTCTGTACCCATCTGAAACACTCTACGCCCTCTCATTGAGGGTTCCACGCGTCTGCTGGAGGCTCTCGCGTGTGCTCCGCCTCGGCCGTGCCACGTTGTGCCCCATGACGATATTGAACGATGCGGCGTGTACTCGTGAACAGTTGCATCCGAGTTGTGCTATTGCTGCTCGCCGTGCCGCGCTCTGCCATGGATGACTACTGCGCTTCACACCGCGCGACACGCCCTGATCGTTATACAATGGGTCTGCAGTGCTCACGGCGGGAGTCAGGCGCTCTTAAGTCCGCCTCTATCGCCGCCGACATTCTACCATCTGCTATAGCCATGTCGTTACTAGTCGCCCCTTGCAGCGTACCCCAAATCTGTGCCTAAAATACCAGTACAAGACATGTTGCACATCGCAGTGGCCCCTTCCGCCCATCCCGCTTTCACTGGCTGTCCAGGTACCCCTGGCGATCTTCCGCACCACGTGACTGCAGCCTATCGCCGTCTCGTACCGCCGAACAATGAAATGGGCACAGGACGATCTTCAAGCCTTGCTGACACGTACAACCAGCACTAGCCCTGTCAGCTCGCCGTTGCACTTGTTTGTGCGGGAGATCCCTAACTGCTTTTGCCCTGACCCCTTAAACGCGCTGCTCCCTCTGCTCTGTCCCAAACAGCTCGAGCGCCTGGACTGAACGTACAGTGCCCGGCAGTCTGCCTGCAATTTGCAATTTATGCTCTCCAGCTTTGACACGTACCCGCTTCCCAGTACCGGGGACCTTGCATTGCGGCTTTGGCATTTACCTGGGTCTGGCTGAGCTTGGTTACCAAGCATGCCGGGATTCACATCTTCCCCGCAGGCTACGCTTAACGGACGCGAGTTAGTATTCACCTACCCACTTTTGAAACAACGGACTGCACTGCACCCTCTCATAAGCACATGCTCGACGCGTTCATGGGATTTGTCTCCTAATACCTTTCCAGTTCATCGCGAGGAATCATGGGTTTCTTCAAACGCTTCAGGCGTCACAAAAGCCCCAAGAAGAGCGAATCGCGCCCGCGCAACGACCTCTACGCCCCCGCAGTATACGACTACCACGGCCCCGACCAGACGCAGCGACTGCCCGATAAGGTCCTCCGCCGCATATTCGAACAAGTGTGTCCGCATTCAGCCGACGAATCTCTCCAAGGCAGCGAGGACAGCGGTCATGATGGCTGCATGAGCTGTGATATGCGGGACCTTGCACATTGTGCCCTGACCAAGCGACAATGGTATGGCGTTGCTGCAGGGTTGCTGTGAGTCTAGCTACCCAATATGCATTTTTATGTAGCTAATTCGCTCCAGATACAACAGCATCCGCATCGACGCGGTCCACTACTGCGAGCTCGAAGAGGTCTACGCCGACCAGCGCCGGCGCAAGTCGCGAAACGGCGATGACATTGACGCGCCCACGCTCCGGCTGCAGCAACTCGGCCAGAGCGTGCGTGGAAACCAGTACCTCGGCCAACGCGTACGCTTCATCAAGCTACCATACATGACCCGCGAGGCATGCAAAGCTGATCTGGCAAGAACGGTATCGGGCTGTCCGAACATCGAGTTCATTGACCTCCCAGACGGCTTCTACAATGGCGACCAGTCATGTCAGCTGCTGCGTCAGGAGCTGCAGGCGCGCTGCCCTCATATCCGGAAGATGAAATACAACGAGGGCGGAGAGCAATCGCTAGAGACGCTGCTCCAGGGCTACTGGCAAGAGCTCATCTCAATTGAGCTCAACAAAATACAGATAGAGCCCAGCATCCTGAGGCAGGTCTTCGGCATGCTGCCACGGCTCAAGGAGCTTACCATTACTGGCGTATCCTGGCTGAACGACTCCACCTTCCACGATGCACCAGGAATCCCCAACTTTCCCGCCCTGGAATCTCTTACGCTGACCAAGTGTCATGGTGTTACTGCAAACGGGCTCGCTCAGTACCTTTACAACCCAATGTGCAGTGGTAGACTGCGAACATTGATATTGAAAGATTGCGGCAGTATTCCCGTACCTTCCCTTCACATTATTCTGCAAGCGGCAGTCAACCTCAAGACATTAGAATACTTCGCCACAGTTTCCGCGTCCCTCCCGTTGGATCCGATACCACCCATGACATCGTACACGCTGCACAAACTCAATTTTGAAGTCACCTCTAGCTCCGCGAACCAAGTATACCCGCCAAGTGCATCATGCTACCAGTACCTTGCAAACTCGCTCATCGCCAACTGCCTCCCTGCTTTGCGACAGCTCTATGTGCGCGACCCCGAATTTCCAGAAGTCCTCACGCTTGCGCCACCGATCCGGCCATTTAGCGAAGCACCGCCGCCCATGTTCAATCAGCCATTGGAGGTTTATTCCAAGGGTCTGGACGAGTTGGACTGGATCTTCACATCTATCATGCCCCCTGAGGCACAGGGACGCCGAGCATCAGTGTCAGTAGGACGACCACTGAGCAGCTATTCAGCACACAAGGGTCTAGGACCCCAATGGGGTGGAGATGCTCGTAAGAGTATCGTGGTACCAAACGGCTTCGGCGGTTTCCTAGCTGTACCTGCAGACAACGATGGGAGACCCAGGAGTGCTGGGCATATGGCGCCTAGTGGAGGCTTCGGCCACGGCTACTCCAACTCGCTTGGTGGCAGGGAGCCAAGTCCACGTGCCAGCTGGATGAGCCACGCGGGTCGCGAGAAGCGAGCTTCGAGGGCTGACCTCTGGCGATGATTTGTGCAGTCGCCACATGCATTCATCTCTTTTTCCGTTTCTTTTTTTTTCACTTCTCACTTTTTGGATACCCGTCCATTCTTCTTCACCTTCATAGGCGATCTTTGTAAGATACCAAGAGGAGTTATTTTTGATCTTTACAGGGGTACGGTGCGATACTGGGATGAATCATTGAGATGGCTGGCACGAACGAAGATACCTCTGATGTGGGATTGGGGTTGGTTGGCTATCTGTAAATAAGAAAGAATTACAAAAGCCTCAGAATACGGTGGGATCTGGGATCTCGTCGCCATTGACATATCAAGTCACCTTCACACCATCAAGTGCTATCATGCTGTGTTTTGTTGTAGTGTTTTGATTTAGGAGCCCCCTCTCATTAGGCCTATAGGTGTCACCGTCATGATGAAATATTATGACTGCGCTCCACACTCGTCATGTTCACATCCTTTCCAAGTCTCTTGCTCCAAAATCTTGTCAATCGGACACTGTCCCCTCCGAACAGCACTCCGAACTAGGTCCTTTATCAGTTTTCTCATCTCTCCATCCGCTTCATCAACCCAAAGCTGTCCGTGCCTCGCCCCGCACCCCAGGTTCCACGTCCCCCTCGCACTCCCTTTGCTTTCCCTCTCCTCAACCTTACCCTCCTCCGCTTTGTCTGCCTCGAAGATCTCCGAGTCGCCATGCCCATGATGAAACAACTCTGGTGCCACACTCCAGCATTTCCAATCACGATCCCTGCACGCACTTAGCAGCGCAACATCATAAGCTGAAATGCCTCCTGTTGGTTCCTTGGAGAATGTAGATAGGATGAGGGCGGCAGATCGGCGATTCACAGCGTAGGCGAATGTACAAAAAGGCCAGTAGCTTCTATGGAGAATACGAGTTTCAGAGGGTACAGAAAGGGATGAGAGAAACAGGGCAGTGTCAGGGTGGAGGACTGTGTGGAATGGAGTTGTGGGGTCGTTGTATAGAAGGAAGGGTTGGGAGAGATAGGCGGTAGAGATTAGATCATCGCAGTGGCCCGGGTAGAGGAGATCCCAGCTGGTTGTTGGGGCCCAGTATGATGTATGGTCGTCACCAGTGCTGTTGAGCAAGGAGCGGAAGGCGGATGCAAGGAGGGGTATTTGAGAACTTCGGATTGAAATGTCGAAATCTGTGTCATCTTCGATTATCAAGGCTGTTTCGTAGTCTGAGGCCAGGAACCTATTGTTCTGTTAGTTTTCCTGTCCACTTTCTACTCCCCCTTTCCAGTCTCATCAGCTCAAGTTGTTTACATACCATTTCAAGACTTCCAAATGTCCTAACCATGCTTTCGCACTACCTGGGCTTAGACTGCTCTCCTTCGCCTTGAGTCTCTCGGTATCATTTACCTCCCATTCCTTTTGTTCTGGGATTACGATTTCGATGTCTGTTAGATTGGCGGCCCAGAGCAGGCGTTGTCGACGTGGAGAGCTTGGGTGGGACAGTGCAAGTATAGCACCGAAACCAAGAGTTGAGTTAGCTTGCGGAAGGATTAACGAAATCTGCTCGTGTGACAATGTGTTGAAAGTGCTGCTATGAGAGTGGTGGTAGAAGAGATATGCAAGTGTGAAGATGGAGACTGCCGCAACGAGGAGGTGAGTTTTCCGAGCCATTGCTGAAGTACCAGTCCAATGCGAGGTGATCAAGACAAAACATGAGTGAGGCAAATGACGAGAGAACGATGCATTTTACTTTGGTAGACATCACCCACGGTGAATGAAGCTCTTGTGCAAACAGCACTCAGTCACCGATTTTGGGTGAAATAACCTTGCTGACGCGAAGAGGCTGTAGACGCGAATGTCTCCCTTGTGGCGCAAATACATAATATTCTTGTAGCTTTCACCTATCAGACTCTGCGCTTTCCCAGCTCTTTCACAGACCTTTTCTGTACCTTCTCGTGACATGTGCACAGTCAGCTCGTTCTCTGGGCGCCTAGATTCTCATCGGTGGAGTCTCTATTGGCATTGCATTTATTTGATAGCATTTAGACGTTCCCCACGTAGCGAGTTGAAGTACTTGTCACGAGTGAAATTGTGAAGCAATACTTTAGTCGGTAGTATATACATAGTGCAAGGATAGTGGAAGAAAAACCCTGCTGTGGCTGAAGCATGGCCAAAGGGTAATAATATTTCATACAAGGCGGTACCTTCGGCGGGCTTGCGGCAAGATTTGGCCGAAACAGCTAAGGGCAGCTAATGGCAGCTAATGGCGCACCCAAACACGCACCACAGCTGCGGTAGGCTATTGTTAGCGCCACAACGGCCGGCCTTCCTGGATCAAGTAAGAGTGCAGCCAACCTTGTTCCCCTGAGAGGACCACCTCGACAGACGATGCAGGTCTGGGTTGGCTGCTTGACGTATTGGTGGGAGTTAGGTACTTGAATCTCTTGAATTAACAGCCGAGTATCCGTGTGCACCTGCCACTCCCTATTGCTTCTTCCGTCTACCCTGCGCCGCTCCCCTCACTTGCTGTGTGCGTTCCATGGGTCTGTCTCCTATGTCCCTTACTTGTCGTCGCGCAGGCACGCAGAATCGTGTCGCACAGCATTCAACCACAACATGGCCACCGAAACAGTACCCTCGGCGGCGGCGGCGCCAACGCCTAAAATGTCCCGCTATAGGAGTGTGAGGCGCGCGCAAGAAGAGCAGACACGGCAGCCGGGTCAATACCACCAGGACCACGCTTCACCAGCAGTGCCAGCCGTTCCAGCCATGCCTCCAGTGCCTCCCATGCCTGCCGTGCCCGAATCACAGCCTCAGAATGATGCGCCCATGAGCAGAAGCATGAGTCGCTACCACCGCAGGCCAACGACTTCACACGCGACCAGCCCAAATCCCCCACCACTACGCTCCAACACCATTCCCAATGCTCCACCTCCGCTTCCCGCGCAGCAACCGCCGTCCACGTCCCGGAATCGTGCTTTGAGCTCCCCGTATCAATCAACACATACCGCAAACACCGGCCAGCGTCGGCCAAGAACCGCCAGGCCTCGCGCAGAAGCCTCACCCCCCGTCTCCAATGCGCCACGGCAGCAGTCGCTGAGAGGCGATGACAGCGCGAGAGAGGTCCTGCAGAGAGAAAAGGAGAGACAGCGGCAGTTGAAGGAAAAGTACGAAGCAGAGGCGCGCATGCAGAGGCAGGCCAAGCAAGCCGAACTGGACAGAGTTGAGAAAGTGCGCCAGGAAGAGGAAGAAGCTGCGCGGGCAGAGGCCCAGAGGGCAGTCGAAGAGGCTGAGGCGCTGCGTCGGCAGAGGGAAGAACAAAAGGCCGAGCAGGAACGTGGCAGGCGGTTGCAGAAGGCTGAGACTCAGAAAGTGCTCCAACAAAGGGAGGAGGGTGTCCGCAGAGCGAAAGCTGAAGAGAAGGAGCGACAGGCGACACTCGCAAAGCTTGAGCAGAAGGCCCGAAAAGCGCCTTCCTCGTCGCCCCCCGTCTCACCACCCCGGCAGCAGGAGATAGGATTTGGCATGTTTAAGAGGAGAAAAGACGAGGCTCTAGGTTTAGACGCTCCTACACAACAATCAGCTCCGCCGCAGTTGAGTCTCAACTTCGATAGCCAGGAAGAGGAGACTATTAGACCTGGCGGAGGTGGCGTGGTTCTAGGCATTGATGCTCCCACATCTGCTGTAAATGCTGGCGACAGGGTATGTACATTGTGTGTAAATCATGACGGAAATACTAACATGTGTCGTAGCGCGTCAAAGTTGTGTGCAATGAGAAGCGTATCCTATTGCCTGTGACTCCAACCACCACACCTCTCGATCTCATCAAGTCAGCCGCCACTGTTCTCACAGACCCCATCGACGTGCGTACTGCCGTCATCTGCGAGTTTTTCACCAAAGTTAGCATCACACGTCCACTTCGCAACTACGAGTATGTGAGAGACGTTATGAACTCGTGGGATCACGACAATCAAAATGAGCTTACCATCATTGACTCTGATGTGGACGGGATCAACCAGGACAGCCTGCTCTCGTACAAAGTTCCAGACACAAGACCAGAGGGCGTTTCGTGCTTCATCCAATACTCATCGCGACCTGGCAAATGGAGTAAACGATATCTCGTTCTTCGTCCCGATGGGCAGCTAGTCATGGCCAAGAACGAGAAGACAAAGGAGAAGGACCAAGAGAATATCTGCACTCTCACAGACTACGATATCTACTCCGTGACCCAGTCGAAGCTGGCGCGCGTAAAGCCCCCAAAGAAGATTTGCTACGCTGTCAAAAGTATGCAGAAGTCCAACATCTTCGCGGATGAGTCGCAATATGTCCACTTCTTTTGTACCAACGACCGAAACACAGCGAACACGTTCTACACAGCGCTGCAGACCTGGCGCAGTTGGTATCTCAAACACCAGAAGGGCGAGGGGCTGAAGAAGAAAACCACAGCACAACGTAATATATCAGGGAACGCTGGGGCTGCGCAGGCGTCCTCCCATACAAGAGGCGAATCAGTTGGATCGCATTATCAGCTTGGTGCCTTCTCGTCATTACTCGACATGGACAGTTTCAACAAGACACTGGATGAGATCGAGGTTCACAAGCCGGGAGAATTTCCAGACGATAAGCCTCTCTCGAAGCTTGATAGTAGCGCAATGCATGCGAAAATGAAGTCAGTACGAGTAAAGCGACCGCCCCCAGCTGCTTTCAACAAGAGCGGTCTAGCCGCAGAGATCCCTCCACCGCCCACTGCTCGTCGTCGGAGTATCGATCAGCAGGGCGAGGAAGCGTTTGCCTCCAGCGGTCTCCTGGGGCGCAGCTACACGCAGCGCCAGGCCGCTTTACAGGCACGTGAACAAACGGGTCCGTTCACCGAGGGACCGTCTCTACTGAACAGCATGGGTCGTGCAGCCCAAGTGTCGTCAAACGACTCCAGCCTTAAGCGCAACACTTCTGTCCGCAGCAACCACCACCGAAGAACATCTAGTGATCTTCAACGCAGTGCCTCGAGACGTGTTCCTGGCATGCCCGAACCTTTGGTTGATCTCACACCTCAGTACAAACCGCCGCCACAGCATCTCAACAAGGGCAAAGGCTTCAACCCAGGAGTTGGCGCAGGACCTTTGGTTGAAAGTGCAACTTCAATCGAGGAGGCAATCATGATTCCGTCATCAACGGACTGGCGCGCTGGTCGTCCAGGTACATCGCGTGCGGCACATGGTACCTATGGTGCTGGTGGACACGAGCGTACGCGTTCGCTCAAGGGTCGTGGTGAGCCTTTGGCAGCGTATACACATAACAACCATTTTGGCGCTCCCGAGGATGACAGCAAGGCGTTTACAGGAGGTGGGTTACTTTCTCAGGCTGGCTACTCACAAGGAAAAGACATGGTTGGTAGGGGTGTCATGGATGGCAGTAGAGCCAGAGGCCCAATGGTCAACCTCTCGTTGAACAATGAGTTCGCACAAGGCAGTTTGCTAAGTGCGCTGCCGAACGCTGCTCCGGTTATTGACAGGAGTGGTAAGTAGTTGCGTGGACTACTTCGTCTTTTGCTTGGGATTTGTTTGTTTCCTGCTTTTGTTTGTCTGGTGTCGCACGTTCAGCTTGATATCCTTTGCTTTGGTTACACGTTTACGGCCTTGGGAGTCTGATGTAATAGAATTAGGTGGGGAGTCGTGGGGGGCAGAGTGGCTCGATGCTCCTGCTGGACTCAGTATATGATACAAAAGCAAACGCCAACGAATCGTAGAGTTATATTTATAGAGGTCTGAGCAGCATTATGCCGTTGTGTTCGCAAAAATGAAATATTCGGAATGTTTCGTCTCTTGTATTCGAGGCTCTTCCTAGTCGAATGCTATCTTTGTCCAGGCGTTGCTGTGCCAGTGCACTTGGTAGGTGTGGTGCTTGCAACGACGACGCACCGACTGTATACGAGTCATGCACCCGCATAGCAACGCAAACTCGATACTGGGTATACGAGCAAACAACGCTGCTAGAAACTATTGACCGAGATATTGCAAGACACGTCCTGACAGGCAATCCTGTCCTTCCGATGAACCCTCCGATAACATCACAGGCATGTCACATGGAGCGGCAGTGGCTGTTGTGGGCCCTCACGTGCATCTCTCCGCCTCCACTCACGACCCACTAATCTGGCTGCGGAGAGAGCTGGCGTGCTGTCGACTTCTCCCACCGTTCGCGGGACCCCGCAATTGTCGGTCTTATGACGGAATGGTGCAGCAAGCGGACGTGATGCAGCGCCTCGGCAGTGGTACAATGCGTGAAGCTCTCCCTTCGGCGTGACCCTTTTGATGTTCCTGTTGCGTCTGAAAGCGGACGAAGATAGATGAGCAGACAGGAATAAGCGAGCAGCTCAACGGCGGGCGGGATCGGTCGATGCTCCGCTTCTCATTTCCACGGGAAACTGTTGAGTTGTTGACTCGCGGCCTTGGCCTCGCCCGTTGCGCTCCAGCCTCAGAATTGGGCGCTGGTCGTGGGGAGGGAATTTGCCTCGAGGTGCTGCAAGTGTGAGAAGTGCTTCGGTGCAATATGTTGCAGCTCGAATGTGGCGCTCAAAGGCTGCCAGGCTAATTCGAGGTTTAATCATGAATGGGTAGTAGAAGCCGAGCGCCTACGTCACAACGTCAATCCATCCGATTCCCAAAGAGGAATCCCAACCTCCACGGCTAGCAACGCTCGTGCGCCAAACAAAAGCGGCCCAGCATTTCTCACCCCCAGGGCTGCTGCAAAACATCCTTTCCCAACTGTTCGACAGAGTTTGCGTGCGGTTGCTCTGCTATAACAGGTCCAATTCCTTCCGCAGTCCCATCACACATTGTCCGCGGCCAACAAATCGTACTCAACCCGAGAGTAATCGAACCGCTTGTCTAGCGCGGCAACCTGCAGTAGCTCAACCAAGCACCGAGCTCAAGCTCCCACGCTCTCTCGACTTTCCAAGCTCTCTAATCCTTAGAAAGAGTTCCGATCCTGCCATTGCGCCTTCCCACCATCTCTTTACACCGCCCATATACAATGGCTGAGACCGGCGCGAGAGACGTGCAGAACCACGTCCTGTTCGAGGTTGCGACTGAAGTCGCAAACAGAGGTAGCCTTCGTCTCGTCTCCATGCCACTCGCAAGTACTAATGAACCGTAGTCGGCGGTATCTACTCAGTCCTCAAGTCCAAGGCGCAAGTCACTACGGCCGAATATGGCGCCGCATACACTCTCTTGGGCCCATGGAACAGGGCTTCGGTACGCGCAGCCAACTGCATCTTCGGATCAAATGCTAATCCAAACGTAGGCGGCTGTCGAAGTTGAGCCAATCGAGCCAAAAGATCCGGCCTTGGTTGCGACCATCAAGTCTATGGACGACCGTGGCATCAAGACGCTATATGGACGTTGGTTGATCGACGGTGCCCCACGTGTGCTCCTTTTCGATACCGGTACCGGTTACAGGTGGCTTGACGAGTGGAAGGGCGACCTTTGGTCTTCCACCGGCATTCCCTCGCCTCCCGGCGATTCTGAGACCAATGAGGCCATTGTCTTTGGTTACCTCATCGCATGGTTCTTGGGCGAGGTAGGTTGAGAACGTGTACCAAACCCGGTAGCTGTCGCTGACCCTTTTACAGTATGTCTACCATGAGAAGAAGCGAGCCGTCATTGTCCAGTTCCACGAGTGGCTGGCCGGTGTCGCAGTTCCTCTGTGCAAGAAGCGCCGAATTGATGTTACCACCATCTTCACTACCCACGCTACGCTCCTTGGTCGCTACCTCTGCGCCGGCTCAGTCGATTTCTACAACAACCTTCAATATTTCGACGTCGACGCTGAGGCAGGAAAGCGTGGTATTTACCACCGTTACTGCATCGAGCGTGCCGCTACACACGCGGCTGACGTGTTCACGACGGTTTCACACATCACCGCATACGAGAGCGAGCATCTTTTGAAGCGAAAGCCGGATGGTGTTCTGCCCAATGGTCTGAACGTCAAGAAGTTCTCCGCTACCCACGAGTTCCAAAACTTGCATCAGCAAGCCAAGGTCAAGATCAACGATTTCGTGCGCGGTCATTTCTACGGTCACAACGACTTTGATCCAGAGAACACTCTTTACTTCTTCACCGCTGGTCGCTACGAGTACCGAAACAAGGGTGTTGACATGTTCATCGAATCGTTAGCGCGATTGAACCACAAGATGAAGAGTGAGAACTCGAATATGACAGTTGTTGCTTTCATCATTCTGCCGGCACAGACCACCTCTCTTTCGGTCGACTCATTGAAGGGACAGGCTGTCATCAAGGCGCTCCACGACAGTGTAAACAACATTGCCGAAAATGTAGCCAAGAAGCTGTTTGAGCGCTCGTTGACATGGACAGAGGGCTCCGAGCTTCCAGAGGACAAGGACTTGATTACACCTGCTGACAAGATCTTGCTCCGCCGAAGATTGTTCGCCATGAAACGCCACAACCTCCCGCCTATTGTTACCCATAACATGGTCAACGATGCTGAAGACCCTGTGTTGAACCAGCTCCGTCGCTGTCAACTCTTCAACCACCCATCGGATCGCGTCAAGGTTGTCTTCCATCCCGAATTCTTGAACTCCGCAAATCCCGTCCTGCCATTGGATTATGATGACTTCGTCCGTGGAACCCATCTGGGTGTCTTCTCATCGTACTACGAGCCTTGGGGCTACACTCCAGCTGAGTGCACTGTTATGGGTGTTCCTAGCATCACAACCAACTTGTCTGGTTTCGGTTGTTATATGGAGGAATTGATCGAGAACGCCCAGGATTACGGTATCTACATCGTAGACCGAAGGATGAAGGGTGTCGACGACTCAGTCAACCAGCTTGTCGACTACATGTTCGAGTTTACAAAGAAGAGCAAGCGCCAACGTATCAACCAGCGTAACCGGACCGAGCGTCTCAGTGATCTGCTCGACTGGAAGCGCATGGGCCTGGAGTACGTCAAGGCTCGACAATTGGCTCTTCGACGAGCATACCCTGCGGCATATGAAGACGATGATGAGCCAGACTTCTTCAGCTCGCAAGATGTCAAGATCTCGCGGCCGTTGTCTGAGCCTGGGTCTCCCCGGGACCGTTCGGGTATGATGACGCCTGGTGACTTTGCTTCGCTTCAAGAAGGTCGCGAAGGACTGAGCACTGAGGATTACATCGCGTGGAAGCTTCCGTAAGTGACAGATGGACCACAATGCTCGATTACATGCTAACAACTACACAGGGAAGAAGAAGAGGCCGATGACTTTACCTTCCCGCTTACCTTGAAGACGAAGAGTAAGCCTAATTCAGGCGCAAACACTCCCACTCTGTCTACTGCACCGAATGGTACTGACTAGCCACCTTTCTTCTGCAGGGTGACGAAGGAACCGAACGAGGAAGAGAAGCAACGACTTCCAAATTTGCATTGATCTATTCCTTTATGTTTGGTTTGATTTTATGCGCATATACTGCATTGGCGAAGACGAATGGACGCAGTAGAGAAGAATGGAAGGAACTGGTCGCATACGTCTGTGGGACCCATATGTATTTTAAGATGTGAATATCAGAGTCTGTTGGCCTGGTCGAAACTTTTGTGCGGTCCGAATCTCGTTACCATTGCCGAATGTCCGGACCCAGAATGCATACGCACGTCTTTGATAGGAATGGATGCCCGATTTGCCGAACAAAAGCAAGCTTGGAATGGTAAATCAGGCCAGCATTGCAACCCTGCGGCCAGTAGAGTACGAATTGACTGGCATGTGTCACGACGTGTGCCGTTGGTCCTTGCAAGCCCAGGTGGCTGACTGGAATGCCAAGCTGTGGCGTATCCGAGCATCGCGGCGCAGTCATGGCAGAAGCAATGAACTGCGTAAGCCCGTAAGCCCGTAGAACGTGGACTAGCCTTGTCCTCCTTCCCGGCAATCAGGCGCATCCTTTCAATGCCGAAACAAGCATCTTGGTTCTGAAACATAAGCGTGCAATCGCCAGTACCACGTTATCCTGGAACAATGTCGGCGTTCCTTGGAATTTGTTGTGTTCAAGTGGTGAGATGTCAGCTCGGCCGACGGACCAAGCCAACCAACATGACGATATGATGCGCTGGCAAGTATATTCTAGCAAGGGTTGCAGTTATCCACACCCAATATATGTATTGAAGTGTGGAGGGGCATTGTTTATCAAAATCTCCCTTGGGACTGCTCACGCGACGCGGGGCAATGGATAGCGGGGCGGAGCGGAAGCATACAGGTGGAGAACAAACACATGTCCAACGTGCATGCATACCAAGACTCGAGAGCATGTCGTACATGTGAACTCTGTTGGAAGCGGTGTAGTGCTTTTGCAGGTGTGGGCGAGACGTCCTTGTCGATTGGGTTCTCCATGTTTGGTACAGGGGTCTGTTAAACTCCGGCTGCGATAGGAGGCTGGGCACGCAGCGTTCCGCGGCTTCGACACCCCTTTCGCGTAGCGTCATCGCCGCACCTGGCAGCGCGACAAGCCGGCAATCTTTCACAATGGACCATACGACTATTTGCCGCAACACGACCCGTAGTTCACAGTGCCCACTTGAGACATCACTTCACTCTCTTCTCTCTTAATCATGCACCATTACGACGGACCTTTTCTGCGACGCGCTACCGGCTCGGTCCGTTGACGTCCTGTCTGCTTGGGCGCGATCGATTAGACTCGATCTTTCAGCTCTTCCTTCGCACTACTTCTCCGCTGATCTTTCCTCTCCATCAAACTAGGACCCTTCGCTGAGAGACTACACCTTCCCTTGGTTCCGCCTTGACGGCTGCGAGGGGCAAACATGTTCGGTCCCTGGCTAGTCATGTTCGCATGGCTGAAGAAGCGCACGCCATCCAGTCTGAAGGCTCTTATACCACACGCCAACTTCATTACTCTCCACTGTATGTTCATAGAAAGGGAACATTTGCTGGACCTGGACTAATTTGTCTGCAGATGCATATATTATTTCGTGGGCGCTGATTGGGTCCGTCATCATGTATGGTGGTGGTCGCATACCGTACATCGACGCGCTCTTCTTCGCCAGCGGTGCAGCAACACAAAGTGGTCTGAACACGTACGTTCGATCCTGGATTTATTCAGGATATCAACTGACCATGGGTGCAGAATTGATATCAACTTATTGGACTTGTATCAACAGGTACGTGCTATTCTAAGAGTAATGAATCATGGTCGTACTAACATTGTTTAGATAACCATCTATATCATCGCCAGCTTATGCACACCCATCTTCATCCACAGCTCCGTCGTCGTCGTGCGCCTCTATTGGTTCGAAAAGCGCTTCCAGAATATCGTAATCGAGAGGGGAAACAAAAGCGGTCGGACCCGCACGCTTTCTAAGAGGAAGAGCGAGATGAAGGCCGTGACAGATCGGAGTGCTGGACAGGAAGAGCAAGCGGTTGGTGCGCGCGAGATCCGGGTCATGCGTGGTTCTAGCGGCCATGCACACGGTGGAACAATCGCAAACGAATACGCCTTCAGTGACGGACTGGACTGGACTGGCAATGGCATAAATCCTCGGAGATCCAGTTCCAGCGAGGACGAGATGCCTCCGTTTCGACCCACGACTCCTGTTCAAAACGCCCCCACCGGTATTGTCTGGGCGGACAACCTTAGCACGCCCACCGACAAGAAGCCCAGGGAGTCGCTTGAAGAATCTCCTGGTGGCCGCCTTCCACAATCTAACAAAGAGAGAAGTATTGCTTTTGTAGAAGCACAGCGTAATCCCACAGCGAGGAATAAGCTGCGCATTCCGGGCCCACGCGACTTTGACCAGGGTCTTATCCCAGAGGCGATCAAAGGAGAGGAGCTGGATAGAGTTGCGAGTAGGCTGTCACATGAGTCCCATCCAAAACGCGAACGCTCAAACTCTGTTCCTCACGCTTTGAATGGCGACGATCGGCCACTGAGAAATCACATCACCATCGACGTACCGGACCGACAGGCACGTCCTACTGGGCACTCTGTTTATGACAGAACCAGAACAAATGAAGGCGATACAACTGTTCCTACGCCAGGAATGCATATACGTAGCAGGTCGCGGTCAAGAACCTTGACCAGTTTCCTTACTAGGAATAAGGACGAAGAGGAAGAAGATCCGATGCCATACCTCAGCTGGACCCCAACTCTCGGACGTAACTCGAATTTTGTGGATCTAACTGAAGAGCAAAGAGAAGAACTAGGCGGTATCGAATATCGTGCTCTAAAACTCCTCGCCATGATTCTCATTATCTTTTACCTTGGCTGGCACACCATCGGCGTTATTTGTCTGGCACCCTGGATCAACCATGATTCTCATTACAGCAATGTAGTGAGAGAAGCTGGTATCGACCCGACCTGGTGGGGTTTCTTCACTTCAGCTTCTTTGTTTAACGACCTAGGTTTCACACTCACTCCGGACTCGATGGTCTCTTTTCAGCTAGCTATATGGCCTCTCGTACTGGGTACCTTCCTCATTATCATCGGCAATACTGGTTTTCCCTGTATGCTTCGCTTCACCATCTGGATGTACTCCAAGATGGTGCCCAAGAGCAGCGCCATTTGGGAAGAGCTTCGCTTTTTGCTGGATCACCCACGTCGATGCTTCACTTTACTTTTTCCAAGCAAGGCAAACTGGTGGCTGTTCTGGATCCTTGTTATTCTCAACGGTGTAGATTTGATCTTCTTCATCATCCTCGACGTAAGTACGATGTTATTCAGGCCAAATTACTTCTGACTAACGCCCTGCAGCTCAACGACCCGACTGTCACTTCCCTGTCAGGTGGTCATCGCTTTCTTGCCGGTCTTTTCCAAGCTGCTTCAACTCGTACTGCAGGTTTCGCTGTAGTCAACATTGCTGATCTGCACCCTGCAGTACAAGTCAGCTACCTCATCATGATGTACATATCTATTTTCCCTATCGCCATGTCCATCCGCCAATCCAATGTGTACGAGGAGAAGTCCCTGGGTGTTTGGGCCACAGAAGACGAAGACGAGGAGCAATCGAGCTACCTCTCGCACCACTTGCGCCGACAACTCTCATTCGACTTATGGTTCGTCTTCTTGGGGTTCTTCCTCATTGCCATCATTGAAGGCCCGCGGCTTGAGAACACAAACGAGTACGCGTTCAGTCTCTTCTCCGTCCTGTTCGAAATCGTCTCAGCATATGGTACTGTAGGATTGAGTCAAGGCTTCCCTGGTTACAACACCTCCTTCTCAGGCCAGTTCAAGACACTGAGCAAACTCATCATCATTGCCATGCAGATCCGTGGTCGCCACCGTGGACTCCCGTACGCACTGGATCGTGCTATCTTGCTTCCGTCGGAAACTTTACACCAGAAGGAGAACGAAGATGCAACGAGACGCGCACGACGTAGCAGTAATGCTATGGATATGGGAATCAGTATGAGTATGGATGGTATTACCCGAACAGGTACCGGACTCAGTCGCAAGAGTACCGCAAGCGGCGAGAGACCCCCACAAAGTAAACCCAAACAGCTGAAACGCATTATCAGTGGTGCTTTTAGTGCAGGTCCAACGGGTCAATTCAGAGAGAAGAGGGCATGATATGTTCTCCCTTTGTGCGACATTCTGAGCATTCGAGGCGTTTTAGAGTAAGGCGCAGAATGGTGTTCATCGGTTTTATATATATATTTTTTGTTTGTGCTTTTGGGCGCTTCGACGAGCTTTAGATCTGATAGCGTTTACGCATGCGATGCCTTTCCATACGATGATATTATCGTTGCTAGTACATACTGCTAAGATGAAGTATACTTATATTACATATTTCTGTTGTCAATCGATACTGTGCTACGACGTAGAAGCTGATCCGTTCAGCCCCATGTCCAACCCTCAAATATCTGGTCTTTAATCGCACCTTTCACCCAAATTGTGCTGTGCATCATATGCTTTTTGGTACAAGATGGTTGAGGAGTATCGTTCTTATTTGAAGTAGAAGGTTCGGATTCTCACGTCAAGGTCAGTGTAGAGTCTTGCACCTGAGCAATCTCGTAGACGTCGACAGACTTGAAACTCAACAGAGATCGTAAGGATGTGGCATCAATGTTGCTGCACGGTGGTCTCATGTTCCCCGGAGTGGCACCAAAAAAACAAGAGTAGAAGTATCATGCTGGCTTGGAACCTGGGCCAAGCCTCTGGTGAAGGACGCAGCAAAGTAAAGTTGTAGCTGAGAGAGCCTGAAGGCGGGCATGTTGTTCTCTATGCTCAGTAAATTGGGAGATTTGCCAACGGTCATAGGCTCAATGTTTTTCGATTGACTTGAAGAATCCGAAGAGAACACGGGTGTATCATGTGTGTACATATCGAGATTCAGTCCAGATCAGACTGCTGCAATCACTAGCTCGGGGCTTACATTCGGATCAATCATGACCTGATATCACGTTAAATAGTCTTCAGGTCGCGTGACATGTGCTTAATCTCAATTCGCCTTGGAAAACCACATAACAGCGCTTTTCAATCATGATTCCGAGATTTTTTTTTCGAGGTTTGCTCAGTAAGTGCCTGAAATAACTCAGCGAGCCCTGGTTTTCCTTACAATACCGCCTTGATCTAGACTCGATGATGCCTTTCTGGCCCCCCAAGGTAACGAGCTACCTGAAAGTGCTGAAAGAAGAGCTCGACAGATCAAAGTACGATGTTGTTGCACGTCTTACTTTGGGCTCTTGTCATAGACCACATGTGATGCTCATAAGCTAGACGTAGTGGTCGTGTGTTTTGAAAAGCTTTATTCCATCATATCACCAGTAGATTTACAGATGAAAGTTTTCAGAGCTTGTTAGACCGTGGAGTGACTCGTCAGAGCGTGCGTTGGTGCGTACACAATCTTAGAAAGTTCTGTGAAGTCCCATAAGCTTGCGCGTTATCCAGGCGGCTTGCTCGGGAAGTCAGGGAATTGGGACCTAAAACGAGCGAAAAATGCAATATAATAGTTCAGCCAAGTGTGTTGTTGAAGAGAAGGGAGCCCTGGCGTATCGCTGAGAGACTTCCAATGACAACTGGTTGCGGTAAGCAGCTGCTCTGCGCTAAAATGGACAGATACTAGTGCCATACGTCACCTTCGAAATGCAAACTTTCCCCAACCACCCATTGTCTCACATTAGCCCTGAATCAGCGCGAATCAAACATTCTTCAGGATTGCAACGAGGTTTGAACAACTTTTCCCTGAAAATAGTCGCCATGAGGTCGCTTTCCGCGCGTCAACGCGTGGATAGATATCTACAATGGAGTATCACCTATCTTAATCCCAAAGCCTCCCTCCTCCCTTGACTTCCCAAGTCCAAATATGGTGCCTCGCCCAAGCTAGCCACTCGGTCGCCTGCCCTGGCTTCATCGTAGTCATATGTTGCACAATGCCACGTACTACGGTTATCCCAAATAGCCAAGTCATTCGGCCGCCACTTAAACCGCACCTGCGCATCGTGGTTCTGCGTTACAAGGTTGAACAAATACGGCAGAATGAGGTCAGATTCGTCCTTCGTGACGCCATTGATACGTTTGGTAAATCCTTTGTTCACGTATACTGATTTCCAACCCGTCACAGCTGTGGCGCAGATTAGCGTTTGCAACGCAGGAGAGGAATCAACAAGCTTACGATTTGTTCTTATAACTGGATGTGTGGCTGTGAGTGCGTCCCCCTGATTCAATGGATTACCACGGACACCCTTCCTCAATGGATTTCCTAGCCGCTCTGCTTCTTCTAGAAAAAACTTCGCGTCGTGCGTCGCAGTCAAGCCCTCCAGGAATGACCGCATCGCGGGAGAGAGGCGGTCGTAGATCTCGTAGCCGGAAGCCCACAGCGTGTCACCACCTGTTGCTGGTAGTGTATGAATTTTCAACATCGCATAGTCTGACGGTACTGGTTCAAAAGTAATGTCACTATGCCAGCCCGCAGATGCGAAACGACTGACATCCGAGAGTTGGTGAGTGAGACCACCACCTTTCTTCTGCTTTTCACTGCTTATGACAGAGATCTGATCTCCCAGTTCGGAGCCTTCTTCGGTAAGGGGGTGTACATGGAGTCCAGATGATGAGGGCTAACAATCTGTCAGCGTTGTGGAAATAAGTTCATGTTGGTAATCGAGTAGACATACACAACCTGACAGCTCAGTTATGCGCAACATCAGGTCTTTCATCTGATTTGGTGTGACATCTTGGTTCCTCAGAAAGACGACGCCGCGTTGTGATACTTGAGGTTTTATCAGCCACCGACTTCGTCAAGTTAGAGATGGAAACCGTACCCGTGATAGCCAGATCTTTGATCATAGCATCACCCCATCGAAGCAGATCGGTCACCTGGAGACCTTCGAATTCTCTTCCGATGACTGGGGTTAAGTCTTGGTGTTGGAAGCTATCCAGCGACCCAGAATAAACCAAGGGCTCCAGAAGCCTCGACCTGGCACTGGCGTGTCCGCCAATGATGTTGGCGTCCCCGTCTTCATGGACATCTTCGATACGATTGCGCTTGATTGAAGGCATCTTAGGAGTGATGTGGCTTAAAAGTAGTTTTGGCTTTCGACTTAGCTCTAGAGTTGTAAAGCACTTCCACAGCCTGAAGGCTAACAATCTTACATACCTGGAAATCTCGAACGTCTAATATCTACCAGAGACCAGGGTGGCACATCTTCGGCATGTGTGGTAAAGCACGTCATCGGACTAGTTGTATGTTCCGGGATTAGGCACGCCGAGCCTAGCCTACACCATTCCGTGAACGCTAAGCCGGGGGTCAAGAGGGGAAAACCAATAGCAGATGCATTAGTATGCACAACACCGCGCTTTCCCCTCCTTCGTCGGCGCATTTACTGCCTCGGTAGGATGGCGACGATGGCGACGAGATGAGCCGCAATTGCGACATGCAATCTCCAAGATGATATATAGAGGAGTAAAAGCATGTCAGGGGAGATGTAGCGTGTCGATCATTAGATCTTTGTAACAGCCTCTATTCGTAGGACTCGTATTGAGGTCGACGACTGCAGCTCTTCAACATGGGCAACGACATCGAAGCAGCCCCGCATACGACACGGATCAGCGAAGATGCCAACTCGTTGAAATCATCGGCCCATGTGGGTAGAGAGGAGCTTGCAGACATCGTTCCCCCACACGACAGCTACGAAGGCCGGCATCGCTTCGACCCCCATGCGAGCTGGAGCGTGGAGGAAGAACGTCGTGTTGTACGGAAGACAGACCTACGACTGCTCACATGGCTCTGTCTGATGATGTTCGGGCTGCAGGAAAGTTGATACAAGCTACTTGACGATTACGAATACTGACTGTTGCAGCTTGATCGCGGAAATCTATCGAATGCACTTGCGGATAATCTTCTGAACGATCTTGGTCTGACTTCTGATGATTACAACAATGGCACGACCATACAACTGATTTGCTTCCTTGCTGCCGAGTTTCCGGTCCAGTTGTGAGTGATATCAGAATCATTTTGCAGTCACTGTCTGACCACACTTCTATCTAGTCTCACCAAGCGATATGGTTTCAAGTACATCCTTCCAACTATGATGTTAGCCTGGGGAACTGCATCTTGGGGCCAGGCATGGATGCACGACCGGACTTCATTCTATCTGGGTCGCGCAGCCATTGGACTTTGTGAGGGTGGTTTCATCCCTGGTGTTATCTTGTTTGCGACCTACTTCTACAAGTCCAAGGAGCTTTCCATACGTCTTGCAGCCTTCTGGTCGACACTCAACATCGCTCGTGTTATCTCCGCATTGCTCGCAGCCGGGATTCTGGAAATGCGCGGTGTCGGTGGGAAGCCTGGCTGGTTTTGGCTCTTCCTCCTTGAAGGTCTCTTAACGGTTGTCATTGCCATATTGTCGTTTTTGTACCTACCCGCAGCGCCGACATCAACAACGAACGTGCTTTGGCGTAAGGGCTGGTACACCGAGCGGGAAGAGATCAGTAAGTTTCCAGCTACGAACTGTATATATGAGACATTCACTGACTTCGTACGCTCGAATTCAGTTATGGTAAACCGCATCCTTCGAGACGATCCAGCAAAAGGCCTTACGGCTCTCAAAGAGCCTGCCACGTTCAAGGACATCCGTGCGGCATGGTCTGACTCCTCCATGTGGGGTCTATACTTCATCGGCCTCGTTGCTTACATTCCTGCCTCCCCAGTGCAAGGCTACCTTACGCTTACACTAAAACGTCTCGGCTTCAGCACATTTGACAGTAACATGTTGACTATCCCATCCGCTGCGCTGCAAGTCATTACCATGCTAGCCCTAGCATATTCGAGCGATTACTTCAACGAACGCACGTTCCACTGCATTTTTGGCGAGTTCTGGATCATGCCACTCCTTATCGCCCTTCTGACGCTACCCGACGGAGGCCGCGAATGGGGCCGCTTCTCTCTAATTACGTTGATCTCCGGTTACCCATATTTCCATCCTTTGGTCTCGTCCTGGATCTCGGAAAATACATTCGACGTCAAGAAGCGTGCGATTACGGCCGCAACGTACAACGTTATTGTGCAAATTGGATCTTTGATCAGTTCACAAATCTACCGTAAATACGATGGTCCGTACTACAAACAAGGCAACTCAGTGCTAGTGGCGATCTGCGCATTGAGTGTTATCACCTTCCTCGTTCAGCGATGGGCCCTGGTACGACTGAACAAGAAGAAGCAAGAGAAGTGGGAGCAAATGACTTCGGAAGAGAAGGCTGTCTACCAAGCAGACATTGCCGCGCGTGAGAAGGACGGCAACAAGCGGCTGGACTTCAGGTTCACGGTCTAGTCTGGTCTCGGAAAGATAGCCGATGGCATTAAGCAGTTAGTCAAGATCAATGTGCATGGTAACATACTGGACGGGCTGTGGTTGCAACATCACATGCTTTCGCCAATTGCTCCGCCACCGAAATTTCAGCCGCACCGAACTATCGGCAATCCGTAACTGAGATTATTCCGAGGTCTATTCGCAACTCTCGACGCGAGTGTTCTGACATTCAATGGACGTTACTATTGCGTGAAAGCCGTTGGTGAGTGTCTTCTGAGTGCTTGCACATCTTGTTACTGTTTGTATTTGTTTATCGTATGTTTTTTTGAATTTTACTAGGCCGCAAGTCAGCCAGAGGGTGAGTATGCGTCCTCGCGTCGGCTGCAGAGACCCGTCCTGTTCAATGAAGACGTCTCTAGTCGGACCCACTTTCTCTCCAACACCCCACTATTACCCAGAGCTGCCCTATGTCGTGATTGCGGGGATCAATGACGACCTCGGGACTCTCCACGTTCTCGCGAGTCATTCCGGAATCGCGAATACCAAGGCCTCAACAGCACATACTCAACGCGACTGCCTAAAAGAGGATTTTTCGTCCGATGCGGGAGAACACATCGCCGGCATCGCTCTGCATGGAGAAATTGCTGCTTTGGGTGTAGCCGACAGAATTTTGGACAGCCTTAGCAGAGCGTGTGACTGTAATGGTGGCTCTGTTTGAGACGCACACTTACTTCGATATACATTGAAATCGAGCTTTTGAAACGTTTCACAAGATTATCCAACTACACACATAATGGCTTGGGAGGAACCTCGTAAAACTGGTATGCAGTACCGCCGCCTGGGTAACTCAGGTTTGCATGTATCTGCACTCGGTTTGGGCGGTTGGCTCACGTATGTTCAACCCCCCGTTCATCTGCATACACATACTGATCAAACAAATTGCAGCTTCGGAGGCCATGTCGAGAATGGTGATTTTTGTCTTCACGCTTATCAGCCACGCAACTAATCATAACCATAGAACTCACATTTTCCATCATGAAGACAGCATATGACAACGGTATCACGTTTTTTGATACTGCCGAGTCTTACGCTGGTGGCCAGTCCGAGATCATTATGGGCCAGGCTATCAAGAAGTTCGCATGGAATCGCAACGACATCGTGATATCCACGAAACTCAACTGGGGCGGCGCAAATGGCGAGGTGCTTGTCAACAACCATGGTCTCTCACGCAAACACATCATCGAAGGACTCCGTGCATCCCTTAAGCGCATGGATTTGGAGTATGTCGATATAGTGTATGCGCATCGTCCTGATCGTCTTACGCCTATGGAAGAAACGGTCCGCGCATTCAACCATGTCATTGAGCAAAAGGGGTGGGCACTGTACTGGGGCACGTCTGAATGGTCCGCAGATGAAATCGCCGAGGCATGCGGAATAGCGAAGCAGTTGGGTCTCATTGCACCGATAGTCGAGCAACCGCAGTATAATTTGCTCGAAAGGAAGAAGGTTGAGGGCGAATTCCAGCGCCTGTATGCACGATTTGGACTTGGCTTAACTACATTCTCGCCATTGAAGTTTGGGCTGCTGAGTGGGAAGTACAACGATAGTCCAGATGCACCGCCAGCAGGTTCAAGATTCGCCGAAGGAAAAGATGGTTTCGTGAGTGGAATGCGTGACCGATATGGAAACGATGAGTGGAGTGGCATGATCAACAGCGCAAGAAACTTGAAGGTAGGTCAAATGCTTATAAATTCTGGATGCTGTTTCGCTAACGCAGAAACAGCCAATTGCGGATAAGCTGGGCATCAATCAATCGCAGCTAGCGCTTGCGTGGTGCTTGAAGAACCCGCATGTCTCTGCAGTGATTACTGGGGCTTCGAGACCGGAGCAGGTGGTGGACAACTGTGCAGCTCTGAAAGTTTTGGACAAGCTTACGCCAGACGTCATGAAGGAGATTGATGGTATTGTAGGAGGCATCCAGCTGGACCCTGCACGACAGGATTAGCTTGGTTATACTTACTCTTGATTAACAAAGAGTCAGTTCACCATCTGAATGTCAGTGCATCCGTCTGACTGCGTCTGTATTGTCCTGGAAACGCCTGAAATGCTTTCATGGCTACATGCTGTACAAAATCTAATTCAAAGACGCATAAAGCGCTAAGTCTTCTTGCCCTGGTCTTTCTTGGCTTCGTTCACTTGGGGCAATATCTCATGAACCTTCATGTCTAGCCCGACCCAGAACTTCCGTCCTCGCCATTCTACAGTAACGCCGCCCCAAAACGCAATGACCCATACAGGTAATGCAAAGAACTCGCGACCAAGCCAAGCATAGAGAAAGTCCATGAAGTTTCTTCTTGCACCATCAAGTAGACTTGGCTCACTTGGAGTCTTATTGCCAAGGAGAGGCTCAAGAACTTCGGTGCGGTGGTATGCAGAGGTTGAACGCTGGGGCAAGATAAAATCAGGAGTGTCGGCATCGATTTCGACAGTCTTGGCGCAGTGAAGCAACAGATATTGGACGTAGTCCACTAGACACCAAGCAGACAGATGTAGGAGCCAGATGAGAAAGAAGGAGGTCCAAGTCGAGCTGATGCCGATGTTGTGAAATATGGGTAGCGTCGTTAGAGCGTATGCGCCATACAGCCCACACAGAAGACTCTCCGTTCCTGGCTCCACAAACGTTGCTAACGTGACCGTGAACTTCCGTACTCGTAGCCATCGAATACGACGCTGTAAGTAGGCCATCACAGACGTATGGCTGATTGGCTGGTAGCAGAAGTCACCAAAGAGCATAGCGTGCTTGCCCCAAGTCTCCTTCTTGGTCCCTGGTTCTGGTTGGTAACCTCGTTTCTCGAAAGCTTGGGGTTCTTTCCACAGCACATCGCCAATGAGGTGATCTTCGCAGATATTGTCGGAGAAGAAATCGATACCGGGAGTGCGTTCTGGGTTCGATGAGGTGACATAGTTGAGTTGGGAGCGACGAAACATGGTACTCTTGCCCATAATACAGGGTGCTACAGCGACGGTGTTGATGGCTTGGTAGAATTTGGCGTGGGCAGAAGACATGAAAGCTTCGTCCAGACGTCCGCCACCACGCTGCAGCAGCTTCCTGATAGTACTTCCCGAGTGGTTGCGAGGATCCGAAGATGTGCTTGCCGCGATATTGGTCAACTGTGCTGCAGCTTCTGGTTTTCCTCCGAGCAATTCCTTCCTGTCCTGTAGCGATAGACCTTGCGAATCGAGGTCTACCGTGAGAGGTGTCTGGTGCACGAACTTGTACTTTCTCTTGCTGTTGCCATGTTTGTCCTGTCCAAAGCCACATAGTAGGTCCACTAGTCGACCGCAAACGCCCTTGCCGACCCAGACGTTACAGTCAAGCACCCACACGATGTCGCCCTCGGCCTCCCTATAGGCACGACTCATGTTTCTGATCTTCGGATTGGGTCCCAGCGCATTATTATCCTTCAGTAGCAGCGGATCCTCTTCTTCGACCAAGATTTGCACATGGGCGTCCGGGAAGTCATTACATAGGCGTTCGAGAATCGGAAAGGCGGGATCGGATCGCTCAGGAACGCAGAACACGGTGTTCAGTTTGTCTTTGGGGTATGTCTGGCGGAGGGTGGCTGCGAGGCATTCGTACAATCGTGGGTCGAGGCCTTTGACTGGCCGTATAACGGTGACTCGAGGGACTTCATCGTCTTTCAATGTCGTAACGCACGTTGCCTGCTGAGGTCTCCTCCAGTAATAGCGGAAAAGCTGAACGAAGCCAATAGCACAAACATTCCAGACTACTACCCACCAAATCAGGCAGCCGGTCGCAATGATGGTACGCAACATGGAGACATCTTCTCCTGTCGCAAGGTCGGGCGCGCCAAGCATGCGCAAAAGTGTTGTAGGGTCAGAGTGAGGGTGGGATGTCGACGAATCTCACGGCACGGAGGTTGCGGACTTTCGAACCAGAAAGTGACGGTCTGCCAAGACGCAAAGCCACGCGACACGCGACAACTTCGAAGGGTATGTCAATGTCAATGTCAACTATGCCGAGAAATCCAAGAAGCAACAGACACTCTGCAGCTCATAACATGAATAATTTGTTTGTCATGCGATTGTTTGCACATCCGAGCGATCCGACTCCACCGGCAGGGACATTGCTTGGGGCGACCAGATGTCCTCCACATCGACAGTGATACATTCTCGAAAGTGACTTCGCGGCTGTCGATCTTCTGAAAATCAACATCGATATCTCATACTGACATTACATACGCTGGTAGTTGTGAGTGAGTGTAGACTAGGCGCTGAACGAAGAACTCATCTCCTTGCATCCGTTCCACAAGACAAGATGTTTTGTGTTCTTGCTTTTTCCAGCTTTCGTCAAACGATCATGATCCTGGACTACACTAAGCATCTACATATAGTAGCGCGTGCCAATATTGCTCTAGTCATCACGATAATCGTGTTTGTGGTCCGTGCGAGCACGACCCCGCCATGGTGGGTAATCCTTCCAGCATCAACGCTTCTGAAGGATGTTATTCCTGGACGGAACAGTGGACCCACTCACGATGACGGACCGACATGAGCGCTCGCCATATCACCATCTGGAGCAATCGAAACGCCAATTCCGCGTACTCAGACTTCTCAACTCCGACGCAAATGACATACGGTGCGAGCTCAACACCTTCTCGCTTCTCGACCATGGGTTGCCTACATTCAAAGCTCTGTCTTATCGCTGGGGCGATGACATTCCGGAGTTTGCAGTCTGCCTTGATGGTCACCAAATCCTTATCCGTAGCAACTTACACATCATCATGGCCCAAATGGTAGCTGAAAATAATCGAGACTGGATCTTCATCGACGCGCTATGTATCAATCAGGATGACGAGACAGAGAAATTATCCCAGGTCTCAGCTATGGGGGAAGTTTATCAACGTGCGCTAGAAGTAATAGCATGGATAGTGCCTGACCCAGATCAATGCGAATCCGATGCAGAAGAGGCATCAGACGAGACTGCTGATGGTCCCGAGCATACACTGCCATTGTCGCGCCAACAAGTCAAGGACGTAGTCTTAAGGAACAGTTATTGGTCGCGACTCTGGATCGTTCAAGAAGTACTCCTGGCGAAGTCATTAACAATACGACTTGGAAGCGCGCAAATAAACTGGCCACGTCTCTTACCACCGACCTTGTTTAACTATAGAGGGCTACCCTTTCAAAACGAGAACATTCTTCGCCAAGTATGAAGACTGACACAAGTGTCGACAAGTATGCTAACCAGAATTAGATCCGGTGTCCCGATGTATCTCCATTGACCAACAAAACTGCGGCAGAAAACATTCTCTTCCACAGAAAGCGTGGGTCCTCCTCGTTACGTGCCGGCAACCGTATTCCGTTTTACCAAGCTTTCGCATTCTTCGCTATGCAAGACTGTGCCAGACCACATGACAAGGTCTTCGGCTACCTTGGACTCACAAAAAGCCGTATACAGGTTGATTATTCTGTCTCGATCATAGACCTGTTCGTCGCTACTCTTGCCGATTACTTAATGTCTGTAGGGCTGATTACCGATGATCTCACACCGATCCGGAGGCGTATGGAATACATGCGAACTGGTTTTGGCACAGTAAACGGTAACAAGCTGATTACAGCAATCGCGGCTTTCAACTTAGACCTTCACGACCCTGTGGTGAACCTGCTCTTCTACGAGGTCTTGAAGTTTTTCGTGCCAGGCTGGGAAAAAGTTCTTCACACTGACGCGATGATTCATTGGTGGATGGCTCGTTACGTTGAGTCAGCCGAACGAGACTTGTTTGCGCCTATTCCTGGTGACTGTAAGTTCGAACTCATAAAGATCGGAACTATTTGCGTCAGAGTGATCAAGTACTTTGCAACTTCATTGTGTGCAGAAGCAGCAATGCGGAAGGAAATATGTGCGCGTCAGAAGGCATTAGCTCAGGACGATGCTGTATTGACTGAGGTTGAGAGCGGTGAAACAAAAAAGTACAGTGAATGGGCTGCTCACGCCAGGGCGATATCAAATCAGATGTGGCAGCGTTTTCAAGAGTCTGGTGAAGATGCAGATGGCGAGTTGGACGATGAATCATGGGTTTTAGTCGCTTAGATATCGTCGCTCCTTATTCGAGGTCGCTTTTCTAGAGGGTGTTCTGGCAATGCACACTGAGCTGTTCGGGACGAGACACATAATCAGGGGAAGAATTCCGGTATATTTGTATATGACTAGTCAAAAACCAAGGGGACTGATAAGACAAAAGCTTCGCTATACAACTCCGTAGGCCGAATCATAGTGCAAGTTTACCTCCAAACCCTATACATGGCTAGTGGATTGCATAAGACTTCAAGTCACAATGTTAAGTCTCTGACAAGCTCAGCCGGTCTCAAGCTTTCGGCTTCTTACGCACCAATCCGGCTGTCAAGGTATTCACTCCATTTGCAGCACTTGCATCAGTAATGGGTGTTGGCTCAATTCTTGCCTTCTTCCTGACGGTGCCTTCTCCTGAAATTTGTGCGGGTTCAGCCAACTTTTCTGTCTTGGTTGCCGCCTCTGATGGGATATCGGGCTTCCTCTTCTTTCGTACACCCATGACCATTGTCGGTGTCACGCTGTTTGTTACATCCGCAGGTTTCACTGCAGCTACATATTCCTTAGTTCCTATCACTGTAAAGGCCCATTCGTCGGTGCCACCAAGAACAGCGATTTCTTCTTTCCACTTCCTCGTACTCCGTGCTGCTGCCTTTCGGTTCGCAAACGTTTGCTGTAAGAGGACTTCGTGTGCGCGGTCGTAGTTCTTGAGCGAGAAACAGATGGTCCCACGTGAGGAAGCGGGCCACCTCCAGTATGGACTATCCTCAGGAAGAGTTTTGGCAGAGCGTGAAGACATGTTTGGCGTGGTCGGTAGATCCCGATTGATAGTTTTGATCTTTGGCAGAACTAGTGGTATTGGTCCATACCTGGTTTTGGCCTCTTGTCTCCGTCGACTTGTCTTCCGCCGTTTTGTACTGGACACATTCTCTCTTGAATTGGTTTGCGAGAAGGATTGTGACGCTGACAGCTGTGACGGCATGTCCTCGTCTTCCTCGGGTATCGAAGGCTTGGGCGGTGTTATGACGACCCATATGAAACCCACTATCCTTCCTGATGAGCACTCTTGCCTGAAAGCCATAAACTCCCAGAACTGGTCGAGCGTCTTGACACTCTTCCATTGCCCATTACTTCTTGACGGTGTGCCTCCATCTGCTACCATATTATCTGTGCCACGGTCGGGAAGTTCCTCGTCTAACTCGTCAAGAAATCTAGCCTTGGGGTCATCTGGAAAGTGTGGTACCAGGCACCGTGGTGGTGCAGCAGGATATGGAGCGATCTGTAGGAGTGGATGTGTAGTGGCCCAGCGTCGAGGGGTGTTGGGGACGGAGGGCGGAGGGATGTATCGCAGTGTATCGTGTGATTCGAAACCCGGTATCACTAGATATCCCTTTGCTGTGGACTCGGATTGTGTTGGTGTGCCGTTGGTCTTGGTGCCTTCACCCGCCATTAGCCGTTCAGCGAAGGGTTTCCCTTCTCCTTCAGCTTTGTACTCCCATATGATTGGATCGAGCACTCTGCACCACCATTTTACCAAGCCCCTATCGTCCAGAACATGCTTGTTCTTATTCTCAATGCTTGCTGGGAACAGGTATTGATCCTGTGCCCTGGCAAACAGAGACACAACAAGCTTCTTCCCTTCCCTCTGTCTTTCTCTTGCGAGCCAAGATACAAATGTGCCGCAAATGGCTTTCAAGGGCGATGCAGACTGGGCTCGCGGTAATTGCAGCTCAGCTATATAACCCGTCGAGTCGGCTTTGGAGACGAAGATGGTGGTGAGGTTTCTGGTGGTGTAGATTAAGACTTCGATGGCAAGTATCAGAAGCTCCTCGGGGAGTTCTGAGGCTGCGGCGTCTTTTGGCACTATCGATGCTGCCAACGTGTGCGACTCGCAATATGTGCGTTCGGACTTGCCATGGGGCGGCGCGGAGAAGAGAGCAGAAGACTTGGACGGCGGAGTTGAGTAGTGATAGAAGGTGAAGGGCACGTTCTTGGGAAGTTGTTCGGCCAGTAACTCTCTCAGCGGCTTGGAGACACCGGAACTCGCCATGACGACTCAAACGGAGCGCGGCAAGGGGGAGAAGTCGCGTATCGGGGGCGCAAGATGGGGAGCGGTAGGCGCGACTGGGGCTAGCGTGGTTGTGGTAAGGCGCGATCCGCGTGCCGCAACTTTTCGATGATCCGAACTTCACCTCCGCCAGCAGCATCATCTCCGCCCCCCGCCAATCACGCCTCTTGCACCTCACCCAGCCCTTGGAAGTATCGCAATGGCCTCCAAACGACCGCTCCGATCACTCGTCTCGACCGCTTCATCATCACTCCGCCCCTCGCAATCATCAAAAACATGCATCGTGCGGACCTCCGCTTGCGCATTTTCGGGCACCACCCCATCGAGAGCCACCGAATATGATACAGAAGCTGCGGGCCGGCCGCGATGGCAGCAAACACCCCCGCGAATGGTGGCACCCCACAGGATACGACCGGCAGCCAAAGGGGGCATTCACAAAGTCAACGATGACCCAAAAAAGTTAGACGATGCGTACATACGCATGCTGGGCCCTGGAGGAGACAAGATGCTGGGCGACGACGTCAAGTGGTTAGCCGTTACACATAAGAGCTTCGACCACGGAAAGAGAGGATTCAATGACCGACTGGCATACTTGGGTATGTGTGCATATTCCTGAGGCGGGCAGGCGGGAGGCTAATAAAATGGGCAGGACGGAGGATTGTCGAGCTACAAACATCACAAGCACTCATAAACTCGCCACAAGAACACCAATGGCCGAGGGATTCCAACGGTGTACCAGTCAACGACGAGTACGGCCGTAAACCATACCTACACCCCGCCTTGGACGGGCTGCAGGGCTTGACCGACGAAGCAGAGAGTCTGGTGCTGAGCAAGTCACGGCTATCATCGATAGCAGAGCGATACCGCCTGGATAAGGTCACTCGGTGGACACCCAAGAGGGTATGCTTGAATACAAACGGCATTCTGGTTTGCAGGCTAATCATTTTCAGGCGGACAACCTTCAAGGTTCTGGTTTCGAGACTGTTCTCATGACTTCCCTATATGCCATCGTCGGAGCGGTAGCACTCGAGCGTGGCGGCGAAGTAGCCAACAAGGTCGTGCAAGATAAAATACTTGCACCACTTGGCTTCAGCTTCGCACCTGAATCATGACCTGGACGCAATCCCATCTTGTACAAAACTACTGCCACACTTTGTACCATATTGTAAACAAGCACTCGATATGGCCGACGTTCCGGTTCCCCCACGCAATCGAAACGCGCCTTGTGAAACGTGCCGCAATTGACACCGTCCGCACTAGTTGCATGATCAGGTGCTGAGTATATGTGTAACAATCAAGTTGGAAAGCACCACAATCTACACCCTGACAACTTCCCCAATTCAGCGGAACCAACTGATGGGACATCGGCTGAAAAACGATTGGGTAGTAACTCGTCACAACCCGAGGTGCTGGCCTGAGTGAAACTTGCAGTGATGGATGATATACTAAAACTGCTTATTTGGGGCGTCAACTCACCACCAAACCCGATCGATCCTGACAAACTTCGCCTAGACATGAATGATATAAATAGCGTGAGCATTGAAAGATAACGCATGGTTTAAATGAGCAACATAATGTTAGCCCTGGGTATAATGAATGATAAACAACACATGAAGAGACGACCTCAAACAATCCGTCTCAGAAAGTCAACCCAGGCTTGTTCTTCCTCCAGAACATAGCCTTCGCTGCATTCACGCTCCGTGGCGGTGGATCAAACTTCGGCTGTGCCTCTTCAATGTCCATCTGCTCCATCTTTCTTTGAGAGTTTCGCTTCAGTTCTCTCTTCAGATTCCGCTCATCCTTCTTACGCATCCATGTTATCCAGATACAGTAGCTTGCACAAATGATGCCAATGCCGCCTACAACACCACCGATGACAGCGCCAATGAGGCCTTGGCTTTGCCATGCGGACTGTTTGGGGCGTTGGTAGGCTACAGGGGTTGATTTAGGGCAGAAGGTTGCTGGCATGACCATGTTGTTCTTCTGAATAGCTTCAGCAAGGAAAAAGTTGTTGGCCTCGTAGTCCGCCATCAGGTAGACCTGGCCTAGGAACGCGGTGCCGAGATAGAATGGCGTTTCTGCCGACTCCTCGCGATCTTGTATAGGCGTGATGTTGGAAGCGTTCATGAGGACTTCTGGTGGGAGAGTGACAGTAAAACCATCTTCGAGCACAATCGAGAGTGAGCCGTTGAAAGCGTTCTTCAATCTCAATGAGTTGTCACCCCACTTGTTATCCTGTTCAGCACCTAGTTGCTTGATGAAGTTCTGGGTAATCCGGTAGGGTAGAGAAAATGGAAACTGTTCAGTCGTGATTTGGGCCTCGAAGTCCTCTGCCCGCGTCTTCATGTTAGTGAAGACTGTGTTGTCGAAGAGCGATACGTTTGCGTTGTCTTCCGTGTTGGTGATAACAATGTCTTTGATGCGAACGCTCATCGGGTTCGGGTTGCTGATGTTCATTGAGTATTTGTGTGGCTCTCCCGTGAAACGACCAGAGTCGTATCCACCAAAGACGTTGCTACCGTTGACTGCACCTCCAGCTCGTTCAAAACCCTGTCCGATATAGAGTGAGTATGTTTTACCGGCAATGATGTCCTGCGCAACGAGATCCCGTAGTACTGTTGAAGACGATCCCACACCAACTCTTCCAGGCGTGATTGACCCTGATTCTGCGACTTCGATGGTGGTGTTCTGTAGTAACGTCTGCGACGCGCCATCCGTCTCGAAGTAGTGTGTATATAGTCGTAGGGTCTCTCGACCGAAGAATCCCGTGAATTCTTTCTGGTCATCGTCCAAGGTTTGGAAGTTATCTTCTTTCTCGAAACTACTCTACATGTCAGCTGATAAGATCAACTGTCATATCTCTAGACATGCATACCTATCCGAATCTCGATCGTTGAAGAAACCCCCTGTATGTGTATCGCAATCCTTGAGTGTTGTGTTTGTATCTTTGCAGTAGTTGTTTGACGCAAACGAGACATGGTTTTGTTGTAGTGACGGCCAAAGACTCTGGTTTTGTGCTGGCGTTCCTAGTCCGATGAAGGATCCATATTGGAAGACTGACGAATCGTGTACGGCTCGCTTGTGGATATCGACATATATCGGTTTCTTAGTGCAGTTTGAAGCGACTGTGGACTGAACGAACAGCACAGTTGCGGAAAGGCAAAGAACGAAAGACGCCATGACGACAGACGCTTGAATCCAGCAAGCTGAAGGTCAAGTAGCAAGGTACTGAATATTGCTTACAACACCGACAGGCGAGTATGAACGACGGCAACGACGAAACGTCTCAAACTGGAGTTGCGGAGAATCCAGCGGCGGTACGATATCTTTGTAGCCCTCCACCATCTGTATACCGATACACTAAGATGAGCATGCAGATGTTCAGCCAGTCAGACGACGGCTCAGCTATTCTTACATGCGGGAATATCCACCTTGCTTCTGTTGGTAGCGCATGACTGCATCCCGGGGCGTTGTTTAGAGCCGCACGGGACTGGACCGCTGTAGAGAGCGCCTGCTGATGCTGTTGTGGAAGTACCACGGTCTAATGCTGGCGCTTCGGATAGAAAGGTACTTGGGGAGCTAAGATGATCCTTTTCCGGGAGTAAGCTTCACCGTCGCAGAGGCCTTGATGATTGGGTTGTCATTGTAGGCTGTTGCACTAAATATAGCGAGCGTTTACAAGACGGGGTTAATTGGACGGGATCGTCTCGCGAGTATCCCAAGCGCCCGCCCGCACGGTCCTCAGTGCATATGTGAACCCAGCACCACTCGCTATTCTTAACCTCGCGCTCACCAAAGTTTGTATGCCTGAAGCAGATAGATTGCGTACCCGCTGGACGAGTCGACGGTTGGAAAAAAGTGTGTACACGGAAACAACCACGATATACTGGCTTGTTTCCGCACCCTGCAAGTATTCCCCGCACGCCGTTATTTGCTCTCCCTCAAGGGTTCTTCTACTTACCTAAAGCCGTGCATCTAAATGCGTGTTTCTGAGGATTGACTTGGACGAGTCAGCATGATGGACCAAAAGATCTTGTGACAATGCAGCTCACTGGTTTTAATATGCATAGTCGCAAGTAACGTAATCCTCGACTGTTGCATGGTGCGTCTCACGGATACTGTGCAGGAGACAACCCAGCGTCTACACTTGAGACTTGCGATGCGTACAGCATTTGAGACGGTTGACGGATTCATCCATTCGTCTCAGCCACTGGACTGCCCGCCACCATCACAATATCTCAGTTCCCCAGTGTCACTTTGCGCCCTTGATAATTGTTCAGATAATGTGCGCGTGTATGGCACATGCGACTAAACTTGACATTAACATCCTTGTTCATGGTACAATCTTGATGAGATCGTTTAGCCTCCCAACACCCTGTTGATATTCCACTTCTTCCACAACGCGGGACCGCGGCTCGACTTTTAAAAAGCATAAACATCGCTTGCTAATGGCTCTGGAACACCCGAAACCTGAGCCTTGACCGTATACGCCACCACCCGCTATGTTAAACGACTATCCCCATAGGTCCCAAAGTAGTTAACAAGATATGTTATGAACACATGGAAAAAGCAGTATACATGATAAGCGAAAGCCAAAGGGCTGACCGGAATGTGATGTTAACAATGCGACACTTTCAGGTGTTGACAAGCACCCATCTCTTCTCCTTCTCGGTGGGGCCTACCCTTGCAGCGACTACGCTCAAGGTATTGCTGATAGCATCCTTGGGCAACTTTGGAAACGCCTTCTTCAGCGCCTCGATCATACCAATCTTGGTCAAATCTTTACCTTCAATCTCAGCCTTGAAAGCCGGCAGCTGCTCAGTGGGTACCAGTCGTTTGGCTTTCGCAGGCTTAGTCGGAGTAGCTGCAGCGGATTTCTGCGGACCATTCAACGTGTTAAGCAAGCCGTTCATGGAGCGTTGAACCAGAGGCGCTCGAGGCGGGTTCATAGCGCTATTGGCAGAGCCGTCTTTCTTCGTAGCATTGGCAGTAGCAGAAGCTGTCGCAGGGTCTGGAGCCCAGTATGCCGTGGAGAACGGGTCAATTGAGCTCATTTGCGAGTCCAACAGGAAACCCATCCTGAAATCCTTGAAGTCGGTACATATGGCATCGGAACCATCGTTCAACCTGGACACTCGGTCTGCGTCCTCCCAGCACAAGCCGGTGCTCACGGGAACCAAATCACCACTAATGAGTCGTCGTTTGAGTTGTGGGTCTTCCTCATCATCGAGGAAACCGTCCATGTCGTCTTCCGCCTCATCTTCGTTATCATCCTCCCCGTCGGAGTCCAGATCTTCTCCTTCCTCAGGCTCCTCCCACTCCGCCTCAGAGTCGTAATCGTAGTCTGTGTCCTGCCGAACCCTGGCGAGAGGATTTCGTGCGAGCCGAGAAGCCTCCATATCAGTGTATGGCCTGGTATATGTACCGTAATACGGCGGACGTACATCCTTGCAAAAGTGAATGTACTTCATAGGAATGTCCTTGAGCAACTCCAACGGGCCTTTGTCCGCAGTCAGGCCAATGGGTTGATCTGATGAGCCATTTACACGCTCGATGACTTCCGTGATGGTTGCCGTCTTGCGGGTCAGCTGGTCTCGTCTTGGAAGAGAAGATAACAATGTCTCTCGTGTGATGGTCTCAGTACTAGTACTCTTCTGCGTGATAATGTTTTCTAGCCGTGTTCGGGCAGTCTCCAACCGTTCCGGGTCGTCTAGCAGGGGATTTGTGGACGCAAGGATCGTGTGCGGAGGAAGGTTGAATGGTAAGAAGTATCGCTCGTAGTCTGACTGTGCGTTCTTAACAATGGTCTTCTGTGGTGATGGAGGTGCCAAATTAGTATCGACTCCAGATGTGCTTGTTAAAGATACAGATGAAGCAGTGAGGTTCTGGGATGAAGCTACCACGGTCTGTCCTGAGCTGGTCCCCGCCTTTGGCTTCACGAAGAAAGCATTAAGCTTCATTTGAGACTATTGATGAATTAGCACTGTTCAATCCGCGATTCAGACGTGACATTTGACTTACCCGTGCCTTCTTTGCCTTTTCTTCTTCTATCCGTTGTTGTTCCTCTTCTTTAAGACGCTTCTTCTCATCCCGTTCTTCGTTCTTCTTTCGCTTCTCTTCATCCTTCTGTGCCTTCTGCTCTGCCTTCACCTTCTCCTCTGCCTCTTTTTGCGCTTTTCTCTCTTCTCGTGCCTTAGCCTTAGCCTCCTTCTCTAGACGTTGAGCTTCTTTCTCTTGTGTGGTAAGCTTCCGTCTCTTGGCCGGTTGGGAGGTGGTTGGGGCCGAAGCATTGCTGTTGTCTGGGGCGTTCGAATTCGGAGCACTGCTCTTGAGGGGTGACGGGGTTTGGACCGAAAGAACTGAAAGGGGTGAAGAGGCTTCTGAGTGAATCTGTTTAACTGGAGTCGAGATGGAAGGCTCAGTGTCGTCGTTCTCGTGTGGACGTTTCTGGGGCACCGGCGCAACGGGCGTGGGGTCCTCCATATTGTACGTTGGCTGCCGAGAGTATAGTCTGTAGGATTTCGCGAATCTGTCAAGAACTGAACGTTCGAGAGCTGGCGCTCAATTGGCGGAGTTGTGTCAAGGTTGAACAAACGGAGTGGTTGTGGTAGTGGACGTTGATGCGGGAGGAGACGCGGAGGTGGAAAGCGCGACGCGCAGCGCGTGGAAGGCGCGTGCGGCCAGGGCTTTCGAGGGACTAGCGCGGGAAAGTGAGACTGGGGCCAACTATTCGAATGGCCATACTTTAGCGATTTCATGTTCTAATTTCCTCTTAGCGTTAGGGCGGAATGGACACGAACATCAATACCCTGAGCACCGTTTCAACAGTAGACAATGCCCCAAATAATCAGGGCAGCTATGTCATCATGGATTTGTTGTGCAACTATGCAGAGTGGACTTGCCTTTTGTGGCTGTAGTCGCGCGTATCGTACTTGCCTTATGACGATACTCACATGCAAGACATGCGTTCTGTGAACGGCTTGCCCGTCCCAACACGACCATGCACTTCGCGTACTTTGCCGAGTTTCAATAACTGGTAATCTGCGTTCTACTGATCAAAGAGGGGTCTTCAACTTAAGAGGCCGTTTCCCGTCATTCCGCAGTCCCGCAATGGATATGAGCGATTTCGAGGACATGTTGTTTAGCGACTTTGACCTGCAAAACGCTCCTGATGATGCATTGTCGGAGGACACTGATGATGAGCTACTGTTCGCTACTTCCAGAGAAGAGACTCTGCTGTGGGGTATATCGAACAGTTCAGACTCGACACTTCCGACCGCCAGTACTACCCTGGATTCTCAGGAGGAACGCCAGCACTATCAAATTAATCTTACCCAAAGACCGATACGCGACAGGTACATTGATCCCCGCATCTGAACTGACTACAGCTGATCTCTGTGTAGACACTGGGTGATCGCTTGCATTGAAGCAATGCTAGAGACGATTGTGGACGCTCTGCTAGAAGAGCACGAAGCGCTCACTATTACTCTGAAGTCGCGCGCGGCCCTATCTCGCAGACGGACTTCTGTTATATCAGATGGTAGAGCGATGATTCCGGAACCCAAAGAACGGGAAATTAACTTCCCTGGAGCAAATGCGCAAGAGGCATGGAATTTTAGTGGGTACACACATGCACGTATGATCAGAAAGCACTGACACTTGCATAGCTGTGCTGCTTCGCATCCTGGAACTTATCCATTCTGGCCTCATCGCGGACACCGTAATGACGAAGAGGTACATCTCATCTTTGTACACCGATGATACGATCTGACCGATGCAGAGATATTTATTACCGACATCCAGACCTCTTCATTAAGCAGTCAGTCGTTGATCGATATGTCGATGACTTGGCTTGTACCTTTGGCATCACCCGATCCCAATTGAATGTGGTACTCGAGGCTCTGTGGCATGAGCCGAAGCACAGCTAACATTCCATCTTAGATTGCTGCCGCAAAAGGTTTACTAGCTGGCAACTTCAGATTAATCCGACATGACGGTCATGTTGTGAACGGCATGAGCGAGGAGGTAAGACCGTTTAGTCGAGTTGTGACACATCGCTGATGGTCTGGCAGGGTATTATCGTTCCCAATTTGAGTGCGAGCGACAGTTTAGATCTGACAGAAGTACAATGGGTTCTTATCATCGAGAAGGAGGTATCACTGATGCTGCAAACTATCTTTTATTATCGCTGACGCATACCTAGGCCACTTTCAGATCCTTGCAGAGCTCACCACAGTGGCAGACGTTGGGTTCGAAAGGACTTGTATTGACTGTAAGCTTAATTGCTGTTTCTTGATATTTCCCTACCTAATATCCTTTACAGGCAAAGGGATATCCCGACATTGCCTCACGAAAATTGTTGAATCATATAGCGGAAGACGCCCCGCAAATCCCCATGTACGCTCTTGTGGATCTTGATCCTGACGGTATCGCCATCCTGTCGACGTACAAGTATGGCTCGTATCGCCTTGCTCATGAGAACGTCGCACCCATTGATACGACTGCGCCGGGTTTGCCCAGCATCCGCTGGCTTGGTTTAAAGAGTCACCACATGAGCCGGACTCCGGTAGGCGAAGAGCACACAGACACCAGTGCAATCACTCGACTCCAAGGACTGATGCGACTGACAGCGCGCGACCGTACTAAAGCAGCACGAATGCTGGAGTGGAACTTATGCAGTGATGAAGGCCCTGAGCAAGGTTGGAGGCAGGAGCTGCAGACAATGCTGATGCTCAACATCAAGGCTGAGATGCAGATATTGAACGAAGCGCTCGGTGGGCTGGTGTCCTGGTTGAGCCACGAGCTTGGGCAGGCAAAGGAACTGGTGTGCGCACCGCCAGTAGACGAAGGAGCAGACGACAGGATGCTGTTTTGAGACGTAGAATATCCCTGAGGAACATGGTGGCCTTCTATACGCAGTACCCACACGTGTCACCTTCTCTTTATGATGACGGGCCTTTGAAGTGCGCAATTGAGGACATGGCAATTGGAGTGCAACGCAGTTAACATGTCGGGGTGTGTGTACGATAGTGTGACGACGGCCCAATGACGGCGGCCGGGTCGGCGGTAGGCCAAAATGTTTAGCCAAGCGTAGCCCGCGTCGGCCGCCAACGCATCCCTCTCGATCACGGCAGCTCACCCAACAACTCAGACGGCGTCGCATAGCGGCAATGCATTGACCTGCAGCTACAGAAGACAGAATCCACAATGTCCGGCATGTCTAATGACCCGCGCGTTCCCTTCCAGGCGCCATGGGTCCCGCCCAGCTCTGCCCCTCAGACCAGCCATGAGCAACATGGCTCAGGTACCGCCGAGTCGAACTCAATCCTACAGCCATTGACGCCTACAGCGACGGCCAGACAGTCGGTACCCTTGGGCGTCTTCTCGACCCTCTTGGGCAACAACACCACGTCTACACTTAGTGCCCAGCCTATACTGTCGAGCGAACCTGTCCTCGCCCACACGCAACCACTAGATGCACCAGAAGGCACCTCTGACCTGACAGCGAGCTCGGGCTCAGTGCCCAGTGCAACCACTACCCTGACCAACACAATCCCACCGACCCAGTCTGCTGCATTGCGCGCTCTGAACGCACCTGCCTTCCACTCGTCGCCCTCTAAGAGCAAGTCGGCAAAGTCCACTTCTAGTCGGACAACCGTCACTAGCCAGCCCGTCGTAGTACGCACATACTCGGCGTCGCGACACGCTTCGCGCCCTGGCTCCGGCTTCAACACGCCACGCTCGTTTGCCATGAACGGTCAGAATCATGCTTCAGCCCTGTCGGCCGGTCTGGCAGGCAGGACCGAGCAACTACCTTCCGCTGACGAATTCTCCTTCTCGGCCATCCTTCGTGCCGTTGATCCCGAGATCAGAGATGCCATTGATGCCATAGCCGAGATCTGCGCCAGAAGCAGAATGAGTCTAGCTGACGAGTACGACTCTCATCTACCACCACAGGGAGAAATAACTGGTGGCGGTTCGGCATGGGCTACCAGCACAGGAGCCTTGGCGGGACGAGGTCGTCTAAATAGAATCAGTCAAGGGTGGACTGCTGCAGACAACACGCTCATGGCTGTGCCTGAAGCAAGCAGCTCCAGCGAAAGGTTGGCGCAAGATGGTAGGGCGGAGAGTAGTAAGAAACGTAGTCAGTCAGCATATGGCAGCCTGAAGAGTGTCATTAGTGGTGGTAGTGGCAAGAGAAAGGCCATAGATGGCGACACTTTCCGGGAGCAAGAGGCTGGCAGCTCGAAACAGCTTCAAACTCAAGACACAGGTCCGACTTGGGCGGTCCAAGCCTCCACCTCTTCTTCGCATCCAGCCATCACCATTGCCGCACCTACAGCATCGAAGCACCTTTCCCTAGATACTTCATCGGCGATGCAGGACATCGTCAGGGATACCGATGGATCGTTGAGTGCTCGGCCCCAGACTGCTACACCCCGAAGAACTCCTTCACACCAACGTGGGGCGTCTATGCGTAGTCTTCAAGCATCACGAGCGCACTCCGGCGCCTTGGGCTCTATCAAATCTTGGCTGCCATGGCTCCGACCATCGCGTCTCGATCACAACAGCCGATCAGAGTTAGCAAAAGCCGAAGATCGACTAAGGGATATGTTGATATCTTCTTCCCAAACCCTCGGGAAAAGTAAAGGAACAGTCCGCGTCATTTGAGAGCTGCATCAGTTTCGCGTTACCAAAGCATTGAATGTTTCCTTCTGGACCTAATTGTTGCATGTTGCGGATACCCAAGAATGAGTTGAAAGTGTAAGAAAAGTGGAGTGGTGGATGTTTGTGTCTTGCCTAGGACCGACGAAGCCAAAGACGATATGACAGATACGATTAACACTTATGATTATGACTAATGATAGTAAAAGAATAGTTCGACAGCAATAGTATGGATAACAATACAAGTCTGCTTGCACTTCTCCATTAGATCTTTGCTGAACTCTGATAAGCCGACCTAGGAGCTCCAGGATATCTAACCTCTTCGAGTAACGAGTGTGTATTAAAACGTGGGGTAGCTCCTTAGCTCCAATCCGCATCCCCATCTTATCTGATATAATCAGAATCGCAAACACGATGACATGTCTACAAACTTACTCAAATTCTCATTCTTTCCCACGTCAAAATGGACCCAATGACACCCAAAACGAGATCTGTACGAACCGACAGCTTGATGAACTCATCGCCGATTCCAACGGTCCATAAAACTCTCACCCTACCTGACCTCTGCGATGACGTCTTACTACTTATATGCAATCTCCTCAAACACCACCACCACCAACAAACCCCTTGGAAACATCTTTCACTCACCAACCGCCGTCTCTACCATCTCTTGACCCCTCAAATTTTCAACACTATACGCATCACCGCCCCACTCAAAGCACTTGATCCAAACACTTTGACACCTCATCTACACCATCACGTCCGAACACTCAAAATCGACATGTTCGGCAGTCTGTGGTGGTGGTGTTCGGGCGCCTACGTATCAAGCAGTGATGCAATCGATTTGTTTACTTTTGTGCGAAGCTTGCTGCGGTTAGAGAGATTGGAGGTGAGGATGATGAGCCGGAGTTTGGACATTTTTTCGACTGCATTCACCGAATGTTCTTCGTCTTTGAGTCCTGAGTTGTTTGAGCTAAGGGGAGTGAAGACGTTGACTGTGAATAGCAGTGCTGCGTTTCTGGTAACTCATTGTCCCGATCTAGAGACCCTGGTGCTAAGGGGGAAGGGGGATGGGGAGGACTGTGCAATGGAAAAGTACACCGACCTGGAGAGTTTGCTCGAGACCATGCCGCCCCTAAGTTTGCGAAAAGACCAAGGCTCGCTTTTCAAGTGTGCAGAGGGACTGAGAAGTTTCGATGGAAGCGCGAGCTGGTCTCTTCCCGAACTCACCTTCCTCACCACCACTTTCCCGCATCTCCATCATCTTGTGTTACGCAGTGAATCGTACTGTTACCGAGCTGACGTCGCATCCATGATGCGTGTACTGGGACCATGCTTGAAACAACTCAAGACGCTGCAGATCAGCAAGATCGAGTATCTAGACATGGGATATCGCGGGCTTTGGAAACGAGCTGTCATGGAGTGTAAGACTGAAAAAGCAAGGCGGGCGCTGTGGGAAGATAACGAAAAAAGGAGAGTAGTGGCTGAGAACGAGGTTGCGCGGTTGGCCTTTGGTAGTCTTGGTGCATTAGAAGAGCTGTGGGTGGGTGAGCAAAGGGTTGCGAGACGGTCACAACAAACGAGTAAAGGGGTTCGACAAATCTGGATATGGGACCGCAAGGCGGATACAGTTGGAGATTATGCAGTTGTTGGGACAATGTGGGCGAAGTATCAGAAAGAGAGGGAAGATGTGATAGAAAGGAGCGAGCTGGGGATGTGAAGGAATAGAAGAGTCAAAGGTTTCTTGTTACAACATCACAACACTGCGTTACAAAGTCTAGAGTAAAGAGATGCGAATGTTACAGGAACATAACGAAGTATTGATCTGTCACAGGCAAACTCATGTACATATAGCGAGCTATCCACTCAAGAAAGATAATACACTACACATAGTGTCTAAATAATAATAACATACATCATATCGAAGGGGGAGTGCGAGCACGAATGGTCAGAAAAAATGCTACGCGCAACCCACATACCTAAGAATAGCCATGCAGCCCAGCCCTCATATGTACCATGCACAATCTGACGCCAAATTTAATGCAACAGAACACATAGCTTTCCATCGTACAAGCCATCATCCACCAATCGCTCATGACACCGTATATGCGTACCACGCCGGGCTATTTGCCAATTCTACCTTCCGTAACCGTTACTTGAGCCACTGCCTGACGGCATAGGGGACGCTGAAACTGGTTTCCAGATCTTTACTCGATGGTCATCACCAGCGGAGGCGAATGTCGTGGGATCCTTGGGGTGCCAAGCTACGCTATTGACGCAGCCGGGATGTGCATCAAGAGCTTCAATGAGAAGGCCATTGGAACGCCATATGTATATCCGCGAATCTACAGACGTGCGTTAGTGATTGAATCATGGGACAAGACAGTATGCACACATACCTTCGCTGCCGCTAACTACAAAGTTCTCGTCAGCGCCACCAAATACTGATCGGATGATGAACTGCTTCTGGACATGGGCCTCGAAGCGTTGTATCACATCACCGGTGTCGATCTCCATAAGCTTAATCTGATTGGGGCTCATGCTGACTAGCATATGTCGCGAATCCTGGCTGATGGTGACGCTTGTCAACTTGGTATCATCGAGCTGAAACTCGGCGATCTTTTCGTAACTTGCGAAGTCGAACACGACAATAGAGCTTTCAGTTATGACGACTAATCGCTGTCCGTCGGCGGAAACTGCAAGGTCGTTGACACGGAGCTTTCCGTCATCGCAAAAGTTGTGTTTGAGTTGGCCATCGAGATTCCAGACTCCACAACCCATACTGTCATCCTGTGATCCGATGATGACCCGTGAGCCGGAAGGGTCCCAAGCTGCTGTAGTGCACGGGTAGGTAAAGTCACTGATGCATTGTATGCACATGCCAGTCTGTTGATGTTAGTGGAGGTCCGTGGATAGATTTGGTCATCTTACTTTGACGTCCCATATCCGTGCAGAGTTCTCTGGTTGCGAACAGCATGTTATGATCTTTGTGTCATCAGGACTCCAGGCAAGGTATGCGATGCCGGATTCCTGGTGTTCGTCGAGCTGATGTAGCACCTTGTAAGTATTGGTTTCGTAGATGATGATTGTCTTGTCCTTGCTTGATGAGGCGAGTTTCGTGCCGTCATTTGAGTACTGCAGAAACCATACCTCATCCTTGTGGTGCCTCAAGTCAAGTACAGCCTTCGTTGGAAAATCGTCTCTTTCGCAGTTATGGTCCAGGTAGAGAGAAGGTGACGCGGCCGTGTTGTGATAGAGACAGTTTGCAATCCAGCTGTCCTTTACCTCGTCTAACAGAACAGATAAGCGGTGTTCGGGAATCATAATGCTGGGTGATATTGATCCTTTTGCATGTTAGTAGGACTATCGAGATTGGTCATGTAGTGCTCACTTGAGAGATCAGAAAGCAGATGCATCCGCGAGTCGCCATGAGCGCCGTCCCATTGAGCCTGGTTCCTGAGGTCTTCGGCAGACTGGCACATCATAAGTCTACGAGGTATTAGCTGTGTGCTATGTGGTCATGGAGATGAAGACTTACGCTGAAAGCGCATGTAACCTCCCTACATCTTGATGAAGCGGTGTCAGCTCTTGTCGAAGTACCGCAAGCGCTTTGCTTAGGTCTCTCTGCTCAAGTAACTCGAGATACTTTTGCTGTTTCAAACAGAACAGCATGACTTCGCGATTTGCGCCCTCGGCTAGGGTCAAGCCTGCAGAACGCTGCGAATTTGGGCGTGATCTTGATTTGCCCCATGGCTTTCCGTAAGGCGGGTCCAGACCAACTCCTCCCCCAGAATCAAATGTACTTGACCCGAACAGCAGCTCCTCGGCCTCTTCCCAATCGCCGTTCAGCACGGAGGTTCGAAATGCCGCGACCGTCGGCCCTTCGAGCTGGAAGCCGCTCTCCTTGCACAATGCGCCCGCAGCACTGTGATAGCCCAAGTCGGTGAGGCTCTGTATCAGTATCCGCGTCACTTCTTCCCTGTCATGGCCGAAGAAAGTGGCAGGTACCGTTCCCCCGTTTGCTACCGGCCCTCCATTCGTGTACGAGCCATTGCTCTCGTTTCTGCTATGCGTACTTCCATTCGTACCCTTGGCCAGGGGAGACCTGGGCGCTGATGCCTGCGACGATCCGTTTGCAAAGTTGCGCGATGGTGATTGTGATGATTTGGAGTGGTCGTTATCCAGGCGCATCTTCCCGTCTTGTCTGCGCCTGCGCTTCGAGATGTGACGGGATAAGCTGCCTCTGGGTCCGCTTGTCAGAGGCTCTTCTTCGGCTTCGTCGCTACCAGAGAAGCTGTGCCTGCGCTTCCCGGCTGTAGTGTGTTCGGACGGGATAGTGGTGGCGTGGGCTTGGTACGAGGATCGAGTGGAGGGCGCGGCTTGGTTGGGAGGGGCAGAGATTATGGGGGAAGATGAAGCGGGGGAGTTCGGGGTGGATGGGCGGTCGGAGGCGATTGGGGAGGGAGAGTTTGGGGCGGTTTCGTCTGCCAGGACGAACGCTGGGTCTGGTTACCCGCAGATGACGCGGGTATGGGTTGGTGGCAGCGCTGTGCCTAACAGGGCGTTGTGTTTGGGATTAGGTAGTTGGCATAGGCAGTTCCGAGCGAAGACACGGTAGTGTAGTGTGCGTGGAGTCGTTGTAGGCCCCGGAGAGCTAGTGAGGTTGCCGACGTGAGCTCGGAGGTTTGGAGCAGCTGGCGATGTCGCGAGCCGAGAGATGACGATGCCGGCGTCGGGGCCGTGGACCCTGGGTGACTACACAACTGCTGGAGCTGCGCTGACAAAGAAAGTGCTGATGTACGGCTGTGTAGAAGCTGCAGGAGCCTCTGGCCGTCGCCTTGGTGGTTGTCAGGTAGTTTATCGAGGTTCCGTAGCTGGGGACCTAGGCGCAGCCGGATGCGTCAAGCTCATGTGCCAAGTGGCAGCCGCGAGGTGTAATAGGTCACCCAACACGGTACAAATCACTGGATCCCGCACGTATTCAAGGCAGACACGTTCACAGTTGAGTTTATTCACCAGAGCATGGTTACAAGCTCTTGTATGGCATTCAAATGCAGGCACGCGCACCAAGATGACCGGGTGGAGCCGTTCTTGTCACAAGGGACCTAATCGCGCGATAAGAAAGCGAGCTAACACACACCAGACATGGCACTGCCCACGCATGCGCCATAGTGCTCGCTATCCCTTTCATCGCGTCTACTATCGCGGCAAAAGCGCCATTCCTACACCCCAACATGTCTGTTGACCAAGACAGCCACGGACAACACGTCATGTGAAACAGGGTACGCGCTGTCATGCTGGCCACCATCCAGCATGGCCTGCATTCTGCCGCTTAATCAGCCACAACCTTTGAATTCACCCAATATCCCTCGCCAGTTTCCAGGATAGCATATCTGTTCTTGCCCTTGTTATACTTGATGGTTCGTTACACTCCTGTATTCGCTCTTGATCTTGTCTACATCCTCATTGTCGCGTTCCCACCCGCCTCGTGCTCTTTGAACCAGTTCAGGAACTGGAACAGACTGGCTTTGGGCGTCCTTTCCAGACTCGTGTAGTTCACGTACTGCACTCCGAACCTAACCGACGTACCAAGCGCCCACTCAAAATTATCCAAAATCGACCACCCCCATGCTCCTGTCACGTTGACACCGTCCTCATGTATCGATAGCAGGATGTTGTCTAGATATTGCTGGAAGTAGTCTGCCCTTTTCAGATCCCAGAGCGCCGAGTTCAGGTTTGACCATTGCCCCTCAAAAGGCTCCGCGAAACCAAATTCGCTGACAACAATGTCCGGAATGGAAGGAAAGAGAACCTGAGTGATATGCTTTAGATACCGACGGACGCCTGCAGGTGCCGAGTAGAACCAAGACTATAGATGTGGAGATACGAAGTCAGTGTTTGTCTCACATGCATTTCGTACAGTCATAACTTACCATGGCTGGGTCAGCGGCAGGACCGATGGGAAAGCCGTTCGGGGCCACACTTGCTGAGCCAGCACAATCAGGGAAGGCCGGGTGTGAGCGGTTGCTTGTGCACGACTCTAGCCCGCCGTCGACCTCAAAAGCTAGGAAACTCGAGTAAGGGTCAATGGCGTAAAAGTCGCACGATCCTTTGATCATGTCCTTCTCCTCCTGTGTGAACTCTGGTAATAGGTCGCCAAGTGTGTCTTTAAGCGACTGTGGATAGTCACCATCTGTCCATGGTCCGCCGAACCAGCCAATGCTAAAGTCAAAGTTTCGTTGGCGTGCGACCTCGTCTTCTGGCTTCGTGCTGTTGGCTTCATAATAGTTCCCACTGTTCTTAAAGGTGATGCGGCCCCGACCTTTGAACTCTTCATGGTACCACTTGGATACCTTCGCGTGCGCGAGCAGAGTGTGATGACCACACAGGAAGCGGGCTTCGTTGCCACCAGTGACGCCATTCGGTGCAGGGTAATATTCGCCTGCTGGGTAACCTGCATATTGCCAGTTGCAGTATTGAGGCTCGTTGATCGTGAACCACTCATCGACGTAGGCGTCGTATCGTGTGATGACAAACTTGGCATAGTCTACATATCGAGGTATCAAGTCAGTGTATGCCTCACCTGCACATCGTAAAACAATACTTACTGAAGAAGTCATCGATAACCCGACGGTCGGTCCAAGCACCGTATTCGTTGAATATGGCGAGTGGGGTATCCCAATGGAACAATGTAACAGCGGGGTGAATGCCATTTTCATGCATAGTAGCAATCACGTCATCGTAGTGCGCAATGGCTTCTTCGTTGACTGGACCGTGGCCGAACGGGAAGAATCGCGGCCATGAGAAACTCGGACTGAAAGCTTTAACTCCCAGACTTGCTAATCTAGCAAAGTCTTGTTTGTATAGATAGTAGTGCTGATCAACGACATCGCCAGTCGTATTGTCGGCCACAAAATTTGGGACTGGAAAAATCAATATATGTCTCAAAAACACTTCTTACACTCAAAACTTACCTCTGTGTGCCAACAGGTCCCAGATACTGGGTCCTTTGCCCTGATCCTTAGCCGCACCCTCAATCTGATACGCGGACGAGCTGAACCCCCATTGAAAGTTCTCGGGAAGCTTCAAGCCCTGTGCTTCTGGGTATCCACTACCCACCAAAGCATGGTAGTATTGGGGATCTGGCTGTGGATATGCCGTTGGCTCTGGAGTTGGTGTGACGGTGGTGGTGATGGGGCCTGTCACAATTGGCCCTACCATATCCCAGAGACTTGCAAGTGCATTGGGCGAGAAATCGGTGCGGTTATAGGCAGTAGGTTGTGCAGAGGCGTTGAAACTTGCGGTTGTGTAGCCCGCAGGCAAAGCATAGGAAATAGTTGCTGTTCCATTGCTCTGAGCACCAACCGGTGTAAAGAGCATCAAAAGGCCGAATAGAGGCAGTAGTTGGTCCATTTTGAGGATTCGGACTGAAATGGCAAAATAGATGCTTCAATAGACAGTACGGACCAGACAGTACTTAAGGGAAGTACCTCAACAAGGCCTATCCGTATCATACCGGATAGTTTCATAGATCTCCGCGCTGACATGGACCTCTCAGGCACCATTCTCTTGGGTAGATGGACATTACCCGGAAATTTGAGCTCGGCGTGCATGGAACCCCTCAAGCAAATGCTCGAGAAGATAGTCGTACGTCCGATGTAGTGGACTGTGGGATCCAGCAAAGTCCATCGTTGGTCAATGGCGAGGAGCTAAGGCACGCTCCAAGCTTCATCGCGGTACAGACCGTTCGTACGTAAGGATTCACTCGCAGCTTGCGGACGTCATCAATGGATAGGTCGACGGAAGAACCGGCGTGGATTCCGTGCCGAAAAAGGCATAGAGTGGAGATGGTGAGAGATGATTGGTGGAGGCAGAGCTTCTCGAAGCCATGAGCGGAGCTATTGCGGGGAATGGAGCGACCACCTTAACTGATTCCTGAGTCTCCAAGAAATATTGTGCGGAACTGCGTACTTAGACGGCAAGGTGAACGGTCACAAGGAAGGCGGAAGGCATCAGCGGACCGTCGACCGGAGCTTGGCCAGAGCATTATTGAAGCAAATGACAAAGGGAGATGCGGATATAACAAGCGCAGATTAACGAGTGGTGAAGTCGATTATTAGCGATACAGATATCGAAGATGTAAAAGACTGGTATTGTCGTTCGTTATATTTCGCCGCGACTGTCGCATCCTTCGCGTACAACATTCGGTATCGACCAAGCATTCTCGTTGAGACCATAGCTACATGAGAGATACGCAGGCGAGAAAGCGTAAGGTTTGCTGGGTATAAAGTCTGCGCCTTACACAGGAAGGACGGGAAATAATGTATAAGGGTATTATCGTGGTGATCATGCTTAAGCCTTGCGCTGCTTCTTCGATGGCGGTTCCTGGCCTGATTTGCGACCCTTGCCTACCAACGCGCGGATATCGACTGGTTCTTGGTCATCGTCTTGATCATCGTCACTGGCATCCATAACATCGAGATCCGACAAATCTTCATCGTCTTCTTCCTCGTCGAAGGTGCTCTCTGTGATTTGTCAGTGATATACAAGGTGCGGTCGGGTGCATGTCGACCTACTGTAGTACTTGATGGCGTTTTGCCACATATCTTCGGCGATGATAGTAGCAACCTCGTCACCGCCTGGGAAGACCTCGATCTCCTGAAAGTCCCGCGGGTTTTCCTCCTCCTCATCATCCTCGTCATCGACCTTTTCACCGCGCCTGATCTTCTCAAATCTTTCCTTCTCCTCCTTGGAAGCCTGTGCAGACTCTTCGGCACTCACCCATCGGTAGCCTGATACGAAAGCGAAGAGGCCAAAGAAGCTAACTGAGGCATCTGTAGCTGTTTCAATCTTCTTTGCTAGATCCTGGTATTCGTCGGTCAGGACCTCCTTCTCAAAAGCGGCGCCCTTGGCAGTGTCTGTTGTTATCTTCTTTCTTGTCTCGCCAAGCTTGTATGCTGCGTCTGTTAGACCGGCAGTAAGGTCCTTGCCCTTCTTCCAGTTGATCTTGACAGGCTCGGAAACAAGACCCTGCCAGTCCTTTGTCTTCCTGAACCAGAACTTCTTCTCTAGCACTTTGTCTTCGAAGTATTCGTTGTCGGCGAAGCCGAACTTGAACGAGAAGCTGCGTGGGGAGCCATTGGGGTCGTTAAGCTCAAATCGCGACACCTCGAAGGTCTCGAGGCACTCGGCGAAAACCTTGGAATCGGTGGGTTGAAAGAAGTTGTCAATCTCGGGAGGCGCTTGCTCGAAGACGAGCGACCAGAAATGCGGGATCTTCTTAATGAATTCGGCGCGCTTTTGGTAAAGAGGGCTTTGGAGAGCTTCAGCTTGGCGGACTACAGTCGTGTTAGCCACGCCATGTCTCTTGCTTGAGTGACCACCTAGGCGCATGCCATTGCAGAAACGCGCTAAAAGGGCGCATACTTTGTCACACTGACATTATGTGCGCGGTTGGCGTTGTAGTAGTAGTGGGACTGCGACTTACTGATTTCTTCCTCAACATCCTCAAACTCATGTTCAAGAGCTGCGAGCTCCTCGAAACGAGCAGAGATCTCTTCCGTCATTTTAGTGTCCATGTTGTGTGAGCAGTGACCGCCAGGTGAGCAGCAATCAGACATATCAGATCTGGGATTTGTGTTGAGTGAAGGAGAGTCCAGCTGTGAGCATTTCTCTCAAAATTTCCGGAATGCTGCAGGGATGCTCGCGCGTCACTGACCCCACTTAAAAATGCGGAAGAGTCCCGCCCACGTGCACGTTCCTTCTATCCTCTCCACCTATCTGGTATCTGGCAGTCGATGATCTAAACCCAGATCACATCATGTCCATGCTGGTAAAGTCGGAAGACATTAAGTCAAAGCCATGGGAATATTTTCTTCGTAGCAGAAAGGCGTATATGATCTGGCCTCGAAAGGCTTCCGACTTGACTCTGGGAGTCATACCTACCTAGATGATAACTGACTTTCACTTCGTTCCAGCTCTGCCTGTGCACCTTCGAACTCCCACACAATAGACAACACCCCACTACTCTCATGCATTCAGTCGTATCGTTATCAGCGCGCCATCTCATTACTTTGCATAATATTAACAAGGGCTACGAGACAAAAAATACGACTTTTGCTTCTTTCTGGTGCTCACCATCGGTCTCCATAGTACTTACTAGCTATGGGAGGTCTCGCATTCGCCGATGTCCCAACTAAGTCCGGAAGACCTGTTCAGACTCCCCGTCTACCAACAGCATTGTACCAGACCCTCTCTGGGCATTATCAACGCCTTCTAGAGACGCTATTCGAACGCGTTGGTAAGTTATGCCTCTACGAAATGCACGCAGTACATATACTGACTTGGTGTCTCCGCCTCTGCAGTTGTTCCACGCGATGCCCCAGCCAAAGCGGACCATGGCGATATTGACTTCCTGGTAGAGGGCATTCGACCGCCGAACACAAAGGACAGGATATGGTCCGTAATACAGGACACCCTCCAAGCTGACCATCATCTTCCGCGTGGTGGTTCGTCTTCCTACGCGGTACCACATCCCGAATCACCAGATGCACATGTTCAAGTTGACGTCGAACTCTCTGTTGGAGATGAAACCCCAGAAAGCGCCGAGCTCTTCGAATGGACACGCTTCATGAAAGGCGACTCTGATCTCTTGCAGATCGTTGGTGTCTCTCATCGTCCGCTGGGCCTTACCTGCAACGATCGGGGCTTGCACGTACGGATAGCAGAGATTGAGCCATACAACAAGAAGAAAGCCTTGCTGTTTCTGACACGAGATCCAGACGAGATGATCAAGTTCTATGGCATGGATGTCGCAAAATACTGGGATGGCTTCACGGATGAAGAGGACCTCTTCGATTGGGCCACCAGCGGTAGGGTTGTCCTGCGTACAAATTGCATGTGAGACATTTAATGACTTTGTACATCCAACTACAGGTAGGTTCTTTTCACATAGGGTCTTCAAAGATCGTATCGAGAAGCACAACGACCGCGCCCGCCAAGCCAAGCGACCCATGTATCAGCGCTTCATTGAGCATTATATGCCTTTACATTCAGACAGAGGGGCTGCGAACGAGTGGACCAGGCAGCAAGTACTGCAAGAGGCTCTCATGGTGTTTGAAAAGAAGGAAGAGTACGAAGCCATGATGTTAGAGCATGACCTCAAGACTGCAGAAGAAGAGCTCTGGAAGGATATCAAAGTGGCGGTGCCCATACAAAGCAACTCTCTGGCTGTCGTTTTGAAAGGCCTGAAGCGATGGGTCGTATTCGAACATGACCAGCCGCGCATATCATCCAAGCCCAACCTCGATGAGCCCCTGATTTGGTCAAAGTTTGTTACAGCTGACAACAAAAACGCTGTTTTGGAGTGGGTGAGACAGAATTGGGAGCAAGTCAAGTGTGTAGAGAAGGCGCGCGCAAATGCCGCGAAGGAATCAGCCAAGAGGACATCGTGAAAACCAAGTCAGAGAGTAGAGACATAGGAGGGCTTTGGGGGTTGGGGGGCGTGCGTATATTGTGGCTCGATCTGGTTTAGGTGCAGAGGTGAAAAGAACAACCTCTGATAGTAGGCTGCAGGTACTATTTCCAGTCGCGCTCACACGTGTCGCTGCACGCATCCAAAATTTCCTATTCTCGTGACGTAACAGCATGTTAAGCCGACACTTCCCATGCAGTGCGGGCCTTTCCAACGCGAGCATGATCTGACCTTGCTTCACGATGCAAATTTTCAGTTTTGTAGGGGTAATAGAATCGAGTTTTGAAGGGGTAATACAGTCGGTTTTGAAGGGGTAACAGAATGCCTAATTGTGGGTCGTCATGGTCGAGCCTGCTAGTTCGGCCCGATGAGGAAGGGAAGACGGATCACAACGATGGTCAAGATTTCTCCGATAGTCAGTGTCCATCGCTGTCACTGAGCTGCGCTACGCTACGCTACGCCACTCGCTATCTTGCCAAGACTACGTTCCAACATTGCTCTTATCTTTTTTGCTTTGTGTGGTACCGAATGGTGACGAAACTCCAAAGGCACTACTTGTACTGTCGAGCGAATCTCGATCGACAGAACCCAGCTACCACGACGTTACTTTTTCGCAGCGAGTAGCTTGTATCGCATCTACAGACAGCCTTGTATCCGGCCCTCGCTAGATCAAGATAGGCCCTACAACATCCTAGGCCCCATAGTGTTTGAACAAGATGGACGACCAATATCCAGAACTGCAACTGCCGGAATCACGAGTGCTGATCGTTATAACGGGTACACATCTATGGGGAAAACCTCGTGTAATCATCAAGTGCTGACCTCAGTAGGTGGCACAATATGCATGCGAAAATCTCCAGACGGACTGGTACCTGCGCGGGGCTTCCTCAAAGCTGGACTTGCACCGAGGCCAGTTTTCAACGATGGATCTTACCCGGAACCTTTGGAGATTGTTACCGACGACAAAGGCACACGCAAAGCCGTGCAAAGTCTCAGGACTCCGGTTAGCACATATGAACGCCGCGTGCGGTACTGCGTACTTGAGTTTGAAAAGTTGCTCGATAGTAGCTCCATCGACTCCAATGGCTGGGATCAGATCGCGCGAACGGTCCAACGGAACTACCAACTCTTCGATGGCTTTGTTATATTGCATGGCACAGACTCGCTTGCCTATACATCATCGGCTTTGAGTTTCATGTTCCATAACCTGGGGAAGCCTGTCATTTTGACAGGATCACAAGCGCCAATGATGAACTTGCAAACCGATGCGCAAGATAATCTCTTGAACTCTCTGATCATCGCCGGGCACTTTATGATACCAGAAGTATGTCTTTTCTTCAACTTCAAACTATTCCGAGGAAATCGCGCCACCAAAGTATCCGCAGAAGATTTTGATGCGTTTGGTAGCCCAAACTTACCACCATTGGCAACTGTATCCTCTACAAAGACCAATGTCCTGTGGCATCGCGTTCATAGATCCGTCGATCTCAGACCCTTTACCATCCAGACGAGTCTGGATACAGCACATGTAGCCTGTCTACGCGTGTTCCCAGGCATTACACCAGCGATGGTGGATGCAGTCCTGCGTTTGGAAGGCCTTAAAGGGCTAGTACTCGAGACTTTTGGAGCCGGAAATACTCCAGGCGGACCAGATAGCGCAATGACTAAATGCTTAGCAGACGCAGTGAAAAGGGGGATTGTGATTGTAAATGTCACACAGTGTTTAAGTGGCAGTGTCAGCGCCCTATACGCACCAGGGGCATTCCTTGGCCGTGCTGGAGTCGTCTTTGGCCAAGATCTAACCTCAGAAGCAGCGCTCACCAAATTGGCCTACCTTCTTGCACTACCGGATGCTACACCCGAGGAAGTTGCGAAGCGCATGTCTATTTCGCTACGTGGCGAGCTTACTGAGACGACACGAACCCATTTTGAGCACCCATCAAGGAGCGGTGTTCTTACCCCTGAGCTCTCAAGTCTTACAGCGCTCGGCTATGCTGTTCAAAAAGGCGATCTGCAAGCGACGAAAGACATTATTAGAGGAGAGCCTCGATGGCTACTCAACGATGCCGATTATCAGATGAACAGTCCTGTAGTAAGTGCCTTTCTGTCCAGTCAGCACTCATATACCTATCTTTGTTCTTCTTTCTACTTTCCAGGAACCGCACATGTTGCCATGCGTCCGTTGTTCCTATATCATGTAAGAGCCGGTATCGGAATCGGGCGCACAATATCTAGAGCATGGCTAGCAGCAGTCCGAGACAGGCAACGCATACATCATTATCAAGATAAAGATGCGAGAGGCCGTCGGCATCAGAGGAACAGAGCCAAACAGCTCTCAGCCGTGTACCAGTGGTGCGGCGAGACGCAGTCGCTTATCTTTCAGCCCGTCACTGCACTGCATTCGGTTCTGGAGTGACTTTATTCCGTCCGCGCGAGATTGCGTTCCTTGCTGACGTGCCCATGTAGCATCTTGCGGCAACAAGCCCGAATGTTGAGATTCTGCGAGACTTTCTAGCCCAAGGCGCCTCCGTGCATCTTCGAAACCGATCAGGAAATACCCCGCTCTTCTTGGCCGCAGCCGCTGGCTTACCAGATCACGTACAGACATTAATCGACGCAGGAGCCCATCTTCACAGCGATGAAGTCAGTGCCGCAAAGCTGCATGCATCAGAGGGCGACGGCAACGCTGAAGTTTGGGCACGTGTGATTGGATAAGCGCGCAGCACGTTGAGTACTGCTGGGAGCACGGGTAATGGTGGCTGCTCGTTGGCTGCAGCCTAGCGACCGGAGTGTCTATCAGATGGGTGCGTGGCGCCTCGAAATGTCGCCATATATGGCACGTCAGTCCCCAGAGTCTGGTGACGGACCGGGATCAGCCCGATGTACGCTGCTTGCTGCGGCGTTGAGAGGCGTGAATCATTGGAGTTACGCGACAATATCCCGGCTGCTATCAATGAGCACAACCCACTCGGAACGTTGCCGCCAACATGAGCAGATGATGTTTGACACCTGTTGTACTGTAACGCCGGTCTGGCCAGGGTCGACGTGGACATGAAGATATACACAAATGATGCTGCTGGAGAGGCCAACTATTGGTGTGGGGAAGTTGTCCAAGTGCGTGTCCCCATATAGATTGAGGATGTACATAGACCAGGGCCTTCCGCTAGGGGGATGGAGACCTCGGGAGCTTGTTTCAGTTAGTAAAAGAAATCTCTGTGCCAAGAACTGACACCGTGATGGCCCTTACATTCGGAGTAACTCGATGATAGCACGTTCTCTACAGGTGACGGTGGGTGGCTCCGAGCAGAGCATCGTGGATAGGACAACTTTTTCTGGCGGCTCCATACATCCGTTATTCGCGGTTCCTGAGCTTAGTGTATCCCCCGCATTGACTCGCAGACACTGCCCCTCTTCCATTTCTTTGCGTTACGAGCAGATTCTACTGTGGAGACCTCGTCTATGAGTTAGCCTACCAAGCTCGTTACAGTCTGAAGATAGTGCACGTTGCTCGCTTGTATATGCATAGTACTGCGTGTCGAAAAAACGAAACGCGACTTTGAACGATAGCTCCACAATTGCCCAGTATGGCAACTCTAGGAGCCTCGAGTGATGAAGTGGACCATTACGGGCATATTGCGCTGACCGACTGTGGTAAGTACTAGGCATGGTCAGGTGTTCGCCATGTCAAGCGGAGCCTATTCGCCCTTGTGGGTGGACTATTAGGTAAGGCTTTTCCCAGCAACGCAAATGACGAGCCCAAACTTGGCTGTAATGTCATACAAAAAACGGCTCGGTTTTGGGCTTCTCCTGTTTCTCCGGCCGGCATCCTCGACCGTAACTCTGCTCTTTAAGCATTGCGTGTGTCTACGTCAAAGGTAAATGAATCGGACCGCAACCTCAACCTCAGAACACGACAACTAGCTTCGCGCGCAACCCTGCCTAAGTCGCCTCACGTGCCTCCCATCGATCGCACTACCAAAGGCTTGACCACCTTTGTGTGTTGCAAGCACGTTATCGTCTGCCCGCCGAACCGGCATCGCTGACGCCGCCGAACCGAAACCAACCCAAGGTTACGACTACCCTTACACCAAATCCTTATCTCGCCCTCGTCCGCCATTGAGCTGCCGCCTACTTCCCGGAGCCCCAGGTGACAACTCCCCGGTATCCTCGCGCCTTGGCTCTGTTTGCGTTTTATATACCCACGACTATCCTTCCGAAAGTCGCAACCACTACAGGACCCCGAGAAAATTCTCTAGACTACTCTTTTTGTCTTGCCCAACATTCAAATTCAACGACACACGAATGCAAAGGACCGTTGTTACCATTAACAGCAATGGCCGCCAATCGGCGAGCTTCATTCGCGTGGCCGCCGCACTAGGATGGCAAGTTCGAGCGCAAATGCGAGACCTGAACGGAATAGTTGCACGGGAGCTGTCTGAATTGGAAAATGTCACTGTGTACATTGGCGCACTGGAGGATAAGAAATTTCTCGACGATCTATTCAAGAGCGCGCAATGTGCGTTCATAAATACCACACACTGGGGAGACGAGGTTGCTATTGGTCGATCGCTTGCCGATGCCGCAAAGAAAGCCGGAATTCAACACTACATCTATTCGAGCATGCCAGACCACTCTGTGTTCGGCAACAACTGGAGAGCGCTTCCGCTATGGGCACCCAAATTCACAGTCGAACAATACATCCGCCAAATCGGTCTGCCTGCGACTTTCGTTTACTGCGGTATTTACCACAATAATTTTACCGGCCTCGATTTCCCGCTCTTCCGCATGGAGCATCAGTACGATGGAAGTTTCGTTTGGCAAGCTCCTTTTCACCCCGATCAGCCATTACCCTGGCTCGACTCGGAACACGATATAGGGCCAGCTGTATACCAACTATTTAAGGAAGGTCCACGAAAGTGGAATGGCAAGCGGTAAGCGTACTCTGCGTCTGCATGTCCTGGTCCACATCATGCGGACAGTCTCCACAGTGGTTCGATCTGGTGGCGTCGCATCACCGGTCGTCAACCGTCAAATTTTCTGTCATTTTCTCATATGCTGCTATGACGTGGCTGCGTTGTAGAGAAGCTGAAGTGCACGAGTAATTTTTGATCACGTACTGACTAGTTTAGGATCCCCCTTGCGTTTGCATCCATGACCCCGAGAGAAGTCTGCAAAGCTTTTAGCACTGGTCTCCGGAGACCAGTCCGCTACAAGCGGGGCCCCATAATGATCAACGTGCCCACACCCACAGGTTATCGGGAGCACCTTTCCGCGCTGGAGTACACGCTGGGAGAGAAGGGCGCGCCATACTTTGGACCTGATCTTGAGCCAGACGTTCCCAAGGTTTCCCTTGAGCTGTGGGAAGGAAACCGCTCCATGGAGGAGTACGCCCAGGAGGTGTTCCCGGTGGAGGAGGCTGCCAACGGTCTTACATGGATGGAAGAGGTAGAGACGCCTAGGAGAGAGATCGAGATCGACTTTGAACAGATCAATTGCTGACGGCTGGCTTCATCTTCCAGGGCGAGATCTTTCAGCATTCCAACGTTGTCCTAGGTTTAAGCGAGCAACTCAACCAGGCGCGACTTTAATTCCTTCGGTTCGACATGTCACCTTAGTTCCATCGGCGTCGGACGGTAGCATCTCAACGGCGTCTGGCCTTACCTTTCCTTTGGAGTATTGGGGTAGAAAAGCGGTGGATTGCATGGCTATGGGGTGCCTGAGACGGAAGTCCCGGGTTCTCTCCGCGGGCCTATCTAGTTATCTTTGTCCACTCGTGGTTCTGTTGCCTAACCTGGCGCAAGCATGGTGTTTGGGCTGCCTTTTTTTGTTTAGCATGGGCGGATGCGCTGCAGTATACCAGGACTGGCGGTGATCTGCATTTCCAAAAGTTGTTTTCTTTTTAATCCACTCCACTAGGGAGACGTGCACATGACTGTTTGATAGAAGCGATACGGAAGTGCAAGCGACGTTCACACCGGTTGTGGTCAGTGCACTGCACAACGGTGGTCTGGCATACATTTTAGTTTGAAAAGATACATGGATACATACGATGACGCGATAAAAATGTAAGATATCAGTGAACATGTGGTTGTGATGGGAAAGCGAATCGATGCAAGCTGTGCGGAATGGATGGATGCTGACATAAGCGACATCGAATTTCCTGAAGCTGAACTTCATGTCGACTACTCCACCTCCGCCCGCCAATGTCAGCCGCCATACCCTGCACGCGGGCTGCAGCCCAGCGTGTCGCCTTCAGAGCCATACGATGTAAACGATTCGCGAGCACTGAGACAGTTGCTGTCGATGCAACGCCTACGACGCCCATATTGCCCGCTAAGCGTGAACAGCGATTATCAACACGGAAGCCAGACCTGAGTCAACAGTTGCACAGGGCCTTGTACCCAGCGTTATATGGAGAAGATGGCCAATTCAAGGACGGAGAGTTGGTGACCATCAAGCGTCGGAAACAGAAAAAGCCTATCGATTCCAAGTGGCAGCCGGTAATGAAGGAGAAGAGCGTGGACCGGAGATTGAGTACGACCGCCCTTTCCGTCGCCAGTCACGTCAATGCATGCATTATAAGATTGGATTGTATATGTCAACGAAAGTGCTAATCCCATCCTATAGGCCATCAATTCGGCGTCCCCGTCCTCAGACCGAAAGCCTCCAACATCAAAAAGACTTGTCCAGACCCCATCTCCGCGGTAAACGCCTCGCAAATAAGCTTGCTGGATCCCACAGGCGCACGAACCCGTCTCTTCGCAAAGGACAACCCAGAATGCGCGCGAGTCGGCGACATTCTACTTGTGCGCCAACGCACCGGCGATCCCTTTGCTGGCGTATGCATCAACATCCGACGCCGTGGTACCGACACCGCTATCCTCCTACGTGGCCAACTCACTCGCGTGGGTGTAGAGATGTGGTACAAGGTCTACAGCCCATTGGTAGAGGGCATCGAGGTTGTGCAGCGTGCTGCTAAGAGGGCGAGACGCGCCAGGTTGACGTACATGAGGACCGTCAAGCATGACAGGGGGAGCGTGGAGAATGTCGTCAGGATGTATCTCAGGCAGAAGGCAGCGCTGGGTACGGCAGAAGGACAGAAAAAGAAGGGTGCTGGCGCTGCAGCCGCCATGATGGGTGGAAAGAAGAAGGGCAGAGGCAAGAAGAGGTAGAGTCACGAGCGTGTATCACAACAAAGCAGCTCGGGTACCAGGATACCATGATGAGCATACTGTACATATATGTACAATACCGCGAACAATACCTGACGGCCCGTCGCTTGGTGTATAATGTGCGGAGAAACAAATGAGTTACATTATGAAGAACCCGGATATCTCAGAACGAGTGGTATCGCAAGAATCAAAACTAAGCTCAAGCTCAACGCCTATTATCCTGTCTGCATGCATGCGCATGCGTGACACATTCTACCGACAACCCTGACCCCAGGCCCCATTACCTCATGTTCCAACCTTCACTTCAACCCTCAACTCTTCTGTTCACAGCTTAGTGCACCGTCCCGTATCCCTGCTGCTGCTCCTGAACATAGCCCTGTTGTGCCGGTACACTCCCATATCCTGCCTCGACTCCGGCAGGTGCGGGCGCAACAGGCACCGTCTTATGACCACCATTTTGCACCTTTTGGCTGTAGATACCCGGCGCGGGACGCGCTTCGTAGATACCAGCGCGTATCTCGTCGCGTCGCTTAATGTATACGTATTCGACATAGAAGGCGTGGATGTGGCCGGGAAAGTAGCCGAGAATTGTGAGGAGCAGGTTGATGAAGAAATCGGCACCGCATCCCGCTACGAGGAAGACTCCAACAGGTGGAACTGTAGATTTGTTAACAAAGGTTTCGCGCAGGAAATAGACAGGGGAGGGCCTTACTGAAGATAGTGATCAGGATCAAGAGGAGCGTCTTAATCATTTTCGCAATTTCTTTCTTTCTCGCGCCTTGATGTACTCGGTGATGCGTTCACGATATTCCAAAGTTGACGGCTGTTCGCGCTTTGAGTCGTACAACGGAGTGTGTGTGTGAAAGAATAAAAGCAACCGTATCCTTCAAACGACTAGTTCCCTGGGGCACTCACGCGCTTATAAACAATCGTATGGCAACCACGCCCATGCGTAAACCTTACTGAGCGCATGCTCAAACGTCATGATCCTAGTCGTAATGTGGCTAATTGGCCAGCCACAGTGTGGCGCACAGACGTGGCGGTGGAGGCCACGTAAGTTTGACGGTGTCTCATACGAACACGCCAGGATACGACTGGCCCCACGGGCGTTTAGAATTGCCTTGAGGTCTTCTTGAGGGGGCTTGACGGAGCCCGATGTGTATGGCAACGGTCATTGGTTGGTGCTTTGGGTCAGGATGCGACGGGCGACTGGGTGGGTTAAGAAGCTTGCACCTCTTTCACATCCACTCCCCCTTGCGCTTCGAATCCTTATCTTTGTCCAAGAAGAGGAATTCTATCTCATGTGTGTAGCTTATCATTCTCTCATGGCGGCCATACCTTTCTTGCCGCAGTCAGGATATGCCCTTCTCTCTTCCAGCACATGTTCATAGCTGAAGGTGATCTCCTCCACAATTGAGAGAACAGAGATAACCAGTCCTTGGGACGCCTAGCTTACACCAACATACGCCGACGCCACAGGGTATGCCTCGACCGAGCATGCAGACTGCTGTTGTACTTGCACGCTGTCATTCGCGTGAATGCGCCAACCCAAGTCTTCCGACTAATCAGGATACAATTACTCGGCACCAGTCTCGGAACGGATTATCCTCACAGTAGGCTTGCGAAGGGACTCTTCGTCGGATCGCCTCTGAACTTGGCATGCTAGTCGATTGAAGCGCGTAGCGTCATATGCCTGACCGATTTATCATGCGGGTATGCGGCATGGAGACAGCCCTACGAGGCTGAATATACCAAGCCATTTCGCAACAGGATCCCAGCCCATATGTCACGCGCTTCATGAAAAACGGCTTGCAAGGTAACGCCAATGGCGTTCCCACCAATCCTGCGAATGCACCCTCTCGGTTATGGAACTCGAGGCCGGAACACCAAGTTTTGTGTACGCTGTGGCGTTCCATACGATAAAGATACGGTTCTTGGTATTCCCAAAAGGTAAAAGTTACAACTTCACAACTCGGTGCCTGGAGGCATATATAGTATGGCTTTCGTCCTGTCAAGACTTGGAGATAATGGCGCGCATTTTGCTTCACCAGCCACCATAGTAACAGTCATGATCGCGAATATTCCTAAATTCCAATTTCCTGCTCCAGGACCAGATCTACCGTCTTGGCCAGCATTCACCAATGAACCATTCAAACCCGGCAACAACCCGTCTGATTACATGAGGATATACCTGCAATATCTGCTTGACGACAGAGACAATTACCCTGTCGATGGCTTTGGACCAGGGACCGCTCTCGTTCAGATACACGACATCATAGATCCGCTTTTCATCGGGTCGAATCTGGAGTCCGATACTACATGGACAAATTATATCCATTCCGTACAGATATATTGTTTGGTGTGTCCTCCTTTGGAGAGCGGCGGCAAAAGAGGAGAAACAGACGATTTAGGCTGGCCCTTCTGCGGCGGCGACATCCAAGCCATCCAATCGACGTCTCCGGCATCCGATGAGATAGCTGGCTGGACTCCACAAAGTGAAGTCAATCAAGGACTTGTAGTACCAAAACCAAGTGACGGATGGGAGAACACAAGTTTGGCATGTACACTTGCCATGTACACGACTTTCGACGTAATTGATGCGACAGTCTCGCTCTACATGAATCGTCCAAGCGTCAGGAGTCAATTGTTCATTGTGTCTAGCACACCACGAGACGGCGCATCGGACTTTGGTGTGCTGATGCCATACCGATACAGCGCGTACTGTACCCATGGCACTCGAAACGGGACTGGCTGCAATGAAGCAGAGCTTTCTTACTCGACAAGCACTTATGGTTCTGCACCTACATCAACCCGGGACACGTGGGATACTTTGTTCCCCACTTCTATCTATCCAGCTCCAGCTCGAAATTCCATCGATGTCTGTGCTCCATCGAGGTTCAACAACTGTCGAAAAGATGGATGGTATGGATGGTCGATTGGCCAGCGCGTTGGAGTTATCATTGGCGTGGTAGTCGGTGTCATCGTTGTCATACTACTATTGCGTCGTGTCCCACCGTCCGTGTGGTCTCATAAGCGAGAGAAGGCAAGACCGCTACTCTTGAGCGAGTTGCGCAGCCAACAGGCTATAGAAGAGGGAGCTGCAGCTGAGCGACGTTATGTTGAAAGGACACGTGGGGAACACACAAGTACTTCAAGAGGCAATGAAGATGCAATAGAGCAATCTCTACAAACTGTGCCCCCAACATGGAGACATGGGGAACACGCAAGTAGTTCAAGAGGCAGCGGAAACGCAGTAGAACAACCCGTAGAAGATGTGCCCCCAACATACAAAGAAGCGATGAAGGATCGTAGGCGTACGTCAGGTGTAGGTCGTCCGCGAATGAACGAATATACATCCACAGGATGGCCACCAGTGTACGCAGACGCTGTACAACAACCTGTACCCGTTGCAAACACTCCACTGCGAGTTCCCTATCCGACCCTTCCCGTGTCCCCGCCAAGATAGAAAAGAAGCCAACAGCTGCATGCGGGTTTGATGCCCATTCGACCACTGTAAAGACCTCACTCTTCGCCATGTGTGCAATAGTAAGCATGCCAAGTCCCTTTGTTGATACAATCGCTCACCGATCTCGGTATCCGAGCCAAGAGATGAGGCTCGAGTCCAACCAACAACGGCGATGAGCGGCCAGTCTGCAGACCCAAAAAAGAGGGGAAGCTCGACGCATGCAGCTTCTGCGTCAAGCCTTCATCTGGGCAAACGCGCCTTTGGGGGCCGCTTTGGCATATGTTATGTCGCAATTGGTGGGACAGGAGACCAACCGGTCTGGCTGAGAAGATGATTGGGCATAGATCGGTGTGGATGCTGTGTGACATTGAGCATCAGCCTTACGTCGTGAGATCAACGTGGTGTAGATGTATACTAATTCATGGGACGAGCAGAACTTGTGTCTCCTATATATTCTACTAGCAATACCCGTTTTATATCTCTTCTAATGGATGGTCTACGCATTTGTTGAGTTACCGTTGTTGTAAGTTATTGTTCTTGTTCCATGCGTAGTAGTTAGTGACAAGTCGAGTACTGACAAATGGTCAATCAGAAGATATGAGAACTTGGACTGCGTCTTCACGTCCGTCATATCCCCTGATTGGGTATAGCAAGATTCTGTTTCGTCTTACTGGGGGTACATCTTTCAAAGCAGTCTGCATGTACTTGGAAGTCTCGTCCGTACATGAGAGTAAGCAGTAATCGATCCACCACTGCTCGAAGCGCGTGTCTTGCATCGTTATAGCTATGCCGTCCACACGCCCTCGACCTTCTCGGGAGCCTACCAAAGAGTCAATCCGCACCGCCGTTATTGTCGGGCTCGTCATCGGCCTTCTCGGTCTCATCGTGCTGGGTTCTCTCCTCTACCAACGCCGCCTATGGCGAAACATAAAAGCTGGTACTATGATTGGAAAGTGGGAATTTGAAAGACGAGAAAGAGGGGGTAAGACAACATGGAGGGCAGATGTAGAGAAGGGCTTAGAAGTCGGTATAATTCAAGAGCCTTTGCCAGTCTACGCCAAAGAAGCTGTGAGGGGTGAGAAGCGATTAGAAATGGGTGTGCTGAGGTAAAGAAAGTCATAATTCCTTGTATTTGCGGCGATGTTGTTCTGAAGTCATGTGAGAATGGCTATGTTAAGAGTGGTAGGACGAGTGGTCACTCACAGCCAATGCTACTAAAGCCACATGAAAGCGTTGCCCAGGGTATCATTCTGTCGTGCATTGTTGACGTTGTGATGTCTCTTCACTCTCTCCATGTAAACGGCTTCAGCCGGTGCGATAGTACTTCCCTTCGTGCCCGTCTGTACCATTCACACCATTGGCGCCTTCCTCGGTGTCTTCCCTTGCTCTCACTGTTCCGGCACCGGGTCCCAGCTCTTGTCCAATCACCATGCCACTGAAGTTACCATTCTCATCCATATACTCGTCCATGTTCTCAGCCGTTATCCAACCAGATGCACCAGGTGCTGTGTCGTCCAGTATGTCTTCGCCATCGTCATCGCTGGCATCCGGGTCGGGATGCAGGTCTGCGCAAGTGTTGAGCGCGGTGAAAAGGTCTGTAATGCATGTCTCGGTGGGTTTCGAAGTGTACGATGGGGGCAGTAAGGTGACCTCGAGCATATGGATATCGTCGTCCTCGTTTACGGTGTCGGCGTCGTTGAGTGATATGTTCACGTATAGCGCCTCAATCGTAGTCTTGTACTTCATGGTGGCATGGAGGGCGAGAGAAGGATATGGGATGGAAACGCCGACAGGAGAGGGCGTGCTCTGGAACAGGACAACATTTCTAAAGCTCTGTGTTAGCGCCTTCTGTGGGTGGCCAAACGATACACCTACTCAGAGGACACCCAGACGTCCATGCCATGTACAAAGTCTTCTTCACCCTCGCGTCTTGAGCTGAACTTGCTAAACGCCGCGTCTTGCTTTAGCTGGTCCGCGGCAGCCACCAGAGTCATGCCCTCATAGTGAGCATGGAGAACGGGCTTTGCGCTGAAAAAGGACGTCGGGGTCTGCGATTGGTGTTCTGATAGCGGGGTGAAGTCGTCGGCCTTGGGGGCGTTGTCGAGGTGCTGGAAGGACATGATGGGCTATCTCTGGATCGATTCTATGGCTTGTGTGAAGTCGTGGAAGAGAGAGAAGTGAATGATGTATGTATAGACTGCGTAGCCTTGGGGATTGTTGACAGGATGTGTACAGGCAGCGATCAACCAAGGCCCCAAAAAGTCGCGGAAGCTAATCGAGCGTCATCGCCCCACCTCGGCCTTGGCAGGTACCAGCGTCTTCACATGTTTGCACGCCTTTTGCGCAATAGCAATGCGCGTCTCTATCTCGCCATAGAGGCTCGCTAGAGATACGGCCAGCTAGTGTGCTGGTGTCGACCACATCGACATGTCTTTCCCGACAAAACCCATCGCACGATTGACTGGCCATGCCGGCATCGTTCATGCCGTCGCCTACTCCTCCGGCTCTCAAACCTACATTCTCACCGGCGCCTCCGACCGCACCATCCGTCTTTACAATCCATCCAAAGCGCCGCCTGGCTCAACCGCTCCTACCACGTCCTCACAACCGCCCCCGGGTCTCGTGAACAAATATACCGCGCACGGCTATGAAGTCCTCAGCATTGACGTCAACTCGGCCAACGACAAGTTTGTGAGCACAGGCGGCGACAAAACAGTCTTCCTCTGGGACGTGCAGACGGCGCAGACGGTGCGCCGTTGGACTGGCCATGCTGGGCGTGTGAACCGTGGCGTTTTCGGAGGCGAGGCCGACAGCATCATAGCGACGGCGTCATTTGATGGGACAGTCAGAATCTGGGATACCAAGTCCAACGCGTACAAGCCCATCATGACACTTTCAGACGCCAAAGACAGTATCTCTGATGTTGCCATACACGACGCGGATATACTAGCTGCGAGCGTCGACGGTCGCGTCAGGAATTATGATCTCAGAATGGGCATGTGTCAGGTTGATGTTGTGGGGCCGAGTTGCACGAGTCTGGCTGTCAGTAAAAAGGGTACTGAGGTTCTGGTCGGATCCCTGGATTCTACTGTGAGGCTCATGGACCGGACGAATGGGCAACTACTCAAAACCTACAAGGATGACGCCTTCGTGAACAAGCATCTGAGAGTCAGGAGCACGCTAGGCCTGAACGATAGCGTAGTAATTAGTGGAAGTGACGACGGCATCGTGTTTGCGTGGGATATGCTCGAGGGAACGTGTTTGTACAAGTTTAAGCATTCCGAGATGAGGGAAGTAAGAGGTGCAGCGCCCGTTATACCAACAAAGCCAAACAAGGACGTCGTGTCTGCTGTGGCCTTCTGTAAAACAAGGAGGGAGTGGTGTAGTGGTGGTGGCGATGGCAATGTCATCGTTTGGGGCATGGGAAGCTGAAGAGCAGAAACAAGGCGTTCGGCCGTCTGTGATACCCTTAAAGATTGATCTTTCGAATCATGCGTCGGCTTGTGAATATATCAGAATGCGGTCAAGTCGATAACAGCTGGGGCATTCACTGTGCTCATCGGTAATGCACGCTTGGAATCAGACTAATCATGTTGAATTCAGGAAACGTATGATAGCTAGCTTGGTTCATAACTGACGTAATAGTACTTTGCAGTCTGTGAAAGAAACACAACAGATGGTAAAGCCAAGATGATTGAGGTACCTCCCAGGAGAGACCAAGTACAAAAGACGCGCAAAGGAAATGAAGAATTCGGCCAATCAAGAATCGCGTGGACCCAACAGGCCAGAATAGTTCACCAAAGTATGATCTATACAATTGGTGTGACGTATGTCTGAACCATCGGAGCGAGGCGTTGCAACTGAGAGTTGAATCGGTTACCGGTAATGCTGTAGGACCGACAAGACGAAGTGCAGCCACCAATCCTAGCACAGACGACGTCGTCCCCATCCGATATACCAGCATAGTCTTCAGTAGAAGTACTTGGCAGTTTGACCGATTTCATAGTTGTATAGATCAGTGAACGTGGAGCCTATGGGTCTCTGCGGATAAGAACCTGCTGGACAATTGTACACTTTGACGACTACACCACGCTTTTCAGTTCCTATAATAGTCAGTATGAGAATGCGTGTGTTCAAGAGTCAGGTGATATACTCTTGAACTGCCAGGTGTGCGAGGTTACCCAGTTCCCTCTAGTGAACAGATGGGGTAGAACAGAGGGGAGGTATTCTCGAGAGGTCGTAAAGGCCATCAGAGCCAGAAAAATTGGTAACTCGCCTACAAGTCCACCGTACTGTGGGCTTGAGGGAGAAGCACTAGTGTGGTATATATCAGGCAGGAGCAGATTCGCCCATGGATCCTGGGGTTGCACACGAAGCATGTTGTATTGACCGGAAGAAGTCAGATAAGACGACTCGGGAGGGTGCTGGTAATAGTTGAACTGCAATTTGTGGAAAACATCGTCACCTGGTGGATTGCGCGCATCTCCTCTCAGGACCCAAAATCCGGCTCCAGATGCATAATAAACCGAGTACGTCTTGTACGATTGGGCAGTCGTTGGGAACATGACTTCGCGTATCTGCAAGCCATCGCAGAGCCAGGTCTTGCCCGAGGCACCCACTCTGGGAGTATAGTCATGACTCGCATTAGGGGCTGTAGTAGGTTGCCATATGCCATGACGATCCAGCTGGTCAGGAGCATCCCCCAGATTCTCGAAGATCTCGTCAACCTGAAAGATGAATGGTGGCTGGAAAGATGTTTTAGCAAACGTCACATGTTTGAGCCAATGCAACTTACCACCGAGTTGGGAGAATTGCCCGCCATCGTGCGTCTTCGTGCGTCTCCGTGCAGTGTACCCTATATGAACGGTGTGGTGTGTGTGGCTTTGTTTCGGATGCGTCTGCTCTACTCCAACCCGCTGTGGTCTCCTCACTTTGACACGCCTTTATCCTTCTCTTCGCTATGCGGCTCTGCGACCTACTGCTTGCAAGACGACTCACCCCAGTCACAGAGGTCAGACGACGAGCTCCCAAATGACAACAGTGCGGGATGGGGCTTGTCGAACAGTGTCGGAGTAGCCTCTGATAAGCTAGAGATGCTCTCGAACAGGCATGGCGCAGGATCCTGCATCGGCTACAGCAAGCGTATACGTAGGCCATAGGTTATCAGCCCAGTATTTCCTACCCCGCTGTGGGCAGTTTCATCTACTCGCCGCTGATCAGTGTTGATGTACAGCTGTCTCGGATCACCGGACGGACGGTATGGACGAGCGACTTCTGCCGACTATGTATCAAGACTCGTGGCTTCTCGAAGATGATAATACGTCGGGACCATGTTGTACTATGGCAGCATTGTGGGAACCTCAGGTCTCGACAGCTGTTAACTTTGTCAGCTGCATCTCAGCAAAAAGCATCGGTGCCAACCGGCCGTGGATGGCGCTCAACATGTCCCATCGCCTGCAGCATAACAGCCGGTGCCAACCGACGAGCCAACAGGATGGAGTCGCACAGCGCCAACCCAAGAGAGATCAAGGGTGGATCCCTTCTAGCGAAGCGCCCTGTATGTGTGCCGTCTGCCGCCACGGCACTTATTGCCAGACAATCAAAAAGGCGACCTAGGGAACCGTTTGAGTAGGAAGCTTGCCCAAGTCCTAGACCAGGTCGATGTCATGGCTGCAATGCGAAGACCGTGTCAATGTTGTGCATAGTTACCACCCCAAATGTGTTGCCGTCGCATGTGTTTTGTTTGGTAACCGATTAGTGATATGCCTTGGGAGAAATCGAAACACCGTTCTTTTACCGTTGATCAAGCTTGTGAATGGTAAAGGAATGACGATGCCTGCCCTTGCTCTTGTTGTATGGCCAGACCATTGCCATGATGAGATGTGCATGTGTGTCGAGGCGACAATTGTAAAGATGCGGCTCTGCGAGAAAGAGGGGTTATAAGCAGGCGTCCGGGCACTGTGCTTCTCTATGGGCGCTTATTGCGTTGACCAACGGCAAGCGTATCCAACCGTTCATGCCCGCTCGGCGGCTTTGCGAAGCGATATTTGTAAGTTGACTCCAATCTCTTTCGAAATATGGTGAATCTTGCGACTTCTTGAGTTCCAGAGAGCAAGGGCATGCCAGGTTTAAGTAGACACCCATAGGATACCGCTGGCATACTAAGGCGTGCGGCGTCATGGCCACCTAAAGGGCCACCTGCAAGTTTGCCTTCTTTCTTTCTTCCACACTGTTCTGCAGACTTTCGATTGGCGAGTTCGTTGAACTAATGGAGCAACCGGCTGCAGCGGGGATGTACCCTTACCTAAACGGCGGCAAGGCAAAGCAGATTCCTGCGACGTGCATCGTAGACCTTTCTTCACCGGACGACAATCCTGGTCATTTGACATAACACGCTCAACAGCGACGCAAACAGGCGAGATTGCTAGCAGGAACTCACCGGTCGACATATAGCGGCACGCTGGGTGAAGTCGCAAGTCATGCGCACACACCTTGACGGCTCAATGCCCCCAATCGAAAGGCACGTTGCCTTCAGTACTCGCACCGAACGGAACACTTTCCATCAAATCGATCCCCCACTGCCGCACACGCGGCCCCCTTCGAATCTAGAAGCCGGTCAGATAAGGCACACTCATAGTATAACCCCGCACCGAGGTCTCGAGCGCCTGAACAGTCAGCACCCAGCCGTCGCCGGGCGAGGGGCAGATTGCATCGTGCATTTGGTATGTGTGGTCTCGTCACCTTGGATGCTTATGCTTCTATCAAGAACAAGTCACCACGGAATCCCTACCAAAGCAAAGAAACGCTCACCGTAGCCTGGAACTGTTCCTGCAACGACGTGAATCAGTAGCGAGGAGCTACCCAGTGGGCAAGCCAAGATGAGCACAGCACAGCCAAGCAAATCGTGCGTCCGGGGATATATGCTGCTTGTAGGCGACGGCTGAGCTTGGCCATAGCGATATGCTCAGTGGCTGGGAAGCAATATCGGAGATACCTTTAGTTCAGACACAGCCTTGAGACCTGAAAAGCCCAAGGGCTTTTCACAATTGGTCAGGAACCAAAGGCCGCTATCAGAGACCAGTCGCAAGAGCTAGATCTAGATCATGACAAAAGGACCTGGAAAGACGCGCTATTGGCGCCATAGGCGCAAGCTTGGAGCTACATGCAAAAACAGTGCTGGCGGGACGACAACGGCTACAGTCTTACGTGTCCCGCTGTGAACACTTTGGATGAAGAGATTGGTGCAATACGAGATGAAGGCCGACTGAGCTCGGGAGAGATCACGTCCAGGACGGTTTCATCCCGAGGGTCAGGATCCAAGGGCCTTATGTCGCTTCCCAGCATCCGATGGTAGATGACTATCGTCGGGGACTTGGACCAACCGGGCATTGGCGCGAGACATCTATTATCCACGCGCTTCCAGCCAGCTACCAGCTCCGGCGACTCTCGAATCGGGCGCCCTTTGAACAGCTCAGCTCCGAGAAGTCGTCCGTCAATATCGCGACCATCGCATGACCCCGGTATCATATGTGGGCGCACCCGTACTCCGGCGCACAAGCGTATACGAGTTGAAAGGGGGCAGACAGGCTTTCGGAACATGTCGGTAAGCGGCGTGGGCATCGAAGAGGCGCTTCAGTTGAGTCAAGCACAACGCTTGCTTATGAGTGTAGTCATCAAGAGGAGCGTTGCGCTTGCTCGTAGACATTGGCAGGAGTATGAAGTTGGGGTCTGAACAAAGCATGAGGTCCAATCTAAAATCGGGTTGAGATCTGATACCGGCTGCGGAAGCTAAGACAAAGGCACGTTCTCTCCTCGTCGAAGATGGAAACCTCGCGATCCGACCAATCACGGCTCACCGGCACCATACCTATTGTTTGCCTGAAAACGGTCCGCACGACGACACACGATGCTCCACTCCACTCCAGACATTCGTACTCCACACATCCATACCCCCAAACAGAGCATAGTTCCAGCGCTTCTTAGCGCCGCGGTCGAGGACAAGCACGCGAACGCCCTCGTGCCTCTTGGTCTGTCAATAGTGGCCATAGCTCTCACAAAGCGTGGAACCTTGTATCGCTGCTTCAAAGCCGAACGCAGCCAAAGAGTCCGCGCTGGCAGTGAGTGTCATGGACCAGATCATTGTTCTTTCCGGCTGGGGGAGGATCCAAGCTGTCTCGATCACGAATAGACGGTGCCATAGGCTCCGTGGGTGGAACCAAAAATAGTGGATAGACTACGGAACGCCTATGAAAGCCTACCTGATACAACGTCTTCAGTAACCAGACTCTATAGCACGACGCGGAAACTGCAGTCCATCTCGCTCATCCTTGCTGCCGACATATTACGTGGAATCTTAAGTCTAGTATAATGTCAGCACGCTCCTTGATGCAGTTCGCAGGGACCTCACGAATAAACCATATGTCCAACCAATACATCTTTACACCCGCCGACAAGAGTCTCGATATCGCGCTTAATCTGCTCAGGCTCTTGAGCATGTGCCTTGAGCAGTCGCCTCTCTCCGTCCAACAATCTCGCCCAGCTCTCTTCCACCATCCTCACACATCGATCGACGGCGACTTGTGCACTACATCCATCATTCCAGACCATGACTGGGATTGCAGAATCAATGTCGCCGTCATCGATTTCCTTCCGTAAGCTTACGATATCGTTCCAGAGGAAGTCCGAAATGGCTACCTCGCGTTTTATGGCTAACAAAGCCTCGTGGTCCCATACCGACGGAGGCAGTGTAAGGCCGTAGGCCCATTGCATAACAGCGATGCAAGGGTTGGTCCCAACCGTTCTTAGGCGACGCGCCGTGTATTCCTCTAGGGTGGACATCCCCTAAAAGGTGCCCGTAAGGAATCAGTTCAGGCGTCACATTCACTTCGTCGAGGGATGACTCCCACCTGTTCCCATGTAGCCTGAGATGTTTGAACGCCAAGAATAAAGTCGTAAATGGCTTCGGCGAATCGGTCGCGTGCTTCTACGACATATGTTAGCTGATGCACATGACACAGATGCTATTTGGTCGTACCCTTCGATTGCCCTTCCTGCATCGCTTTTCCCATGTTGACCCATGGACCGCAGTTGTGCAATCTCCCTGGCGCTGGAACTTCGCCATCGAGTTCTGGTTGCAAACAATATCGGATGAAGTTGAGTGTATCGTTACAGTACGCTTCCGTCTTGTCGCGGTCGTCGGTGAGAATGCCGCAATCAATTTCATCATCCCAGAAAAAGAACTACCACTTCATGTTAGCAAAGGACTATCGGAATGATAGAATGGATCTACCCAAGCTACAAGTTCTCCTAGTACGATGAACTTTTCTGGCTCAACATGGGTCCAGAAGTATCCAACGCAAAGGCCATTGTCTACTCTGCGTTGTTTCCTTCTTTGACTCTCCGTGCTGATGAACTCTTGGAAGTATCCCTCTAGATGATCTCTCAGCACTTGGACATCAGGATGCACATTGGAAAGCCAATTGGTATATATGTAATACACATCCGGAACGTGGATTTCTTGGCCACGGAGACGAGCAATGATCTCTGTACGGTGGTCGCAAGGCTTCGACGATCCATTCTTGGTCGTGGAGGGGACGAGCTGTCTAGGGTTCTCGGTCCGTTCAGGGGCGTGTAGAGGTCTAAATAGCTGGGATAAAGATTAGTACTATGTTCACTGAGATAACAAGGAGGACTGATACAAGAAAACATACAATTCTCAGATATGATATAGGAAGCGACGTCCAAGAGCTGAGGATACTAAGAATCGTCATGGCAACAACAAAAGACTAACACGGTGTACTCCAGACAGCACAATCAAGTTAATTACGGCTTTTACGATGCGATGGAGAGCACGAAGCTCCTTTTAGGTTCCTGGACCATGCTATCCACGTGATCGGCCTCTCGGTATCGTAGTTCTTCTACATTCAGGATCTCGAGGCGCCCCATCATCCACTTGACGCACCCTTTCACACCGCACTGCCAACATACGTCCGCTGCCTCGAAGACCGAGTCGCAGTTGCATTGCCAGGATTATTCGGAGCCAATCATGATATCTCTAGCTGGATGCATTTGACGAAAGCGAGGCGTTCGGGCGCAGTCCACGCGAGTGCTATGTAAGGGTTATGTGTCGCACGAATTCGGCTGTCACTATACGCCACATTTCCACAGTTGGGGAACACGAAGGCGTGCACCTCCGGATGACGACATACTAGTGGTCTAACGAGACATATACCAGTCGCCTGAACTCTTATGCCGCCATCAGCTTGAGGTTGGGTCTGGAAACACATCACAGCCATCATGGGGATATCATCGCTGACTACGAGCTGATTCTACACCGAACCAATGCATGTGATCTTTGCGAGATCATAAGGAGCTGAGTGGGTGTAAGCTAATTTGTCGCTGCTGAGCCACTTTTGAGCAACTCTCGCCATGCAAGCCGGGATACCATACAATACTATTGTGCTGCACAAATCCGGTACCAGGCTATGGAGGCATTCTTTCATTGGAATTGATTGAATCACAACCTGGCAGCCTACGACCAGCCACTTGGGGTATTCGAAACGGATCAAGCTTGGGATATAGGTGTATAATGTCAAGTCGAAAATACTGCTTCACAGCTTGCAGCACATGCTCGCGCCTGAAAGGAGCCACGTATCGAGCCGCGCGATCACTCGAACGGTTCGCAAACTACTGCGAAAACTGACATGATGCGTAAAACTTGCTCAATCGGTACTGACATACAAACGCCCGTGCGTAGAAATTCAACCCTTGCATAGAAGACCAAGGATTAGCGTAATATCTTACCTCCACTGATGTTCTACGGAAATTTGTTTAGTAGCATGGTTACAGGGGCAGGAATGTGGTCTGGCAAGTAAGGAGATAGGCAATTATAAAGTTATTATATGACTCGTTGGATGGGGACATGTAGACGCATGCACCGTGATATCTTTCAACATGCTTGGAACATACAGAGTTGCGGTGAAGAGGAGAAGGATCAAGCAAGCTTGGTGAGTAAATCTTTCGTAAGGTGATTAGACGCGGGTTGATCTACAGTTGAACGGGATCAAGGAAAACAGGTGCGGCATGTGAAAGTAGTAAATATGAACCTTTGACATATCATTCGTCTATCTGAGACATGAGTTCCGGCGACCCATCAATCGAGGCCCAACACCATTCGCCATATTCCATTGCGCCCCCAATCCCAAAGAACTGGACAACCCGATCCTCCCATGCACCACCTCAAATCGTCCAAATCCACTTATGCCAGTGCCTATACACCCTCAGCTATCTTCGTTTCAGGCCGCTCACATCAGCGGTCTAAGCCCTCTTCTTTGAATTGACGTTCTTGCCCGCGCCCACCTTGACTCTGCCACCAGCCCTACCCCGATCACCTGTCAAGATGCCCGGCAGATAGTTCTCGTCCATGAGATCCTTTGTTCTAGTCCGCTTATCTTCCTCTGTACGCCTTGTGTATTCCTTCTGGTCCTCCGCCAAGATAAGATCCCTGCCCCAACCACCCTTGCCTCCGCCCTGACCATGACTCCACTTGGTGTTCGCAGTACCAGCAATGGGCTTAGGGATACTGTATTTGTCGCCTCGCTTGTTGTATTGATAGTTTCTGGCCAGGTGGATCTTAAACTCTCCGGCCGCGTTTGTGGAGCAGGTCACACGCTGCAGGGTGGCTTGACCACAGCGGGGACAGAATTGCTTGTCCATTTGCTTTACGATGTTAAAGCATGCGTGGCAGCGGAGCACCTTCGTGTTGACGTTTTTGATACGCTGCATGTTTGTTGAGAGGAGTTGGAGATTCATCTGGAGTAGCACGTTCTGCATCGCAAAATCGATGGTCATGGTTGCTACATCCAGTTGGCGATTGGCGGCTATGTGGATCTGGGGCTGCATGACACCGTCTTTGGCTTGGTGCTCGGTGAGATTCTGAGGGGTTATCCAGTCACCATCCGAATCTGAGTCCGCAGCAGAGTCATCGGTTGTTGGGGGCGTGGGTTGTTGAGTAGCACCATGAGAAATCGAGAGGTCCTCGATGTCTCGCTCAAGGTTTGGCTCATCTGAGCTGACCTCTTGGCCTGACTGCTGCTCATTCCCAGGTTGCTCAGAAGGAAGTGAAAGCTCTGCTTCCTGTTCGATGTGGATGTTGGTGGTGGGTACCTCGACTGTCGCTGACTGTTCGATCGGCCCTTGGTCACCAGCCTGTTCTCGAAGTTGCTCCTGAACTTGTTCTTGGACCTGCTCTTCGAGTTTCTCTTCAACTTGCTCCACGGCATGAGGATCGAGCTCTCCCTGAACCTGCTTGTCAAGCTGCTCGTGAACTTGGTCTTGCACTTGTTCGCGGACTTGGTCTTGAGCCTGTGCAACGACCTGCTCATGTATCTGTTCCTCAACCTGCTCTTGGGTAACTTTTACACCACCCTCTTCTTCGTCTATCTCGACTAATTCGGCTTGCTCTTCTGATCGGTTTGCCTGTTCTGGGTTGTTTTCGACCTCCTCGGCAGGCTTGAAGTTGAATTTGGTGGACTTGGGCGCTCTGGCCTTCGCTGCCCGCTTGCCTGTAGGCTGTTCCCAACCCTCGTCTTCCGCCTCTGGCTCGGCAGATTCGGCGTCAATCTGCCCGCCCTCTGTCGCTTCTTCAGCTGCATCTTCGGCAGCATTGCTGGCTAATTTGCCCGCCCTTCGCCTATTCTTGCGCTTCTTTGTGGAACTTGAAGAGCCCTCTCTTTGCGCCTTTTCCTCGTTGTCCCTTTCAATTTCTTCGGGCCTCCTCTTGATTTCTCCCTTCGGTACCTCTCTTAGACCCCAGTTCCCACCATTCCTTTCACAGTGCACCTCATAAGCCAGAGCTAAGATACCCAAATCCTGTCTACTCAGAACTGCATGATCACCAGTTTTTTTACTGAATGCAATGACTGCATCGTAGCTTGCTGGACTAGGGTTCCTGATTTTCAGAAAAGGAATCAGCGTTGTCTGCACACGTGATCGTGTCGCTTCATCGCGGATCTCAGACAGAATGGCAGGGGTGGTCCAAAGTTCCTCGGCAGTGTTGATAATCGTAGATATCGAGACGGTATTCTTGATCAATGGACCAGTATCTAGAATGAGCGAGTGAATTGGTTTCTGCTGAGTTGCACTAGGTGTCGCCATCATGCTGTAATCTGGGCAGCAATCGCAGCCTAGTTGTGAAAATTCGTCTGCTCGTCCTAGGTAGGCGGGATATCGAGACAATTTGATGCCACAATATGGTACGAATTTTTGATCGTTAATATGTGACTAGGCCGTGCCGCTGGCGTGGTGGAAGATTTCACGCTGGTGGCGGTGGGGCGCAACTTTTTTGTCGTGAAACCCCTCGCGAATTTTGATTGGCTGGTTCCACCAGAGACAGCAATGGGAACGCTGCGGGAGCCAACTACGGCTGTCGATTGATTATCAAGTCAATCTGCATGCACTATACATCTGTAGTCATGGCTTCGATTGCTACGTGGTAATTTTGACTCGCCCTCAGTAAAAGTTGTGAGATGTTCATGAGATGTTTCATTCAAACGCCGCCCAATGCTGAAGTTGCGAGCCCATCCTCACGTCGCTTGTGGTATACAGTACACATACATGAATTACATCAACGCCGTCCTAGCTCTTAGTCGTGGTGCTCGAGATTCGTTTCAAAGCGAAGACTTAAGCGATAGGTTTGCTCCTTTCGTCTTCTGGCATACGCATGTACGCATCGATCGCCGCACTGAACACTGCGAAACCTGCGCATCCCACAGCCACAGCCTGCGGTCCGGCATTTCTGGCCAGTATTCCACCTGTCAAACAGCCCCCGGCCACTCCGTTGTACAAGTCGTTTTTAGCTCGTAGGCCCTCGATGGCGCATTCGGTGCCTGAAAATATGGCGCCGACTTTGGCAAAGTTGCGTCCACTGGAGATAGAGGATCGATACATGTCGCGCAGACCAGCTCGTAGTTGTTGGCGGAGTGGAAGGTCTTTGACATCGACGACTCCGGTAGCGGTTGGATTTGGGAGGGTAGCGGTGGCGGATGCAGAGGGCGCTGTGGTGAGGGTAGCTGCAGAAGCAGAGTTGACGTTGCTTGTAGCTATGGTTGATGGCTTGACGCCTGCTGTTGGCGTTGTTCCAGAGACTGCAGTGGCAGGCTTAGAAGCTGGTGTGTTGACAGCGAGGGGTTGTGACATTGGGGTATCGTATCGCATCTGGCCATGTCAGTCATGTCTGCTCTAATGCAATCGTTCCAATACATACCGAGGCCATAAAGAGTCCAAACATCGCACCCAAACCACCACCCATGACGCCTGCCATTACCGTCTTACCAATGCAAGACTCCATGCCCATTTGCATGGCTTTCACCATCTGCTGCTCCTGCTCGCTCATGCCAGCATTAGGGTTCATGGCGGCTGGCAAAGCGCCAACCCCTCCTATTCCTCCTGGAAAAGACATGTTGGAAATAGTTGATCGCCACTACGTTGGAAAGCGGACGTGGCACAGGAACAATGCTGTTGCGAAGGCGGTGCGATGCGCCGCCGCTGCCTGGAACTTTTGCGGAGTTGGAGCGGAGGACGGAACATGCCGCATATGTGGGGCTTGGCACCCGCTCGAGTACATTCACATACAATCTAATCAAGTTGCTCGCTGGATGTGGTAAAGAGTATTCGGTTTCTCATTATGCTTCTAACGACGGTACATGTCTACCCGAAGCTAGGTCCAAGAATATGCCATTACGCCGACGCCATGCTATCTCTAGAACTTTTCCACACTTCAAGCCACCTCTTCAACAAGTTCTGCAATACTGAATTAGACAATGCTGTTAATGGCGTTGCGTCATAATGCTAAATCGCTAAAAGCAACTACCGTATCAAACGTTCAGTTCATAAAATCGCCGTGCGAGTAGTCCTCAGTCCTCGACTCCGGGGGTGGCGTGAGTTGCTTCTCCCATTCCCTCATCAGATGCGATGCGGTACGCTTCAAGTTGCTTGGCGACACTTTGGTCATATCAGGCCAAGGGATGGAGCTGCGCTTTTGGTCTCGAGGAGCCATGTCTTCTTGGGTAATCGAGGTAAGCGATGATGCTTTGGAGTCGTGACGTTTCGAGTGGTACCTGGTGCTGGTACTTGTTCGCGAGCTACCTGGACCAGAGACCGGCGATGTCTGCGCATCCGATTCGTCTGAGCTGTCCTTGGACTCTCCCAAATCGACGAGGAGTGACTCGTTTGGTGTGTCCCAGTTGTCCCAATCTTCCTCTGATGCAACTTTGCGGATCTGTTTTTGCGGGGTAATTGTGTTCCTGAGAGCGTGCGTCTTCTTGTTGACCGCAGTGGTCTTGGGCTCGCTTAGACCCATCTCCTTCCAGAAGTCGTCGCCGATGGATCCTAGCTGTTGGGTGTTTTTCTTCGAGCTGGCGGATCGACTAAGGGTTGGGCGGCCGTCGGACGATTTCCGGCCAGACTTTGAAAGGCTCTTGACACTTGTCATGCCAGTGTTACCTTCTGCCGTGTTGACAGCCTCATCGCCCACAGTTGCTTGTCGGATATCCTCCATAAATGTAAACAGCCCCTTCTTGAAGTCTGCCGCCATCTGTGTGCCGGCGCGGATGAGCTGTTCACGCTGTATCGTTGGCATGCCACCCATGTCATACCGGTCATGTTCACCAGCGTTGACGACTTGTCGTGTGATATCTGACGAAGTGGAAGCCCTCATAGGGAGCTGTGGTCGAGAGTCGGAAGAGTGGTCATCCTGTAAATCGAGTGACTGGGGGAGTGACGGCGACTGGAGACGATCGGGGGAAAGCAGGGATAGCGTTCGTAGATGTCGCGAACCGCTGAAAACCTTTCTTTGGGACGTCTTGGTGGGGTTCAGCAAGGCCCTTCTACGCTCCATCTCTTTCTGCATCCACAGGTTTGAACCATCGTCCTCATATTGGCCCGCTGGAGTATTGGCAAGCGACGTGTCCAGTGGTTGCAGCGCAGCAACCTTGCGCACCTCGTTGCGACGCTTGTTAGCTTCGTGATGGGTCCAATGTGTCTTGAGCATGTTCAAATCCGCCTCGGCTTTTGTCAGCTCTTCCTTCAGTTCGAGCACATAGCGCTCTTGAGCAGCAAGAACCGCCATGATGTTTGTCTCGGAGGTGGCATCCTCAGGCTCTGGTGAATGCACAGACGTTGCTCCATTCATCCATGATTGTGGGCGCGATCGTGTCGACGAGGTCGGGGAACTGATGCTTGCGCTTGGCTGGATGGGGAACTGCAGCGATAGGCGTTTGCCTTGGCCAACGACGTCGACCGTCTTGGACCGAGAATGCGACGGCATCGTCTTGGTTGGTGAGGGTTGAAAAGAAGTGTTCGAGTTGGGGGCGTCGGGAGATATTAATGTCGACTGGGATGACGGGTCCGCCCCTTTGTCATGCAGGGTTGTCGGTGTCTGTGCTCTGTCCATGGAGTCTGCTCCTCCAAGGTAGAAGATGGAATTGCTCGTATACTGTCCCTCCTTGAGAGTACAGAGAATGGTTGAGAGACGAGCGCGGCGAGCGAGTCGGTGAAGAATAAGCGAGGCGGCGGCTGGAGAGCTGCCGTAGACTTCGAGATAAAGGGCTAGAAGCGCTGTGGGTAGGCCGACCAATCGGAGGAGTAGAGACCCTCTAAACCACGAGAACCAAGACCTGAAGAGCGTTGGGCCAGTGGCGCAAGAACTCATACCAAAGACATTGAAGAAAGCATGCCACAGTTCAAAGCAGTAACGAGTATCTAGAGATTCCTGCAGCCGAACCCGTAGTCTTTGTGCAGCAGGTCGCTCACGCGCACAGTGCTCAGGCCATCAACAACCCAATTCAGGAACCCATCTCCTGGCTGCATGTTCCAAGGGACTGCTTGCGCGGCTAGTTTGGTTACGGAGAGAATGTGTGGAGACGGTGAACGAACATCCGTCTGTTGAGGTTGACGTTTGCCCTGTCTTTTTACCATCGCCATCTCGTTACTCATTCAAGTACTTCAAGGCACCTGTCACCACACGTGCAGGTTGCTGCTGTCAAACACGTTCGTGGATGCTGAGTCCCATATTTTCCGAGACGACGCGCGATGTTGCGGAAATGAGGGGGTCAGGCCACGCAAGTTGACACCTCAGAAGATGATCCATGTAGCAACAACTTCAGAGCTAGCTGGGGACGCGCCTTGGGTGTTCCGGTCAAAGGCGGGTTCGTGGTCATATCATACTAAGCATTGAATCTGCGGTTGCTGAGGGGAACAGAAGCGGAAAACATGGTGCGCTTCGCTTTGACAGTCGGTCAACATGGAAGTCCATCCACGGCCTTCCCCCCAAATTACCGCAACGGGTACGAGTGCGTTGTCCGAACGGCCTGTTTCACGCTATTAGAACTTTCCGCAGTTGAGCCTAGCGGTGAGTGAGATGGTAGGTTTGGGACTGCCTGGAGTGCCTTGTAGCACGATGCCGTTAGCTCGTGTTTCCCTCAGCAACCGCAAAAGTAAACCCCGGCGGGAAGAACAGGCGCAGGTGATGCGCCACCACAACGACGATAGATCCAATTGGTGATTCGACTGATGACTGTAGTATCCGCTGCTGCATGTTACCCGCAGGGTGGATCTTATGCAGGGCAACTTTGGTGAGCGATGGAATTGGAATGCTCCAGCTATGGGGACGGCAAACTGGTCTGTAAGGCTTGAAAGCCGAGCGACATGACTCCCAAGACTGGTGAGCTATCTTGGGTATCCATCCTCAGTCTCTGTTGTTCTTCTGCAGCATTGATACCTGGCGACGTCATACCAATCTCGCCAATTCCCAGGTGGCGGCGGGGTTGTGCGTTTGTTGATGATCATTCTCGTTGCCTCGGCGATGATAGGGCTGGACCCTGCGCGATACTCTGATATACACCACAACGGCGACGCCATTGAGCAGCCCAGCACCACGAACAATTCTTATTTCTATCCCAGTAGCCTTACGCTGAAACACGCTTTCGTCCATCTTCGTCTGACCGCCGACCACCTACCGAAATTCCCAAGCCATTGCGCTTCCACTTAGCGATATCACAATCGCCCGCCATGGCCGAAAACTACCAAGTCATGGAGGAGCTGGGCAGTACGTTGTGGATTGCCCCCAATTGGATTCAATTTTGCTGACACGTCCAGGTGGGAGCTTTGGAAAGGTGTTCAAGGCCATTGACCGTACTACCGGCGAGACGGTCGCTATCAAGCACATCGACCTCGAAGACAGCAGCGAGGAGCTGGCCGACATCCAGGCCGAGATTTCACTATTGAGCACATGCCACAGCCCGTATATCACCGAATACAAGACCAGCTTTGTCAAGGGCGTAAAGTTATGGATAGTCATGGAATACCTAGGCGGAGGATCGGCCGCAGACTTGGTATGCAGACTCACAGATGGACATCGATCTCGCGAACTAACAGTCGCAGTTGGCACCAGGAACTTTCAGCGAAGCCCATATCGCCATCACTTGCCGAGAACTCCTGCTTGGACTAGACTACCTACATTCCACCGGCAAGATCCATCGGGACATCAAGGCCGCCAACGTACTACTCACAGACCAGGGCAAAGTCAAGCTCGCTGACTTCGGTGTCGCCGCACAACTCACAAACATCAAATCGCAACGCATGACATTTGTCGGCACACCGTTCTGGATGGCACCAGAGGTTATCCAAGAGGCTGGCTATGATTTCAGGGCCGATATCTGGTCACTCGGTATCACCGCTATGGAGTTGGCAGAGGGCGCACCACCACATGCTGGATCACATCCCATGAAGGTGCTCTTTACTATCCCGAAGAACCCAGCACCAAGACTAGAGGGCGACGAGTGGAGCAAAGACTTCAAAGACTTCATTGCCCAATGCCTCATCAAGGACCCGGACCGACGTGCGACAGCCAAGGAGCTCCTCAAACATCGATTTGTCCAACGTGCGGGCAAGGTGGAGGCATTGCGTGAGCTGGTCGAGCGCAAGCAGATGTTCGACGCCCAAAGGGAACAGCAAGCAGCATCGCACCCCAAGTATTACGAAGAGACCATGGTTGATCTTTCCCCTAGAGCTGAGGACGACGATTGGGACTTCGACACTGTTAAGCGGGGTACTGTTCAGGCACGGCAGACTATGAAACAGCGTCGCAAACTGGCCCGTATACCCTCCTCTGGTAATGAAGAGGTTGAGAGTATGATGCAACGAATGGATCTCAATGCAGCACCTTTGGGTGACATTACAGATTCACCACTTCCAGCACGCCGACGGCCGTCTTCTCGACGATCTTCTCAAGCCACGGCTTTCCGTGTTCCTTCAGGCGATACGCCCACCGCTCGTCGCGTCAGCAACTTCAACAAGTCGCCCCTAGGCGTTGACATGACATTCGGAAACTCGCCCTCGACTGTACGGCATTTCAAACGTGTCTCCTCGGACGAGCGCCGTGCAGCACTCCGCTCGAATCCTCCACCAGTAGCTCAGAACAATCAGTCTTTCCAACCAAATCCCGAAGCACGAACTTTCCGTCCATCACCTCCGACATCTAATCATCCACTGGATATGAACAACGAGAACGAGCCGCCTGCTCCCGATGGTCATATGCCTATCACGAAGGATGCTCTATACGGTCGCCGAGCGTACAGCAAGGTCCTAGATTCGGTTTTCCAGGAGGCACATGCCGATACAGCATCGCCTCATCAACGGGATGCTATTGGACGTGTTGCGCAAGCCTGGCAGCATCTTGACGAGGTCGATCCCCACGGGGAGTTCATGCTATTGAAAGCCATGGTCGACCGTCTCAAGAATGACACCAAGCTTGCGTACGCTCTCGGCATCGAAGTCTCAGCTGTGCAATCACCGTTGAAGCACAACACCAAGACTAGTGACACTAGTTTGGGCGGCACAACTGTCCATGGCACTGGCACAACACGTATCCGGTCTAGTACTACAAGTGCGGCCACTTCAACCGTCAGTAAATCTTCGGAAGAGTACGACCACACCCCGATATCAACACCGATGCGGAACAACACACCCATCGCCAATTCAGGCTCACCGTTGAAGGGGCCTAAGCTGGTGATGGCGAAGAACAACCCTCACCTAAAGTCACATAAGCGCCGTCAAAGCGCATTTGTAGTTGGCGAGAAGGGCTTCGGTGCCGACGGCCACGGTTATTTTGATGAGAAGAAGCTACCTGGCTATGTCGAGCCTGGTATGGAGCAACAAGGGTTGCTAGCTGACATTCTTTATGGGCAATGGACACAAGGCCTGCGCACTCGGTGGCCTATCGCATAATCCTTCTCCTATGGTTGGACAGACGTTGGCGTGAGTGTTTCTTTTTTTCTGCATATTCCTTTTGCCTTGCTGCTCTCGAGCTGGATTCTGAGTTATGGTCGGGTTCGCAAGTTTGAAATCGGCGTTTGTGGGTCGCATACTAATGACTGACGATATGGTGGTTGCGGGTCATTGCTGGGGTCTTCACATCAGTCATTCTAGACAGTGCTAATCTGCTGCATCTCTGCGTTGCATCCGCACTGACACTGGCGTTTCGCGGTCTCTCAGGTCTAATAGGGAAGAATACCTGAAGGTCGTGTGTGTATAAATAGTTTATGGATATGTAATGACGATACCAACTTCTCTTGTCAACGAGAGAATAAAGTATAATGACTGGCGTGTCGTGACGAGTTGAGTGTATTGTCTGACGTTCGCGGCAATCGATTAGAGTGGCCTTTTCTCGCATGCTTGCGCCTCATTCTTTCTGCCCTGGTACTTTGCTGCTGAAGGCTATTGGCGACAGAGCCTAACCTGCCAACGTGGTCTGCTTGTGGAATGCTCATTGCTTCCAGGTGCTAGGAACGCCGGTGTACGGCACAGAGATAGACCCTTGTCGATCGGGGGGTAGTCCGTTGCAGACCAGCAATCACGAGCTGCACGGCTTTCCCAGATGAATCTATACTTACCACATCTGGTCCCTGGACGCCCTGATTTCCGGGTCCCGTAGACGTCAGCGCTGTCATCGAAGCGGTGACATCCTTGCTGCCGAAGTATTGGGCGACGCATGTGTTCACAAGCCCGGATCCCATTGGCCACGCGACGCTTGTTATGAGCCGCGTGTAATTCCTCGGTAGCGATATGCAGAAGTCTAAAGCAGTTCCCCGCGGGTGCGAGACCTTGAGAATATAAAATGGGCCTCTGGCGCTCCCACATTGCTGGGCATCAAGGCTTATCATTGCTTGGTCTTCTTGGTATACTTCTTTGGGCATTGCTGAGAACACTAAGATGCAATTCGCGATAAACACCGCCCACAAGGGTGCACTGCTTGCACTCATTGCAAGCGCTGGAGCTGCGCCGACGACCACCATATCCGCTACTGGAAATGCGGGTGCAAGCAGTGCGGATGTGTATCCTCCTGTCGGCAGTAAGTTTGGATGGAATTGCGCAGAAAGCGGAGTGCTGATGGCTTGGTTGTGTAGCCGAGGTCAACTCTCAACTGTTCCCACCCGAGTCTGTAGTCGGCTTCCCTGGACGTGAGTCGCGTACCCTCCTGGATGTTTTGTTCCAGACTAATCTGGATCTCCATCAGCAACACCAACAGGAGCCGAGCCCAATGCCATTCAGACAGCGCCGTCATATCCCTACAATGATGGCGATGCGTCTTCGTACCCACTCATCAAGCCTCAGCCGCATGGTAGTGGTTCACAGTCGCCAAACTTTGACATCACAAAGTACTGGGGCAACTTGAGTCCCTGGTATTCTGTTCGAAGTGCAGACTATGGTCTTCCTGATGCTAGTCCTCTGATTCCTGATGGTTGCGACATCACGCAAATGCATCTTCTTTACCGTCATGGCGCTCGGTACCCAACTAGTGGTGCAGCGCCTGCGACCTTTGCCCAAAAAATTGCGAATGCTACGAAGACTGGCCTTGCTGTCTCTGGGGAGCTTTCCTTCCTAAGCGATTGGACGTACAAGTTGGGCGCAGAGCTTCTCACGCCATCTGGCCGCAGCATGAACTTCCTACTGGGTATCGAGTACCGTGAGTTATATGGTCATTTGCTCAACAACTTCACAGAAGCTGGTACTATCCCGGTCTTCCGAACACAGTCTCAAGATCGTATGGTGAAGACTGCGGAGAACTTCGCTGCCGGCTTCTTTGGCGTGCCTGAGTACATGGACGAAGTCAGCATCGAATTGCTCGTCGAGACTCAAGGTGTCAACAACTCTGGTGCACCTTACGAAATCTGCAACAACTCGAACATTGCCACACGAGGAAGCATCGGCAGCCGTGTCGCGGCACAATTCGCGAACAACGCTTTCAACGCCACTATCGCTCGTCTCCAGTCGCAGGCTAGCGGCATCAACTTTACCTCCACTGATGCCATCGCTATGCTTCAGCTTTGCTCATACGAGACACACGCTCTCGGCTACTCCGCTTTCTGCAAACTGTTTAACGAAGAAGACTTCTTGAATTACGAATACTATTTTGACCTCTCGTTCTATTACAACAACGGGCCTGGTTCACCTGTCTCAGCAGCGCAAGGCAAAGGCTTTCTTGACGAGTTTATCGCACGCTTCACTCATCAATATCCTGGGCCCAACTCAGCATTGAATGAGACATTTGACAACTCCTCGACATACTTTCCGCTCAACCAGTCCATCTACGCAGACGCCACCCATGAAGTGGTTGTCCTCGATACGCTCACCGCTTTCAACCTGACAGCTCTGTTCAAAGGTCCACCATTAAGTCCTCAAGGCAATCAAGGCCAAAACAGTTTCGTAGCCAGCAAACTGGTACCATTCGCGACGCATTTTACTACACAAGTGCTTTCTTGCCCAGCTATGCAACCATCTAAGCAGATTCGCTTTATTGTGTACGTATCTTCCTTCCTCTTCGAGTTTGACGCGCAACTGACGGTAGTTCCCAGCAATGACGCTGTCGTTCCAATCGACGAATCATACCCGGGCTGTCCAGCTAATCCCAACGGTCTCTGTTCGTTCGACAACGTAGTCGAAGTTTTGCAGAAACGCAGTGCTGAGATCGACTTTGATTATGATTGTTTTGCAAACTATACAGCCGCTCCTGGACAGGATTACAATGGCAGGGCACCAAGGTCTTAGATCATATCAGGAAGCAAAAGCAGCTCTAGGATCAGAAGGAAATGATAATGCAATATAATGTCAAGAGACTTGATGAAATCGTCGTTTGCGCTCCATCCTCATTGAGGATTTACTCGCTAGTTGCTACGGCATGCGCAGGTATAGAGGGTAACTGGGCGGCCACGCCAATTATCATGAGCTGTTCTTCACGCTTTTCGTGTATGGTATGTCCGCAGCTTTGGAAGTGGTTCAGTTCTTAATCACCTACGTTCTCCTTTTGTGCAAGGCATTTGGTGCCTCCAGCTAAGCTAGATATTCGCGACTTCACGTATTTGGTAGTCGTGTTTCTGCAAGATTCCGGTACAGTTTTCCAGTACCTAAGTCGATACCTAAGTTAGTGCCTAGAATTCCAAATAGATCTTCGGCTGCTCTTTGCACGCCGCACAAAATAGTCATACGGATATGATAGGGTCGTTCTCTCCACTGGGTAAGAGGAAGACGAGTCATAGAAGCGGGCTGTCAGATATCGTGGCGGAGAGTGAGGAGAAAAGTAAGGAGTAGGAAGATGAGGAACAGTTTGTGAAGGATTAGCACATGATGAGACGTGATAAAGGGTTTGAACCAAGTCATGAAGCATTTTCGCTGCTTTCGGAAATGTGATGGGATACGGAATGTTGAGATTGGGCAAGTTGCCAGCAGAAAAGGACTTATTAAGTACAGTGTGCTTTTCAGTCACGACGTATAACCCGGCTGCAGATCGCTTTTCAGATCCAGATTGATAGCGAGTATCGAATTAATCACGACAAAGGATGTCATTTCTCCTGATACGACGGTGAGCATGCACAGTGAGCGCAGTGAGTGCTGCACTGGTCGTTGGAGAAGCCAAAAAGCCGTTGAATACCAGCAGATAACACATACAAGGTCTTAGGTTAATCTGTGCTGTAGACAACTAGAGTGTCTCGTAGATGCTCCGCCACAGCTTGTTCACATGAAGTGGAACGATAAAAATTTGGAACCAAGTACGAAAGTCAAAGTGCTGCCGTTTGCTTCTGCAATACAGGAATATCCTCTTTCCAAGTTTAGTCTAGTCCTGACCTGTCTCAGTCGCGAAGTCTCCCGAGAAACTCGGTGGCGTAGTTTCAGCCAGCAAGATGTTCATAGGATTATGGTTCACGATCTGCATAACTTCGTCGCGAATCAGCTCATCTGTGCCTGCAAAGACCTTCTCTACCCATAATACACTCTTAACAATTAACATGATGTCGTCCCACTCATGTAGCTGCATACCACTCATCAGAATTCCAAGCATGAACACAAATTGGCTTCGTTCTGCAAGATCTTTGGTCTCAACGGCAGCAGAGTACAGCACCCAAATTAAAAAAGGCTTCAAGTCGTTCCATTCGATCATGTTCTTCGTGAGAACAAGTAGGAGATGGCGAGATATGGCGGCTGTCCATACTGGCGATTGACCAAAATTTCTCCAGAGTGGTGCCAGAAAGAGTAATGTTCCAAGTCTACACACTTCTTCGATGATAATCTCTCTGCTATCCCCGTGATTTAGAGGCCGAATAGCCAACAGGCGGTATATGGTTGGCTCCATCCAACTACCGCTCGTAATCGCTAGCATCAGCTGCTGTCCGGTGAAAGCTCGATCAAGGGAGATCAGTTGTACTACATCATCAAAGATTGTGATAAAGTCGAGCTGCATGGGTAGTACTTGTTTCCATGCAAGCGATACAGCACTACAAGGTCGTGGAGAATTGGGTGGAGATTTCGAGTCTGCTATCCATTGTGGTGGCATAGGAACAATTGGCGAGTGGTCTTGATAGAAGTTTCCTATAAGATCTGCCCTACTCGCATGTCAGTGGGTATTCCAGCTCAATTGTACTCCGTTCAGACCTACCAACTGATTGTGATCCGCAAGTACTCTTTCGCGATGGCATCGTAGCCGCCACGGAGTTCCACTATTCTGACTAATGCGCTGCTGTGTTTATGCCAATCATCGCCAGTGAAGTTTCCCATCAGAGCCTGGGAGATGTCAGCCTCGCCACTGTCGTTGTAATACATATTACCCACAAAGTGGATCATGAAAGATACCACGGCACCTATGACCTCGTCACTTAGACGCTTGCTAGGATCATTCATCATCTGGCCGGTATGACCAAGCGCTTTGTTGTGATATCTTAGCGCTATGGCATCGTCTTGGGAGGGATAGTATCCATTGCGTTTCTGGAATAAGAAGTTCTGGGAATTTGACAGCATGTTGTAGAAAGCAGCTGCATCGCTCAGTCCAACGGGGTACCATGAGCCGCGAAGTTGACTAGGATGATTGTTGTCCTCAGTACTGAACACTACATCAAGTCAGGAAAGAGTCTGGCCACAACGGGGAAATGCGCCTACCGTTCGCTAGCAACGCTCGATCGGAGTCATTCAGTTCGATTGGATAAGGATTGAATGGGTCAAGCTGACCGCCACCAAACCGATCAATGTCTACGCGACTTTCGAATGGATTTCGAAATTCAAGGATGATCTCGTTGCGTGCCCTCTTCGCTTTGGGTTTCCTCCTGGCTTTGCCGACCTCAGTCATAGCCAAACGTCGGATGCGAAGTTGGGTTTCTTCGTTCTTTAGATCGTCCGGATGTGTGAGGTTCACAAAGCTGAAACTTGGTTTGGTGGAGCGATCCATGGCGGAGAATTGAGGGTCGCGATGGCAGTGTGTCTCCAGACGACTCTGTACTTTTATTTATATACTGGACACAAACGAGCGCGGCGACAACCTTATGTCATGGACCGTACAAATCTGGCGCCATAATAAAGACAGCACTGGGCGAGAGTGTAGTAGAGCTGAAAATCATGCCGACGGCCTGCAGGGCAATCGCACGAGAGGGGCGTCAAATCCAAGGCGGCGACAAGCGAACAGCCACTCAAAGACTGGCAACACGAAGTCGAACCCCGTCGAAGCAAATACAGAACTCGATGTCAAACAGAACGATGATGAATGTTACAGTTCGGACCAGCGACTGATGCGCTTCCGGGGGGTGTGTGTGAATTAGTAATCGAGTTTACCTGTCAAACTGGTGAATAAGCAACGAGAGCTGGGCAGCCATGCTCGTCCGTTTGACTTAATGCAGTTGGTATGACTAATGTTGTGACCGAGTCATCGATGAACAGCACAACCTATTTTGCGATAGGTTGCGGCAAACTACTTATAAAGATGGTGTTACAAATTGTTCCCATGCTGTCCATGAACTTCAAAGCAGCGACACCAATCCCTGCATTGTGCGCTGTGACCTTACTCAGCAGCGCCAGCAGCGCCTGGATATCTCTAGGCGCCAACGCGTACTTCCGTTTCCAATCTCACAACTGCGTCGTCTCGATTTCCATTGAGTCTTACTTCCTCCATTAGATCAGGTTCACCAAGCAGTAGCGCCTTAGCAACGATTCTCCAGCTCACTACCTTGTCTTCCTTGATCTCCAATGGTTGCAATATCCATATCCTCAGCGGTATACAGCTCGCATCAAGCAGATCCACAGGGATTGCGGCTTGGAGCTCCTCAAACTCAGCGCCTTCCCAATGTTCGTTGATGAGCGTGTGAGTCATAAGAGCATGACGGCCATCGATCGTGCACTGCAAGCGGACTATTAGATAGCCAATGTAATACATCGAACGAGGATCAGTTACCCACGTCAGGAAGAGTTTAGCGTCTTCTACATCGAACGCAGTCCTTTCCATTGTTTTTGGATCTGCATTCCGATGTAGTTGTTCCATAAGTTTCTGACCTGGTACACTCAGCGCTGCGTTCGGCTGAAGATCTTGGTGTACGCCTTGGTTGTAGTTGGGGTGCACGATATCACGCTTGAGCTGCTCCCACAGGGCAGCAGTGAATTGAAGGCCATTTTCGATACATATGGCGATGAACCTTCGTCGGCGCTTATCGTATTCGCTGTCTGGCTGTACTTTGGGTGGCCTCACAAGGACTCCGTCTGAAGTATGCTTCAGTGGCTCCGTGCTTTTTATCATTTCGGGAAAAACTTGATTAGCAGTTTCCAATTGTGCATCGTGCTGTCTCAACCCCCAAGGCGCCCTCAGAAAGATCATGTCGAGCTCGATGAACTCCGTAGAGATATGTCGGATGCCCTGCACGTTTCCGAGGATAAAATTTGGAATCGTGGTATCCTGAGTAGCAATACTTGGCGATAACCACGTTGTGTTGCCGTCGAGCTTGATCGATTTGCTGTCCATCATACTGAGTGGGTATGCCTCTCCTGCTGCAAGAGCTAAGAGTGCGCTGACATACAGAATCTTCTCTTTATCGGACGAACCATCGCCATTATAAGCCAAAGCAAGCCCACTAATGTTCAACATAACACTGACCTAAAGATCGGTGTACGAAGTCAGTAGTTGTCTCACGCGAGATTCTGCAGAGATGTTACTGACACGGTCTTCGAAATATTGGCATCCTTTCTGTGCAACACCATTGTGGCGAGCCATGATGCTTGGCCTCGACACCTCTCCATTGCGTGTTGTAGGATTTCTACCACTAGTACCATATCCTGTGAGAATGACGCTGGCCTTGGAGTGGGTCCGGTCAAAGCTCTGCTCAGCGTGCAGAAGGTCCATACCCATGGACAAAATAAGTTGGAGGTCTAGCCATTTCGCCTTCACAGTAGAGCCATCAGGACCATTCATGACAAAGGTCGCATTGTGGACATTGTGATGCCTCATAAAACTCTCAGGTTCGTTCACACAGAACTCATGGAAGCACCAGGCTCGGCCCCACTACACGACGTAGGGGCAAAGTCAGTATACCCCCAAGATACATCTCTATCGTATACACGTACCCATCGCGCTTTCTCCATCTTACGCCATACAGACACGTAAAGGTGCCTTGAATCCGGTTCAGGTACCCAAGATCTTTTATATCGCATTAGAATACCGGTGCAATCTTTCACAAATCGCGCTTCTGCTTTGTCCAGCGTTACATCTTCCAGTAGAACCAACAATCGGATACACGATCGGTAAATTATGTCCATTGCAGCAACCGACTTCTGTTTATCGAGACTATCCTCTTGGTCGATACAGAGCTGATCAATCCATATCCCCTCGCGAGGATGGTCCTTGTCGCTCAAAATTGCATCTACGAAGGGTTTGCTGAATGGCCAGCAATCGTACGGTTCACAGCCTGGATACGGATAATCTGCTGAGTGCCAGCAGTAAGAGATCGCTACATATTGGCGCACATACAGGCCGTTGTCGAATGATTCTCGAGAATCAGCCGGGAAGATTAGGCGAAACGGAGTATCCAAGATTGTTGTTGACGAACGTTTGGAGAACTGAGCGGCGATATCCGGGCACCATGCTGTCAGGTTTCGAAGAATCACGTCGGCTTCCTCTGCACTCTCATCAAGCTTGGAGAGACCGTGAGCGAAGATCTCAACCTTATTTTCTCTTGTTAGTGTCAATTGAAAGACGTTGTCGCTGATGTACTCAATGCTCGCATCCCTGGGGGGTACGGCTGGTTGCGTGTCCATGTTTGTCAGGCAGCTGGAGGTATTGCGTGTAAAAAGCTCTATCGCTTCCTTCGCTATAGACCGTCGATGGTTGCAATGGTGGGGCAAGCCATAAAAGAACACCTGAGCCTGCTGGATCCGTATCTAGAGGTGGCTGAATCTACATCAGGTGGCTGGGGGGTTGACGCTAACACATATGCAGAGTAGCGCGCCAAGCAATATCCTGATAACATCGAAAATTTGCCCTGCTTCTTTTCTGTTTCCTTACGCACCATCAGACAGTTCAAACACCTATCTCATCCGCATCTTTACGTCTTGTATCGATGCGAACCGAGTTTACCTATTGGGTGATTGCGATATAGCGCTGCGGAGAAGGAACCAAGTGCTCCATTAGAGCTGGCTGCGCATTTTTTCGGTTGCGCAGGCGGTGTCATAGGAGCGGTACATGCCCCATCAACCATAATCACCATAGTTTTTCAGCGAATAGCCTTGAAAGCGAGATTTTGCAATGCTGTCTGTCCCACCGTGTTGATAACAGCATACAAGCTACGGGAGCCGCAAGTATCCAATCGCAATTTTGCGCGTTTACAACTGCGTGTTCGTCCAGGCGCTTACATCTCTCAATTGACCTAGGAGAGTACTGCAGTTGCGTTCCGCGTTCCGCGTCCGAGCAGATGAGTCGTACGTCGTCTTGTTGTCGTCGTCGTTGCGCGCCTACCGTGATGTACAATCCTAGCATTGAAAGGAGATTTGTCTTATTCATCTCATATAAAAATATAGGCCAGCGGTCTATTTCTTCGACTCGTTTGCGAGCTGCGTCGTGATCTGGCGCATAAGGATTTTGAACTCATTTGGGGGCCGCAGATCGGTCTGAAAGAGATACATCGATGTAAAAAGTATGGACAGAGAAGGACCAAGATTCAAGACTCTTGCCTGCGTGTATAAACGAGCTCGTCCTCCCCGTTAAGTTACTGAGTGTGTTGTGATGGAATACATTTCTTTGAAGAGAGTCTGTAATGTATAGCTTCTGCTGTAGTCACACGCACTTGCCCTTTTGAAGGAATACGATAGATCTCATTTTTTCTATAGAATTAAACTCGAGAAGGTAGCCACCAAACCCAGTCTCAGACTCTTCAATCTCGCGTTCAAGGATATTGAAGACATAGCTGAGGACGTGGCCCAAGAGCTCTGCGGTTAGAGCCTTGGAGTTGGAAGTTGGAGTCGGGGCTGGCATCGTGGCTAGGCGAGTGTGATTGGATATGCACGTTGAAAAACGGACATGGAATAGTTGTCAAGTACGAGTTTGGCATCGCATAACGCGACTGAATTAGTACTTTCCTTGCAGGCTGCTTAGAAGGTAAGTGGCCCTCGCCTGCGTGCATAAAAATTGACAGCCGTTACATGCCTTCTTCAGGCAAGCTCCACCTCTCTCCCCCTTCTTTTCAAGATGACTTGTATACAATCAACCTTGGCCATACCCGCTTGACCTTTCATCTGTTGTTCCATATCTTTGGCCTCCCAAACATGCTCAATATCACGCATGACTCGTTTCAGGCTTGGAAAGCGCTTTACAGCATACAGCTCTTTGAATCGAACACGAACAAAATGCCTCTGAGTGCTATCAATCGCCTCGCAGCCAGCGGTGAAAAGCGGCCAGATGTGTGATGATGTAAGAGGTGAATGTGCATCGACTTGTTGTAGTTGTGATAGACACTGATTGATGTGCTCCATGCTTATCGGGTTGGGAGCACCAATATCAAGCCAGGTCCGGTACAAATATATGAAAGCGGCATGGCGGTAGGCTTCAGCTGTCGAGCTGATATCAGTATTTTCTTGGGTATCCTCCTGCTTACATGCAACGAAGTCCATAGCTAGTAATATTTGCTGAATCCGCCGGCCGGTAGTGTTCTCATCTTCTGACAAAGCCGGGCATGTTGGTGATTTTGCCTTTCTCATCTTTATAGCATGCTGTAGCTGACTGATCTGTGCAACCACCAAAAGCACATTTGCAATGCTTTCTAGCTGTTGCTCTCCTTCGACGGCGGTAAAGCCCGTTTTGTGATCCAACAATGGCTGTGAACCCCTCGAAACAGAGGAGAGAATATCGTGGTATGAAAAGAGACTCATGAGGAATCGGGCATTCGACGAAGCAAGCCAGCGATCTCCTTCATGTCTCGATATCATAGCTTTAGCACCGATCAGATGATTTGCAACGTGAGCTTCATCGTCGTCGCCAAATAATCGTGCTGATACTTGCATCATCATAACAGTGGCTAGCGCCGGCTCAGTATCTATCTCTACTGGATCTTGAATCATCTGCTGAAGCTCGCGAATGGCGTTGCGCTGGAAACGGTAGCCTTGTAGGTGTAGCGAAGCATTATTTGAGGTTAATGCGAGGTGATTTGCGGCCATTGAAAGAATCGTTGATCTAAGCGCCGGAGACTCGTAAGCCATAGCTGTCAAGTGTCGCTGAAATGGTGTTGCAGCGCCATGTCTAGGTGCTACCGATATCAACGTGGAGAGCTGCTCAACCCAGTAATTAAGGAGCCATCGATCATCTAGGGACAAGCCGTATGACAAACCAGGACTGTTCAGCGGCAATGTAGGCATGTTGTTTGTCGATTCAGGCGATGAGAAGACAAACTCAGGACTGGACAGCGCCATCGGTGTTGATGCAAAGCTGACGATCGATGTCGGGCTGGGCGCTTGGACCTGATCAATGGTCTTCTTCTTCCGACCCTTCCGTGGTGGTTTTGTCAATGTGCTAACGCCGTCATCTTGCCATTTCAGCTTGATCCCGTAGCCTTTGCAAGTTATCCTCAGTCTTGTGCAACGTCCACAAAAAGGTTTCAGCTCGTCGCACTTGTAGCCAGCTTCCCTACATGTCCAACAACCAGTCCTCGATCTCTTGTGTGTCGGCATCTGGGCGTGTCAATCATCTTCGTTGATACTCTGCTAAGGACACCTCTAAATCGCCATCTTCAGCTATGGCATAATGCGTCGCGGGAGAGGGTGATGTATGAGAATCGGAAGTTGTTCCGTAAGTTGTCGAGGATCGAGAGTAAAGGGTGGCAAACTGCACACTAACGTTAGCTCCCGCTTTAGTTCTCCTGGGCCGAGGCCTTCGAAGATATTGTTACCAACGCGAACACCAACAATCGTCCTTCCAAAACTTCATGTTATAGAAGCTCTGGGAACGTCAAACACAAGGTTGTGGCGGCAAGTCTACTAATCAATGCTGAGCTTCATCCAGGAACTCTATCTCGCCCTCCTGAAAAGCCCGCACCCATCTGAACACACCCTCTTTTGGATCCATCACACACACGAAATGTGTAACCTCATTGCAAACAGGGTATTGCATTAACCACTCGGTTAGCTTCTCCGGGCTAATGCCTTTCGCTGCAGTTTGTCCTCGCCCCGTTTTACGATCTTGCTCCTGGCTCCAATCCAGCCACTTCTGCTTCAGACACTGTTTCCGCGCGATGCTTTCGTCAAGCACTTCTTGCATACCCGCATTGAGGAAGTTGTGGTTCCGACCCTTATTATGAACGGCATGATTCTGAATAGCTTGTGGGTTGTCTGTAGCCTCCAATGACGCATCATGATTGGTGGTGCTGATGAAAGTCGAAGAGCGTAAAGTTCTCGCACTTTCAAAGTCTTTCTCTAGAACCACTGTTTCTGCCCCCGTACAGAATATCAGGTATGCTACTGACGTATGCATGTGAGGGATGATGTCGAATAGTTCGGTTGCATCGTATGGTGAAATAGTTGTGGATGTCAGTGTTTCCTCTTCCTGGGCAGACCTTTTGGAAAGCCTTTGTCGTCTTCGAGGTGCGCTTAGTCTAGGTAGGAGACAATCGCGTAACAGGTTGGAGATACTCGGCTTCCGTCCCAGAAGCACCATTAGAGTATTCCAGTAGTATCTGATGTTAGGCCCCGACAGTCCGTGGGTATTGTGGTAGGGGCGGAAGTTGAGTGACATGCTCAGTCCATTCCTTACGCCTGTAAGTACACCCACAAACCCCACATAGCCCACAGTCCTTGCTATCACGTCGCCACCTGTTCTGCTAACGTACTCAAACTGTACGATGATCTGCCGCAAAAGAGGCATGGACCAATCCAACGTTCGAAAATGCATCATCGTTGGCTCGACTCTAGGCTCTTTGACCATGACGCCACCGCTTGTGCAGCCCATGAGAAGGTCCAGGAAGACGTTGTAAGCGACGAGTAGATACATGGGAATCCCACATGCCTGACTGATTCCTCTAAGCTCCTCGGTCTGTTCGTCGCTATGAAGACGACGCAAGAGCATACGGCCTAGGAAGTGGAAGAACCCGATAGGCAGCTTCAAATGCTCTACTGCTTCGTCGTAGAGGACTGGCATTTGACGCAGAGTATGGGCGTAGTCAGTGGCAACCAACACATAACGCTCACGTGGTGGTAGTGAGAGATCGATGGTGTAGATTGGAGGCGTGCAGTTTATTAGATTTTCTGTATGTTCAGACATGAGGATGCGAGTTTGACTTGCAGAGGGGTTTGAGGCAAGAGCATAAGATTCAGGTTTGATGCGCGATGTGCGCTGTCTTAACTGAGGAGGCATGATGTGGTTGGGGACAGTGGGTGGTCGCGATCATAGAAGGAAGCCACGTCTGTTATGGAGCGGTTGACCAAAGAGCTATGACTCCAAAGTAGCAGCAGTTACCTACACGACGCTTTTGGATTCTTGTCAGATCGCTCTGGCAGACAAGTAGGCGCTGATGCCTAATGCTACCAGTCGTAGAAAAGTGGGGAAACGCACATCGTGCCGGGACAAATACACATTGTTTGGCATGCCAGACTACATCAGCCTCAAGTCGATAGACGCAAAGGCGAGAGGAGTGTCTGACGATGGTCGGTATACGAGTGCGTGTGGATGCAAACAAACAAGTCAAACGCGAAGGCGGACAAGGAAGCTACCCCAGCTTTCCAGCTCGCGATATCCGCACCTCGGCTTCCCCGCGGACGTCCTTAGCCGGCCGCCGCAACAACCAACTATGTCGACGTCGAGCATGCGTACCACCAGATTCGCGTCAACTTGGTTTGACTTGCATCACTTCAATCGTCCCAAGTAGCACGTCGTGTCCAATAGCAACTTCACCATGACAACAGCACATCAACCGCCCCCGCTGGCGGACATCCGCGTCCTTGAATTCGCAGGACTCGCTCCAGGTAAAGCTAAGCTTGTTTGCTCGGATAGAGCTGTAAGGATAGCGTCTAATAGCATCCAGGGCCCTTCGCCGGCATGCTCCTAGCAGACTATGGCGCAACAGTCCTCCGCCTCGACCGCGCACCTGCAACCCCGTCCACCGACCAACTAACGCGCCGCAAAACTTCGATATGCGTGAACCTCAAGTCTCCTGCGGGCCTCGCGCTAATCAAGAAGATCGTCGCGAATGTCGACGTTGTAATCGATCCCTTCCGACCCGGCGTGTTGGAGAAGGCCGGTCTCGACCCCGACAAAGTGCTGCTGAAGTTGAACAAGCGCTTAATCGTGGCGCGCATGACCGGATTCCGTCGAGACGGGAAATACAGTCAAATGGCTGGGCACGACATCAACTACATCGCTGTTTCGGGCGTGTTGAGTATGTTTGGGCGCAAAGGGGAGAGGCCGTATGCACCAGGCAATGTAGTTGGAGATTTTGCGGGAGGCGGCGCCATGTGTTTCATAGGTATAGTGCTGGCACTGCTGGCGAGGGAAAGGAGCGGATTTGGACAAGTCGTCGAGGCAAACATGGTGGATGGGAGTGCCATATTGGCGACTATGCCACGATTAGGACTAAAAACGGACGTCTGGAAAAGGGAGAGGGGAACAAATATGCTCGATGGTGGAGCGCCGTTTTACGATACATACGAGACCAAGGACGGGAAGTACATGGCAGTAGGCGCGATCGAACCACAGTTCTACGCCGCGTTGCTCAAGGGTATGGGCCTTAAGCCGTCGGATCTACCTGGGAATAGGGATGACAAGGCAGACTGGCCAAAGCTCAAAGACTTCTTCACAGTAGAATTCAAGAAGAAGACGCGCGAGGAGTGGGAGGCTATATTTGATGGTACGGATGCATGCTGCACTCCTGTGCTTACACAGGGTGAGCTCGAGACCCAAGGTTTCGATCAACGGCCGGCTGTAACCTTGAAGTCTACCCCTGGGTATGCGATCAAGGACGGTGATGATGGGCGATCGGCTGCAGAGGGTCAGGGTATAGGATTGGACGGCAGTGGGTGGAGCGAGAAGGGCTTGAAGCCTGGCCACGGGGGTGAAGATACGTTAAGCACATGGATGGGATGGACAAAGGGGAGGCATTATATCGAAGACCAAGGAGGCCTGGTCTGGAAGGATTCTGCAAGGCTATAGCCGTGCTAAACACTTTGTTCCTGATAACTCGCTCACTCTATTGCTTTTCAAGTTGGTACAGGGCCAGAACAGGCTTCATGTCTTCAGTATACACATGTATTCATACAAGCCAAAGCATGTCATCTCACTGCTCTACGCTCTCGCCTTCCTCGCCTTGGGCTTGCTAGTCTTCTTGCCCGCGTTCCTGAGTCTCTTCCTCTCCATGTTAGCCTTGATCCTTGTGCTCCTCTTCCGCCACGCTGTCCATCGGTCGCCAGGCACAAACTCCTTGACCTGTACACCCGCTCTCTCTGCCGCACGTCCAATCTGCCAGTTGGCCTCGCGGTACGCGTATCCCTTGCCCTTGGTCAAGGTCAATCCCTTCCTTGTCGCTTCGCGCGGGGTATCGCGGACGCTGCTTGGGCTGCCTGTGCCGTCGCCAACTTGTAGATCGGTTACAATGACTGCATCAGCAGAAGGGTTTGTGGGCGATGTGATGGGAACAGCGAGCATGTTTAGTCGTCTCCGCCTTGCCGCGTTTGGTGGATATGGAAGGGTGTGGTCTTTCTCAAGGGCGACACCAATGTACTGTCTCTTTGGGTGTTTCCGTGGGTCACGGTAGTACCGGACATAACCAGACTCTGTAGCGAAGATGCAGTGATCGCGACCGAATTTGCAGTTCTCGCCGGGAAACCACGCTGTGCCTCGTTGGCGGAAGATGATGTTTCCTGGGATAACATACTCTCCTGCATTGCAGTTAGCCATGCCTGTCTGACAAAACGCCTAGTTGACGAGACACACCTCCACTCTTCTTGGCTCCTAACCGTTTTCCAGGCCCATCTTTTGCTCCGTTGGCTCGTCCTTGTGCCTGATGCGCTGAATGTCTTACGAAGGAGAGGACCGGGGTAGGGGCCGAGGTGCCATTGGCTGCGCGGAGGGCATCGAGAACACGGGTAGATGGGGCGATGAACGTCGTCGATGTCGCTAACGATGCGCGGACAGGCGCAAATATTCGTGGGAGCAGCATGGCCGCTCTGGTGCTGAAGAGGCGTGCATCTCAGTCCATTGCGACTTTTCGAGATGCTCGGTGGCCTGTGCGTTCTCCGCACGCCGCCCACAAGCCACACAGCAGGTAGGAACACCATCATGCATCCCACATAGAGCACAGTGATTACGACATATATATTTTGCCTGCATCATCGCATAGCTGACTACACTACGAGCAAGCTCAGAACAGGAACACAACGAGCTAGCACCCAAAACACCTTGCATACCATGGTAGAATGCCAAATCCAGAGAACACACAAATCTAGCAGCAAGACCGCTCTAGATATGCACCCATCTACTGCACTTGATTCACAATCTCCTGCGCCTTGGACAAGCTCTCCACCATCTGCTGGCAGTCCTTCCGCCTCTTGACAGTGTACTCTGACTCCTTCAGTAGCTCGTCGAGCTCGTCTGTCTTGTACATGTTGGTGAGAAGCTCGCCTTGCATGTTCTCCTTGGTCCACTGGACAAGGTTCAGCATAATGGCCTTGGGTACCATATCGATCATTGTTCGACGGACAATGTTGAAGTATGAGGTGATCAGTAGTTCTGGATACCGTTAGTCATGTACAAAATCGTCGCCAGGGGAACCTTACTGATAACTTCAACTTCTTGCGACTCCTTTTCGGAAAGGGTGCCTGAAGCCTTCAGTGTAGGGGGCGGAGGCTCCATAGCTGCCATCTTCTTCTTGTTCTTGCTAGCGAAGAATGAGCCAAAGAAGCCACCGCCCTCATTAGGATCGAGCGATGGAGATATCGACCGCGGCGGGACACTAGGTGGGAGTGGTTTTCCAGTCTTGGGGTCTACTTGCTGAGGCCTACTGCTATTGTGTCGCTCATGTACAATCGCCATAGCACGCGAACCGTTGATGAAGTCAGGGTGACCAGTGTTGATGTAGACCGACTCCATAGCGACAAGATCCTTTACGAGCTTGTTGGTGGGCTCCATGGCCTTCTTAAAGAAGCTAACAACGACCTGGTGCAGCTTCTCTTTCAATCCTGGGTATCTGCGGAAAGCGTTCTTGTTGAGAAGTTGGCTGAGGATCCTAATCAACTCATCATAGACGAGACTGACACACTTTAAGCTAGGTTCTTCTAGTCGCTTGATTTGCTGCTTCACAATGAGTTCGAAAGCAGTAGTACCAACGAACAGCGCGGGAGATGAACCAGACGAGTTGTAGAGAACGGTCCGGATGTCCATGTCTTTGACCTGATCGAAGGGATCAACGGCCTTTACACCATTGGCGTACAATTCGTGGTAGACGAAAGAGATACGGGCTCCACCTGAAAGTTCAACTGCGGAAAGCTCTTGGTTGTTGCCCTCTAGCACTCCCCGGTATTCGTTGGTGAATTCTGTGATCATGTTTAGGACAATGTTGGAGCTGTTGCCGAGCATGGAGTTGCCCAGCGACGAAAGTTCTGCCTGATACTTTTGTAGCGACGAAGCGATGCGAGCTTTGATATCGGGGAGAGTCTGTTTGATATGCATCATAAGGATCTGTAGCTGTTAGCTGTCGACCGCTCAAATACACAAGAGCCTGAACCTACCAAATTCAGCTTCCGCGCCAAGTAAGGTGTACCGCAGTATGCTGCCTTGTTGCGGTATGCCTTGTGGTTCTCGAAATATTGCCTCTCGTGCTCGAGCGCGTATGAGATGGCCTTTTTGTTCTCGATGTCCCTCTGTCCTCGGTTGACAACTGGTACGTAGCCCAACCGCAATGGAATAATGCGACCGGCAAGGATGTCTACGACGTCGGTTCCTTCGTCCATCAGATCTACCTTGGTCAAAACACCAATGGTTCGTTGTCCCTCAGGGTCTACTTCACGAGCCAGCTTCAGACCGTCGGAATTGGCCAAATCGGTATTCGCAGCGGTGACAGCGAGAATGATGGCATTGGGCTTGCTGATCTGCTTGAGAACCATCTCTCGGATCTGACGTTCAATATCCCTTGGCTGATCACCGACAGGCACCTTTGTTAGACCGGGCAAGTCGACCAGCGTGAGCGTGAGGACATTTGGCGAGTATATTCTCAAGTTGATGGGTGCAGGCGAGATACCAGCATTTCGACCAGTCTTGGACTCTGTCTCCCTTACAATCTCGTCCCGTATCTTGCTGAAGTCGTGGAACTTCTGGCCAGGAATGTGCAGGAACTCGCCCCACTCGTCGGAATTGTTCTCCTGGTCTGTTGTCTTTGCTCCTTCGGTAGTGCCGTTCGGTTGCGAGGATGCGCGGTTGATGAGTTGGAGAATGAGTGGTCTTCGAGTAACAATACCAGTTCCTCGGGGCAGGCTGTAGAGCTACCGTCAGTATATTCCGCTCACGCCTTGATGCAGTTGCGAACACTCACAAGTCTCTTCCAACAATGTTCTCAAGCACTGAACTCTTTCCGCTGGACTGCGATCCTACGACAGCGATCTGAGGCAAGTCTATGGGATTTTGGACCTAACTTAGGCATCAGTACGGGTGTTTGGACTTGGGTTGCAGATAGTTGCGCGCGAGTAGGCGGAAGAGAGCGACGTACCCCGACTGTGGTGAAGACATCCTGGAGCTTGTTTACGAGAGTGATCAGCCCGGGGTCGTTCACGTTGATGCTGGACACCTGTTATCTTTCCGCAATGCGAGGGGCTGTTCCAGACATGTGCGTACGCATTTGGGTTTGTCGCCATGGTCGGCGAAGTGTGAGTGGAGGATGTTTGAATACGCTCAGTGTTCGCGGATAACCGTGTATACGGGTGTAGGTGGTATCAAAGTTGTTGGAGGCGAAAGTGTCTGAGATCTGGGGTTGTTGCTTGCGGGTTGCGTAGCTGCTGCAAGTGCCAACGTCGGAGAGAGCCCAAGCTTCGATACGCCACACGACTCAGCCCCACGAAATGCGACTTGGGCATTTTCTCGACATGCGTACGTCACCAAACTGTCAGATGCATCACATGGGAGATGCGCTCAATCATTCCGATACGCCACTTTTATTCACATGGAGCTATCTCGACACTCGCAGTACAACGACGTTGGGGCAGGCGCACATGACGCGCATTGTGGTCACAGGACGCGAAACAGCGTCGTCAGCGGTTCAGGCAGCAGTACTGGTATCTTGGTACAATTCGCATTCTATAATCATGGAGATATACTAGACAGACGCGCTATGGGAAAATCACCTTGAGGCACACACATTTACTCGTCGACAACCGATGCAAACTTGTCGGTCATCTTCTGTAGAAGTTCTTCGTACTGTTTGAACATTAGTATTTATACGATAACAACAGTTGACTGAACTTACCTTCTTGGTGACCTTCTCCTGGCCGTCGCTGGGCAGCTCGAACTTCATCGAACGGAGCTGGCTCTGGATCTCCGAGGTCGCATCGCGGACCTTGGGCCATGCATGCCCTTGGGAGACAGCCTTCTGAGCCTCGTCGTGAAATGCCATCATGTTCTTCATCATCCATTCAGTCTTCCACAGTGGACAGAACTGGTCGTAGTCTGAGTAACCGTTTTGTTGCAAGAAGTCCTCCTTGAGTAGTGTAGCAACGTCAAGCGTAATCTTGTCACCGTCACCCAGAGCTGATTTACCGACAAGTTGCACAACTTGGTCGAGGTCGTCTGAAGTGGTCAGAAGCTCCTTGATGCGATCGCGCAGACGGGGGAACTCGGGGTTGTTCTTGGCGTAGTACTTGTCGAGCGGGGTTGTGTACTTGCTGTAACTGATCGACGTGTTGACGGACGGGAAATGCTTTCGCTGAGCAAGCTTCTTGTCAAGACCCCAGAAGACCTGCACAATGTTGAGGGTACTAGTAGTAACGGGGTCCGAGAAGTCACCACCTGGAGGGCTGACAGCACCGACGATAGACACACTGCCGAAACGCTCAGGACTACCCAGAGCCTGGACGCGACCAGCACGCTCATAGAAAGACGCAAGCTTAGCACCAAGGTAAGCAGGGAAACCTTGGTCAGCAGGCATCTCTCCGAGACGTCCGGAAATCTCACGAAGAGCCTCAGCCCATCGCGACGACGAGTCAGCCATCATAGCTACATCCTTGCCCTGGTCGCGAAAGTACCTAAAGATTGGAGTACGAAGTCAGTGCCTGTTTCACATGCAGTTCGTTCAGGAAATATTACGTACTCGGCGACTGTGATGCCAGTATAGATGGAGGCTTCACGGGCAGCCACAGGCATGTTGGAGGTGTTGGCGATGAGTGTTGTTCGCTTCATGATAGGCTCCTTCTTGCCATTGACGTCAATGGTGAGTTCTGGGAAGTCCATCAGGACTTCAGCCATCTCGTTTCCTCGCTCACCGCATCCAACGTAAACGATAATGTCACTGTTGGAGAACTTGGATAGAGACTGGGAAATGACAGTCTTGCCGCATCCAAAAGCGCCTGGGATGCACACGGTACCACCCTGGACACTGGGGAACAAAGAGTCGAGGACACGTTGGCCGACAATGAGGGGCTGGTCGGACGACATCTTCTCGTTGGAAGGACGGGGCACCCGTACGGGCCACTTATGCATCATGCTGTACTCGGTCTTGGTGCCGTTGAAGTCAAGCTCCAGGATCTTCTCGTCAACGGTGTAGCTGCCCTTCTCGGCGATGCGGGTGATGGTACCCTTGGCACGGGGAGGCAGCAGAACCCTATGTTCGCTGAGGAGACTGTTCTCGAAGACAGTACCAAAGACGTCACCACCAGTGATGTGGTCTCCAACCTTTAGGGAACCTGGTGTAAACTCCCACTTCTTCTTGCGGTCGAGAGCAGGCAGGTTGATGCCGCGGGGAATGTAAATGCTGTTCGCGTCGTCGGCAATACCCTTGAGAGGACGCTGGATACCATCGTAGATGGTTTCCATAAGACCGGGACCAAGCTCGACAGACAATGGCTGTCCGGTCCTGTATACGGGGTCGCCTACAGTTACACCAGCTATGCGATATTAGCCACGTCCTGCCGTGTGTACATGTGTGTGGTGTGCGTACCAGTCTCTTCGTAGACCTGGATGGTGGCCTTGTCGGCTTCGATTCGAATGACCTCACCAACGAGGTTGTCATGACCAACACGAACCTAGACGAGTCAGCATTCTCCCATCTCAGCGCATTTCAATCAACATACAAGCTCGTACATAGCACATCCGATCATGTTCTCGGCAATGATGACAGGGCTGGGTGGATCAGTATGCGACTCGAGCACTGTACAGCGGTGACGTACCCGGAAATGGAGTAGATGGCGCCTACACAGAGTTAGCGATGTCTTCCAACAGAATTTGCACATTTGTGTAGAATGCTCGAGCTTACCATGCTCCTCGCCCTCCGACTTCTGCTCCTGCTTCTTCTGTTGCTTCTGCGCCCACGAATTAGCTGCATGCGCCACATGTCCCTCGATAGCTGATGCTGCTTACAGGAGGCATCTTGTCTACTGGTGTGTCTTTCTCGTCGTCACTGGCTTCTTGTAGAGTGATATGAGGTGGCGGCGGCTGGGTGGGAAGCTCGCCTCGTGGTGATATCAGCGGGCTCGCGGGAAGCGGTATTCGGTGTGGCTCAACGTCGTCGGGGCCGGCGGCGGGGTGAGCTCCAGATATCGAGATCTGGTCAATGTTCTTCTTCTGAACAAGATCGTACAAAGATGGCCGTGTTCGCAAACGAGGACGCAGACCGAGTTGCATTCAATCGTTGTTGGATGCAGGTTGAGGTTGAGCACGGCCGACAAGCTAAGCTGCCGCGCTAGCGCCTGGTGGGGGCATTCCTTGTCATCTGCCTGCGAGCTCTCCAGAGTCGTGGAGAAATATGACATTCATCGTGTACTTAGACACTGCAACGCCCCAAGGCACGTAACTGACCCATCTTCTCTTGTCGTGATAGCATAGTGGTAGCGCAACAATGTATTAAGCGGCGATGTTGACATACGTCATAGCAGAAGCTACATCCCGTCTTCGGTAAGCTATATTGTGTTTCGCTTGCTACTCCCCAGCCTCTCCATCTCTTTGGCCGTGGCAACCCGCGGAGGGAACTCATTCGTCGCAGCCAGAGTGTCTCGCCGCTTGTTACTTCGGCAGTTTTGCAGGTCATCATCTGTGCCTCTGCGAAGTACATGTAGCCCAGTCCAGATTCTGCAAGTCCTTGCATCTTCTGCAGCTGAAGGACTGCTCCGAGATGAAAGCCGGAAGGAAGCGCGTGAAGAGGAGCTTCGTGAAGAGCAGCGACGCATGGATAACTGCGACATCGACATCAATTCCTGGAAGGACCACGGTGTAGCGAGGTTGGTCGCCAAATGGTAGAGGATAGTCTGGGCAAGTATATGCTGCAAACGATCAGCGTACGGAGTGGGACGAGCATCACTTATCTTCCTCATAGCGGAAAGATAGGGTGATTCAAAACTTCCTCGCCTGGAACCATCGCCATGGATACTGCACTCTACATTTCTATCAGCCTCCCACCCTCTAGGAAGATTCGAGTGAGCATCTTGCTTCCGGCGGCCAACACCGTGAAGCCAATAGACAACATCTACGACGATTAGATCAAGGCAAGGGCGGTGAAGGTCACGGTAGGAACCAGGGTCTCATGGCGTATGCCCGCAGGCGCTTTGAAATCCAAGACGAATCAGCTTGGAGATTGGTCATGCATGTTGAAGATGAGGAGAGGTGTGTTCAAGTCAAACTTGAAGTGGGTGCATTCGAGCGTTTGCACAACAGCCAGGCAGTGCAATAGTTGTGGTCTCAAGAAGGGTCTTAATCAGCTAGTCGCCTTTACCTGACGAAAATGTAAACCAGGGCTGGACGGAATCTTTGTGCAACGAGGGGCGTTGTGGTTGTGGTTGCTATGATTGGTAGACCCACCGAGGTCTTCTTCCAACTATATTCCCATATGAATCTTAGATCCTAGTACAATGCGTGCGGATATGAAAAAAAGAAGGCCGTTGAGTAACACTTCCTACCGAATTGGAGAAAATGCCACAATTGAATCTTGGCGTTATGTTAGAATGTGGTTCACTAATGGAATCGGCACGTGCTGAACCAGATATGCGATATGTGTGGAAATCATTTAGAACAGCCACTAGATCCTACTATAAGATTACCCCGTTTGAGGATACTAAACGTGCATATTGTAACGCTCACGGAAAGTAAATACTGCGCAGGCGCCGTGTGTTCAGGTCGCAGTTGTAACAAACATTACAAAAGCCTTGCGACCATCGCAAAACTGCTTAGTGCTGGTTTTACTGTTAGCAGTATGAGTAGTAGGCCATCATTGGCTCTATACAATTCATCGGCCACGTGTTGTATAACGCCAAGAGCAACAACTGTATTCGATATTCTAGCGCGATTATGTGATTGAAGGTGAATAGGTTAACATATGGAAAATCGGACCGATTCATCAGGTGGCTTGAAGGACAGGTGCTGTCAGATGTCGCATCCGGACACTATTTGAGCCGCCTGCGCTTATGAATTCACCTGAGACGTCATTTCTTAGTGCCATGCGGGATCATGGCAACTTAAATAGCTAGAAGATCTACTTGAAGTTAACTGGATTGAGGTGCATCGGGTATCGGTTATGAAAGTTGCCGACACTGTGCGGGTACAAATATCGATACTGAAGATGAAGTTAATGGCAGTGGATATTCAATCGTACCTTAATTCCTTTGTATGATTTGTTCCCCAACTATATGGTAGCATGGGGCCGATGCTAGCAGATAAGACCTTCGCGATTCGACACATGTATACGTTGCTCTTCAGACTGATTCAACAACCTTACTGGCACTGTACAGTTGTGGAGACTGAGTCCCAGCTGGCACACATTTTGCTGCACAGTAATTTGTCACCGCAGACTGCTTTAGTCCGACATTTCTGGAGGAGCAAACCTGTGGTGGCTGCCTGAGTGGAGCCTTACCCGGCTGGGTGAACATGTGATAAGCGGTGTGCGCTGTGGGGAGATATCCGTAGGTGTTATTGCCTTATGTGCTTTTGTTTACAAGAGCCAAGCAAACAAGCGATCATGACGATGGGAACTTGTTCAGAGACTCGTGTTTTCGAGCAGACGGTTCGGCTTGCTAACAGACGAGAAATGTGGCACGTCGTTAGGGACGAGATGTCTCCATATTCGATGTCGTGTCAAAGTTCTAGAGAAGTGTGCTCGTGCAACCGAAGGCTTGCGATCAGCGACAATACGAACGGTTGAGGCGCTTTAAACGCGAGGCGTGGGTTTGCTGGCGGACCGAGCTCATGAGCATCTACAGGTGTACGCGAGATTTGCATAGATGTCGCTAAAGTCGCGTTTCGAGGAGGTGAGACCGGAGGAACTAGTGGCCGTTAGCGTCGATTACGTATGTGGGATTTGGAATTAACACCACCAGATGGCCGGAAAGTCACAAATCATTCTCGCGTATGCGCTTGATGAAATTGGCGTTTCCCGACTCTCTGGGATTTGTCAAACAACATACGATTTTCTACCTCGTGGCATCTAGCACCCCGGAACCCAGAGCAGGCACATCCCTGGTTGCCGTGTTGCTATTGGGTAGACGATGCTTCGCGACGATCTCCCGCTCAACCTCTGCGTACCTGCTCACTGATTGTCGTGTCATTGACGGCACCAATAAGGTTACCTTTCTTATTATCATGTCGGAGGCATGAACGTCTCAGAGGGGTAATTTGGCGAAGCCGCCATCCTGCAAGCCCTAGTCGTAATCGTGCCGGAGCACGTTTCGGAGTTCAGAGTCGCAACTCGACTTTGGAAATTTGTTATTTTCGTATCTCGTTTGACAAATTATTGCGAGATCATATATGGGTTGCCAGATTCCTCTTTTCCAGCATAACAACATGCCTTCTCGTGCTCCAAGCTCAACCGGCTCTCAACCTTCCTCTACCCCTTCTCCAAGAATCATGGCCTCTGTCGCCACTCACCAGTCGTCGCACCCCTTCTTGACGCCCGCGCACGCATCCAACATATCGACATGGACATCTTCATTGCCCAGACATCAGTCGTATTCGTCTCCAGAATCAGAATCCGAGGCTCAATCTCGCGAAGCTGCCATCGAGGCCTACCGCCAGCTAAAAGCCGCACTCTTCTCGAAAGCCATGGATCCCAGCATGTCTAGACCTACTTGAGCATTTTGTGACGGAGCGATTTCTTGAGGCATATCACAGACTATACTAAACGTACTACTGAGACGACTTATCCTTAACGACCAATGGCGTCATACGCCACCTTCTACGGCATGACACTGGAGGCTGGAACCTCAAACGATACCCCAATTGCATAGAGCGGCGCTGGCTTTAATGATGGAATACTGAAGATCTGGGGCTCCGCACGTGGCAACGATGCCATGTAATTAGTTTGAACCCATCCTCGATGGACATGATGGCCGGCACATATCCAAGATTCAAGGTGTAGTGTGACGCTAGATCATCACTACTGTTAATTCACGGCTTTTTAAGAGTTCTCGAACGTCCCATTGCGCGTCATTGCACGTTGTGTGAGCCTGGCCCCTTTCAACATCCTTCTCTTTGACGCCTTGTTCAAATCCATGGGTGCTATGCTGCCCTGCTTTTATGTGACCAGGGAAGTGATGTATAGCTCAGCCCATGCCGTATTAATGATTGTCCCAAATTGCAGACTAGGGCACGAACGCCTGCTAAATACGGTGCCGAGAGAAGCCCTGTTCGATGGCTCGGGAGGGTGTTGCTCGTCAGCATCGGTGGGTGGGGGTGAGAGGAAGGCAGCAGGGCTACATGCCGTCATATCGGCATCGGCATTGTTATCGATAGCGAAATAGACACGGTCTGTGCGCCAAAAGTTCGCTGAACGCGACTGCGCGAACGCGCAACGAAGACAGCAACACCAAATTCTAATCAACCATACCAGGCAACGTTGAGACTTGTGACCAACTACAAAATGTCTGGAAACACACCCAAAACCATGTCCAAGGGGCTAATGGGAATGAAGGTATGTAAGACTACTGTACCATCCGACGAATCTGCTAAAACGCAAGTAGTTCATGCAGCGTGCTGCCGCAAAGTCTTCACCCTCGACGCCTGATGGGCCGCCCACCAAGAAAGCGCGCCTCTCGAATGGTTCTGCAGTAGGAACTTCGGACCGGGAGATCATACAATCGGGGTTGGACGCAGAGGAAGCGAAGCGCCAGGCTGCACTAGACAAGGCCGCACAGCACGCAGGCGAGACGAAGTGGGTATTGAGCTTCAAGGATCCTCTCGAAGGCAAGAGGCAAGATGCGATGAACGTTAGGCAAGCGGGGTTTGCTGAGCTGGATGCGGAGGACGATGAGGAAGACGAGGAAGAGGAGATCAGGCCCATAAGAATGCAATTCGGTGGTGGAGTTAAGAAGAAGGCAGATGTGCGTCTAAAAAGACCTGGTGGAACGATCGAGCTGACGTGCTTCAGAATTCCGTACCCTTGGTTAAGACTGAAAACTCAGATTCAGAATCCGAGGAATCCGAGGACGACTATGATTCAGAAGATCCTGCGGCAGATCTTATCCGACAGACGAAGCGCGAAATGGCGTCAGAGAGGCGCGAATCAAAGAAAATGCGCCCAAGTACAGGCGACGAATCAGCCCTGACAACACCGAAGCGACAGAACAACGATGGAAACCTGCAGGGCTTGACATCGATATCAGGCGGTCGACGCTCAGGAGGCACAGGTAGAGGGGGCTTCAATGGCATGGTCGACATGGAATGCTACAAATGCGGACAGAAGGGACATATCGCAGCCAAATGCTCGTCGGCACCACGTGGATTTGCAGGCAGAGGCAGAGGCAAGGGCCAGAGGTAGACGCGGTGACATCTTGGCGATGCATTTGTACACTTGGTACGGTTCAATGATACCCCCCATGGAGACTGCGTCTTCGATTGCAATTCGGTCATCCGACTTTATTCCCGTTCTCGATCAGCATATACTCATCTCCGACCATCATCTTCATTTGACTGTCGTCCATAAAGTTTTCATGGTCACTGTTGAGCGCGGCTCCATCTTTATCGTACATGAACTTGGCCAGGGCCAGATAGTCGGGAAAGACAAAGGTGCAGATGGCGTCATAATCCATAAGTCTGGCTTTGCCGTGCATGATGTCTTGTATAGCTTTGCGATCTCGCTCTAGATGATATGTCTGTGGCGGTCTCAGCTTCGGTACAAGAAATTGGCTTTGTTCGTGGCTATACAAGGCTGTAGCTGAGTATGCCATGGCGCTGAAGAATGGGAACTGCCCGCTGAGCATGGTTGTTGTTGTAATACTCGATGAAATCATCATCTGACATGCCATCCTTCTTCTTGATGTATATAGTTGCCTTTACAACCTTTCTGAAGCCCGTAGTGTTCGCGTAACCTGCTTGAAATGCTTTGGGTACCATGTTGTCACATAGACGAGGGGAAACTGTGGACGGGTAATTGGCAGCAAGTTAGCGGTGATCGGATCGGCCGTCTTATCGACAATGCAGGGCCCACCGTATCTGACGTTGATCGCTACCACAGCACCAGGGGTCCGCCGCATTCGCTGTCTGTCCATTGTTTAGTGTTTAGAGCCTCAGTCAGCAACTCCCTCGTCCCTGCTGCAGTATCCCAGTCTGTCTCACCGCCCTTGAAATCCCCGCGGGAGCACGCAATCGAATAGCACAAGGCAGCAGTCACTGGTAGAAGTGTGGTCCCCGGAAGCTCTGTCCAACCACTCCCGGCCTCCACCGCAAGTCTTGTGGATGCTCCCATTGCTAGGCGCACGACAGTCTCTGGGAAATCTGTCGCTCGTACCACGACACCGAACACTTGTTCCCAGGTTCCCGGTTGCCTGGTCGATTGCACAGTATACAGTCTCGTCGTCACATTGCTCAGCCTCTACTTCGCTTGCCACTCGTCGCCCCGGTCCACGCCGCATACATAAACCTCGTAGTCGCCAGGCTGCTACAATCGTCCCGCCACCTACCACACAGCGTAGCCTCGCAACGTCGCCAAGGAACAACAGCCAATCAGCCAAAATGACGGAAGCGCTGGGAAGGGAAGTCGGAGGACGGCAGCGCATAGAAGACCTGGAGAGGCCACAACTCGATGATCGCTCGTACCGAATCATCACCCTACCGAATCAACTAGAGGTTCTTTTGATACACGAGGCGGGGACAGACAAGGCTAGCGCGGCACTGGACGTCAACGTGGGCAGCTTCAGCGATGCGCCGGACATGCCAGGCATCGCGCACGCGGTAGAGCACCTGCTATTCATGGGCACTGAGAAGTACCCGGAGGAAAACGCCTACAACCAGTATCTGACGCGCCACGGCGGATACTCGAATGCCTTCACGGCCTCTACGTCGACCAACTACTACTTCGAACTCTCATATCCTTCCTCTACGCCTACGAGCAGCCAAGCCGCCTCACCAGATGTATCGCAAACAAACCTGGCAGAGTCCAAAGACGAATCGCCGCTATGGGGAGGGCTGGATCGCTTTGGCCAATTCTTCATCAGTCCCCTGTTCTTGGAGGACACGGTCGACCGCGAGCTCAAAGCGGTGGATTCAGAGAACAAGAAGAACCTTCAAAACGACACCTGGCGGATGCACCAGCTCAACAAAGCCTTGGCAAATCCAGAGCATCCCTACAACCACTTTTCCACGGGAAGCTACAAGACTCTACACGACGAACCAATAGCACGTGGGGTAAAGATCCGCGACGAGTTCATCAAGTTCCATTCAACGCATTACTCGGCGAACCGTATGAAATTGGTTGTCCTAGGTCGAGAGAATTTAGATACACTGGAGGCATGGGTAGAAGAGATCTTCGCCAAAGTGCCAAATAAAGATCTTGGCCAGAATCGTTGGGATATGCCTGTCTATACCGAGAACGAACTGTTAACACAGACTTTCGCCAGACCGGTTTTGGAGTCCCGGTCATTAGAGCTCCAATTTGCGTATCGTGATGAAGAGAGGCTTTACGAGTCACATCCTTCGAGATACCTAAGTCACTTGCTCGGTCATGAGGGCCCTGGCAGTATTCTTGCACTCATCAAGGCAAAAGGATGGGCGAACGGGCTTGGGGCAGGAGGATCTACTCTATGTCCTGGCTCTGGATTGTTTACCGTCAATATTAAGTTGACCGAAGAGGGCCTCAAAAACTACAAGGAGGTTGCGAAACTTGTCTTCCAGTATATCGGACTGATGCGCGATCAGCCGCCTCAAGAGTGGGTAGTTGAAGAGCAAATGCGGATTAGTGAAGTAGAGTTTCGATTCAAGCAAAAGAGTCCGCCAAGCCGGACTGCAAGTGGTCTAGCAGGCATTATGCAGAGGCCGTACGACCGCAAGATGTTGCTAAGCGGACCAGCGATTATCAAGAAGTTCGATTCCGAGCTGATTAGCGAAGCTATGTCTTACCTCCGACCGGATAACTTCAGGATGACGATCATCAGTCAAGATTTCCCAGGCGGTTGGGACCAAAAGGAGAAATGGTATGGCACAGAGCACAAAGTCGAGAAGATACCAGAGGATTTCCTTGCCGAGATCAAACAAGCATTCGAAAGCAAGAGCCGACCGGCAGAGCTGCATTTCCCTCACAAGAATGAGTTTATTCCAACTCGACTAGAAGTAGAGAAAAAGGATGTTGAACAGCCGACCAAGGAGCCCAAGCTTATACGCCATGACGACAACGTGCGCATCTGGTGGAAGAAGGACGATCAGTTCTGGGTACCCAAGGCCAACGTGCACATTTACTTCCGAACACCTATCACCAACGTCACAGCCCGTATTACTCTGCTATGTACGCTGTATCGCGAACTTGTGAACGACGCTCTGGTAGAGTATTCATACGACGCCGACCTTTCCGGGTTGGTTTACGACTTTACCAACCACATCAGTGGTCTTTCGATTACTGTAAGCGGCTACAACGACAAGCTCCATGTATTACTGGAGAAGGTCTTACTTCAAGTACGAGACCTTGAGGTGTCGGAAGATCGTTTCAAGATTATCCACGACCGCATGCTGCGTTCTCTACGCAACTGGGAGTACGGACAGCCTTTCCATCAAGTCGGTACCTACTCTCGACAGTTCAAGAGTGAGAAGAGTGTAATGAATGACGAACTGCTCCCAGAACTTGAGAACGTGACGGCGCAAGATGTCCAGCAATTCTTCCCACAGATTCTAGCGCAGTGTCAGATTGAGGTCTTGGCACACGGTAATCTCTACAAGGAGGAAGCTTTGAAGATCACTGATCTCGTAGAGCGTACCATCAAACCCAGGAGGCTACCAGCGAATCAAGTACCGACGCGTCGGGGTCTCATCTGGCCGTCCGGCAGTAACTTCATCTATGAGAAGCAACTCAAGGACCCTGAGAACGTCAACCACTGCATCGAGTACAGTCTGTATGCCGGCCATCGATACGACAGCGTCATGCGCGCCAAACTGCTACTTCTTGGACAGATGACAGATGAGCCTTGTTTCAATCAGCTTCGTACCATCGAGCAACTTGGCTACGTTGTGTTTTCTGGCCCTAGCTTCCACGACATTTGGTCAGGCTATCGTATCCTTATACAGAGTGAAAAAGATTGTCGGTACCTTGAGGGTCGCATCGAGAACTTCCTAAACACTTTCGAGCAGACTTTGAATGATATGAGTAACGAGGACTTTGAAAGTCACAAACGCGCGATGATCAACAAGAGGCTGGCAAAACTGAAGAATTTGTCATCTGAAGACAACAGGTTTTGGAATCATATTTATAGTGATTCCTATGATTTCCTGCAAGGTATGCCAACCGTAACCCTCCAACATTAGTATAGTATTAACGAATTTACAGCCGATGTTGATGCTGCGACTCTTGAGAAGCTCACAAAGAAGGATATGGTCGACTTCTACAACCACTACATCTCGACATCATCCTCTCAGCGCTCCAAGCTATCTGTGCACCTCCAAGCACAGGCTAAGGCAAAGGAGCCTTCGCTCGATGAGAGGAAGACTGCAGCTGCAACTGCACTCAAAATCATCCTTGCCGAACACAAGATCACAGCTAATGACGAGGCTTTCCAGGCCCGTATACAAGACGTATCGTCTAAGGATGCTATCCCAGATGCCGTTGCCACACATCTTACTGATGACCTCAAGGTGGACAAGGAGGTCGCTAACAAGGTCCTTGATGAAGCCAAGGCTGCACTGGGTGTCGCGGACTCTGGTCTCCCTGCGGCTCCACAGGCCCTCGATGCGTCGGCGGATGTTAAGAGCATAGTGGATGCATCGCATCCTGTTCTCATTGAAGATGTACATGCGTGGAAGGCAAGCATGCAAGTCAGCTCCGGTGTGCGACCGGTACGCAACCTTGAGGAATTCGTCGAGGTTGCTGAGAAGTTGTGAGAGACATCAAGTCGACGATTTAGCTTCGTCGCTGTAAAGGAGATAGATGTGCAAAGACCTCCGAATCGCAATACGCGGGTGTACACAAACAAAAAAGAGAGAGATTACAGCTTCATTCCAGTGTCAGCATAGTTGTAATTCTCTTGACCCATGCATGAGTCACACGTATTGAACACGTTTACTCGGCTGCCTTCACTATGTCATTTGGTTGTACTCCATGCTTTGTAATATACAGATACTCAATTTCTTGCGCCATTGAAGGCGCATGCCTCGTCACTCTTCACAAAACCAACTGGCATACCAAAACACCACGCACGTGGGTATTCCATACCGAACCTTTGCATCAACCTTTGCAAATCATCTTCCGTTCCTGGAATTATGTTGACGAAAATGCGGTCAGTATCACAACGTGGTTCCGAATGCACTGCGCCTTCTTCGCCGCCTACCCGGAAATATGCTACCTCTCCCGCTGCTGGAGACTCAACCTCCATATCCTGCAGAGAGCCTACAAGTGAATCACGCACGATCTCTGCACACGTTGAACAACCTATACAGCGTATGGATGTGCACGCATGAAAACCTATCTTTTCCTTCTCATTCTTCTTCGTCTCTTGCATTACTCGCAGTGCTGTCTCGTTGTCCTTTAGGAATAAGGTTCCTGGACCAAGAAGTGTAGTACATAGTTTCCAACACCTCTCTTTGCTAGTGGGTGAGAATCCCAAACCAGGTGCTTCCGAATCATAGACGAAGAAGTTCTCGTCTGTGTGCCACCGGGGCTTGTCGTATTCGCGGGTTGGCGCGGTACAGCGGATTGTAAGCCAATATTCGTGAACTTTTGCCTCTATAAGGAAAGCTTGCAGCCAGGAGAGAAGAGGAAGGAGGTGAGAGATCATGGTGGAAGGGGAAGAAAACGTCAGATCTGCCCAGGCGTGAAAGGACGGTGGGAGGGTTGCTTCGTCTGGCTGGAGAAGAGGACCGCAGTATGTCCATGAAGAGGGATGGTTGATTGCCAGATGCGGTGTTGATGCATGGCCAGATGTAGGGGGAGCGCAGCTATTGGAAGGCACTTTGTCCCGCGCGAAGGCGGATGAATATGGTATGAAAGCGTGAGAACCGTACTGCAGGAGTGGATCGATACTCGGTATCAGGTTAAAGTCGCTCAATTCGAAGGATCCTTGTGTGGTCTCGGTCGACCCAGGTTCGTCTTCGTAAAATAACAACATGCCCGTTTTGTGAACCTGCTCCTGACGCGTTCAAGACGACTTTTCCTGAAGAGACGAGTTGACTTTGCTTAGGATGAAAGGGGATAAGTAAGGGGATTAACTATGCTGAGATTCGCAAACTAACAATTATGAGACATGTTCAATGCTTGGCTATGCGTATTTACGGCGCAGTGGTCGCGTAAGGCGTCTGATTAGGTGTTGATATTCAGGGCGCGATGAGAGTCGCGACATTGGGGGCTCTAACAAAGATGCAACACGAGTCAGGAAATAGTCCAACTACCGCCATCGTCGGTCGTGTATCTGGAATGAAGCAGACCGGTCGATATGTATAGGAGTATAGATGATTGTGGTTGAACCGTAGACGCGATCAAGGTGGGGCGGCCCGTCAACGTCCCGGCAACTTCGTCATACTTGACGCAGGTACCGACAGCTGCCCCAACATGGAGTCATCACACAGCACACGGCATAGAAAGCCACCTAGGATTGGAGGTTGAGCGGAACAGGAGGAAGGACTTTGAGCAACATGCTACGACGAACAATTCCACGGGCGACTGCGCGCTCGCCACAGTTACTGCGCAAGCCATACCGGCGCTGCTATGCAACAGAGCCCATCGCGCCCCCAGCCTCCTCCCAGTCGCGCATCGAGCGCTTCAATCGCCGCCTACCAAGATTCCTGCACAAGTACACCAATGCGCTCGGCAATGCGCCAGTCACCCACATAACGTCATTTCTCATCCTTCACGAACTCACGGCCATAATTCCCTTGTTCGGGCTCGCGGGCTATTTTCATTACACGCACTGGCTACCGCCGTGGTTCGCCGAAGGGGCTTGGATTGCTTCGGGAGTTGAGCGCTTTGGTCGCTACTTCAAGCGCAAGGGCTGGATACGTAGTGACGAAGCCCTAGAAGCTGAACGTGAAGTCGACGAGATCCAGAAAGATGACAAGCAGCGGAGATGGATGAAGGGTAGCGGTTTGCTGTCGGCATCAGACGATGACGGGATTGGCAGCGAGACAAAGAGATTGAGGAAAGTGGATCAGGCTTGGAATATCAGTGAAGGCGGTGTCAGACTCGTGGTCGAGTTTGCGACTGCTTACGCCATTGTCAAAATGTTCTTGATTCCAAGGATTGTGTTCAGCGTTTGGGCTACTCCGACCTTTGCAAGATGGACGGTTTCCCCATTTCTGAAGGCGTTTCGCGGCATGTTCAGGAAGAAGGGAAAGAGCACTGAAGCTGTCAAGGGAGGCGCTGCACCCAAGACTAATAGTGGAAAGAGTACGGGAGCTTGAACGGCCTTTTGCTTGCCATTAGATCTTTAGCAGGTCTCGGAGGTTTGTATTGTACATGTCTTTGTACATTCCGATTAGCTTGTCAAGTTAAACTACGTGGTAAGCATTTCTCGCCTCTCTAGTTGAATTTCAAAGTCACGACCATTCGTCCAACTTGCGGTGAAGTCTCTCTTTCCCTCAAACCCTAGCCCACACCATGTGTCTCCGTTTGTTCCACCCGCTGTCGGCTTTGCGGTTGTTTGTTCTCCTCGTCTCTCGTCTCTTTCCAGCCCAATACACCAACTAGCAACATGTGTTTCAGCAATGACGATTACAGCTACGAGTCCAGATTCGAGGTCTGCAATGGCCGACGCTATCACGCAGAAGACTATCACCCACGCTTTGGTATGTCCCGACGCCGCAAGTATGGTCTCGGCGGCTCATACTATCCTTCGCGCTACTATGTTGACCCTCCTAGAGGCCGCTACATAAGTAATGCGGTCATTCGTCCGAATTCTTACTCACAGTCTGGCGGCGGATATCCGCTGGGTGTCGTGCCTGGGGGATATTCACGCAGCGTTCCAGGCAGGTACTCTCAAACCATGGTCCCTCGAGGTCTTGCTGGAGGTGGCTACCCTGGCTACTCGTCTGGGTATGCAAATGGTACTGGATATCATATCGGGGCCCGCGATGTTTTGGGGGTCAATTCAGCGATAGTAAGTTGTTCACCTTCTTTCTTTGCTCCGATCGCGCTGCCTTGCGCCTTCCCTTTACCACACCGCTGCCTTACCCCGCTATCATTGGCTCGCATGACACCCTCAGTCGTGACTTGGCTTTGGTCTCAATTGCCGCAACCACTTCTTGTGCTTGATCTTGTTGTGTCGGACTTCGACCTTCACCTTGTCTCTTCTCTCGCAGTACCCCATTCTGGCTTTCACATCTACTCATCAAACTTGCAATATCGCAATCACCACCAGATATTCGCAAAGACTGGCTATCAATCATCATAATGGAAGCATACCCAAAGCCCCGCCACCAGTACATCTATAATCCCCGATACGGACAACGTGGCCTCCTCACCTATGCCAGCCAGGCCGCCAATGGCGCCGCACCCACCGGCGTCGTTGGAGGCGGCTTTGGCTACGGTGGGTTTGGAGGCGTTGGCGTTGGTATGGGTGTAGGATATGGGGTAGGTGCTTACCAACCTGCGCTATACAACGCCCGTCCCCTGTACCCTCAAACTTACGCCACCAACTACTACTCCCCGAATTACTCTTATCCTTCCTACGGAGGGGTCTATGGCTACTACAACTACAACTTGTATGGCTCGCTGTACCCACTTGCTAACTTCTATTACCCCTACCAGAGGACCTACTACAATACAGTACCCACTTATGGCTACACGGCGCACGTCTACCCACCCGGACCGACTACCACTACCACTACCACTACCTACCACGTGACGAACAGCCAGGCTCAAAACTATTCAACACCCATCACACAAACGGTCAGGGAGACGAGACCAGCATACGTCCACAGTCACGCGCAGCAAGGCCCCACACGCGAGGACATCCAGATGGAGAGTCGGAGGATTGCGACAGAGCGTGGCTCGTACGATCCGCGCAAGATTAGGCCAGCCGATGCACGCGACGACGATCCCTTCTGGTGTCGCGAAATCAACGGAGAGTGGCATCTCAGGTCATACTACCAGATCGAGAACGAGTGCCATCCCGGTCGGTGGATGATGGATGCTGATATCGGCTTCCTTGTTTTTCACCGCGCGTGATTGAAAATTCAACGGTCAGCTAGCGACGCTCTCAACAACGACACTGGAGGATTGACAACAGGGACGACACAGAATGATATGAGATACGGTGCCGATCACAGCGGGGAGAAACTGGGACAACAGGATCTACTGTTTTCATGATCTTGTTCATGTATATACAGGCCGACGACTCAAGGATGAACAGTCCATTACGATGTAGGGACTAGGATCATGCAGAACAGGCGTTAATACAAGTGTTTCCTTGGCGACTTGCAGAGGCGGCAATTTAGCTGCTGTTGGATGATGGACCACGGTATCAAAGTATCTTGATTAATATCCTGTGGTATCGGATTTCCGAACTCTCCAGCTCACATCTTTTCACCCTGAATCGTCGCAACAACCTTCCGTGTGTGCTTCGAGTCCCTGAACTCGAGGTACCAGATGCCTTGCCATGTGCCGGTATTCAATCTTCCATTTGTGATAGGAATTGTAACGCTCGCGCCAATCAATGCAGACTTCACATGCGCAGGCATATCGTCACTACCCTCTGCATCATGTAGGTACAGTCCCTGTCCCTTCTTGTCTTCTGGCACAATGCGATCCAGCGCCGTGCTCATATCCGCGCGCACATCCGAATCGTAGTTCTCATTCAGGGATAGCGCGCAAGAAGTGTGTTGAACGAATAAGTTGAGTAGGCCGGTCTTGTAGTTCTTAATCTCGGGGACTTCTTTCAGGATGTGGTCGGTTATGAGATAAGAGCCACGCGATCGGCTGGGAAGGGTGAGAGATTTCTGTGACCTGGAAAGTTTTAGCAACGGAGTGACGTCTGGGGAACGATAGGGGAATATGAAGATACCAAGACATGATTGGTGGTGAAGCACAAATATTCGGACTTGTGCAGACTATGCTTTTGCGCGGTTGTGGCGTTGGTACAAGGTAGTTTGCGAGACTGTTGTAGGGCGCCCAGAATATACCGACAAAGAGACCTGGAAATAGGGCGATTATGAAGATGAATACGATCAAAAACGTTGTCAGATGCGAGGTAGTCGAGTGTGGCTGCGGCATTGAATTGAACTAAGGTTTAGAGAGTCGATTGTCGCCGGATTATGTGGGGTGCTGTGACGTCAGAGGGTGATTTGTCTTGGTGGGGTTAGTACATGACAAGCTACATGGCATGCGCATTCTTTACTTTCATTAATATTTCTTGCAAACAATGTGCTCTTCCTCAGGATCAGAAGTGGCATTGATGTTTAGGGCTACGGCAATGTGGGCCTGTCAATAGAAAGAGCTGGACCAGCCATCATCGGAATCCCTCGGCCTGCTTCAACTTCCCCTGTTCTTTTCAGTCACTATTACATTGGGACTCAATTACCTCTGAGGAGCGGTTCATGCATTTTTGGTCGTAATTATAGCAGGACTGAGCATGTGCTCCATGTATGCAAATATGAGTTGACCTGCATAGCTGCTCGCGAGCCAAAACTGGGCCTTGTTTTGAGACTCTCCAAGCTCGCAACGTGTGTCTTGGAAGTTTTCGGTGGCTGCACAGGAAACAGAAGAAGAAACAAAATACAGTGTTAGATGTCAAAATCATCGGACGCTACTATAGTGATCTGCGGAGGCCATCATTTAATGAAGCTACGCTTTACGATGTTACTCATATGCTCGAGTCCCGAAAGCTACTGACTAATCACTTCACTGAAGGAAAATCCAATATAGCTCCTCCTGACTCGAATGAGATATGCTGTAATATCATGGGTCTTTTGTACAGCGAAGATCGACTACTAGCACTCTCCGGCTTTGCGCATTGCGTTTCGCAGCACAATCTCGGAAGACTGCTTAGCAGACCTGTGAGAGCAAGCAAGCGAGCTCAAGTAGTTCAACTTAGTTGGCGATTCCGTGTTGATTATGACAAGTAACTATACGATAGTACCTCATAACAAAGGAACAAAGGAGAGTAGGAAGATCATAAGGATTGCCTTTCACGTAGTTACAACATTGTCTCAATTCAACACATTCAACACATTCAACACTCGGTAAGCTAGATGAGGAATTGGCACTAAGGATGCGTATCACCAGCATTGGTCAATCTTCTTGCAGATCCTATGGCTCGGGTCTGGAGAACTTCGCATAGACAGACTCAATGATGTGCAATGTACGATTGCTCGACTCAATTCATTCAATCGGATCGAGTCCTGCACCCATTTTCTGTGCTGAAGTAGCGAGGCGCAGAAGGTCCCCCTAGTCTCTGTGAGCTCGAACACGATATCGCATGATGTTCCAGCGACTGGGCAAGACCACAGTTCTAACACGATAGATGACAGATTGAAAATTCTCCATTGCACTGTATATGTACACCATGTCCGAGCGCTCTTATGATTACAGTACTCTATCGCTGCGCGAGCGGCTCCTCCGTCACCTGTTGCGTCTCGCTAACTTCTGCAGCATCACCTTTAGGCCCAAGCGGGTATGATAGCTCGTGCTCGGGAGTGGCTTCAAGGAGCGGTCGGTGTTTCTCATGTGCCTGCAAAAATGTCAGCAATTGTCCACTCGTAGACTACGCGAGCACTGGGAGTTCAAGGTCACATAGTTGGAGAAGAAACTTACAAATGGCAGTCCGCAGTATGTGCACCAGCAGATCTGTGGCTTGTCTACGTTGATAAAGATCCTTGGGTGTCCGAGAGGTCCACCACCTCCGTCGCAAGACACTGTGCGGTCGTGAGTCCAGCGGACAGGCTGCTTGTGGATGAGCTCAATGGCGGCATATGGTCGAGGCTAAACAAGCTGTGTCAGCAGGTGCTCTCTCGCTGTGGTGTGTGTCGACTTGACTGCTCCACCCCAATGCTCCGGTCGTGTTCGATTGGGCGGATTGACAGGACATACCTGGTCCTCCATAATGCTCTGCTCGAACCTAGGCCCGCTCATGGCGACCTCCCTGGGATTCTGACTCCGCGACCAGATGCCCTTGTAGTTTGGCGCCTGTGTAACCCTCATCTTCTCGGCCTCCTCTGGAGACTCCTGCAGGACTTTGTCAAAAGAGCCCTCGGAAGAGGTGGGCATCGCATTGGTCTCGGAGACATTCGGCTTTGCATCGCGCTTGACGGGGTCGTTGGCGGGGACCTGGTTGCTGGTCGTTGCTGTCGACGTGTAGCGGGTGAAGGAGCGGGAGCTAGCCGCTGCACCGCGAGAGCGCAGGGCACGAAGGGCGACTGGGAGCATATCGGGCGAGGTGTTGGTGCAGACGGGCTGCGCAATTGCTTGGGAAAGATACCGCTTGGACACTGAAGTTGAGCTTCCAAGGGTTCGCGCTAGATTTACTTACATAAGCGCATGTGTTATTGGCCAAACCGATCCGCCTTCCCTTCACCTCCAATCTTCCCTGAACATCGACTCAAATGAATCATCCAAGGAGCCGCTTTGAATTGGGTTTCGAGGGCCCTTTTGGTCGCATATCAATCCTGCATCTACAATTCGTCAAGCTACAAAGAGAAAAATGCACTACATGTAGATTAAGAAGAGTGCTTCAGACTGCAACACGCAACGGGAACGCTAGACGCTTAGCGTTGGTGGACAGCTAATTCCCATGGCGCGGTTCTATCATGGATAGGCTAAGCGGTAAGTCTAACCCGCCATACCTATACAATAGGACAGGGCGTCCACGAGTGTCCAGACACTCTCTAGGAATGACGCCCACACGCTGATAGCCGAGTCGGAGATCGGCTCTCCGCTAACCCCGGACCCTAAACCCAACCTCCAGCTCCAGCACATTCGAGACGATATCAGATTCAACACAGATCACAGATTTCTCATCACTTCCCAATATGGTCGGTTCCATACCAAACGACATCTTCCAGTTCTCCACATACTCAGCCCTCAGCGCTGGCTTCAACCAAGGCCAACCACGGACCGCAGACTTGACTTCTCATGGCACCGATGGCATTGGTGTTTATGAAGATGGAAGCCTCATGATTTTGAAAGACCGACAAGCATATGCGCTCACCAAAGATGGCAAAGCAAACTCGGCGCCTATGAACGCACGCCTTCCTCTTGCATTGGTCACAGTTTACCAACCAAGTTTTCGCCTAAAGATTCCGTCTATATCGCTCGAAGGCTTCGACGACCTCGTCTCGTCTGACGATGTAGGTCCCGCAAAGGGTGTCAATACTCTCATGCCCTTCAAGATCGCTGGTCGTTTCGATTCGATAGATTTCGAAAATGGACCCAGCAGGAGTGCCATCGATGGTACTATATTTGGATTCGTGGTACCAGCTTGGATGAAAGCTATCAGTGGACCGAGGATCCACGCACATTTCTTGGATGCTAGCGAAGAGGTCGGGGGCAAGGTCACCGATTTTACCATGGCCGAAGAAGCGGTATTGAGTTTTGCCAAGTGCGGAAGGTTCCACCTCGGTTTCCCGCAAGGTGGAGAATGGGAGGAGATGAAGCTGTGATTGAAGATGCGTGAGCAGGTGCGTGAGTACCACGATCCGTTATCCATAGCCCCGCCATAGAATCTTGTATTCATCCAAGTGAATTGACCACCACCAGGGTATTCAGTTGAGTCTCACCATCCGTGTCATCATTCTTCTTCTCTACCTCCTTCGTTTTCTCCGTCGTTTCTTCCTCTCTCTCTCTCTCTCTCTCTCTCTCTCTCTCTCTCTCGGTTAGCAGCTCACTGAAACCGGCACAGATTATAATCTTCGAGATGTAGAGTTTGTTGGCTAGCTTCAGCCGCCAGTTGCTTGAATAATTGAATGGGTTATTGAGAGTTATGGCGAGGACCCCAGTCAAGACTGTTTTGATGAATCACAATGATTCGAAAGACTCGAGGGCGGCATCTCAAATCTCGGTTGCGTATCCATAATGGTAGATGGAGCGCTTGCGTAGATGTTATCCACGACGCTTCTTGTGTTGCTCCGTATCGGCCGTTGGGGAGTCTGCAGGGTAGAATTCGGCGAGCACCCAAGGAATGCTGAGACCATAACTATCTTCGAATTGTTGATGGGCGCGCAACCTCGTGCGAGACACCATGTCTGGACTGCGTACGGGCTGGCATTGATGATTGTACGTGTTATGTCAACGGAAATCGGGAGCAAGACGCGAAGAATGCGCGAGAAAACTACTACTACGAGGATACCAATTCTTAGAACAACAAGTTCCATATATCGAGTGAGTCATCATTCAACGAATTGTCATTTTGGCGTACATATTCAGTTAATAGAGGGTAGAACGACGTACGGTTCTTTCGGGAAGTTTAGGAGGTCGACATCATATTTGTCTCTCCACGAAAGCCCTTATGACGCGACAAAGCTGCTTGACAATGATGAAAATAATGAAAATCATCACGCCTGTGAGCGCGAACCGGATTAACTCGCTCCTGAGACTGCAGGAAACGTGATCGTTTAGTGTAGTGCGTTCAAGCATTCCCGCGTGACCGCAACGGCTCGTCAAATTAAGGTTGCTGTCTGAGAGTCTAAGACCTCGGGATCGACCCGCGCTAGCTCAGTTCCCTTGTTCCTTTTCTACTCTCTAATGCTTACACCTTTTGCATTTATCCTTTTCACTCTTCTTTGTTGTAAACTGCTTGTATGCATGCCTGCCCAATGGAATTACTGCTTACACCGCGTGCGATCGTTGCTGGCAGCTGTTGTGGAGGCCTAAGTCTTCGACTACGCGGGTCTTGTACGCGGGTCTTGTACGCAGGTCTACGGGCGTATTTCGCTTGCAAAGCTCTCGTAGACCGAAGTTTGACCTTTGCTGCGCCGCGGAGACTGCGTATACTGAGGGCAGACATACGCGTTGCTCGTGTGCGCTATGAGCGGTAACAGGACATGATTGATGATACCTGGTTGCGAAGAGAAGGTGTGAGATCCACACCAGTGATCCGCAATCCCGACTACGGTATCGATACACTTGGGGTATATACCCCTGAAACTCTCAGACAACTGTGTCGCCCCGTGCCTATGCGGCTAGGGTGTAAACCAACATAGGGTAGGTAGTGACCACACCTGGACCTGTCCTCTGTCTGGAAGGATTAGCTTTCGCCCTGTCCACACATAGCTCTGATTGGCTGATTACCTTGGATGGGCTATTTGTGAAAGGGAAACACGGCACTCAGCACTGCGCCTCAATGGTTACCGTCGCACCGCTTGCTCTTGCTCTCTTTGAATTTGCAGTACCGCCTCAAATACAACCGTCAAACTTTGCGTTATCTTAGCCCTACTTTCATGCCTTGGGCATCGTTTCTTACTTGGACTCGCTGTAGTTTCCGCAATTACGCACATCTAAAACCGCAAGCTACATTCCTTTTCCTGTCCAAGGCTCAGAGTTGACATCATACGCCATGACGAGAACATGCAGTCTTCGCCAATTTCTCTTCTGGTTTTTCGTTGGGTTCTGCCTTCTTATGATAATCGCAACAGAGGCCATTCTTCGTTATCGTCTTCAAGCCAGAAATTCCCATCCATTCACACGAATATCGAGGCCCCTCCAGAATCCCTTACCTAGCGCCATAAACTCGGTAACTTCAACGGCACCAGGAGCTTTCCGCAATCCAAAGACTCAATACCCATCGTTGTCTGCACCAGGTCCAAACTATGGGCTCACACACACGGAATGCCGCACCGAATTTCCTGGTCTTTTTGACGAACTGGATCGTTCGGTTGCGGTACGGAGAGACTTGGGAAACGTCAGCACTGCGGACATTGATTTGTCTTGGAAGGCATCCGGGGCAGTGCGGGTTATGATATACAACCACAAGGTGAACTTTATTCCTCGTTCTATTGGTTCACGATCAAGATACGGAAGCTAATCATGGTGTCTTCAGCTCTACATTATTGACTCAAAATTTGACGGAAAAGGCTACCAGCGACCACGCCTTCTCGCTACTCTGCACCAAATCAACCGTGCCCTAACTTCCTCACCCTTTCCCCTTCCACCGATAGAATTCTCCTTCCACGTAAACGACATAGCCGACGAATCTCACTCACACCATACTCTTTGGGCCTTTTCACGGCATGTCTCTCTTGACAGGGAGATGTGGGTGATGCCAGACTTTGGCTACTGGTCATGGCCGCTCGATCTGGTTGGTGAATATCAGCAGATACGCAGTGATATGCAGAGCAGCGAGATAGAATGGGAGAAGAAAGTACCAAAGGTACTCTGGCGAGGAGCTGTCAAGACAAACAAGGAAGTAAGAGGTGCGTTGATGAGAGTTACAGAAGGGAAGTCATGGGCAGATGTAGATCAAGTGATCTGGAAGAGTAGGACGGATGTGACAGCGGGAAGTGCTGCGTTGCCGATTGTGGACCACTGCAACTACCAGTTCCTTGTGCACACTGAAGGTAAGACAAACTTTTCTCGCTACATAGCATGATCATAACTAAATATCTCGACAATATCGCAGGACGCAGCTACTCAGGCAGAGGGAAATACCTTCTCAACTGCGCGTCGATCATGATAACACATAAAGCTGAATGGATTGAGCCTCATTCCCACCTCTATATTCCCACCGGACCGAACCAAAACGTTGTAGAAGTAGAGCGCGATTTCTCCGACCTCGAAGCAAAAGTACAAGAGCTCTTGCGGGATCCAGAGCGTGCGAAAACTATTGTAAAGAATAGTCTAGCAACGTTTCGGGATAGATATCTCACACCCACTGCAGAAGCATGTTATTGGAGGGAGCTCTTCTTATCGTGGGCAGATGTAAGTTTCCAGCCAGATCCTTGGGAAATTGATGAAGATGGGATTGAGAAGATAAGGGGAGTGCCTTTTGAGACATTTGTGTAAGTTGGATATACACATCATCCGTACAGAGTTTGAGGCTAAAGCGATTCATAGGATTCAAGCACTAGACTTGGACTGCTCCTGGTGGAAGAAGGCGACGCTTCAGTGTTAGATGTCAGACCAATTCTTATTTTGGGAAGCGATCAAGATACCTAGGTAAATAGGGTTGTTGAACAATACCTTAGTTTGATATACAATATCCTGCCGTAATCAGTTAGTTGTCTGGATATCTGTTATAGTCACGTATGAGGTATAATCATACGGTGGCCTATCTTATACCAAGGCTGACCTCTACAAAGTATGCAAGAAAGTGCATTGGTAGTCTTACAGACCCTTTTTGCTTGAAAAAGTGATGTGTATTGGTTAATTAAGTTGAGTAAAGATCAATTGGACGATTGTCGCTTCTCGTCTTTTGCGCGCAGCAATATCTGCAGAGAAGTGACGACTATAATGAAGATCTCAGAATCTCGAGTTCTCGCCTATTTCCTCATTCACCATGTGTCTACTGCACAACATCGAGTCAATCTGACGCGAACCTATTATCTATCTATATATGTTAACCAGCTTAGAGCCAAGAGCGTGCTGGATGTCTGTATGTAAACAGCCATAGATCGTACTCTATTTTGAATGTATTAGTATTTTGGATGTAACCGATGTAGCCATGCGCGCTTTTCCCAGGTATTAGGATAAACTGCCTTTACGAGAATAGTGAAGTACTGCGGGTACTTTCTCGGCATTCTGAACAAGATGGAAGATTTCTACTTCCTAGCGTCTTGCATCATTCAAGCTTGTCGACCTTTGACGGGGTATAATACGCCCAGAAAAACTCTGCCCTGCGAACGTTGGGAAGTGGTAGGTGAACTGGGGTTTACAGACCACACCAAGCCTGTTCGCTTAACTTGGCACCAATGGCCTCATCGCTGCATCGCATCACGACATACGTCCCTTACCATTCTCAACGCTTTCAGAGGGGCACCTACCCACTTTTGATAAGTTCATTGTACGCAACATGGGTCTACTGACAGGGAAGGCATGAATGGCGATTCATGCATTAGTGTAGAATGCCAAAGGCAGAGTACCTATATAAGACGAGCATGTGGTGAGATACAGATATAGGCGCAGTACGTCGCCGTGTTTACAACATGTCATCTGAACCCACTGAGCAGGACATCTATCATGCGGACCGAGATGCATCAAAGCGAGTCTCCAGGTTCACGCGATGGTATAGAAGCCCGTTATTCAATGTCATCGTTGTGGGTATGATCAGCTTTACACAACCAGGTATATGGAACGCTCTCAACAGTATGTTTTTGTTCGCCCTCTTAACATTTTGACCAAGTCTAATTGCTACAGACGTTGGTGCAGGTGGTCAGCAAGAGCCGTATCTGGTTAATGGTGCCAATTCTCTGACATTCGGGATAATGGTCTTTGGTTGCTCTCTCTTCGCCATACTTGCCAACAAGTTCGGCTTGAAGAGTATACTTCTTCTAGGGACTCTCGGGTACGCACCCTACTCTGCGTCGCTATACGGTATGTATTGAGAGGCCTCAAGGAGATGTGGAGTATACTAACATTGTAGTGAACAACCGCTACGGAGTGGAATGGTTCGTACTGCTTGGTGGTGCAACATGCGGCATCGCAGCGTCCGCACTCTGGGCTTCGGAGGGCGCTATCGCGCTAGGTTACGCCGACGTACACAACCGAGGGAAGTTCACCGGCATCTGGCTGGGCTTGCGAGAGCTCGGCCAGCTCATCGGTTCCTCGATACAGCTCTCTCTCAATTACAAGAGTGGAGAGCGTGGAAAAGTAGGGTACACGACCTACATTGTCTTGATTGCACTCCAATGTCTCGGCCTTCCACTAGCCCTCCTTGTGTCGCCACCTCATAAAGTTTATCATCGCGACGGTCGCAAAGTCCCGGACCCGACGAAGAACAAAGCTGTTCTGAAAGAGGTGCAAAGATGGTGGGCACTACTTCGTGATAGGCGTTTCTTCTTACTTGTACCTGTCATGATCGGATTCAACTGGAATAACACGTACCAAGGCATTTATCTTACCAAGTACTTCTCAGTCCGTGCGAGGACGTTAGGGTCCTTGACTTCCGGTGTTGCAGCGACATTCGCCAACATCTTCTGGGGCTGGTTCTACGATACCAAGTTCGTAAGCCGACCGACGCTCGCGAAGGTTACGTGGGGCATCTTCTCATTGCTCATGCTGGGCCTGTTTGGCTGGCAAGTCGCCAACGAGAAAATGTATGCCGGCTCAAAGGTGACACTCGACTGGGATCTCTCAGGCTTTGGACGTGGGTTCGCTGTCAATGTACTCTTTCGGTAAGTTCGTATGCATCATAAACATAACGAAGGCTGATCATGTACAGCTTTATGAATGAGTCCCATTACATGTTCGTCTATTGGATTCTGGGAGCTTTCTTCGACGACATTGAAACTCTAACTCTTGCGGTCGGCTTATTACGCTCGTTCGAGTCGGTTGGATCCTGCTTGGCTTTTGGTATCGGGGCCGCTAAGATCGAGCCCATGGCAAATCTCATCGTTGCTTTCGTGATGTTCGCCATCACGATCCCATCGACGTTTGCAGCGACGTTTCTTGTTCCTGAGAGACCCATAGATGAACGTATGAGCGACCATGGCCTCGTGGAGGCGGCAGATAGTCGGTTTGCTGACGAAGCGGTGATGGACGTAGCAAAGAAAAACAACGCGTAGCACTATGTACGGGGATTAGAATAGTGTCAAATGGAATGGACCAGATCCGCCGGGTTGCTGTGCGATACTGCTAATTCTCGGTGATAACGCAACCAAATTCAGTAGTAGAAGCACGACTTATGTTCATGTAAGCGGGAAGTATGGTGCTGGTACTCTCATAGAAGCGCACGGTAGGATGTTGGTGACGTGATGTTTGTGACGATGAACTATCGATTTGGTTCCGAGGTTGGTAGCGTGTGATAGCTGCGGCGAGAGGCCTCGGAGGCTTTCCACTTTGGGATAGCTCCGCCTCATCTGTGGCGCTGGTAGCTCCAGCCAGCTGCCTGTACCACAACAACACAGCCTCGCTCCCGACCGTCATCTTATATACTCCTGTCACTCCGTCTTGAGCTTCATCCGTACTACACAAATCTAGGAAGATGACGCGGAACCCACCGAGCCTTCGCAAAGCGGCTTCAAACGCTGACCTGTACGCGGACCCGTCACCGCCCCGCCCACTCCGACATTCGTCCTCGACAACACTTGGACGCGCTCATACGACTGCATCGTTGCCACATCGACAGCAGCTGGACCGAGCTGCAGAAAGAGGATGGAGGAGTCAGGTTGTTTCTGACTACCGTAACCGTCACAGCATCGCCGCAACCTACCCCGATCTCATTGACGTTGACGACCAAGACTACCCGGCGCCGTCGACACACCAGAACCCGCCGCCTGTTCCGCCCAAGATACCAGAAGTGCCAGTTGAGCAAGCTGAACCGAAGGTTGAGATGTCCAAGCCGACACCTTCGCACTGCTGGATTCCCGTTCCCGCTCGATCGAAGGAGGATCCAGCGCGCTACACGAAGCCCTTTACCGACTACATGACACGCAACCCCACCATCTTCCACGCCGTCGATGCCGTCGCTCAGGACCTCGACAAGGACGGATACAAGAAGTTGTCAGAGCGCGATTCATGGGAGCTGAAGGCGGGAGGCAAATACTATGTCGAGCGAAATGGAAGTTCACTCATCGCATTTGCTATTGGAGACAAGTACGCGTCCGGCAATGGAGCTGCTATTCTGGCCGGACATATAGACGCCCTCACAGCGAAGCTGAAGCCCATCTCCAAGCTTCGCAACAAGTCGGGATATGTACAGCTAGGTGTCGCGCCTTATGCTGGCGCGCTAAGCGATACCTGGTGGGATCGCGATCTGGGTATCGGTGGAAGAGTTCTCGTCAAGGAGAATGGAAAGATTGTCACCAAGCTTGTTAAGCTTGACTGGCCGATCGCAAGAATCCCGACGCTGGCTCCCCACTTCGGTGGTAAGTTGTGACTGTTCAAGATACACATGAGATATATACTGACTTTGCATCTTCACTTCTACAGCTGCCGCGAATGGCCCCTTCAATAAGGAAACGCAAATGGTACCTATCATGGGTTTGGATAACAGCGATTTGGGTAGCTCATCAAACAACGAGGCGGGAGACTCCAAAGCCGGTGTATTGGGCGGAGAGGGCGCCTTTACTGCTACTCAGCCTGAGAGGCTTGTAAAGGTCATCACAAGCGAACTCGGAATCACTGACTGTAAGTGTTATCACCTTCAGATCGTCTAAGACAACACTGACGCGTAACAGATTCATCCATTATCAACTGGGAGCTCGAGCTCTTCGACACACAACCCGCACAAACCGGTGGCCTTGACCGCGAGTTCATCTTTGCCGGCCGAATCGACGACAAGCTTTGCTCTTGGGCCGCAATCCAAGCTCTCCTCAACTCCAGCGCATCTCTTTCAACCTCATCCCAGATCCGCATGGTTGCAGTCTTCGACGACGAAGAAGTCGGCTCGCTACTCCGACAAGGTGCTCACGGCAACTTCCTCCCTAGTGTCATGGAGCGCATCGTTGAAGAATTTGCTTCCAACGGAAAGACAAGCAGCGCATTGAGCAGGACATATGCAAACTCCTTCCTTGTCTCGAGCGACGTCATCCACGCTGTGAACCCCAACTTCCTTAACGCGTACCTTGAAAACCACTCTCCGCGTCTCAACGTCGGTCCCGCCATCTCTGCGGATTCAAATGCACACATGACGACTGACGCCGTCTCTACTGCTATCTTGCAGCGCTGCGTAGACCGCGATATCGGCGTTCGCAAAGTCGACCCTAAACTCCAGGTCTTCCAGATTCGGAATGACAGTAGAAGTGGAGGTACAGTAGGACCGATGCTGAGCTCTGCGACGGGTATTAGGGCAGTAGACTGCGGCATCCCGCAGTTAAGTATGCACTCCATCAGGGCAACTACAGGAAGTCTGGATCCTGGTCTTGGTGTGTTTGCCTTCCAGAGTTTCTTGGAAAACTTTGAGTCTGTCGATAAGGAATTCAGGGAATAGGATCTTGATCAATTTTGATAGCATGTTATGGTTCATCACTCTTCGCGTTTCATCATGCAAAGCAATCTTCAAATCTCTTCACGTCGAATAAATCAAAACATCATTCATTGCACATACTACGAATCGAAGCATTACAGTACTCCGCGGCCTTTACCATGGCGCCGTAAATCCGATAACTCCACCTTGATGCCGCCAAAATCAATTCGTGCAAGACCGCTGGGCGGCACTAGTTCATCCTTCTTAAAACAGCCTTAGCAACCACTACTGTACGTAGAAACAAGCTGAGCAAAGTCAGAGCAGGTAACGTATACCTATTGGCCGTTGGACCGTGTCGGCATCTCTTCGTCCTCGTCGTCTTCTGGGTGGCCGAGCAGATCCTTGACGTTCTTCATCTCGTAGTGCTTCTTACGTAGCTCCTCAAATTTGCGATGCTTCTCCCTCTCTTCCTGCGAGGCATTGGGGAGAAGCTCGCCATGGTAGCCTTCATCTGTGTCCATACCCTCTTCGACCATAACCCTCTTCTCGCTCTCCGGGGTCTGAGAGTGGCGCGCTTGCAGCTCTGGCTGTCCTAAGTCAAACTCGGGTATGTCGTCAATCTTAGGCTTTCGTTTTGGCTTATCAAGCTCGTCCACCTTGAGCTCTTCGGCGTTCAGCATCTCTACCTCGTCCTCGTCCTCTGTGGGGTCGTACTGCTTGGCGTATGGTGTCTTGGGCTCATCGATCTTCATGGTGCTATCGCGGTTCTGCTCGTTCAGGTAAAGGTTGGCCTCGTCCCACTTGAGCTGCGGGCTATTCTCATCCGCGGGGTCAATGCCCGATTGGCGCCGTGAACCCATGCCGCGCGGGTTTGACGAGGATCTCCGGTGGGCGCCGGCATTTCGCAGTGTGTTCTCCAGCACGATGTCCTTCTCTGACTTTTCGCGACCCAGCTGCGGCCGCTCGGCTACTGGGCTTACGGCTGGTGGGAGCTCGCTCGTGGGGGAGGTTTGTGAGTCGGAGCGGTACGAGTTGGAATTCTTGAGGATACCTGGCTTTGTTAGCTATGCGTGCACCACATAGCGGGGTATGGTGTGATCCCACCCTTAGGTCGCTCAGGATGCGAGCTCGGCGAATGCAGCTGAGGTGATTGCGCAGTCATCTTGGTGGTATTGGAGTGGTAATGAGGCGGTTGGGGGGTTCGTATGTGGGAAGGCAGAGAGGGAGACGAGCAAGCTTTGTACGGTGGTGGGCGACAGGTGAGGCGACGGCGTTAGTTTAGGACGGCTAGGAAAGCAATGCGCGTGGTGGGGTGCGTTGTCCTGTGAACGGACACAAGTATGACGTAGACGGCAGGTACCTTTCGCACCCCGCACGCGCTTCTGATTCACATGCAGATGCGCCCTCCAATCCCGCCCATTAAAGAGAGGCTGCCGCGGCTGTCTTAATACCCTTGATGTTGCTTCAATAAATTGGCGTATCATGGTTTGCGCATGTACCCCGGTGCAAAGCTTTTGGAGCAACGCACACGAGAAGACAACATCTGACATGCTAATATGCGCCGTCTACAAAGTACATTTACGACTCTATTGCGTTCATTGCTCTCCCAAGTAGACCAATCGGCTCCTTCGGCACCTAGCGGCTATGGAAGCTGTCTGTTACGCGATGGGTGGATGGATGGTTTGCCAATCTCGGCCAAGACTCTCTCCAGCGTTGTCTATTGTTAGATGGCCTTTTCATGACACGATGCGCTAGGGCGCTACTCGTGCCACAAAACATCTGAAGTCGCGAGATACAAGGTGCTGAGGTACACGGTGAGACCATAGTGTAAGCCAGTGCCCAACCTTAGCAACGATTACCTGGGGCCAATTCACCGCCTGCAAAGACCTACTGCTGTTGGGCCATCAATTAGCGGAGCTTTCAAAGATGCTTGATCAACGCGTGGCACAATAGTGGGCTTCAGACTTTGCCTTAGAGCTTCAAGCTCAACCAAGAAATCGCAAAGCCGCGATAGTGTACATCTGGCTGAGACTCAGACTACCAGAAGTGGTCCATAGGACCTAGTCATCCCAAGCCGCGACGTGCGAAAGAAAAAAATCATAGCAGCGCACATACAAGAAGAGACTGAGACAGCTTGCAGCCTCAACGCGTCGCGCGCGTGACAAAATAATGTCCCTGCTTTCAGGTCATCACCGCATCATGGAAGCCGCCGAAGCGGCCCTCGTGATGATGGTTTTAGAAGAGGTTGGCTCGTTCTGGGCCAGTTATCCGAGTTGCCAGCTGAGTAGGATGTGTCGAGCTGGCAAATGATACGAGTCAAAGGCCGGTGTTGAAGAAAAGAAGAAGACGGACGCGCCGGCGAAGAAGAGATTATCGAGCTCGGTAGATGACTAAGCCACATCCTTGCCGCGGAAGGCGCGCGCCTGAGCTGCAAGTGCCAACCTCTCAAACGTTTTCTCAGAACGCACCACTATCCGCCATTGCACACGATCCATCCCACCACGCTCGACAATCACATACACTCCGCCTTCGCCACATCTTCCCGCAATATCGTACCGACAACACGTGACAGATCTCCCTCTTGCAACACACAACCATTACCGCAAACTACACCCCGCATATCTTTCGACGCACATTGTTCGCTAGCCCGCCAGCTCCTCTGCTGCTTGTTCGCTCGTTACTCCCACCAAGTGTTGGATACTTAACTTTCTTGCCTTGTATTATATACTCATTTGTTATTGCTGCCAATGGATAACAGGGAGAATCTGTGGACTAGGCGCTCCAAGTATGCTATTGCGTCCCCGCATCCTTGCTCTCTCGACTGACAGCCACCAACAGCACCAGCAAGCTCTCCCTCTCCATGTCACATTCCGAAAACAGCAGCGAAAAGTCCGAGCCGCACCAACGTACCGTCTCTGCCACTAAACGCTTTGGTGGCGATTCGTCCCACGGTGGTCGAAACCCTTTCAACGCCATATCGCCCTTGACACCGGGTGGCTTAGCATCGCCCACTACCGGGGGCTCCTCTGCGTTTGGGCTGGGCTCGGGCGCATTCGCTTCCTTTGGGTCGGCTGCTAAGACGCCCAAGACGCCTGGCACTGCTTTTGACTTCAAAGCGGCCGCCATGTCATCTCCTTCGCCCGCGACACCCTCGGACAAAAAAGAAAAGCCTGTGAGCAAGGTGGTCAACAGCATACGCAAGGAATCAATATCTACGGCCTCGATACCGGAAAACCCATCGACTCCATCTGCGCCGCTGGATTTCAATGCGCCATGGCCGCTCAAGTACACTTGGGCAGTATGGTACCGCCCACCTACGGCCAAGAACGTCGATTACGAGAAATCAATCGTGCCTCTCTGTAAATTCAGTACAGCGCAAGAGTTCTGGAAAGTCTTCTCGCACCTGAAGCGTCCCTCGAGTCTACCCTCCGTCTCAGATTACCACGTGTTCAAGCAAGGCATACGGCCGGTATGGGAGGACGACGAGAACAAGCGGGGTGGGAAGTGGATTATGCGTCTGAAAAAGGGCGTAGCGGACCGCTACTGGGAGGACCTTTTATTAGCACTTGTCGGCGATCAATTCCTGGATGCTGGTGAGGAGTTTTGCGGCTTTGTTCTAAGCGTTCGAAGTGGCGAGGATGTTTTCAGCATCTGGACGAAGAGCGATGGTGTAAAAAATGTCAAGATACGAGACACGATCAGGCGGGTCCTCAAATTGCCGGAAGGGACCAATATCGTATGGCGGAGTCACGACGATAGTATCGCTCAGAGATCGGCCATCGACCAGGCTCGCCACGAAAAGAGTCAGCACGAAAAGCGGAGGGTAGTCTCTACAGATGAGTCACGGGAGAAATCGACAGGGGGCTCTTAGGGGAAGCTCAGTTCAGCGACGGTCTGCAGGCCAAACTCTTCTTGGTCGCAAGATCAGCCGTTTATTCCCTGGACACTCTGCGGTTGTTCATCATCTGCCTCCGTCATCATAGGCGCAGACCACATAAGCTGGAGAGCGCAAACGGAGTACGATTCCAACAAGTCGATTCTTGGCCTCTGACCGAACACAATGCCGATCCGAGCTGTACTGGGTGTGTGTCGCAGAGGCGGCTTCTTCGCAAAGTCGACCGCCAAGATGATGGGTGCTTGCTATCCAGCACCGTCTACAAGAGATACTACTCGCTTCTGTTACTGACTGAAGCGCACAATAGTCCAGCGACTAATCGGGGCCGTCGTTGTTGGAACACTGATTAACATGAAAGTGTCGACGTACATTACTCAGGTTATAACCACAAGTATGGCGCAGCACATTGTCTTAGCGTTATCTCTGTTCTTTGTACTTTTACATAGCGAAGCGTAGGAATTCGGGTAGCATCAAGCCCTGGAGCTTGCCCAGCCACAGATCGAGGTACTGGAGAAGAACTTGTCGCATATTTTGGTGACAGCGATCAAACTATTGGAATCCATAAGTTGGTCTTCTAAGCTTACTCACATGATGGGCTAACGTCTTCAAATCTGATCTGCAAAGTGACGCCGTTTCGGCGAAACGCGCTGGAGCGTCTACAACAAAGAGTCTCTTCTTCTCTGAAATGTACTTCGTACAGACGATCACTCTAGAGTAATTTGCTGTCATTGGTATCGAGATACTTTCAGGATTTCAAATATCGTACATCTAAGCACGCTGTAAATATTTTGCATAAATCAGCAAAATTGTACGTCAACGTCAGAGTAAAACGCACGGACGCAACCGTCGACAAGTCGTTCTCTGGCGCGCCTTCACCTCCGCATGCCCCACGATGCGCGTCTGCGCTTGTGCAACCCGCTCGAACAGTTCCAAGTCCGCTTGACTCACCAAATGATGCAGCTCCTCGTCGCCTTACCACCGCAATGCTACACCAATGTTCACTAATTTCTTCAACGGCATACGAGCCGCTGCCGGAAGCTCTTTCGGAAGCACGAACGAAGACGTACGCGCGCCTTTCTTTGCAGGCTATACGACGGTCTCGGATAGTCCAGCTGCTACACTCTACCTTCAGTCTATACCATCTGCGCCTCAAGCTAATGCCATGTCGCTACAGACAAACAATGCCGTCGCCGAATCGCCATCGGGTACTGACTTGCCTCCAAACCCCTACTCTAGGGACTCACCACCCGCCCCAGAAACCTCGCGCGTTGTCGTAGACCTCTCCTCACCCACGAACCGTCCAAGCCGACCCGTCCACAAAGAGTCACATCTGGAGAAGCATCGTTCGCGGGTGCAGAAGTCGGAAAAGAGCGAGGACGAGAAGCGCTTAGTTGGAGATTACACGTAATTCTCCTTTACATATGAGGGCAGAAAAAGAGGCTGACCTGTGCGAAGCAAACCAGCGGATGCGGTCGATCTCCCGGATCCAAGGTCATATTTGTCGCTGACGAAACGCACCATGACTTCAAAGGTATATCACCAGCAACTCGTCCTTGGTATTTCATGCTGATGCCCTTTAGCCTGGTTCAAATAGCGGTTTTAAACCTTTAGATACTATGAACACTGGACCCAACGTACCGAGCCGAAAGCCAACAACATATGGAAAGAAAGACCGCCCACCTCCACCATTGATAGGCCAGGTGCATGGCGCAGGACAGCTTGCGTACCTTCAGCATAGAGAAGAAAGAGTATCGGCTACACCATCTCGTCACTTGTCTTCACGAGATGGCCATGAATCGCTATCGGGTGAAGCTACACCGGGAAAACGACGAAAGATCAACCATGTCATAACTCTAGATGACGATGATGACGATGAGGTGTTGGAGGTATCTCATCCCGTACATACCACAAATTTGGGCACGTTAGAGGACCAGAGGCGTCCAGTCAGATCTGAGCAATCACGGATGAGCATTGGAAGTGGAAGCACTATCAGCGACTTTAGGCCGCTCCAATCGAAAAGCGAATTCCGAGAAGTCGACAGTTTTCTTAAATCTTCTCAGAGGAAGCGAAGGAACTTGAGTTCTAATGCACCCAAAGGTGACTTGCGACACTCCCCTTTCGGTGGTGGTGCTCTGTCAAATAGCCCTGGCACACGTGCTAATCGGCAGGTTATCTTGCAAGATTTTCAACAGGGCGAAACGAAGCAAAGCCCCACGAGAAGTGGCAGCTCTGAGCATAAACTTGGCCCAGTCACATCTCGTTTCTTTCCTAACGCTCGTATCAATGAATCAACGTCAGAACAGACGGAGCAGCAGCCTGCAAACGTCGAGAGCGCATACCTTCACACACAGCATAGATCGGCACCAAAGCGAGCCAAAACGACTACCGATAGCTATAGCGCAGATGAGCTTGCCATTACTCCCCCAAGGCCAGGATCGGAATCGCCTTTCAAGCAAAAGCAAAAGCAAACCGCAAACAGTAGAGTCAAACGAGACGCTAGCGGAAAGGTCGTAGAAGAGTCGTGGCCACTACTGTTTGCAAGGTCGTCCGACTTTGAGGGTAAGGGATCAACATCTGAGGACGGCCATGCTACGTTGGTCTTGAAGAGCAACAAGGACGAAGGTCTACGTGTGCAAACATGGGAGCCGGTCGACGGCTGCTATGAAACGTACATCATCATACTATCCAAGGACATCAACAAGGTGCTTGCAGACGATCTCAGCCGCGTCCGATTGCAGGGGCCTCGGAGACACGACGGGAACTCTGGCATCTTTGACCTTGAGTTTGCTAGTACTTCTGGTTTTTTCCACTTTCTCAATGACTATGCATGTTCAATGACACTTACTGGGACGTACTTGGTAAAGACAGAGTAAGTCATTCCAGGCTGCCCCAAGAGCTTTGCTGACGAGGGCGCAGTGATTATATGGTCGAACTATTCAAAAGACCTCTGCAGCCGAAGAATGACAAGATTGGCACGTCCGCGATGGTAGAAGACCCTACGGAGCAATTGAAATCGCTCAATCGAAAAGGCAATGACACGTCAAACACACCGTTGTTGGATCAACTGAAGCGCGCTGCAGACGGGACTGCAGCTAGTGCTACGTCCGACGTGAGTACCGCAAGGACGGGATCGACTCGAACATCACGCGCAAGAAGATTAGCCCCTATTCAGTATGTCGATGATGTGCCTACACGTTCGGACGTACCCAAATATTCGGTCGAGATAGGACTTGGGCAACCGTGGACTAGGTAAGCTTATAACCGCCAGCACAGCATCGTACTAATCAATTCAAAGGTCTCTCGAATTTGGTGAAGGTCGCCAGCGTGCGATAGTACACTTCGATGATCTGCCCCGTCTGGACGAAGAGGAATACATGAATGACAGTTTGATCGACTTCTACATGATGTAGGTATTGACCAGCTTTTGCTATATCCCTATTACTAACTCACCTAGCTACCTCTTCAAGCAGCTCAACGTCCCTGCTGATAAAGTTTATTTCTTCAATACCTACTTTTTCACCAAGCTGACAGAGAACTCGGGTCGAAAATCGATTGATTACAAGGCTGTTGAAAGGTGGACGTCTAAGACCGATATCTTTAGCTACGATTACATCGTTGTGCCTATCAATGAAAACCAGTAAGTCAGGACGTGGTGAGTTCCGTAATATGTGTTAATTATTGTTAGATCACATTGGTACCTGGCAATCATCTGTAACGTGTCGAAAATTGAGCGCAAGCCGATAGTCCAGGATTTCGATGCATCTCAGGCAAATGAACCACAGGAATCGATTGTCTCAACCACAACCACCAAACCTGAAGCGGATACGACTCAGAAAATAGCATTGTCTCCGGAACCACCTGTTGTCATTCCGGAAACGCAAGCTGAGCCGAGCGACGAGGAGCCAAACCTTTTTGACGAGGCGGTGCTATCCCTCGTCGATCGCGAAGATACTGGAATCGAAACGTCTGATACATTCGAGGTTACCCAAGCAGGGTTAGCACGTCAAGATCTAGGAGCTGGGCCTTCGACTGTACGGCCAGTCGATGCAGTTGCAAAAGATGCTCACCAAGGGATATTGTCGCATCTACAGTTGGCTACGCCACGCACAAAGGCCAAGGTCAAACGCAAATCCGTACCCAAAAGAGATCCCGATCAGCCTGTCGTCATAGTCTTGGACTCCCTCACTGGAAATTCTAGATCCGGAGCAGTACGCGCCCTCAAAGACTGGATAATAGCAGAGGGTGATCACAAGCGTGGAATTAAAGCCGTCATCAAGGAAAATGGCTATTATCCAAAGAACACGCAGATTCCAATGCAGGACAACTGGACTGACTGTGGTGTCTACCTCCTTGGCTATGTTGAGAAATTCTTCCAAAATCCCGATGATTTCAAGAACAAGCTGCTGACGGGATCGATGTCAGCTCGGGAAGATTGGCCAGAGCTTAAGCCGTCCGAGATGCGGCATAAGATGCGTCAAATTATATTTGATTGTTATAAAAAGCAGGAGGAAGATAGGAAAGCACAGAAGAAAGCCAAGAAGGGTTCTGCAACTTCGAAAAAGTCACCGGCTCCGACGACACAAGAATCGGGGGATCAGAGCCGACCCAACCCTGAAGAGTCACAGAAAGAAGAGCCAAAGCTTGAACAATCACCTCACAACAGGAATGTGCAGCCTGCGTCGTTGGACGTCCACTCGCCCGTCCGTCTTCCACCTAGACTTGGGTCTCCGTTTAGCCTCGACACAAAGCGGACGGCTTCCATTCCACAGTCCCCACAGACAATCATCAGCAAGGTTTCTGACTCACCGCCAATTTTCACGTCTCTTGCGAAGCCAACTATGATCACTTCACGTCCAGAAGAAACACCAAAGCGCCACCCTGAAGTGCGTATTCCTAGCAAAACCCCGAAATCGCATGGGTCCATACGCAATGGTCAGACTACTTCAAAGGGATCACCGCGTCCAGTCAAAGTACTGCATCAGACTGGCGGTGCACTCGATACATCGAGCCCAAGAAAACGTCGGAGACAAGTTGACGACAAGAATCAAGTCGAATCGCCGACTGCGAAGCGGCAGTTCACTAGGTCGCCCTGGCGAGTTCGCGATGGTGATGCGACAAGCGAGCGATCAACTCCACGCAGCCGAGAAGGTAGTGTTCCCCATGCGCCAATTCAAATCGATGACTCCCAAGAGGTCGAGGTCGTAAGCGCCACCCATCGCCAGCATGTACAAGCAACCTCGATTGCTCAGCGCAAACTCTCATCGCATCATCCATGGCCTCAACAGACGCTTCACCCATCACCGTCCTTGGAAGAAATTTCGCGTTCGTCGTTCAACAGCGAACATCCGAAACATGGTCAAGGCGAAGGACGTCCTGTTGATAGTGCGCTCAGAACACGGATGGAAGAAGACGACCATCCCAGAAAGAAGGCCCAGCGTTCAACGGCTCCTGCTCTTGACGAAGGGAGTGATCCGTTGGAACGCAGAGACGAAGAGGGATCTGACTCAATAGAACGAATCTCACAGTCGACCAATCAGTTGCAACTTGACGGAGTCAACGACGGATCCGTTGTAAGAGAAACGCCGGAGCCTGGTGAAAAGGGTCCGGTCGCGCAGAATGGAGGGTCGAGACAAGATCCTCTCCTTCTTTAGTTTTTCTTCTTTTTTGGGGGACAAAGCATGTCTTGCATATATCTTGCGATGGTGATTGCGAATTTTTATTCGGAAAACACAGATCCATCTTGGAATGGTGAAGGCGTTATATATCAAGCATCAGCGAAGGACAGCATGTCGCGAGTCAGGTGCAACTGTGGCAGCGCGCCCGATATCACAGCACAACTATGTTATCGTGCAATATTTATACAGCACTTTCGAGAATCTTATCTTCTTTACCTTGTTCGGTCAACTGTCGTGATATGGATCCATTGGCGCCACGTCCGCCTGTAGGATCATCGAGCGCTGCGACAGCGTCATCGACTTCTGCAAGCAGTCAGCATTGCCGGCATACCCTCCCTCGGCCGGGAGAGATACCATTGATAGAAGGCCTACCCTGAAATCCCTCATCCGTCTCGGCTGCTTCTCTGCCCACCCACCGCTTCATTTTGTCTCTAACAAACTCTGCAAAGTCCCATTCTTCTGGTTCGAGCCTTTGTGCGCCTGCTGTCCAGACATAGGTTTCTGCCTCGGCTTCTTCGCCCTCTACGTTGTCTTCTTCCCTTTGTGATAGGTCACCCATGCCTTCTTCCGTGTTGCTGCCTTGGCCCCTGGGTTGCAGGATCTTGACTTTTACCTTCTGACGTTGATATTCTGAGCCTTCGAAGATGTCTAGTCGCCAGATGTCGCCGTCTGTGAGGCCTTGTACTAGGGTTCCGCGGACAGACGAGGGAGAATCCACGGGGAGGATGGCAGGATAGTCGGCTTGTTTTACTTTGTGGCGTCGGTGCATGTGAAGGATGGCTGGGCGTATGTGAAGAAGAGAGGCGTGGGCGGGTGTGGGCGGTGTTTGCGACCCCCATATCACGCGGTGTAGGACGGGAGGCGCCATCAAGGTCCCGTAGAAGAATGCTGTATGTGACATTTTGGCGGTTTGGCGGTCGATAGGAGTATGCGAAGGCTGGGGCTTGGAATACTGGTGGTGGTAGAGGTTTATAGCGTCCATAGACGACCAATTGTGTGATTAGATGAAAGAAAGATGGGTGAGAGCACCCCATGTAACCAGCAATGACGCAGACGCGATAAAGCTTATCGGTCAGCCCTACCCTACAGCCGCCAGCGGCCACTAAACTAGCGGAGATTGCGGAACTCTCCTTTTTGTCCGCTGTTGTTGTTTTTGTCTCAGCCTCACCACCTGACCAATTGCGCCAAACGGTCTCGAGGTCGCGTGTGCGTTGAACCCATAGCCGTCGGTCACTCAAGCGTTGTAAAAGGAGCATCCAGGAGACCTCGAAGGATTCCGACAGCTCCACCGGCGTTCCGAAGTGTACCGCCTGGCCAAGCACCCGACCATCGCCATGTTCTTCATCAGCGCCATTGTGAAGAACATTGCGCCCGTATTGTATGCACCCACAATCCGCCAGCGCTCTCCTGCTTCTAACGCACCCCTCGCAGCATAGCAACAAGTCCAATCACCAGCTATGGCGACCAAATCTACAGCATGCACCGAGCCCGCAGCTCTGCCGGCTTCTCCCTCGACATCCCGCTCATCATGCTCGTCGCGAGCATCCTGAAAGTCTACTACTGGTTCGGCGCCCACTTCAGCACCTCGCTGCTCGTCCAGGCTCTCCTCATGATATGCGTCCACCTGCTCCTCCTCCATGTCGCGCTTACGAACCGACCGCCGCCCTCGCACCTCCCCTTTCAACATAAAGACGTGTCGAACCGCCCATACGACTTCTGGCAATGGAGGGCGCCGAGACCCTATTGGACATTCATCACCTACTTTACCGGCGTGTTGCTGGTGCTGCACTTGGTCATGTCGTCGACAAGCATTTTCGTCCCGTACACGGATCTGCTGGGTATGGTTGCGTTGACGATTGAGGCTACGCTCCCGCTCCCGCAACTCCTGGCTAATTACCAGAGACGCGGGTGCAAAGGCTTCAGGCCCAGTGTGATTGTCAACTGGGTTATCGGTGATACGTTCAAGATGTGGTTCTTCTTTGCTAGTAGCAGTGGTGAAGTACCTTGGGCTTTCAAGGCATGTGGTATCTTCCAGGCATGCTGTGATCTGGGCCTCGCAGCGCAGTATTTGATTTGGGGTGACGGGCCTGTGGGTGTCGAGGGACTGGGAAGAGAGAAAGAGGTTCGAAGCCCAATTCCACCTGGGGATGGATGGAATGTTGAGAAGCTGGGACAAGCAGGTGTGACAGGAGGTATTGAGATGAGCGATGGACAGGCTTGGGAGAGACCGAGGGCTGCGTAGACTCTGATGAAGACAGATGAAGCTGCTATGTAAGATATGCTTATATACGGATAACAGGTATGTCGAAATAATATTATTATCGCGCATATCCGGATAACGCGACTGCCTGAGGACTGCCTGAGCATCACGAGGCGGACCCACGCAAATACCATATCAATCGCCACATGATCTCTTCACCTGACCCAATGCAGTGTATACAGTTTACACTACATAGTTCATTCCCAGAGTACGCCTCCTCCCTTCTTATCGCCTGCTGTGGACAAAATTCAGACAAACAAGGTATGGCCCGAAGATCTGAAGATCCCAAAGATTCGAAGACAGACGACCTGAGCATAGTAGCCAATGACGCGCGTAAGAGTGCAGCACTACAACGTAGAGCTGTATGGAAAGTGGAAGATGCTGAGAGAACGGAGCAGGAGAAGCGAGACGCTGTGGAGAAGGCTGCATCGGACCAACGAACGAAGAAACATGAAGATGCTGCCATATCAAAAGCAAAGGTTGAGGAGAAAGAGCACGTAGAACAACAAGCAAAGCAAAGAGAGGATGTCTTTTTAGCGGAGGAGGGCGATCTTGTTTAGCAGGAAAATAAGATAAGGAAACGATACACCAAAGTATACTTCCTTCACCTCTAAGCATTCAAAGAAAAGGAAGCACGATCTCGCTTGTGTATTGGTCGGATTGGTACATCCGCAGCAAGCAACCTTTCCAGAAGCGCAATAAACAACGAAACAACTTGCACGATTGCTGAAACACCTGTCAGGTGCAGTTGCGCGCAAATAGAGCACCCCAATGCCTTTGGTATAGCATTATGCCATGAATTCGTGACTGCAGCCTGCCAACAAACTCAATTGCCCAAATCACATTTCCAGTACGCATCCTTCATACAGGGTTTGCGCTACAGGATCATGGCACAAACTTGACAAATAACTATCATGAGTAAGAATTATCGCTATTCTAAGCGCAAACATTTGCCAATGCAGCCTCCCGATGACATAGCTTCTGTTCCACGTAATCAGTGATAACAACTCCAATCGGATATATCAAACACCTCCCATCCCATTAGCATACCAGCTTTCAGACTGAGCATCCATTCCTTTTCTTCGAGCACCGGAGTGATACCCTGTCTTATCTGTCACAGTGATCTCGAACTACCTTCACCACAAAAATGTTCGGTCCATCGTCCCCAACCTCTCGTCACTTACGGCGCCGCCAGCAGAACTACTCCTGGGACCATGGCTACCTATACCAATCCGAACTCACGCCTGTCCCTTCTTACGAAGACCTCTCTATACCCACTGCCATGCACTCCCCAGTCGACCTCCCTTCCAGGGTTAGTGCTCTGAACCGCCGCGCGGCCATCGTCTCTGCAAACCTATCCCATCTCACCGCCGTCGTCAAACCACTTGAGACGATTAAACCCGATGACCTGAGCGAAAGCCATCTTACTGACATGTGGGAGGAAGGTGTGTGCTTGGGCAAAGCGATGGAGGACTTCAAAGAGCAAGTAAGTTGTCTCGCTTTGAACTGGATGTGAGACATACACTGACTTCATTGCTTCACGTTTGCAGATGGAGGAAGTGAGCTTGATACTGGAAGACTTGCTGATTGGTCGGAAGAAGGCCATGAAGGTCTTGGGTGGGGTTGGCATGGGTCTAGAGAGTAGTAGAAGTATGTCGAGGAGCTTCAGCAGGAGAAGGGGGTTGGGATTCTGAGCAAGGAGGGTAGAAAAGATGAGGATATGGTCATCTATTTGTTCATAATAGCATTGTATTTGCTAAGGCAACGTATCATTGAATTGTATCTAGCGTACGGGCTTCATCTTGACAATCACTGGTAGAAGACCCATACTTACGCAGGAATCGTCTCCGGGGGCACACTTTCCAGTGTAGGCACAACAGGCTTGATCAAGCCCTGTTCGTCAAAGTACACTCTGTCAATGGTAGTTTCCCTGTTCGTTCCGTTGCCGTTTGGTATAGCGAACCGATGGTACGCCATGTACCAGTCGTCAGTGTTCGGTACGTTGATGATGGAACTATGTCCAGTGGCGAGAATACCAAGCGACGGATTCTTCTGGAGTATGATACCGTGGTATGTCCATGGTCCATGAACACTTCTAGATGTCGCGTATCCCACTCGGTAGTTCTCTGAACCAGTATCATCGATGGAGTAAGTAAGATGGAAGAGGCCTTTGCGGTAGTTCATGAAGATGCCCTCGCGAAACTCGGGAAGACCAGTAATGACCCGAGTGGTGCCGTTTTTCAGTGAGAGCATGTCGTCGGTGAGCTCAGCATAGAGTGCGGGCGTAATGTCTGACCCTCCGTTGCCCCAGAAGATATAGTACTTGCCAGTAGTTGGATCTTGGAAGACATCAGGATCAATTGCTTGGCCCGTGGTGATGTTTCCGTTGGAAGAGTCTCCAATGTTCAAGATCATGGCTTTCGGTTGGGCAGTGAAAGGCCCTTCTGGTGAGTCTGCAACAGCAACGCCGATGGTCTTACGGTCGTACTCGGGGTTGTTACCACTGAAGTAAAAGTAGTACCTGCTGTCCCTTTCGATGATAGTCGGAGCCCAGGCATTCCCCGTCGCCCAAGGTACGTTGCCGTTTGTCCCATTGAGGGTCAAGAAGGGCTCGGCTGATCGCGTCCAAGAGACGAGATCAGGGGACTTCCATACATAGAAAACGTTGCCGCCCCAGCCGGGGAAGCCATCAGTTGTCGCATAGATGTAGTAGTTTTCACCAAAAACGGCGATGTTTGGATCCGCATATAGACCAGGAAGTACAGGGCTGCCTGTCTTTGCAGTCAGACCAGCAAGCTCTCGTGCATTCAGACCAGCAGACTCTTGCGCAGTTAGACCTGAAAGCTCTCGTGCAGTCACGGGGACTACAGTGCCGTGACGTGGGCTAGTCGGGAGCTTGTACGAACTGGAAACCTTCCAGTTGGGCTTAGAAATATCATCCGTCTCTAGTGGGATATATCCACGTCCAGTGTACTCGTCGACAAAAAGATAGTACTTCTCGCCATGGACGTCACCTGGGTTGGCTTTGAATACTGTCGGACCTTCGACATTGCTTGTACCAGCGTTACGACCAATGCATGCGGCAACCTGAGACCATGATTCAACAGGAGCAAGAAGGGAGTCCGAGCGCTCTTGAATGATGTCTGTGCAGTTGGTGCCTGTACCACCTTCGTCTTTGGTAAATCGATAAAACGTGGCGCCCTCCTGGATGACTGTAGTGTCAATTCGTGACATCTTAGCATCCTGCCAAATCTCGGGTTCGCTAAATGTGACGAAGTCTCGCGTGGTCACATAAAGCATGCGGTGGTAGGTTGCTCCCGTGCGGTTCGTATCGCTCTCTTCATACAGAGATGATGCCCAAAACACTACGTACGATCCAATATCGGTATCGTAGTATGCCTCAGGTGCCCAGGTGTTTCCAGCCGTGGAGGGAGAAACCTTGACGTGTCGTTGTTGTGACCATGTCTTGAGGTCGCTTGATTCCCAAATCTCCAGATACAAGCTCCCAATACGGACAGCATCTCCCCAGGAAGTGCCGGATCCAATCGACAAGTCAGTGGCGAGCAGATAGAATCTGTCACCTTCCGGCGAGCGGATTACGAAGGGATCACGCAGTCCCTTCGTGCCTTCGGAAGAGGCGAGAATGGGCTGTCCGTTGTTGAGCTCTGTCCAGCCCAATGCATTGTTGCCCTCGCTGGCTGCTAGGTAGATTTTCTCGCCCGCTAACGTGTTGTTCGTGAAGTACGCAAACGCATAGCCCTCGAACGGATCAAGTTCGACAGCTTGTCGTACGTTGGCACTGAACGTGCGATTCGAAGTTGTTCCTTCTTGATCGATGATCGCTGTAAGATTGACAACGGTGTCAGCGCTTTGTCTTTGCACAGTGCCGTCCGCAGATATCACCGAGGGATTGTTACTCATCCAGGTAACATTGTAGTTCTCGGATGCGCTCGGTAGGTGAAGATTACCGCGAACATCGTCGACGTTTGTAATCGTGAGGCTTTCCAGTGCTGCTTGGACTTGGGCTCCTGACGATTCCGTTTGAGCAGAAACTGTCGACCATAGACTCCATACACACAGAGGAAGGCGGTACGACCGCATGTTGAAAGAGATGTGAGAACGAGGGAGATACGTTTGTCTATCTAGAAGCACAGGATTATACACCTTGATGATATAGTACTATCACGAGCCGGGAGCTATACTCACCTGGCACTCTCGAGCCATAGCTACCTATCGGGAGCGATACTCAATTAACTTCCTTCCTTTGCCTAAGCGTAAAATCTCCACGAATACGCTGTGTCCACCAGGGCCCATTTCATCGGATTCTAGGGACCCTAGTCTCGTAACAAGTCTTGAACCTTGACGTTCCCCGGAGTACCCTCCACATTCGCTTGAGTCGTGGACCGTATATAGTGCGGCACTCCACAAAGGCAGGCGAAAAGCAGAAACCGATGACGCCACTCCCGAGGTTTGAGCTGGATGACTTGCGGGGTTTACACTAAACTACGCACGGACCACCAACGCCATTCAACTTTCGCACCATCTCGGGATAATTCCTCTCCGACTACAAACCTCAGCAAGGAACTCCAGAGTTGTGTTATGCAGATAGCTTGTCTCAACTGTGTGGTCTTAGTAGTCTTTCGATTGCTCCCCCTCGTTATATACCGCGGAGCACACAACATTGCATAGGTGATAGGTCTGGTCACTCGTTAGGCCTATTGCCCGAGCACGCGCTTCCTCGGCGTCTTTCGTACGGATACGGCTGCGAGCGCGGAGATTTACCAGCTTTTGTGTCGGTCGTACTATGGTCATCTGGTCGTGTAAAAGATTAGAAAACAGGTTGACTTGCAACGAGCAGACAGCTCTATCGTTCAGAAGTAAGCACCAAAGCCATCGATCACAAGGCGCTACATATGCATCGACAGGACGATGTATAACAACAGGTCCGAAGAGAACAAGATTGTTCCGTTCGACCCGGAATGATATATCCTTCGCCCATAATCACTAACACGTGGGGTACTAAAGGTACACTTTTGATGTTCGCCGAGCGCCGTCCCGTTCTCCAAGTCCCTAAGAATCTTGGCAAAAGAGCGTTCCATAGTCGAGAAGACATACCAAGGCTGGGCTTGCAGACGAGAGTGTATGCGTAGGCCGAACGTGATTGCAGCGATTGCTATAAGTGGTCGAGTCAAAATTTGTCCTGTGACACCAAATGAGCGGAAATCGAACAATGCCATTCAATGCGACACTCGCAAAGTATACACTGAGGACACCACGATTGCTCCGGGGCCCATTGATATATGATACGAGCTTCAGGAAGAGCAGTCGGCGTCTCCGAGCGGCTTTCTTACACGAGCCGTTATCACAACAATTGCTATCTTTCGCTGGGTACTTGTCCGGATTGAAACTATGGAGCAATCCCAAGATTTGGCGAACCGGCATGTGCAGGATGTTTAGGCCTAATGTGAGTACCCATAGGATCGTAGGATGTAGTATCCTGGGTTCTCAGGGTATATAAACTGCATCGGCGTCGATTGTGCACTATAGGTCAAGTTGTAGATTCATCTCCATCATTGTCTTTCGTTACACTACTTGAAAAGGGCCTGTCTCCTGTTGTCGAACATGCGTACCTCGACGATCCTCACGGCCATCTCTTTGGCACAAGCTACGCTTGCAGCAATCGAGCCGAAAAGCTTTATCTTCATCATTCCCGATGGCATGGGACCCGTTTCCCAGACATTGGTCAGGACATATTTGTCCATGGTTAACGGGAACTCAACCACTCGTGCTCCCCGAATGAATACTTTGCCCATCGATGTTACCGTCATTGGCAACACTAGAACCCATTCTGCCAACAACTTAGTGACCGATTCTGGTGCTGCGGGAACTGCACTTGCTACCGGCTACAAGACTGGAAACGGGGCTATCGGTGTCATGCCCGATGGGAAACCGGTCGGATCTGTGATGGAAGCTGCGAAGTTGGCAGGCTATCTCACTGGCCTCGTTGTGACTTCACCTATCAGTCACGCGACTCCCGCTGGTACAAATGACTCCCATCGTTCGTCAGATCACCGCTAACTATACCTAGCTTACTTTTCCCACTCTGTGAGCAGGAATGCTCTCGACAAGATTTCCGAACAACAGATTGGTTATAGCCACCCTCTGGGTATCAGCGTTGATCTCATGCTTGGTGGTGGCCGCTGCTACTTTCAGCCTCAAAATGAATCCGACTCATGTCGCACAGATGACATCGATCTGTTCACGTATGCTGAATCGAGAGGCTACTACACTGCCCGCGATCGTGCCGGCTTCGACGCTCTCGAGCTTGGTTTAGGCAATATTCAGCTTCCATACGTGGGCCTGTTTAAAGATGGCGACCTTAGCTACGAAGTCGATCGCCAACAACAAGCCGCCAACGTCCGCGAACCATCACTGTCTGAGATGACACAAGCTGCTCTCAACTCGCTCTCGCGAGCCAGCGCGTCCGACGACAAGGGTTACATCATGATGATTGAAGCTTCCCGCATCGATCACTCGTCACACGCACACGACTCTGTCGCTCATTTGCACGAAGTCCTCGAGTTTAACAACGTTGTAAACATGGTCATGAAGTGGATCGACGCGCATCCTGATACCGCATTCCTCGCTGTGGCGGACCATGAAACTGGTGGCATAACCATACCCTCTCAATACAATCCATCACTACTCCAGCCTGGCAAGCATTCGGCCGAACATTTGAGCGAGCTTTGGAGCGGCTACAACGGTACCGACAAGGCTGCATACCTCAACAACGAGATAATCCCTGCGTATGGCCTGACCAACGTCACCGATGCGGAGATTGAGATCCTTCTCGCCGCTGGCGATGAGTTTGCACAGGAACTTGCCGACCTTCTGAATGATCGCGCGGGGCTCGAGTGGTCAACTGGTGGCCATACTGGCGTTGACACCACCTTGTATGGCTATGCTGCTGGTGGCATGGGCGACAAGCTCGTCTTGGACATGGCGGGTGGTTGGGACAACACTGACCTGCCCAAGTACGTTGCTGCCGCTCTGGGTGTGAATATGGATGAGGTCACGGAGCTGTTGAATGTCAACGGAACGGAGTGGGTGCCTAGGGATGATGAAGAAGAGCCAGAACGAAGGCGCTGAAGAGGGCCCTTCGCAGACCGCGCGAACTAGACACGGCGAAACCTCAAATAGAACTCACATATCTTCAGAGCTTGCCATGCATGATGGGCGGTATAGTTGAGCTGACCCTCGCTTACAGTTCGGCTGACCTTGAACTTTAACGACGAGCGAGGTCATCTCGACACCCTAGAATTCTATGGTTAATTAGAATTGCCGATCTTGGCACCTTCCCAAGATCAGATAGGTTTGCTGGCGACGTCGGCTACCAGAGTAGTCGCGCAGTTGAGCTGACCTTGGATTCGACTGAGTTGACCTTGGACTCGACTGAGTTGACCCCCATCCAAGGTCAGCCGAACTACAAGCGAGGGTCAGCTCAACCGTACCCCTGACGCACGGATCATTCTTCTCAAGGTTCATACATTACCGAGATCATATCTTCCCAATCCGGTAGGTTCGCTGCAGGCGTCGATTGCGGCACGATTGCGCGCAGCTGAGCTGCTCGCGAATCCCAGCCACGCCCAGCCTGCTATTGTATCTGGTGCACTGACCTCTTTCTTTGAGCTTGTGTAGATAGCGTTAGTGTGTTAGGTAAGCGCGGAGCGAGGCTTCCCGTGATCGGAACATATTACTGAATCATCACACTGTACAAAGATCTTGAGGTTAGCGTCTGCAGTGGTCTTCCATCGGCTGGAGAAGGACGCATATCGCTGTATGGTTTGCAAGAGAGGTTTGAGGGACTGGGCATTGATTGCAGGAGTGCGCACTGCGTGAAGTGGTTGTTAGTGGATTTCCCAGAAGACAGAGGTTAAGAGACACATTATCTTCCCGAGCTACCCGACGAGAACTAGGACAATCAAAGTTGGGATTCGAAAGCGAGATTTCTCAAAAGAGATAGGCGAGAACTGGAATTAAAATGCGTCATCCCGCCGCACCTACGGTCATTGCCGTACTTCTTGGATTCCTCTTTTTCATGGTACTCTGGAGTCGGGCACGCGACGATGGCCACCACGAGGGCAATCCTCATCCGAACGACTTACCACGAAAAAAGGAAAGACAGCTCTCACTAAGCGAGGACGAATCTGACACAGTCGAATCTCGTCAGCAACATTGAGTCTCTGCCATCACGTCGTATCCCGAGAGTGGGTGTCGTTATAGCCCTGTCGAATTTTGGGCGCGGATACCTCCCATGATACCTCTTGATTTCACTTGAACCACCACCTGGATTGCCATCAATCGAGCTGGAAAATTAGGAAGAGGAGGACATAATTAAGGAACTGTTCAGACAATGACGACCTCTAACAGATGAGCACTGCGATGTGCCCAGACAAAAGATGCAACATCGCGGTTTTGGTATTCAGCTTGCAGCTACAGTGCCATGGGGCGGTATACTGAACTATGGCTTGGGACTATGTGAAAAAGCGTCCAGTCGATCAGCTAGTTGCTCCCACATTGGCTCTCCAACCCTCGCCACACTTCGCAAACCCGCTGCCACGAAAGGGAAGAGCCTTGCAGACTCTCGATCTACCTGGCTAAGGTTCCTGCCCTCATCTTGGGACAGTGACACACCAAGATCTAGTAATTCGATGATTGCTTTGTGGATGGGTTTCACGTCCTTCGAAAGCAGTGCTCGGTTTTGCAATTTCTCCATACACTGGACATGGATCTGAGACATCTCGTCGATGTCGTCGGCCTTCTCTATAGCCAGGTTCATGTCTCGTGTTGTCGAGTACACAGCGGTTTCGGTTACGTAGGAACGCAGCACGTCAGCGAACCAATTCAGACGCTGGAGAACTCTGAAGAATACTGCTGGCCAAGTCTTTCTGGATGCGCGAATGCGAGCGCGTTGTAGTTGGTATTTGGTTCGGTAGATTTGCATCAAGAAAGTGAAAATCTCCTGGTAGATGGGTACAGACGAGCGCTTAATAATGTTTTGAATCGACCAAGAAACCTGAAAATAGTGTTAGCTGAAACGTATAAGAGTTCTCTGTCATAACATACTGCATAGTCCACAGAAACGGCAGCAAGACCCTTAACAGAGCTTCCATGCGACTTCGCTTTCATAGAACGAACGACAAGTTTCTCCACATCGGACGTAGATAGGATCGTGCTGAAGATCCCTCGTGCAAGCTCCGTGAGCACGTATCGATCGTTCCATCCTCGCCTGCCAGCATCCATGCGCTCAAAGACCGTAGTCGCAAAATCCTCAAAAACAGCGCCGTTCCTGCCAAGGTACAAGATCTCGAATACGTGCAGCACCCGCATTAGGCCATTTGCTTCGAAAATATGTTGACGAAGTACGGTCGAAGCGACTGAATACTTGCTACGGATCCATGTCTCGAACGCCGTTTGGAATAGTTCTGGAAAAGGCGAGAGGGGAACATCATCCGATGTACGGCAAACTGTTTCGCGGTCGAGGCGCGGCTCAACCACTGAGGAATGTAAGTTCGTGTCGTAGATACCTAGTTCCTTTAAGAAAATGACAGTTTTGCCGGTATTGAATATCTTTTTGACCGCCGGTTGTAAGAATGCAGGCAGCCTTAGGCCTTCTTCAGGATCACGGCGGAGCATAAAGCGATCGTGCCACAAAGAGGCGGTATCACTCTTTGCGTCGTTCGAGATGACGAAGAAGTTTTCTTCATCGGGACCGAGCTCGCCAATTTCCATCCATCGTCGTATCGGCTTTAGATACGTCTGTAAACACTCGAAGAATACTTCAGCCATGTATGTGAAGATTTCGTCTTCCAGCGTCATCTGCGCAAGAGTGGTCTGCTCGTACAGCGCCTCGAGGTGATAGAAAGGATTTCCTATTACTGATGGATCTAGATTGATCATCAATTGATCCAGACCGTTGACAATAGGTGCTAGGCGTAGAATGGAATAACACAATGCTCGTAGATCGCCATGTAGCGCTAATAAACTGACGGAGAATGGGGCGTCAGGTATCAGGTGTTGTTGCTGCATCGCAGACAAGGACTGGTCGAAGCAGAGTAGTCGTTTCCGTACGGCGGCCTCGAAGGTTTGAATAAGAGGTGATGCCGGTGGCTGCTTGATTCGCTCCTGCAGCGTCCAACGTCGCATTGCTTTTATCTGTGTGCCAATGTTGGCCAACTGCGAAAGAAGATGTGCAACCGCAGCTGATCGATTGTTGTCAACCAAATAGGTCGAATTGGGGCAAATGTTGTCAATGTTGTCGGTTCGGTACAAGCTCGTCTTCAACCCACCAAGCATAAACAGTGTTTCCCGTACGGCCTGCAGTTCCGTTATGCACACGTCGCTGCTTCCTCCATTCTGGCTTGATGTCCAAAATTGCGCTTCTTCCAGTCTCGCAACGAGATCTTTGTCTGTCGACGTCACACAGGCCTCCGGATCGAATGTATCATCTTCATCGAAGCTGGTCGGTGGTGTGCTAGGAGCCTTCCTGCGCTTCTTGGGCATCTTTTCGTCGCCTGAAGAGTCTACGCCATAATCGATGTCCTTCCAGATGTCTTCATCGCTGTACGGATCATCTTCTAGTATCTCCGCCCATGTCAATGGTGGAGGGGGGCTAGGCGGCCTAAGCAATTCAAGCGCTTCGACCTGGGTGTTCTCCAAGGGTCGATCGGCTAGCTGAAGTAGTAGGGATAGGAACTCTGGCTTGTACTTGTTCGTGTATCCTTCCAACTTTTGGAGACGCGTTTGTAGCGCATCGGCGAGATCATCGCGGTTCTTAATGCGAAACTTCTCGTCAAGTCCTTCAAAGGTAGCCGTGACGTCGAACTGATTCGTTCTTGCATACTGATGCCCTCGAAGATTGCGTGACGCGATCTCTTTGGCATGTCTGTAGGCCTGTTTATTTGCAGCTGGGTCGTGTCTCAGTATGGACTGTATCAACTCGTCCGTGAGGCCGGAGATTTTCGCGTTTTGGGCCATGATAACGCGTCCTTCCTCTGCCGTGCCGCGACGACGCCGACGGAGATAGAGTCTCGGTAGTAGCGATATCGTGGAGTTGATTTGTGGCGGTTGCTTCGGGTTCCACATGAAAGATACATCATGCCTGATGAAGACTAGCGGCCCTCACGCACCGCGTCACCGCTGTGAAACTCAGTGTTGAACGCTCCTGCGACTTTTTTGAGGCGGGACATTGTCCCAACCCCTCAGCCACCGCACCTGCTCTTCACCATGGCGCTTCCCAAGGGCATGCGCTACTTGGCTGGCGCCACTTTCTGCATCTTCATCTATCTGTTCGTGCAGATCCTCAAGGCGCCAGGTTCCGAGACACCCGTCGAGATTCCGAGCAAGCTTCCGACCAACAAAGTCGGCGATTGGGACCACGACCCTCAGTTAGATCGTAAGATAGCACACCATGTGGTGCGGACCTACCAGACATGCTGACTGAATGACCAGCCTCGGGCGAACCTCCTGAGCCGCTGCGACGAGTCAACGGCAACAACTACGCCCCGAACAATCCCACAAGCGCGCGCATCAACGCCACAATCCTTAGCCTGGTGCGCAATGAAGAGCTCCAAGACATGCTACAGAGCATGCGCGATCTCGAGCGCACATGGAACCACAAGTTCAATTACCCCTGGACCTTCTTCAACGATAAGCCCTTTACTGAAGAGTTCAAAAAGGCCACGCGAGCAGCCACCAATGCTGAAGTGCGATACGAGCTAGTCCCTGCCGAACACTGGGACGTACCCTCGTGGATCAACATGGACTTGTATGAGGAGTCTGTTTCTCTGCTCAAGTCGCTGGACGTGCAATACATGGACAAAAAGTCGTACCACCAAATGTGTCGGTGGAACAGCGGAATGTTCAGCGAGCATCCTGCGCTGAAGGACATCCAATACTACTGGCGCGTGGAGCCCAACGTTCACTTCTTCTGCGATGTCGACTACGATGTCTTTGCATGGATGCAGGACCACAACAAAACATATGGCTTCAACATCAACATCTACGACAGCCCTGACAGCGTCGCGACATTATGGCCTGAGACAAAGAAGTTCATCGAGGATAATCCAGGTTACGTCCATCCGAACAATGCGCGAGAGTGGTTGGAAGACGACAAGCGACGGCCTGAGAACAACCAGAAAGCCCACGGTTACTCAACCTGCCACTTCTGGTCCAACTTCGAAATCGGCGACCTGAGCTTTTGGAGGAGCAAAAAGTACCGCGATTACTTCGACCATCTTGATCGTGCTGGAGGCTTCTTTTACGAACGCTGGGGCGATGCGCCGGTACACAGTGTCGCATTAGGATTGTTCGAAGATAAGAGCAAGATACATTGGTTCCGAGACATCGGATATCAGCACATACCATTCTTCAACTGCCCGAACAGTCCAAAGTGTTCTGGCTGTGTTACTGGTCGGTTCACAGACGGTGAGAAGTGGTTGAATCGGGAAGACTGTCGACCGCTGTGGTTCAAATACGTTGGCATGGACTGAGCTCTTCTTCTTAGACAGCATTGCCCTCTATCTTGTACCATCATCTGTAGCTAAGCCACCTACAGTGTGTAGCAGCAGTGACCGTGGTTGGTGCCAATATATGCACTCACGCGGTGGGTACCCCTGGAGACCTCGGAGTTATTTGGTATCCAGTTATGAACGGCTTTCATCTTGATACGACGCATTTACATTCAATAGCACGTATACCAGTAGACGCAATGAGAATTTATGAAGATACTCTAAAACCGAGCATTGCATTAGACGTTGCGGAAAGACTACAATAAGATACCCATCGTTACTGGATTTTCACTTTGAACCCACTAGGCGAGATACACTTTCCCGGCAAAAAACCCGTTCCCACCCGCTCGTATACCCTGCTTCCAGCCCGCCCTCTCTGTGCTGCAATCATCAGTATGTAGTGTCTCTGTGTCTCAGGTGAGGGGCTGCCTTTCGCCTTGCCAAGCACAACGCACAATGTATCTGGTTTCGCTGACCCGTTCGGCGTATCGAAGATCAGTTCGCCCTCGCCCTGTACCGCAGCACCGAGATCGTACTCCCGCGCTATAGCTTCAAGCGCTATATTTGCCAGGTTGTAGTCAGTGCTGGATACGTTGGTAGGGGTTTTTGGTGACCACGGTGATTGCAGGTCCTCCCACTCATAGCATCCGAAGTCAGGCTGTAAATAGTCGATTCCGCCAGTGTATGCCATCCATGACCACGATGGTACAGTAGACACAACGCTCTGTGGGGGGAAGTGAATGCGACTCAAACTTGGGGTGTCGATACCGCGACGCCAGAGAAGACTCCTTCTGAGGAGGCCACGCGTTACTCCTTCATCGAAGACACCAAAGCCGCCGCTTACTCGCATTGTGCGGAGGAGGCGTTGTTGAAGCCCATCAATAGCGGTTGGTCGGTCATATGGCTCCGAAAGACCCAGGCGGGAGTATTCGCGGTAAAGTTCTTGGTATCGCAAAATCTTCTCGCCTTGACTCGCGTTGTAGAGGATGTGTGGGAAGTCCGGATCTCCTAGAAAGGCAGCAAGCTTACTGTGGTCCTCAATCAGCCCATCAAACATCAAGCGATGGCGTGTGGCATATTTACTTACTTGCTCAATTTTGTAGAGGTTTCGCAACGTACGCCATCCCTACATTCGAAGTATGTCTGGTGTTCGGTGAAAAAGAGGGTTCGACGAGCCAAAGCATGCTCTTGATAAACCCAGCCGCGACGGTTCAGTTCCCCATCGAGTACATGGTCCTTGAAATTGTCGATGGTTTGGCACACATAGAAAGGTGTTTGGCCCTTGCCTTCGGGACTTAACCCGACATAATTTCGGCCCTTGCGCTGCTTGAGAAATCCTGAAAAATGGTTAGTTGCGCAGCTCGCAGCAATCACACAGTATGCACCACTGTAGACGTCTTCCATTCGTTTCGCTTCGGTTTTAAAGTCGCCATCCGGACCTTGGATGACACAAAGAGAATCAATCCATAGGTAGCGACGACCCAAAGCACGAGTCACTGTCACGGCGTCTTTGAAAGTGGACGGAAGGCTATTCAGATCGATGCTGTTGAGATGTGACTTCAGGGTTTTGGTCGTAGTCGAGAGATGCTGAGATCCCCATCGATGCGATAACGCGATCCACTCGCCAGAATCTCTCGGAGTCGTGGCCCATAGTCGAACAGTGTTGTCTTCAGATTGTCCGACGTCGATCAACCTTGTTGGCAACCTAACCTTATCTCCATCGGCAGCGAGTCCAAGCGGCTTACATGTGTGTTGTCTATCGCAGTCGTTGAGCCAGTACTTGATGACCTCCATATGTGTAGATTGCCCAGCCTCTGGAAGTCTAACAAATCCAGTCTGAAACTCGCTCGTTGGTGGCAGCATTTGCTCAGGATCTCGTACGATGGACAATATACGAGGGCCAGTGCTCTCCAGTCTCAAGAAAGGTCCTGTCCGTTCGAACTTGACAGCCTGCGAATCTACTCGACCGTTTTGAATAACAACTTGCCATAGGAGGTTGCACAGGTCGCACTTCCTCTCGCTGGCGCTTGCTCTAAGAGGGTGTGTTTCGTATGAGATCGCAAACCCTGGACTGGAGACTTCGTCGCGGAATTGTAAGCATTGGTCACAGAGGCGGTTTGATACAGTGCGATCAGACGACTCGAGTGTATCCGAGTGCTGTAGAGATTCGAACATAGCAGACGCAAATTCGTTGCCGGATTGGTACTTCCAGTCGTTTTCATCGAGCTCTGGAGTTCCATAATCATTCTTTGGAGAGCCATGTTAGTTAGACTGAGCCGATATGCTTCGGGGTTAAGAACTTACTCCATTCTGTATTGATACTTCACGATCTTGTGCTTGGCAACCTTCTCCTGAGTCGCAATCTGATAACAAGGGTGACAGAGCGGAAAGCGAAAATGATCCTTTGAGGTCTCCCGGCCTGTGCTGGTCGAGAGGTTGCGCGTACCAATAGCTTTCATCTTCGTCTTCTCCATTAATCGTCTCAATACGAGTGCGGAAATCAGTTGCGAGACAGCGAGCAGGCCCTCGGGATTCAGGTTCTGGCTGTACAGGGATTTTGTCGGGTTCGGGTTCCGCAGGAGTGAAGCTGAAAGAAGGAATGTCTATTGCAGGCTGTACAGTGGAGTCGATGGCACTTTCTTCAGAGACAGTATCTTGCGGCGTTACCCTGGTTGCGTTCATGCCAGAATCTATAAATGAATCTGTGCGCGATCTTTCAGGGATGTCAGAAAGGGTCGTGCCAAGCCTTCGTGGAAGCTTCACAACTAGCAAAGCTGTTCGTACCAGCTCCAAAAGATCACCGATCGCTGTACTGCCTACCTGACACCTGGAATCTTCTGCCATTTGGTCCATCCAGCGTACAGCAGCATCATGTACCTGGGCCACCTTTCTCCCGTTCACGACACTGGTCTGGTAGAAGCTACCGAAGCCCAACTCACGATCGAAACGGCCGAGACCCTCGGCTCCGTAGAGAAGCCATATAGTGAGTTCCAACGTGATGCAGCCCATTGCCCAGATATCATACAATCGTGAACGTCGCTTTGTTGACTGGCCTAACCACTTGGCAGTAACACCAGTTTCGACCTCTGGTGCCTCATAACGACGGGTTCCGTATTTTGCTGTAGTCTTGCTAGGACGCATCTCAGTGGCTTGGCCATGTTCTCTAGCTTCGCCCCAGTCACCGATCTTGAGAGTGCCGATCAATCCACCTTTGTTGAAAACGAGGATATTCTCGGGTTTGAGATCGCCATGTCGGTACGAAGCACCAGTCGCGTTCAGGTTGTGAGCGGCGTCGAGTGCTTTAGCAAGTCCTAGAACTTGTTTTATGACGTCTTTGACTAACGGCGCGGTCAAAGTGGGTGAAGGCATATTCTTCCAGAGATTGCGAAGGTTACCGCCATCTGCCCATTCGAACATTAGGTAATGTTCGTCTCCTCCATATTGTCTACGACGCCGAAACGCTGTGATGAAACGGACTATATGCTCTTGGTCCAATCTGTTCATCGTTCTCAGGGCCTTGACTTCCTTTTCCCAATGTTCAGCTACTTCTTGAGCATCTTCCGTAGCCTGGATCTCTTTTACAGCGAAATACGAGTCATCTTGAAGTGCCTGTCTATGTCAGCGGATTTCGCGCGAAGACATGTGTAGTATCAAGGGCCGTACTGGTTCCATATGATTTCGATGGACTAAATATTTCGAAACCACACCAAATGAGCCTCGTCCGTCATCGCCACCTTTTGATATAAAAGGAAGTATACAGGACTCTTCAAGGTCGAGATTGTATTTGGCGGTTGAGAAAGTAGCCGCGTAAAATCTCCATTGGTGCTCAATGAGATCGTTGTACCATGACCTTTTGGACCAAATACTGTTATGATCGGTGATTGGCAGGTCGTTGTCATCCAAATTCTTCGATTTGAAATAGGCCATCATTCTCTTAGGGTTTTCCACTTTAGCCCATAGGGCTATCGCGAAAACCTTCAATGCTCGTGTCTTGACGAAGTCGATCAACTCATCTTCTGCTGGAGTTGGATTCGCGATGTGCAACACGTCCTTGATTGTTTGCACTGTAACCAATCCGCTCAAGACTCCTTCAGGAATAAAATAACAACAGGTTCTCTCGAATGTGCTTTTCTTTTGGGCAAAGGACAGCGATTTCCTGAAACATTGCTCCTTTGTTTCTTCTTCGTCTGAAGAATCGCTGTCGGCCATGATCAGGAAACGGATATAATGACGAGTTGGCGTAGGAAAAATTGAACCCTGTAATATCTGTTGATAAGGGTGAAGTGGGCGGAGGTTGATACGGGTGTTTCCAGCTGATGATCTGAGGCTGCGGCTGAACTAAGGCCTGGTAAACAGAGACGAGACACGCGAAAGTGCTCGGTCGGCCTCCAATACATAGCCGAGGAGGGGGTCTGTATTTGATGTGACAACATGCAAATGAGTCCTTCGACGACGTCCAAGTAGGCAACCAGGCAAACTCCCTTCATCCAACTGAACAATTCAACGGGAAACACAGCCGATGCATCGTGAAGAGGCGCAGCAAAGCGCACAATGTTTCAACACCCATCTTAGGGGTATGCCGATATTGCGAACAACCTGCATTCGCTTCCAGTACTTCCAATCGAGCCTGCAGCGTTGCAGCAGATAGCAACGCTGGGGCGCGAAACGTGGGGGGTGGCGTTTTTGGCCCCATTCTGGTAGCAAGTAATATGTCATAAGATCGCGTGACATTTCGCAATCGTGCTTGATGTTGTGCTAGAGCAGGGCTAACAGATACAGCAGTATACACGGCCGTGTATCCTAGGTACCATGAACACAAGATCATTATCAGGTGAAGACGTTCGGGTGAGATTAGCCTCGCACCTCGCAACCCAGGCACTGCCCCACTTCGCCTCCGTACTTAGCGCTGTCCCCTGACATCTCCAGTGCTGCGACCCGCTGCTCCTCCTTCCCACCTTCCCACCTTCCCAAGATCATCGCAGCACACCCGGATGCGATTCGATCAGACGAGAAATTGAACGACTGCAACGTTCGCCATGCTTTGCACATCTATACAGTATCCGCGAGCTCTAAGTATCTGTAATTGGTATCTGTTATCGGCACTCCTCGATATCGTCCTATGCAACGTTAGACAGGGCGGCTGTGGGCATGAACTAAGATCATCGAACTTACCGCTGTAAGCAGCCCAGGCGCTTTGATACAGTACACATTATGCATCATCTGGTGTTTAGGATTAGTAAACTCCAACTTCGCCGTTCTGTAGGCGTCTACCCACATGAATCTCGAACTCCGATCCAAACTTCAGTCTTAGCTTGTCCATCAACTTTCCTGGGTCTATGTCCATGACGTCAATTGGTTGAACGCTGCTTCCGCTGGGATGCGCCGATTGCTCTGGGTCCGAAAATGTTCGTTTTTTCGTTGGGGAATTAGCGAAAGGCAAGAACTTCTTAAGAGCAGTCATCGTTTGAACGGAAGCTTAAAGACGAAGATACATGTCGTCAGATTGTAAGAGTTGCCCTGAACGCGCTGTTATACTCAGCGCTCTGTTGCCCGGTAGGCTGAGCTCTTTGTTGACATGGCGTTGTTACTCAAATCCGGCGTACATCAAGCACCAATCACACTTGTACCCAGTACACCAACTCCGTTAGCGGCTGAGGCATGTTGAAGGCGTAGATGTCACCCGTCTGTCTCTTTCAGCTTCACCAGTCTTGTGAACCAGGCAACCCGAGGTATGGACATTTTACCTAACATAGCCCCAAGTGTGGCGGCAGCTGACAGGTTGAAGCGAATGGCTTTTATCTCGTACTCTGGCCTCAGATGTTCTCAGTCACTACGAGTGAGGCAGTCGGATTCTAAGACCGCGCGCTATGACCTTGCCAGTAGAGGGATCAGACCGGTATATTGGGGCATAGGGAGAACTGGGGGTTAGTTCGCTCAGTGTATGAATTAGCGGCATCATGAAGAATGGTCATATTGTGGTCATGCAAATTTGAGCCTGTGCCACCTGCAGGGGTATCGCAATCCCGCAATCTTGGACCCCACACCCAATCGCTTCTTCGAGAAGTGCTATGCCTGAGGAAGCTTTAAGGTTAGGAGATCAACTCGATTTGTTGACATGTTTGTTGCTCCAGTGTTTTCCTTGCCTTAGGATTCGTTGGTCGTCATGCTCGGCCACAAATTCTGAACACCGCTCTAATGTACCCGTTAGGCCAGAAACTCCAGGAAAGATTGCTGAATCCAGTGCCACGCAGCAGACGTGCGTCAGCAAGCGCGTCCACAAGCAACAAAGAGCGAACTCACCGGGTAGACAACCCCACCGGAACCGCTACTCGAGGTGCGTTATTAGTGCAACAAGTTTCAGGCTCAATGGCTGACGCAGTCACATAGACCCACAGCCAAAGGCCCGCCCATTGAGTGTGCCTTTGTTTAGTCAAGGTTCGGATACATACGCATATGCTAAGTTCCGCCCTCTAACGAGACCATTAGGAGACTTGGCACATCGTCCATCTGGTGCCACTAGCTTACGCTGGAGTTCAAGCAGTCTAAAGACTGCTCAGTCTGTCGCCGATGGCTACACCAAGGAAGTCAGAGATTTCAACATTGCTAGGGGAACAACAGAGAAGATAGAGCAAAGAAAAGACTCATTCGTCAAGCAACGGCATGCGCAGCCCGATTCTGGCACCTTTACAGCAGTCGTGTTGGCTCAAAGATGGTTGGGAAGATTACGACTCCAAGATCCTCACCCAATGACCAGGAAGCTTCAGCAAGCTTCACAAACCTCCTATCGCCAACAGAAGTTTATACCAGAGTCGCAAATCCGAGATATCGTGCGAGATGAAGTTATCCAAGCTGAACTCTCCAAGTCAAACAAGTCCATTGGCAAGCCGTCCAGAATGTTGAAAGCTCCAGTCGTTTCCAAGAATTACGAGTCATACAGGAAGATACTTGCAATACTATATCTCATGAAACGACCTTCTAAGATCCGACTGTTTGTCAAGGCCGGGCTTTGCGATGACCAACTTCCCTTTAAAAAGGCTCAGCACCTGGGTAGATTTGATCGGTCAGCTACATTGACTAGTCGAAACACACCTGGTTCTCCCAACATAAAGTTCACAAGACCAGAAGATGCCGATGAGTTTCTGGACCGACAGTGGTCAGTACTTGCGCCTGTTTTTTTCGGATCCGATGGGATTGTTCCACATGACGACTTCGAGTGTGAATCGATCTTACCATTCCTCCCGGAAACAACTATCGCGAAAGAGGGGGGCTCTAGCAAGGTATTTAAAGCCAAGATCCATCCTGACCATCATAACTTATGTCAACCGAAAGTGAGTTTTGACTACACCTGACTGTGATGCAAAATAACTAACAGATCTCGCAAACTAGGGTGGCCTCAACATTTATGCAGTCAAGACATTGAAGTCAAAAGATGACAGAGCCTTTCGCCAGGAGGTTGCTGTTCTGAGAAGACTCAGTGCCGGCAAGCATGCTCATGCTCACCTCATCACTTTACTAGCCACCTATAAGCAAGGCGCAGCATACCATTTTATTTTCCCATGGGCCGATGCCGATCTTTTCGATTATTGGAAGCGACGTCAAGAGGCGCCCCCAGAACATGACCAGACAGGTGCATGGGTAATAGAGCAATGTCGAGGGCTTGCAGATGGACTCAACAGCGTCCATCGTTATGCGACATTCTCCGGGACGTCTATCCTTGACGCTTTCAAACTTTCCAGCAGGACTGAGACAGATAGACACCAAGCCACCTACACTGGTAGTGCAGATGCCGATCGTTCGACCAGGAATCTGTTTGGCCGTCATGGTGATCTGAAACCACAGAATATCCTCTGGTATCCAGATTCCCAGACTACGGGTGGTCATGGAGTCCTGAAAATTACCGACTTTGGAGTGACTCGGTTCAATACAGAGAACATGTGGGATACCCAGAAAACTGGTAAATTGCCGAATTCGCCTACCTATCGGTCACCAGAGAGTGATCTTGACGGCAAGCTTACTACTGCTTGCGATGTTTGGGCCCTCGGATGCGTATACCTGGAATTTGTTGCTTGGTATTTTGGTGGTTACAGACTAGTCCAAAGGTTTGGCGAGCAGCGGTTGGCACCTGATCCTCGTATGGCGAACATGCGAACAGACACTTTCTTCACGATAGTCGAGAGAGACGGGGAGAAAACAGCCGACGTGAAGCCAGCGGTCCTCAAGGTAAGCCTGAGATCTCCATATCCACGTGTTATTATTATCCATGCCCGAACCACCCTTTGGAAATATTGCGGAGCGGCCTTGGATTTAGCTGTTCAGACCTCACTACCACTAACCTATCATAGGTGATTGAAGAGCTGCGGGAACATCATCGCTGCACAGGAGACTATAGCAACTTTCTTGACATGATCAAGGATGATATGCTAGTCACTCACTCACCAGAAGCGCCGGGTAGTGTAGATGGGAGCTTGATACTTCAGAAATCAGTTTCAGAACCAGTTGGTACCCCACGCTTGGGATATATCCGACGAAAGAGTTGTGGGGATGTGTTTCGTAGATTGGGTGACATCAACCCTCGTTCTGACCAGGAAGAACCAACTTCCCCTATAACCCAGTCACATCGCACATGGCCACAATGGCAGCCATGAGTCGAGGAAGTGCTGTTGCCAAACAGGCGGTTGGATAGCAAACGTACTACCAATTATCAGCCTAACAACGAGTAGCTATAGCAACAAGAGTGCGTCTGAGTAAGATATAAGATACAAAAATCGCGACAAGTTGTGCTAACAAAGACTTAGGTATCTGCGCATCTTGATGTTGGACATCACTCGTACGGTGTGATGCCGAACTGTTCATTTGCTGCCCACTGTCCAAGGTACCTGAGTATGGTGGGGCCAGTGGGCCGACAATACCCGCAGGCAGGTATCTCCGCGTATAGCGGGGAAATCGATACCAGGCAACAGGGAAGCACACCGAAATCGGGTGAACAACGGAAGACAACTAGGAGTCAGATCTCTGTCACTAAAAGAGTCCAAAGGTCATCAAGCGCAAAGGAAGTGACCAACCGGACGATATCAAACCGACGGTCTCGCTAGATTCGGCCCTTCTGTCAAGCACCATGACTTTCACCGTCCTCTCCGACGCTGACGTTCAGACCCTCCTTCACAACATCTCTCAATCTGATGTCCAAGAATTAGCGTCTGCTCTCAACCAAGCTCTTATCCAATACTCTTGCAACGATGAACTTCCTTACCAACCACACCGCGCCAACGTTACTCGACCAAATGGTCAAGTCAGCCTCTTCATGCCCGCAACGACACCATCATCTATCGGCGTAAAGATAGTCGGTGTCGCACCGTCTCAGACGCCTCCGCCTGGAGAGAAGCCCAAGCCTGCATTGCGAAGTGTCCTTACCATTTGCGATGAGCTGGGTCAGGCTGTAGGCGTGTTAAACGCAGCTGAGTTGACGGCATTTAGGACGTCGCTGGGTAGTATGTTGTTGTATCGGTACCGGAAGAAGACAGAAAACATCATTGTATTTGGAGCGGGGAAGCAGGCGGAGTGGCACATACGCCTTGCTATTCTTTTTAAAGGGGACGACATCCGAAAGATCACGATTGTGAACCGATCCACTGCAAGAGCAAAGGACCTAGTAGACTCACTCACACAGTCGAAAGTGGGGTCCCATATCAAGATGGAAGTTTTTGAAGAGAAGGAGAATGATTTGGAAGACTTGATTACCGAAGCAGATGTCATGTTTTGCACGACACCTAGCACATCTCCCTTGTTCCCTGCCTCATACCTTTTGTCCGACTCTGGTCTTAGTAAATCCCGGTTCATCTCCGCGATCGGCTCCTATCGTCTGGACATGCAGGAGATTGACCCCGAACTGCTTAAGCATATCTCCAACCCTTCAGGCCCTTTTGCGTCTCAAGTGCACCAGGGGTCTATCACAGTCGATAGTATCAAGGGATGCATGGATGAGGCTGGCGAGTTGGTGGCCGCTGGATTGAAACCAGAACAGATGCTCGAGGTGGGGAAGATGGACGGGTTGAGAAAGGATGAAGGTGTACAGAAGTGGCTTGAGGAAGGATTTGTGGTATATAAGAGCGTTGGAGTAGGTATCATGGATATCGCAATTGGGAAGTCATTGATGGATTTAGCTGCGGAGAAGGGTGTGGGTGTCCATCTGGATAGCTTTTGAGACTACCTGGGATGGGTGGGGTTGTCGACTAGTACGGTGACGATGAGGTTAATATGCTTGAAATTATATTGTGGTGCTATCCGTTCGACGTGTTAAAGGCTTCATCTATAGTTGCCATGTATCCCGCTCATAACTTCGCCGTCACGCTTCCCTCGATAAGGTCTTTCACCCTTTGCGCAATCCCAAAAGCATAGAGATACCCCAATCCACCAACGCCATACGCGTGCACTACGTGACCCTCTCTCTCCAACCTCAGGCCGCCTTCTCTCGCAGGTCGGAACCCCACGATATCCTCACCGTGCTTGTTTAGATCAACCCAGTCGAACTTCCTGTTAGTGATCATGTTGACGCGTCCAAGAATGTCCGGTCGCAAACTCCTGTCTGGCTGAGTCTGAGTGTTGGACGGTTGACTGACGCCACCCAAGATGATGCCGCCATCTGACGAGCGAGGAATGCAATACGTGTAATGAGAGCCTTGATGTAGGATGGCTTGGTCAAGCAGAGAAGATGTTCCAGAGGTTGCGCAGTCGACAAACATGGTTTGACCGCGGACACCGTAGACGGTGGGGTCACTTGCAAGATCTCGTGCACCTATACCGCTGGCGTTTACCGATATATCTGCTGCGGTCAGGTCTTGTAGATCCTGCATAGAGGATACAGCTTTTTGGATGAACTTGACTCCTCGATTCCGGAGTTGTATTGTTAGCCAGGGGAGGATGTCGTTCGGGTTGACGACGAGTCCATTGTAAGAGTAGCCTAGTGTAACGCCAGGCGGAAGCTGAGATTCTTGGAGCATTTGAAAGTCTTGCATATAAGGCTTGTACCACACAGGGGCTGTTCGGGATCTATCATCGTAGTATTCAGTTATGCGAATCCTCTTACTCTAGATTCAGTAACTGTTTAACCGGATTTAGAGGTGGCTAACCTTTACTCCACTTTCCGGGACGGTATCTAGAAGATGGCTGTAGAAGTTGATTGACGCCAGTTGGAGGTCGTTGAAACCAGTGTTGGGATGTGGTGCTAGGAGGGCACCTGCCCTGCAAACGTCGACCAGATTAGTGACATGCCATGGTAGAGTCGAAGCCACAGCTGACTGACCATGGACTAGCCCATTCAGTAGACTTGTCGCCATATAAGTTTCGCGCTACAATAGTGACTTTGTTGCCAGCTTCCAAGAGCAGGTAGGCACACGCGAGGCCTGTAATACCAGCACCGGCGATGGCGATGTGTTTAGGCATTGTAGACGATGCAGTTTAGCTACGAAACAATAAGATGTAAAGGAAGTAGTGGAACAAGAGACGTTGCTGTCTTTTCTGCCTCACGATTGTAGTTAACGCTTGGTGTTTGGGCAGTTGATATACCGACACGCTTATCATGTCCCATGATTGTATGCGCGTATGGACGCTGGTCAAACGGGTGCCGATTATAGCCGACAACATGGAATCAGCACAACGACTAATGTGCTTCGGAATTGTGTACAGCATAGCCGGAGACGTGCCGGAGATTTGCGCAATCGCGTTGTGTCTAATGGACACTAAAGCGAGCAGTTGTGCTGTATGGAGTCTACGTCGGAGGAGGACAAGGATGCGGCGGCAGTGACGCGCGCCGATTTTTTTTTGTGAAAGTTTCCCCTCCCCCGCCATCCATGTGAAGACGGCCGTGATCGGTCTTGTCTTCGGACACCCGCGATATCGACTCGAACAAACCGATTAGGCGTCACACAAGATGGCGTCAAACGAGGATCCATATCTCATCCTCCCGGGCTCGTCGGCCTACTCCGACTTCCGTCTCCAGCGCCTAGCCCAGGCCATTGGCGCAAAGGAAGTGCGCTCGCTCTGGGTGCACTTTGTCAACCCCCTCAAGCAACTGAGCGACGACGAGTTGAAGACGCTGCAGCAGCTTCTCCACTATGGCGAGTACCCCAGCAGCGACGACCGCCTTTCCCAGGCCCTCCTCGACGCCGTCCACCGCGGCGGCGAAGCTCGCGACGCCAACACGGTCCTCTTCTACGTCTGCCCACGGGCTGGCACCATATCGCCATGGAGCTCCCTCGCCTCCATGATTGCGCGCACATGCACCCTTGAGAATGCAGTCAAGCGCGTCGAGCGCGGCATGGTCATCGCCGCCACCTTCGACCGCACCCTCGAGGCCGACGAGATCCCCAACCGCGACCACCTCTACGACCGCATGACGCAGACGATAAGCCGCACCGCCCCGAACCTCGATGCCATCTTTGGCGAGAGCGAGCCGGCCCAGGCGACGACCATCAAGTTCGACGAGTACAACAGCGCCCACGCCGCCCTGGACCACGCCAACAGGGAGCTGGGCCTGGCTATGGACAAGTCCGAGATTGACTATCTCGTCGAGGCCTACACACAGGAGCTGAAGAGAGGCCCGGTCGACGTCGAATTGTTCATGTTCGCCCAGGTCAACTCGGAGCACTGCCGACACAAGCAGTTCAATGCCGACTTCACCGTCGACGGCATGCGCAAGTCCATGTCGCTGTTTGGCATGATCCGCAACACCCACCAGAAGCACCCCAACCACGTCGTAAGTGCATACAGCGACAACGCCGCCGTCTTGAACGGCGAGGAGGCCAGCTTCTGGGCGCCCAACGATCTCACGGGCGAGTGGCACGGCACCAAAGAGACGGTACACATCCTCTGCAAGGTCGAGACACACAACCACCCAACCGCTGTTTCACCATTCCCAGGAGCTGCTACAGGCTCTGGTGGTGAGATTCGAGATGAGGGCGCTGTCGGAAGAGGTTCCAAGCCCAAGGCCGGACTGGCAGGCTTCACTGTGTCCGACCTGAACATCGAGGGCTTTGAGCGCCCATGGGAGCTGAAAGATGTTGGAAAGCCTTCGCACATCGCCAGTGCCCAGGACATCATGCTCGAGGCACCCATCGGCAGCGCCCAGTTCAACAACGAGTTCGGTCGCCCATGCACCACGGGCTACTTCCGCACCATGCTTATGCGCGTCTTCACAAACGAGAAGGAGTCGGAGCTACGAGGATACCACAAGCCTATTATGCTGGCAGGTGGCGTCGGAACGGTCAGGCCGCAGCACGCGCTCAAGGACCCGGACGTTGTACCAGCCGGCTCGCATCTCCTCGTCATCGGTGGACCCGCCATGCTTATCGGTCTTGGTGGCGGTGCTGCATCCAGTATCCAATCCGGCGAGGGCAAGGTCGACCTCGACTTTGCCAGTGTGCAGCGAGGCAACCCCGAGGTGCAAAGACGTGCGCAAGAAGTCATCGACGCATGCCGCTCAATGGGCGACAAGAACCCCATCCTCTTCATTCACGATGTCGGAGCGGGTGGTCTGTCAAACGCACTTCCCGAGCTCGTCCACGACTCTGGTCTCGGTGCCATCTTTGAGCTACGCGAGATTGACAACGTTGACAAGAGCATGAGCCCACTGCAAATCTGGTGCTGTGAGGCTCAAGAGCGGTATGTACTTGCAGTCAGTCCTGATCAGCTCGACCTGTTCAAGCGCATCTGCCACCGAGAGCGATGCGGTTACTCTGTCGTTGGCAAAGCGACCAAAGAGCAGCGTCTGGTGTTGAACGACAGGGACTCCAAGGAGAACCCTACACCCATCGACCTTCCAATGGCTACACTGTTTGGAAAGCCACCAAAGATGTCGCGCATCGTTGAGAGCCGCAAGCTGAGGCTTCCTGCTTTTGACAGCAGCTTGTCAATGTACATTCCTGACACGCCTAAGGATGGCTTGATCGCTGAGGCCGTAGACCGAGTTCTCACTCTCCCAGCTGTAGGATCCAAGTCTTTCCTGATCACTATTGGAGACCGAACTGTGGGCGGCCTGACCGCTCGCGATCAGATGGTTGGCAAGTGGCAAACCCCGGTGGCTGATGTATCGGTAACAGCTACATCGCTGCTGGCCGGTGTCAAGACTGGTGAGGCTATGACTATGGGTGAGAAGCCTACACTGGCGCTCATCTCCCCAGCAGCATCCGCCAGGATGGCTGTAGCGGAATCTCTGATGAACATCGCTGCAGCGAGTCTCTTCGATAGGCTTGCCAGAGTCCGACTCTCGGCCAATTGGATGTCCGCAAGCAGTCATCCCGGAGAGGGTGCGGCTCTATACGAGGCTGTTGAGGCCATCGGCATGGATCTTTGCCCTAAACTCGGTATATCTATCCCCGTCGGCAAGGACTCAATGAGCATGAAGATGAAGTGGTCGGACAACGGGGAGGCCAAGGAAGTTACTGCACCCATGTCGCTCGTCATTACGGCGTTTGCACCTGTCAACCGCATTGACCGAACCTGGACGCCCGCCCTGGAAAGAGTCGAAGACGTTGGTGAGACGATTCTTATGTTTGTCGACCTAGCAGCGGGCAAGAAGCACATGGGCGGCTCTGCCTTGGCGCAGACATTCGGACAGGTTGGCGATGAAGCGCCTGACGTCTACGACGCCGATATCATCAAAGACTACTTTGACGCTATCGAACAACTCCATGACTCTGGAATCGTCCTCGCCTACCACGACAGGTCTGACGGTGGTCTCTTCACAACCCTCACTGAAATGGCCTTCGCCGGACGATGCGGTGTTGAGATCATGCTCGATGGCGTCGCTGCGTCGAGCGAGCCCAAGGACGTCCTGGAAACACTGTTCAACGAAGAGCTCGGAGCTGTCTTCCAGGTCAGAAAGAAGGACGAAGTTGCCTTTAACCGCTGTTTTGCAACTTGCGGACCACCTCCAGGTATGATCAAGAAGATTGGTCGCGTCGCAGAAGCGCCAAAACAAGACGTTTCCTTTTACGTCGGCACTCAATGCGTTTACCGCAACAGCCGCCAAAAGCTTCAGCAACGCTGGGCAGAGACCTCATACCGGATGCAGAAGCTTCGTGACAACCCTGTTTGCGCTGACACCGAATTCAAGAACATCCTCGACGACAAGGACCCTGGTCTCTCCTACAACCTCACTTTCAAACCCGCTGAGAACATCCTACCCTTCATGTCTAACCTCAAGTCACCCTTCACTGCCAAGCCGCGCGTGGCCATTCTTCGCGAGGAAGGTGTGAACGGTCAAGCAGAGATGGCGTTCGCTTTCCATCAAGCTGGATTTACTGCCATTGACGTACACATGACTGACATCATCTCTTCACGAGTCTCACTCGCTGGATTCGTGGGTCTCGCAGCTTGCGGTGGTTTCTCCTACGGTGATGTACTCGGCGCAGGTCAAGGTTGGGCGAAGTCTGTCCTCTTGCATCCCAACACACGCAAAGAGTTCCAGACCTTCTTCAACCGCCCAGACACCTTTGCTCTTGGTGTCTGCAACGGCTGCCAGTTCATGAGCAAGCTCAAGGAACTCATTCCTGGTGCGGAGTTATGGCCAAGCTTCGAGCGCAACGCATCCGAGCAATACGAGGCGCGTGTCTGTATGGTTGAAGTTCTCGATCCCAAAGGACCCAACACACCACCATCCGTCTTCTTGCACGGCATGGCCGGTTCCAAACTTCCCATTGTCACCGCACACGGCGAGGGACGCGCTCACTTCTCCAACTCGGCTTCTTCTGTCTCCAGCCCACAAACCCTGTACAACGAGAACCTCGTCTCCCTCCGCTATGTTGACAACTACGGAAAGCAGACCGAGACATACCCATACAACCCCAACGGCAGTCCAATGGGTATCACCGGTGTGAGGAGTACCGATGGAAGGGTGTTGGCGCTCATGCCGCACCCCGAGCGAACCATCTTGAAGGAGGTGGGTAGCTACATCCCACGGGATACCGAAGGATGGGGTGAGCTCGGCCCGTGGTCGCGCATGTTCAAGAGTGCCAGGCGATGGGTCGGTTAAAGTGGATACTCGATGAAAGATAGGATTTCATATGCATTGGAGTTGGCGTTACAGGCGGATTCACCTTCAGTTTTCACGATACACGAAAATGATAGATCCTCAGTTCCCAAAACGACCACCAATCTACAAAAAGTGAAGCCCATTTCCGCCTCATCTTCTATTACGGCAGTGCTCGCCTTGTGTAGCAAACCGCCACGATCCAGCACACTCTCTCCGTCCTTTCCTGGCGAGTAACAAAAATGCGAAAAAACATACAACAGCGGGGATTCGCTAGTGGTCACCCACCTAACTACTAATCCGCCGGTACACTGCTTGTATATGGCTGAGCGGACGGGAAGCCTAATTTTCAGTGTCCTATGGTCGTATGTGATAGGAAGATTAGATAAGCTTTTCATATACCTATCGAAAACTGGCTGATGTCTTCATCCTAGAAGTTGAATACGGTCAGTTGTCAGATACCCATCTTGAAGCTATGCAGGACCGCCAATTAGTAAAGGCTTCAACGGCGGTGTGCGCTACTGTTCACACACCCTGTAGCCTACCGGGCGGACCTACCGTGTACCATTTAACAATTGGCTAACATCTTCTGTTATTCTGGAAATTCAAGTCGTGGAATTGAACCTTAAGGTAGTTGTGAAAATAATGCTCCTGTAGGTATTGCCGCTACAGTAACCGTGCGCTAGATGAACACGGTCGCTAGTTAAACACCCTAGAAAAATCTTAATATAGCTATAACTTTATTAATATTAAATATTTTTAGAAAATTTTTTAATATTTAGAATCTTTATAACTTATAGTCTTATTAAGAATAAAATTTTATATTAAAATAATAATTAAGTAAAAAGTTATCTAATGTAAAGGTTATCCTTAGATAACCTAAGAGTTAGTTCTTAGAGATAGAGTAGGCTGCAATAGACAGGTTAGTATAATAGTATAATTAGTAGATTAATATAATATTATAAGAAGTTATATAAAAATAAAGTATAATTCTTAGATTAAATACTAGAGTCTTATATAAAGTTAAATATACTAAGCTATAAGAGTTTAGTATCTAAGCTATATACTAATAAGTATTACGCTTAGTACTAAGCGTATAAGTACTTATTACTAAGTAATATAGTACTAGTTTAGTTATTAGCTAACTAGTCTTACTTACTACTAAGTATTCTTTTCTAGACTAGCATATAATACTTATTACTAAGTAGTTATATAACTACAGCGTAGTTACTATACTATAATCTTTTAACTATGCTACTTAATCCTCTAAAGTAATTATGCTTACCTCTATTTTTTTTTTAGATATAGATTATAATACTATTCTTCTCTTATAAAGATTTATTTTTAAATTATATAACTAATTTATAGTTTCTATTATTAACTAAAACTTACTTTGCGTTATAAGTAAAGTAATTATTATATCTTTCTCTACTTAATATTACTTACGCTTTAGCTCTAAGATTATTTAAGCTAACTATTCTTCTAAGATACTTTATAATTATTATTTCTTTAAAAGTAAGATTTATTACGTTATACTTAATTCTTATCTAAAATATATTAAGTATACTTAGTTAGGGTATACGTGTATAAATATATCTTAGAAGTCCTTAGATTATACGTATAATAAATATTAAAAGAAAGTAGATAATAATAAGAAATTACTAGTAATAGTAATTTTATAGTTATTACAGAATAAAAAGATTTTAAAATAGGTAGAAGAGTAGGCACAAAAGAAGGCGCTATATTTAGCTATAGATATAGAGGCGGCTAGTAAAATAGAGATAGCGTAGAAGATAGATTATCTTACGTTTTTTATTAGTATAGAGTTTTTACTAGCTATATAAGCTATAATAGAGTTAATTAATACTTTTATTACTAGCTATAGTACTTCTAAAGGTGTAGTTAGTAGTTTATAAAGTTTATATTTAGTTTCTATATATTTTTACTATTTAGGTAGCCTAACTATTTAATTAGATATTTAGTTTTATTACTATTATTTTAATATATAAGTATTCTTTTAACTTTAAAGATACTATCTTCTTCTATTTTAAAATAAAAAGTTTTTTAGAGTAGTATTACTAAGTCTACTAGTTCTAATATATTTATATAGAATTTAAAGTAGATCTTTATATTAGCTAGAAAGTTAAGTATATAAGTAACTAGTCCCTTCTAGTTAAGAATTAAAAATAGTCTAACTTTAATATTATTAAGACCTTTATTTAGTTATTTAGTTTAAAGATTCTTTATAAGTAAGTAAACTTTATCTTTTTTTTTTAGCTAAAGTACTATTTTTTATTTCTTATTAATATATAAAATACTTTAGTATTAAGCCTTCTTAAGCACTTTCTTAAGTAACTTATATACTAATTTTAGCTTATTAACTATAGTAATAGCTACTTCTATCTTCTAACTAGGAAATATCTATATAAAGAGATTTAAGTGTCTCCTATAGTTTACGTAGAATAGTATTTATTTTATAAATTCTAATAACTTATTATTATATACTATTTATACTATAAGTAGTAGTAATACTTAGTTATTCTATTATTAATTAGTATAGATCTATAGGTAGGTTTTTATTATTTAATTTATTTATTTAGTCTATCTATCTATTTATAGGTAATAAGCTATTAATAGCTTCTTCTTAGTTCTAATTATAGCTAGTAATATTATCTAAAAGTTTAAAGTAAAGAGCTTATCTCTATTACTAATAATTAACTTTAGGATACTATAATATCTAATAATCTTATTATTAATAATATATACTAGCTATACTGCTGTAAAGTCTTTTCTAAAAGTAATATACTTAGCTTACTTTATAAATTAATTAACTACTATAAAAATTATATTATAAAATACTTATATAATAGAGTCTTTTAAGACTAGTAATTCTATAATAAAGTTTATAGAGATATCTAACTATAGTACGTTAAGTAGCTTTATTACTTATATTTCTCTATAAGGTGCGTAAGTGCTATATTTATTCTTTTAATAGTCTGCGTACTTAGTAATAAAAGAGGTAACTTTATCCTTTATATTAGGAAACTTATAGTTTTACTTAATAAGTTTTATAGTTCTTATAATACTAAGGTAACTATATATAGAGTTATTATAGTATTATTAGATAATTACTTTTTATAACTCTTTTAGTACTTCGCTTACAATCTTTATAATTTAGTTTAATATTTTTACTAGTTCTAGTAATCTGTTTTTATTAAACTTAAGTAATATAGAATTAGTAATTAACTTAGTTTTAGTAATATTATATTATTAGCTAAGAGTATCTGCTTTGCTATTCTTTTTTTTTAGTATATATATAATCTTAAACTTATATTATCTAAGTTCTTCTAACTATTAAACTTAGTGTTAATTAAGTACTTTAGTAGTTATAAAGTTAACTAAATTCTTATAATTTATAAATATTATAAGTTCTAAATAACTTTTAGCGTATACTCTCTAATACTTTAAATAGGTAATAATAGCTAGTAGCTTCTTATTATAGATATTATAATTTTCTTCTAGTTCTAAAAATTTATAAAAGTAGTAAGTAATAAGATACTATTTACTTTTATATATTTAACTAGCGTATCTACTTAGTATAAGATTTAAAGCGTTAGTCTTAAAGTATAATAGTTATTTTACTTAAAATATATAGAAGTATAGTAGTTTTATATTTATATTCTTAAGCTTTTAAAAAGTATCTTTAGCTTCTTTATTTTACTTAAATAGAGTATTTTTTCTTATAAGTTTAGTTAGTAGAATAGTAATCTTAGAGAAATTCTTAATAAACTATTAGTTAAAGTTTAAGAATTCTAAGAAGAATTATATATCTTTAACTATCTTAGGTATTAGCTACTCCTTAACTACTTTAATTTTTTCTTTACTTATATATACTCTATTAACCTCTATAATATAGCTTAAGAAGTTAACTTTTTTTTTATAGAATTTATACTTCTCTAGTTTTATATATAAATTATACTAGTCTAGGCACCTTAATACTATATAGATATATTTAATATAGTTTTTTTTATTTTTAGAGTAAATAAGAATATTATCTAAATATATAATAATAAAAATATTTAGGTGTGCTCTTAATATATTATTAATAAGTTTTTAAAATATTACTAGGGCGTTTATAAGCCTAAATAGTATAATAGTATATTTAAAATATCTATATCTTATATAAAACGCTATTTTCTATTCTTTACTTTCTTTAATTCTAATAAAGTAGTATCTATCTTAAAGATTTATTACTATAAAGATCTTTACTTAAAATAATTAATTTTTAAGTTCTATAATATTTAGTAGTAAGTATTAGTTCTTAATTATAATATTATTAAGTTTTTAGTAGTTAATATATATTTATAGTAGTCTACTCTTCTTTAGTATAAAGAGAATAGGAAATCTTACTAGCAAGCTTAAAAGTCTAATATATCTTTTCTTTAAATCTTTTTTTAGTTTCTCTTTTAAAATCTTAAGTTCTACTTCTAATAATTAATATATTAGCTTAAAAAGTAGAGTCTTCTCTTCTTCTAAGACTATCTTATAGTTCTAAAGTTAATACTTTAGTAAATTTTAGTTATTTACTACTTTTATAAAGAGGTACTTAAAATCTTTATACTCTTTTAGAATATTAAGAGTTACGCGTTTTTTTAGTACTCTAACTTTATAATTTAGAGGTACTTTACTAGTATCTATTAAGTTAAACTTTTATTTTTTAAAGCTATTCTTATTTAAGAGTTACTTTCTTTTAGTAATATTATTAATCTTCTTTTTATCTACTATTATAGTTATTAAATACGTAGGCTAGCTTATAAGTACGTCTAGTCTATAGTACTTAAATAAAAACTCTTTTAACGTCTAGTTAATCTATAAATTATATTCTTATAACTAAAAAAGTCTTAATATAATATTATAGGTAGCTAGTCTAAAGACATTTAGGTCTATCTTTTTATAGTAGTCTTAGATACTAAGTATTACTCTAGTAACTTTATATATAATTTAGTTTTTACTTAGTATAAGCTAACTATTAGTAATATATAGTAAGTAGCTTTCTTCTTTCTTTAGTAGTCTTAGTTTAGCTAAGAATACTACTTAAGTAGAAAAGTAATTTACTTATAATTCTAAATCTACTAGTACTTATATCTATATTCTATTAAGCTTTACTAAAAGCGTAAAGAGTATTAAGAAGTTTATACTATTAATCTTCTTTCTAAAGTTAAGTATATTAAGCGTTTATTTAAAAAAGACTATATACTATAACTATAAAACTTCTTTATAACTATATATAGTTTATATTTAATATTAAAGTATATATACTATAAGGGCTAGTTATACTCTTATATACTAGTTCTATCTTTTAAAGTCTTTTACTATATAATATATATTTATAAGGTTTTTTATAGGTCTTTATAACTATAAAAGTATAGATAGTATCTTTTATTTTATAAGTATATAGCGTATTAGTCTTTAGAGTAGTTAAACTATTAAAACTTATATATTAGTATTCTAGTATACTTACATAGGAAGTATCCTAAACTATCTTTATTTAAGTAGTAGATAGTATAGTAGTTGTGCGTATATACTATCTAACTTATATTACTATATAGTAGGTTTCTAGAGTTAAGCTAGTAGTAGGTTTCTTCTTCTTACTTTTATTATACGTTATTACGTTACTACTTTACTATAGCGCGTTCTTACCTTTTAGCTTATCTTTATATTTATATAGTTAAATAGGCTATTTTAATATTAAAATCTTTATTCTTAAAATAATAGTAAGTTTTATATTTTTTTTCTATTAGTTTACTTATATAAAGATTAGTCTATCTTTTAATTTCTTTATAAATTTCTTATTTCTTACTATTAGATAAATAGTATATAGATTTATTCTATAAGGCCTTAGCTTTATATACCTATCTAAATAGTTCTTTAGTATTATAAATACCCTATATCTTAAGTTCTTTAAGAAGTCCTTAGTACTCTATAAACTTCTTAAATTTATTATAGAATTAATTCTTAGTATTAAGGTATTTATATTTTAGTTTACTAAGTTACTAATATAGTATACTTAGCTTAAAGTCTAAGTCTTCTAAATACTAAATAACTTCTATTTTATTACTAGTAGTAGGTTTATTCTATACTCTAATAGCGCAGTTAATCTAGTTAAGTTTATTTAGTATTAGTAGGAATTTTATAATATCTATAAAGAGGTTTTCTTTTTTATATTCTACTTAGTATAATAGATTATAGAAGTCCTAGCGTATTACTACTATAATATCTAGTATTTTATAAGTATACTTAATAGGTAGCTTATTAAAGTATTAAAGTAGTTAGTTAATCTAAGATAAAAGTATTTCTATTTATTCTTCTAGAATATATAGTATAGAAAGTTAGTTTTCTTCTTTAAATATAGCTATTTTACTAAACTTAATTTAGTTAATTTCTATAGCCTCTAGGTTCTTAAAGGACTCTAGGTTAGAAATATTTTTATCTAAAGATAGTTCTTTTACTTTAGTAATAGTAAGGTTCTTAAAACTATTAACTATTTTATTATTTTTTACTTTTAACTTAATATATAGTCAAGTAATAATATTCTATTCCTTAGTATTATTATTAGGTACTGCTTAGCGAATAATATTTAATTATCTAGTTACTTTACTTTAGCTTTAGCAGTTCTATACTATATAGCCTTCTTTACTATAGGCGTAGTAAGAGAAATTCTTCTTACTTTTTTTATTATACTAAAACTTTAGCTTTTTAAGTTCTTTATTAAAATTATTAAAGTATATTAGTTTAGGTCTATAAGTTCTATATTAGCTTAAGATTTAGAGTACGTAGCTTTACTAACGTCTTTAGTTAAGGTATAAGTATTAAAAGTTTTAACGTACTTAATTACTTATATCTTAGAGTACGTAATTCTTAGTATATAAGCGTTTTTCTAGCTTTAGCTTATAAAGTTTATTATCTACTTAGATAGCTTTATTTATAAGTTTATTAAGTGTTTTAAGGCTAGATCTACTTCTTATAAATTTTATATATACTACTAGTTTAAAACTTTATTTATATATTTATATTAAAGCAGTATTATCTTAATTAATTAGCGTCTAGTACTGCTAGAATTTAGTTATATAGTTAGTAGTAGATTTAGTTTGTTATAATTTCTAAATTTTCTACTTAGTAATTATAAATTCTTTAAAAAGTAAGAATACTTCTTATATTTTAGTCTTAAAAGTAGCCTAATCTTTAATAAAGTTAGTATTACCTCTATTAATAATAGTAGTATCTATATATTATTAGATAAATAAATTAGTCTATTTCTCTATATTTTTTTAGAAGAAGGTAGAGGCTTAAATAGTCTTATTCTTCTCTTTAATTTTATTTCTTTTAAAGTAGAAGTATTAGTTAACTTAGAGTAGCTATACTTTAAGCTTATTATAATTATTATAAAAAGTATTAAGCTTATTAGCATAAATATTAGCTCTTTTAGAGGTCTAGAAATTAGTAAGAGTATTTATTATAATATTACTTATTTTAAGAGTATTTAAAGTATAAAGGTTATTCTTAAATAATCTAAAAGTTAGTTCTTAGAGATAAAGTAGGCTGTAATAGATAAGTTAGTATAATAGTATAATTAGTAGATTAATATAATATTATAAGAAGTTATATAAAAATAAAGTATAATTCTTAGATTAAATACTAGAGTCTTATATAAAGTTAAATATACTAAGCTATAAGAGTTTAGTATCTAAGCTATATACTAATAAGTATTACGCTTAGTACTAAGTATATAAGTGCTTATTACTAAGTAATATAGTACTAGTTTAGTTATTAGCTAACTAGTCTTACTTACTACTAAGTATTCTTTTTTAGACTAGCGCGTAATACTTATTACTAAGTAGTTATATAACTACAGCGTAGTTACTATACTATAATCTTTTAACTGTACTACTTAATTCTCTAAAGTTATTACGCTTACCTCTATCTCTTTTTAGGTGTAGATTATAATATTTAACTTTTAAAATCTTTAAAAATATAAGCTTTTTAAGCTATAACTTTTTTAATATATAATATTTTTAAAGAATTTTTTAATATTTATAATCTAAATAAGTAAGTTTATAAGTCTAAAGTAGAAATTTATTATATTATAGCTTAGTTATAAAGCTATTAAGAGCTATAAAATTACTATATAAATTTAAGCTTTTTATAACTTTTTATATAATAGCTAATTTAAAAATCTAAATAAGTAAAAAGATTTATATATAGCTATATATAAAATATATAAAGTACTTATAGAGATATACTATATAATCTATTTTTTATACTAAGAAAATATTATTATAGCTAATAACTTCTTTAATACTTAATATTTTTTAAAAGATTTTTTAATATTTATAATATAGAAAGTTAGCTTTGTAATTTTATATTAATACTATTTTTTATTATAGCTTATTTAAAAAGTTAGCTTTTATATAGAGAGCTTCTATCTCTATAACTAAGCTATATAAAAATAAAATAATATTCTAGATTTATAGAGCTAACTTTCTAGATTATAAATATTAAAAAATCTTTTAAAAATATTAAGAATTAAAGAAGTTATAGCTTATTAAAGTTTCTAATTTTACTAGTAAAAGGTGTTTAACTAGCGACCATGTTCATCTGGCGCACGGTCACTGTAAGCCTAATCACGATAAGCACATCGTATAGCGTTATGTGTTGCTCTAGGACCCTTCTCCAGTTCTCTAAGACAAGCAGGTTTTCCAATCATTTTCGGACCTTCACAAATCATCTACATCAAAATGGGGGCAGTGCTTTCGGTTTTGCAGAACACATGGAGAGTCTTAATTTCAACAATTTCAGTTCTGAAAGCTTTGTCTACCGAGTTCAATCAGGCTCTGAAGCGTGCATCGCAGCCTCCAGGACTCCCGAGACCCAAATCATCCCAGCCGTACTGGCTCAACGATCCTCCATATCCTGAACTTGTCAATGTGAGTTCGCCTGAATTACCGCAGACCGCGGATGTGGCCATCATTGGTTCGGGAATCGCCGGCGCTGCTGTCGCGCGGTCATTGTTACACGAGAGACGCCGTCGCAACATTTGTACGAATGAAAAGGTGATCGTTTTCGACGCACGACAGCTATGCAGCGGTGCCACCGCCCGAAACGGCGGCCACATCAAACCTTCGATATATGAGTCCTTCTCTCGACTCAGCAAGCTCTTCCCAAAGGATCGTGCTGCTGCATTGGCGCGTTTCCAATCTCTACATATCGATTGTTTGATCGAATTATGTCAAAGCGAAGGCATCAATGCTGCCGAAGCTCGGAGGGTTGAGACTGTCGACCTTTTCCTTGATGAGCAAAGTTTCTCCAAAGCCGTCGCCGATGTTGACGAATTGAAAAGGTGGTTGCCCGAGATTGAGATCGCGGTATGGAACAGGAATCAAGCACATGAGGTTTGAGACACCCCTCAACTAACCAAGACGATCCACGAGCTAATAAAAACAGAAATTCGGCGTCAACAATAGCGTCGTCGGTGCTTTGTCTTACCAAGCAGGGGCCATTTGGGCGTACCGGTTTGTTGCATCTATTTGGCGTGGCATTCTGGACGAATTCTCACATAGTCTCTCTGTTGAGACGAACACCCCTGTAGAGTCGATAAGTGTTCCAAAAGATGCCCCAGAAGGCTTCCCATACGCTTTGCAGACTACTCGAGGGAATGTATTTGTCCGACATGTAGTACACGCTACCAATGCCTTCGCTAGTCAGCTCGTCCCAGGACTACGCAGCAAGATCGTGGGCGCACGAGCCCATATGTCTGCTCAACAACCAGGGCAAAGCTTCGCATATGCTGATGGTGTGCACTCCTGGGGTGTTGTTTACGGTGAGGGGTTTGACTACGTCACACAAAGGCCATCAGCCGCAGGTGATTCCAAAGGAGATCTGATGGTCGGAGGCGGTTTCCTGCGATCGCTAAAGCAAGGTATCGATCAAGTCGGTCGATATGACGATGGCCCTCCGCTCGATCCTTTGACCACTACACACATCGCAGGCATTTTTCCAGCGATATTCCATCCAAATTGGGGTGTTGGTGCCGAGTTGAAGCAAACCTGGTCTGGGATCATCGGCCTGACAGGAGATTCTCTTCCACTAGTCGGCCGCTTGGATACAAAATTAACAGGGCGAGATACGAGACAACGAAAGCGGACGTCTAGTGATAAGGACCAGTGTGGAGAGTGGATTACAGCAGGTTTCTCTGGAGAGGGTATGGTGTGGGCCTGGCTCTCAGGAGCAGCTCTTGGTATCATGATTGCCGGAAGTGAAGACCATGAATTATCAAAGGTTCCAGGAAGGCCAGGTGGGAAATTGGCGGAGTGGTTTCCAAAAGAATTAATAGTGTCTCATGAGAGGATACGCAGTGCTGACGTTAGTAATTTGGCTAGTCAATCATGAAGAACAGGGTTTCGTCAAGACGGGTCGTTGGCACTGTCACAAGAAATCATACATCTTATTCACGGAACAAACCGAAATTCTTCAACATTCTGCTTTGCCATCCTGTTGTTTATTCTGCCTGCTATACCAAAGCTCATCGAAAGTCATGTCTTCTTTTTTGACATGTATCTTAGAAATCTACAACGCCCTTAGTATTTGTGAGCTTCCATATCTCAAACCAACATAGACTGTGGGAAAGGGCTTGCAGTGTCTGCGTTTGTTCGATCCTCGTCTTGCATAGTATGATGCAGCGTTTGGTGACACGAACGTTGTCTTGACAACTATAGGGACGAAAGATCTGAACAATGAGTCTCAAGCATGTACTGTGTATTCATGCCATTGTTGACCTCAACAGTGTGGAAGGACTGAGTCAGATGAGGCTGTTAATATGCTGTTCGAACTACTTCCATTTTCTTGCCTTGTTGCATATACATTTCCAACACAAACTGAATGCCCCGATTGGGGTCAATTACCCTGGCCCAAATAACGGCAGCCTTCTCAGCGCTCACTTTTCGCATCAATACCTGCTTCAACGTCCTGCAACGCTGCTTTCTCTGGATTCGGAGCATCTTTTTTGATGCTCACCCACTTAACCATCAGCGACCCGATCATTACGCAAGCGCTGAGCGCTGCTGATAAGATGAACACTCGTGTCAATGAATAGCTATAAGCTGAAATCACAGTGTCAATTTCATTCGCCGGCACCACTTTGCGAAGCTCTGTGGCGCCAGTGTTGATGATGGCTTTGGTATCGAGACCGGCAATGCCGGATAATCGCTCCACAAGTTGAGTCGAGAACAGATTCTGGCCAACAGCAAGAAAGATGGCGCCGCCCTGTTGATTCATGAAGAACATCTGTAAAGGTGAAGGTACGAAGTCAGTATATGTTTATATGCAGTTCGTCTAGGCACCACTTACCATGGCCATGCCAAGAGAGACGTCTGAGCGGGGCAATACAGTCTGCGCTACCAAATTTGCCGTTTGTGCTCCAACGCCAAGTCCACACCCGTAAAATACTTGATAGCCGATCCATTTGCTTGCGTGGGAGTGTGGGGTAAGTGTAGAAAGGAGGCCACTAGCGATGGATGCGAGGATGGGCGAAAGGAGCATAGCAGGAACATAATATCCGATCTTTTGGGTGGCGACCGCTGTGATAATACCGAAGAGAACGAGTGACAAGACCATCGGTATCGTACGTACACCAGCCTGCATGGCAGACTGGCCCTGGGCTGCCTGGAACCAGATCGCAAGGTAGTACACAGCGTTCATCATGCCGCCAGCGAGAAGAAAGATGAAAAGCATGGCGCCACCCATAGAACGGTTCAAAATGACTCGAGACGGGGCCATAGCCGTGTCTGGCATTGTAAACTCCACAATTAGGAACGCGACGAACGTGACTGCGAAAGTCACGAGCAGGCCAATGATTCTCGGTGCCGACCAGGGATCGGTCGTACCTCCCCACTGCAGAGCCATGATGAGGCATACCATCGAAGGCACGAAAAAGGCAAGGCCTATTGGATCGAGGCGCTTGAGCTGCGCGAAAATGGACAGCTTCTCTTTCGGCGTATCGGGGAGATGTAGGAAGAAGAAGACGGTAGCAAAAGCCAAAGCGCCCACAGGGAGGTTGATGTAGAAACAAAATCTCCATGTCAGGGTCCTAACATATAGTCAGCGCTGGTTTGGTTCAAGGAGCAGATCGAATATCTCACGCGCTGTCCGTGAAGGTGCCTCCAACGAATGGTCCCAATACAGATGACACTCCGAATGCGAGGCCGAAAAAAGAAGTAAAAACGGGTCGCTTGCGTAGTGGAACGAGGGGGACAATGATCATGACCGCACCGCATTGAATGCCTGCCGCTCCTATGCCAGCGATTGCGCGACCAACGATGACTATGATGAAGGTCAGGATACTTAAGACCCCTTGACTTTGTGTATTACTTACGAATATCGGAAGTAGGTGCAGCCCCGCACAAAGCACTTCCCACCTCAAAGATAAAAATCGACACTAGGAACGTCCATTTCGTACTGTACAACTGGTATATCTTTCCAAATAGCGGATTGAAGATTGCGCACGTAAGCATATAGCCGCTGCCGTACCAGCCAATATCTGCAATGGAGCCATATGTGTTTGTGATCGCTGGTATAGCAGTAGCTGAGACTCGTTAGTATTCCATCTAGCATATATGAGATTCGCGTACCAATGATCATGCGATCCAGAGCGACGAGGAAGAAGGCGAGATAGATCGAGATGACGATAAGCCAGAACTTGAGCGACTTAGGATTGTAGTTCTTCTCCGCATCGGCATATTCATTTATTTTCAGGGGCGGATTCAAGTCGTCTTTCTCGGAATTTTGGGTGAAGGTGGACGGTCGTGCCTCCGGAAGAGGGTCAGTCGGAGTTGATGAAGTCATTATGTAAACGTTGGTAGGATCGAGCCAAGAATGGAAGAGAAGCTTGATCTTGATGTGTTACGAACATGGAAACGAAGCCTTGGTTATTATATGTACATTCGGGATGTGCAAGCATCCGAGAAGTGTGTCTTGCTACACGAATGCATTCGGGGAATAGAAATGTCCGACATGGTGCGCGAGCTGCCTTAGTGAACAAGAGGAGCCTACAGCTTTTGCAGATCCCCGAAACAAGCGAGAGAATTGAAATATCTAGAATATATTTGGAGTCTATACTGACGCTATAATATGTCGTTGTATTCCGTCGTCCTAGAAGTCAGGGCTTATGTCGAAGAGCACGTGATGGTGTCGGGTGTTAGATCTGGCCGAGCGGCTTACATTCAAATCGAGTCTACATCGTAGACACTATCTCATGCCCAACACTTGCCAGGTAATCTGGAGTCAATTATCCATCTTCGCAATGTCTTCTCTAGAAGGAGATCAGGGGTAATATGCGCGCGTTAGCTCAAGCTATACTGTTTCGTGCAGAGAGGGGTTTCTTCTGTAAACAACGAGCGTCGCCATATCTGCGCGTGTTAAGCACACGTATCCATGTATAGATGAAGTAGACATGCATTAAAACGCTTTTGATGGACTATGCGAGGCCACTGCAAGCCAGCCTTAAGCAGAGCGTGAACGGCTGGAGGAACGCGACTGAAACCAACGCGAGCGAGCGTTACGTAAGCCCCATACGTTCTCTAGACAATCGCACCCCGTTGACATCATGACAGAACGCCTTTCACGTCGTCAGGGCCGTATTGCCCGCATCAATCGACAATGCTCCCATTCAATGTGTTCAGCTCGATAATGCGTTGCCCGGGAATAAGCAGGGTCCTGCTTAGCGGCTTACGCGTGGTTGCCTGATATTTGTCGCCTCCCCACCCACAGCTATTGAGGGTGTTTCTTACATTCTCAGCTGCTATACGTGATCGCCATTTCGGTCTCAGCGGGCAGAGTAACGTCTTGAATATGTCTTCGGACATACCTACGCCTGAGCTCAGTGCTGATGCTCTATCTCCACTAGCTGCTACAAGCAAGCCGCAGCGCGTACTTTCGTGCGTGCTGTGCGCGCAAAGAAAGGTCAAGTGCGATCGAAAATATCCTTGTTCCAACTGCACCAAAGCCGGTACACAATGCATATCCGCTGCGACAATACCCCGGCAGAGACGCCGTAGATTTCCTGAGCGAGAGTTGCTCGATCGCCTGCGCCACTATGAGGATCTCCTTACGAAAAACGGCATTGCTTTTCAAGCCTTGCATGCGTCTTCGAACCCGCCAACGCAACCCGAAGAAAGAAGCGACAGTCGTAATAAGGAGTACACTAGGACTCAGCTATCCTCCACAGAAGATGCCGAGTATTCCCAAGCCAAGTATAAAGAAGCTGTAACACTAGGAAGAAACACTTCTAATCGCAATAGGAGTTTTTGGCATGCCATGAACCGAAGAGCATATGATGCTGATGATAATGCCAGCGACGATGGTTCTGACCACAGTTGTTCGTCTCGACACGCACTACGACAAGCACAAATTGTGAAAGCATGGGATTAGTGAGTGTCTCTACACGAATTGCACGTGTAGCATGCACTGACTTTGTACCACTATGTTTAGTCTCTATGCACACGAATTGCACCGCAGCGAGGACCTACTATTTTGCTCGCGTAGCGCAGATGTCAGCCTCTCAACCTTACATCCACCACAAGCCCAGATCTTCAAGCTCTGGCAACTGTACCTGGAAAATGTTGATCCATTGCTGAAGCTTACCCATACCCCCACCCTCCAAGCACGCATCATCGATGCCGCTAGCGACATTTCCAATATCGATCCTAACTTGGAGGCTCTCATGTTCTCAATCTACTGCATGGCTATTTTCAGTCTGGATCAAGAGCAGTGTCAAGCGATGTTTGGAAGGCGTAGATCAGAAATTATCAGAGGCTACCAGGTGGGTGCAAGAGAGGCGCTAGTGAATTGTGAATTTTTGAAATCCAGCGATAGAGAATGTTTGACAGCTCTTCATCTCTACTTGATATCACTCAAGCCTGACACAGACCCACGGTCACTGTCGTCTATGCTAGGAGCTGCTGTTCGCATTGCCCAGCGAATGGGCATCGACACAGAATCTACCAACGCCAGGCACTCCGTGCTCGAGGCTGAGCTCCGCAGAAGGCTGTGGTGGTCTCTTACACTTTACGACAACCGTATGGCCGAAATGACTGAGTGCAAGACCACTAGCTTGCTTCCAACGTGGGACTGCAAACCTCCGCTCAATGTCAATGACTTCAGTTTACGGGCCGAGATGAGCACTCAGCCTGCTGAGTTCGGGGTTTCATCCGAAGCACTGTTTACAGGTGAGTTCTAACTATTTAAAATACATGTGAGACATCACTGACTTCGGACGCTCCCTCTTGCAGTGATACGCAGTCAGATTGGCGAATTCGTGCGTCAAAGCCCCTCTCATCTGGATTTTATCAACCCAGCCCTAAAAACGTTTTCGAAGAAGGCCTCCGTTTCTGCTCATTCAGAATTCGACGAACTTACAGAGCTCGATTCGACGATGGAGCGAAAGTATCTTGCGCATTGCGATGCCCAGAACCCGTTGCACTTCCTGACTATATGGACGACACGCGCATCACTTGCAAAGATCGGATTCGCAAATTACCTATCGACCAATTCGCAGAAGTTTGGACAGGAAAGCGACGAGCAACGCGACCTCGGTCTTACTTTTGCGCTCCGGCTGCTTGAGTGCGATACAATGCTCATGACATCACCCCTTATCAAGAACTTCCGTTGGATCGTCTACTTGAATTTCCCCTTTCCCGTCTACGTTCATCTTGTTCAAGCGTTGAAAAGGCGGCCACTAGGCGAACATGCAGACCGATCGTGGCAGGCGATGAGCGACAACTGCGCCGCTCGTTTGATGGATATCGAGGTAAAGGACAGTCCAATCGAAACAAAACCGAAAAACCCCTTCTTCACCATATTTGCGGGACTCGTACTTCAAGCTTGGTCCGCGCGCGAGGCAGTATCTGCACAGTCAGAGCCACCAAAGATTGTGGCGGACATCAAACGGAAGATGGCACTTGTGGACGAAAAAGCGGCGGAGGTGCAGTTCCAGACACCAAGTTCCGATAGCGCCAACCCACAGACATCCGAGCTCATGGGTTTGGGAAGTCTCGGTTCCCAATTAGGAGTTACCGATGGCATGAACGTAGACAGTGGAGTTTTCCCTATGGATCTCACACAGGCTCCGATCAACTTTAACGGTAGTCCATGGACTTGGCAAATTCCTAATTGGAACGCGATGCCTGGCCAAGGATGGTGAAGCTGTCGTATCAAGTATCGAGATTTGTGTCGTCAAAGACTAAGACGATACTTGACCGTGTCCGATGGAGACCGTGACCATAACAGGATCTCATGGTATCGTTAGACCGACTCAGGTATTAACGTCCAGGATGTTCAGGCTGTCATGACATATTTACCGAACTCCTTTCAGTCCCGAGTCAGCGATCCGATGTAGCACCTAACGTTCCGGCACCCACTTCCGCATCTACAACGGCGTATCTCAACTATCTCGTGTACCCCAGGTCATGTGCCGACGTCTGTTACTACTTACTCATCTGGTGTTGTTATCGCGGTCGCGACCCCATACTATCATGATACGGCGCATTTGCATGAGCCGTTCTAAAGCCGTGCGGGTCTGCGATTGTATTTTCAATAGACTTGTTTCTCGATGTCTCATGCGCTGAGAACAGGGGCAGAGTTTTAACGGTGGTTATTCAACTGGAGTTCTTTTTTTGTAGATAACGTCTCCCTGATGGGCGCAGGGGTGGAGTGGAGCGATAGCCTTGGCGTTTCAAGCAGCCTGACAGGGAACCAGCCATCAGCCGGCTGGCTCGTATGAAGCCGTAATACGTTGATCACTTATTCAGGACGTGTATTTCACCATAGACTATGGCATAGCGACAGCTGAAACAAGATTCATACCTTTTCTGACCTTGTGTCAGTCTCGGGTGTACGCATTCGCGTTCGCTAATAGCTCATTACGGCGTTGCAGCACCCCACATCACGACAAAACAACCGCGATCCTTTCGAGCATCTCCTTGAGGCGCAGTCAACGACATGACTCCAGGAAGGCCGAGCATACCGATAGTGGCATCACCACTAACCTTGCTGGGTGTCTCGGCCCGCTACCGTTGCTATGAACCCCTGGCAGCTCCGGACTTGGAGCCTTTAGCGCTATCGAACATACTAAAATACGATATATAGGTGAACATATACAGGGTAGCTACTCACGAACAGTTCCTATCTCAGTAGTACGCTACCCTATATGATGTTAAGTCTACAATCCTCCCGCTTGTTTCAAAGGTATCCACTTTTGCAAACTCCTATGTGTGGGTCACAAGTACAGGACCATAGTTGGAACGAGTATATAGGAAGTTGACGCCAGAACTGCGATTCTTGCCTCAGGCCAGTTGTCTGAATTCGTATCCAGAATGCAGGTCCGCAATCTCTTCGCCGTGCTTTCGGCAGCCACTCTTTTACATTTTACACACGCCCTTAATGCTTGCCCGGGTTCTGACGATGTTTTCACTGGAGCGGAAGGTATCAGATATCGAGTATGTCCTGGTACCGATCTGACTGGACCTTCGACGTCAATAAAGCGAGTTACTTCGGTTACAGCATGCGCGAAACTTTGCGACCAGAGCATGGACTGTTTCAAGGCAGTCTTTGATACCCGGACGAAAGACTGCCACTTCAAAGATCTTACTGGCCTGACTTGGGTTGCCAATGACCGTTTCCAAGTCATCCAAGCAGAGCAGGTCAACATCGCTCGTTGCCCTCACAACGAGTGGACTTATCATAGAAACCGGGTAAGTCTGTTCTCGCTTTCTCGAAAGGAGGCACCATATGTTCATAAACTAATACTGTGATACCAGAAACAATACAGCATCTGTCCAGGAACCGATATCCGCGGACCAAGTGAAAAGATATGGCAGGGTATAAGGACTTTCGATGATTGCGCCTACCTGTGTGCCAACTGGGCTACGTGCAACGCAGCCGTTTACGACTCCGCAAAGATGGCTTGCCACATCAAAGCCGACTCACGGAGTAACACTTTGATCTGGTCAACCGACAAACGCTACGATGTGATGCGTCTAAACGTCGCGCCCGCGCCCGCGAAAGACGGTGAATGGTCAGATCTCATTCGCCTGCCTGTCATCCCTGTTGCCGCATATGTTGTTCCTGAGTATCCTGTCTCACAACGTCTCCTCGTCTTCTCTAGTTGGGGAGCTGACGCCTTCGGTGGTGCTGGTGGAAGAACGCAGTTTGCGGACTACAACTTCAATACGTAAGCCATACTGACATTAGGTTACCGGCCTATGCTGACAGTCTTCACAGTGGAGCAGTTTCGGCCCGTACAGTCAGCAACACTCACCACGACATGTTCTGTCCTGCAATGAGCAGTCTTCAAGATGGCCAGCTTTTGATTCAAGGAGGGTCAGATGCTTCTGCAGCCAGTCTCTACGATCCAGTCTCGAATGCTTTCACTCGCGCCCCCGACATGTACGTCTCCTCAAATATTGTCATTAGAGAATGCTACTGATATGAATTAGGAAAATGGCCCGTGGCTACCAATCATCTACAACGACATCCGACAATCGCGTGTTCACCATCGGAGGTGCCTACTCTGGTCCCCGTAAGGGAAAGGACGGTGAGGTTTACGATCCCTCCACCAACACCTGGACAGCATTACCAAACGCAAGGATGAAGGCTATGCTCACGACCGATCATGAAGGAATCTGGCGCGAAGACAACCATGCGTGGTTGTTTGGTTGGAAGAACGCTTCTGTTTTCCAAGCCGGTCCTAGCAAAGCTATGAACTGGTATGGCACAAAGGGAACCGGATCGCAAGTCGCTGCTGGTATACGTGACCCAATTGATGACGCGATGTGCGGTATCTTTGTCATGTACGATGCCGTCGCCGGCAAGATCTTCAGTGCTGGTGGTGCTCCTGACTACACAGACTCAGATGCCAACGCCAGGGCCCATATCACTACCATTGACGAGCCGAACTCTCCTGCAAGGGTTGAGCGTGTCGCGGATATGACCTATCCTCGCGGTTTCTCCAACGCGGTCGTTTTGCCTGACGGAACGGTCCTTGTAAGTGGTGGCCAAAAACGATCGAAGGTGTTCACAGATGACGATGGAGCTCTCTACCCGGAACTTTTCGACCCAGCCACAAAGTCCTGGAAGGTCCTTGCCCCACAGGCTGTACCTCGCAACTATCACTCGGTTAGTATCTTGCTGGCCGACGGACGTGTCTTCAGCGGTGGTGGCGGTCTCTGCTACGTTGCCCAGGGAGTCGGCCGCAGCTCCGCCAATTGCAACAAACTCGTCGACCACGCCGATGGCCAAATCTTCTCGCCGCCGTACCTGTTCAATACTGACGGAAGTCCCGCAACACGTCCTGTGATTCGCTCTCTAAGCGCAGAAAGCGTCAAAGTTGGAGGCGAGCTGACTATCCAAATCGAGACCTCAGAACCAGGTCTCAAGTTCACCCTAGTTCGCATCGGCAGCGTCACACACTCAGTCAACACCGACCAGCGACGAGTGCCACTCTCAAACATCAAGGGCGAGGGATGCACGTACACTGCTACATTGCCCAATGACAGCGGTATTCTTATTCCAGGCTCCTACTACGTCTTTGTCATCTCAAAGGAGGGTGTTCCTAGCATTGCTAGGACCGTGCAGATCGTACTGCCATAAGGCTGCCGTTGTTTTTTTGAGCCCACATACTGGATGTCGCAACGCTCGTTATGCACCATTCGTCTTTGAGTCTTTCCTTATGTCGACCTCACCCGCAAGTCTCTCTTTACTTACGTACTTAGTATATAATGTCTGTTATAGCATAATGTATATTACGTTTACCGAGAAGGTGGAAATTTATAATTCTCTCGCTTTGCAACAAATCTTGTCGTACTGATGAACAGTCTGACCTGGAGCTCGATATGATCTCGTGAAATTATTGACACTCGCTTTCCCCTAAAAACACGCAAACAATGTCTGGCCTTGTATTGTGATCAAGAAAGATGTGGCTTACAAACTCATCCATGGAAGATGGAACAGCTATCGTTGAACTGGATACATGAGCTGTAGTAAGGTTAGTTCAGATGTGAGTGCTACCGTGCCGGTTACATGAAGCTAGCAAAGATCTTTTAGCTTTTGACTACTGACACCTCTGTCCTACACGCACGGCTGATTTGGGGATGTGATTATCGTCAGGCACTCTAGCCGCATGCGCTGTCATCGTCTTGGGTCTACTAGCGATATTTCACACTGACTGCTACACACCACATGGTGGAACACGCGCAGCAAAGAAAGATTTCCCAAATGGTGATATTGTACTTGTGACCAGTTTTGCATATAGTATTGATGTCACGTGTGGAAAAAAGGACTATACGATTACCCTGCAAGGGCGTCCTACACGCTGGACACATGAGGAAAGGTCTTTGTTGACCACAATATCATTTCGCGCAGATTTGGTCACACTGGTCGCAAACCCGCAGGCTATGAAACACATCCAAGAATGATTTGCAGGACGTTCATTGTCTCCGACCACATGTGGAAAGCGTGATAATGGAAATATCGCAAGCTTCGTGTATATAACGCGCGACTTCAGCTCTATTCGATGAATGTCGTGGGAACCAATCCAACAACTTCCAGGTCAGAGTCTCACCTAGCGACAAAGCCACGATGCACTTCTCCGCCTTCTTTGTCGTCCTCAGCGCTTTGGTGATCACTTCTCTGGCCATGCCTGCACCCGAAACAACTGCAGAAGCACTACCAGTGCCAGCGACGATGGCAGTCGCCGCCGAGATACCCTATCAAACCGCCGGCCCATTTGCGGGTACCTTGCCCCCAAACTTTGCTAAGATATGGGTCTTCACTGGCCTCGAATGCGGGATCAGAGACGGCCCTTCCTACAACATGTTTTTCTGGTCTGGTGATGATCGCTGCATACCATTTCGGAACGTCGGGTCCATAATCGCGTGGTACAAATCTTCAATCGGGTAAGTCAACTGTCATGTTCTAAAGGAGATCGACTCACATGTGATTCCACCGCTATAGTAAATGCAAGGTCACGACTCACAGTGGAAGTAACTGCAGAGGCATCGAATGGAAGCCCAAGAACAAAGAGTGCGTTCGTGGATTGTTCGCTTCAGTCAGGGTTTCGTGCCCAAAGTTTTAAAAGTGCTGGTGTAATCAGCGGCAAGTTTCAGTTTGTCAATCCATCTCTCATCTTCTTTTTGTACACTCACTTGGATCACGAGTTCATATATCATTGTATGGGCGATAGCTTTTGTTTCTACTTCGCTACCAATCTAATCTCTACCACAACCATGGATATAGAAACACCATTTCAGAGAAATGCCATCGCTACCAAAATTGGTTGCATATGGTTTCTGTGAAGCCTTTTAGGGATCCAATGGACCCTCCCACTTTTCCTTGTCCGACATTGAGTCATCTGTGAAGTCGGAAGTAGAATCATAGTCGGCTAGATGTGCGAGCACAAAGTCAGTGTGTGTCTCATACGCGGTTTGTACAATGATACGTACAAATATGACGGCATCTGTTGCAAATCAAGTCCGTGTCGTGCTTATTTCTTCCAGCCCTGAAGGCATCTGCGCAGCCAAGGCACACAGTGTTCCTGATCCTATCCATGCAGACGGCGCACTGTGTCCTGTAGAACTCGGTGTTCTTGACAAAGGAAGCCCTGCAGGTGGTGACGCAGCCCCACTGCTCTCTGACTGGGCGTTCGTGCCAAACGATACGGTTGCCATCGTCGCTGGCGATCGTGAACGTGGCTAAGACGGCCACGGCGGTGAAGACGGAGACGATGAGACGCATCTTTCGTCGAGACCTGGCTTGATTAGTCGAACGGAGTAAGCTGTATTAGGGATGAGTAGTACGCAATGTTTTGGAACTATAGGGTCTTGGTTACTGTGGTGTGAGGATCCCTTCGATCAGATCAGCGGGCATAAGACGGGAGGCAGTCTTTGTCTTTCGAAGTAGGAAAAAGACGGCGGGACAATCCAGTGCCTTTTGTATGAAGGCGACTCGAGGCGGATTCGTATATCTTTGGTAAACTAGCAGCCAAGCCCCAGCGCAAGGCGGTCGAGCCAATCTCATACAAGGTCGACCATTAGCATTGTCATGGTTCATATGATGTAGATGAAGAAAGCAGGAGACGACCTAAGATTGTATGAGTCGCCAACCAACCAAGCGTATGTTGTCGCAGAGATTGGGAAACGACCCAAGGTTCACCACAAAAGGACACCCCAATTGCGCGATTCCCAGTCACAAGTGAACAAAGCCGACATTGGGAGAGCCTGAAAGTTCGCAATATCGCATTCTGATTCGTGCATTTTCGGTATCGTATGGTAGCTTGCATTATACAGCACGTGTAGAGCCCTCGTTCGGAAGAGCTCTGCTTTCAGCAGTACACCAGTCCAGCATCACGTTTACGTTCGCACAATAGTAGCGACTGAAGGTGTGTGCATCGTTCGCGGATACATGTACCAAATTGACATGACAGAGATATCGAGCCCTTCTGTCAAAACACGGGCATCGTGGCCAAAGCAGCCACGTCAAAGTGCCTTCGCTCTTGGAACGCCTGACACCGGGTATGAATTAGCAAGACAAAACACAGAGAGTAGAGTGGTGACAGAGAGCGCTCTACGAGAGAGTGATATCGCTACCTGTTCCATCTCCGTTCTGCTCCATCCTGGTGTCTTCCCCATCTCCACCTGCGAGCACCTTGGTCTGAGGTCGGTATCCTTCAGGTGGACCTACACCAGGCGTGCACGCTGCGACGTTTCCGTCCTCGTCGACAAACTCGAAGTTGTACCGCGAGAGCAAATGAGGGATTGCTGACAGTTGTGGGCCGTATCGTGCGGTATTGTCGTAAAGCTCGAATAGCGGAACGGCGAGGAGCTTCATGTTCTTCGGAACACTCAGGACCTCTGTGCAACATTAGCGACTGGCCAAAACATGGAGGATAGGCAGGTCAACTTACTGCTGCGCGGAAGCTGGATAAAGTACAGCTTCTTGCACTCCTTTGGCCTGGTGACATGGGCAGGGATAAAAGGGTACATAAAGGTCTCGAAGTTGGGTCGCCACCACTGCGCCAACGTATCGCCAACCACCCACTCGTCATTGACGCCTTCGCCAGTGAATTGGGTGCCGACTGGTGCGAGGCGCTCGTTCAGCCTCGCCTTGAAGCCCTCGATCTCGTCGTCCTCAGCACGGAGATAGTCGCCGGGTCTATATGACGTCAGCCAGAACAGCTATAGGCGATGACAATTCGTACAGCTTGAAGAAGGCGTTTGCGATCTGCAACATGAGGATGTGCGGGTGGTTGTGTTCGTGGCAGACGAGGATGCCTTCGCAGGTTCGTCGCATGCCATGCTCCGAGTAGTGCTCTTCCAACCGCTTGAGCCGAGCAAGCACCGAAGGGTCTTCCTCGGGCTGGCCATCTTTGGTTCCGAATGTGTAGTTGCTGAGGGGAAACAAGCGAATCGTCTTTGGCTGGTTGCCGTTGAAGTCCTTGGGGATGACGGGACTGCTTTGGTGAGCGGAAATCACGAACGCAGCTTCCTAAACATACGGGTATGAGCTCTGCGAAGCTTCCTTTACTATGGTCGACATGGTGGATGTGATTGTTTCGTGTAAGCTCTGGGTTGCTTGTTGCGTCGCGACAATCGACCCGTCGCGGCGAGCTTGCAGGGATTCAGCGTCTCGCTAACACGTGATGATGCGCGCGTCCACGCCCTCGATGAAGCTGCCACAGCTCCACCGCTCCGTCGCTCCCATTAATTTGCCTACTCGACCTAGACTTCTGCTCCCTAGCCCTGTCGGTCCACAAAGTAATCAAAATGGTACAGACAGCATTAATCACTGGAGGTAAAGCAGACTTCACCAGTGCTCTACTGCTAGCTGACCCTAGAGTGCAGCTAGTGGTCTGCTTGGCCGTCAAGTGCAACGAGAGTTCTCTCTAGACGGTTGGAAATCAGTCGGCACCGGGCTGAGTCGGATTACCTCGCCAGATGTAGTGAAGCTGGATATTTTGAATCAAGACGAGATCTTGAGGGTGCTCGATGAAGTCAGCCCGCAAGTCGTCGTCCACTGCGCTGCCAACCGCTTTCCGGACTCTTGTACCAAAGACCCAGAAGCAGCGAGGAAACTGAACGTAGACGCAAGCAGAATTCTAGCTGAAGCTACTGCCTCTCGAGGAATCTTTATCATCTACATCTCGACGGACTATGTCTTTGCTGGGAAACCTGGAGAAGCTCCTTACAAGCCAGACTCGGCGCCGAGCCCACCAAATGCGTAAGTCCAGATCTGACACACCAAGTTTATGGTAAACACAAGAACCTTGGATCGTCTGCCAATGCCCACTTCATGGCACATGACAAGTTCCGGGTATGGTGGCTGTTGTGCCAACTTAGACTGACAAGATTCGTCAGGTATGGCCAAAGTAAACTGGAAGGCGAACAAGCTGTCCTTGACGTTGCCAGTAGGACTGGTGCAAACAACAAAGTCGTTGTTCTCCGCGTCCCAGTCCTCTACGGATCTTGCGACGAGCCAAAAGACAGTGCAGTCAACGTGCTCATGTCGCAATTGTGGAACGCTCAACAGACAGAACAAGGCCAGCCAAAAATCCAAGTCGATGACTATGCGCTTCGATATCCTACGAATACTCAAGATGTTGGTCGAGTGTGTCGTGATATAGCGAAGCTGTATCTTGATCCAGCAACCACGTAAGCTACGCTCAAATTACGAATAGTCGTGCGCGTCTAGTCATCCAGTGCTGACGATGAACACAGGAGCCGTGAACTACCAAGTGTTCTCCAATTCAGCTCCGAAGACCGGATGACCAAATGGCAAATTTGCCAGACATTTGCCGACATCATGGGGTTGCCCCTCGACAATATGGAACCCTTCGAACCTGACGAAGAACCGAAAGATGGTACTGTTAGGCCTTACGATTGTCATTTAGATACTAGCGCACTGCGAGATCTAGGTATCGACATATCAACTGTGGATTTCCGCACATGGTGGTAAGTTCATATGCGCGTTCGCACCTTCTACTGCTCACATCATGTAGGAGGCGAGAAGTTGGGGCTTTCCGCTGAGTGCCGACATTGGACGTCACGCGGACCCTTCCTAATACACGATCCGATCCTGCAGACTATGAGAGCCTTCCACTTTTGTTGCATAGTTATCAGACATCGCAATGCTATGAGCGGCAAAGCCAAGACCGCGACACTAGCAGATCTACAGAATGTGTCGCAAACAAAGCCACCCGTACCTGCATTTTTACTCTTACAGCAAAGTATGGATCCACCTCCCGCACATCTCGAGCATCGCATTGGAGGCTCATCGACTACCCACAGTTGTCCCATTCCGACGTTGTGGTTCTTATCCAAATTGGGATTGCGGTCGCTAAATGATTGGGTGACATCCATCAACGCGGCGCAGTCTCGCGCCGTGAGTTTTGGAGGCGCTTATGCTCCATGATGGTGCAGTTAAGTATCTATCCTGTCGACTTGTAGAATGCCTAAATCTACTCGTATCGTTTTGTGTGCAGAATTTGATTAAGTGTGCGTTCTGTCTTGGCCTTGGATTGGCCAGTCCTTTCTTTACCGATTATGTTTTCATTCCGAACAAGCCTCCAGCCTGCATTGTCTGCGAAGCCCAGCGCTAATCACGCTAGCTTTCTGAAATCGGTCTTGGGAAAACGCAATCGAACCACAGGTATGACGTACGAATACTATGCTGTGAACATAGGAGCTAAATCTTGACAAGGCCCTAATCGAGCTCCTTGGAAACCAAGCGCGTTCCATCCTGTCACTCTCATCACTGCAACATTGATAGCTTGGGCTTTTATTGCCGTCCTACAAGTTCTGCTTATCCGTAGCCAGAATGATGGAGGAATCATCTTCGCAACTACGATCGATGACATACCACTCGGACAGTCGTTCGCTTATCTGTATCTGCCAACGATCTTTGCCCTTGTCTTCAGCATTTTCTGGGCCTGGATCGACCTCCAGGTGAAGAGATTTGAGCCTTATCATCAGCTTAGCCAACCCGATGGCGCCTGGGGCAAGGATAGCTTGCTGATCAGTTATCCTTTTGACTTTCTGCCTTTTGTTCCATTCAGCGCTTTCAAAAGCCGGTAAGCTCTGTTCTTTAGTACTAGGCGCCTAAATCACAGAACTGACAGCCGTCAGCCATTGGGCTGTATTCTGGGCTAGCTTGTGTGTCGTTTTCGTCACCTGGGGCGTTGTGCCTCTCCAAGCCGGCATATTCGCCACAGAGACGATTACTCGTACTTCCGCCGCCACATTCGCACGATCTGACGGCTTCATGTCCGCGAATAAACAAATCCAGAATATCGACGGCCGCTACATTCAGTCGGCCCACGGGATCATATGGTTAAACGAGACCCTTCCTCCATACATGACCCGCGACTACGTTCTTGCACCAGTTCGGCCGAAGGATGTCGTTAGTGACTTCGCCTCAAACCTAACGTGGACATCGGACACGATGCTGTACAGTCTAGATATGAAGTGTGAAACACCCACCGTCAAAGTCAAGAACGAGACCACTTTCAGTGGAGACATCAACGCTGGATTTGAAACCATACAAACAGCTGCGTACATGAGTAGCAACGGCTGTGGCTTCCCTACGGATTACTACAATGCGCTCGGTAACGAGACTATCGGCCCAAACCCATCATTCAGCAATCAGTCCGTATACGATACGAAAGAGTTCGCTTCCGTATATATCGGCTACTATCGTACCGATTTCGCCTCCTGGTACCTTGAAGGCCTTTGTCCTGAAACATCTAATCACACGTTCATGGCGATGTTCACTCGGAACAAGAGATCTGTCAACGACAAGCCACAGAACGTAACCAGACTGTACTGCACGCCAGCCTACTATCAACAAGAAGTCACTGCGAATATTCATGCTGTCACGCGACGTCCAGTCAACATAACAGCCAAAGGAGAGAAGGTACCGCTCCCAGCCGAGAAGTGGAATACGACTTTCTTCGAGTACCAGATGAACACTGGGAACAGTGACGTTGAGTCTCCTAATGCACTACCACTCAAATATTGGCCCGACCAGCTTGAAACAGTCTCGGCATTTCCTCTCAGCCTAGGATCGCAGGGTACAATCCTTAGTGACATGGCAGGATTCGCCATCGGCGCATCTAATCATACTCTGGACGCGCTGTTAGACCCAGAAGCGCTAGGACGTGCATATGAAGCAGCTTATCGCATCATCTTCGCACGATCTATGGTAGAGATTCTGGATCAGGACTTCACAGCCTCAACTACCGTGAATGGAAGCACCGAATACAGGGTCGTGGCTGTCGTTGTCGTTCCGGTTTTCACTTATATAGTGGAAGGTCTTTTGGGATTCATTTCTATGTGTAGCATCGCCCTTCTTGTCATCTCTCTTCGTCGGCAATGGAGCTTACAGTCTGACCCGGCCACGATCTCTAGTGTCATGGCACTGGTCTCCGATAACCCAGCATTACTAGATGACTTTGCCAAACTTGATCGTGCGAGCATGGAAGACTTTCAGGCACATTTGAAGGATAAGAAGTTCCTGCTAGAGCGCAGTGAGCGAGGCAATACGTAAGTAGCCACCAGCCAGTTGCATGGACATTCATACTAATCATATCATCAGGATTACAGAAGCGGATAACTTCGATCCTTTGGGCATCCATGCTCATGGTGCAGTCCGTACCGATTCGGAAGAATCTCAGGCACCAACGCCAGTTCGCCCGAAAGAGTTTCGCTCCTTCATGGTAACACCGTTCGTCAGCCTATTGGTAGCTCTTGCAATCACCCTTGGAGTCTTACTACACCAAAGTCTGCCTCATGGTAAGAACACGCTTCTGTAACAATTCAACTTGACTAACGACCGGTAAAGGTATCACTAGACCCCCGGACACTGTCATTCGCCAGCTCGTTACAAACTACGTTCCCACTGCTCTCGCGACACTGATTGAGCCTGTTTGGATTTTGATCAACCGCTTGTTGTGCCTACTTCAACCACTCGAAGAACTCCGTGGAGGCAAAGCGACCGCGCAGAAGTCGATTGATGCCAATTACAGCTCTCTCCCGCCACAGCTTGTGGTGCTCGGGGCACTACGCTCATCCCACTTCAAGCTTGCTGCGGTTTGCTTAATGGCGCTTCTTGCCAATGTACTCGCAGTTGCTTTTTCCGGGGTATTCAAAGAGCGTTCCGTAACGGTCCCTAGTACGATATCGTTCGCGCCACCCTACGAACACAGGTTCGTGTCGATCAACGGAAGCGTGGGGCCGAACATGCCATTTCAAGAGCAAGTAATGTTGAGACCCTCTGGTGCTTATACCGGAGGTTTAGGTTCCAACCAGTTTCTAGTAGCTGAGTCCAACTACACTGCAGGAACCCCGCTACCAGCATGGACTGACGATCGATTTATGTACATGCCATTCGTGGACGAGGATCACCCAAGCATCGGCATGGCAGATGAGGTTCATGCTCGAACAACAGCCATTGGAGCAAACCTTGAGTGCCGGCAGATCGAGGCCCCGAATTGGAGAGCGAGCTGGTTCAGCGAAAGGTTCGGACAATCACTGTCTAACATCTCTGTGACTGTGAATGGCATTACTTGTGCAAGAAAGGGTATCGTAACGTCTCTGAGCCCAAACGAAGTTGAGGTTGGAGGCTCCGCATGTCAAACTGGCAAAGTCGCCATGGAATTCAGCGGAATACTGGAGGCGCGTCAAAACGCTTCTTCAGTCGAGCGAGATTTCTGTGCTCGACTGGCTGTGCTTGGATACATCCGAGATGCCGATATTTGTTCACGCAACGCGACAACCAATTTCAATGAGAAAAGCGCTATCTTCTTCGGGTGCCACTCTGGGTTGGTTGGCGGCGAAGCGGATGTAACCATCACCAACGACGGGCGAATACAGAATGTCTCGCAGGCAAATGTTACTTCGGATCTGTCTCCAGAGTTCCTAGGCCGACACTTTGAAAATGACGCATCGAACCTTTTACATCAAGGAAACGCCTACCTTCTAGCGCGATTTGCGAATCCAAAGTGGCACAACCAATCGTACGCTGGCGACTTCATGAACTATTTTATGATCAAGCAGAGCAACAGTAGCCAAATGACGGACCCAAACCAGTCTCTGCCCTCACTTGATGAGGTGACACGGAACCTTTATCCCGTCTACAGCAAACTGTTCGCGATTTGGCTAGGAATCAACAAAAGAAAGCTCCTAGTTCCACGCCAGAAAGACTCCGCTTTTCTCATGGAGGGTCTGGCGAACGAACGGCAAACCCGAATCTTCCTGTCCATGCCGCTATTCGTTGTTGCCGAGATTATCCTGGGCATCTATGTTGTAGTTGCAGTATGCATCTACCTCTGGCGGCCGGGCCGCTTCCTTCCGCGCATGCCGACATCAATAGGTGCCATTATAGCGCTATTCGCAGCGAGCGAGGCCGTGCAGGACATGCGTGGGACTAGTTTGTTGACGAGCAAGGAGCGGAGGAAGCACCTAGAGAGCTTGGGTGGAACGTATGGCTACGGGACATTCATAGGCGCAGATGGGAAATTGCACGAAGGTGTTGAGAAAGAACCGCTTGTAGATGCCGTGCCGCTCCCGGGTGTACTTGAGAAAGTACAGACGGGCTTCTCCTCGAAGAAATCGGTGTTCAAACGAGATAGGGGTTGAGAGATCAATCCTGCCTTAGCATGGATTGACTCGCAATGAGCTCATGAATATAATGAGATCAATCACGCTTTTCAACGGTCCATCAGCCTCTCTTTCAAAGTCAAGTGTTTGAGAACAAGCATACTTGACTTGATGTTCTGCGGACGTTTCATTCCGCTGTTCTCTGAGTGGTCAGGTAGGGAAATGAAGACTGACCTCCAGCTTGGCATGTGCGAAAATTGGTCATGGTGTAGCTTAATTGATAGACAGTACCAGTGTCGCATTTTGCGGACGCCCGAGCCGTAGAACGGAGATTGAAGCTCAACTTCAGTAAGTGTGGAGAAGGATGACGCGTAGAACGTTTGTGCGCTCTCTAAGGTGAACCGCAGGACTAGTTGAATTGCCGAGGTGCATCCGCGTGGCATAATTATGAACACGAAAAAGTGAAATGACGTTTGGGGAGAAGGCTTTGGGAAAAGAAGCAAATGCGAAAAGTGATATTGTTTGGGTTGTGTTTCGTGGGAAGGACGGGTGGTCGCCCATCACATGCTATCAACCACGAAGCCGCCAGGGAAGTCTTGCCTGACCCCATCCGACGGTCAAGATGAGGGGGGGAACGGCTGTCATCGCTCGTTTCTGCATGCCTCAGTGAAAAAATGTCGCACCCATCTGATAGGCTCCAACAGCGTCCAGATGTCATTACCAACCGCGTTGATTCGTAGTCTTTGGGCAGCAGCGAAAACACCAGGAGTCGCCCTGCAAAGCGTAATAGCGAAGGCAGAGGGGTATCTGCTATTGTTTTGTTTCGCGTTGGTGTTTTTGATCACAGCTGGTGGTAGACAGTCCAAGGTCAGCCGTTTACGGGGTATTCGAAACGAAGCCTTTGAAGCCTTTTCTGATCTCCACTGATCAGCTTTTAGAAGGAAAGGAGTGGCCGGCATTGTTGCCTCCCCACGAGTCCATGATCTGTGGGTTGTTTGCGCGTGAGTGGTTTAATGAAACAAGTTGTCGCTGATAGGTGACCAATCAATCGATGGGACGATGAGGGTCTGGAGGCGACGGCGCTTTTCCATCGCGAGCTGATGTCGACGGCGTGTTGGTAGCGAGACCCGCGGGTCGCCGCCGCCGGGTCACGACATGCACGTAGCTAGACCCCACAGCCACAGTCTCCTGTAGCTGGATCCGCCACACTTGGAATCTTCGCCTACACCGACTCAGACTCCGAGCTCAACTCATTCACGATGTGGCGCAGCTGCCTGCCTGAACACGAGGCCACGACGGTTGCATTGTGTCGATCTCTAAGATTAGCAGCGTTCGCCGCCATGAACCATGTACAGAACGAAGGCGGACAATATCCAGGGTCTAATATTATCGAGAGTAACAGAACTGACGGCTAAAAAGGAGGAGGCCCAAAAAGACCTTGCGCATGAGGAGGGATACCCAGTTTGCGACGCATGAAGTTCGATGACATCGACGCGGCCTGTCGTCTGCAAGGCCTGCAATCAAAGACCTTTTTGTCATTGTAGTCGGTCCGCTACATTTCAGACTCTAGTATCGAAGCTGCCGCCCGTGTCGCAATCACAGCGGTAAGTAACCTCTGCGTGACCTGAATAGTCGTGATTGTGCGACTTGGTTTGTTGTCGAACAAGCCATGGGCGTACGCCTGGTGTGCCTCTAGAAGAGCATATCTGCCAATAGGAGGCTCCGCAGCAACTTTCGCGAAGGATGCTGATCGTTTCAGCTTTAGCAGGCGATCGCCACTCCACACCATGGCTAGCTCTCTGAGCTATGGAGTTATCGATAGGCCAGGATTCGGCATTCCCCTGCATAACACACAGACCTCCGGCACAAACTTCAAACCTGACGTCGGGCCCCTGGCCATAGCCTCGCACCAATGCTTTCCTATGTGAGTCGCTCTCCGCTTTTTTGTTTCATGGACAATGCTCTTGTCATGACCACATGGCCAATGGAATCGGTATCGTGCCTGCCGAGAGCTCAGGACTTTGAAGTTACACCACTAATCCTGCGCTCGTTCCCCTGCCGCTAAACCGGGAGGGGCACGCCAGCCGAAGAAGCCCGTCAACCGTTGCAAGAGATGCCTTGCTTCGTCGAATAGCCTATGCTTCTTCACGACGATCCGCCGGACATAGGCTCCTGAGTCCTTGCACCGCTGTACGTCTCCCTCCCGACCGCCACGGGCTAGCCATGTGGGTTGTAAATGAACATCCTTATATAACCTAACGCGGTTCCATCTCTTTTTCCTTCTCATCACAAGCTATTCACAGCAGTACCAAACTTCTTCTCTGTTTCTTTTGCTTTTGAACGTCTTGCCAGTGGCAGATCACATTCTTTACAATTGCTGTGCGTTATCGAAGAGCTAGACTCAACAGCACTATCCCCGTCTATATCAAGTACTTCTTGGTCCGCGAACTTCGAACAACTCAACAGCCATCACATTCATTTCGTCGCTCAGCAGGTCTAGCGATTTTCAAACGAGGATATCTACTTCTCACATCATTCCTTCAGCCATCAACATGTTTGCCCAAGCCAACCTCCTCTTGGCACTTGCTGCCAGCGCTACTGCGCACATGATTATGGACTACCCAGTCCCTTACGGAAAGGCTACCCTCAACAGCTCTCCTCTCGCACCTGGCGACTTCCCATGCAAACAACGCACCGGTGTCTACGACGTTACTGAAATGAACCAGTGGAATGCTGGCGAGACCAAGACCATCTCTTTCACCGGCTCTGCTGTCCACGGTGGTGGATCCTGCCAATTCTCCATCACTACTGATCCTAAGCCTTCGGAGAGCTCGCAATGGAAGGTCATTCAGAGTGTCGTCGGTGGCTGCCCATCGAACGTCACAGGCAATCTCACGCCCGCTGACCCCAACGGTCACGGAGCCGCTACTTTCCCTGTGCAGATGCCTGACAGCATTCCTGACGGCCAGTACACTTTCGCCTGGACCTGGCTTAACAAGATCGGTAACCGCGAATTCTACATGAACTGTGCTCCGATCCAGGTCGGCAGCGGATCCGGTGGTGCTTCCACAAAGAGCAGTGCGTCTGCGCTTTCCGCCCTTCCGGACATGTTCGTCGCCAACTTGCCTGATACCTCCTGCAGCACTGCTGAGGGTGAGGACTTCAACTACCCCAACCCTGGCCAGAACCTCGTCGAGGGCAACGGTGCCTCGCTCGGAGACACGCTCACTGGTTCTGGATGCGACCAGATGACCAAGATGGGCGCTGGTAACGGACAAATGGGGTCCCCTACTCAACCTGAAGCTTCGCAACCCGCAGCCAGTGAAGCCCCTGCTGCCACCTCTGGTTACGCCGCACCGCCTGCATCTAGCGAGGCCCCTGCTGCTACTTCTGGATACGCTGCTCTCCCCTCTAACGGTGGTGGTGTCTTCGCTCCTGGTGCTTCCTCTGCCCCTGCTGCTGAGCCCACTGCCCCTGCAGCTGCACCTACCCAACCGAGCAGCGTTCCCGAGCAGCCAGCCTACAGCGCAGCGCCTCAGGTCCCCGACAACAGCACTCCCAGTGCCCCCGCCAGCGGCAGTGACTGCACTCCTTGCGACAATGATGGCGCTGTTGTCTGCATTGGCGAGAACCAATTCGGCCTTTGCAACCGCGGATGTGCCGTGCCTCAAGCTCTTGCCAACGGCATGTCTTGCTCTGCCGGAGCTGTCGTTGCGTCCGCTTCCCTCAAGCGATCACCCAAGTTCCCTCGCGCCCACCTCCACCGCCGCCACGGCTCGTCTCTCTTCGTCTAAGGGTCATGCTTTGCACGGTTATTGGAATATCTTGGACAGTCTCACATACCCTCAGCCGTTGGCTATGAAATGCAATACTCGGAGTTTGGGACACGGATTGGGACACCCTCGGATCGGGTTGTCACATGGGTTGGGATAGGCTTTGGTCTTTTGTTGATATACCTTCTCACGTTGCGCAGATACACTTTTGGTCTCGCTCGTGGATTTCTTCTTTGCTTTACTGCTGTTACATCCATTCTTTCATGACCGGCTCTAGATCGAGTCGGCATGCCCTGTTGTCTTGTTTAGAGAGAAGCGCTGTGATCAGCCTCGTGTCTACGAGTGCAACATACCCTGTACCTATTGTACAAAACAGAATATATCGCTCATCCGTTCCACAAAACTATTCCCATGCTTTACTTTCGTGACATCCTTGTTTCTTTGAGTATGCTCTTACTGTTATGAATATCCGACAGTCTTTTGCGATGACGCGCATGACAATCAAGCAAGGGCTCATCATTAACACGACCTCGAGTCTCAACTGTCTCATCTCAGGTTCGATAAGCCACATGAGTTGTGGCTACGAGCGTGTGTAGCCAGGGTCGACCACGAGGCTATTCACCGGTTTATGACGTCCTTGGGATGGCGGGCTTTTGATTGGGTGGCAGGCACACAGGGAACAGCCAAGGGGACCGGCGGCGACTTCCCCTCTGATTCCCACTGTCAGCCCTAAGCTCCTGTCGCCAGCGCACACCCGAGCACGCGACGAGCCAGACGACAATTCTCACTCCGGCCATTTGACTACTGCCATCTCGTGCTGCCAGGCCCCAGAAATTAGGACGCGCCGAGGCCTTCGTTTCGCACGCCGCCGCCACTCAAGCTTAAGCGGTCATTGCGCTCGCCCCACTACTTCGCTGCCTTCACCTCCACCGTCTTCTTGTGCTCACACCCTACGGCTTGCTGCATAGACTGCATAGATTGCCCAACATGGACAACCAACAAAAGGACGTCGACCAGTCCCAGTACATTGACAATGCTATTCGCGCCGTGCGTGAGAAGAAGCCGCTCCCTGAGATCGACTTCACCCTGCATACTATGGAAGATGGAAACCAAGTGAGCACACAGGAGCGTGTATGCAAAGGTATGCTCAATCTGTGCCTCCCGCCGTACTCTCTAGCCATGACCTGCGCTCTTGCGACGTTCCAGAGGAATGCAGCCAGCTAACCGTGCCGTGTTCCCCAGACGTACAAGCACCCGCCTTCCACCCACCCACCGACGAGCAATTCTTCTCGCCCCAAGATCGCACAAAGCCCAACATCCAATTCCTGAAGCAGCACTTCTACCGTGAAGGTCGCTTGACCGAGCAACAGGCGCTATGGATCATAAAGAAGGGCACAGAGATTCTCAAGTCTGAGCCCAACATGCTTGAGATGGATGCACCCATTACCGTGTGCGGTGACGTTCACGGACAATACTACGATCTCATGAAGCTGTTCGAAGTCGGTGGCGACCCAGCGGAGACGCGCTACCTCTTCTTGGGCGACTACGTCGATCGCGGCTACTTCAGTATAGAGGTAGGATAACGAAGCGGCGGCTGCTATGCATTGGCTGACACTCGCAGTGCGTTCTGTACCTCTGGTCTCTCAAGATCTGGTACCCCAACACGCTCTGGCTACTTCGCGGAAACCACGAGTGCCGCCATTTGACCGACTACTTCACCTTCAAGCTCGAGTGCAAGCACAAGTACTCCGAGGCCGTGTACGAAGCATGCATGGACTCTTTCTGCGCATTACCGCTGGCCGCTGTCATGAACAAGCAGTTCTTGTGCATACACGGTGGACTAAGCCCTGAGCTACACACTCTGGATGACTTGAAGAGCGTACGCAAAACAGCTCCTCGTACAGCGCAATTGCTAACGTTGTCAGATTGACCGCTTCCGCGAGCCACCCACCCACGGCCTCATGTGTGACATTCTTTGGGCCGATCCTCTCGAGGAGTTTGGTCAGGAAAAGACCAACGATTTCTTCGTCCACAACCACGTTCGTGGATGCTCATACTTCTTCTCGTACCCGGCTGCCTGCGCTTTCCTCGAGAAGAACAATCTCTTGTCAATTATTCGCGCGCACGAGGCTCAAGATGCTGGATACCGAATGTACAGGAAAACACGGACAACTGGTTTCCCTAGTGTCATGACAATCTTCAGTGCGCCGAACTACCTCGATGTGTACAACAACAAGGCCGCGGTACTCAAGTACGAGAACAACGTCATGAACATCCGACAGTTCAACTGCACACCTCACCCTTACTGGCTGCCCAACTTTATGGACGTCTTCACATGGTCATTGCCCTTCGTTGGAGAGAAGAGTAAGCAAAATCACCTGTCCATATGCTGGACTTGGACTAACAAGCTCTAGTTACCGACATGCTCATCGCCATCTTGAACACCTGCTCCAAGGAGGAACTCGAGGAAGAGACACCCAGCTCTCTGGCGTCAGGACCATCATCGCCTCCTCTTTCCAGCCTCGATCCCGAATCCACCGAATTCAAGCGACGTGCGATCAAAAACAAGATTCTGGCCATTGGTCGACTTTCCCGCGTGTTCCAAGTGCTGCGTGAGGAGTCTGAGCGCGTTACTGAGCTGAAGACAGCATCGGGTGGTCGACTCCCCGCGGGTACCCTCATGCTTGGTGCGGAAGGTATCAAGCAGGCCATTCACAGCTTCGAGGACGCCCGCAAGGTTGATCTACAGAACGAGAGGCTCCCGCCGAGCCACGAAGAGGTACGAAAGTCTCAAGAGGTTAGCCGAGAGCAGGCTCTCGAAAAGGCCACCAAGGAGGCCGATAACGACCAAGGGCTCGCCACCGTCGCAAGGCGTATTAGCATGTAAGTGTTCTCCAACTCGACATGTTGTATAGCTGCTAACTGGTGTAGGTCATCTGGATCGGGACGCAACCGGAGAAGCTAGGCGCGATTCAAGCGCTCGCGATCTGAGAGTGAGGCTGATAGACGAGCTATGACACAGCAGGATGTTTAGGTTCTTGATTTCTGTATTGGCGGGCCACCAAATGTCATCAGTATACCACGTAGGCGTATGTGGACCAGCGTAACCTAGAGGTATCACCTTACGAAGTACGGTAGTAATTTGTCGGTCGACTGCTCAACCTCAAAGGGGTCGACTTCTCATTGAATCAAATAAAATCACATCCCTATCAAAACAAAGCGCATCGACTTGGTTGTGCAAGCGTGGTGTGAGCAGACTGCGCACGGGCCCGGGCCGAAGCTAGCTTTGCCGACATACGTCAACATGGACATTTCAACAGCAATGCTCAACTTCAAGCCCGATGCCTCCATGGGTGGCCTCAGTGCCGCGACTGACGATCTTTCGCAAGGCAGGGACGATTGATCGGCTCCCGCTTGCGCGTCGCTGTCGCAATGTCCTCACTTCACGCTCGACGATCCTCCGCGTGCGCTCCGCATCGACACATGTCTCGCCGACCGCGATCAATCTGCGCCCGCACATCCCACCCCGGAACAAGGAGCTGTATGATGCGCTGTCCGCGCTCAGTGGAGCCGCCGAAACATATGTCAATATCAGCAGGCTGCAATTGGCACTGCGGGGTCTCGCCGCGCAGGATGCCGTCACAAGAGTTGCTGGTACGGTATTCACGCAGTACAATTCGAGGAGCTAGCAACTGACGACATGTAGTTCTCGGTCTGAACAGTCAATTAAGTGCGCAACAGCTTGCACGGCTACTGCTCGCAGATCCGCTGAGTGCTGAAGAGCAGTGGGAGAAGGAGCTCGTGAAGACAAGCGATGGCAACCAGAGGGCGGTACTACTAAAGTATGTGCACTCCTACTACCGCAGCAGATACCACAGTCTCTAACATGCTTGTTGTACAGATATGGCGATGACCCCGATGCACACGCACCTTCACCCCTCTACAAAGTCCTCTCGATACCCTCACGAACACTCCAGTCGCACAACCTAGAGGTCCTCGTCTCTACCATTAACGTCAATGTCGCCAAGTCCGTACCTCATATGACAACGGAGAGCTCTACTGAATCGTTGTTGGTTCCCAAACTCCAGGCCACTTCTGCACGAGGACTACCGGTCCCATACCCGGTACATAAGACCTTGGTACTGGGAGAAGGATTAGACAGTGCGATTGCGTTTGGAAGATTCTCGGCGGATGGATTGGAAGAGGCGCAAGAGGTTGTGAAGATGGCTGTTGACCTTCCCGCGCCATCGGAAGAGGCGAAACAAGACACTCAGACCGCAAGCGCCCCTATCAATATTCAAGTCGGCACAAAGGCGCTCGACAGCTTCCGTGAATCGATTCAGAACTCCATCATATATGAGCGGGGGTGGTTCAAAAGCGGTTTGCCCACGCTGTCGGAGTGGCTGGTTCGAGATCTCCAGGCTACAGACACCATGAAGCCACCGATGAAGACACTTATCAGTTCTATAGCGGATGATGTGGAAGCGAGCATCACGAAACAAGACGCTGCAAGATTGCAGCAAATGGCCTCCGTACCAAGAGAACAAGATGTCACAACGTCTATCGTTGGCCATCTCGAAACCTGGGCCGAAAAGTCTCATGCAGAGCTCCGCGATCAGCTCGATGAAGCTTTCACGGCGAAGAACTGGCACAAGTTGGCTTGGTGGAAGCTCCTCTGGCGTGTCGACGATGTCACAATGATAAGCTCTGAGATCCTCGAGCGGCGATGGCTCGTCTCAGCGGAGAAGAACAGCATCTACCTCGCCGGTCGCATGAACCAAGCCGGATTTCCAGATGACGTCCAACACCTCGCTGTCGCTAACATTCCTGAGGTGACAACGCAGGAAACAGCACCGACAGCAGAGAATCCACGAACGGACCTTTCCACCAACGTCCGGAAGCCGATGCCATGGTCTGATCACATTCCTGCTGCTCGCACAGACCTCATCAACGACACTGTCCCGCCTCTGCAGGCCCTCGCTCAACGACTCATCTTACAGACCTTCAGCACGACGTCCCTCTCTTCTGCCGCATCAGCACTCCTCTACGCCTCAGTATCTTCCTTCTCCGTTTTCGAGGCTTCGGCTGTCGCAGCACTTGGTCTCACATTCTCTCTTCGCCGTATGCAGAAGCTATGGGAAGGTGCTAGAGAATCGTGGGAGGATACCCTGAGAGAAGAAGGGAGACGTACGTTGAAAGGTACAGAGGAAAGGATCAGATTCGTTATCAGGAATGGAGGAAAGGGGTATGTTGAGGAAGAAAGCGTTGCTGAGAAGAGGGCAGCGAGGGAAGCTGTAACAAAGGTTAGAGAGGCACTTGAGCGAATGAACGGTGGTGCTGGAAAGGGAAGTGTATGATAGATGTATATGAAACCGATCCAATCTCGTATGGCATGATTATTCTGTTGTAATAGTTGGTACGAGTAAGTGTCTTGAGCGATAATCTTCATCCAACCTCCTTGTGGCATAATGACTGCCAACATCGCTGATCGAGGGTACCGCGCATGCACCCTGACTTGGTACAATTGACCATATTTTGCTCAATTGCACAACCCTATTATGCCCATTCGCCTTGATGTGTGGCTACTCACAGTGTCAGACCCTGCACCTTATCATGCAGTTGCGAAAATACGTTCCCATTTTCTGCTGCATAGCATCCACACCCGGTGTCGAGCCTCATTCACCGTGGTTAGTTGTCGTTTTCGTTTGTAAAGATTACGAGGTGCCTTGTTGTACTGTTACCTACAGCATTGCTTACCGTCGTCGACAGGGATTTCACACAGCAAGGAACGAAATGTAGTCTCTGTCAAGACACTATAGCTAGGGTCTATTTGTTAGTAGCATCCTTACTTTGTAAAGAGAGAGGAATATACATCTGTATCTTATAGAAGCTAGAGAAGTCACGTTATAAAGGCAGCAAAGGTAAAGGTACTTTTAGTTTGTTATGTATAGAAGAAGACTAACTAGTTATAAGAGATCTTCTGTTAAGCACAGATGATAGATTCCGTGCTTACTCTGGTTGTTCCTTTCTCGCTGGGCAAGACGCACCTAAGAAGGAAAACCTGAGATGGAGTGAGATGGAATTTCCAAACAGAAAACCGTGCTGCCGCACTATCAAATCGCTAGTTGTAAAATGATTGATGACAAATTAAGCATGTCTGCGTTGTATGGTCAGCGATGTTGGAGAGGGAAAGTTGGAGGAACAAGTTCGTGTGACCTTACCGAAATCAAGAAGGTGAGGAAGACATTAGGCTTTGCGATAGTTCCTGAAAGAGTTGCTATGCTTGGCTTTTTCTTTCTCAGTCAAGTTGATCCATTTGAGATAGAGAAGTATATCTTGGGGCACCTCTTTCTTAGAGATGTAGATCTTTTCGTGCTCTAACTTCGTTGATTCAAGGCGAATGAACCATCTTGTGCTTGTGCCTGTAACACTAGTGCCGCTGTGGATGTCGAAATCATAGCTAAAGTTGATCTGTTGTTGGTTAGAAAGATGATCTGTGAGTAGAAAAGAGATGCGTACCTTGAGCTCAGACTTCTTGCTTCTCGCGCTCTCAATATCAACCTCTCTCTTTGCCTTGGCCTCGTCCTTCTTCCTGACCTTCATGGCTTCTTCTTGTTCTTTGGCTTGAAGAATATCCTTCACTTCTTGCACGCTCAAACTTCTAAGCAGGTCATGGTTACTCTTTAAGTCGCCCTAGTTATATACAGTTAGTACTGATATAGAGCGAAAGATACTTTGTCACGTACCCGGCTTCCACAGACAGACGTGCTTGGTGTAGTTCTCTTTCTGCGCTTTGGAGATCGAACTGACGAAATCTGTTCGCTATCTTCGTTGTCTGTTGGAACCCCATCATATTCGTCGTTGTCACAATCGAACGGTGTATTTCTCATGTCGGAAAATGCTCTCGCGGGGCGTTTTGCACGTGAAGATGACATATCGACGATAGTGAATGATAGTAGATACGTGAAAACCAGAGATAGTAGTGGTTTGTTCAGGGGACGAGGTTGTAGATAGACTGTTCAGGTAGAGTGTAGGAATCTAAACCTTCAACCTACAAGAGACAAACTTATATAGTACATGCTACTACTCCTACAGGCGGTTAGATAGTCGGGCATCTGTCTCTCACCCCTAATGCAGTAATTTACTTACCTACCCCGCCTTTACAGCGGGATAATGACAAAGTATAGGTGAAGGTAAATAGTAGTATGTTGAGAGCAATAAGAGTTAGGCATCAGTGTCTAGAGGACAGACAGCGAGTGGCCAGCACTGTGCTTCTCCTGTGTTTGCAACGAGTGGGGATGTAAATGGAACAAACAAGCCCAAGTGCTAGGGCTGCAGCAAGGGGCGACGGCGGGGCAAATGCTGTGCAGTGGACAACGTGAGGTTTAGGAATTAGCTGGTAGTCTTTTGTAAGTGGAGAAGAACAAGCGCTTCAGATTGCAAGTATTGTGAAGTTGAGAGATGGAATATGTAATTCGAGAGCGAAGTTTCATCAGGAACTTGACCAAACATCCTACTAAACGCTGGCTAGACATTGTAGTGACTGTGCCGCAACGCTGGACAAAAGACGCAACAAATACAATCGCAAAACCTATACATGTCCTGCTGCCCTGCGATGAAAATCATTGCAGACCCACCTAGAAGATCTCACCAAGACGAGGCTTTCCACCCTTCCAATCGTCACGCTCGTAGTAACGGAAGACCAAATCGTAGCCATCTAGGTCGTGCACGATGCGGTCAACGCGACGGTATCCTGCGATTGTCTCCATTCTCTTGGCCTTCTCAACATTCTTGCCAGGCATCTCATCAGCAGTAGGCTTGGCCTCGAATAGAGTGACACTGAACCTGCCAGGCTTGAAGATACCGACTACATGCTCGACCACGTCAGCAGTCTCTCGGCCGGTCTGGCGGGCAGGCACATTGGTCTCGAAGGAGGCATAGGAGCACTGAGGCTCGGGCGTGACGTGCACAGTGAAGTAATGCGTGGCATCGGAACCCTTCTTAGAGCCGTTGGGAGCACCGCCCGGAGCGGGAATAACACCGTTGGCAGAGAAGCCGCATGGCGTGAAAAGATAAGCGTCGATGCGAGCGTCAGGGTACTTGGAGGTAGGGTAGACATCAGCCAATCCACAATGCTCAGAGACGACAGTGCCAAGCGTATGGCCCTCGGTGGTCAGCTCTTCAGGGAACGTGAGCTCCTCGTCAGAGTTGAAACCGGAGTGGTCAGAAGACGTCTGCTCGAACACGTCGAAGCTGTCATCAGAGGTGTGCGTGTTGGCAGTGGAGTTGAGAATAGTAGAGCCACCGAGACTCTCGCTCTGACCATTCTCTTCCGCAATAGTGCCGAGAGACTGGATGGCATTCTTGCGAGCTTCACGAGCCCTCTGAATGTAGCGACCTTCCGCAACCGCACTTGCGTCCTCTAGATAGAACTGACGAGCGTTCTTCTCGTCGAGGTCGGTCATCAGGATTTCCAGAGTCTCGTCCTCTTCTTCGTCGGTGGCCTGCTCACGCAACAAGCGCTGGGGGTGGCTCACAAACTTGGTCTCGGTGTCAGGCACAAGCTTCTCCTCACCAGGACTGGGAGGAGGGGTGAGGCTGGTGTCTGGACCGGTAATGTAGAGGTACCAATGTTCACCGTTCATCTTGCCAATCATGTAGGCACTGCCACCCTGGAAACGGTCGTCAAGGTAACGAACCTCATCGCGCCAGCTGCGGTGGGGTCCACGCTGCTGGTCAGGGTAGAGGTAGTTCTTCCTGCTGTAAAACACGCGGTATGGTGTGGCGGCTGGCGCAATGCCGGATGCCTTGGGGGCAACGTACGGGAAGCCAGCGTCTGCAGCAATCTCTAGCATGCGAGTAAGGCCCCAAAGCAGAGTAGTAGTTCCGCAGGTCTTGAGCACCACTTTGTGGGGGAACACAAACATGCTCGACTCGGACAAGAGGTATGCATCGACATGCTCAGACTCGATGACGGAGAGAACCTTGCAGTTGACCAGATCGAGCATGTCCTTCCAGGTATCCGCCGACACCTTTTTCAGTCCAGCTGGACCGGCCTGTCCAGGCAGGTCAGAAGCGGAAGCGCTGAACCATACTTCCAGAAGCTTCTCGGGACCCTCGAAAGAGTTGGTAGAGTCGAGATCGATAGTAGCCTCCTTGTTGATGGTCAAGTGAGGGGTGCCAATATGCGACGAGGGCGACGCAGTGTAGTGCTGAGGAATCTCAGTAGCGACCATCTCTCGATTGTGTGGCTGTCGCGCGCACAGAACGGATAGGGTAAGTGTATTTGTTGGCCGAGTTTGTACAGAGGCTATGAGAGGTGGCTAGCTATGAAGCTATGTGCAGCTCAACCTCGCTCAGACAAGCAATGCGGTGCTCGCCTGAGAAGAAGTGGCCCACGGGTCGCAAAAAGTAGGCGAGGCTGGCGTGTGCCAGCAGCAGTTTATGGAGAATAGGGTAACCGACCGTAGTCGATGTTAGGGAGGTCGGGCGTTGAGGGGAATAAACGAGGCCTTGCGCCGGGAAATGGTGGCAGTCGTGGGGGTCCTCGCGATACCAGATTCCGATACCCTGGGCAAGTATCGGGTCCAGCAGACGAGGAGATCTGCTTAAGAGGATATGGTAATTGGTGGTGGGTTGGGGGGCGTGGTGGGTGTTATCGGGGCCTGTGGAGGTCAGCGCTGGCCGTTTGGATGTTTTGCACACTGCTTCACGCGGAGACAACGACTCACTTCGCAGGCTTGGACAGAAATCGTACCAGGTCCTCTCGACGCATAGAAGAGCCGAAGTGGGCGGCAACAGGTGGTCTGCGGGCTACCGTAGCCTAGGCAGTGGTGTAGCGGGAGAAGAGTAGGTCTGCCAGCGTGACGACGGAAGGCTGGTGGGGAGCGTAGAGCAGAAAAGTTCAATGCAATGGCGTTGGGCGCTGATAGAATCTGCCTGTGGATGAGCCGGCCAACTTCTCAAAGATATTCGCAAGCTGTAGATGGACAGATGTGGGCGTGTTAAGGATGTCAGAAGAGCGACGTACTGTGCGCAGTGGAAGCAAACTTGACTAGGGCAATTTAACGTGCGTGCAGCTGGGGCGACGTCGTGGGAGCTTCGGGCCTTCACGCGACACGATTTTTAACGAGTGCGGTGTTTTCGCATCAGGACGTCACCGCCTGTCCCAAGTGGCTGGAGCGCCCCGCCGCCTGCCACTGCACCCGACTCAGCCATGTCGTTTGCGGGTATTGCGTCCGCCACCGTGTGCCTGACACACGACCTGAGAAGGTCCGACTTGGGTTGCTACCATGATCGGCTGCCGTTATATGCATCAGGGAACAAGCTACCATCCCCTATCCGCGCTACACCCTGCCTGGTCTAGCCGTCCGTCGTTGCGGCTTTACACGTAGTACCTTTGGTACCTGATACTACCAGCACAGCCTTACGCCCGCACCCAGTACCCCATGGGCATATGCTGCATCCTCCTTTACAATCTCTTCCACCAAACCATCCCGACTGCATCGTTGCAAAAGACCGACCACCACAACTAACGCTAAAACATGCGTGGTTTGATATAGTCAACTGGATTATATCGCCCAAAATAACAATCGTAGGGAGCTGCATATACATGTATATCACATCGCCATAAGGATGCCAGACCCTATTGCATCAGCACAGCCCCTGCAACCAACAAGCATCCTCCCAGCAACCCATGGCCATGGGCCGAAACACCATGCACGCCATCCAGCCTCCAGCTCTAAATGCATACAACAAACCTGATATACCTATATCTTCAATCAACACTCATTACAACCTAACTTTCCCTAACAGGCATCTCCAACTTCACCTTCCCTCTCTCCATCATCGTTGCGAAACACTCCCTCAGATCTAGCACTAGCGCATCCGGGGCTTCGAAGCCTGGTAACGTTGCAGGGCGACCGGCATGACGCTTCACCCAGAATATGTCCCAAGAGCTTGCACCCCACATGAGCGGTGTCGCGTTACTGCTGTTGGCAGGGAGGAAAGTGGAGATGCCCAGGGGAGTATCTGTGAAGGTTTGGTATGAGGGGGATTGCATGTCCATGTGTGCGCGGCGGAGCCAGCGGAGAGCCTAGTTGCGGGAGGATGTCAGCAGGAAAAACCATGGAGAAAAGCTCAAAAATAAGCCGCTGTAGCTTCTAACAGATCTCTAGCGGCAAACATGCGTCAGGCACGGGTATCTCCCAGCCTTCTCAACACCCACGCGTCAAACAAATGAAAGGTAACGTACCGCTTCAGGCCCAGGCAACCACTGCAACATTGTAAAGTTCAGTACCTCCGTCGGACTCCAGGTATAACTTCTCCCATCGCCTTCAGCTCTTCCCGGGCTCGTCGTATCCCCTGGTCGCTCCGTAGATGTTGAACGTAACTCGTCCTGTTCTTCTTGCTCTTCGTCGCCACCCTGCATCTCCAGCTCAACAGGCGAGAGGAACGGACTCCTCGATCGGGACGACGAGAGCGGACGCTGTGGCAGATCCCTCGTATGAATGACATCCAGCAGAGCGGCTAGCAACCCAACTGGTGAATCGCACAAAGAGAAAGCCAGTGTCTGCGGCCGGAGGGAGTAGAGCCGATGCAGTATAGGCCCTAGTGGCTCACCGTCATACATCCCGTCCTGTATGGCGAGGTGTTTTCCGGCCATACTCTGTGATGGAGCCTGCACTTCACTAGGCATGTAACCAAAGCTCAGCAACGGCACTTTTGCCTTTGTCAACTTAGCAACACGGTACTTGAAATACCGCATGGCTCCACTCTTCAACTTTGGCTTGTCAAACGACGGATTAGCTGTGTGCACTGCCAAACAACTTTTTGAATGTCTCAGCGCCAATGCACGACAGATGCCAAAGCCCCTAATAAGGTTCGTTAGCTACCACATCTCAGACTATTAGCATGCTACCTACCATCCCGTTCCATGCGCAACAAATTGCGCATACCCCAGCCTTCCCATCAACTTCTGAAATACTTCCGCCGTTCTGTGCAACCCAAATTCTTCTTCCATACTGGCATCGCTAAATCCGAACCCCGGTATGCTCGGCGCGACGACATGAAAAGCCTGTTGTGTGCTATCGCCGTACCCTGATAGACCGTGCGGATCTGTCAATCCGTTAATGACGCGTTGAACCTCTATGAACGAAGAAGGCCATGTATGGCAGAGAAGTAAAGGGATGGCGTTGGGGTGCTTGGATCGCTTGTGTACAAAGTGTATGCGTAGCGATTTGGTAGTGGTAGGAGAGGCCACAGAGGGCACAGTGATGGTCGTGCGGTATTGGGGCAAGGTGGAATTGAAGCGGGACTCGGCGGCGCGCCAGTCATAGCCTTCTAGCCTGTGAGGTTGTCAGTTTCTAGGAATGTTTGGCGTGGAATTCATGTGCAATGCGAGAGACAACACAGCTAGTTGTTCTCTAAGTGAGGTGGATCCACCACAATGGTTGTAAGATCGTGTAGTAGTAAGTCCTGATTCTCATAGGAGTCATGATCTTTCCATCGCAGGACAGCAATACACGTCTTTGCGGATCCCACTCTCGATTTTTTTTCCTGTACGCAAGTACAAGTCCGGCAAAGTAGTAGCTAACATACCAGAAGTCTAAAAGTGGTTCAAGCACACTCTTCGGTGTACCTTGCCCCCATCTCTTCTCATTCGGTAACTCAAGTTCACGCGGTAAACGCGTCAACTCAAGTTTTTTCTTCGTAAGCTCAAGGTACTTGGCAGATACCTATGTCGCGATTAGGCCAACCAGTCTGTCGATACGTCAAAAGGAGATACGCACGTGCATGCTATACGTAGTGATGGCTTCATCGTCGTGGGGTGCCGCCATGATATACGTTTAAAGCTTAATGCCGAGGTTATTTTCTTTCCAAACTGTTGCCGATATTATTCGCATAGTATCTTGCTAAGAGTATAGTGCACGTACCTTTATGGAGCGTCATGTATATCCTAATCTGGTTGTTAAACACCCTGTTCCCACAAACAGGCCGTGATAATTTTCGCTAAAGACTCGGTACCAAAGATTGATCAAAGGGTATATCAGTGCGGAGAAGTAGAATGTATACCATTAGCTAGTGGAAGCACTACATAATCATCAGGTACCTCCGCATAACACTATCACTTGTCGCGATGGCATATCAAGATAAGATCGTCCCGAGGCGCGTCAGAGACGGCTTAGAGCTTGCGCGTTTTGCTTAACTGCCAAACCATAGGAAAGATCTAGAAGCGCCTCATAGATATTCATCCGTTGTTGTTGGTTATCTATCCCTAGTCTACCGACGTGTGGCGAGTGTTGTGGCTGTGCAGCCGGGCTAAACATGATCGGCAAATGTCAGGCTTCGATTGGGGTAAAAAGCCTAACCTGCATTTCAGGCACACCAATCAGCATTCACGGTGCAACTAGCTCTCTTTAACATGATGATAGAAGCTGTGGCCAATTTTTGCCATGTGGCTGGAAGAGCATGGTCGTGACATGTCGCTACACGTCCCTAACAGTGTTGGCGCCGGCATTACCGCTGCTCGCTGGGGAGCGTTGCGCAGCTTGATTTGTGACACCGCGCAAGTTGAGGGAGCCAATTCGCTGCACAAGATTGCTCCCTACCGCATCTACAGCCCCTCTTGGCTGTAGTAGTGAAGGAGCCGTGGCCCCAACTTCTTGAACCCTGACTGAATGTAGGTGTGCAAAGTTAGTCCGTGTTTCACATGCACTTCATGCAAGGGCATTACTTACACAATCTTATGCTAGTGTTGTTCCAAACTCCGGCAGTACCCTTGGCTACAAGCATCTCGGCCGCGAAAACAAATCCCCAGAGTAGCGACTCGTACCAGCCCAAAGATAAGGCTGACCATTCAAAGAGATGCACCCTGATAGGCGAAGGTTCAATTCCGCGTATCTCAATCTCGCGAATAGTTTTCAATGCTTCTGCCGTGTCGTTGGAGCTGCCTGAGTTAGGCATCTTGGGACCGAGCTCCGAGATCAGCATAAGAATGGTATGTAGCGGTAGCTCTGAAAGCCATCCTTCCAGCTGCGAACAAGATTAGACAAGTCTGTTGTTGAGGTTGAGTTCACTTACCCATGGGACAGATGGTGTGAAGAACTCATTGGTAGCCAAGGCCGGACCGGCAGCGCTATGTAGACTGGTCATGCTGTTCTGCCGGGAGAAAGCAGGCTGGCCTACTGGCATCTTGCCTCTTGCTTTCTCTGACATACCTCTTACCTGGGACGGTACAGAGTCTTCCACAGATGATGCTATCGACGCGCTTCTGGAAGCGCCCGACTGCGACGGTACGGGAGACCTTGATGGTTCTGAGGGACGTGCATCTTCCGCGTCCGAGTCGTCATCGTCATCGCCAATAGCGAAAGCACTGTCCTCTTCTGGTACGTTCCCCAAGGTAGGTGTCCGGGCTACTGTAGGACTTCGGAGGCTATCGATAGAGCTGGTGCGAGTGAGATCTTCGCCGCCCTCCTTACGTTGCTGACTCTGCCGCTCGATCTCTTCTTGTCCGCTTTCCAAGGTGAAATCTCTTAGCGCCTGGAACCTCTTCCGTGATCGTACGATAGCGTACACCAGGTTGGGATTGTGTTGGTATTGATGTTCAATCATGGCGTTGAGAACCTCTAGTAGTGAATGCAGAAGAGTGTGATTGTTCTCGTTGGCAAAAAGGAAACTAGGAGATGACATGGAAGCAAACAGTTGGAGCAGTTTAGAGCTCGAGGCGCGCCCGATGTTCTGGACATGGGCCGCAATGTTGTTGAGGATTGCGAGTAACGCAGGATAAATGGCGTCTAATCTGCCTTTGCCAGTTGTGAGTAGGGTATAAATGGACTGACACAATTAGCAGATGTATAGTCTTTCATTGTCGTACTCACCGTGATGACGTAGTCGGCGTAGGTACCGTGGAAATTGGGTATCCGTATGCTAGCCGGAAGCGACTCCTGTCCCTCAAATGTCTTATTGAGGCTCTTGCCAAATTGCGGCTCAACGCTCAATGTCTGGAGTACGAAGATGCACATACGCACAAGACCCTGCTTTGATGGGTCGTTGCGCTGGTCGATGGCGTAGTAAAGCACCAGCACGACGAAATCATGGGCTCTGTCAGTATCAATGATGAAGGAACGGAAACGCTTGTTGCACTGCAGAGCCTCCCAAAAGAGCATGATCATCTCGGGTGCCCATGTGAGTGACTTGTGGCTGCCGGGAAGGTAGGAGGTGTTGGCTTGGAGCTATACTATGTCAGCAAAAGGAAAGTGGTATTCTAAACATGTCACATACTGGCTGATTCAGTATCCTTGTCATACCGTCGACCAGGAATTGGAAGTCTTGAGGACGGTGCAGACGGCCAAGGAAATGGCGGAAGAAATTCTTGGGTGCCGGACCGTTGCCAGACTCAGGTATGGGGTACAGGATCAGTACCAAGAGTAATTGTAGGCAATAGGTGACCAGGACCTGTCTCTGGTCCTTGAAGACGACGTGGTCATATGGCACGCGCCATGTGGCGGGGTTGTATTTGAGAGTCTGCGGGGGTCAGCAGTGCAAAAGATAGCGTGCAATGCACTCACAGTATTCAGGAGGGAGCAGAGAACGGACAGGACAACCTGTTTGTCCGGACACGTCGCAATATATGTAATGGCCTTGACGCCCTTGACTGGAAGCACACCCGCAGACATGTACATGGACTTGCTTGCCAAAGTAAGCAGCAGGCGCAGGATCTCGGTCCGGTTGCTCTCAAACTCCTTGGTGGAGGCGACAGGCGTGTTGCAACCTACGCCACTCTGCCATATCGCATACGTGACCTTGTTCTTGCCTGCTGTGACCTTGGGAAGAGTGAATTCGGAGAAGAAGAGAAGGTCAATCAGCGTGTCGATAATCTCCTCGGCCAGCGGCTTGGCTTTCTCGAACTCGGGCTCCTTCTCTGTGGGCGTCTGCTCTGGGTCGGCCTCATCGAAGATGACCTCGCTTCGCACCAGCTGGCCCCGCCGACTGCGCTTCCGCCGCGCAGCCCAGAAAAAGTGGTCCTCCCAAGTCTCGAGATGGTCGGCCTCATACAGAAAGGGCAGCAGTCGCGTCAGGACCCTTATGCAGTTGAGGGCATCGCGCTCGGGCGCTAGCTCAGGGTCGGGGAAAGAGGGGTGGTTGCGCAGGACTATGAGGCGTGAGGTAACGGCGAGGATGAGCGTCTCGAGATTAGCGAGGTTGTTGTCGCGGGTGCGGCGAATGTCTGCGGGCGAGAAGAGCGAGAAGACATCCTCAGTCGACTCGGGCAGCTCCCAGAACTGGCGCCACGGTCAGCACAGCAACAGCATAGAGAGCAACGAGCAGAGCATACGCCAGTCCAATAAGCGTCGTCGGCGGGGATCTGCTTGGGCTCAGACAGGCGAAAGACGCCTTGCTTGAAGGAGAGTTTTGAATCGGATGCACCCATTGGGAAGCATGTCACGTCCTCATGTGCGCATTCTATGTGCTGGGAATAGACACGGTAGTCGTGGTGGTGAGCAGCCCTGGAGAACAGCCTCGCCGAGAGTGACGTCGGCAGGGCCCCCCTAGCAAACGCCGGCTATTCACATGCTTTCGCGTCTGGGCGCGTTGCAACCTAAATGTTCACCACTGACCTGCCTTGCACAGTCATCCCTCGCACAGTCATCCCTCGCCCCAGCCTGTCTGACTGTGTCTCTAGCACCAAGACGCCAGAGATGCAGGTGCCATACGTCATTACATAATCACCGCTGCGCCTTCCTCTGCCTTTGCCTACTGCCTCCGCCACCGACTACCTCACCAGCAACCGCTCTTCGTCGATATCGACTGTCCCTCTGCACCGGCATCTCACCCAGACAGTCGCCACGATGCCACCCAAACGCAAGCTCGCGCAGACTGCAGCAGACGCCGAGGCCGAAGATGGCTGGGACGACAACGATGAGGGGCCCATGAGCGACCAGGAGACGTTCGATCAACTCAAGGAAGAGTTCGACGTCAAGGCCATGACAAAGCGGGCGCGCGCTGGACGGGTTAGAGATGCGGCGGCCGATCTCTTCAGAAAGTCAGACCAGTGGAGCGCGCCGCTCAAGCCTGACCACTACAACCGCCCGCTCTGGGTCAACGATGCGGGCGGCATCATCCTCGAGTCCTTTCATCCTCTCTTCGATGAAGCCCAGGACTTTTTGATCAACATCGCCGAGCCGCAGTCGCGTGTCTCCAAGATGCATGAGTATCAGCTTACCACCCACAGCCTCTTCGCCGCCGTCAGTGTTGGCCATTCCAAGCAAGAAATCATCGAGAAGCTCGACCGCTATTCCAAGACAGCCCTGTCTGCCGCTATTGTACAGTTCGTCGAGAAGTCCACCTCTGCCTTCGGCAAGGCAAAGATCGTGCTCAAGAAGACGTTATCGTACATCGAAAGTGAGGATCCTGCCATACTTCAAAAACTTCTCCGCGACCCTGTAGTCGCCGAGTGCCGAGCAGACTCAACGGATGGGCTCATTAAGGAGGCCGCACCTAAGATCGGACAGATGGCTATCCCAGGTACAAAGTTGGCTGCTGGTGCCAATAACATGGCACAGCAGCAACAACCAGAAGCTGCCCAGAATCCGCCACCAAGCGATATGATCGCCACGCTCCGAGAGGATGATGACGATGACGAAGTCGCCCAAGTCCACTCGTTCCAGATCAGAAGCGAGGAGCGCGAAAAGGTCGTCAAGCGCTGCCGAAGCATTGGCCTACCGCTCACCGAAGAATATGATTTCAACAACGACGATACCAACCCGAACCTTGAAATCGATCTCAAGCCCCATGCACAGATCAGATACTACCAGGAAAAGGCTTTGAGTAAAATGTTCTCCAACTCTCGAGCGCGTTCAGGTATCATTGTGTTGCCTTGTGGTGCAGGTAAGACTTTGGTCGGCATCACAGCCGCCTGTGGTGTCAAGAAATCAGTTATTGTCCTGTGTACGAGCGCCATGTCAGTCGTGCAATGGCGAGCCGAATTCATCAAATGGTCCAACATCAACCCAGAGGATGTTGCCGTTTTCACTGCAGATAACAAGACTAGATTCCCGCGCCAGGCCGGTATCATCATCAGCACCTACTCTATGATCAGTAACGCTAGGAAACGTTCGCACGATGCCGAGAAGGTTATGCAGTTTATCCGTGAGAGAGAATGGGGACTGCTGATTGCTGATGAGGTGCACGTTGTACCCGCCAACATCTTCAAGAAGGTCACATATGAGATTGCGTCCCACGCAAAGTTGGGACTTACAGCTACACTACTGCGAGAAGATGACAAGATCGATGACCTCAACTTCCTGATTGGACCCAAGCTGTACGAAGCTAACTGGCAAGAGCTATCAGAACAAGGCCATATTGCCAAGGTCCAGTGCGCTGAAGTCTGGTGCCAGATGACACCCGAATTTTACACAGAGTGGCTCAAGCCTTCGTCCCTACAAAAGCGTGCACTACTCTCCATCATGAATCCCAAGAAGTTCCAAGCCTGTCAGTTTCTGATTAACTACCACGAGTCACGAGGAGACAAGATTATCGTCTTTTCTGACAATGTGTACGCGTTGGAGAAATACTCACGTAAACTTGGCAAGGCATATATTTACGGCGCAACACCTCAACAAGAACGTCTTCGTATTTTGGAGAACTTTCAACACAATGAGCTTGTCAACACTATCTTTTTGTCCAAGATCGGTGACACTAGTCTGGATTTACCCGAGGCGACGTGCCTTATCCAAATCTCCTCTCACTACGGTTCTCGTCGTCAAGAAGCACAACGCCTGGGCAGAATCTTGAGGGCGAAGCGTAGGAACGACGAAGGCTTCAATGCATTTTTTTACTCGCTAGTCTCCAAGGATACAGACGAGATGTACTATTCGTCAAAGCGCCAGGCTTTCCTAGTCGATCAAGGATATGCCTTCAAGGTCATCACTCGTCTCGAAGGCTTAGAGAATTTCTCACAATTGGCGTTCGCAACACCACAGGAGCGTCGAGAGCTTCTTATGGACGTCCTCCTTGCCCGTGAAGAAGACGCCAAGGAAGAGAGGATCGAGGGTGACGCGTTCGGTACCAAATATGCGTCCAACAAGGGCAACAAGAAGAAGAACGGTGTGAGAAGGGCAGCCGGCACACTTTCCGAGTTGTCTGGAGGTCAGACCATGGCGTACATGGAAGTCAACAAGAGCAGAAACAAGGAACTCAAGGGCACCAAGGGTGTTCAAAACGCTTTCATGCGAAAATTGGCCAGGTCTGGGGCGAAGAAGTGAGATGCGTACGATACCAATTTGCGTGTAGATCACGATTTGCATTCTTACGGCGTTATTATTTCGGGACTGGCGAGTTGAGAGTTGCGGACGGTCAACACACTAGAGTGCATGGTATGCATGACAGAAAATTGAGTTTGTTCTTGGATACTGCGTCCGACTCTATATTTTTACACTTGTAAGAGGTACGGATGCGATAACTCCTGTATCAGGCAAGCAATTCACATATTCAAACATAGCGTCCCCCTCATTGATCACACACACCTCATGCCATGTACGAAACCTTCTCTCATCACCGAATGCTTTATAATGTGCAAGTGCGCCGCCGTAGATCTTTAGATGCGACGCATGGCTCTTAGCCCAGTGCTCGAGGTCTTCTAAATTGGCGAAGAAACCCGCGCCACACGATTCTTTACGCGGCTCCTTGTTACTGCCGCTGTCATTGGAAGTTAGGTCCTCATTCTGGAGATATTGGATACTGAGTGCCCCAGTCTCCGCTGAATTCTCGTGCAAGTATCTAAGGCCTTGCTTCAGAGTCGGCTCCAGCTTCTGCTCATACGAATCTGCTTCCTCTTTACCGCAATTCTCCCAGTACTGTCCGGAACGGATGTGGACCATGTTCGCATGGTTGGTGCCCCTGAGGTGTTGGCCAACACCATTTGGGATTGGGTCAGGACGCGGCAAGTCGGCAGCTCGCGGGAAAAGGTCGTGGGCTGAATCGGGTATGCGATCTCGAGCCGCACCCCAGTACGTTGAGAGATTGTGTTCTTCGGTGCTAGCTTCTGGTAACCTCGCTAGGCCGGGGAGATAATCGAGACCAGAGTAGTTGGTCTCCAGGCGCGATACTGATGCTATGAAGAATTCGTGCCACAAGCCGATTAGTGGGCGACCGGCGGTGGAGACTCCTTGATGTATATCCTTGAGGTTCAACGATCCAACGACACGGTCAAGCCGCCTTCGATCACTCCAATAGTAGACCCATACAGTAGCACCAGTACGACTGTAATTATCTATCGTGGTGAAACACTCCACCGCCTCTGGCGCGCCACTCTGTTCGAACCAGTGTTGAATAGTAGAGACAGCTTCTTCTCTCGCTCGAGTAGCTATATCACTATCTTCGTGTTGCTCGACACCAACATAGGATATAAAGACATGTTCGATATGATCTGGCAGACTGAGTTTCCATCTAGGGATAGGCACACGGTGATTTTGAGGTTTGCGCAAAGGGTACAGACGAGCGGGACAGGACATTTGATCTAGGTGACGGTTGTGAGGTTGAGACTTGAAGCTTCGGGGAACAGATCTTGGCCTGACCCCGCATTCTGAGCCTTGAATCAACATTAGCTTCGACATCATAGCTCATTGCTTACTCGTGTCCTCTTCATAGAAGTGAGTTCGGGGCTTCAAGTGGCTCCGGCGACGTAGACAAATGGTGGCATTGTCATCTGCCATGTATGTTAGTAGCGTACATGTACTTGAGTTTTCGTTAGTTGGATCTAGGGGAACAATGGTTATTCGGGCTTTCAACGGCTCGAAACTTGACACGCTGAATTGCGACAGCCAAGGTTAAGCGTTGGGTGAACTGTGGCGTGTACGGCGTGGCGTGTCTCCCCGCACTTTCGGCCTTCTAGCGCGCGGCGCTTGCGGACTTTCGGCACTTCGTATAGCATCTCCTTACTGAGGCTCACTGAGGCTCACTCGAAACACCTTTGACCGTTTCCACGTAAGTCAACACGCCAGGTGCACGTATAAGGCTCCAGATTATTGCCATTTGTGGAACAAACTGAAGTAGGGTTCACACATGTTCTTCTCGAAGTGTCTGCGAGACTAGCCTGCGACATGTCACAGCACCATGAATGACCGAGTTATGCCTACTCCAACCTGTCAGATGCGTAACGTGTTTGCAGATTAACAAAAACGCCCGGCTGGGCAGCGTACGACAGCTTTGTGGATCAGGAAGTATATCATCGTGGTTTACGAGTTGCACTTGCTCTGCAGACTGGCTCTCGACTTTTCTTTCGCCTACCTCTACAGTTACATTATTTCGCTTCGTTGCCTACTGGTTTTGGCAAACCGCTGGACGGCTTTTCCTCATCCAATCACTTTATTTCACACTTGACTAAGATAATCTCTGTGTTCAAGAGACGCAGGCCGTCCTTTTCGTATCGACTTCATTCCAACATCCAAGCTGCTAACGATGGGGTGGGGTGTGCTAGAGAGTAGGCGGTCAGCATTTCCTCGAGGCACTTCCAGATTAGGAGTCAAGGACACGAGCGACGACAAAGTACCCGAACTCGATAATTCTAAGAGAAGTGGCGGTATTGTACTCTCCCCGCAGCCCAGTGATGACTCGAACGATCCTCTCAACTGGAGTTTGAAGTGGAAATGCCTCCATCTCCTCATCCTTGCTTTCGGCTCTGCAGTCACCAATGCGTAAGATCTCGCCGGATTACTTGATCTAATCAGGACTTATGCTCATCTGTCATAGAACCACTACCATGCTCACTCCAGGGTTGGAGCCTCTTACTGAGCAGTTTCAGAGCAATGAGAGCGACATATCTACTTGGATCCTTACAGCACCGACTTTCTGGACCTCAGCTGCAGCGTTTGTCGCGGTGGCGGGAACGGATGTCTGGGGACGAAGACCATTCTACGTATGGAGCGTCGTTCTACTTGCTCTAACCAACTTTGCTGCTTATCTTTCGTCAACATTCCCTATGCTGGCTATCGCTCGGACAGCTGGGGGTCTCTTTTCGGCACCCCTATTTACACTCCTTACCGCGACTATCAGCGACGTATTCTTCGTTCACCAGCGAGGTCGGTCTATTGCTGTGTGGAATCTAATGTTGAACTCTGGGGCGCAAGTTGGGTGAGCCACAACAATATCTTGCAATCGTACCAGCAACTAACTTGATATCCTTCCTAGTCAAATCATTGCTGGCTTCGTTACTGACGCGTTCGGCGTATCGGCAAATTTTCTCATCACTGCCTTCATCTACGCTGCTCTGATCCCGGTATTCTACCTCACAATCTTCGAGTCAGCCTACTTCAAACGGAAAACAGACGATGTTACAACAATTCATGTTCAGGCGGACAAGCTAAGCGCCGAATATGACGAGGAAGATTTCAAGTCTTCTGTTCGACCTCCTAAGCAAACATACAATGAGAGGCTAGTTTTGTCCCGTGGCAGACTATCAGAAAAGTCGTTCTTCAAAGGAGTTATCAAACCCCTAGGCCTCATCACTTCACCGATCGTCTTCTACAGCTGCTTCCTGAACACTACGGTCTTCCTATTCCTTGCTGGCATGTCAACCTTCATGTCAATCCTCCTATCCTCTCCCCCATACGATCTAACACCCAGTCAGATTGGGCTGACCAACTTACCTCTCTTCGTAGCTGGCCTACTGTCTGGGCCATTCTTTGGTTGGATGTCTGATGCTTCGGTGAATCTGATGGCGCGCCACAACGGAACAAGCAAAGGCATGGTCGAACCCGAATTCCGTCTCGTACTTCTCCTGGTTTCCACCCCTATCACTATGGCGGGCCTCATCGGTCTGGGCGCGTCGTTCCAAAACAGTTTGCCTCTAGTCTGGATTCTTGTTTGGATGACAGTCACCAACATGGGTAGTGTCGCTGGAGTACAAATCGCCATCGCGTATGTCATCGACTGTCACCCTGAGCACTCCGCCCAGGCCTTTTCTTCCATCAACATGATCTCAGCAGGTGCTGTAACGGTGGGATTGACTCCGATGATTGGTTGGCTCGAAGTTGATGGACCTATGGCCGTCTTTGGAACGCTGGCATCGGCGGCCGCCATTGTTACTGGTGCTGCACTTCCTCTCTATGTGTTTGGCAAGAGGATTCGCGCTTGGTATGAGAGCGCGGCGTGGGCCCAAAAGCTTCTTGACTGAGGGTGAAGATAAGAAAAGAACCAGGTCTTTCAGGCATACTTTACGAGGCAAAAGCAGTCGTTACCGAAAACCAACGCTGTTGTAGCGAGCAAGTTTAACTCGGCCACTCATTCGTCCAGTATGAAGCTTCTCCGAAGCATACCACCGTTCATTTCACATCAATGTGTTACTTAAAAGTATGTAATGCAAGACTACACGAGTTTCTAGAATGTGTCTCTGCGTTGTGTGGTGATCAAGGATTCGTCTAGGTGTGACAACTAATATTATGCAGCGATACGAATATATCTGTAGTAAACAAGCTTAGTTTGCGGCATTTCGCACCTTGGCATCCTCTACTGCTTTGTCCCAACTGGTCCGCCATATGAAAATGCCTTCGATGGCAGCTACGATGCCAAGTGCAATCGCTGGTCCCTAAGATACGTTAGCATAGTCCGATTGTGGTATGCCTAGCGAGACTCACACTCCAAAGTCCATACAAACCCCAATGCGGCGACCCGAATCCAGTACCGAAGCTGATTGGAATACCGACGACATAGTAGGCAAAAAGTCCAACATAACCGCCAATTTCCTGCCTACCCAAGCCACGCAAGATGCCGTTACAGTTTGCCGCTAGAGCATCAAAGACTTGGAAGGTGGCGCACAATGGGAGAAGCTTTGCCACCATGTCAATGACTTCTTCGTCGGGTGTGAAGAGGCGAGGTATAGCCTCACGAAGAAGTGAAAGGAGTAGGAGGTTGAAGATGCCGACGACGATTGAGGCACAGACAGCGACTTTAGCTGCTGTTTTCGCTGGAACTGCTAGTGTAGCTCCAATGAGGTTGGCGATGCGTGTGGAGGCTGCTACGCTCATTGGGAAGGGTATCTGGAAAGTAATACCGGTAATGGACCCGAGTACAGACTGCGCTGCAAGTTCAGTTGGACCAAGCCATGACGAGCTTAGTGTCAGGATTTCAAAAGCTAGAAATTCTGCAAGCACCATGACCAGACCAGGAAGCGCAAGCTTCACCATGGGCATCCAATTTCTTAGCGCTCGTCTGTCAAAACCGCCCCAGCATTGGTATCCGTCAATGAATCTGACGTAGAGAAAGAGCAGCAGAGGAAGGACGTTCTCCGTGATCGAGACAGCAATGGGTGCTCCGATGAACCCCCAGCCAAGATGCCAGACCATGAACCAATTCAAGAAAGCATTGAGTGGAGCGCAGATAAGCAGAATGTACATGGTCGCGCTGAAGATGCCTTGTGCCTGTACGTAGCGTTTTCCAGATTCAAAAGCTGCATACCCAGGTGCTCCAGCAATAAGAACCTTCAGGTACAGTCCAGCTAAGCGTGCGGTCTCTTTCTCTGGAACGATAAGCGATAGGATCTGTGTGCCGAAAGCCCATATGAGTGATATCGGGATGGTGATCAAAAGCAGAAAGTACAACATGCGTTGCAGTTGCAGACCGACAAGGTGAGGACGCCCGGAGCCGTATGCTTGCGCACACAACGTGTCGAGTGAAGTAGCCAGGCCCTGATACACTGCATAGCCCGTTATGGACGCAGTCATACTGGCCAGGCTCACGGCTCCTAGTTCAGTTTTGCCGATATGCCCGACTGTGAAGATACTCGCCACTGGCAAGCTGTATTGTAGCAAGAAGGTCAGGATGAGCGGTGCGGAGCTCTTCGTCAAAACTTTTGCTTCCCGCTGCCAACTTGTGTTGATCTTTCCCGCTGCAACCGCCTCGTTCCATTTCTTGTTGATCGTTTTTGGTGAGTCTAGGCCCCCATATGGTTGGCTTGGATCGCCTTCTGACACTCCGAGTAGCGTCGTGCGCTCAGAAGGTGACTCCACTGCGCTCTCCTCGTCCGGAGTGCTCTTGACCTTTCGTAGCCCTGAAATAGACATCCTAGATCGTACTCGGTCAAAAGGTCCTTCGCTTCCAGCTCTTGGATGCTTGGGTGGAATCAAATGATTATCGCGAAGCAGGCTCCGCTCCTCGTCTCGCACGGTCTCCCTCTCTTTCTTCGACAAATGACTGTGTTTCTTCCATGACGTTGGTAGGTGACTCCTTTCAGGTACGCTGGTAGACATTATAGCTGTACCGCGTGATCCTGGGTTAACGTAGGAAGGCCGGCGATAAGAGTTTATCATGGAATATTGCCTGACTGTATCCGAACCCGAGGAAGAGTCGTTGTCATCTTCGGACGCCGAGTTGTCTTCTTCACGATCCCGTGCAATGGCTTCTTCTGCTATATCTTGCGACTGGGTAAAGCCCTCCATCTGTGATGCGACATCGTTTGCAAAGTCATTGACCGGCTGTTCCGGTGGTATCGTTGGTGGGGCCATGGCTTTCAAATCCAACTTTGAGTTGATGTGCCACTCAATGGCATATGGATGGTGGTTGGAAGAAGAGGAAGAAGTGTAGAAGGCAGGACTACCAAAAAGTCAAAGAGTGGGGAATGACTGATATGATCACTCATTATGACTATCGCATTGGCTGACAGATTTCGGCATGGTCTAATGCGGCAGCTACAAGCGAAAAAGGCGACTTGCACATTAGCTTCCGCCCTTTCGCCTTGCCGAGATAGCTTGACACATGACAAGTGCAGTAAAAGGCGCATGTGGTGACTCCAACCTGCACGATTGTATTCCTTTGGTGGTGTTGCAGGATCAGGGCCGATTGGTGTTGTTAGGATATCATCGGCTGATGCTGATCTTATCATCCAGCACCGATGCACAAGCGTATGAGGCTGCGACCGAGTCTACGGGCCATACAAGGCCGATGTGCAATCTTGAACGCGCCACCTAGTACTATAGCATTCGAGGGCCAACCTCAATACCAGAGCTAGAGAGTCTTTTGTGGACGCAGACACACCGAAGCGCAGATAATCATCAATTTCAAATGCCAGTCCCAAACTCGATCAATGTAGTTCTTGATCCTAACAACAGAATTGACCGACAACAGAGGTTCTGGAGGTCCAGAAGCATTGTGTCATTGCTAGTATTGGAATTCATTTCGCTAAAAGGGTATGATCATTGTACAAAAAGAACATTAGACAACCACTCTCCTCAAGCCCTCCGTGCCTCCCAGGATTCTCCTTCCAGTAACAGCATCACGTCCTTTACCGCTCTCCCATCTTCCTTCACGGCTTCCTTCTTCTCGGCCCCAGCCCTCGTCTTCTGCTTCCCCGTCGTCTCCTGTTCGGAATCCTGCGGCACCCTCCATGAAGGCGAGCTGGCGGTCATGCTCACCTCCAACCCATCGGTGTATGCAAGTGTAGCAGTAGACGAATCCTGTGGGCGAAGCTGTTGGAGTTATGATGGGTGTAACACAGATCGGACACAAGGCTGATGAGGGTGGTGTAGGTACGGTGAGGATGGGGAGGAGGGTGGTTGAGGATATCGGAGGGTCGATTCGTTGGGGTTTGTCTGACAAAGACGATGCTGGACGCGCCTTTTCGGAGGATTCTGCCTGCTTCGACGATTGCTGCTTTGCCGAAGGCGGAAGGGATGGTAGTATCGGTGGTGGGAGATCGATGTTCTCAGCGGCTTTCCTCGATAGCTGTCGGGCAAAGTCTGAAGCATGCCACCACTCTAGAAACTTGAGCGCAAAGATACTGGTCGGGAGGAGTATCTTTAGCGAGCTCAACAAACGCGGCTCGATGCTCCTCGCAATGTTTCTTGGTGAAAAGATGGATCCGCCCTCTCCAGGCCGCGCAGGCCCAACCTTTCTTGGTGCGGTTGCAATTTCAATCGCCCTGTGGTCCGCCTCGCCCAATCTCCGTATCCGTGAGCCGATCAACCACATGAAGGGCGAGTGATACTTTGTGCCATCAAAGAGGTATGCCATGTTGAATGCCAGCAAGGAGAAGTAGTAGGCGGCATTCACACTGGGGTAGATGTTCCGTAAAAACCACTTGTAGTAGTGCATCAGTCGCTCCTTGACAGTCGCTCCGGCCCGTAATCCTTCTCTATCCCGGTTGTAGCCAGGGCCCAGGAGGTTCGCATGCGCAGCGTGAACGTCGTAGCCCTCGTCAAACTTCCTCTTCAGCCACGGCAGGCCAACGAGCACGGCAAGGTTCTTCCAGATGTCGCCGTTGCCCAGCTTGACAGCCTCGCGCACGCTGTCGGATGCACCTAGCTGTGCGCGCGGTATCTCGCCTCCTCGCACTCTCAGCACCCGAGCGCGCTTGAGACCGTAGAAGTTCTCGGTGAAGGATCCGCCGTATGTGCGCAGGAAGTGGCGCTCGACGAGCAGCATAAGCAGCGCGTAGACCTCATCGAAGGAATTGAGTATGGGAAGTAGATATCGCGGATACCGGGGTGTTGTGATGGCGAGGAGGTAGCGCAGCGATGGGGGCAGGAGCGATGCGAGTTGCTGCTCGGAAAGGAGTTCGAAGAGCGAGGGCTTGAGGTCGTCTATGCCATGCTGGAGTGCTGGAAGGAACTCCATGTCGGCCTGTGCAAAGGACGGGGAATCCGGGGGATCATGGGGTTGATGATTGTTGTAGCATCATCTGTCGGCCATGGTTGATGCGGCAGGTACGCGCAGCCGAGGCAGGAGCGCTCGGGGCTAGCCGCCTCCTCCGCGTTCACTCGACGCGTGCGAGCGAGCTCCTTGCTACGTCACATGCTTGCATCCCCAGGCGGCGACCGTCACCTCTGTCTTCCAACCATAGCAAATGTAGCAACAGCCATCATGATGTATCCCAACGACCCAAGATGTACCGAACTTGCGTATCCCGACTTGGTCAACTTCGGCGTATCTGTGTAAGCTCACCTGGTGCGCCGCATAGTAAACACAACTAACCGCCCCGTGACATAGCTTCATAGTCGTCGGTATCCTCGTATCGTACCTTCCACAACACTATAAGATCATAGCACGTCGCTCATCGCGTGGTCTCAGCCCCATGTTTGTCCTGCTGGGCACTGTCTCTGGGACGGCCAGCATCGCCAACATCCTGACTCTACCGGAGAGCACAAGAGACATGGGATGCTGCAAGGAGATTGGAAGCTTCCCATGCGCAGCCGCTATGCTCGGCATAGTGCAAATCGGTGTGCAGTGGAGTTGTTTCTTCTTCATGTAGGTCCCGATCAACAGTTGAGCGCGCTACAGATTCTAACAACCAGCAGTATGCTACTCTTTCTCATCTTCTTCCCTCGAGGCTCCTCACCAGACGTACAAGAAGAACAGGATACAGACATGCCCACGTGGAAAGAAGCGGTGCTCGTTCTGGGTGTGTCGCTCGCCTTCTTCGTCGTTGCATTCATCGGCTCCGTCGTCTTCGTATACGCGCTTCCTTCACACGTTCGCGCATGGGCAAACTTCCTCGGCTTGCTTGCCACGGTCCTCGCCGCGATACAGTACATCCCTCAGATCTTCATGACATGGAGACTGCAAGAAACTGGCAGCTTGTCTATTCCCATGATGTGCATACAAACACCGGGGAGCTTCGTCTTTGCAGCCAGTCTTTATGCGAGGCTGGGACCTGGGGGCTGGAGTGCATGGGGCCTGTTCATCTTTACAGGCATCCTGCAAGGCTTCCTGCTAGTCATGGGCCTGTCTTTTGTCTTGAGAGACAGAAAGGCTCAGAAAAGCCAGCAACTCGACGATGCTAGTGGGAGTGATACTGCTGGAGACAGCGAGAGGGCGCCATTATTGCATGGCCAAAGGTAATAGTTGGATCCTTGTTCTCGTTGATATAAAGCTTCATCTCATAATCTTAATGCTTACACATTCACTCTTCTTTGATCCTGGTCTTGTACTAAGTGTGCTTCCCTGTACATATTGTGTTCAGGAAGAACTAGACGCGCCCAGGCATGGACTCTGACATTCAGGTACTCGCTCCCTTTGCGAGCTATATATGTTGGTCTCGCTACACTCATGGTCAGGATTCCCTACACCCGTCGTCAAGGCAAAATCTGGTAGAACTGTACCAGGTCAAACCGAGGGTACTACACCTGCATCATTATGCAATACCTCGGATCCTAAATTCGTATTCGGTTTCTTCTTGGATCGACACTCGAACGAGCCCAAATACCAACACTACGCAAGAGCCATGGAGCAGACCGTATTCACTGGCAAAGCTTGCGTCTCTTTAACCAGCTGTCTAAGAACATGTTGAACATCTCGACTGTTCTCGTCACTTTCGGGTACAAGACACAACGTCCGTGGCGATATTAACCTTCACGCCAAGCCAGCCTATCGCCCTTAGGGAAGGTATCAATGTCCGCCCCTTGGCAACTTGGCAAAGAACGATCTACTCTCTTGTTACCTTCTTTTCCGGACACAGTACCTGCAAGGCCATGATAAGAGTGGGCCAGGAACGGTGTCGCGCGCACAAGTGAGCTGCATATGCCCAGGAGGCCGGAACAGCAAGTGGCGGGGAACATGTGTATATGAGCTCGGCTACCACCTCAAGATATTACTTGCATACTTTTCATAATTGCTACTGGAGCTGGTCAATCGAAACTCCAAGATGAAGGTTTCAAGTGCTATCGTTCTCGCGGGCGCTGCCCAAGCATTTGCTGCTGTGCGACCCCGGCCTTTGGTGTCATCTGGCCCCATCCAGGCTGAGATCAAAACTGAGAAGTAAGATCTCCAAGTCACAAAATTTGACAAAATTGACCATCTCAGGTTAATGAGCAACCTCAAGGCCTTTGACTCCATCGCAAAAGCAAATGGAGGCAATCGTGCTTTCGGTCTCCCAGGTTATGCTGCATCTGTTGACTACATGCTCGCCAAAACCCAGAACACACATTTCAAGACATGGACTCAGGACTTTCCTGCTCTTTTCAACAGAGTTGATTCTATCGAGTTCAGCGTGAGCAACAGTTCCTACCGCGTTATTGGACTTTCATACTCGCCATCCACCACTCCGGAAGGTTTGACGCTGCCGCTTGTGCTGGGTCCTTCTGGAGCTGAAGGTTGCACAAACGAAGCCTACGACAGCTTGGATGTCGAAGGCAAGATCGTCTTGGTACAGCGAGGAGCATGCCCCGATGGCACAACCCTTGCTGGGCGCATGAAGCCTGCCGCTGCCGCCGGCGCGTCTGCCGTAATCATCTACGCAAGCGACACAGCAAATGTTACTGGCGGTACATTATCCAACCCCAACCCTGAATACGTCTCCACTGGCTATATCAACCTTGCCGATGCGGAACCCCTGGTTGCTCGCCTTAATGCTGGCGAGACCATTGAGGCGTACTTCCAGCAAACCCAAACCGTAGAAACGCGCATCACGCAGAACGTCTTCACCGAGACCAAAGATGGCGACCCAACCAACGTCATCATGCTTGGCGCACATCTCGACAGTGTTCAGGCTGGTGCTGGTATCAACGACGACGGCTCAGGCAGCACGCTGATCCTCGAGATCGCCAAGGCACTGAGGAGATTCGGTGTCAAGAACAAAGTACGCTTCGCATGGTGGGGTGCTGAAGAAAACGGTCTACTTGGATCCAAGTACTACACACAGAATCTGAACGCCACAGAGGCCAACAACATCCTCACATACCTCAACTTTGACATGGTCTCCCGCGGCTACTTTGGTGTGTTCGATGGTGACGGCAGCACGTTCAACCTCACCGGTGCCCCAGGATCAGCTGCCATTGAGAAGCTTTTTGTTGATCATTTCGAGAAGGAAGGCGTAAACGTCACAGCAGCACGCTTCACTGGTGGAAGTGACTACCAATCCTTTATGAACATCGGCAAACCTGTTGGTGGTCTTCACACCGGAACAGGTGTCGAGCAGGACCCTTGCTACCACCAGGCTTGCGACACCATTGACAACCCCAACCCAGAGACGTTGACCATCAACGCTAAGGCTGCTGCGCACGTACTCTCGATATTGGCTACCAGGGGTGAGGAAATCATCCCCAAGAGCCCAGTTAACGCAAGCATGATTACTGAGCGCGGTATCATCGGCGTTGAGCCCAGATGGACGCTGCCTGCGGAGGGAGAGATGCACCTATCAACTTGCGGACACGAAGTCTAGATGTAAAAACAAAAGAGTACACGAATTAGCAAAGTCAAGATTTGAAACATGATATGAACTTAATGAGCGAACCTCGCATGACTTCTTGCCAAGGTTCTAAGAATTACCATTCCGACCATCTCGAAATTAAGCCCCATTACATTATGAAGGTGACAATGTTTCACATATTACTTCGTCTTCAATCTCAGAACTATGCAGTTCAATCTTTCTAGTTATCTAATGGTCCAAGTATCCTAGAGAAGATATTACCCTACTTCCGCTCAACCTTCCGCTCATGATGGTTCTGCTGACTCGTCTCGTCAACAGTAAGCGCCAGAGCTTGGGTTTTGTTTGGCGTCCTCGTAGCTGCATCTGCCAAAATTGTATCCTCTGTCGAGGGCAGTTGACTTGATGGTAGTGCTTCGTATCGTATGCTCTTTATTGAACTAAGAGTGGAAGTGGTGCTGAGAAGAGCTTGCGTCTAAATGTCCAAGTTCGTCACGTCGCAAGCCTATCGTAGTCCTTCCACACAGATCTCGGTCTCATAGATTTCCATGGGTTGTGTGTCCTCGCATTGAAGCCAATCGTAGACGTTCCAATATCAATTCTACTGCAACCCACGTGGTAACAGTAATCTTAACATCCTGTCCTGTGCACATGAATCGTTGTGCGCCATACTCCTTCATCAACGCAATCCGTGGCTAGATTCACTTCCTGCGAGTGACTGATGCTCTTCGAAGGCTTCCTCTCGATCAGCTAATGCAGCCTGCAATGAAACACGTATTTTCGATGTACTGGTTCGCTCTATCCTTTGTACAAGGTCATTCTATTTTTATGATTACTATGTTACAGCTAGCTGAACAAGGTCTTCCCCACTACCTAGAATTTCTTGTTTGCAATTTTCGAGCGCGAGCTTCGGCAATTTCCCAGAAGATGGAACCATCGTATACTCCTCGGATGTCGTCTCTGTGCATCCGTCCATCCTGGGGCCAAAGCAGGATGTACATTGCCATCCCTGTGGAGTGTTAATGACTGCAGAATAATTTGTTGGGGTCGTGCGCTATGACCCACATTCTAAGCCTCCAGCAAACCATCCAAAGAAATCGTTTGCGCAACATTGACCTGCCTGTAGGAGTGGAGGTGCGAAGTCAGTGTATGTCTCGCATGAACTTTGTACAACCGCAACTCACCCACACATCGTACATAGTTCGCCATGTTAGGTAGTCCTCGCCCTTGGCGTACTTTTCGAAGATTGCATCGAAACGCCGTGTGTCCAGTTCAGCGTCCAAGTCGTACGCGCCAGTAGTACTTCCATGCCGATTGCGAGTGACATTATCGAGATAGATGGCGAACAAAGGGTGCGGGAGAAAGGATTTCTGTGTGCTGTACGACGAGCATGCGGCCATGGTGATCGCTGCCCATAGGCATAGGGCGATGTTGAAACCGAGTTTGCGGAATCCTATGAATATGTCCCAAGGGTAGATCACTCCATCTTGGTCGGCATCCCAGAAATCGCAGTGCCGTCGGAGTGCACTACGTCGAGTGTCTTTTGCACCTCCAGGCTGACGGCCTTTGTCTAGCATTGGAGTTCCTCTCCGTGTCAAGCTGGAAGATGGCCATGGGGAAAGGCAGTGCTTACTCTCGTATGGATGGGAAATGGCAATGCCCTCGCCGCCTCCTCCTGGCGTACCGTTGTATATATCGCCAACTCCAGGTAGCCAACTGACGTTCCTCAACGAGCTGAGATTGTGGTGTACATCTACCAAAGTTTTCTTGAAAATCGGGTTCCATTGGCCGCGGAGCCTCCCATCACCATCATCTGTATCGACAACTTCTGCACACTCCAGCCCGCTGGTAGCCAATTCATTGTCCTCGAAATCGAAGCTGGCCTTGGCAGAGAAGGTATCAATATGGATGGTCATCGTGCAGTCGGCTTGCATAGTGAATATTGAAGGTCGCGTAAATATGCCTGGAGGTACATAGCTCTTCCATTGTAACTTGACGTACTGTGTCGCAGGCACGATGCTTGCTACAAATTACCATTGTCTGACGTACGTCTTGGCATTCACTTTGGGATACGATACCCGTCCGTTCTTACCGTTTAGGGCGGCCCCTGCGTGTATTTGAGGCTGAATCTTGTTTTGCTAGCTGTCCGCGGCCTGCATGATCGCTTGCTCTCCTTGATGGAGACCAGTCGGTAAGGTCGTGGTGTACGCGAGCAATCAAGACAGATCTTCGCGACGTCATCGTCTAGAGGCTCAAGTTTGCTAGTCTGGTGAGGGAGCGTTGCGATAGATTTGAAACTGCCTCAGGGCTCGCTGTACAACAGAGTCGCGGAGCCTTCACAACATGTCGACCCTACATTGCAGCATGCGGGGTAATTGACGTTCGCAGAGGATTATGAGCAGGGTAGAAGTGAGCTTTGACAGTGTTCAGGGCCAAAGCGTGCCCGATGGCTGGACTACGAATTGACGCGTCTGCCTAAGCCCCGCTTCGTACACCTCAGTGGCCCCAGCGCCCTGTTCGCGTGGCCACATACAAACGACAATATATTCATAACAAGCAAACTAAAAGGCATCAAACAGAACAACATGGTTGTGTAGTGTGCGTTGACCCAACCCGTTGTAACATGAAGTCTGTCTAACCGCCAATACAGGTAGTGGTTATCACTCCAGATTTTGACTTCTATCAACTTTCTGGTAACCCCGGTTCGAACCCGGGCACGACCTTTTTTGGTTGCATGCGATAGTTTTTTTTTTAGAGTTTTTTTCGCAGCGCGCAGCTTGTTCTCTTGCCCTCTCTTGCTGCCGCTTCAGCCTCAATTCGGTTGAACAAACACTCGTCTCTCGAAAGCACTATTTCAGTGTGGCGATGCAACAGCGGATCTATTCGTACTACTCGTCATATCATGTGTGATACCAAGGGTTATCTTCTCAAGCGAGCAACCGTCCTTATTGAATGGAGAAATATCGAGATACTGTCAATAATCACCCGTAGTCAGACACATCAGGGTATCGCTAGCTGCTAAGAAGAATTCTTGATTACTAGACTAGTACGAACGAACGCAAGCTTTGCAGCTGTAGTACACGAGAAATCACCGGCGTCAAGCCAGCCCACAGATCACCTCGCAAGCGACCTGGCCTCCATCTCCCGCCGACAGTCTGGACATTGTAGTCCTCGCATAGTGTCACGCCCAAGGTGTGTACCTTGCCCCTTGAGCAAAGTTGATGCAGCTCGCTGCTGGCTTTCGCAGTCAGTCTTCTTGGCGCTTGTGAACACAGCCTGGACGCGACTTCGTTGGCGTCTGAGGTAGACCTTGCCATATCTCAGCTTCACTGCATGCGCAGACGCATCAGAGCGCTGGTCTTCCAGGACATCCTGCCATTCGCGCATTGGCCGTCTTTTCGGTACGGTTACGCCAATTACATATTGGGGATCCTCGAAAGGGTTCGATGGTATCTGGGAATGATTGGAAGTAAGGGTCGATAGTCCCTGGGGACGATAATGTGACGTGTGAAGATTGGATGCAGGGTTTGATGGTGCCTCGGGTCGATAATGTGATGTAGGATGACCTGAAACCCTGTCGAATGGACCCGACGGCATGTAAACTCCGGAATCTGTTTCAGGACAGATGTCGTACCGTCGCCTACGTGGCGTTTCGGTTGACGCACTCGAAGGAGGCAGTGGATAGGCGAAGCTATCAGTGGCAGCTCGGATTCTAGACCTCCACGTGGAAGGATGGGACGACTGGATTTGATTATCGTCCACAGTACATGATTCCATTGTATTCGAGACCTCGTCATGATGAAAGCATTTTATCGAATCTCTCATACTGGCACAGCGAGCACGTCGGGTTATGTACTATATGATGGTGAGTTGGAAGGAACTTGCGGTTCGAGCGAGAGGTCTGGTCCTGTCAGCAGTAGGACTGCGAGCTTCATCATGAGAACTCACAAAGTATTGATGCGACAGAGTAGTACTGATAAGGCAGCAAATTGGTGTGGTGAATTAACGTGATGATGGGGCGGTGGAACTAGGCTGGTAGAAGTCTGGAGAAGGTCCGCTCTGTACTGCTGCATCGCAACAGAACATGAGGTGCAACTTCCTCTACCATCATGTAGGCATTAAAAAACACCAAAAGCGAGCCAAGACCACGGAAATTTAGCCTTGGATATCCTAACAGCAGGAAAGGACTCGTGTGTAAAACATCATATCAAGTCCTCATGCTCTTCTTCTTCATCTTCGCCGCTCCAGTCCAGCTTCATCAGAAGACGATCAATACCACCTACTCTCAACGGTTCGTAGGCTCCTTCCTCCATCGCCGCTCCAGTTTCTGTACCTGGCGCAGAAGCTCCGATCCTCTCACTGTCAATCTCACGCAGCCGCTCTACAAGTGCTTTGAGATCGCTATCCAGCCTTCTCCTCGCACGATCCATCTCCAGACTGACCTCACTCTCTTCTTTCTTGTAGTTTTGCGAGTAATCTTCTATGCCTTCATCTTCTTCAAGATCCAGATTTTGCTGTATCTTTGTGAGACGTGTGATGTATGCCACTAGCTCGTCGACGTGGGTGCATAGTGTACGCAGCGCCTTTGTGAATGGCTGGTCAGTAAGGAGAAGAGAGTATGCGACCGAAGACAGAAAGCGGCGATGTGCTGAAGCTAGCGCTTCTGGATCATGCTGCTTCTGTAGATCCCCTTCTGTCACGGACTCGCGGAAGCTAGTTGTGTTTGTACGGTCGGAGGCTGCTATTGCTGTTTCCGTTGACGAAGATCCTTGGGGAACAGTGACCCATGCGATAAAATGGCTAAAGGTTTGCTGTATAACTGCTCCGTGAAAGTAAGCTTCGCTCTCTGCAAAGAAAAAGATAGCGGCTGCGCAAGTCGCCCAGATCTTCCGCATGTCCTGTGCTCGCTTCGTAGTGCGTTGTCGACGTCGCTTGAGCATTGCTTTACCGTGCGCGGAGTTGCTGTATTGATACCCGGGCGGGCAAGGATGATCCCTTCGTATCGAGCTGTATCGCCAAAGCTCAGCTAGATGTAGATGGGCTCTTCGGACAGCGAGTAGGGAAGCATTGATGGATGAATAGACATCAAGATCTGCCTTCGTTATGAACAGGTCAAGAGGTGAGCGTATGTCCATCGTCAAAGACGTTGGTACTGATAGCAGTAGGTCGTCAAAGGACATGTTGGCAAGCTGTGGAAGCATCGAGTCCGCATCCTTGGCGCGCCCTGGTGTCCCCGGACGGTTGTTAGACGTGTTGTTGGTGCTGAGATGTAAGAGTTGAGTTGCGACATCCAAAATGTCGTCCGTGTGTTCGTCTTCGCTAGATAGGGTTGAGAGAACAGAGAACGAACGTGCGAGGACCTGATTGATCTCCGCTTCTTTGATGATGACGCCCCTGACGGATTGACCAGGCTTGTTGATTTGTGAGCCTTTGTGCCGGGACGAGATCTTGCCATCTGCCTCTGCGATCAGTGTCAAGGCAAACTCTCCTCTTCCGATCAGAAAGAACTGATGTAGCACCGTCAGTGTCTCGACAATTCTCTCGCGCGGTAAGAGATGCTGCAGAAGGTTTCGAGATAGTGAAAGACGGATGTTCGCAATTGCCTCGGAAAGCATGGCTGTTGATACTGGTGCGCTCACTCGAGAGAGTTGTTGAACATGCTTGGGCAACAGATCAAGCTCTGAAACTGAGTTCGATGCGTCCAATACCTTCACAGCCGACGGCAACGAGCGAATCTGGTTGAGCGATTTACCAACAAAGAGAATAGAAAGAGCCGTCTGCCTTGTGACAAATTTGGGTAGTAGCTTGTTCTGTAGAACAAAAATTTGCTCGTCCGCGTCTTCGTCGTCTTGCTGAATAAAGAAGTCCGAGCGCCCAAACGATGGGAGTCGGCCATATAGCAACCAGGTGGATAGCTGTCGCAGCCACGATGTCTCTGCAACCTTGCTCAAACCTCGGGCGGCCTCTTCGATATCCGGGTAGCCTGTTTGGGCTTCACCCCGCAGCTTATCGATGACAGCAGCTCCAGAGGCAGCCTGTCCGATCATTTTCTCGAACTTTGCAGGAACATCCGATGGTAACATGTAGTTGCTGATGTCCCGCAGCCATTCCATGACTCTAGTCCATTCGGAGAACTCGCTCACGACCCCAGCTAAAGGTACGATATTGTACGCGCCCACGATAGAAGCATCTTGTTTCAGAATACGACTCTCGACTTCCAGCACTTTGCGTTGGAACCGTTCGAGGTGGTAAGAAGTAATCGAAGTAGCAACTGCCCTACAGATGACTGAAGGGTGAGACACGGAAATTCTGGCGACATGATCGCGTGTACTTCGATGCAGACGCGACAGATGGCCGATGGAAGACAGCAACTCTGCTTCGGGCGGAGAGAGTAGACGATGTGCGGTTGCTGTCACGTGGTCCGGGGCATCGAAGAGCGCAGACGGGTGCCCGGAGAGCGAGAGGAGGATTTCGTGGAGCATGGTCGTGGCGCTGATAGATCGCTGGATGCGCGGAACTGCTTCTTCCGTGCCGCCAGTCGCTCGAAAAACACAATAAGCAAGCTCAAGAGCTCGAAGCGACACATTGAACGCGTCGCGCTACGCGCATTACTCGATGTGGATGAATGAGTGGGTTCCAAGGTTGATCGTTAACAAGTCCCCGCGCTAGCGACAGGGTCACGCCCGGCACAGTCGACGGCGATGACCCAAGTCTCTCACAGACAACACCACGCCTTGCATCTACATACCGACTGCACGCCAACGTTTGCCGTCATTTCTCAAATGAAAAACGTATTAATAACGCATTGGCAGTCTCTTGAGAGACAACCTGCCAGGTGCTTCCTGACCCCAGCGCATGTATTTGTCACGATCGAGCCGCATCGCATCTCGGATTCCGCTCTTTGAACATAAGACAGGCAGTCTTACTACACTGACCCATACATATGTTGGTTAGAGGCGACGTGAACCGGCGCCATCGTGCAAAAGTAGGGCACCGCTCGCTAATGGAACACGCCCAACATCTCGTAACGAGCTACGCTCAAGCAAACGAGGACCTCGCCTTTTCGATCAAAGTCAAGGCTATGCTATAGCTCTGCTAATGGCTCTGTGAAGCTGTTGTACAATGGTAGCATTCTTGTCACAAGCGCATCGACAGAACTAGAGGACAATGCCCTCAAAGAAGAAAGGCAGCTTGTGTACGTTCATGAGGAAGCCACATCTCCTCTTGCATCAAACTACGTTTGATTCATCACATCGTATCACGAGAGCTTTCTAGATACGAAGCTCACTCCTGATAGGCTGCATCTCCACGGGTACAACGAAGCGACGTTATGCTACATCCGTTTGGTGCGAGTACCATGAGTGTGACAACTTACTGGTGTAGACAATCACCGTCAGGATGTGCTAGGAAGTCCTCTATCTGAAATATCACTCGTTCTTCCCTGTTCGCCCGAATATCTCTTCTTGATCAATCAGCAATATGAACGCTCTCGATTTTCTAGTCGACTTCGCAACTCTTGTGAGCACTTCGGAAGCCTTGAGACAAGGCTATGATGGAAACAATGTCGATCACAACATCGATCCGATGCACAGTAAAGTGGACTTGGCTTCAGAGCTGGGTGCCCGTCCCACAGAGAAATCACTCCCCATCAACGGAGAGCGGCCAGTCAATACAGCTCAACTTCAGTCCAATATGGCGCCACCCTTGTCGCAAAATATCTTCTCAGCCTATGCGGTCGACCGATCTAGCTCAAACACCCATTGTCATGATCCGTACGAAGAATTCCTTGCGGTTCCCTCAAACCCTCACATGAGTCAATCTTTCGACCAGTTCCTTCATCAACACCCAGTGCTCGGTCTTTCTTTCATGACTGCCGACGGTATGAGCTACCTTGCTTGCGACTGTGAGAGGTTTACCCAGTGGGGTCCGAATCATCAGACGGGCTATTCGCTGCCGACAAAATCAGTATCGTGGAGCCATGTTCAGCCATATCAACAGCCACCGAATCACGATATACGATTCCTAGAAACACAGTTCGTACCCCTTGCGGGAGAAACTCGAGTCCAGTCATCGCAGTGTATGGACGCAGCGTGCCATTGCCAATACACTCCGCCACATCAACAAGCTGTGAGCAACGATTGTGCGCCGCCATATCCAAGAATTGTCTGGGGATCGCATACATCGATTTATGATAAGAAATGTTGGAAAGAAGACGATGAGTGGGCATGGAAATGATAGGGATCATACCGAAGTGAACCGGATGTAGTGCATGCATGTGTACTAAGAGGTAGCGCAGATATCGATACAGACTTAATTGCACATAGACTGTAACTGGTGGGGTTACTTAGTTTGACTATATACGATATGGTCGATGCCTTCTAAAGATACTTTGAAGAAGCGGGGGTCTCTCCGAAGCAGCCAATTCCTTCTGACTGTAAGTTGTAACTGAAAGCGCGATGTGAAACGTGGCTTTGGGCTCCGCTCGCGCACTCGTGGTTCTAAACAGAATGTAATGCGAGGATTCAATATGAGGACAGGGTCTTGTGCATGTTGTGTTGCACATAAGTTGATACCCCGCCCTCTACAAATTCTCTATCAACAGACAAGCTACATCCACTTCTTCTTGTCATGGCGAACAATCACATCATACTCAATGTCTGCGGTCGCAAATTTCGCACTTCAAAATCCGTTCTTTCAGTCTCGCCTTACTTTGAGAGTCTCCTCACACGATGGGAAGACTGTGCAGACTTGCAGGCCGACGGCTCCTATTACATCGACGCGGATGCCGATACCTTCGAGCATATCCTAAACTTCATGCGCCGGCCCTCGAGACTTCCTCTCTACTGAAATAAGAAAGACGGCTTTGACTATGCGCTCTACTGTCGGGTAGAAGCAGAAGCGGATTATTTCATGTTGGAGGGACTGCGGGATTGGATCAGACAAGCCAAGTACCTCCAGGCAGTATCAACAACTTTGCGTACATACAACGCAAGAGATTACCAGAGATTGGACGGCGATGTCATTGTCGAGAAATACGTCGTCAGAAAAACTAATGTTGTTCTTTGTCCTGCGGGAATCCATGAAAGGTTCAGGGATTGCCAATTCAGTGGGAAGTGCTCAAAACTAATAGAGGCCCACGGATTGCAGATGAGTGTTACAGAAGAAGAGCTTCTTGTGGTTGTCACAGAGTTTCATTTCAACAACGCGATCCTGATTAACAATACTCTCTGAGCCATCATCAAGCTTCAGGTGGGGTGATGCTTTACCCGAAAGAACGTAAAACATCATTGGTAGTCATTTCTCGAAGATCTTGTATCCTCTGTTTTTGTTAGTATTTGGTGTTCTCTACTTCTCTACTATCCGGTTAGTCCATCCAGAGTGTAATTACTCGCATCGGAATCGAGCTTTCATGATGACGTCGACAAGTCGATCACCACAAGAAACGTTTAGCCACCATCGCTTTCTCCAGCATTGGAGCAAGGCGCAAAAGATTACCAATCATTCTCTACTTTACGGTGTAACAGTGCAGACTATTGTATTCTGTAGATCCACCCGGAAGTAGTCTTTCCCAGGTATGATGATGTGTCAGCGCCACATGTTAGCGTCAACGATATCCATTGCTATTTGAACGACAAAGCACCTGCATATTCGCTCTACACCCATATCTGCCAGAACGACAAGAGCCCATACCCAATCACAAACTCATCCATCAATATGGCGACCCAGTCGGCGATCAACTGGCCGCAGCACTTCCTCCCTGGCACGACAGACAACTTTGTCTCAAATGAACGCATCGCGAAAGATCTAACCAGCACCCAAATCTGGGCCCTGTTAGCCAACATCTCGAAATGGAAGTCTTACTACAAGAACTGCGCTCAGATAACGCCTCCGTCATCGGACAGCACCTTCCTGCACAAAGATGACGTTTTCAAATTCAGTACTTTCGGTTTCCCACCGCTGACTTGCACGGTCCAGGAGTCGGAGCCTCCAGAGAGTAACGGGCGTGCTGGAAGGTTGGCATGGAGCTCCAAGACATCGGATGGGCTGGAAATCTATCATGCGTGGGTTGTGGAGGACCTGGAGGGACAGAGAGTGAGAATCTTGACGCAGGAGAGTCAAATTGGACAAGTGTTCAAAGAGTGGGAGGTACAGAAGCCGAACAAGATGCTGTTGGGACATCAGGATTGGTTGGATGGTCTCATCACCGCAGCGAGCGGAAAGCAGGTTGAAGATACCAACTTGGAGGCAGTAAACTTCCCTGTTAGACAATTAGATGCTTAGCTCCAGGTCGTGAGCAATAATAAACTGATTCATCGTTACAAAAGTCATATGGGATAATAGCATGAAGTTTTCGAAATATTATTAGCAGTACACGAATCCTCTATCATCGTTCCAATTCCGCATCCACGAGGTCATATCCCGTCGTAGTTATCAATACCCATATTCGCGTCCTGACGCCGGTCATGGCAAAAGGAGATGAACGAAGGTCTGAGAAAAAACATGCAGACCCGAAAGTGATGTCACATCCAAGACAAGAAGAAAGGACTAAAAGTCCAGTGAAAGAAAAGGCCGGGAGTACACTGCCTCCCAAGAAAAGCGACCTTGTGGTCCACTCAAATCGTTGTGGTACAAGATGTCGCGATATATACTGCTGTTGAGGGGGAAAAGGGTGAAATGGTGTGCTGTGATGAGAACAGTATATGTAGTGACCGAGTGAAACACTTCATAGAGTTATACGACAATGCTCCAACGTCAACTCTTGATTGTCGTAGAGCAGATCCCGCAACTGAAATTGTTTGTAACGCCGAACATTGAGCATCACGCCTTGATCATGCCGTGTAGTAGTTGTTGGAGCTAGCCGAAGCAACTATAGAAGACACTTAGGCTGTCGCAACCTTAGCCCAAGTCGTAGCTGTGTGGGCTGGCGACGAGCGAGGAGCGTTGTTGTTGCTCGTGGACCAAGTCTTGGGTGCAGACGGACGGGAAGTAGTGTTGTTGCTGTTGTTGTAAGAACGGTCTGCCTGACTCTGTTGCGACGGCTTGCGCGGGCGATCCTTCGCACTGTTGGCAGAAGTGGTGCTTGGAGGACCAGTCGTTTTGGGCTTAGGCTGGCGGGTAAGTTTAGGGCCATAGTGTTTCCTTTGTACCGACTTGATCACCGGCTCGCGCATGGTAACAAGGCGCACAACGACATCAAACTTTGTCTTGTTTTGTGCAGTCTTCTCGATGTCGAAAGCCTCTAGTCGACGGATCGTGAAAGGGTTTTCGAACTTCTTGTACCTTGGTTGCTGCTCGTCTCTAGGCGCGGCCTTGGGTGGTTGGTTGGCAGCGAGATGAGGGACCTTGGACAACTTGACTGTAGGCAGCGAGCCGAATTCTCTATCTTCGAATAGTGCCTCAGCGCCGTTGCGGGTGACCACGTCCTTTCCACGATCATCTGCAAAGGTCTTCGTTTGGGACATACTAGGCAAGGACACAGTGGCAGGACCAGTACCTGCTCTGACGTCAAGAGAAGCCTTTGACAAGGCAGCCGGAGCGACTGCACCTTGCTGTGGGACAGCAACAGGCAGCATTGGCGATGTTCCCGGAAGGGTTGCGGGCCGGTTGGAGCCTGGCTTGTCAAGGAGTTTGTTAAACCGAGCTTGCCATTCCGGGTTCATTGCAAGAGGTCTGGCACCTAGAGCCTGGCCACGCGAGGGCAAGTTCACATGGGAAGCAGCAGCTGGTCCGCTACCTGACGCCGACGGAGGGAGTCGTACAACAGGCGACGGCTTCGGGAGCCTTACCAACGGGTGGCCGGCTTCGCTGCCGAAAACAGGGTGTGTCTCTGTCTCCGGAGGCGGTGGAGGAGAATCAGCCTTGCTTGATGCAAACGTTGATGATGACGGCGTCGCCTCGGTCGAGATCTCAGTTGGGCGAGGGAAGAAGCGAGATGCACGAGGGCCAGTAGCCTGCTGTAGAGAACCTTGACCTAAACCTTGCTGAGTCGACGAGCCGTCAATCACAGACTTTGTGGTGTCGTCCTTTTTCAACGCCTCGGCAAGAGTCATGTCGGCAGCGACTTTGTCATGCAGCGTTACCTGTGCTTGACCCCGCTGGTCCTTGTATGTCTCTCGAAGTTCTGGGCGGAAGTCACCATGGCGCTCTCGATCCTGGTGGTTTTTTGCCGCAAGTTCAGCATCATCGCGTTCGATAAGGTCTCCAAATGTATCCCAACCACCGCCAGCAATGGTCCTGGAAGGTCTAGCCGCTCTAGCCGCTGCTGCCTGTTGCTGCTGTTGTGCACGCGATGGTCGCTGAGAGTACATCTGTTGCGACGGAGGCATCTGCCTTCCTGGCTGTGCCGGTAGAGCCTGAGGGGCCAAGCTTGTGCCAATGGGAACTGTCGAGGCAGGTGGCTGGACAGGAAGTTGCTGCTGGGCACCAGAGCGGGACTGACCCCGGTAATCAGCGTCGAAGGTACCGTTACCAAGAGCTCGATCTTGCGTTTTCGGGGGACCCCAAACCTGCGAAGTCCAAGGTCTAGGTTGAGGCGCTGTGGAAGACGCCTGCGACCATGCTGGAGGTGCCTGTGGCCTAGGCCCAGAAGGGATAGCGCCGTCCGATTGGTGAGCGATCGTCTGAGATTGTTCAGTTGCTGGCCTGGACTTTTCGTTGTCACGCGTGAAGGAGTCAAACGGCTGTGCCGATTGCTGGTCGAGTGGCGACGGTGCAGCCGCCGGCGAGGTATTTGCTGCGTGGGATGCCGGCCCAGAAACCTGGGCGTGCTCGGTCTGAGGCGACTTCTTCACAGGGTGAGGCTGGTGGACCTTCATCATACCATACTGTGTGACCTCACCATCGGCAGTCGGGACAGGTGGCTTTGGCGGTGATTGCACAGGGGCAGGGGCAGCCTTGCCTTTCTGCGGGGACTGCTCTGGGCGTGTAGGTGACTGGTCCTTGTTCTTAGTCTTCGACTCAGGCGGTCCCATAGCGGCCAGCTTCTTGGCAAGTCGCTCTTTCCTCTCTGCCTCTGCTCGTTGCTCGGCTTCACGATCTTGCTGCTTCTTGAGACGAGCACGCTCGATTTTCTCGGCCATGAGGCGTTTCTGTACCTCGACAGGGTTTTCTGCTGGCGGTGCTGGAACAGGCACTGGTGCATCTTGGATAGCTGGTGAAGTTACTGATCCGTAGGGAGAGGCCGGGTGAGCTTGGGCAACGTTTGGGGACCTCATTTGCTGGAAAGGAGAGTGTCTGGAAGTCGCAGGGTCCGAAGAAGACGGGTCGAAGCCGTTGATCGAGTGTGATTCACGTCGTTCTGTGCTCATAGGGCCAGTAGGCATATCTGTTCCTCTTGGGTCCATTGACATGCGCCTCGGCATTGTTCCACTGACGTTGGACGAGTTCCTCCTCCTGCCCCAAGTAGGTCCATCTGCGCTTGCTCTTGATGTCTGGAATGCTGCTGACGGCTCTGCTGGACCACCATCGTGAGACGGCCTCTGCAGCACGGCAGACGGCTGTTGTCGGTAGCTACCACTATCACGTCCCGAACTCCGCCTCATATCATTATGTACAGGCTCATAGCGACCACTCTGTGAATTGTACAGCTCCCGGCCGTCTCGATTGTCCCGACTGCCACTTTCGTTGCGCCAGTTGCGGTTGAAGTCGTCGGGGGCAATTTCCTTCGCGGGAGGTGGGGGCATGGAATCGTAGCCATAAGAGTCTCGTTGCGAGTAGCGCTGCGGAGGTGCTTGCTGTACTGGAGGGTTGACCTGAATCGGCGATACTTTCTCGACTGGAGGCAAGGGCGCCCATGGTGACTTCTTCTCTGTGGCTGATGGCTTGGCCACCAGGGTTGGTCTTTCCGGCTGTCCCTTCAGGACGAGACTTGATTTTCCAGTAGTCGGCTGCGCGTGTGCGCCGGGCTTAAGGATAGTTTTGGTACCGCCGGTGACGCTTGGTTTGGGCGTGTTCGTAGTAGGCGCTGGTGATGTAGTGGGCTTGGGTGTCTCGGCAGGCGTCTCTGGCTTGAGTATAGTCTTTGGTTCCTCAGCAGGTGGTGGCTGCGTCTCCTGTGGCACTGCAACTGAGGACTTGGTTCCGTCCATCCACTGCACTGCTTCCGGGGTCCAGTCTTCCTCATCGTCATCAATGTCAGCCCACTTGGCCTCTTTGCCTCCTTCATCGGCCTGTAAGCGTGTTGCAAGATGAATGCCGTACTGTTGCTTGAGCTCGTCGTCCGTATACGTCTTGGGCGGGGGAGCTGGGACCGGCTGGTTCTTATTCCAAACCTTGCTCGCATCTGGACCTGCGCCTGCACCATTGGTCTGTCCTAGCGCACGCGGGGTGTTGCCAGCACCAGATTTGGCTACGAGGCGGGGCTTCGCGGTAAGGACTGACGTCTTGGGCGGGGCTGCTGGGGCTGCCTTCTCTCCAGGTCGCGCAGCAGGTGTTGAGGGGACTGTCTTGGCTAGAAAGCTTTTGGTTACGGATACTGACTTGAACGGTTGCTTCTTCGCGGTCGAGTTGGTCCGCACATGAGTCCCATCCCGCTTCGACTGGTCTACGCTTCCAGGACGGCTAATATCGGTATCTGAGCCACCACTCGCGTCTGCCACAGCCTGCGACTCTGCTGCCAGATGTTCGCTGGATAGGCCGTTGAGGTGGGGCTGTCTGGACTCTTGCCGTGATGCATCTGGCTGCTTGCTCTCGCCCTGCTACTGTTAGGGCCGCGTCGAAACTCGGCATAATCTCTACTCACAGCTGCCGCATGTCCCTGGGTCTTGTCTGACACGTGTGCACTATCAGCCGAGGGTGCATCTGCGCCATTCAAAATGGGTTTGGTAGAAGACGCTTCTGATGTGGTCGTTTTGGTAGTCGCTGTGCCCGAGGGCGGTTCGCCGTTAACGGCGGGGGTGTTGGTAGTTGACGCAGAGTCGTCGATGGGCGCAGAACGACCCACCGACTGTGCTTCCTTTACCACATCGTTGGCAACCTGCTCTGCCATAACAGTTTCCGGAACTGAAGTGGTGCAAGACCCAATGTCAGAAAGCTGTCCTTGATCTGATCCAAAGAAAGACGTTGGCGTAAGCGGCGTCGACTGCTGCAAGTCGAGCCCGGCCGGACGCCCGACATCGTCGGCATGCGACATGAGGGCTAAAGAAAAGTTGGGGATAATCACCTAATGTCAGATGCTACAAGTCGCCACGGATGTCAAGTCGGCGCTTCCGCAGAGTTGCGTTCTGCAAGTTGCTGAGGTGACGCGGCGAGTGCGGAGGTTTCGGGGTGTTTCGCTGGAGGATGCGCGGGCTGGAGGCAGTCGCGGACACGTGCTGAGTCGCGCTGATTCACCGAACGGCGTGGAGTCGCGCTCGGGAGGGGTGACTGGGTACAAAGGGCCCTTTCGTGGTGGGGCGGATCGCGGGTGTGGATGGGGTTTATAGGAGGTTGAGGCGGGTAGCTTGAGTAGCCACGATGGTGAGAGGCGCAAGTCTTGGCACGGGCTGGGGCCTTGTATATATAGAGTCTGCGTGCTGTGGAACCTACATCTCACACTGCTGCCGCGGCACCTTTGCATCGCACATGGGGAACGGACTCATGAGTCAAGGGAACTCTGGCGGCAATGCACATCTAGGTTCGAGAAGCTGACGACACATGCTCATGGCATGCACGTGCGGTGCTTCAACGTCCATCAGGTTGAAGGTGTTGCAACAAGCCCTGTTACATATTCCATAGCATCGCAGATCATGTACCAACTTTTCCCCGTTCGAGATGACCATGTCGGCGTAGCGAGAGGTGTACTAGGCTCCGCCACTGCACACGTGGATGTGTTGAAACAGAAGGAAATAGTCATTTGCACGATAGGAGAAGAGACGGTCTTGGCTAGAGGCTTGATTCACCAACTACACTTTACATATACACATCTTGTCCATCCGCTCGTGGCGACACAGCGCATCCAGAGGACCCGCTTAGTGCTCGTTGTTCTTGTGGTGGCCTGCCGGTGGTGAGTCACATCATCTCATCAGCGCATCTTATTGGACTTACGGAGATGGAAGTAGTAGTTCTGTGCGTAGCCGAGCGCAATCAGGAAGCCAATGACGTGGACGAGAGCTGTACAGGGTCAGTCTGGTGTTCTCACGCGCATGTCGCATGTTCAAGGACAATGCGCTTGTCATTCCCTCTCCGGCCGGGTGCACTCACGCCTTCCTGATGGGTTCTTGCCCATGTACTTCTTCTGGTAGCGTCCGAGAAGACCCTTGGCCTCGGGCTCGGGAGCTGGGCCACGGGGCAGCTTCTCGTAAAAGCTCACGACCTTCTGCATGCGGACAGCATTGGGGGAGGAGCCGATAGCCTATTTTGCAAATCAGCCCAGATCCAAAATCGCCACGGTGAGAGTTCTGGAATTGCGATTGGGTCTGCAGTTGGGGAGTTGCGGTCGTGAATGCATGCGTTCGTGGTGGGCCGGCGGTCGCGCGAATGCAATTGCGGGGGTTCCAGGGCGTCCTAGGCGATGGTTTGAAAGGCTCTTACATTGGGAGAAGCAATCTGGGGAGCATGGTCAGTTCCGTGGGCGATTGGAGGGGTGCATAGAAGGGCGTACCTTGGGGGGGATGAGGGTCGAGAGACCGCGCTTTTGCATGAAGCTCATCTTGACGGCTACCGCTCAGTCAGCATCAATTGCACGCTCTCCGCGTAGTGGGTCGCTTCGGACGACGTACCAGGGCGGGCAAGACGATGGAGTGGAGATGGAGGGCGTGCGGTCGGTGGTGAGGTTCGAGGAAGAAAGCTGCACGACGGATTATGCCGGCGCCTTCGCCAAGCAACCACCCCAGCTTCATCCCGTCGACATGACCGACATTCACGATTCCCGCCCGCCACCCCGACGACACAACCACCATGTCTGCCCTACCGAGGTCAATTGCATCGCGCGTCCTCGCCCCTGCCCTGCGGCCCTCTGCGACGAGGGCCATGGCCCCGTCGTTCCGCACATATGCGACCAACGAGCCCACTCCCCACGGCCACAAGACGAGCTCTGAGGATGCGCCCGCCGTCAAGCTCAACAGCGACTCGACCCAGATCCGCGAAGAGTCCGCCGCCGAGGGCATGAGGCATCAGCCAGACTACAATGTCGCCATCGACTACCGGACCTCGTGCGTCAACCTGCGACTTGAATAACCACGGGAGCATATGGCTAATATGTCCCCAGCAACTTCTCCCCCGTCCCCAAGCGTGTCATGGATGGAAGCGAGCCCGGTGAGAGTGTCGCCGCTGCCGTCCTCTCCGGCGCTCCCACCGACCTCCAGGCGCGTACTGTCCGGTACGGCAACCCCCCGCATCCGACGCCGCCCCCCGTACTGACTTCTTGCAGCATCTACAAGCCCTCCAAGACAGCCACACAATCCGGCGACTGGAACGCCTCACACTGGCTGATGGACTGGGACGTCCTTCCCAAGGGCCACCGATGGGAGAACCCGCTCATGGGCTGGCAGTCGTCGGCCGACTTCATGAACGGCCACCGGATACAGTTCAAGTCCAAGGAGGATGCCATCAAGTTTGCTAACAAGCAGGGCTACGAGTACTTTGTCCAAGAGCCCAACAAGCGGAAGACCACCCCCAAGGCATATGCTAACTTGTTTACTCACCAGCCCAAGAAGCTCAAGATCGTTCTCACCAAATAAGAGTTCAAGGAGTTGGTTTTGGCAGACGTGGAATAGCATGTGTACATACTGCATTGATCTAGATTCTCAATATCTTCCTCCCGGCTCCTTCTGTTGTGATTCTGTTGTCCCTGCGTCCCTGCGTATCGCCTGGTCACTGCCATACTACCCCTCTTGGAGCGTTTGCATCTTCCGTATTCCTCATTCACGGCGAGTTTATCGACCGCCAATGCTTGGGGTTGACTCTCATATATACTTTCCTCTCCCCGTAGTCCCCTTTGCTCCTTCGTCAATCTTCTCCTTACCATTGAAATGAACCTCGCCGCTATGCCTCCTCTTTCACTAGAGGTGAAGGGCAGTGTCTCGAGACTGCCCTTCACCATGGCGCTAACACAAGAAAGAGCTGTATACAAATTTTCTGACTTGACCGTGGTCGTTGGAGAATCACCACATTCGTAATCACTGTAAGCATGTCGCATGGCTTCGCGATACCTTTTGCTAATGGCCATAGCCATATTGGACTGCAACGTAGTCACCAAGGCGATTCACAACATCCTCACCAAATGGGCCGAGGCGCGTTAGTAATGCCCCTATACGAACCGCATGAGAAACGTACTGACTTTGTACACCGGTCTTTAGATACGACACCACCTACGTCTGTAATGAAAAGGACTCGGCGGCGGCTGTAGCCATTGCAATGCACTCTGCTAAGGCGGCGGAGGCAGCCGTAAGTATTTGACTATCTCCTAGATCGACTATCACACTGACCAATCAAAGAAAGTCGCTGCCGTTAAGGTTGCTGAGGCTGCCGAAGCCAAGCTGGTTAGGAGTAAGAAGTCTCGTGGCATTCTGGCCGCGCGAAAGGCCGCTAGGGAGCAAGCCGCCGCGCAGACGGATACATACGCGTCTGAGGGCGACTCTGACACTACGGAAAAGCCCTGAAAACTTCCGCTCGCCATATCGACACATGCACATAGTCGTCCCTCGGCTCGTAGTATCCGTCTGGCGGTGCAGTTATAATGGCGTCTTGCTTCAAAAAAAAAAAGTACTTGAAGATACCCAGGCTCAGTCATAAAAAGAATGAAAGATCATGAATTCGTTACTATGTACATCCTGTCTCTGTTTACTCTGATAATTCCATCATCCTATCATTCAGACAAGTTCAACATCCTATCAGCCCTCTTGACCCTCTTCGCCTTCAATGCAGCTGCTGCCCTTATCGCCGTCTTGGTAGGGTCAAGGAACTTGGCTGCCATCTTCTCCACACCCGTAGTCAGGTTGGGATGCTCGCCGTCCGAATCGGCATCCTTGACGGGATCGAAGCCCTTAAAGTTGTCTACAAAGTACACCGGGCTCTTCATGGTGCTCTTCTTCGGCGCATAGGTGGCTATGGCAGTGTTGATGTCCTTGATTCCTTGTACGTCAGACGCAGGCCACTTCGCTGGGTCCAGAGGCAGTAGGTTAGAGAAGACGATCTGCATATTGGGGTTCTTCTTGCGCATTTGTCCGATTAAGATGTCGTACGAGGCGAGAATGTCGTTGACAGACCTCTTTCCGATGATGACGTCGTTGGTACCGAGTAGCATGATAATGACATCCGGGGGGTTTTTGTTGAGCCAGACAGTAAGGTTACCCTTTGCTACGAATTCAGCGGCCTGTTTTCCAGGGTGACCTTCGTGGTCTTGATCGATGTCGGTACCAGCGCAATTGCTCTTCTGACTACCAACGAAGTCGAAATTCGTAACACCACCAGCTCTAAGACTAGTCTGGAGATTGGCGCGCCAGCATCGCTTTGGTAGGGTTAGCAGGCGTAAGGGTTGAGTGAAAAAAGCGACGGACGTACCGAAACAATGGAAGCGCCAAAGGGCATGACCTTTACTTTATTCTGTGCGCAGACTTCGCCGGCGATGGCGAGAAGCCCGAGGGCGAGAGTGGAGAACTTGACCATGTTGTATATGGGTGATGTATAGAAGTGGTGAAGTGGTGGAGTAGTTGTATCGCAGTCGTTCGGCGAGTAATCCTGTAATTAAGAAAAGGAACTCGAGAGGCCCAAGTTCGCAGTATCAGGTATTGATAGCGGCGTGCAATGAATCCTCGGTGGCGAACTCCGTGCGCGTGAGAAGTCCTCGTCCGTTTTTTCGTTTGTTGTCGCGCTACCAGGTAAGGTATGAATTGGAAGGCGGCAGGAGCCTTGCGTGACACCGGAAGTAATGTAGACGTATATAACAGTCACCGAACTCGAGAGGTCCGTGTGAATATTCCCGTAAACGAGTATATAAATATACTGAAAAAGGAAGTGAGTCAGGAGACCAATCAATATAAGTTTACAAGATTCGAGGTACTAGTAGTAGCAGTAGTTGCTGTAGAACCTTGATCGATGCTTGCTTGTAATATCGAAATCCTGGGGAAATGGACCTACACCTTATATCCAATTCCCAGACGCTGTGTGGTGCACGCTAGATGTGATCAGACGACTGATGGTGGAGTAGCCAGCCGAAGACTGACCATTGTTTCTAGGCCTAAGCCCCTCACTCCACTCCCGCCGTCATCCATTGTGATCGTAGACTAGAGCAGAGATACAGTGACGGTGTGCGGCGTACGATGTCTTAGTCGCCGTAGCAGGAGGAAGCGGCTGTGCCTGGCTGGAGCAGGGCTGGCTGTGTGATCCCTGTCAAGGCCCTTTTGGGAATAGAGTAGTTGAAACGCCTGCTCGAATCGGCGAGACGAGGGACTAGAATGTATGCCCAGAATACACTGAGCAGCTCGCGGGACAGTGAGTGTTGTCATCAACGCGATGAACGGTGTGCATCTCTTCATGCTATACGCTCAGTAGCAGAGGACGTGAGATTTAGCATAGACAACAACAGAGACAACACGTAGCCTTCACCAATTCCATGTCCACTTACAAGCCTCAATCTTTCATAAGTTCCTCCAAATTGAGTCTGCAGGGTCTCATAAGTCTAGCCCTGCCGTCATAGATTGCCAGGAAGCACCATGCGTGCAACGCCATTCTAACCAGATGAGAAAGCTTGCGTGTCGGCAGATGAGCTTAGTATGGCTGCAGGGCGCACAAGCGTGCAAAAAGGCTGACAGCAAGCGCAAGACCAAGCAAAGATGTGCTCAAGGTTGTGGTAGGAGGAGGGCCTCCCATTGGTCTTTGCGACGTTGCGCTGCTACCACTTGGCTGAGAGCGGGAGAAGCAAGGATGAACTGGAAACACATCTGCGGTCGACAGGAAACGTGCATGACACTCTGCTTGACAGAACGGCCGCTCCGCCATGCAACAGCGGAGATGGAAACCTACAATGACATCGGACGACAGACTAGATTCCTCGAGACCACAATTTCTAGGCCAAATCATTCAAGCGCCATCGTATTCAAGCAAGCCATTCGCGCGCTCGACGTCGTGGTGCAGTACGTCGTCCCACGAGACTGTCCGTACCATGGAATGAGGTTGAGACCCAAATCGCAGATAACTCCGCGCAATACGATACGATACAACGATATCCGGCCAGCTTCATCGGCGGCGTACGGCATCGTGGTGTTGATCGACCTTTGGTCAGAGACGATGGGGTGTGGGGTCGTGACGGGACAAGATCAACCTCCGTGGCTTAAGCCAGTTCGCTAAACACAGTTGCAATACATCCTCTATGCCCGAAAAGGAAGTAAAGCGTCCCCACGTGCTACAACCTGCATTTGCGCGCAGAAGTGGCAAAGTTCACATAATTGGTGTTTTACAGACGATAGCACTGTTGTCTGGCGGTCTGCACACATCATGGTGTGGTTGCACCAGCGCTCCCGACGACGATCTTGCGAACTTGCGGCAGCCAGCCGTCTTCAAGCTATCCGTGTATCCGAGATTCGCTCTCCTCCGTCCCAAAAACACCAACACCATAACCGACACCAAGATCGTCTCCAGCCAACCTTGCGCTTGGACCGCGGAGTAGACCGCACCCAGAACGACACTAGACGGCCGCTCCGCTGGCAACAGCGCGCCATCGCTTATTCCTGGCAACCGGGCGTCCGGGCTCGCCCGAACGGTCAAATATAGAAGACGCGTTTCGCTTTCGTATCGTAGACAGGACTTTGGTTCTGTATCGGCGTACTGCAGTTTTGGGGTCACTTATACAAGTCTCGTGGGCAGGTACACTATGCAGGGACTCTATCATGTGTCTGGAACACTGCAATGATGAATTGGTACAGAGCCCGGCTGACCTACATACGCAAGAGGTACATACTGTCGGGACACGACTGTTCAGACTAAAGTATCGGATCGTGATTCGAAGCCGAAGACGATCTTCATTGTGCAAGAACGTCATGGGAAATTAGAGTTTAGGTGAGCAAAACCCATACGAGCTCGAGGAAGGATGAGATCGGCCATACGAAAACCTCCGAACGAGCGGAGATAATTTGCAGCATGACATTTCTCCAACATGCGATCAGCACTGCAAGGTGACCCATGATGTGGTTCCTAGGCTTGCAACGTCGTCCTTCCATGCAGATCTCCTAATCCTTCACGGCTGCGCCGCAACAGCGCACCTGAGGCGTCCATTACAGACTATATTCCTCATAAGCACTATGCAATTGCAGAAGTAAGAGCATGCGTCCTTTTTGAGAAGATTTCATTTATATGCCAAAAGCATGTTACTAATGAGAGATCAACATAGGCTGAAACGCCTATATTCCATCACCTCCGATCTGACATTGTAGACAGCCCACTAACACCATCACCGGAACACGGCATATACAGAACGCTGTCAACCTTCTATGACGGTACAGGAAATGCAGCAAGTTTGCACGTGATATCGGCGAGTAGCATGAAGCGTTCGTATTTGAAGGGCGCCATAACAAACTTTGGCTTGTGCTGTACTAACATGACGTAGACGGAGACATACGTACAGTATTTCTTAGTTGGCGATCTGTTTCGCTATGCGAGACCATAGAAGGCATATGGAGAGTCTCTCTGGTCCTGCATACTGGACTGTATCGGCGATGCCATCAAGGTCGATCAACTACACTGGATATAGCATGTATCCAGATTTGACTAGAGGACGTCTTCTATGCTCTATACGTTCTTTGCCAAAGACTTAGGTCGCATTCTGGATGAACACAACTTGACTACGAAACGTTAAGAAACTGGCCGGCTTTGTGCAGTGCTTCGCTGTACGTTAAAACATAGTACTTTGTGACTACACACTCCTCCCATGCCTGCAGACAATGAGCAGGAAGTGAGCTAAGCTTAAGTCATACATATATGATCTGTGCCGGAAATGGCTTGTGGAATGCATAGTATATATGGTGAGGACAAGAAACGGAACGTAAGGCAGTTGCAAGTGTACATTTAGTTATATAGCGGTACAGCTGTCAGCAAGCATGACAATGCAATTAGAGCTGATCCTTGGAGAAGGAAGTTGATACAGCTGATAGAAACACTATGTGAGGCGACCGACTCGACCTCTTGGTATGTGGCGCGCTGACAGGCCTACCACTCTGACCCTCAGATTTCGCTTACAGAGTCGGAGTCGAGTACCGAATCCTGGGTCTCCGCTTTTGCTTCAGCATGTGCAGGACCTGGGGGCAAGTGTCCACCAGATATGAGGATATTCATGTAATCTACCGGGCCATCTTTCTGTACTTCGCAGGTGCCATGACTTCCATCCAGCCCATATGACTGCGGAGCGGTGTCAGAATAGAGAGCCTCAGAGACAAGGGCACGGTGATCTGCCAGCTGCTGCTCATCGCTTGACTGTAGATACTGCGCAGACGGCATGATAGACATGCCACCGTAGTCATCAGATCCCGGCTCAAGGCCTGCGTTGCTCATGTTTTCCTTGTTGTCATGTTCGTAATTGAGTGGTGATGCTTCCATAGCTTCGCGTGCTAACTGATCTTCGAGCTTCTCGTGGAAGATCTCAAACGCCTGATCTGAAAGAGTGGGCCAATAATCCCGATCATGGTTAAGGTATCTCTTTCCGGGAGGGTAGTGCCAGACATCCATACCTTCCCGGCGCCGAATGCAATGGTCAGGGAGACTGTTAACAAGCGAAGAATGTGAAGACGTCGTAGTGTCAATGGCTGCACACGATCAGTTGAAGATTGCATGAGGACATTGTAACTGCATATACGTACTGTGCTTGGTAGCTCCACCAGTCTCCACACTATGCATTATGGGCACACCACTGGAGTCTAGGCTATCAGAATTACCAAGGTTTGTGCGGCGCGATCGATCCTGGTAAGAAACTCTGGGCTTCTTTGCCATTCTAATGTCGGGTACGGAACTATCGTCGGCGTTGGTACGTTTACGAGTGATCTCCCTACGCTTGTTGCTTGGAGTCTGCTTATCGTCATCATCGCTGGATATGACTAGGTACTTGTCTTGAGGGTGTATATCCATATTGTACGATGTCTTCTGATTTGAGACCTTACGTGTGGAACGTCTTGTGCCCTCAGCAGGCAACGGCCGCAACTTGGTTTGCTTGCGTCGTTTGGCTTGCTTGCTCTGCCTTAGCGCTTCCTCATCATCCTCGCTTCGTGTATCGCTCGACTCTCCAATGCTAGCTGCAGTATCAGTTTCAGTGAAGGCGTCACTCGCATCATCAGAATCGAGTATTGGCACCTCTCCGTGGGCTGTACGACGTTTCGCTGCTTGAGAAGGCCGGATGGTATCGTCCATGGGGTGATACTTGACATCGTACACTAGCTTGCTCTGCGTTCTGTTGCGCAGATCGTACGAGGATACGGAGACGGTAGAGGTAGGTGGAGTCAAATCTGACCTCTTCGAATCGGCAAAGTTCTCAAGGTCGATATCAGACGGAAGGTTGGCGCTGCGGTCTTTCTTGGGAACCTCAGGAAGATGCTGCGAAGCATAGTCAATCTCTACCTCGGGTCGAACGAGAATAGACTTACTGGTCTCTTGGCGGGCTCTTGGAAATTTCCGCTGTTCTCGTCTGGGGTCCGAAAGACAACCTTTTCGATGTTGACTGCGCCCTTAGTATCACTAGATCCACGTCGACCAACAGTCTCGTCGGGTACGACGGAGGATTCTCTGCTGTCTTTGAGTTTTTCATTGGTCTGATGCGAGTTCGAAGCATCTTTTTGTCCTTCATCGATGTTTGCTCTCTCTGGAGCAGTCACCTGCGTCGCATTAGTAATGAGAGTGAAGGTAGAAAACAAAGGATTCACTTACAGCGCTACTTCGCACAGCATTTCCACCCGCCATTTGAGCCTCTTCTAAGTAGGCAGAAAACTTAAACGAAGTGATTGTATTCCCTTGTGTAGAAGCCAGTCAGGCCCACCGATAGTAGGGTCGTGTTAAAGAAGGTGAATGGAGCTTATGTGAGTGTAGCGGTAGAGAGCATCAGGCGCGTGCAGAAATGTTAAGCATCAGAAGGCAGTTGCATTGAGTGGAGCACCTTGCGTTTCGTTTTTGTTCCTTCCTCAAGTGCGCATTTAGCATTGGGCAGGAGCGAGGAAGTGACAACAACGGAAAGCACTGATCATGTACCACGAGGTCAAAAATATTGGCTTAATGAGAGAACAGCCCGCAGCTAGACGAATAACTATAATGCAAGCAGGATGAGAATGAAGTACGCGACTTCAGGCCTCGATCGTGTGACAACGGTGATTAATATAATGTAAACAAAGCACAAAAGATGTCAGTGAATATACACTGCTCTCTCAACTGTAAGCACAAAGAGCTTCAGGTCAGGTTGACTCCGCTGAACAATAGCAGCAACAATATCTCGCTATAAGACGCCGATGCACAATAATTGCTTGATGATGTATGTGGATATGATACCCTTTCCCCCTTTTTCATCCCCAGCATGACGTGAGAAACAGTGGCTCGCTTGCTCACTTAGTAACATGAGAACGCCGTACCAAAAGCAGTGACTGAGACGAGAATCGCTTAAACGCATGGAAAAATAACGAATGAATGGGACGTGAAGGTTTAGTCTCGCCGGTTGAGTCGTGATGTTAGTCGGACAGGCGGCAGTACGAAATCGTCATCGTCATCCTCTTCATCAACCTCGATGTCGACGATTTTTAAGGGCTGAGGCGCACTGGAGGATTCTTGTGGTAGCATCGTCTTCGGTTGGATTCCTAACTCAGGTAATGGCAGTGCGGCTTGTGGTGTGTCTTTTCGATGTAGTATTTCGGGTTCTAGGGATGACATGGATGTGTCGGAGGTCTCGTGTGCCTGCAGCTCAGGTGGATGCTGTGACTTGCGTGCGTTACACTTCTCAACCTCGGCCTTTGCGATCTCTAGCATAGCCTCGAAGTTCTTCCGTACTCCTTCCAACTCTTTCCTGCAGTCGCCGTCACGTAGTGTAAGATGCGCTGCCCTTTCACACGACTCTTGGGCTTGTTCCAGTGTCTTATCAGAGGTGTCGAATAGCGCCGCAGGTGTCTTTACTCCGCTGCTCACACCGAGCCGCCCGCTTCTCCTAGCTGCTGACCTCGCGCGTAGTGATGACATACGTGCTCGGTAATTGATCTTGGATAGATCGACCTCTTCATCATCATCATCATCATCATCGTCGTCGGCATCGTCGTCCTCTTCACTCGACTCTGCCTGAGTAGCCATCTCGTTCATCCGAGCCTCCATCTTGGCCTTCCTCAGCAAATTGCGCCCTGTTCCTATTGCGCGCACCAGCAGCTCGAAAGACTTCTGCATATCTCCATCGTAGCTCACAACGACCATTGTGCGAGGGCGATGGCGCGAGGGGCCTGACACGCGACCGGATGAGACGGAGAGGGACTTGCGCTTGCGGCTACCCACAGGGTCTGTCGGGGTTGCATTCGAAGGCGCTGCGTCCTCGGCGATGGCATCTAGTGCTGGTCGTATGGACGCGGTCGAGTCTGTCCTCCGCTTTCCGAATGGCGACTGTGACATGGGCACTTTTGTGTTGTCATTCTGCATGGCCGTGACCCTCTCTTCAACGCTGGCGATATCCTGAAGCCATTGCGGTATGCTGTCCTGGAGGTACGTGAACGACTTCTCGATGTCAGACATGGCGGGCGTCTTGGTTGGCGAAGATCCGAGTTCCGGCGTAGGGCAGCAGGGGTGATGGTGGCAGGGAATGGTGCAGACGGACGATTGCATGCAACTGCTACGATATCGATATGAGCGTCGACCAGCGAGCAACGAGGCAGGTGTGCAGAGTGGCAGTGGAAAGAGGATATGGTCGGGGTAATTGCGCGTCCAGCGGTCGGCGGAGAAATAGTGGCAGACGATCAGCGATTACTTATGGAGAGGGACGGGCTGGCGAGCAGGGGAATGCGCCTGATATGAGATGCGATCAGCGGGGCCAGACTGAACTTTGTCCTGTCTACCGACATGCAGCGCGGGACGACAGAGGTACAAATCCACGGCAGTGCATTGCATCAAGAAGAAAGAGGGGGCAGCCAGAAAGCAAAGACACGGACTTGCATCGGTGCGGGTGCAAGGTGCAAGGAAGATACTCCGCTCTGAACAGGTATGGGGTACCGCAGCAACGGTTCCGTACCCTTGGCGGTGATCGAACAGGGCGCTCGGCCTTATTAGGGACGAGTCGCAAGATTACAAGATTCAATTGCCTCGCTCCTGAGCATTGTACGGCGGAGTTTGTCGTTGCGCTGCCACATGGCCGACCGAGTACAAGATCGATGCCATTGTCATGGTGTTTCGCATGGCTCCACGACGATAACGCATCTACATACCGAACTTGCCGTGACCCGCTAGGCGCGCATGGGATCGCTTCTTAGTCCTTTGCGCTTTGCACATGATCTCCCTCCATGTCGCGGCTCGCTCCACTCCTCCAGTTGCGATGACAGCTCGAATCACCGCCTACACCTGCCGCCGGCCTAACGGTTGCCAGCTCACCCCCCATTCATCGATTTGGCGATGGCGCGCATGGAACTTCCGCCCGGCGGCTATTACTCCCAATAAGCACCAGTGCGGCGTAGCTACACCCGTGCCGCAGCGCCTCAGCCGGATCGAAGCCGTGGCGCCCTTTGTGTTCTTTTCAACCTGCGAATAACATACCAGAAGTGGTAGTTCAAACGACCAAGGAGTGAATGCAGACATCCATGCCGTCCGTATCCAATCGTCCGCACAGTGCACCTATGTGACGGAGACTTTTTCCATAATCTTGTTTCCGTGTAAGATGATGATTTGCTGTGCACAGTCCAGTGACCGACCTGCTGTGCTCGCGAACGATGCCAGCCTAGGAAGGCGGGTGCGCGCACCTGACCCGTTGATATGCACCAATGCCAGTGGATCTCCAACTGTCGAAGTTTACCACACAAACAGCTGTAGCGTGAACGTTAACATACGTAGCATTATTTAGATTAGCGTTCCGGGATCATCCTAGGCTGCCGACGATTCTTTACGCATCGATTTCCCGTTGGGGTAACCACGCGACAGAAATAGTATGCGGATAAGGGGCCTGCTCAACACACGTTTCGTTTCGCACCTCTGCTTTTCTGATGTCGTCAGACCAGAACGCTGTGACTCACGAAACTCGCGTCCAAGTCTAATCCAACGTACTTGAACACGAAGAAATGTGCAGCGAGCAGCTTGTTCGATGGAACTAATGTTGAGCCAGAAAATCCCACGTTCCGATTTGAAGCACGCTCAACAAATTTGCAACCTTTAGGCGACTGTTCAAACCAACAAGGGCCACGGTCGTGGTCGCCGACCTGAGCCACGCTGTGGGGAAGACTGCATCGAAACCATGCATGTGCAGCGAGCAAGGGTCGCTGCGACAAACGAGTTACACAACAACAATGCATACACTCGGCCCTACGAAGGAATCGAATAACGTCAGGGAACTCTGTGGTATTGTTTCGAACATTCGGTTGCCAATTTGTTTTCAATTGTCCGTTCATGCGTACTCATAAACACCTATTCGCAGCGCTTCTAAGGCCATAGCTCCTCAGTCCTCCATCCGGCGTTGGCCTTTGCGCTCTCGTCAAATGTATATCTAAATCTCCGTGCCTTTTCAGGGTTGCTGAGATCAGTCTGCTCCACCGAGTCTGGTACGATGACCACGAGGCGGAAATTCTTGCGTGCAACAGGGTCCTTCAAGTCATCCACCTTGGACCCAAGTGCGAGGTTCTTGTCGTCGAAAGGTTTGGATGTAGGCTGACCAGGCGGGGGGTTCTTGAATGAGCCTGTGAATTCGCGTTAGAGTCTTCCAGAGCTTCAAACATAGCAACATTTCCCACCTTTGATACCGGGACTTTGGTTGCCAAAGAATCCTGTCAGCTCCCTCTGCCAACTGAACTGGTCTTCCTTGCCCTCATCAACAATTCTCATCCTCTTTCCCACCTCGCTCTTGACAGTCCTCACACCACTGCTCTCCTCATCACCCTCGATATCGTCGGCGATGACGAATGCCCTTCCCTTGATTCTCCATTGTGTGCCAGTATCAGCGTTCCAGTAAACAGCCTCCACAGGGCCTCCACCACCACTACCCTGTATTTGAGCATTGCTCTCTGCGTGTCCGGCACCCGTTGCGAATATCTGTCCCACCTTCTCCATGCGAACATCTGTTGTGAATGTAGGACAATCGCTCTGATAGACTTGAGGGTTGCGTTCCGCATCGTTGTGCTTGTTCTCTGGTAGCTCAGCCCAGAAGCCGCGGTGGATGCAGTATCGCACGCGTGGCACGAAAGGGGTGGGTGAGCCCTTGGGTGCTGAATCGAGTGTTCCGAGAACAAACTCGGGCGACTTCATCTTGGAGATATGCTCGCTGAACATCGACTTCCATGGCGCGGGCGGGAGGGCCGATGCGGAGGGTGCTGTAGTAGACATAGTGCGTAGGAATCGCGAAAGGCGACGGGATGCTGTGCGTGAAGCTATGGTTGCTACTGTGAGAGAACAATTGATTGATTGCGATGCGTTTGAAGCAGTTAAGAGTTGCGAAGCATCAGACTATTTGATGTTGTCTAAGAATGATGTCGTCATCAACCAGATCTGTACCTGCCAAATCGTGCAGATTCAATGAGGTCAGTAGCCTCTGTATGGCTTAGTGCAAGTGCCAGTGCGGCTCTTGACCCGCCTTTCGCAGAGAAGCTTAGAATGTTGACACGGTTTTATGGTTGTACAAATTACGAAGAAGTAGATGTTGGCGAAGCACATACTTCCCCGGTTCTGCGGGGCACCCGAGGAGGGACCGAATCTGTCATCACCAACAGTGCGATTCCAGAACACAGACAATCTCATGCAGAGGACCAGCAAGCTGGATGATACACGAAGACAAAACTAAGTGGATCAGAATCGGATATAGCACGCATGTCAATGAGGAGGATTTCCCTTTGAACTAAGCCAACCGTATCGTATAACATCACAGCGCCACGGAGCCGTTCAACAAGTCAAGATCTGTGTACAACATTACATCCGGTACGGTGGGCGTATGAAGTCGTTCAAGTCGGCGACCTGAGCAACGTCGCTTCGCGAGATTTGCAGGAGTTTGCTGCATCAATTACAGGGCATTTACCGTTGCAAAACGGCCGAATCATTCGGCCGGTATGAATGGAATATCTGTCATTGGAAATGCCTGGGGACAGCTTGAATGATTGTACACTACACTATGCTCGACTTTCGCACTGTCCAGACAAAACTTCAGGAACATTCCCGTCTTCATCGTGACATACATGGAAATATATTAGCAAGCGTGTCTGTCTATGGACATCTCAAGCTTTCTTGAAAAAACTGGCAATGCTCCCCTGTCCTTTCTTGCCTGCGTTCTTTCCTTTCGCTGAGCTTGATGGTTTGGCAGATGCTGGCTTGGCCTTCTTTGTCGTGGGTTCCTCTTCGGAGAAGGACTCCCAGACGGCTTCTTCCTTAGTTACTGTGCGCAATTAGTTGGAAGGCTTTGCGGACGCTTTGACTACTAACCGAGATAGCCATCTTCGTCCTTGACCTTCTTCTTCTTCATCACTCTTCTTCGGCCGCGCCTACGACCGTTCGTAACGGTAACTGTAGCTTCGCCCTCAGCTGGCTCAGTTGTATCCGTGGCCGCTGTAGAGGGTGCTTCTGGCTGTGAATCTGCTGTGGCTGGGGCATCGGGCATTTCCTCGTCTACGAACGTTAGACGACAAAAGCCACCTCAGCTCTGAGGACTTACCATCGTCTTCCATCATCTTGCGTAGCCTTTCGGCTCGCTCTTCTCGAGCTTTGCGGGCTGCTTCATTCTTCTCCTCGTCGATCTTGATTTCAGGTTCGTCATCGGGATCGCCTTCGTCTTCGGACATGCCTTGCATGGGTTCTAGACAAGTTAGTCGTATACAGTCAGAAACGACGACATGTTTACGCACCATACTCAACCAGAGCCGGCGTAGACTCCTGCGACTTCTCTGCTTCTTTTGCTTTTGGCTTAGCCTTTGCAAAGGATTTGAACAAATCACCCGTTGCCTTGTCTTTCTTCGCCCCGGACTTTGAATCGCCCCTCTTGAGTGTAGTGGAGCCGGCAGAGGGTTGTGGTGTTGAACGATCGGATGTGTTATCTTCAGATGCGCTTCCTCTCCTTGTAGATGTCGAGCTCTCCTTTCCTTTCATGCTTAGGCTTATTGCAGCTTTTGTGACAGGCATCATAACGGAGTTCGTAGCGGGCTTGGATGAAGCAGTAGAAGGGGCATACTTTGCAGTCCTTTTCTACAAACAAATTAGCGTGTCCAAGTATATGTGACTAGTTTTCATACCTTGATGTGTTGGTTTCGTATTGAACCATACACTCTCCATCGCTCCAGAGGATCTTCGTCTGTATACTCTGCTACAACCTCGTGGTTGCACAAAGACAGAATGCTAAGCTGTGCCTGCTTTAGTAGAAGCCTTGAAGTGTACGGGGGCCTCATACCTTAAGCGCACCAGCCTCCAGACTATATATATGAGCCGTGGATCCATCCTCAAGCTCTGATCGGGTCTCTGTGCAGGCCGTCAGCGAAGTCTCGCGGTCATCATGTACCGAGACGCACTTTCCAAATCGGTCTCTGGCACCAGCAGAATCCGGGTTTCCTTTACACCTTCAGGCGCGGGCGTCTCTTCGTCGTCTGAGTCACTGATATAATCGGGGTCTCCAGGCCCTTGTAGATGTGGCTTGGAGCTCATAGTGGGCGGATTGCGCTTGTCAGCGTCTTCGCCTTTCCTTGCGGGGGCGCCATTGGTCCTCTCAGTCCGTTTCGGTGTACCAACGACAAGGTAGGTGGCGTGGACAGAATTCGGTTTTCGCGCATTTTGATATTGATGGAACTCGAAGAGCATCCTGCATCATGTAAGCTCACATTTGAACAGTTGCAAAGGGCTGCACTGACCGCTTCGCTGTATTGACATTGGTTTTGAGTACTCTGCTGAGCAGCCTGTAGGTGATAGGCTTTTGTTCTGTAATTACTCTCGCGACAAGATAGTCCCTGTAGTTGTCTTCCGCCATTGTGCGTGTTGTTGTGACTGACGTAGTTGCGCGGCCGTTGTTCGTGGAAGAAGTTGTGAAAGCGCGTCGCGGGGGTTGACTCAGGACCACGCGTCGTGCTTGCCCATGATGACCAAAAATGACTCGGGCGACAAGGCACCCATCGTCATCTGCAAATTGAATCACAACTTCACCCTGAGTCACGATGAGTGCCGGAGAGGACGACGACCTGAAATTGCAGCGAGCTTCTGCATCGCTCCTTTCAGATTTCGAGAGGCTACTGCCACGACTGCTGCGAAAACGACAGCATGGCGCGACCCTCGGTCCCCTCCGTCAACATGTCAGAGCAACTGATATGCACAAAGCATGCAGCTTGGTATGAGTTCTGCATCGTTATATCATCGCAAGATGCTGAACTCCACTAGGTCGAGCCATTTCAGGAGGATCCACAGATCCTAGACACCCATCTGAAAACCTTCATTCCTCCCCTAGTTGCTGCCTATCTGGAAGCGATATCAGTGAGCGCCAAAGAAGAGCCATCACAAGGCTTCATCACTCTTCCGCATGCCATATGCTCTGTATTGAATACCTTTTGTAAGGTTCGAGGCGAGAAGGTCATCAAAGGATTCTTCAACAATGAGCCGCGTTATCTCGAACCAATCTTGAGGGAGTTGGAGGCCAGCGAAGATCCCAGGTCCGAGAACGATGATTCCATACAGCCTTTAGCGGTTCAGCCATGGATACAGCGCTATGTGCTCTTGTTGTGGCTCTCACAGCTACTCTTAGCGCCCTTTCCCTTGGAGTCTATGTCTGGGCTGCAAGTTTCTGCAGAAGCGCCAGTAGCTGTAGGGCTGAGGCTGCCGGCAGAATTGCCTGGCGTGACTCTCCGAGTGCTCTCGGTATGTATGTCAGGCCTTCGCTCTCCTACAAAGGAGAGGGCTGCCGCTGCAAGTCTTTTAGTGAGAACGTGTGTGCGACCAGACATGCAAAAGCTAGGTTTACTGGATGCCATGGTGCAATGGTCGCTATCCTTTTTCACAGATATCAACGGCGAGAGAACCGATATACACCAGTGTCTTGGTGTACTGTCGTTCTTATCCGGTCTTCTAGCATCCGCTACAAACGAGGAACTAGGCCCTTTCCTCGCTGCCATCTATCTGTCATGCAGGAAGATCCTGGACCAAGAGAGTCTTGCATTTGTTAGATCGTCAGCTGTTGCGCGCAAACTAGTCGTGAAGAGTTTGCGTAACACCGTGCTACATTGCCTCCAAGCAACGTCAGTCCTTCCTGGTCTTGACTCAACAGTGGTATTGGAAGAGGTCATCGAATACCTTCTCGAAGCACTTGCAGATGGCGATACACCGGTCAGATATGGTGCCAGCAAAGCGCTTAGTATCATCACCCTTAAATTGGATGCAGACATGGCCAGCGAAGTGGTTGAAGCGATACTTTCCTCTCTCACAGAGAATATCTACTGGCAGGGCTCCAGACGGAATCTGAATGGTGTCAACCCACTTCGATGGCACGGGTTAACCTTAACGCTATCGCAATTACTCTATCGCAAAGCGATCTCTACCGGCCATTTGTCGGAAGTACTCAACGCCCTTCTGCTGTCCCTCGGATTCGAGCAGCGCTCACCAACTGGAGGATCTATTGGTACCAATGTACGTGATGCAGCTTGCTTCGGTATCTGGGCACTCTCTCGCCGCTACCCTACAACCGACCTCCTGGCAGTGGAGACCGCTTCAATCAAAGCATCTGAGCACCTCAAGTCGTTACACGTCCCTCAAGTGTTGGCCATTGAGTTGGTTGTGGCTGCATGTCTTGACCCAGCAGGTAATATCAGAAGAGGATCATCAGCTGCGCTTCAGGAACTCATCGGTCGCCACCCCAACACGATAGAAGAGGGCATACCGCTCGTACAGATCGTTGACTTCCATGCTGTCGGGCTCCGTCAACGAGCAATGTCTGATGTGGCTATCAAGGCGGGAGGGTTGTATTCACTGTACTGGGATGCTCTCTTCAGCGGTCTGCTAGATTGGAGGGGAACTGGGTCGTTGGACTCTGACTCACGCCTCTTTGCAGCAGACGCTATAGGCTCTCTATCCAAGGCTCGGCCTCCTGTGGTGGTACAAGAAATGTCGATTCAAGTCCGCAAAAAGCTCGCGGCATTGCGGCCTCGCGAGGTTGAAGAGCGCCAAGGATTGGTGACTGCACTTGCGGCTCTCATTGACACTGCAGGATTGTCTCACGCCAAGAGAGCACATGAGAACTCACATGCGCCCTTGATGGAGCTCTGGACATTGTTCGCCAGCGAATTAAAGCTCGAAGACAAAGCGTTCACATCACCAGCGCTACGGCCTCAGTTCACAGCATCATCAGTATGCACATTCATTGGAGCGATTGCAAGATTTACCCTTGGGTATCCCAGTGAGCTCTGGCCTTCTAGCTTGCCAGCAAATCACGTTTGTGACCTATTGAATCTTTGTCTGGCTCGTCATGAGGAGCCAGTCTTGAATGCTATCGCTGCTGCTATTCCAGCAATAGTTTCATTACTAATTGGGACACCTGGGTTTAAAACGGTCGAAGTAGTAGTATCGTGGCTAGATCGATTGGAAAATGAGGCATCTTACAATGGGCTGCGATGTTCTGGACATGCTATCGCCCTCGGGGCTACACATGGTAGTTTGATCAGTTTAGCAGCCCATGCCGAAAAGCAACTCCTTCAACGACGAATAGTGAAGGTACTCACGTTTAGATGCACTCCAGCTGTAGCAATCGAGGCTCGAACAGTGGCATTGCGAGCCTTGGGTTGCTTGCTTAGCAGTCAGACTTCGCGACCAGCTCAGCTTGCTTCAGATGTACAAGATCAGATTGCAAGCGCCTTGCATATTGCATTGAATGACTATACCATCACCGAGCGGGGAGATGTCGGGTCACTTGTTCGACTTGAGGCCTTGAAAACTGGCCAGTTGGCTTGGACATGTGATTTACTCACCGGAAGACGCAACGAGCGCGAGTACGACATCTTTGCCGACATAACTCGGTTATCTCTGGAGAAGCTGGACAAAATGCGCATGATCGCCTATCAAGTTCTCCAGCAAAGGGAAAATAACAATGAGGTCATACACAATGTCTCTTCCGAGGCTTACTTCCTGAGCGCACTAGGTGTATTAGCGGTAGACCCCTCGATCAGGGACGCCATCTGTGTTGGATTTGTGAGTTCTGCGGGCATGGGCTCTGAGTCTGTTGTGCAGAATTCGCGGGCAGCTTTGCTGGATTTTGTCGCCATACTTCCAAACGAAGACTTATCGGACGATCCGCGGTTCACCTTGGTCGACTTTGCAAACTGCTTTCTGACGCTCCTCAAGGAAAACATCACCAATGATAGGGTTTTGCTTCCACTACTAGAGGTGATATCCTTCTTGTTCGACATGCAGGTTATGCAGCGTCTGCAGTCGACGCCTTTCAAGTAAGGGCTTGTCTATCGTATCATGTCTGCAGATCAGCTAACAAGTCCAGCTTCCGAGTTCTCCTTTCCTATACTCAAAAGGCCCACTTCAAGTCTACGCACATGCAAAAGCTTCATCTCGCATTGGACGTGTATCGTGGCTTGGGAGACATAGCACTGACAAGGACCGATACTCTCTCCAAGGTCGTGAGCATGCTTTTACATCCGTTCCCAAAGGTACGAGCAACATGTTAACGACGTTGCTTTCGTGCTGACAGTGGTATAGGTACGAATTGCAGCCGCCGAGACTCTCTGGTACTTGACACATGAGGGAGGGTTGAAGCGCCATGATTGGAGTCTACCGTCAAAGAGCTTAAAGCCTGCCGTAGAAGAGATCAAGACAATCTTGACTACAGTTCAGGTCTAAGGATCCTTTTGAATGACGGATATACGGAATAGGCTGCTCTGAAGTAGTGTTGGTGTGGTCTTTGCGTTGCAGCCCGATATGCACTAGATAAGTTGTAGAGTCATACGCAGTGGTGTGATAGGTACTACTACTACAAGGGACAGACATGGAGGGGCAATTCAAGACAGATGACAGCATCGACAGGCGAGCTTGCCTGGACCCCACGACAAGATTCCCCCAGGTGGCCATGATGACTGCTTCAGATTCAGAGTGACAGCTGCATTGACGCACCTGTGATATGCCGTAGGATCATAGACGGCTACTTGCTATCGTGCGTGCTGCGGAGCTGGGTGGGATGGCGGGGTGTCATGCCGTGATTCCCCTGCTCGCTTATTGGCTCCTTCCCGCACACGAGACAAAACGCGTGCGCACATGGGAGGTTTGTTTACTGACCAGATGGCCTGCTTGCCCCGTGCAAGTCCGTTATAACGCTGTTCTCAGCCACCTACACCCTCCCGTTACTGTGCAGACTATTGAAAAGACTCGTTTTTGCATGTTTGCACGCGCTTTTTTGCTCTTCACCGCCCGTACATCGCGAAAATTGGTCGGGCCTGCCCCATCGGCTAGCTGGGGGAGCTCTGCGGTCCGTGACATCATTGCAGGCTCCGAGGTATGTAGGCCGAAGATTTTTCCGTACCATCTCGAGCGTTTAGTTTCTCAGTTGCGAAGAGTACAAGAAGCCACTGTCCCCTTGTCTGGTTGGCTGACGTCTGATTGTACTTCTCCAGGCTCCTGTGCGTGAGCTGTCCTGACTCAGGGCGGAGATCGTTGTTCCTGCGACTCGCCAAGCTGAGCCATCCCTGTCGCCGTGTCCCTTCGAGAGCTTCAAAGAGTTCGGGCGCGTCACAAAGATATTCTACATTCACCTTCACCGGCCACGACCTTCACCAACTTGGCGTGGCCGGCACAGCCCTCACTGCAATAGCAACTGTCGCACCTAAGCTCAACCCTCATCCATGACCCCGTCACCCCACACCCGTGCCTTCCTCATTGCATTACACCGACTTCTCCTGTCCAACACCCACGCTAGATACACCTGTCAATATGGCTACCCGAAGACAACGGGCCAACTCGCCTGAATTTCCCATACTCGAGGCCAATGCCCTGTATGCCAGCCAGATCCGTGGCGATGGTGAGCTTAGTTCCCCATATCTCCCATGTTCAAGGCTGACTTTGCCCAAGGCAACTGTCTATTCAACGCCCTATCTGACCAGCTCTACGGCACCCAAGACATGCACGAGGTGCTACGCACTACCACTATAGAGCATATGAAAGATAGCGCAGACTTCTACCGCCAGTACATGGCCTGCAATAACGTACGGCGGAATCCTAAACGCAAGACTGCTGCTGCCGCTGCGAAGCGTATTGACACAACATACTACACTGAGGAGCAGCTGCAACAACAGTTTGAAGAGCATGTCGAGAAGATGGGCCAGCCCGGCGAGTGGGCCGACAACATGGAAGTCTCAGCATTTGCCTCTGCCCTCAATGTCCATGTCCGCCTCTGGCAGGCTGACTACACCTACCTTTTTTCACCCCGCACATACTACACGTCAAATGATGATCTGGCTGCTGAGGACAGCCGCCAGACACTTCACATTGCCTATCACGTAAGCCACGCCACCACTATCCCGACGACGCAGTACTGACGCACCATAGACTTGGGAGCATTACTCTTCCGTCCGCAACATCGCCGGACCTCACACTGGGCCACCTGATGTCAACGTTGTGCCACGGGTCGTCTCAAAGAAGCGACCTAGTCCTAGCGTCGATGGCGACGATGACGATCAGCGTCGGCGCTCTCGAAAGCGTCGCTCACCTATGCCACTCTTTGACTCTGATTCCACACCAGAGGGCACTGAGAGCTCATCAGACGAATCAAATGGATTCGCAGCCTCGCAGCAGTCCAACATTGAAATCCCTCCACCAGAGCCGGTGAAGCCTGTCAGGCTCACCATCAAGCTCCGCGGTCTCCGCACCTCAGACACTTCCTCCCCTACTCCATCCTGCACCACATCCCGTGCACCTACACCAGCACCTACAATTGCATCACCACCTACACTGATCCCATCAGAGCCTAAGAAAACGGCTTCCGCAGAACCCACGAGTGCTGCAGTGGCAGAGACCACACCCGCTGTTACCGCTTTATAGGTACGGTAGCATGATAGTTTACGACGGACAATGGTTCACGGTTCACATTGACGACGCTGATGATGATACCCCAGCATAACATTGGGCGCTTATTCTTCCCGGGTTATTTCCTTTTTCCTTCTTTGCATAGCATACGAGCATTGGCAGGGGCTGTCTGTTACACATCGTTGCATATGCCAGCATGACTGACGGGTGCCAAAGTGCTTGGGCCGCGCTCTGATCACTGGCTTTGGCGTTTTGGGGGTTGCGCTTGCGTTGCCGAACGAATGATGATAGGATGATCTCTGGTATATGACTGATACCTACTTGGAAATGAGAACCATTCCTCCAGTTGATTTATTGCCACTTGGTATATGTGAGACGTGTCATGTTCTGCATCTTGTGAGGCCATAAATAGTGCAATGATGACGACTGTACGTACGCATAGGTCTGATGAACAAGTCTCCAGTCGTCATGAACATTATGATCTACCGTCTATTCAAAACCCTCTCCCTTGGCATCTACCTCACCCTTCGGCCTCTCCAGAGCCGGACTTAGAGGCCCTGTCATATCGATAGTCGGCACCGTGCTTCCAATCAGACTCTTCCTGTGTAACCGTGGACTCTTGTCCAATGCCTCAGCCTCCTCTTCTACCTCGGGGCTCTGCATCCCCTCTTCGTCGCCCTCACCATGCTCACTGCCGTATCCCTGATTAGCCAACCTCAAGCCCACAATCTGTTGTCTCAACTGATCCACAAAGCGCTGCATATCCTCGAACGGCAGTCTAACTACCCCACCTTCCGCATTCTCAGCTTGGGTGTTGTACAGCCTGAGCGCGGTGTCAAGGGCGCGTTCCGCTTGTTGTGATTTGTCCAGTCTGTACCAGTTCTCACTCGCGAGGACAGCCCAGAGCGCTGCCTTTCTGCGTCTACTGCCTAGCTTGTAAATGCCCACGCCTGTCCGCACTGCGTAGCAGGCTGAAATACGTTCGGTGATGAGGGCATGACCTACCGCACCTACAAGGCCGGTCTCAAGGATGCGGGTCGCCCAGCGTGCGGCGTCGTCGGCGGCTGAGGAGCCGCGGAGGCGCAAAAGCTCAAAGCTAAGAGCGAGGGTGCGGAGAGCATAGTAAGGTGCTGCGCTACGTTGGCGGTCGGTGTAGGAATAGGATGCAGCTTCAATCCACGCATCGATATTCTCCGCCCGGTTCTTAGAGGATAATGGTGTAGGTGCCATAAGAGCGGACAAGGCTGCCATCTCAGCGGCCCCAGCGTAATGTCGCCAGGCTTTATCATTTTGGAAGTCTGTTCTTAGAATATCGTATGTACTCAACGCCAATTTCCAATCACGCAGCATGAAGCAATAATCTGCTAAACGTCGCATGATGGCCTCGGGGGCGTCAGGGCGGTAAAAGCCCTGTAGACTATCATAGTTGGAGTTTCCTGATGCAGTGGATGATGAACCTGAGGTTCGTGAGCCACCAAATGGCGTCCAGCGTTTTGATAGAGACATGAAGCGGCCTGACAAGCCGCGACGGCGGGAAAGGATCTGCTCGTTCCAAGTAGAGACGCTGCGCTCCATGTTGGGTATTATAGACTGCGTGACTAGTTCGCGGATGAAGGTGCGCAAGCTGCTAATGTCGGAATCGGGGAAGTAGGGGGTTGGATCTGTTATGTCGTCTGTGAGTTCTTGTTGATTGGTCAGTACATGACATTTACATCACACTGATGCAGTCAGACGTACCTCTCCTCTGAATCTCGGCTAGCTCTTCCCCTGCAGACATCCACTCGCAGGTCGGTAACCGTACGCTGTCATCGTCTGAAGCTATGCATTGCTGGCTCTTGAGTCGTAGTAGATGGCAATGGAGACCAAAGTGCCGTTTCATCGAATCGAATGTTTGATTGGATTTGGCGATGTCTCCCGTCTCTTCATCATGTATCAAAACGTAATATCGTAGGAAGTCATTCTCTACCCATTGGGGGAAACGAAGATCGCCATCGTGCTGCCGGTTGTAGAGTCTTCGGAGCTCTTCTATAGGGTGTGGATTCCGTGACGAGATGGCTATTATGCCGGCCACGGGATGGGAAAATGTCTCGTGAGGTACTACGGGCAACCCTGACAGTAGCCGGCGGAGGTAGAGAGTATGGAATGGTGAGGCGGTGCCATCTGTTTGGGTGGCTGTTGCGTCGCCTTTGTTCATGTAGTCTGACACGGGAGACTGTCTGTTGAACTCGGAGTACTGCAGATGGCGGTCGACGAGTTCTTCGATTTGTGAGACATGGCCTCCTGCCCGTCGTGGTCGCCCTGTGGAGCTCGAGGATGTACGCTGACCGCCCGTGTCGACGCGCAAGTCCGGGTATGCATCATCCACGCCGATGAAGCGCACACCAAAATCCTCCCAGCTCTTGCTTGCGCCGTTGCTATCTCGTATTGTGACTTTGCCGGGAACCGACTCTCCGAATGGGCGCAGCAGTTGCAGCAGCCCGCCCTCGAGCCCTTTCCCCCGTATCAGCTCCTCGGTCTGGGCGTCAGCTAAGACAGCGACGCATGGCACAAAGGCCTGTTGTATGAGCGTGCGGTACTCGTCCGATACGCCCGACGGTAGACTGTTGGGCGTCCCTGTGCCACTCAACCTTGATCCCGGTGAGAATACCGAGCCCTGTACGGTGCTCTGGGTGGGGGTTGCAGCGCCCGAGTTGGGTCGCGAGGTGGATATGCTGGTGGTGGACTCAAACAGCTTGGACAGGCTTGGATTCGAGCGGCGGTACGGAAGACTGGCGAGAGAGGAGGCGGGCGATGCGCGTTGTCTGGGTAGTATCATCGAAGCCTCCGGATCGGCTGGGTACTTTGGGGGTTTCGGCGTGGCATCTTGAGGCGGCGTCATGAGAGGCTAGGGCGATGCGCCCGCGGGGTTCTGAATGCGCGCGGAAGTTCTGAGGCAGTCGGCATGTATCCGGATTGTCGTGTGCTGGACTTGGCGGCAGTGAGGCTTTCCTCTCACCAGCTGGCCCGTTTGTAGCTGCGCGAGTGTGACGACGTTGGACGGTGCATCATTGCAGTTGCGGCCGCTGCGCTTTGTGACTGGACGAAATGCGGCATCTCCATCAACACACAACTGTCCCTCATCACGTCACATGTGCCCACAAACATAGCAAGCCCACCCGCTTCGGCCTTCTTGTCGGTCTTTACTGCCATCTACGCGAGAGGGGCACATTGCAGCCATCGTTCCGACTCACATGCATGTTGGTGATGAGTCGTGCCTCAATCTGTTCACCGCGCACATTTTCACTACTACACAAACGTGACTTCCCTGCACTGGCACCTCGCCCACTTCTGCGATATAGCCTAGTTTGCACAAATTTCTCTACTCTCACTCTGCAACTACCTCGTATGTCAAAGACGACCTCGCCATCCGAATCACAACAACCGAGCCCCAAACGGCGCAAAACCGACCGCCGCTCACCCCAATTTCTTCACCCCTACCGAACTATGGCGTCAACAGAAAATGTCGACTCTGCTCACTTGGAACTGACAGAAGTTGAGTCCAAGCTCAGACAACTTCTGCTCGACGTGGCTGCTTACATCGACCAAGCACCCTCAAGTGGAGATGTCACTGGAGTACAGGTTCCAGAAGAGCTAGTCAAGGAGAAGATTGTGCTGCGTTGGACTGGAGGCTGGGTTCGAGATAAGCTTCTGAAAGTTGGCAGCCATGATATCGATGTTGCCATCAACAAAATGACTGGCGAGCATTTTGGCTTGAAAATGCAAGAATATCTTGAGATCCCTGGCAACGCTGAGAAGCATGGTCTTGTCGAGAAAGACGATGGCCTTAGTCCACGCGACAAGACGAAGAGGATTGCACCAGGCCTGCACAAGATTGAAGCGAACCCTGAAAAGTCAAAGAACCTTGAGACTGCCACGACCAAGATTATGGGCATCGATTTGGACCTTGTCAATCTCAGGAAAGAGACTTACAACGAAGTCTCTCGTAATCCAGAGATGGAGTTTGGCACAGCCGAAGAGGACGCCATGCGGCGCGATGCTACTGTCAACGCCATGTTCTACAATCTCCACACCTGTCAAGTCGAAGACTTTACTGGACGCGGACATGAAGACATGGCTGCCAAGACCATCCGCACTCCGCTCGAGCCATATCAGACCTTCAAAGACGATCCGCTACGAGTATTGCGTCTGATCCGCTTCGCTAGCCGACTTGACTACACGATTGAGCCAGAGACTGCCAAGGCTATAGGCAATGTAGAAATACAAGAGGTCTTGAAGATCAAGATTAGTCGCGAGCGAGTTGGCATAGAGCTCGAGAAGATGCTGAGGGGTCCCAGACCACGTATGGCTCTGGAGCTCATCGATCGTTTTGGTCTCTACAGGACTGTCTTCACAGATCCTACCCGCGAACTACCTTCTGATCCGGAAACAGCCTACTTCAAGCTGGCGTACGATTTTGCTGAGTCGGCTGTCATGAAGGACGCTAGCTTGCCTTCTACTATCCCAGAGACTCTACTGAGAAACGAGGAAGAGAAATATCTGGCATGGATTTGCGCGACCATGATGCCCTGGGTCGATGCGCCAACAATACCTCACCAAAAGCCGTTACAGCGACCCTACTTTGCTGCTTATCTAGTGGCTCGCGAAGGTTTCAAAGCACCTAACAAGATCTGCGACGTCATTGCTTCTTCTTTGAGCAACAGTGAAGAAATTCGCAGCGTCGTCGCTCAATGCGCCAAAGGCCTTGGAAGACCAGACACCATCAACCCAACGAACGACGCGACTGCTAGAGATACTCTGGGCATGGCTATCCGTCGTTGGGGTTCGACATGGAGGACGCAAGTCTTTTTCAATCTTGTCTACGAGATTGTGCTCGGACGAGTGTCAAGAGATGGTAAGTACTTGCCAATCAATTACACTGAATGCTGCTAATAATCTCAAGATCTTCTTCGCTCGTATCAAAGCTTCCTTGACCGCATTGTCGAGCTCAAACTCCTCGACGTCGACACCTTCAGACCTCTTCTCAAAGGTACAGACCTTGCCAAAGCACTTGGTACCAAGCCCGGCCCTTGGATGAAAGATGCGCTCGACGTAGTCATGGCCTGGCAGCTACGCAACCCCAATGTTACCGACTCTACCGCAGCCATCGAGGCTGTGAAGGTTTCTAGGGCTGAAAAAACTGATAGTGAGCTTTCCCTTCGCCTGGCATCACACTTTCTTCAGCTTACCATCCCACCTCTCTTTCCGCAGAATAAGCCTACATCAAATGCGCTAGAAGCCTCACGGCAACCAGCCCCTTGGAAAGACTCTGTAAATCAGTATGCCTTGGATTTGCTGGGATGGACAATAAGTGTGCTGGATCCGAAGACAATAGAAGCAAAATGGCACTTGCTGATGCCCCCAATACTGAAGATGATGGATGATGTTGCAACGGAGTGGAAAGCGCGAGGCTGCCACATGCTCGGCCTGTTACTTGAGAATCTACACCAGACGGTCGTGGCGGGCGGTACGAACAAGCCAATTGCCGGCCAGGATTCCACAAAGTTCCTGCACCGCACTGGATACCACAATATCTTTGCTGAGGCTCTGCTACCCATGTTCACATATATCCCTTCTATCACACCGGAAGCCGAGTCTGTCACGCTCTTGAAAGAGGTGTTCCCCACTGTGACTATTCTTGCTCAGCTTCTTCCGGCAGACACCGACAAAGGCGACTCTCGGGAGCGTTTCTTGGATAAGATCCTTCGTGAAGGAGTCCTCTCCCCTCTAGCACATTTTCCTAGGCCGTCGTCGTACGCAGAGTTGGCCACATTGATCATGTCACACGTCCCTGTTCTACTAGGCCTCATGGGCATTGGTACAGTCAAACACCTCCCCGACCTTGTGCCCCTGCTCTCAATCATATTACAGGAGCCATTGGAATTTAGCCACAAGCCTCTCCTTCTCTCGACGTTGAAGGCATCACAGAGTGTACAGCTCAACGCATGGCCAAGGCTGCCTGCTCACAGAGGAACAATCATGATGGGGATGTGTCTGCTCTGGAGCAGATGTATAGAGCGTCAGAAAATGACAAACGGCGAAGACATCAAGCATTTGATGTCCGAAATACAGGAATCAGTGGCTATGCTTGACGCTATCATGCAGGCTGCCGAGACGGATGGACTTGGTGAAGCCTGGGAGAAGGAAAAGCAGGGCGTAATGCAGGCATCGCCTGGATTTGAGGAGCTATTCGAGAAGTGTATGACTGAGTGAGACTCGCACAGACTCTATCAATGATAAGAAGTAGAAGCCTGAAAGTAGGAAGAAGTTATCGTCTTTCTGAGTCCAAGGCATATGAAGCTAACGTATCAAGGCCAGCAATTCGTTCCGTGTGATGATCAAGTTCTTCACATCCTTGCCCGAAGAACGTGGGTTCGTGCACAGTGACGACATAATTATATGGGTACAGGCTAGGGCGTTGGAAACAGGAAGCTGTCCTGTCCTCGGAAGATGATGCCGTCCAACGCTCACCTTATCACTGGCAGTCGCGAATAGTTGCATCACCAGACAACGTCAAGTCTGCCTGCGTTGCCGTGGGGTCCGTGGCTGTGCGGGGCCACAGCTTGGCGTGAAATCGGTGTTTACACAGCCCAGATGTCAGATGGAATACGAACTCGGGGCCAAGCTACTGCAGCAGTGTGGTGTAGACAAATTACACATATTTCCGTTCAACGGGCGGACAGTCGCTTCTAGCTGTATACGATATTTCTCAATGTGGTTCCTGGGCGCTGGCAGCTCGAGTCAATAGCGGGCCGCATACCCCTGTCGGAAACGAGGATGCCATTGGACGCCTTTTTGCAACGAACGCGCGTCTTACGCTCAATAAGACGATGCTAGGAATGTGTGATATCAGCAGGATGCCTAGACATGGTAGAGGTGTTGCTTGGCCGCGCGGGTATTCGAGTGGGCAATTGCCGTGTGCATGTCAGAAAGTGTAGGACGAGGTGAGTGCTGTACAAGAAGGAAATATTGTACATGAGGCGCAAACAGTATGACGAAGATGGATTCTGGAGGCGCGGGTGAAACGCGGGGCCAATAGGGAAGGCGCAATCTGGCTATTCCGGGCACCATTTCGCTAGTGCAGGTCGCGCCTTCCTGGAGTGTCTGCCTGAGCAACTTCACGATGCGCCATGGAAAGCAGATGCAGGCTGCAGAAAGTAGTTGGCAAGCGAGCAGTTGAATGGGTCGATGCAGACAAGATGCGTACCAGTGCATACTAGCCGAGCGCGTCTGGCGCATGCAGAGTCTCGACGTAAAGTCGATCGGCAGAGCTCAACAAGCGTCCCCGGGACTCAGCCTCGTTAAGGTTGCTTAGGGCTAGGGGGTTATGTCACGGCCATTTCTTCCTGCCGCGTCCATCACACCTCGTCTTGCTCCGACACATGTCCTCTGGGCCCGTCGCGACTCTCTCTATCCACTGTTGCGGCAAACCTCGACGCCCCCATTAGCACTCGAGGGGTGCGCGACGCCTAGCTGCCACGCCTGTGCCGACACCTCTCCCAAGATCATGGCCAGAGCTTACTTCGCGTCGAATCACTACACATCCACCACGACGACTTGTCTTAGCTCTGCCCAGACCTGCACTATTACCACTACCGAGCCCTCGCCGTCGTCGCCTCCCCCGCCGACTCCATACAACCTCTCGCGACTCGTCGGCTCTCTCTCGTCCTATAAGGCCGCCGACTACGCCAACTACAAGTCCCCCAGGCTGCCAATGCCTCTCGAGCTCGCCATCTCGTCGCGAGCGCATTGGCTCAGTCGAGTCCGGTCATGTCTTCGCCTACTCATCATCGTTCTCAGCGGCGCCGTCGTCTGCATGCTCATGCACACGTTTGAAATCTACCGCGGCAACCGCTATATCGATCTGCGCAAGGGCGAGCTGCCCATGGTCTGGCCTGCCCACACCAACCTTGCGCCTTCTATTGTTCTGTTTGCCATTGCCGCCGGCAACTTCCTCGCCTCGGTCGCCATCCTCACACTGTCCTTTAAGCGCTCTTTCCGCCGACCATTTCGCTCACGGGACGTCTACCGCATCGTCGCTGGAAGCTTCGGAGTCATCATGTGGGTCACAGCGTTGGTTGTGTTCAACTTGTTGGACAAGGCGAGTAAGGCCAGCTTGGGAAGGTACTCGTGCACCAACGCGAATGTCTTGACCAATGGACGGTACCAGTACCGCGCTGTCTGCGAAGAGCAGGTAATTCAGATCCACGTCCTCCAACTACTACAACCACTAATACACTATACAGGGTGTCGCATTCTACACTGCTATTGGTGCAGCTACCGCAGAGCTCATCACACTAATCACCCTTGCCATCTCAGCCCTCCTCTCCGTCAAGAACCAGGAACCTCCACCAACAATAAAAATCCGCGAGAAGAACAACTCGATAAGTTCGGGCTCAAAGTACCACAAACCCTTAAAACGATAGCAAAAAAACACGCAGAAATTATCCTTCCAAAATACCCAACAATAGTTCCCGTTTACGCTGCTCTTTCCCTTGACCTCTTTTTTTCCTTTTCACGTCGCTACATGATACCCTGTTCTCCATTTGAACATATCCCGGATCTGCTTGTTTAGCGGCAACCTACCATCAAAACTTTGTACGGCGTTTTATATCTGGGTCTTACTCGTTGTGTGAGACTTTGGGCCGAACTCACGACTCATTTTCGAGCCCTGATTCATCTGCATGGTATCGCGACACTGCGGCATATTTGGAGTCTTTGTCATTCTCTTTTTTTGTATATCATGCATCTCTGTTGCTGTTACCACGCTATCACGAAGAAGTCATCGGGACCATCCCACCACCATTAGAGGAAACATATTGAGCTCTTGCAGAGTCACAATCGCATCTTGGTCTTTGTCATCCTAGGATTTTGTAATTGGAAAGATGGCAGGAAGATTCGCTTCTGGATAGGTAGACAATATATCACATCACATATTGAATAATAGAAAGAATTGTGCAAAATTGACGTAAAGGTTTCACTGCACATGTTTGCTTACTACGATGTTGAAATCTAGTGACACTGGGGTCAAACCATTGCGACAGACACTTCAATGCTGTACGACGCCAGGTGGTCAAAGATGATACAGGACAAGAAGAGGGACTGAAGTGCGGAGTTATGGCTGACGTTCGCCGATTGGAGCACGCATGGACCTCGGACTAGCGCGCTAATCCCTGCACGTATCCCGGGAGAACTTCCAGAACTTTTTGAGAGATGCGATTGTGAGTTACCACGGGACATGCGACATGGGGAAAAGAACGGCTTTCGAGGCCAATACCAAGAGCGCGCATTCTGATCGCGACTCCAAGCGCCAAAGAGTCGACCACACGGCAGAGCGCAACTCACCACGACCGAATGGCAGCGCTGAAGAAGTCACGTCGGCGCGCGACTTACAAAATGCCCTGTTCTTCGACCAAAGCTCTTCGGGCGACTTTCGAAGTGGTAGGCACAACCAGACTTTGCAATGACCTGGATCTGACACAAAAAAGGCCTGAGTTTATTCAAGCGTTTCCTCGACTCCATCCTCTACCCGACCGATGAGCACGACCTGCCCCGCAAGCGAGCCATACTTCGCGAGTACCTGGACACACAAAAAGGAAGAGGACGGGATGAACAGGACAAGTCCTTTCTGCAGAACCTCACCCAGGGGTGGGATCATGCTGTGGAAACCAACTACAGTGCGATTGTCTCGCAGGTAACAGCTGTGCTTGCGCTCCTGTTCAAGGTCTTTGCCAGCCACGGTGATTTCCTCGAGTACGGCACACTTCTTGCCAAGACACTCCTGCAGCCATCCATCGCTCGCCGTTTTGTCCGTAGTACATCGGCAGCACCCAAAGAGGACAATGTCATTGCGCCGGCATTGCGATTGCTTACTGAGCTTGTACGCTTCAACGAGGGTGCGCATGCAAGAGCCGTCTACGCGAAGAGGGACTTTACACTTGAGCCCAAAATACTTGGAAGGAACATCAATCTTGGAAGAGAGCAGTCGGCGGCGGACCATGTCAAGAAACCAAGCATTCGCACGACAGCCATCAGGTATCTGCTAACGCACCTGAGGTATCAGGACGAGCGGGCAAAGAGCGAGATCTTATCAAACACCAACGTTGTCCGTGCTGTCTTCGATCATATCCGCGCAGACCCGCCTTTCCTCATCTACGAGATACTCGATGTGTTCAAAAGCCATGTTTTCCAGGACAAGGCTATCGCGAGACACACAAAGAGCAGGATCTTGAACGGAAAGGCACTCTCTCGCATAGCTAGTCTGTACAGTTACGAGGTGGAGGAAGGCTCCCTCTCGGAAGGACAAAAGGCACCTGATCAGCTTGCGCATGACTTCCTTCGCCTGGTCTGTACAGATCCTGCCTATGGTGTTATGCTGCCTACACAAGGCTTCTATCCGTCAACCTTCGATGACGACGAGGGCGAACAAGACGATGCCGCTGATTACGGCAATGATCTGGGCCTCGAGTCAGTTGACAACTATAGCAAGACTCCCAAAGTGCGGAACGTCATTCTCTCTGAGTTTATACAAAGTCAAAGACCATACGCAAATACCCTTCACCAAGAGCTTGTTGTTGACATCTTCCGAGCCTGTCCCGAGCTGGTTGCAGATTACTTCATCAAGCGACGCGACTTTAGCTACGATCCCAAGCTCACCTCGACATGGATAGGATACTCTGCTTTCCTTTATCAAGCTATCCAGCTCCCCGTGCCCAAGTACTTCGGTGCGAAGAGAAGCTTCCGCGACCACCCACCTCCAGTACCCGTGCTGATGAACAGCATCTTGCCACAACCACTGAACCAGCAAGTTCTTACCAAATGTCTCAACCACAATTCCGATCTTATCCAGTTGTTCGCTATCCGCGTCCTGATAGTAGCGCTTCAGAAGCTGCAAGCCGTTCTTGGAGAGCTCAACGATGCCGGTGCTACCAGATCTTCCAAGCAATGGAACCAAGCAGCTAAGCGTCTGATCTCAGAAGTCAGTCGGCGTTGCCCACCCATTCGCACTGTGTTCTTGGTGCTTAAGAAGCCGGGTCTGAAAGACATGAAGCGAGAGTCAATTACCAGATTACTGCGGCTTTACTACGAAGCCACACCCCAGGTTGCGCTACAAGAGAAATTCGACGTGTCGGTACCGCTATGCAATGCGCTAGTGGAGGCCGACAAGCCTACAGCATCACCTGAAGATAAAGTCTTCCGTATTATGGAGCTTGAACACTGGATACAGATAGCAAAGCTTTCGCCTGCTATGCGATGGTGGCAAAAGCAGAGTAAGTTTTCTTTTGAGCTACAATAGTTCCACTACTAACCTAAGCAGAATCACTCCAGTACTCACCGTTTGTGACGCTTCTTAAGCTGCTGGTAACGGCGAAAGAGAGTGAACTGTATACAGGTATCAGATCCTTGTTAAGTGACATCTTGCACGACCAGGAAATGCTGCAGACGAAAACTTCACCCGATGCGCTTGATGCTCTTATCGCAAGCTTGGGGTCTACCTCTGGGTCGGCCACACCATCCTGCGACGTCCTGGGGTTTCTAGATGACTGCTGTGCGCGGTTCACCAAAGTACCTATCAAATACTTCGATGACCTGGATGCCATGCGTAAACGTACTGGGCAACCTGCAAGCAGCCTTGGCCCCTTCAGCACATTGTTGATGACTTTGGTGGAACAGTGGCCATTCAAGGGTGGGGAAACGTCAGTAGGTACTACGGCGGATACCATCGCGCAATGGTTGTCGAGACTTCTATATCTCCTCAAGTTGATTGGCGAAGACGAGACGCAACTAGAGCATGTACGCAATGCTTTAGTAGAGTCTGCGAGCATGGCATACAAAGAAGTCTTGAAGGATGCGTTTCTGTGGAAAATGGGCAAGGAAAGAGCCAAGGAGGCCTTGAAGCTGGCAACTGGAGCAGATTTCAGTGGCTCGGAAAGATCCTCGACATCGCCGGTCCCCAGGCCCACGGAAGAGACTGAGCAGCAAGGCAAGTCTAGATCTGCTATCGACCTGGAGGCGCCGCCTGTGGAAGACGAAAAGCATACCGGACTTACACGATGGAGGAAAAAGGAGCTTGGCGAAGCTCTTGATGATGGAGATATTGGAGAACTACTATTGTGCCTCTGCTCTGAGCACACGGAAATTCGCATACAAGCCATCAACAACATTCGACAACTCACGGTGACAATACAATCCAGCAATCGTCATGTACCCGGAAAGGACGAGACCGCTGCAGGACAACAAGGAAGCAATATGGACTCTGAACTCCAGCAACTCTATCTCCTCCTCGGCGAGCTTCTGGAATCGGTGGACTTGACTGGTGCCGAAGCTTTCCCGTACGTTGGTGGCGTGCTGGCCGCTCGTTGTGCGGGTATTGTGGCGGATCCCACGCACTCTCTCTTCAGCACAGTGAACAAATTCCTCACCACCGCCCCAGCCTGGGATGTTAGCTCTCTACTACGCTTCTTTTGGCATCGCATCGTTGCCAGCCAACCTGACGACGACACAACGTATCACAAGGAAGTGGACTGGTACTTTGACTATCTCATGGACAGCCTGCGGACGCCTGCAGATATGGAGCTGTTCCGGAGGAGCAACATATTTGAGCAGTTGCTGACTCATTATGGATCACGATCGTGTCCAGCTTCGGCGAAGGACAAGATTGTGAGGCTGCTGCTGCGAGCAACACATGTAGGAGGCAGTACAACGCTCATCACAAGATGTGGGCTTATCCCATGGATCCAGATGATGCTCGATGGCTACGATCCGCGACACCGTGCACTGAAGACACTAGCAGGACGTGTCTATGAAACGTGCGATCGAGAGAAGGTAGCTGCGTGGAGCAGTGACAGCCTCGGACAGACGATGGCCTCCCTTGCGAAGGTCTGATGTTTTTTAGTCTTGGTACGCATCTTTGAGCCTTGTGAGGCATTTGGGAAACCGATTCGAGAGCATTGCAGCGTGTTTCCTCCGTTTAAACACAGGGCGTTGTTTGCGACTTCTTAATTTGGGGGTCATGCATAGTTCATTAGTGGCGCGAGTGCCTAGAAAAAACTCCAGGCAGTCATTGTCACGCGACGTGGTCTGATTTTCGTATCCGTGCCGTAATCTGATAATGATGAACGTGAGGCCATGTCTACCTGGTGTAGTGCACGCTGTGGGCACATGTCGCGGACCCCAATATGACGCACCTACTTGTTCCCGCAGCATTGCTTGGCGCGTGTCTCCAGGGCTGGCTCTCAAAGAGACCCGCACCACTCGCGACCTGGGACACAAAACCACAACAAACACCTGCGCTATTACTCACACGCCCGCTGCTTAAACCAGAGTGCCCCATAACTACCCGAGACTTTTCCATTCTGAAATTATCGCTCTGCCGTAAAGACGTGAGCTCGCGATTGTTTCTTCTCCGCTTTCCGTCGCCGCTACAGCAGCAGGGGTGCGCTACTCCCCTACCACGTTGCATCCCACCTCGAGCTCCTTCACCTCGCTCAGCAACTTGCGATACGCACGCGCCTCGAACTCGACCCATACTGCAATCGCTCAACATCATCCCACCGCAAACGTCCATTTGTATCGCATTCATCGTCGACGTCCCACTCTCAGTCTCTAAAAGGGTTGCAGAGCGGGCATTGTTCAATTGCAAGCGAGACAGGCGATTCACCACCCGGCTGTCTCGAGACAGTCTCTTCACCCATCATCACTCACTAAACACCTTATCACCTACATAACGGCTCGTCCCTCGACGCTGAACACGACAAGCTTAACCTACCCTATACCTGCCTGCACATTCGCGCTGCGCTGAGCTCGCGAGAATGCGGGGGCCTACCTATTCGGAGGCTGACCTGTTGGCTCTGAAGGAGTCTCCACTAGTCAAGAAGCCTGATGGACTGCCTTCAATCTCACAATGGATGGACGTGCCTGCCGACCAAAGCACCAACAATGGCCATGCCAACAATAATAACGGCACTATGCGTCGCACTCGGGGCGCTCGAGACGGAGAAGGGGCCACGCCAAATGAGCAGCGGCCGCTGATCAACCCCATGGGCCAGTTCGGTCGGCGTCAGAGCATGCGTAAGTCTTCTGATGTTCAGGGCATCAAGGCCGCTATTGACGCGCTTTTTGTAGAACCTGGCGAAGAGACGGTGCTTGGCCCGCCAAAGTTAGCCTTCTTGTCAGCACGCACGCCGGCCAAGGGAACGGGCGATGCAAAGGAACGCACAGGTTTCACTTCTACAGACGGAGACAATGTTGGCGACCGCTTCCCAAAGAACGATCGGTGGACGCGGGACCGCGAAACCGACCGCAACCGAGACAAGGGCTACACCAACGGCCGTCGCGTTCCCCGAGAGGACGGTGAGGGCTGGACCAACGTCAAGGGACGCAAGAGTCTGGGTCAGGAGGACTTTGAGCGTTTTCACCGTAACGGCGACCGCAATCGCGACAAGCATGAGGGTGACCCTGAGATGGACGTAGCCCCGCGCCGTGGCAATCGCGAGCGCAACGAACCGCGTTGGGGTCGCCGTGATGACAAGGATGAGGGTGTCAAGACTGGTGTACAGGGCGGCTGGCGTGAACGCGACCGAGATCGAGAACGGGACAATGGCCGTGAGTGGAACAGAGGTGGCAATCGTGTGGGCGGAGAAGAAGACCCAGAATGGATGGACACCAAGGTCGAGAAAAAGGAGTTCAAGCCTCGTACACAAGAGGATTTCCAGCGCTGGAAGGAGCAGATGAGGGCCAAGGACACGCCAGCTGGCGAAAAGGACGAATCTAGAGAGGTACCAGTCGAGACATCTACGGCCATTTCCATCACCGCTCCGCCCATGCTGACCGCCCCTCTGCACACGCCTTCTGGAGCGGAGCCTACACAGGGCATTCTCTTCGGCAACTGGGGTAGAGACAAGTCAGCGGATATCCCACCAGTAGAGACCATCTCGGCGAAACCCAAGCCTGACAAGAAATCGAGGTTCATGACCATGTTTGCAAAACCAGAAGAACAAGCAGCATCTGGCCAAGCTCCAGCTCCAGCACCTGCGTCCCCAGCACCAGCCATGGAGGCGAACGCTGACAAGGAAGGTTTCCAGCGCATTCTCCAGATGCTTGGTCAAGTCAGTACAGGCCCGTCTCCAGGACCTCAACCTCCAACAACGATGCCCACACCGCCAAATGGTATGAGGCACGGTGGAGGTATCTCATTAGACTTCCACCAGCAATCGCCGCCGCCGGACCCGCAACATGGTAGACCACCACCAAGGACACTCGAACAGCAGAGCATATTGGAGAACATCCTGGCTCCACGCGCTGGCCCACCCGAATCTCGGCCTCCACAGCAATCGCGCTTCAGCAGCATGTCGCCTGAGAATGCAATGTCTGATCAATTCAGACCTCCACGCCCCGATTCTAGTCACCCAGATGATCACTTTCCCCATCAGCCTCCGCCGCAACGCAATGGTCCCCAAGACGCAAACCTTGCGGCTCTGTTGAACAGTCGTGCACGTGAGGAATCACAGCGTGACCAGGCGACAAAGCAGCGCGAGCGTGACTTCCTGCTGAATCTGATGCAACAACCTTCTCGTGGTACACCACCTCAAGTGCAGGGTCATAATTTACCTCGCCCGACCCAGGAAGGTCATAACATGCCCTTCTTCGATCAGCAAAGACAGCAGCCTCAGATTCCGGCTCAGCACCAACCAAAAGGCAGAGGTGGTCTGCCTCCCGGCTTCATGGAAGACCCTCGCATGTTTTCAGAGAATGACATGATGCGTCGTGATGCAGCCGACCGCCAACTGGAGCTTCAACATATGCAACGATTACAACAACAGCAACAGGAGGCCATGCGAGGAAAGAATCAACGCATGCCAATGGGATACCCCACCCCCGAGGATCCACTTATGGGCCTTCAGCGCCGTAACACCGGAGGCGACCCTCGCATGCCGACCAATATGGGTATTCCTTCGCAGCCTGTACCGGACATGCCGTACATGGGCGGACGCGGTCAACCAGGAATGCCGCCAACACCCCAGGAACGACCAAACATCGCTCCTCCACCCGGTTTTGGTGGTCCAATGCGTCAGCCACCTGGCCTTAATGGTCCCAATGGTCAACAAATGGGCCCTGGACCGAGTTTCTCAGCAGGCAACACACCACTTGGCCATCTCCCTGGCTTCCCGCCTGCCGGCAATATCCGCGGATTGGGCTTTCCAGGCGGACCCGGAGGACCTGGTGGTAATGGCATGCAGGGTCCGCCAGGCTACTTCCCACCTCCTGGGTATGGTGTACCTCCAATGCCTGGCATGCGAGGAGGTGAAGACCCACGTATGATGTTCGATGGCCAATTCAGTGGGCCTCCCCGCCAGCAGCCCGGTCGTCCTGGACCACCCAACATGTACTAGCATGTTACAGACTCGATTACAAAGCTAGAATCACAGGCTTTGATGTATTCGAGGTTCACAAACCATCAACTTCACATTGATTTCAGCAGAGTGTTATACTGTCGGTTCTTGGCTTCAAGCGCAGCGTCGGCGTCGGGGATGCTGTATATTTGGGTTAGGGCTTTCCCCTTTTTACAGCGATATCCCCTCATGAGAGGATAGGCTTTACATACGTACGGTATCTCGGTCACTCTAATGTACAGTGAGGCTATGGGGCACGAGACGTTGTCTTGAAAGCAACAACAGCAATGTCTTTCGCTACTGCAGCGGGGGGCGAAGAAAGAAAGAAAGAAATAAGAAGAAAAGGCCAGCTTGTAGATGATAGAATATATCTGAAGTTGGTGCAATGCGTTGTTCCTGATGATTGTGATGCTTGTTGATGTTGAAGAGGTGGTGCGTGTCAAAGCAATGGGAGATCAGCAATGCTGACAAGACTGAGAATGTTTGTCGGCTATGGGAGTCACCGAGTCTGGTCTTCACGTGTGGTACGTACAGCTAGTTAAGCTTGAGAGAAAGTTGAACTGTATTGGTGACTTGTAACAATGATTAGAAACGCCAAAAAAAAAAGCCCCCAAACACTTGCTCCTCAACATACAGGCTCACTGCATAGCATCCAAGCATGTTTCATCACCACACCACTCCTCTCTCCAGCTGACCTATAGTACAAGCATGCCCAGCAAACTTCCCGCTGCCAGAACAGCGTATGCACCCATGATCAAATCACCATGGGCAAAGAAGCCAGGGGCATTAACGCTAGGAGCAGCAGCCTCGGACTTACTGGAGCTTGCTGCTCCACCACTACCACTGCCGCCGTTCACAGCTGCTGTGCCCTTGCCTGTAGCAGTGGGTACGGTGCCGTCACCGTTCTTGCCCGCAGCACTCAGCAACGAGGCACAACCGCTCGCAGTCGATGCGCTCTGTGTGCTTGCCCTACCCGAGAAACTGCAGGCATCTGCGCGCTTCTTCTGACCAATGTAGTACTGGTTTGCAACGAAAGCGAGCTGGTCCTTGGGATCACAGCCAGAGTAGGCACCATAGTCGCCAGTTGTAGAGTTGCGCGCAATTCCGCTGCAGTAATCCTCGTTCTCGCCGCAGATGTAGTTGAAGTCGTCGGCGTAAGCGTCGTCGTCATCGGACGTGTAGACACACTGTAGACTGTCTACCATACACGCGCATAGCTGAGGGTTCACGTTGGGAGGCAACGGAGAAGCTTGCGCGAGCCAAGTTCCACCAACTGAAGGGCAAGCGGGTGCTGAGTTGGTAGGTGTGTACTCGGAGCGCTGCGTGGTGGTCGGAGTAACGGAAGCAAGCTGGCTTTGTAGAGACGTGAAGTCGGGGTATGGAGACACACTTGCGCCGTTATCAGCCAATGAAACGAGTCCGTAGTCATTTTCGCCCATGAACCACTCGTAGACGATACCACCAGAGAAGACGTCGGTCATGTTGCCGTACAAAACTTCGACCTCAGTAAATGGACGGCTTGTGGGGCTGCTAAGACCCTCGATACAACCGTATTCAGCAAAGAAAACGGGCACCGGATAATCGGAGAAGAATTGGACGCGCTCGCCGTAGGAAGAGCTTGCGTAGTTGCTGTCACCGCACCAAGAATAAACGTTGTAACCCCAGAAATCGATCGAGGTTGTGTTACCCGCGTTGCCGGGCTGGCATGCGAAGTAGTGCGCAAGCTCGTCGCGAGACGGTACATCGGCAGTTGCATAGCCCACTCCCAAAGTGCTGCGGTAGTTCTGGTTCTTGATATATGTCTTTGTGTCACGGACAGCAGCCTTGACGAATGCGGCAGCGGCGGTCTGGTTGTCGCTGCTAACATTCTCATTGCCAGCAAAGAAACCAATGACGTTTCGGTACTTGCTCAGCGCATCGATGACGCCTGTGTATCGCTGGTAAAGCGTGACATCCCACTCTGGGTTGTTTGACTCGATGGATGTACCGGGCTCGCCCAAGTCGGAGATGACATAGATGTCTGCGCTGGCCAGTTGCTCCATACAGTCGTCATGGTTTTGAGTCGGGTCGATAGCGTACACGCGGATGATGTTTGTGTAGATTTGCTTGAGGTAGGGAATATCTCGTCGGCAGGCGTCGCCATCGGCAAGCGGGTCAGTGTACTTGGTATTGGCGCTTGTTGAGCCATTGGGAGAGTAGTTCTGCTGGTATGCGACACCCTTGAGATAACTGCGATATGGTTAGCATGGCCATCTTGACAATGCTAGAGCAGGTATACATACAATTGCGAGCCATTGTTTGTGTAGAAGAAATGTTGTCCATAGACCTCGATGTCTGGAATGTCGTCGTAGCTCGCTGCGCTCACCCCGCTGGCAGCCAGCGCCGCCACGGCGGTGGGAACAAGACGCTTCCACATTACCATGTTGGCTGTCGATAACGAATGTAGGTAACGAATGTCAAGAGTAGTCGAAGCTTCCCCCAGCGCAGCTTGGTAGACCTTGGGCAAAAGCTTGGCTGTGTAGTGCAGGCAGAACACAAGAAACAAAGGAACGCAGTGTTTCCGGGGCAGCCGGGTAGTTATTCTTCCCAGGCCTTGGACAACCAGGGACGCGTGTCTTAGGGTTTTACGGGCTGGCTGCAGGTACTATACTATTTCAATCACCGCGCGAACAAGGTGGCTATGCTGACACTTGCCCGGCCCGAGGTGGCAACGTAGGCGCTGATGACGCTGCCGTCGTTGTTTGGTGTGGGGCTGGCCATTGGGCGATCTATCGATTAATCGACTGCTAAGCTTTTCGGGAGCGTCTAGTGTGTTTGTCACCCCCAGTTTTTGTCAATTTTGGTTGGCAACGCGTCTTGGTTCACGGAAATAGGACAGGGTTTCGACTTGTTGTCTTCGAGCACCTTAATTCCATGGTTGCGCGATTTGGGGCCGCGATGCCTGCAACGCAGGTCCGGAAACGCCACCAACCGCCCGTCACCTACCCCTTCAGGCCGCGTGTACCCCCGTATCTCGCTTGTTAGGGCAATGCATAAACTGATGTCCAATACCGAGGTTCTTTGAGACCCTGCGCGAAGAAACTTTGGAACCTCTCCATCACCATACTCTTACCAAGACGGCAGTCGGCTGTTGCTGTATAGTCTGCAATAAGAACGCGAAAGAGACGTGTCGTGCATCTCCGTTGCTATGGCATGGTGGAGGTGACAAATTCTTTCGGGAATAAATTCGCATCATGGCAAACTAGCTGTAATCCTCACATGCAATCTGCTCTTGTCGCACCATCATTCTTTCATTGAATCAAAAGAATCTGAACAAAATGAAGTACGCAATCTTCTACGACTTCTTCCAGTACAGAGCGGCTGTCAGTACAGCCTTAGGATATGTCAGATAACTCTCGTCCCCTCAAAACACCCTACCCACAATAAAAGCCTCAAACACCGCATTCTCAAAAGCGCTCCTTTCGATCACGCCTCCAAAACCATGACATTGTACTAAACTTGTCAAGCTCAGCTTCAGGCTCTCCCACCTTCCCGCTTCAAGTCCAGTAAATTGTTCTTGTCGCCGGACATAGTCCCATGCTTGTACGGGCGTGACTTCACCGTCTTGCAAAGGGACAGAGCCAGACAGTGCCAACAGCTGATCTATACTGGCATGAGGAACTTCCCAAGTCGCAGGAGACAATTGACGTTGGCCGGGTGGCGAAGGATGATGATGGAAGAGGCATGCTGAGACAGTGAGGGCGTGGCCGGTCGAAGTGGGAGGATCCGTATCTGAGCTGCTACTATGGGGCGAGGCGACGTCAATATGTGGTAAACAGGGAGATTCGAGACTACGTATGAACTTTTAGCGATGCTAGCTTAGAGAGAGGCAAGCAGGGCGCATACGTCAAGACAAAGTCCATTCCAACAATTTCTGGGTCGAGGCTACCCATACATATCGTGGAACTGTCAGGAAAAGTACTAGAGGTGTACCCTGATCCCGTAGAGCCAGATAATGGCGGAGTAATGAGTTGCGGTGGGCTGGCTGCGCGAGTTCCATCAGTGAGAACATCATCACCAAATGCACTTGCAACTTGACTGCAATACACTTACTTGGAGGCTCTCTCGGCATCTGCTGTACGTATATCTGTTTCCTTCGGTTCTTCCTCTTGTTCTCTTGGCCGATTGTCAGCGCTATCGTCTTTTCTTTCTCTACATTGCCTCCTCTTGCCCCGCCATGGGTGACTTCTGGTCTTTCAGGTATTGCAATTCCGTTCTCCGTCAGCAATATCTTCAGAAAAGTAACTTCAGAGTATAAAGTCTTCGCCTCCTGCGAGAGCCTGGCTTCATTCGCCCGCAGCTGAACTACTTCGCTTTCGAGAGAAGCAGTGTATGCTTCTTTTCGCTCCCGATGGGTTCTGTTCAACAAATTTTAGTCCAAGAAATTGTTCTCGAGACATGAAGACTGAACGGACTTTTGCGCTCGACGAACCTGTTCTCTGCGCCTCTGTCCCGGATTGCGCGAATCGACATGATCTGAGTAGATGAAATCACTATTAGCGATTCATACCTAGGACACCATGGGTCAAATATAACATACCGTCCAGGGAACTCTTATCACCTTTGAAAGGCTTGAAAGTAAACTTCATCACGCACAAAGCCTCTATCGTACCGGGGTGTGCAGGTAATTAGTCAGTTGCCCACTAAGAAGATTAGGAATGGATTGCTACGCTTGTGCTGTCAACCTATACAAGCCCGAGTACTGATATTGTGCAATGGGAACAGTGGTCAAGACGATGAGCGATGCATGCCAAACAGGTGTCCAGTCTAGTTTTCCCGCAATCCTGTATTCATTCCCAGCGTCGCGCCAATGATAACGGCCCGGCTGGCATGTCTGACAGGCGCAGCTGAGGCAATGTTAAATTGTGCGACCTAGGGGCTGTCTGCTACCGGGAACTCCAGGCTAACCTTTTCTGGTAATTGCTTCATGATCCAGATTCCTTGTTCAGGCAATGGATCTACCAAGCGCTCGCTTGACACAAGCATCGTTTCGTGTCTCCCGCATAGCCGATCTACATCCTTGGACTTGATCCGCACAGGAAAGACTGCAAGGTCAGTATCACGCGCCTTGCGAAGAATCCTTGCGGTTTTCAGCCTGGGGACGCCGCGGGTATGCTTGGTGACCTTGTCATCCTGCATGAGTGCAAGCCATTCCAGATTAGGAAATCTTGATCGAATAATCAGTACATCTTGGTACGTGACAGTGCAAGGCATCAGTACTGAGGCAGTGTCTATAAGAGAAGAGCGCACCATCGATAGAGTTGTCTCCAACAGATTAGCTGGACTTTCTCACTTCCTTCACGTTACTTTCAAAACTTTCGCTTCCACTTCACTTTTGGTCTCTCTTTTACTACCACAACACATCGGGTACTACAACCATGTTCGCAAAAACAATCCTCCTTGCTCTCCTTCCGTCGATTGCAGCAGCAGCACCGCATCAGCAGCATCGTGCAGGTACGGACCAGGCACAACAACATGGTGGCATGAGCTGTATGCAACAACCGAATGCTGGCAAACCTGCTGTAGGAAAGGCCATCTATATGTTGACGAACGATGCCGAAAATGCCGTTGTTGCACTGCCCATCGGAGCCGATGGCATGCTCTCCAAAGGCAAAGTGATGAAGACAGGTGGTGCTGGATCTGTTGCTGTTGATGCAGAGGGAAAACCTGCAACGCCTGATGCGCTCGTTGGCCAGTCTGCTCTGACTATCGCTGGAAACGTAAGTTTTCCCATTCCCATGAGTGAATGCGAAGAATATTTAGCTAACGAAATTCAGAACCTATTCGCTGTGAATGCTGGCTCTAATACCCTTACCATGATGACCATATCGTCAAGAGATGCCACATCGCTCTCGTGCGTCGGTAAGCCTTTGGCCATACCCGGCGAATTCCCAAATACTGTCGCTGCATCTGCGAAGAACAAGCTCGCCTGCGTCGGCACGACAGGTGCCAAAGCGGGAATCTCATGCGCTTCCTTCTCCCGGCAAGGACTCGGGCAAATGGATGAGCTTCGATCCTTCGATCTCGGACAAAGCACACCGCCTGTAGGACCACTGAACACAGTCTCACAGACTTTCTTCTCGTCCGACGAATCTGCTCTCTTCACGACCGTCAAGGGCGACCCGACAGTGAACAATACGGGCTTCCTCTCCACCTACTCGGTGCAAGCCTCAAACGGAGCAGCCACTCTCTCCGAGAAAGATGTTCGTAGCTCGCCCAAAGGAACTGCGGTGCTTTTCGGCTCAGCTACCTTGTCCAAAGACCCGTCTACCCTCTTTGTCACTGACGCTTCATTCGGTGCTACCGTATTGTCGATTGACTCCAAAGGCCAAGCAACAGTCAAAGGGAAACAAGCTATTGATGGCCAAGCAGCAACCTGCTGGGCTACCATCTCCGACGCAACAAACAGCGCTTTCGTAACAGATGTCGGAGTGAACCGTGTTGTGGAGATGAGTCTAGACGACGCAAGCATTATCAAGCAACTTGATCTATCTGCAAATGGCGACCCTGGTCTCATTGATCTGCGTGCGGCAGGAGACTTTGTTTACGCATTAAGCCCAGGTAATGGGACGACGGCTGCGGCGATAACGGTGCTGGATGTGTCTGGAGGCCAAGGATCCATGAAGCAGGTGCAACATTTCGACCTGAGTGGAATGGCAGGAAAGAACGCTCAGGGTATGGCTGTGTTGATGTGAGGGGAAACGATTGTGTCTCATCTGTAGCATGTAGTGTCTGCAATTTTTAGCCTTCCATTTTGTCGTACTCACTGCCTGCTGCGTTCATCTTTACAAATCTGCTTAGTGGCTAATTCCTACCGCTGGTGCACAGATGATAGTTTTTACTTTGTTATCGAAGTCTCCTTGTTTGTGACGTCCGACCCCGCTGCTCATAACTAATTTACATATTATACAAGTCGTCAATCGTAGCGTTGGTTCGCTCGGTGAGACGGCGTAAGTGCTTAGCGCATAGACTACGTCTCGATAAATCATCTAAAGCCAACTGTATGTAAACGGCGCATCTGTCTCCTGCCGTCGGACGTCGGAGCTGGTGGGAAAAGATCGCTCGGAGTAGGACGAGGGCGGTACGTCTGCTGCGCGGGTGCTGGACGGCTGGTAGATTTGCTGGGCTCGGTGGGTGACTTGTTGACCGCTTGAGCTGACTCTTGTGTTTGATATTCAGGGTCTTGGGCATCCTCTTCCAGATCTTCAATGTCTTGTTCCAACTCCTTCAACGCTTCATCAGCGCTCTTATCCTTCCTTTGGTGCGTTCTCAGTACCCCACCCCACAACGTCTCGAGGTCTGTCTCGGCTCTCTTCTCCTCTGTAAACATCTGCACGACAACGTTGACGCCAGGCTTGATGTCCCTGAATCCCACAAACTGCTCCACGTCCGCTCCTGGCATGTGCGTGTCGTCGGCATGTGCTTCCAGCTTCCCAAGTGTACAGCAGATCCAGCCGGTCCGTATGCCGTCATCGATGTTCCCCTCGGGTGCAGCGCCACCAACATTTGCCAACATTCTCATGCGCTTCGCCTTTCGCCTCAGTTTGATCTTTAGCTCATTGCGACCCAACAGGCCAGCTGCATTCGCCTTCAAGCCGTGTTCACGTCGGAGCCATCTGCAAAAGCGATCGGCTGCTACGTGCAGATGTTTTTCAGAGCGCGCTGTTGCGATGATCATAATCAGCTTGGGGCCGAGCGCAGGCGGGGGGTCGAGATTTCGGAGGTCGAGCAACTGTAAATCGTCCAGACCGGCCGTGATGGAAACGTATTCGAGTAGTGTTTGCAGGAGTGGTGGCGGATTTGGCGGGAGATGTGGGACTTCAGCGGGGTTCAGCGTGGGCGACTGGACCGACGACTGTTGTCTCAGGTACCATGGGATGGCGTTGTCTTGTTGAGGGGGCACTGGTGCAGCCTCTTTGGACTCGTCCAGAACGTCTGTTGTGTCTTGCTGCGACACAGCATCGTTCCTGTCTAATCTTGGGATTGCACTCGTGGTGAAGGCGCATCGTGAGAATGTCCGAGGCAAGGTGCGTGCGCTGCGACAGGCGTTGCAGACAAACCTCGAGGAAGCGATGGTTGGGAAAGACATGGTGGGCAACAAAGCGGGCACCAAAGGTCGGATGGCGTTTTGCTGTACCGACTGTCCAAGACCCCTGCTGGCGTCTGACGGGCTTCCACGTGACGGCCGATAAGATAAGACTTTTTGCCCCTCACACTGGCGGAATTTCCAATCGACGACTCATTCGCGCACTAGTTTTTCCCCTCAATATACCCTTTGCCTGCCCTTCTGGTGTCTAAAGGAACTCGAATCACCGAACCCGCCTACGTCGAAACGATACCGCACACATGGAGGGCGTCACCATGGACGGCCAGCGCTCTTTTGCGCCCGAGCCCAAGAACGCCGCAACCATTCTCTGCGCAGACTGCGGCGCGCCTGTTGACGGCACCCTCTCTGGTGCCTTCTGCTACGACTGCATAAAACTGAAGACGGACGTTACCGGCGGCATCCCGCGCGAAGCCATTCTGCTCATGTGCCGCGACTGTGACCGATGGCTCTCCCCTCCCACGACCTGGGTCGTCGCCCACCCCGAATCGCGCGAACTGCTCGCTCTCTGCCTGCGAAAACTGCGCGGACTCAACAAGCTGAGAATCATCGACGCCAGCTTCATCTGGACCGAGCCGCACAGCAGGAGGATAAAGGTCAAGATCACAGTGCAGTCGGAGATCAATGAGGGCGCCATCATGCAGCAGAGCTTCGAGGTCGAGTTCACACAAAACTACAACCAATGTCCAGACTGCGCCAAGAGCTACACCCACAACACATGGAGAGCGTCGGTACAAGTCCGACAGAAGGTGCCGCACAAGAGGACCTTCCTGTACCTCGAACAGCTGATTTTGAAGCATGGCGCCCACAAGGACACAATCAACATCAAGGAAGTCCACGACGGTATCGACTTCTTCTTCGCCCAGAGGAATCACGCCGTGGCCTTCTGCGACTTCCTCAAGGCCGTCATCCCCGTCAACATCAAGCGATCCGAAGAGCTCATCTCGCACGATATCCACACCTCGACAAAGAACTACAAGTTCTCCTTCTCGTGCGAGATTGTGCCCATCTGCAAAGACGATCTTGTCGTCCTTCCTATCCCGCTCGCAAAGAAGCTCGGCAACGTCTCACCCCTCACACTCTGCACGCGCATCGGTACCTCAGTACAACTACTTGACCCTTCGACGCTCCAGACAGCCGATGTCGCCACCGACATCTACTGGCGGACGCCTTTCCGACCCCTCGCCGATGTACAGGAACTGACCGAGTTCATTGTTCTCGACATCGAGCCCCTAGGTAAGCAGGTCGGCCGCCATTTCCTCGCCGAGGCCACCGTAGCCCGCGCCTCTGACATGGGCGTCAACGACACAACATACTACTGCCGCACACATCTCGGTGGAATCCTACACGTGGGCGACTCGGTAATGGGTTACTTGCTTGCCAACACAAACTTCAACAACGAGCTTTTCGACGTCCTCGAATCCAACAACAAGTACTCATCCGCCATTCCTGACGTCATGCTTGTCAAGAAGTACTACCAGCGCTCCAAGAAGAACAAGAACAAGCGCAATTGGCGCGTCAAGCGTATGAACAGGGAGGAAGGCGAGATGTTGCCTCGCAAGCAAGATCAAGAAAAGATGGAGCGCGACTTTGAGATGTTCTTGCAGGATGTTGAAGAGGACCAGGACCTGCGCGCGACCATGGCACTATACAAGGCGCAACAGGAGCAGAAGCAGCGCGATGCGGATGCTATGGAGACCGAGAGTAGCCTTGGCGATGATGAAGATGAAGGCCTGCAGATCCCTATGGAGCAGCTGCTGGATGATTTCGAGGAGATGAAGATGGAGGACTAGGTTTGAGACTCATGATATCTATGTCGCATCGGTTCTGGCGTTGTCTCTTAGTGCATCTACGGGCGTTGGGCGGGTAAAAGGCATGGGAGTACCAAGTTGATAGACTTTTCGATTTTAGCCATGTCGGCGGCGCGTCGTGTCCCGCAATCTGAATTGTTTCACACGCCTCACACTGTCGCAAATGATTACACTTGTTGAACGCCTAACAACTCCACTGCTGTGGGCAAGAGTTGATGTTGGAATAAAACCTTCTCGACCACGTTTTTCTTTGCCTCGCTTGTGGTGACGTAGGGACCTTGTCGCGAGCTAAGCACGGTCGCATGTGATCGTAGTTTCACCAGTTCGCCTGAACTTTCTCTGAATCTCTCCCCCTCATCATTGCACATCCCAATGTCCTACAAAAGAAAGTCAGCCGATAGCTGTAAGTTTGCGCCCTCTGATAGGTTCATAGCGGCTACAGTCTTGCGCACGCCAGAAATTTCGCCCAAGGAGGTGCTGGTCTTGTACAACCCTGGAGAAGGCTCAAGGGTTCAACACCTGACGGGCATATCCTTCGTCCCGTCCACGGCTGCTTGTTTCCTTACGGTTGATGTTGTCTCGAATCTGCCAATGTGGACACCGCTCCAGGCGATCTGGATCTGCGTCCAAGGATGCAGGATGTGTCATGCACTAGGATGAAATACGAAAGAGTTGGCGATGCGCCAGGGCCAAACACCTCGGCAGTACTTATTAGGAGCTCTAGACTTGGGGAGCATGTCGTCGCCCACAACCACACCCTTTCTATGCGTCGACCTTTGGAGGGTTTCTTTTCGGCAATAACAAACCTGAAAAGAACTCTGCAAGAAGTAATGCTGCCATCTGTGGAGTTTTCAGCTCCTGCTGTTCACGAATAACGGTGACTCGCGTGTCGCACCATCGCCGTGGTCTAGTTCTGATGACATGCCACCCTGGTCTTCGATCGTGAGAAACGCTCCCGTCTGAACGGCTTCGCAGCCGCATTCGAAAAAGATCCCCGATCTCCAGTCCACTGAGGCGATTGCATTCTCTTCGAATTTCCAGAAAGCCTAGATTTCGGCAAAGAAGGGGCCGCCATCATCCCCAAACGGCATGCGATTCAGCCCGGATAACCAGCAAAGCCTGTTGAAAGATCAGCTTGCGCAATGTCGTTCCCGGCACTTGGGAATATAGGGTTCAGAGTCCCTCAGGTACATGCCTTGATGCGCAGGTCGCAGTCCTTCATACCGCGACTTCAACTCTTTATGTCTCCATACGCCCGAAGAATTTGATAGTGGCGCTCCGATTTTCGAACGAAGCGTAGCATACGCATTTGGTCACAATGGCTGACGAATTTACCGCCGTCATCGGTGAGATGATCAAAACTCCTCCAGACCCAAATGAGCCTGTGCCACTGGCGAACCAGAAAGGCACAATGTTCGGCGTCACAATACCATTCCATGTATGTTCAGCTCGAGAGTAGGATATCCCGGGAGCTCACAAGTACAGGTACTTTGCTGGATTTTCGTTGCCTTTCGTTTGCACACACGTCTGCGGATTGTTCGCGAACCTGGCCTTGATGATCTCTTCGTAGTCCTGGCGGCTGCATTCAACTTAGTATCACTTGTAACCTTTCTCTACGGTAAGCATCTCCGCCTTGACTGTGGGCTTATCTAACTCGTCTCGTAGGTACCAAGTATGGCCTGGGCCACCATCTTATATACTCCTTCAGTGTACTACAGCCAACCATGATTTGGCTTTACATCACCAATGCCGCATATCACACAACCACCGCTTTCATCAAGATCTCGCTACTGTTGCAGTATCTAAGGCTGTTTCGTGAAGGCACTCGTCGTACAGTCTCTATCGTACTGCTTGCGCTGGTTGTAATATGGGGCTTGACATTCTCCTTCATGGCGTGGGTACCATGCTTTCCTGTCTCCGGGTTTTGGGACAGGAGCAACGGTGCCAAATGCTACGGCTTCGGGTATCGCACCGTCAACGAGGCGAAATACTCGGTACTTTCTTTTGCTGCGACGAACATGTTGTTTGATATTGCAATCTTTCTTGTTCCGCTCACGGAATACTTCAGGCCAAACCTGAGACGAAAACAGGTTCTCGCCATGACTGGGTTATTCGCTCTTGGTTCCATGTAAGCCAAGTTTGTTGAATTTCATAATTATCGCTGACATATTCAGCGTCGTACTCATGGCTATCCTCCGTCTCTGGAGCACCTTCAAGCATAGTCAAAGCAAAACCCAAAGCTTCGATTTTACCTGGTGGTACCCCGAAGTCCTGATCATCTCCTGCCTCGAAATCGATTTCGCTATAATGTGCGCAAGCATGCCCATCTTCTGGCCTACCGTCATCGCAAACTGGAATCACATCTTTGTCACAAACGAAGTCCGCGTTACACACCACCAACGCCTCGCCGACGACAGTCGAGATAATTTCGAATTAGTTAGGAATACGTCATTGAAGAGCGTAGGAAGCGTGGAAGGATTGGCAAGGGCGAGTGAGGAACAACAAGCGGTTTACAACGGATTCGACCCGGAGACGGGTAAAGATGGACGGTTTGCTATCATGCAAGTAGAAGTACAACCGCATGCACAGGAATCGCGGAGACTCTGAATAGCAAGTCCTTGAGAGACTGAGCATTATGTCCTTAACATTGACTGCCCTTACTCCTGGAATCGGTATTGCTTACAATGAAATGGCGATGCTGGTTAGTTATGGCTGATCTCTGAGTACCCACAGGCTACCACGGCAAACGTTGCTGCGCCTACAGGATTCTGATGTATGCACGAGCGCATATCATGAACGCAAAAAAGCTTTTGCATCGTCGATCGGCTCGTATCAAGGCTAATCGAGCTCAGCACTAGGAAAGAAGACAAGGCTGTCTGTAAGATTTCGGAATGATAGTCAGAAGTGGGTGAGAACGACGGTGAGCAAGCAAAGCCGGCGAGTACATCTAGCATTCCCTCTCTTTGTTCTCACATTCTTGCAAAATAGCAGCCCAAGCGGCCGTTGGGATTAGGATTTTCCTCTCCTTTGCACACAGACTAGAACAATAGGTACCCACCCACCGTTCACATAACTGCGATATCTTGCAAAGAACCACACCTTGCCCGCGAGCACCCGATTAGCGGAAGATCGGTTGGTCGACGCGCCATCAAAGCAGGGGCAAGGGTAAGGGCAGTCGCGTCAGTGCGTCAACACCTGGGCAGCGAGCGCATCCGGCGTCCCTCGGCCATACCCGAAACTGTGGCTCCCTGGTTTGTCATTGCTGGCCCATTCGTACACGAAACAATCGCAAATATGCAGATTCGTCTTCACAACCGAGTCCTTGGCTATTTTCGACATATCGTGGACGACACCTGTAGGCTATGGCAAGGCATTCTGCCCGTGCGAGAGATGGACCAGACATTATTTATCCATCATCTATTTACCGCCCTCGCAATGATTTGCATGGTCTCGCGCCTTGTCTGCCGGAAGATTTTGTTCAAGAAATTTGACTTTGGAGACTACTGTACCATGGGTGCGATGGTCTGCGCTGCTACGCGCGGTGGTGTAATACACGTCGTCCTTACTTGGGGTACGAACAACATGCCCGAAAAACTCCGGGCGACTACAGACTTCACTCCCGTCGAAATATATCGCCGCACAATTGGTAGTAAGCTTGCTATCACGAATCGTCCAATCTACAACACCTAGTGAGTATTACTGGTTCATAACGACGTGGACTAACAGTGTTAACAGCCTGTGGTTACAGAAATCAGCAATTCTTTTCTTCTACCTTCATCATATCCATCCAAGCGAACAATGGAAGCGATACATATCCTGGTCCTATGGCATAATCTTTGCTGCAACTTGGGTTGCTGCGCAGATTGTTGGCTTCACTGAGTGTGACCCTTTCCATCTGTACTGGCAGGTGGTTCCAGCTCCTGGAAGCTGTGTCCAGGCACAAGTTCAACTGTTCGTGCTAGGTATTCTTAACATCGTGAGTCCATCTCGCTGCTTCCAAACACATGTTCTATTGAGTGTGGTTAGGCTAACTTGAGCCCGTCGCTAGATCACCGATTTCATGATACTCGCCCTCCCACTCCCAATGCTCTCTTCGTTGCGAACACCATGGCGCACAAAGATACGCCTTTATTCTCTTTGTACACTTGGAAGTAGGTCCTGACTGTACCGATGGCACGAGAGGCATACGCTGACTTCAACCCCTCATCATAGTATTCATCATTGCAATCACCATAATTCGACTCCCTATCAACGCAATGCATGCAGCTGTACAAGCAAACCGGACGACATGGGCAAGCACTGAGCTGCTTGCCGCTGCGATAGTGGTAAACGCGCCTGTCTTGTATGGAGCGTTCAACATCTGGCGACAACGCTCACGTCGAAAATCTCAAAGACCGGCACCACGCGCAGGCGCATCATCCACAATACGCACCATAGGCAGCGGCGGCAAGCAACCCAAAAGATTATTAAACGTGCCAAAAGACGATGAGGAGCTTATGCTTCAGCCTTATCGCCAGACCAGCATAACATCCTGCACATCCCTCCAAGATCCGCAGAGCGAAGACGGAGCAACAAAGAAGCCCGACTTAGGATCGTATGAGGAGGCGGATCGAAATCGGGCGCAAGCCTCGAGTTGAATAAGACAGCCTCCATTTTTTAAGATAATAGGTCGAATCAGATTCATGCAAGTTCATCTCGTGGAGCGGTACCGTACTCGTGCGGGTCAAACCTCCGTTCTACCAGCCCAGTGCTTTACCTGTTAGGGCTAGATAATCGAATTCTTGAGGCGGGTGGGGACAAACCTCGGGATTATGGGACCCGCAGCCAAGACCAAGAACAATCTTCCGGCCCATGCCGGTATCTGTCTGAACCCAGAACAGCCGTGTTCGACAACGGCGGCTTCCGCTTTCAAGCAGTAGAACTCTTGGGGCGCCTCAAACAGCTATACCATAGTTGAGTAAACGGGGGGCAAGGGAGTCCTAGCGTCTTATGGTATCACGCAAAGAACCGAAGAAAAAGAAATTCACATACGGGAGGATCGTAGCCGCGTGAAACCCCTGTAAGAAGGATGAAGCTCAGTTCGATCAACCATCTCCGCAGATCCTCATCTAAGGCGGTGTGACGAATCAGAGCCACGCAGCAGCGATTTTCTGCTGGATATGCTGGCCTCATAGCACGACAACGCAGCAGTCTACCTCGACACCATCTCCTCGTCTCATCTTCACCCTTTAGTACAGGTTCCACGCGGCCCGTCAGCTATGAAGCTTCTGCGACATCTGACGCTCCTCGCCTGCTTGGCGTCAGCACAGAATGACCGGCCTATTGGATCTGAAGTCCCAGCGGTACGGACATACTTTTACGTCGGCGGTGGCTATGCCGACGATGGTAAGGGCGGTCACATCTTCAAGGACCAGATGTACGTCGAAAAACTATCGCCTGTTTCGACCGAACAAGATGTGAAGCCCCCCGTCGTTTTGATTCACGGACAAGGTCAGACTGGAACAAACTTTCTCATCAAGCCGGATGGAGGAGTGTCATGGACCTCACACTTCCTTGCAGCTGGCCATACAGTCTACATCGTGGACCAAACCTTCCGTGGCCGCTCCGCGTGGGCACCAAGGGCCGGCGCTGATGCCCCATCGACTTACTCTGCCGAGCTTATCCAACAACGCTTCACTGCTCCGCAGCAATATCGCTTGTGGCCTCAATCAACGCTTCACACTCAATGGCCAGGAACAGGCGTTATGGGCGATCCTACTTTTGACGCTTTCTACTCCTCGAACGTCCAGTTCATTTCCAATGCTACCTATCAGCAAAGCACCGTACAGTCTGCTGGAGCACAGCTTTTGGATTTAATCGGCACTCCTGCTTGGCTACTTGGCCACAGTCAAGGGGGAATCCTGCCATTGCTCATAGCTGATGCTCGACCTCGTCTAGCGAAGGGACTTATCTTGCTAGAACCGACGGGCCCACCCTTCCAGGAAGCGGTTTTCGGGTCTGCAGCAGCGCGAAAGTGGGGCTTGACGGATATACCGATGAACTATTCACCTCCAGTAATTGACCCTGCAGAACTGGTCCAGCAAGTTTATCAGCCCGCGAATCTGACTAGTAACAACGCGACCGTTCCTTGTGTGCTGCAAGCAATGAATCCAGCACCGAGGCAGCTGATCAATATTGCGCCACTGCCCATTCTCACTGTTACGTCGGAAGCCAGCTACCATGCGCCGTACGACTATTGCACAGTGAACTTCCTCAAACAGGCAGGTTGTTCCAAGGCTACACATCTCGAACTTGGTAAAGTTGGTATCCATGGCAATGGGCATATGATGTTTATGGAAAAGAATAGCGATGAAATATGGCAACGTATTTACAGTTGGATAGAGCAATCTTAGGAAAGCTCTACTAGGATGTTTGGCCCTCGTTACCAGTATACCTCCGTGCATCTATAAATCAAAGTCATGGTGTTATTCACACCCTCAACTACTTCAAGGCTCTTCCAACTTCTTGCCGTCTTGACATACTCCGTCCATCGCTATGTCTTTCTCCGGTTCCGCACTCTTCTTCCTGATGTCCTTCCAACCCATGCCTAGACTGGCAACGACAGCTATACATGCTATAGCTGACAAGAAATAAAACACATTGCGAAGACTTTCCGAATACGCTCTCAACAGACCATCCAATTCTTCAAGTGGTACAAGTGCCCGCACGGCACTGGCACTAGATCCAGTATCAAGTACAATCCGAGGCGATACTGACGGTACGTAAAGTGAGATTTTCGAGGTGAGTGTTTGCGCGAAGATAGTGTTGGCAATAACGACAGCAACAGATGTGCTAAGGTTCTGAAAAAAGACGAGACTGGCTAGAGCAATGGGGTATTGGGAAGGCGGTATGGCGTTTTGTACTGCAATGATTGCCTGAAAGTGTCAGTGATTGAGCAACCGCTCGAGCAGTACTATGGGTTACCATCTGCATGCCACATCCTCGGCCAGCGCCCAGAACGATTTGATAGCCGATCCATACCGCGGTGCCTGTAGATACCGTGAACGTTGACACTAGAACATTTCCTATGGTGGTGATGACACCACTAGCGAGTGCCCAAGGGAGATAGTATCCCATACGTGATACTGATAAGTGTGAGCCAACATGTCCACGGAGTAGTCGGCACGAAGACATACCTGCAGCGCCAGTAGCGATAACAGCCAAAAGCTGACTCAAGATACTTGGCAAGACGTGTACGCCACTATCAGTAGGTCCGTTATCCTTCACGGCTTGGAAGTAGGTTGGCATCCAAATACTTGCTGTCATCATACAAGTGATGATGCAGCTGGCGTGCACGCAGCTGGTCCAGACAACGCGTTTCCCAAGCAGCTTTCCTGGAAGCATAGCCTGATCCCCCGCTCTCTTCTCCCAGAGTATGAAGAGGAAAGCGCATACTCCTGCGCCACAAAATAGCCCGATAACGACGGAGGAATCCCAAGCTTGAGCTCCGCTACTGCCAAGCTGCAGAGCGAGAAGTAGCATGACAGATGGAGGGACGAAGAGCACAAAGCCGAACAGGTCGAGATCAGAAACAACTTTGCGAAAAACGGATACGGTAAGACGTGGCTTCAAAATGCGCTCGGGAATGCGGACAAGAGTGATGAGCGCGGCTGCCGCTCCTCCTATCGGCAAGTTCATGTAAAAGCCTACGTTGAAGCCACAGTCAGCTTCAAGGACAAAACAAGATGTAAAAAAATACTCAACATACACCAACGCCATGTAGCATGCTCAGTAAGAGCGCCTCCAATAAGTGGCCCTGCGACAATTCCCATTTGTGCAGCTATCATCTGGTCAGCATTCGACCATGTTCACTTCCAGGCTACAATATGCGTACTTCCAAGTACTATACCGGTGTATACTGTAAACCTCATTTAGCATCATTCTCTAACGCCAACAGAAATCCAGACGTACCAGGACTCTTCTCTGCTGGAACAGCTGCAGCTAGCATTGTCATAGCGCCATTAACGATGCCCGAAGCTCCTAAGCCTGCAACCACTCTTCCTACGATCAGGAAAGCCGAAGAGCTAGCGACAGCGCAAAGTAGAGATCCAAGCTCGAATAAAAGCACGAATGTGAGAAACATAACCTGTGAGGCGATCAGAGGTATCCTACTCTCTTGGAAGAAGCTGGTGCTTACCTTGATACTGAGATGGGCATAGAGCTTCCCAGAAAGCGGTTGCAGCGTCGCACTGGCAAGCGTAAAAGCACCAATATACCAACCGACGTCAGCGAGAGAGTGGAATTCGGATGTGATGCGTGGTATTGCCTGGTGCCTTCAGTATTGATCTCTAATATCGGCCTCGTAGATTGTTCATACAGTACCCATGATGGATGTATCAAGGCAGACTAGGAACGTAACAAGCGTCAAGCTGCCGAGAAGAACAAAAAGTCGCAGACCACTGAGATATTGGTCCATTGGAGTGATGTTCCCATTATGTGCCATGTCGACTGCCTCCTATAGTCAATTCGATTTGCGCAGTATCGATCCAAGAAGTAGAGTTGCAGCGAGATGGCGTCAGATAGGTAGACAAGTATATGAATGCGAAAAGTAGAACGCGATGCAGGCATGCAATGACCAGATACAAGAAAGACAAGAAGAGAGATTAAGAAGGAATCGTCCATTGATGTGTTGCACTGTTTCGATGATAACTGTGGAGGCCTGAGCGTGATCGAACGGGTTTCGGGTTTGAATTGGACTTCAGGCAACCGCATCTGTGTCAAGGAAAGCAGATCGAACGCCGGTGCACTCAGGACGATAGATTAGCCACAACATGCTATGGAGATGTTCCTCCACTTACGATAAGGCTTTGTTTCCTATGAATCATACGTACGTAGGTGCATCGATGAAAGTCTAGTCTTGTATTTTTACGATCTGCACGGCTCCCTAATAGCGTGACCATGTAGGTATGGCCGTGGCACTTTCGCGTAAGTCAAAAATTGAAAGCACTAGGCATCCAAAAGTCGCTCGAAAAGTCCATCATCCCTATATCTCCAATCAACCCGTTGTTCCAGCCGTCCGCTGCGCTATTCATGATGTTATCATGCTCTCTTGTAGGGAGTTTCCAGTTTGGCGCCTTAACTCTCAGTGTCTCTGCGGCCGCAGCAAACAAACTTTCTTCGCCTGTTTGAGCCTTGTATTCGGAATTAGCCCGCTCAGCTATCTCCGCAAGCTGCTCTAGGCACTGCACTATGTCGACAGTTGATTGGACAATTGTTGGATCCCAGCCAGCTACTCCTTTGATGCTAGAGAGTCGGAATAAGATCTTGCAACAATAAGACCATATGAGCATCGATGGAGCTGTCAAACTCATAGTGTCGCCAGCCAAGGCGTGGTCTCGACAGGCTTTACATGTCTGTAAGAGTTCCATAAGGTATCCGATGCGCTTGGAGTCGAAGGCGAGTTGCGACGCTGCCATCTCAGTTGTGGACGATCTCAAGAGCGCGAGTTCATAAATGGCAACCTGGGCTGTTTGGGTGAGCCCGGTGATGAGCCCTAGATATAATTAAGTGTTTGAAGAGGTGATGGCATAACGATCTTACAGTGTTGTAGACATTCAGGTGCGAGCGATCTCTGGAAATTGCTAAGCGCCAGGGTAAGAGGATCAATAGCTATCATAGCATATCTTGCTGTACTGGGATCACCCAAAGCTCTTCGAGATATCTCGGCAGCACTGATCGCAATCTTCGCCAGACGCGCACTGGCAGCCAATATGCCGTCTTCTCGAGATTCTCGGCCTTTGCTCAAACAATCGCATGCGTCTTCCATCTGCGGTGACCAGAGCATTAGGTCGTATTCGAAGATTATTGAAACACTTCCTCGATCAGTTGAGCCAAGCCGAGGTCTATCAGAAACTCACTTCGCGCATAGTATGAAGACAGCTAGCAACGCTCTACTGCCTTCATTTGTCCGAACTTCCTTATTATCCACATGAGGACCTAGACTTGGACATCCCGTCGGTTGCGCAGGCTTGTCAAGACGAAGATCGCTCACCACCGTCTTCGCAAGATTGCACATGGAGCCCAGAAATTGCTTACCGTGGGTAAAGTACGGTGACCTAGATTTGGTTAATCACGAGAAGGCTATACGTTACAGTTTTCTCACCAAGCAATACACATGATCAGACTCAACAGCACATCAATACTTCTTTCTCCTTGCACTATGATCCTGGAAGCCAGCTGTTCTCGCAACTGCTTACTCAGCCGGCTTTGATGAGTGACCGCCTTCGTGAGCACGGTGCGGATAGCACGACAGAGCAGTGGATATCTGACGTGAAGATCGTCTGTGGTGAGGTTCTCCGATAGATACACGAAGGGAAAGAGATGCAGGTAAGTCGTCCGAAAGTCGACTAATTGCTCGGGAGTCAGGCGGTCGTCATTGTCGGGGTTATATGATAGTCCTTGAATAAAAACTGAGGACTCCGGCGTGAGTACGAGTTGATCATTGGGCGACATTGACACAGGCGCTGCATGCTGTGTACGAAGAAGCGAGACAACTTCATCAAGCTTATCCTCCAATTTCGACCTCTTTGGGACTGTGGTTGGTTTCGATGTCTTCCTACGCGCTGGGGATGTGGATTTACATTCTTTCCCCAGTCGATGGCATCTGTTGTTCTCAATTTAGCTCAGATGTCTCAAGAATGTGTCGCATGTCCTGCATCATAGTCACACAGGTGGCGAAGTGTACAACAGCGAGGACTCCCGCACTATGTCCATCCTCACCTGTCATACACAATGCGCAGATGCCTCTACACGCCATGCGACAGTCGATTTGGCGTGGGATGGTTGATGGAATAGGATTAATGACGCACCTGTCGCAGATGGAACTTCCGTCGCCGCGTATCATGCATCGGCATTTCGCTTTCACACAATTGCTACACGCTCTGCCATACCGAGCAGGAGTACTGCGCAACAAACCGGCTTCCATTATTGATTCCGGATCATGGTACACGTACGCGGACTAGATACGAGGAACCTCAACATTATGGCGGTGTTGGTGCGCGAGCTTGTAACACGGCGGGATGCGCTGGGTGCGGATTTCGCCTGAATTCCGTTGGGGCGGAATTCGCAGTCACGGAAATTGGGCGGGCCTACATCTCGTGTCACCTGCAGCCCCACACCTCTAACAAACAGCACACTCCTTTTCTGTACAACCAGTCGTGGGTAATTGAGGCATACAAGAACAATTACCTAAATGATCCTCATTGTTGCTCTTGTTTCAGCTATCGTCTTCCACACGACACAGTGCCCTTCCCTCACGACCTTTACGGCTCTCTTGTACGGACAAGAGTGAGGTCAGAGCACATACATCACATACCTGGGAAGATGCAGGTCGGCCTTGTTGGAAATCTAACAATGATCGTTCAAAAAGGGTATCTGTCCAAACTCCATGTCTACTTTGCACTGCACATCAAACATTGCCTTGGCTCACGCGCCGTGGCCGTCACATCTTCACGTCCTCACCTTCTCCTTGCCCTTTCTTAGTCTTTCGAATTCCCGCATGAGCTCCATGGCGTTCAGGTCAGCCTCGAATTTTCTGCCGATCCATTCGGTTTCGACCAATTTCGCCGCCCTGATACGTTTCCTTGTTCCGCTCTTCGCCAGATACTTCATACTCTTGACGATGCCGTCACCTGGGTACGCCACTATCCCTACAGCGGCTGCGCTCGTCTTCGTAACGAGGCCGGCCATTCCCTTACCAAATCCTTTGGCGTACCCGATCACACCCTCCTTTTTGCCGCCCTCGTACGTCTGACGGAAGGGATCCGAGAAACCATCTGCTATACCGTGAACGAAGTTCTTTCCGCCCACCTGGAAACCGGAAAGAGCACCAGTAACCTCTCCATGGTCTTTGACCTCTTCTCCATACAGTCTCGGTACGTTGCGGAAGCCTTCCGTGGTGGCGAGGGGAAGATCAACGATGACGCCTTTGTAGAACGCACCGACGAATCTGCCAAAGCCTTTGGCGACCCCACCAGCCACGCGACCTGCAGCAGCCGTACCGTTTGACTTGTCTGACTGCGTCGAGGCGGCTGAAGAGGTGACAGAGTGTTTCGGCTCGGTGAAGGGATCCACGACCATGCCCTTCGCTGCCATACCCATATCTCCGACGATACCGACACACGCAGAAGTCGTGCTTGTCACAGGGTCCCAACGTTGATTAGTGATGATAAATGGGTCCGTTTCGTGGTTCTCAAGATCTGAGGAAACAATCACACCGTTCTCGATCAATACTTGCGCAGCCAGTTTGGAGAGGAGGATGGACCCCTTCTTTGTTTTCCAGGAAGCCACCTCCGTGGGTAAAAGAGCACATCGCATTGTTTCGAGAGGCAGGTTTGCATGGAAAGATTGCGCAGCAGCTTCGACACCACGTTCGCTCGCCATCTGCGAAGATAGAGCACGTGCTGCTTGCTTCGCTTCGCGCGTGAGGCAGAAGTGGATGGCTGGTGTAAGGTTCTCGGCCGTCAGGAGTTTGTGGGGAATAGGCATCGGACCTGCTCCCGCTGCTGCTATCATCTCTCCCCAGAATGGTTGATCTCCAAAGAAGGGTACGATAACAGTAGGACACGCATTGCGTAGCCCACAGGCAGCAGTACCTGCTCCGCCGTGATGAACGACCGCTGCAACGTGCTGGAATAACCATTCATGAGGACAGTCACCGATGAACAGGACGTCTTTGTTGTCATTTGGCAAGTCGGCACCCAGGTTGCTCCATCCTCTCGAGATGATCGCTCGGATACCTAGGGCGCGTACAGTTTCTAGGATGCTTGACGTCATCTTCGCTGGATCGTCCAGGACGATACTTCCGAAGCCTATATATACCGGCGGAAGTCCACTGCGTAGAAAATGATCAATTTCCGCAGGCGGCGTGTACGGCGTTGGCTCACGAAAGAAGAAACCACAGACATCGATATGCGCTGCCCAATCCGCTGGTTTTGGAACCAATGCCGGAGACCAGCAATATGTGAAGGGCACTTTGAGCGTGGAAGCGAGCACAGGCCCAACCGATACAGGAACATTTTCCAGGTCCAGAGAATGGCGAAACCGATTGATGACGTCGCCAAGACCTTGCCATGTTAGGAATTCAACTACGCCGTAAGACGCGTAATTTATCAGCGCGGTTGAGATTTCGCCACCTTTGAAGTTTGCCAGCGGATGCGGAAAGGCTCGCGTACTGCTCCAGGGCATAGTAAACATAAGATGAAGTGGAATACCCAGCGCCTGAGCACAATGTACATGCGCGAAACTAGGCGGATTAGCGATGATTGCTTCTGCCACGAACGGCTGCCCAGTCTTCAGATCCGGCTCGATACATGAGTGCCAGCAGCCGTAGAGCATTTCTGTGATCATGTCTCTTTTCTTCTGGATGTCGCCTTCTCGCAGACTCTTCATTGAAGGGATCAGACCCGGATTCTTCACCATGTATGCCACTGCTACATGTTAATAGGGTGAACCAGAAAATTTGCAGCATGCAACTTCATTGACTTACTGAGCTCTTTCGGATCTCCACCGATGGGATAAAATTCTAGGTTTGACTCGTGCACAAAGCTTTCGAATGTGTTATGTGTCGCTATTCGCACGCGGTGTCCGTATCTTTGCAACTCTTGACCTAGAGCAATGAATGGTTGCACATCGCCTCGACTTCCAACAACTTGGATGACAACGTTTAAACGAATGCTCCATAACCTGTTGATGGTATATCGGCGACTGAGTTCTGGTTCTTCCTTTTCATGCTTCGGCACGAGTTTGACGAGTGTCTTGGTGAGTCGTGAGTTGAGGTCAATGTCGATGCGACCATCGTCTGCATAATATCAGCACCTGCGCACGACTGTGGGCAGTGAGAATCTGTAAACGTACTGGTTACACCGGTGTCCCCTGGCTGTGGTATTGAGCCGGTCAGCTCTTCCGCAGTATATGGTGGTGGTGCATCCGTGTGGTGTACTTCATAGTCGTGTTCGTATTCCACAGGCATCGGTGCTTGGGTACTATCTGGTCGCGCTCGCATACGACGTACGCCATTGCCTTGTTCAAACTCCACTGGTATTGGTGCTTGGGTACTATCTGGTCGAGGTCTCATCATGAGAGATTTTGAAAGATTTAGGATGGTGTTTGTGGCTCAGTCAGCTGTGGCAGCAGTTGGCGACCTTTATTACCTTAATCACCACGGCCTTACGGTTGGGATACGCCAATACGATATACGTAGTTCCGGCTAGCGTGATCCACGGATCTTCCCGCGAATCTAGCCTGATCGATAGCTTTAGCGCTTATAATGGGTCACTAAACGGCCCGAGATTGGAATAGAACATGAACAGAGAAGATTGGGAGAAACTACATGCGTATCTCGTACACAAGCATTGGGAAGCTGTCTAAGCTGTAGCTTGTGTATACGAAACGATATTTGCACCGCCACAATTCGACTCTTTAGCCTCCCGAGCTTTGTTTACACAATCGCCTACCATCCTAGCATGATGCTTTCTTCGGCTGCAACACCCGTTAGTGGCTTCCCGTCTCGACTTGATGACGCTTTAGCTCGTTATTCACAGCCGCCAGCTTGCGCAAACATGGGTCCGATGGCTTACTCTTGAGACGCGGACATATACAATCGCACACGAACGTACCCGCTAAATTCAGCTTCTGGTTGCCTTGCCAAAGGTGGTTTAGGTTGTTGCATACGAGGACTTCAGACACCAGCATCGTCAAGCTGTGCAGTAGTAGAAAGAGTTGCTTGTTGTTTGAGTTGGCAGCTCCTTCAACATGCTTCCATTGAATTCAAGGATCGTTGATGTCCAAACAGCGGTTAGCTCTCCTCCGACTCGTGATTCAGCTAGCGCATGCTAAAAGGTAAAAGTTTTGTTGCAAAGAAAGCATATTGATGATATCTGGATACATCTACTGATGTTACCGGTCGTGGCCGCTCTGGAGCCACGAGGAACCTAACGGACATTCAGACTGGTGAACGCAGATGACGTGCCGAGAGCATTACCCAGAATGTATCTATCGACTTAATCACGTGAATGATCTGGCTGCAGTATTGCTTAGTTGAGACTGACGATTCGTAGAAACCCAGAAACTTCATTAAAATAGCTCAGATGGAACATATTTAAAATTGCACGCCGAAGCGCAGGACAAACGACCATCGCGAAGGGGCGGAAATGAGTGTGAGCTAAAGGCGCGGTGAATATGTGCCCGATGATATTTCCTGTGATAGGGAAACCATGAAAACATCTACAGGATCTTACGCAAACAGACAGACGAGGAGAATTGGCAATGGCCTAAAGATCCAGGGAATCATTGCGAATACCGTTTGTGTCGACGTACACACCCCGCGTCATTGCAAGGAGGCGGTACTGGCTCGAAGCATCGTCGGCCCACCTCTCAAGCCCTGGGTGCATATTGTTCAAGGCGACGATGAAAACTCTGCTCAGCAGGCGAAAGCGGACGAGATCTATCAATTACACCGAGAACAGCGCAAAAACTTATTGATTGTGTTTCCGAGCAGATGTACAAACGAAGAGCCCTTAGTATATCCGGCGTTCATGCGCTGAATGAGTTAGCGTCAAGACATTTCTTCGGAGCACATACCGCCGAATTAGAGTCGGAACAACATGCGCCTAGAAATTGGTGTTTCGACACAAGTCAGATCTCATCTTGGCGTTCTTGGGCTTTCGAACGCCTCCACCATCTTGACTCGATGTCTAGCGCGTATAAGAACACTGGATATGTTCTTCACTTGAGCCTTGTTTGGAGCACGGTGTAGTTGATTGCGCGTCTGTCCCGTCCAGCTCATTATATCGAGATACTCAGGAATCACGTCGCTGGCTTGCTAGGAGAACTTTCGTGTTCTGACAGCTGTCTTCGTGAGGCTAGTCGCAGGCTAGTTATGTCCGATAGGGCCGTCCCTCCTTGTCTCCACTCCAGCCAACGCTCAAACTACTTCGCTATCGTCCTAGTTAGTATATTGAAACCTAGATATTTTTCCACCCATTCATCGACGTGGGCTTGAGTTACCGAGTGCTGTCACTGTAACTTCCACTTTGGCATGGATGGCGATCTCTGGACCCACAAATTCATCCCATTGGTGGTCTTTCTCCACACTGACAGCCAAGCATTCTGCGCAACAATGTCAAACAGTGGCGCCCGCTCCTATTTTGTACTTCCTATTTCGATTTGTACCTAGAGGTTCTCGGAATCCCTCAGCGCTAATGCAACAATCGAAAGCCGTCGGCTTTTGAGGTTTCCCCAGGTATGCACCCCAGGTTTACCATGCACATCCTGCTGTCAAGCCTCTATATCACGTATCAGCTCACGAGACCGCTATACACTAATACCTTTGGTGGAACACGAACTCCTGCTTGAAGTCTCTTGAAAGCCAAGACAAAAGTCATATATTCGCGGAGAAACTCCACATCGTACATTCTCGAGTTAGTTCCCCGACTCGTAGTATTAAGGGCGGCCAAGTTGGCGATCATGAAGCCTGTACAGATCCCAGCAGCCTAGATCCTCCAGCCTCGATCTTCCAGTATAAAGACATCTTCAACACCACTACCTATCTCGCCATCCATCACCTTCCTTCATCACTTCGGAGTCGATCTCTGTTCATTCTTTTACATTCTCTGAAACCAATACGTTCTCTTCCGCCTCTCATTTTGCCAACCTCACAACTACACCAGGATGCGTTTTTTCGAGATTGCCACCGCGGCTATGACCGCTGCCTCAACTGCTTATGGCGCACCTATGGAGAGACGCGCTGCAGCCGTTGACGAGCTTGTCGGATTCGCCGCAGGCACCACTGGAGGAGGAAGCGGTGCAGGCACCACTGTCACCTCCTGCGCTGAGTTGACTGCTGCGGCCAAGGCTGGCGGAGTGATCAAGGTCAAGGGCATGCTCACTGGCTGCGGCGTCATCCGCGTCGGTACCGCTGGCACCTCTATCCTCGGTGTTGGCAAGGATGCTGGTCTTACAGACTCTGGTCTCCAAGTCTTCAAGACCTCCAACATCATCATCCGGAACCTCAAGTTGTACCGCGCTCCTAAAGGCAAAGACCTCATCGATATTGAGGGCTCGACCAACGTATGGGTTGACCACAATGACTTTTCCAGTGTTGGTATTACCGGCGACAAGGACACATACGATGGCCTGCTTGACGCCAAATCTGGAGCCGATATGCTTACCTTCTCCTGGAACAAGTTCCACGACCACGTAAGTCTGCACCATGCTATCAGCTCATAACATAGTCAATGCTAACACCCACAAGTGGAAGGGCTCTCTCGTAGGCCACTCTGACAACAATGCCTCCAAGGACAAGGGCAAGCTTCACGTCACCTACCACCACAACTCCTTCGTTGGTGTCAACTCGCGTCTGCCTTCGATTCGTTTCGGCACCGGACACATCTACAGCTCCTGCTATGAGGGTGGTATCTCCGGCGTCAACTCGCGCATGGGCGCTCAAGTCCTCGTTGAGGCCAATTCCTTCACCGGTGTTGACAAGGCTGTTGTAACCAACTTGGACTCTGATGAGGAAGGTTTTGCCGTCGAGAAGGATAACATCTTCACCAACAGCCCTACTCAGATCACTCAGAAGGGTTCTTTCGCACCCAGCTACAAGTACACTGTTGACCCTGCGGCCAGTGTTTGCGCTATCGTGCAGAAGAGCGCTGGTGTCGGTGTTGTCACCTTCTGAGCAACGACGAATCTTGGTATTACAAGCTCACTAGTCTGAGTGAAGAGAGGTGAAGTAGTTGCGCGTTTGGTTTTGTACATACATTTATTTCTTGAATATACTTGCATTGTATCTATTCAATGCTTTCGATATGTTGTCACCACTTGCACCACGCGTCAGACGAACTTGACACATTAATACCAGCCTGATAGTTCATTGGAGCATGGAAACTTGGGTATAATTGACTCTAGTCTTGTGCGATTTTATGAACACACAAGCAGATGCACCTTCCACCATCTTCTTCTCTACTTATTCCAACCCCCCAATATTCTGCTACGACTTCTTTGTTGAGAATTAACCGGGGAATACCCACACGATTGAGAAAAGAGTAGCAATAACACCCACGATGACTAAAACTTCTGGTCCAGCCAAGATGCCGACAGGCAGCCCCTCGGTCGTAAATTGTGCCACGATGCCCTGAGTGAAGTTCTTCTCCGCCTCCACTAGCGCAATCTCCGTCCAGTTTCCACACCTGGAGTTCAGATCTGCATCGGCCGTGAGGGCAGGTAGCTTCGCGATGGCAGCATCCATCATGCGCGCGCTGGTCAGGGTACCGACGTTGGCTTTTTGCATGACGACAGTACGGTAAGAACCGTTGGCACCGACGGTCGACATGTTGGCTGTGCGTTCATAATCGAGACACAAATCAGCTTGCGAAGGTGTGGCGGAGACTTGGCGGACTTCGAGTTTGGTGTTGAGGAGGCCGCCGGGGAGAACAGGAACAGGGTTTGGGCCAGCGGCTACCAGATGAAAGACCGAGAGGGCGATGAATATGTTTGTAAGGAGTGAGGAATGCATGATGTCGTCGAGGTTTTTTGGGTTCGTCCTGAGGAATGGATTGATGGAGAGAGGGACGAGAAAAAGTAAGATATTATTAGAAAAATATTTTGGTGACCGGCACGCCTCAAGAAATGAATGTATAGACGAACGAAAAGAAAAGAAAGTTCGTTGCTGGTGAGGTTTGGTTCCACTGCCTGAGGTATACCAGAAGTTCGGGATGGAGAAAAAAGGCGACAAGGGAACAAAAAAATCAGGCCACTTCGACGTGATATATGAGGCCCCAAGAACGATGATGGCTGTCATTCATACTGCACTGCGACGTGGATTGCCGGATAAGGGGTGGTTATGAGGCTCATGGTGTATCAGGTTACATGGAGGCTCTTAAGCGCCCCTAGTAGGCGCTAGGGTGCCTCGTGGAGTATTGACGGATCGCGCCGAAATGTCATCATAAGTGTAAGCACCAGTAATTAATAGAGGAACTCTGAGGCGTCGCTGCAATAGATTCAGTAAGTCATGATCGAAGATGTGGCGGTAGAAAGAAGTGCGGCGTGGTGATGGGATGATTGGGGAGCGATTCTAGCGCGGGAAGATCGTCATCCGCGCACGGGGCATTTCATGCATTAGGCGTCTAACGAAAGCCCCGAACTCTCCTCTTTTAGCCTCTTCTGTCGATTATGTGACAGCCGCTGTCAACGTGCGAAACGACAGCACCTTGATCAGAGCATGTCTGCCTCTTCAAGTCTCTGTATACGACAAACGCCCGTCCCCGCCGAGTATCTTCATGATCTTATCTCGAGCCCCACCATCACGACAAGAACGCGTCGAAACTCCCTATATCGTTCATATTGAAAGTGCCTGACATGAGCATATCCCAGTCCTCCGTGAACTCGGGGGATAATTGAAAGTTGAAATCTTCCATAGCAATTCCACCAAAACCAACGGTACCAGAAGACGGCTCTTGACCGCCAGCCAGTGCCTCCAAGATCGGTATACAAACCTCGGCAGCTTGTTCTGACGCTTCTACCAATAGTGCAGACAAATCCGACTGGCTCATGTTATGTTTTGTCGCGTCAATCCAAACGCCAAGAAGGCGCAAAAGAAGGTAGCCCTTGATACCTGTCTCTCCAGCTTGTATGCATCGGAGATACCAATCCGCAGCATCTCCAACAATGTTTCGTAGAGGTAGCGGTGACACATGTAGGTCGTCCTCGTCTTCCTGTGTCCGTATTCTTACTTCATTGGCCAAGAACGTTGCTCCATGGAAGGTGTACATTCGGAAAAAACCCGCTGTGCATCGACACATGCGCGCTAGGTCTGTCTCACTTGAAGTATACGAGTTTTCACCTGAAGCTGGACACGCCATGCCCCAGATCTTGAGCGACGAGTCGACGGTAGCTTTCCTCGAATAGGCGTACACCGGATCTTGGAGTGCGGAAGCGAAGAATGGAACATGTAGACAGGTAATATAGCGCTGCATAATGAATTCGACAGCTTGCAATGAAAATTGCGACGGGCACGAGGTGGTAGAGGTAGTGTATGTTTGAATGGTGCGACGCAGGAGCTTATGTGCTGTTCTCAGGTCTGAGTCGATGCGAAGCGTCTCCCCATACGTTCCAGTCGATTTGATATCGTTGAGAAATTTGAGTACCGCAAGGCGAGCTGGGAGGGTTTTCCGTAAAGCTATGGAGATCGATGTGTGCGTATACACATCGTCTGCTTTTGCGAAGGGCTCTAAGTCTAGAAGTTGCTCATCATCAAAGTTGCCTGGTGGCGCTGTGTTGTAGTCGTCCGATGAGAAGAACGGCGGTCCACCTGACTCCATGCTCATTTGAAGCGACAGCTCGAGAATCGTGTTCCATATCCGGCGGCGCATCTCGGCTTCAAGGACCGTTGTTCTCGGCAGTTGTGACGGATCTTTGTGTAGACCAATGTATACTGCTGCTCGAAAGACCGCTCCTGCAGATATCCATACAAGCTCAGAGCCTACATCGACAAGCTCTCGTGCAAGGAGAAGAAGGATGCTGATCTGGAGATATTGAACACCAAGTTGCGATTTGAAGAAGGGCGATGAGAGCCAAGTCTGAGCCTCGAAAACCCATCGCACTGCTTCGGCTCGCATGAATACGTTGTCATCGTATATCATTGCACCAATAGCCAAGACCAATTTGAGCATCATTATGAATGCCATGTTAGGCTCTGGGTCGCTTGTCCACATGTGTTCGTACGTGCGCTTGAAGCTTGGGACGTGTAGCACGCGATACATTGTCTCGATAGTGCGGAGGTAGCCAGCAACTAGATCGTCGCAGACGTGTCTTGGGGGCAAGTCCCGCGTTGGAGGCGTAGGCCAAGTTGGAGAGCGGTGGGACTTGACCATCCGGGCCAGCGACTTAACTCGTTGCATGCTGGGAACTAGGTTGGATGATCTCATGCGGAGGTGAGGCTCCATCATCTCGATGATATCGCGGTACATTACAAACCCGTTCATCCAGTGGCTCTGACCAAAAACCCGATTCTTATGCGCAATGCCTCGAGAGATAGCGGCACCACCAGGCATTCGAGTATCCTGGATGACGTCGACTGTACAGGCAAAACTGCTGACAGTATGCACGGTATGAGTTGACGTTGGAGTGGAAGCTGACGGCGAGAAGACAGAGCTAGTAGTGCTTCCCGTTCGCGACAACTTGTCTTCCAATTCGGCAATGCGTGCCCTCATAGCGTCCATCTCGAACGAGGATTGGCTACTAACTACACCAGGCGTTGTGGTCGACGGAATTGAAAGCATACTCGATGCGCCCATGAACGTTGAGTTACTGTTGTGTGGTTGTATGGGTGTAACATGTACTGGGGCTGGCCTCTTGTCTGATACTTCACTCTCGTAAACACAAGACCCGGTCTTGCTTCTCAAACAATTATTGCATGGCATCTCTCGATTGCAGCGTATCTTTCTTCTACGGCACAATGTGCAAGAGCTGGATATGTCAGCTTCGGTTATAGTGGCGGGGCTACCAAGTTAACTCACATAGCGAGTCTCTTGCGTCTGCGACTGAAGTCGGTCATTCTCGATGATGCCTGTTCGTTCGATAAACGGGATTCAAGATTGTGGGTCAATGTGGTGAAGCTCTGTATAAGAGTAGGCGGAGCGGGAATAAATGTCGGTGACTTGATCTAAAAGTCGGATATGGCTGCACTTTTCGGTGAAGTGGACCAATAAGCACGCGTCCTTATCTCCGACTGGAATGAATACCGACCCCGAAAACCTCCTTGCTATGACGATATAACAGAAGTCTGAGTTGTATATATACCTCGTCGAAATGGACAGTGTAATTCCAATTAACTTCGCTTTCAGACACATTGATCAAAACAACTTCATCGCACGATCTTCGGATACAAGCTCACAATGTCTGCACGATCCACAATTCCAGACGCCGCATCAGGCACCAGCTCCCCTTCAGTCCCTTCCTACGACGTCGAAAAGGCATCTCATGAGTCAGTTCACGACAACAGTGAAGCAGCTACCGATGCCGAAATCGCCGCTCTAGGCCCTGCTCCCGACGGAGGTTTGACAGCCTGGCTCAACGCCTTTGGCGGCTTCTGCATCTTCTTCTGCTGTCTCGGCTTCACCTCTTGCTTCGGAGTGCTCCAGCAGTACTATTCTACCCACCAACTGAAAGACCATAGCATGGATCAGATTGCGTGGATAGGTAGCTTAGCAAGCTTCATCCAGTTTGCTGGAGGCGCTATCGGAGGACCGATGTTTGATCGTTACGGAGCTTGGGTGCGTATTCTTTGGTTGCACGAGACTGAAATTGTACTGACTGGCCGAATAGATGATGCGACCCGCAACACTCACCTACGTCTTTGGATTGATGATGGTCTCTTTGTGCAGCGAGTACTACCAATTCTTCCTTGCGCAGTCTATCCTCATGGGCACCAGCGTGGCTTTTCTCCAATTCCCTGCCTTTGCAGTAATGGGCCATTACTTCGACAAGCGACGCGCGGCTGCTCTTGGAATTGTGGCGTCTGGGTCTTCCGTCGGCGGCGTCATCTTTCCCATTGTCTTGTCCAAACTGCTCAACAGCTCTTCCCTATCCTTTGGCTGGTCCATTCGCATCGTCGCTTTCATCATGCTTCCCTTCATGCTGTTTGCCTGCTTCATCATCAAGCCGCGTGTTCCGCCTCGCAAGACGACCATCTTCATCGGAGAAGCATGGAGGATTAAGCGCTACGTGTTGCTCGTTGCAGGACTGTTCTTCATGATGATGGGTATGTGGATACCGGTCTTCTATCTCCCAGTCTATGCTGTCAGCCGAGGAATGAGTCCGTTACTGGCATCCTACCTTCTCGCCATGATCAATGGATCTTCGACATTCGGTCGTATCATCCCAGGAATACTGGCGGACAAGCTTGGTGGGATGAACATGTTCGCCTTCGCGGGCGTTGGCACCAGCGTCATGGTGTTCTGCATAAACGAACCAACGACCAACGCTGGTATCATCGTCTACTCCGTCTTCTTCGGTTTCATATCGGGCACCATCATCTCAGCTGGCTCGGCAGCTATCTCCAAGTGCACCAAGGATCCGAGAAGCCTTGGGACGTACATGGGCATGGGCATGGGTGTTGCCGCATTTGCTGTCCTCATCGGTCCTCCTATCAACGGTGCGTTTATTGATCGGTATGGCGGCTTCAGGGAGGTATCCATCTTTAGTGGTGTCGTGAGCTTGATGGGTGGGTTAATCGCATTGTCTGCCAAGTTGGCCACCACGGAAGGTATCTTTGGGAAAGTCTAAGTCGGTATGCGCTGGAACAGCAGGGCGGGTAGGGGCGATGATAGGTGAGATTTAATACGTCAATTGTCAGTTACGGGTTAAGGATAGAAGGGAAGCAGGTGGATGCTCATCAGCTTAATTGATTATTATATCAGCGGGTATGAGATATGGAACACGATTCGCCAAATGCCAGTAATGAAACCTATATATCATGCACCACCTCATCACATGTATGCGTTCGCGCTCATGTGAACATGTCTTTCGTTTTGCAAGGGCCCATGGGTGTATCTTGGGTGCGTAGCGTGTCCGATACGTGTAGATGGGTCATGTCGCTTATGCGGGAATAGGCTCGTAGGTGTTGTGAGCTTGACGGTTGGAGAAGAGGTAGTAAATGATCATGCCGACGACGGGGAAGAGGAAGACGACGAGTGCCCAAAGCACCTTGTTGGGGACGGGGCGGTTGGACTTGAAGATTTCGACTGCAGCACGTGTTAGCTTTGAACGAAGCGCGACAAGCGCGGCGTGAGGGACGCGGTTGCTGCTTACTCCAGGCAATGATGTCGAGAACAAGGACGATGAATCCAATGATGCCACCGCCGGTACCAGCTTGCCACGGCTTAGCTGACTGCACCGTCATGGGAGCTGCCTCGGCAAGCATGAACATAGACAGCTGGAGGAGCAGCGCGAGGACCAAATTCATCATGATGGCGGTATTGCGTGATGTCGAGGTTGGTCGAGTGAAGAAGATGTGATGTGGTTTGGTTTTGGGCAATTGTGTGCGGCGCTGCTGCCTTGTATATGAAGCGGCGGGGCGGAGCTGTTTGATGTCCCGCACAGACGTACGTCACTGGAAATACTATCGTCACGCGACACGCCCACCCAAGGTACGCATGCATCAGCCCGCAGCGTATTTGGCACATCTCTGCTCCAAAGAGACACGGCGCGCCTGACTCCATCCGTGCCCTCTCCGCCGACTCTCTTGGCCCTTTCGAACAAGCAAAGACTACCAGACACGACAGACGCGAGAGGAACGCGTCGTCTTCATCACCACCTAGTCAGCTGATGCGAGAGCTCGATGCTCGGTTCCTACAATAACTCCGATCAAGCCACTATCCAAAAACAGCCCCGTTCTTGTCCTGTCGCTCTTGTGCCGTCTAATACTGTCCAAGCACAATTGCATAGTTTACTGTGCGTCTAACAATACGCATCTCACGGCTTACTGCTTGTGATGATCGCTCACTCAATCCATCCAAGCAATCCTCCCAAACAGTAACCAGCGAACAAGGATTTCAGTAAGCGGCCACTTAGATCCAGACCCGGAGCGCCACATTAATTTGCAAACTCTGCCTCCATGTGCTGCCCAGGATGCATCGAGCTAGAAAGCACAGCTTGACGCTTGGAGTGGGGGTCCAACGGGTGAGTAAGCATGGGCTAGATTGCGGAAATTGGAGCGGTTGTCGAGACGGGATTGCTTGACAAGGTACGTGGAGTGATATAGCCATTGTGCATCGACTATGGATTCATCTGACGACCACATACCAAGCTTGTGGTATGCGAGACCATGCCGTCAAATCAGCAATCTCAAGGGGCAGTGTGACGTTGATGTCTTCCATCCGTAGTGAAGTAATGAATGGAAAACAATACCCAGCTTTGACAACCACAAACATGCCTTCTCTACCTGTTTCCTTGCTGAGATTAGTGCCACGCGATGAGGTGAAGGACAAAGTGGAGGATTGTGACGTTTCAGCACGCGAATAAGGACGTCTGTGCCGCTTCCCCACTTCATTGGACGCCGTACGCCATTAAGTAAGCAGAGACCTCCTTGTAAGTTGTAGAGTAGACAGTGTAAAGGACAGTACCAAAGTCCTGACTAGACAGGCAACATGTCTTAGTACCGTCGGGGTCATCACTGGCCAAATGCTGCTTCTGATTAACCACCACGCACTTCTCACGTAACACAACTTGACTCAGTCATGGCACGGCATTTTGAAGTAACATCGCAGCCTTATGAGTCCCAACAGCTCATCTGACATCCGCCGTACTCGTTTCACAGGCACGACATATATCTATTGGCACATGGAAGACCCCACATTACACGCTGGAGAACGCCACCTCATGTGAATTCCAGGTGACAGCTAGCTTGGTTGACAGGGTTCTTGGTCACAGTGATTTGAGCATATTCGGGATCGTTACCATTGAGCAAAGTTCAACATAAGAGTAAGAACCCAGTAAAAGTGTCTCAAATGAAGGGGCAACCAGATCGTGATGATTGTAGTACGGAATGATTTCAAATGCGCTCACCGCTGCACTCACGTAGCCTCAGCTGCGGAGGAGGGCGAGTCATAATCGACATCCATGGCTCGCAGCTTGGCTTCTACAGCCGCGACAACTTGAGCATCAAAATGGTCTCCCTTTTCAGTCTTCCTGACACTGAGGATTGTTAGCAGTGCACATGTGAATGTACTATCATGGATATGCTCACGGTGATCTTGTACACTTGTCGCATCTTTCATGCCCGCACCCAGGACACTGCGGCGAGTTGTTGTGAAAGAGGCCATTGCACTTCTCGCACTGCCATCGCACCCTTTGCCTGGGCTTTCTCCAAGTCCGTCTAAACTTGTCAAGCTGCTTTTCCACCTCGGTCTCGCTGTCAGGCTCAGCAGCATCTCCTGGATACCCATTGGGCCACTTATTGAGCTTGGCAGGCTCACGTGGACATTTCGTACAGCGGACATGCTGGCATTGATCGCAGACGTTTGCCGTTGCGGGGTTGAAAAGTTTCTCGCATACGTGGCAGGTACGTCGGATGCGTTGCCTTGCGGGCTGGTATACCAGTTCGTCTCCGCCTCGCGTCCGAATGGTGAGCATTCTCTTTCGTTTCGGCTGTTCCATGCCCTCCTTTTCAGCCTGCTTCTCCTCGGGCGTCTTCTTCTTCGGGTATCGCGGACATTTCTTGCATCGCTTGTGCTCGCATTGCAAGCACACCTTGTCAGCGCCGTAAAGAGTTCCGCATCGATGGCAACTACGGTGGACACGCATACGGATCGACTTCTCCACTCGCTGCACGGTAGGCTTAGGGGCTGGCGCAGCGATCCACTCGTGCGATTCTAGAGTAAGGCCGTACTTTGCGAAGAGAGCACGAGCTCTTTCCTGCTGCATAGCGTTGCGATCCATTTCCTTGGTGGTTGGACTTGCTGGTGCTGATACGCCAGAAGTCATGGGACTATAGAATCAGTATAGGAATCTAGAGTAATGTTAGATATCGAATACTCACGTGGCGGGTGTGACATCCGGTTTCGCTTTGTCCTCTTTGGCGGCATCCTTCGCGACTGGCTGTTGTTGCCCAGCCTGGGGGGCGGAAGACGCTTCAGCCGCTACGGTCGGCACACTTTTGCTCGACTTCTCCCTCTTGAACACGGTGCTCATCCTCTTCACATATTTGCCCAGAGTCCCACGCTCCACATTCTTGCCCTTGTCCGGCATGCCAGTATCGGTTGGTGTCGTCATGGTGGCGGTTGGGCAGAAAGTATGCAGGAAATGCCAAAGCTACAAAGGAGCACTGCTAACTTATGAATAAAGTTGGAATGGACCCAGGAATATATGATCCGGTGCTGAGGTCGCGCCGTTGAACGTCAGACGTGCATGCAGCTCAACTAAAAATCCCTGGAGTCTGGCCACTGGAACTTTGCGGGACACCGAAGGTTTGGTAAACTGTAATCTACTCGACACCCAAGGACTGCCCTGGAGACAAGGGAAAGGCGCACAGGTCGAATTAACCGTTTGTCAAAGCTGGTCGGCGAGCCCTGGCGATGGCGACGTGACAAAGGGTGGCGGCTGCAAGTTATGTATGTATGTGCAGAGGGCTTCGCATCAGACCATGGCCCGGTTTCCCAGTGGGCTGGAATCGACCCCGAACTACTCACAAGCGTCGCTAAGAGAGACAGCGCGGCCCGTTGGTCACAAAGGCGGACAACACCAGGGCACTGCAAAGGTATGCTACGGCTGAGTACGGCGAGGGACTTTTATCGCTGGGAAAATCGCCGGGCAAGACGAATAGCAGCTCGCAGTTCAGGGCTCAGGTTGTGCACGGGGAAGCAGTAGCACACGACGGCTGCATGCATTCTGGCTGCAACCGAGCCTGCGTCGCTGTTTGGTGCCCACGGCTCGAGGTCTGCTGCGGGATCGCGGCGGAGCTGTCGCCCTTCTAGGCATCGATCGCTCTGCCTGCCAGCGGCCACCAATACCGAACAAGCACTTTGCCCGCTCCGCGGAGCATTTTGCCCGCAGCCTGGGGCCCTCTCTCCACCAAGCTTCGACAGGGCTCAAGAGCCTCTGAAACCACCCATCAGGTCGACGTAGCTGGCCATTGGAGTATGCAATCTACAGTGCTGTCTGTACTCATCGAAACAATTCCCCTCCCTCCCCCCACCTCGTGCGGTGTCAGGCACTACCCACATGTCGCTCAAGCTTTATTATCCAGCAAATGAGCAGCTGCCCGCCATATATATTTGCATCGGTCTGCACCGCAGCGACTCAGCAAATCCATGCTCCATATCACATCGCCTCATCGCTTGCGTCGCACACGCGCCTACCAAGAGGCACAACGCCGTGGGCAATGCACTTGTAGATAGTCGGCTTGCTGTGCTGGCATGCGTCGACCCTTCTGCCATGACATGAACGAGGGCCAAGCAACGATGTCATTGACGCCGCAAGAGGTAACTGCGTAGCACCGAGCATCTCGCCGCCGGCGGGTTTTGGGCATGTATGCAGCTCTACCCACGGGCCGGTTCGGGGCTTACGGCGGACAGTTGGAGTGCCATGTCGAGCCTGACAACGACGAGTTTCCATGTGCAGCGACCCTCAGTGATGCGCTTCCGCGACGCACTTCACCGGTGGGGAAACTGGTCTAATCCTGGTCTGCCCGATGACCTGGACAGGTGGAGACAACGCCCCTCTTCGCCTACTCCGCTTGATCAATCGGCACCGTCAGCAAACTTTCATTAGCAGCGATGCCGAACTTTAAACTTTACCTCCTCTATGGTTTCTGGGATCCTCCAGCAACCACATAGGATTGCGCGACCTCACATGTCCTTCTTTTGCAGTCGGCGTGTACGGCGCATACTTCTACCGGCAACTTCCGTTCGCCGACCCGGCATCTCCGCCGCGGCTGGCCGCCGTTGGGCATTGCGGCTACGTTATCGATCGCAGAATCCCAGTATTAAGATACATCGGCCCTTTCACACGACGCGTACTAAACCTAGACGACTGCGACATCCCAATGCGACGTCAACACCGGATGGCATCTGGATGCTCGCAGCCGAAATTGCATTGCATGTAGGCGTGTCGCAAGATTAACCTTTGGTCTGGTAGAAAGACCATTATTGACTTTAGTTGAGGGACATGGATAGCACAGAAACATACAGTATCACCGTCGAGACACATAGAGCGGCCATGTGTCAACAACTACCCATGGCTTTGTGCCGCCATCATAACACTAGCAGCTTACACTAAATGCTTTTTGCGGCTCGATTCACTACTGCTATCACGTATTGGCGTGCCAAACCCCATCCGTCCAGAGGGTATATACACTTAATCTCGCGTCGAATGACCATAATGGTATACCCATCGAGCCGTGCGGCGTGTATCGAAAAAAAAAAAACATTCCTTGAATCTTTTGATCCCTGACCTTCGTTACCAAGTATTCTACGGTCCCTGAAACGCCACCCGTCACCCTGGTGGAAATGGGCCTTCGGATCCGAAGCATGAGTCAGTATTCTTGGCCAGAACACTACTGTGGGAACAAGTTAGGGGCTGGGGTGTTGTCGGTCCCGTGCGTTGCGCGTAGAGCTCAGTCCTCATCCGCCGCCTCCGCAGATTCCGTCTCTCCACTCTTTCCCGGCGTTTCGGGTAACTACGTCTGAGTGTCGCTGTCGTTTTGAGAAGCTGGTATAGTAGGATCGTCCATGGTTCTCCCAAATGAGAGGTCCATGAGCCCGACGCTGCCGGAGAGGTGACGCGTGCTCGGCGCTGACTGATCTTGCTGTAGATGGCTTGTAGAGCGGGTTTTCTTGTTTGAAGATGCAGGGAATTCGTTTGATCGACTAGCTTTGAGTAAATAACATACAGTAAGAACTATGTGTAGGGCCTGGCAAGCATCTCGAAAAGTGATAATATCAGATTGCGCCCATCGTACATGATCGACATCTGTGGAAATGGCGGCCACGTCTGCCCATCGTCGAATGTACGCTCTACCTGAAGCCGCATATGGCCCAGTCCCAAGATTTCGATACCCGCTCGAAAGTCGCAGGAGGTTACAGAATAGGGCGTCAAGCCACAATCGATCAATTGGTCAATCAACCAACCAAGACTTCGGTAAGAACTTGAGAACAGAAGGAAGGAGCATAGATATGACAGTGATTATTATGCTTTTTCCAAAGGCTGTAGACCAACACCTAGGTTTGCCCGGAGTTCTTGCTTTTGGGCGTGCCGCAACCATGTCTAGGTGCTGGCTTGCGGTTGGAAATCTCGGGCTAACCCGTATACCCACTGAATGTGCACTGGCTGAAGGAAGGCGAACGAGATCATGTTCTGCTCGCTAGTTTTGAACACCACAGTTTGAAAGTGGAGAGGTATGAAAAAAGAAAATAGGATGAAGCCCAGAAAGACGCGCGTTTCGTACACTCGCACACCCCGTTTGACGGGTCTACACAGGAATGCGGGCCTCGGCCTTTTCATTGTCTTGTGACATTTAATGTCTTTGTCATTGGCTCATGGAATGCAACCCGAGTTGAGCAAGGAAGGTGAGTTGAGGAAGAGGATTATACACAGGAGTATTGAGTGACACGAAATGAGATGACGCCATTCTAAATCAACAAGACGAAAGTATACGTGGGAGAGATGAGTACCAATGTTGATGTATTCAAATCAACAGCAACGAATGCAACGCTAAATACAAAGCCCCAAGCCAACTCCCCAAGCCCGTACAAGACCCATCACTCGTACAAGTCTGCAATCTACAATCTACAATCTACTCTCCCATCCCCTCCTACCATCTTCGCCCTCCCACCTCTCAGGCCAGACTTTGCTCAAAGCCTCCCAAATGTGGCCGACAAACTCGATCTTGAGACCCTGTGTAACTTCCAGCGGCAGATCCCTAGCATCCTTCCTGTTGCCCTCAGGTAGGAGCACTCGCTCGACGCCAGCTCTCAATGCGCCAATCAACTTCTCTTTGATACCGCCAACAGGCAGAACCTTCCCACGCAGCGAGATTTCACCAGTCATGGCGAGCGTGGGCGGGACAGGTTGGTTCGAGAAGAGGGAGATGAGTCCAATGGTGTGAGCAAGACCGGCACTAGGACCGTCTTTGGGAATAGCACCAGATGGACAGTGAACGTGGATGCTACGAGTCTTCATAATATCTTCGTCGTGGCTTGCACTCAGACCAAGGTCGAAAGCATGAGCCTTGACCCATGTCAAGGCCACCTCTACACTCTCCTTGAGAACGTCACCCAGTTTTCCGGTTAGCTGAACGCGGCCGGAACCGGGCATATCCGCAATTTCGATGAAGAGGATCGATCCTTGGCCACCGGTGCTATATGCGACTAGACCGGTGATGACACCTGGCCGCGAGGACTGCTCAGTGAGCTCTTCGGCGAACTTTTCAATGCCGAGCGTACTGTCAAGATCTTCTAGAGTGACGACAGGGGAGTAGGCCGCCAACGTGTTTGTATCTTTCGCCGTGGCGTACTCAACAGCCTTGGAACGGCAGACAGAACCGATTTCGCGTTCAAGATTCCGGACGCCGGATTCGCGTGTGTAGGATGTGATGATTTTGTCAAGCACGTCGGTAGGTATGCTCAGGTCCTCGTTGCGGAGACCATTGGTCGTGATCTGCTTAGGAATCAGGTGTCTTGAAGCGATGTGCCTCTTCTCAAGTGTGGTGTAACCAGAGAGCTGGATAGTCTCCATACGGTCGAGCAGCGGTGGCGGAATAGTGTCGAGCGAGTTTGCGGTGGCGATGAAGAGGACCTTGGAGAGGTCGATGGGTATGTTGACGTAGTGGTCTGTGAAAGTGTGGTTCTGCTCCGGATCGAGTACCTCAAGCATGGCTGCGCCGGGGTCGCCATTGTGGTTTGACATGCCCAGCTTGTCTATTTCGTCGAGCAAGAAAACTGGGTTTGCAACACCAACTTTCTTGAGTCCATTAACGATGAGACCGGGCATGGCAGCGACATAGGTTCTACGATGACCGCGGATCTCTGCCTCATCGCGCACGCCACCAAGTGATATTCGGTGGAACTTGCGGCCAAGCGCAGTAGCAACTGATTTGGCCAGTGAAGTCTTTCCCGTCCCTGGCGGTCCGACAAGCAGCAGGATTGGGGACTTGTCGACCATGTGCTTCTTCTCCAACAGTCGCTGTCCGGCCTCTGAAGGCTCTTTTGCAACTCTGTCTTCTGGTTCCTGATCCTTGGCCTCATCCTCTCCCTCGGGTGTTTCGGCGAGGGCGCGGATCTGATCGTCGATGGTCCTATTCGCCTGCTCTTTGAGCTTGAGGACTGCTAGGTATTCCAATAGTCGCTTCTTGATCTTTTCAAGACCGTAATGGTCATCGTCGAGCTGCTTCTTCGCCTTGACCAGTGTTTGCGCGTCGAGCTGGTCGACAGTCGTCTTGGTCCACGGTATCTCGGCAAGATTCTCGAGGTAGTTCCTGCAGACCTGGTATTCTGCTTGTGCTGGGTTCATCTTCTGCAATCTTGCCAGCTCACGCTGAGCCACCTTGTCGGCGTCTGGAGATAGCTTGGCGTCTTGTAGCCTCTTCTTCAGCTCGTCAATTTCGCTCGGTTCTTCTTCACCTGCCTGTTGTTGGCCGCCACCAGGAAAACCGGCAGGGAAACCAGCGGGCAGGCCACCGCCCATCTTGCCTCTCCTTGCTAGGGCTTCTTGCTGCAGCCGGCGCAGTGTGTCCATATCCAAGCTGCCGGCCTGTGTTTGTGTTGTGGTGACTGTCATGCGTGTGCTGCCCTGGATGCTGCTGATTTGGCGTTGGAGGATCTCGATGACCCTGTCAACTCTCTCCTTGACATCCACAGCTGCCAGCACACGCAGCGTCTCCTCGTGTGTGCTCTCGACGACATTCGCCATGAAGTCGGCCAGCGCACCAGCCTCTGACAAGTCCTTGCGTGTGATGTACATTTCGAGCCTCCGGGCGACGATGGGCGAGAGCGTGACTTGCGGCGTGCGTGGGAGGATGGCGGAGAGGCGGACGAGGGCGAGCAGCTCGCGCGACAGCTGCTTGAGGAGGTTGAACTGGTTCAGGAGCTCTGCGCTCGCAATGTCGATGTACTCGTCGACAGCCATCAGCTCTCCCTCAAAGTAGGGCCTCTCCTGCACAACGTCGACAACCTGCACTCTCTCCAGGCCTTCGACGATCAGACTCAGATCGCCCTGCCGTCTGCCTTGCACGCCATTGACCTTGGCGACACAGGCATATCCAAAGATATCCTTTTTGGTCGCCTGCATCGGATCACTCTCGTACACCGTCTTGTCGCCCTGGTGTCCATCGTCAATCAGCAACTGGCCGTCCGGGCCAAGCGTGTTGGAATTGAGCGGCACACAGGCCACTGTAATAGCCGCGTCGGGCTTCGCGGTAGGGCTGATGCTGTATATCTTCGCGAGGATGGCGGCGACATCGGAGCGGTTGGTGATGGGGATCTTGAGTGTTGTGCCCGGGAGCACAGCGAGGGGCGACGCGAGAGGGATGAGTGGCAGCACCTTGGTGCTGGTCTTGGAGGAGCCTTTACCCATCATGAGGTGCTGACGATGGGTTGCTGGGTTGATACAAGGAACGTTGGAATCAAAGGGGCGCGATGTCGCGTGGTGACGTGCGGACCCGCTGGGATGCCGAAGGTGCGGACGCCCGAGCGATGTGAGGCTACGACACGTGCAGCGCGAAATAGAGAGATAGAGCACAACAATGCAATCTGAGAGTGGAAGCACGCCAGTCTGCTGCAGTTCCCCGTTGTGTTAACGTCGAGTTAAATCTGATGCGACGCCCATGTGACCGGCAGAGGAGGCGCGATAGCTTCCAGAAGATGCTCTCACGGGCCAGACCGAGGTTAAACCAGCCGCTGCGAATCACCTTGACCGCGTCGCCATCTCCATCTGATAAGATCATCTCCGCATCTCGGTCGCCGCACGCCCAAACTGGGCAAAGAGTACGGTGAACAGCATGACGTTTAACCCTGCCCCGCATCTTATCTAAAACTTCTTATCCATGAATGGACTGGAATGCAACATGAGCAACTTGTATGTGCGCAGCCGTTTTACTGCATCCTGTAGCTCAATCCACGTCTCGTCCAAGGTGCAATATTATTTCAACTAATATAGTACTTTTACGCCCATGTACCCTACTACTATACACTGGTACATCGCATCTATGCACAACTCCTCCTCAACCCCTCGTGCATATACAATGAACAACACCCGAAAACGCGTATCGTCATCTGCTTGCGCCAAGCTTAGCATAAATCCACCCGTCCAGTCTTGACAAGCTCCATTGGAGATGTGAACGGCTCGCATGTGCTATCCTACCCGCTGTTCGCCAGACACATGGGCCCACCCTCTAGAAGCCTTCCTCATCGGGGCAATGTTCAAGCTCGACTTCACATAGAGACAAAGAACCGACCGTGCTTCTTTCTGCATGAGCCAGTGGTGGCGGTACTGTCCAAGCAATCTTCACCCTAGTGTTGGGGTGTTCCTGCCGTGGGTAGCCGACGACATGCTGTAAGGGGCCTACCAGTACCATTAGTGACCTAGCCCCTTCGTCGTCGCTCGTGAATGGCTCACCAAGACTTTCTTAGCATTCAGAATGCGCCAAGCAAGTCGACTGACTGTACCATCTGCCTGGACCACTTCAGGGGCAAATTCTATGCCAAACCTAGACATCATCAGTAATCTCTACAGGGTACGCACAAAGAGAGGAGACGTACATTTGGTGGACTGCAAATACTACCCGTCTCGCAAACTTCCCGTCTCTTTCAACTAGGCTACCAAAAGGCTCCTCGGGAGTAGATGGAGCGATTTCAGGATCGTGGTCGAAGCAGTTCTGGATAATGGGTAGCAGGGTTTCTTCCACGGCACGTTGGATCGTGCCATTAGAATCCACCTCCACATCGTCTTCATCGAACCTTGGAATACGAATCTCGAAAGCTTGCGAGAGTGCCATTACGTGATGCCGACTGCCGTGGTGATAGCGGAACTCAAAGACACCAGTGGTCCACCAGAGCTTATCTCCGCGGAATTCTACCTCACCAGTGTAGCAATCAGACGATTCCTCGTCGGTGGCATTGGCACGCAGGAGTTTATCAGAGACGAGAATGCCATCATCAGCTCGAGTCGAGTCAAAGACGTCTGGATTGGTGGCTACCCATCGCCCGTTAGAGCTGATGCGTGTAACGTCCCGGGATTGATTGTCGGCGACCATGTACAAGCCAATCCAGTCCTTCTTGCTGTGGTTGATGGGTGCTTGCCAACGAACTCTGATCGGAGCGCCGTACTCGAGGATGAGTGTCTTGAAGTCATTGGTACGGATCGCTGGGGTTCTTGCAAGCTCTCCTTCTCGACCACCATTCTTTTGTTGCTCTACCGTAGGCGGTGAGCGGATACCTTCAATCTCAAGCTTGTACTGTTTGGAATCTAGCCCAGATGGCTCCGATGAACGACCAGTGACAGGAATACGCGTTGGGTAAGACCTGAAAAGACTTGTTGTGTCCTTGACAAAAGCGTCGACATTGGCAGCCACTTTCGGTCTTGCACTGTCCAAGAATTTCTCGATGAACTCCATGGTAGAGTTGAGATATTCATCGGCTGCTGATTGCCACTGGCGAACCGGGTCTGGTAGTGCTTGGCGCACGGTTTTGCTGACACCAGACATTTCGCGTAAGTTTTGACCATACAACTACACATATTACAGTCAGTAAAGCTTGGATAGACAGATGGAACAAACTCGACATGTTGGCGATTTTCAGACGTCGTAACAACCTGCATAGGTGCGTGTAGTCGCCAGGCTGCTCCAAAACAGTTTGCACTCACCTTGATTACATGTGGCTTCTCGACGAACTGGAGAAACACAAGATTGAGAACATGTGCGGTCGTGGCAAGGTAGAAGATGGCCGGGTTCCAGGTGATCAGAGCTACCCCCCAGACACCAGCTAATCCAAGAACTCGCTCAGGATTGTTCAAGAATCGATAGATGCCAGAGTAAGTCAATGACCTTGAGGGTGGATCATAGAAAAAGTCCCCACAGAACCATCCAAACTCGCCAAGTGACTCGTAGATACTCATGGCAACCCAGAGCTGGAGTACAATCATACCTGCACCAAGAACGTGGCGAAAGAGAGTGAGGCCATTCAGGCCATCCGATGGAAGACTGTACATCTTCCATGCCACAGCGACGAAGCTTGCATGGCTCATGGTTGTACTCATATGGTACAGAGATTTCCATTGACGCCAAGCTTCCTCCTTGGTGTCGCCGTACTTGATGAAGTGTTTTGTCCAATTCTTCTTCTTGGACTGACGATCCAGAATATAGCCCAATCCTAATGCGTACCAAAGCCGCCACCCGAATGCGTTGATGAAGAGGAATGTTCGCACCGGCCAGGTGTTGGGGGTCAGCGTAGCCAAGCAAAACATGTAGAACGAGAGCAATACTACCGTGAGATCAATGGATCGGTGGAAATCCGTGTTAAGAGGCCCTACAATGTGGTGCGTTTGGGCAGGTTGGTGCTTGATGGGATCGAAGACTGGCTCGGAGAAGGCCACATCAGACTGGCTAGTTTTGGGTCGGTCTTCCATAGCAAGATCCCCAGAATTATGGCGCGTACGGCGGGGTGGTGGGGGGTTGTACAAACGATTTATGTGAGGCTCCTCTACTATCGACAGAAAGGCAAATTGGGCTGCATGGGCGATGATGGAGATTGCTAGGACTTTGTAGCTCGCCATCATGAGGGCAATACCATAATACCCAGCATAGCCTATCGAGTACATTGGGCTTTGGGTGGAGGCGGTGCGTTAGTGTCTTCTTCAACCAGAAGCATGATGGGGCCTCTTACTGCGGTGCCATCTCAAAGACGCCATCAAACGTCAAGCTTTGGTCGATGAGATAGAAGAAATCGCCCCAATACCTAAGAATGGTGAGCCATGATTCTCAGGCGCTATACAAGTAAGGTGGTTACCAAGCAAAGTCTTTTACAACCCTATGAGCGTCTAGCTTGACCCATAGGTTGAAAAGGAATAAGACGATACCAGTTGTCCATCGCAGGAGCCACAAGAAAAAGCTCTCTTGGGGGCGGTTGAAGCAGGCGAGGGCGAAAAGGCAGTACGACACGAAATCACACATGAGTATGAGGTCTACGACGCGCCTGAACACGAGCCACGTGTTGTACTCGAGCGGCGCCTCTTCAAACTTATAGTCGTTTGGGATCTTGGTCTCTAATTCCCGCTTCAAAAGCTTGTACAGCGCGGGACGTGGGTTCTTGCCTGATTCAGGCGTCTCGAAGATATGGCTTTGTTTTGCCCACAGGACGAGACGGTTGTGTTTAGACTGGCCATCGAGCAACCAGCCAATGCCAGCATTGTAACAGGCGCGCCAGAAGAGGAAGACGATTGCGAATACAGGTATGCGGGCGCTTTTGGGCAGTACGACGAAGGTCAAGATCAGGGCAGCAAGCACAGCGAGGACTGCTATATCGGACAGGTTCTTGGGTTGCGAGGGCGAGAGCAGCTGTGAGACCATGTCGTGAGTCTGTGGAACGATGAAGACTAGACGTATAGCGTCAGTAACAGCAGGTCCGAGTCTGGGTGGACGCGCCATGCATGCGTGATACTTGTTCTTGCGTAGGCACAGCACCAGATGAGACATACCTGTACCGTCTGGAGTTCTTCCATAGGTTCGCTTCTTGTTGTCATCTTTATGCTTCTTGTCTTCTTGGTCATTCAGCTCCAGGACCTTTTGTTTAGCATCGTCTGCGTTGTTGAGATGCAGTGGCTTAGCCGACGGCCGCTCTCGTAGCTGGCCGTCGTCTCCCTTGGGTCCATTGCTAACATCAGCCATGCTGGAGGAGATGAGGCAATTGAAGAGGTGTCGGTTCTTCCGGCGCGAACTGAGTGAGGGGCTCGCGGGTTATATTGCAGGGACGGCTACGGCGCGAGCTTGCCGCGACGCTATGCAAGCACTACGCGGTGGGCTGCTGTATGAACTGCCGGGATGCAGTCGAGGTGGTTGTTGGGGCCACACAGCGCGGCTCCGGGCTCCGTCTCTTCTGGACCAACCGTCATGCGCAGAGTGTTGAACTCTGGCTAGCGTGCGAATGTTGAACGTGTATGGGAGGGGAGTCGTCGTTCGCTTGTCTGCACGGCGAGGCGAGCAAACACGGGTGCAGGTGTGCTGTTATGACGGCACAGTGTGGGGCAATCCGCTCCACCCAAAACGGCAGCGATGGGCCGAGGCCATCTGACATGTGGAAGCAACCAAAAATCTGCATTTTCAACACTACGTTGCAACAGGACGCAGCTTCCTTGCATCCTGCGCCCCAACGACTAAACACTGCATCTTCCTTGCACCGTGTTTGCCCGCCCGTTCCTTCGTCCACGCTGGCTGCCGCTAGGCTGAAACTCAAAAAGGTGTGATCGAGAGCGATCGAACGACATGGAAAAATGCGGATCGAGTGTACACAACGCGCCAATGAGGGTGGGACTCTACCAATACGACCAAGTGCCGTGGGGTATTCTGAGACGTTTGCCTGACATGCCACCGTGTTCTCTCATCATAGAGAGCTTGTCCTAATCCTAAGATTTTTGCCTATAGTGAACTTGCTCGGCTTTTGCTGTCTTGTCCAGTTGGCCCCAGTCTGGATTCCAGGCTCATCATCAATATCCGCAAGTGAACTCTGTCGTCGCACTGGACCAATGCCAGCGTCACTGACAATGCGTTTTTCCAGAAGCTCCAGCGCCTTGATCTTCAAAGTGGTGATCGCCATCGAAGAAGAGAGATGGAGTTGGGCTAATTGTTGATCTACAGCAACCCGCTGACCCATGTATATATGCTGAGGTTGAAAGATTGCAGCCTCGGCGCTCAACAAGGCGTGCGTTTGTGTGTTAGCCAACACCTGCTGTCTAGCCTTGATATTCTCCAAGGGCGGAACAGGAAAAGACTCCCCGAAGCTCTCAAGCATCGTCACACCAACATTGCCAACATTACCAATCTCCAAACGTTCGTCCGGAGCGACATCCTCTGCGAAGAGAGGACTGTTGCTCTCCTTTTCGAACGGCGAGAGTACCGTGTCATCCGTCCAGCCGTTCCAGCTCATCTCGGTAGGCTCAGTTTGCACATCTACTGGATACGAGCATTGCGTCGAAATTGAAGCAATGTCCGGCATCGTTGATGAGATGGCTGTAGACGGCATTGAGATAGTCTCGGCCACGTAAATATTTGCTTTACAAGCCTGGAGATTGTTGAGGAAAGCCTGCTCGTCTCGTTCTCTGTGCTTGATCTCTTTCTCCAATTCACGCTTGCCCTGTTGGATTTTCTTTCTCTTCTTCCGGGATAATGAGGAGTCTGTGACCAATCGTCGTTCGGTTCGAGCTTGCTTTTTGCGCAGAACTTGTAGATAGGTAACACAATTGGCAAGACCGTCTTCTAGGACTTCCTTCTCGGATTGCAACTTGGAGATCCTGAAAGACCAACTGAGAGCTTCGTTGGCAGGGAAGATGTCATTGGTAGCGGCAACGCCCCACGGCTGGGAAGAAGCTTTGGTACAGTCCATGCCGCCGGTGGTACAGCCCTTACTGTTCCTCGAACCCGATAAGCAACAAGAGACAATGCGACTGTTGTTTGTGGTGCGAAGGCAAAGATGTTACGGATGCAGGCTTCGACACGGTTCGGCTAAGAGATTTGTTTTATTATAGGTGATTGTAGTGGCCATCGTAATGAGGACTAGCTACTTCAAGCGTGGGCTTGTTCAATACTATCAAAAGGCTGAGTGCTGCCTCGGATACCGGGAACGATAGATGCCATCGAGTCTCGAGCAGAGCAGTGGCGCAAAGTCTGGCTCTAGGCCAGAAGTGATTGGCAGCCAGACGCTCGACTCGTGATAATTGTTCAGCGGAAATTCCGTGATCAAGGGACGAGGCAAAGCCATGTGTCTTGGGACAATCAGAAAGGCTACTAAGGGTTGCGGGGAGGCTTGCAGCAGTCAGGCTCGCTACTAGGCTTCTTCGGTGTGGGCGGCTCAGAGCACTTGAGCCGTCATATTGATCGTATTATCCGCCACGTAATTGAATAACTTGTACAGGTGCTGTCCGGTGTCTTCGTTAAGATGGCTTTGGATCTATGATTGATGAGTCTACCGAGCAGAAGAAGGTTTGGTAGCTGTTCGGATGCAATCATCCCAGCATCTTCAGCGTTTCAGAGGAAATATCGAGATGAGCGACGATACTCGAATCATGTACGGCTTTAGCCGGGGGTGTTCGTATGGTCTTAGCGGTGGTGTTGTGATGCCTTATGCAAGGGTCAAGCCACATTGTGATTCTGCATGTAATGCACAGCGTCGTTCAAGGCGACGACTCATCGGTGAGATAGCATGATTTCGGCTGTGCGCGCATGAAAGGGAGTTCCGTAACAGCTGTTTGCACGGATGTATTATCAACACTCGTCTTAGAGAATCCCAAACCTTGGCAGATTCCGAGTGCTGAACGATATTGGAAGGGTGAATATAGCGGGTCCACAGATCTTGGCCGGAACAGCGTGCAAGTACAAGTACCTGCGTCGGTTCATGGTATTCTGACACGAACGATGGCCTTGTGTCCATGGTGCGTATGCCTAGGGCTGAATAGCAGCTTTCTGATGAGCGAGTGTGCGGACATGACCGCGCGCCACTATTCCGCGCTGGCGTCGCACCTCGGCATGCGACTATACAGGTCAGATTTGGATTTATCATCCCGGGCATCCTTATGTATCAAACTATCGCTATCGCTCTTCTGCTCTCACTTACTTGCTTCCGTTCATCTACTCGCTACGTTGGCACCGCACTTCGCCCACGCCAACGTCGATTCTGCCTAGCAGGGCGCTCACGTGGCCAATCACGTTGTGCTCACCACACTCAGTGTCTGACCAACCCAGCTGCAGCATACTGTGTAATGTGTCCACTCCACTGTGACGGCATCGCTTATGCAGCAATTGCTCGACCCCGCAATAGGCAGCGTGATCGTCACGAACTTGTCGTGGCCGGCCAGAGTTCGCGACCGAGGAACAGGCCGTCGTGCAGCATGTTCCTGAATGCTTTCATTTGGCATCGGTTTCCCTACAGCTGCTCAACGTTCTTGATCTCGGACTTCCGCCGTCCCTTCCTTAGTTGGCAAACAATGACGTCATCATTATGGCTTCACAACAATGCTGTACGTTCAGGTACCATGCTTCCGCATCGCCCTGGTGTCGGTACAATTTGTCCAGGCGGGGTTGATGTTGATGATGTGCTCGAGCGGCGTAGGCATTTTCGTCGTACCGCTGTCAATCGTGAGAAGAACGGATGTCTTGATTTGTTGCGAGTTTGCGAGTGATATTACCACTGCAGCCGCTAGCCAAGCAGTGTGGCAGTATCTGCTCACTGACGAGACTTTGCATTCGACACTATTCCATTAGAATTACTACCGGCCCTCTATTTACCGTCAGCTACCGCACGGCATAAGCATCCGAGTACCCACATTACGTACTTTTCGCACCATATAAGTATTGCGCAGCCCTCGGCATAGGGTGTGCTTAGTAGAACGGCTCTTGACGGGCATACCGATTTACGATACTATCCAAGCCCCTGCATCACGGTAAGATGGCGACCAAAATAATCGATATCCGGACAGACACCGCGGAGTCTGATATTCTTGCTGATATCAAGAATGGTTTGCGACCGAACAATGGTGGCGAAAAGAAGCTGCCTACGTTGCTGCTCTACGAGTAAGCGACGGTGTAACCGGCGTCAGACGCACGCTAACCCCACTTCTCTTCTATCAGCCAGGAAGGTCTCCGATTGTTCGAAGAAATCACATACCAAGAAGAGTGAGCAGCTTCACTCGTGGCTTATATGGACGTTAAGCTGATCAAGTTCGTTGCGCCAGGTACTACTTGACAAATGCCGAAATCGAGGTCCTCGAGACATATGCGGATAAAATCGCCGAACGAATCCCATCCAACTCCATCATCGTGGAACTGGGGAGCGGGTAGGGTCTCGGCTCCCACTTAAAAAGAGATTGGAAACGAGCCCTGTGCTTCGTGAGTACTAATAGTTGTGTAGCAATCTCAGAAAGGTGAACATACTTTTACAGGCTGTCGATCGTCTTGGCAAGGACGTCGAGTATTACGCTGTCGACCTGTCTCTTCCGGAATTGGAGAGAACATTCGGTGAAATACCTACAGGTAAGCAATTATCTCATAATAATTGATATTGCAGAGAGGGGGTGGGGTTTAAATCAAGCGTGCCACAGTATACACTATTCAGTGAATGTGGTCAGACCTGCATGAACCTGCATGTATGTGCGTCAACATGGTGGAAATCAACGCCCTTATCTCCTTATCACTGCACGCTACATTGATCTACGTGGATAACCCTTCCAATCTTGTTAACCAAGCATGCAGATGGATACAAGCATGTCAAGTGCTTTGGGTTGTACGGCACGTACGACGATGCCCTAGAGTGGCTGAAGACTCCCGAAGTCGAAGAGAAACCAAAGACCATCCTTTGGCTGGGCTCCAGCCTGGGCAATTTCAAACGCCATGAGGTGCCGCCATTCCTTGCTGGGTTTGGTGCAGTCCTACAGACTGGTGATACCATGCTTATCGGTATCGATTCATGCAAAGATCCCGAGGTAAAACTGTTATTACGAGATGCACGTAAACACACGCTGACCATATACTTCTACTAGCGTGTTTACCATGCGTACAACGATTGCAACGGTGTAACGCACAAATTCATCCTCAACGGCCTGAAACACGCAAACGCAATCATGGGCGAGAAAGCTTTCGATATTCAGAACTGGGAAGCCATTGGCGAGTACGACAACCAAGCTGGAAGACATCACGCTTTTGTCGCACCACTCAAAGACACTGTTGTCGACGGTGTCCCGATCAAACAGGGCGAGAAAATCCGCATTGAGGAATCTTACAAGTACAGCCGCGAAGAAGCGAAAGAGCTTTGGGAGCTGGCCAAACTCGCGGAGAACGTTGTATGGGCGAACGCAAAGGGCGATTACGGTCTGCATTTTGTTTCCAAGCCCGCAGTGTTCTTTCACACCAAGCCAAAAGAGTACGCGGCGAATCCAGTACCCTCTTTGGCCGAGTGGCGAGAACTTTGGACGGCCTGGGACGCGGTCTCAAAGGACATGATACCCGAAGAAGAGCTACTCTCCAAGCCCATCAAACTTCGGAACGAGTGTATCTTCTACCTCGGCCACATTCCTACATTCCTAGATATCCACATCGCCCGCGCCACCGCCGGCAAGCCTTCGGACCCTGCCTATTTCTGGAAGATCTTTGAGCGCGGCGTTGATCCTGATGTCGAAGATCCAACTCAGTGCCATGCCCACTCCGAGATTCCTGAAGAGTGGCCGCCGCTAAAGACCATTCTAGGATTTCAAGAGACAGTACGAAGCAAAGTCGAAGCGCTCTATAGTTCAGGAGAGGCGGAATCGAATGGCCATGTGTCTCGAGCACTTTGGATCGGTTTTGAGCATGAAGTCATGCATTTGGAGACTTTGCTCTACATGCTGATCCAGAGTGACAAGGTCTTGCCACCTCCTGGTACCAAGGTTCCAGACTTTGCAGCATTTGCAGCACAGTCGCAGACTCTGGCAAATGAGAACCAGTGGTTCACGATTCCTGAATCAGACATCCAAATAGGTCTTGAAGACCCTGAGGATGACTTCAAAACCATACGATACTTTGGATGGGATAACGAGAGACCTCGCCGTACAGCGCACGTAAAGTCCTTCCGCGCAAAGGCTCGCCCGATCACGAACGGAGAGTACGCCACATATCTGACTGAGACAGGAAAGACAGGTACGTAACATTGGAGTGGAGTCGCTGGTGCTGGCTTGACCACATCTCTGATCAAGATTCGCTGACTGTTCCGTGTAGCTATACCTGCATCGTGGTGCAAGCAGCCATATCCTAATGGCAAGGACACAAGCATCAGCAAGAGAGACAGTGTGGTGAATGGTCAACATAATGAAACCAATGGCTCACCTCAGAGCATTACAGAGGGCACATTTGTCCGCACTGTATACGGCATTGTCCCTTTGAAGTTTGCCATGGGTTGGCCTGTAGTCGCATCCTACGACGAACTAGCTGGCTGCGCGCAGTGGATGGGTGGTCGTATTCCCACGATGGAAGAAGCACGAAGCATCTACAGCTACGTCGACGGCATGAAACCAGAGTTTGAGAAATCGCTTGGAAACACGATTCCAGCAGTGAACGGGTAATATTTGTACTTCGCAATGCCTTGGATTCACGGTTAAGATTTTGCAGGCATTTGATCAACGAAGGGGTGTTCGAGACGCCACCACCGCACTCTTTGTCTAACGGCGACTCCGGCGCAGTATCTGATCTCAATCCACGCGATCTCTTCATCGACCTTGAAGGGACGAACGTGGGCTTCAAACACTGGCACCCAGTCTCGGTGGTCGAAAAGGGCAACAAGCTCTGTGGCCAATCTGATCTGGGAGGTGTTTGGGAATGGACTAGTACTGTGCTGGAGAAGCATGACGGCTTTGAGCCGATGGAGCTGTACCCAGGTTATACAGGTATGAGGGGACCCGACGGGCTTCTGCTCCTCAACACATGATAAGACGATGCTAAGAGTAGGCAGCCGACTTCTTCGACGGCAAACATAACCTCACGCTTGGTGGATCGTGGGCGACGCATCCACGCGTTGCTGGACGAAAGACATTGTGAGTAGAGAGCGGCAGCTGCAGCCGAGGCCATGTTACTAACGTGTCAAAGCGTCAACTGGTACCAACGCAACTATCCCTATGTCTGGGCTGGTGCGCGTGTTGTGTCGGATGCCTAAATTGGTGGTACCTGATTCGTGGTTTGCGTTTGCAGTGTCTCCAAATGCTGTGCTTAGTCCCGGCTATGGTGCAGCGGCGCGAGACCGTACGGATCGTCGGGTCACTGCATCTTTCACCGCAACGACGAGTCGCTTTTTCGTAGCAAAAGAGGCATTTCCTTTGGTCCGGCGCGAATGTGCATCACTTCTATGTTGTTGGATCCAGTCTCTACAGAAATCATTTCATCGTCGTGTAGTCACAGCCACTCGCTCTTTCCACAATTACGTAGTCAGCCTTGGGCTATGAGAATACACCGTCACGCACGACCATTGCACCTCACCCCGCTGCGTTAGCGAGAACAGTTCCAAACTACCACGCGTCTTATTCACTGAAGATTCTGCGGCCAGGCAAAAGTGTCGTCTATTTCCCTACTCGCATTAGCATAGCACAAACCCCACCTACCTTTTTCCACAACCACGAACCACGCAATTTGTTGTCAATCTGAAAGGTACAGCTTGCTGCAAGAAATGGGTAACAGCCTACTCTTTAAGTGGGAAGATTCAGAGGCGCTCAAGTAAGTTGTTTCGCAGTATTTATTTACTCGGGCTGCCGGAACCTTTCGGACGCAAACGCCCAACGCATATACTATCGCTGACCAATTCAGACACCACTGCGGGATCTGTGAGCGTCCCTTGAGCCATCCCGGTGCGAGAGCGTCTTGTTTCGGCAAGCACAGCGAGCCATGTGTCCGCTTCCACCAGGTTCGTCATGTTGGATTTACACAAGGCAACCGGCGTTCTAACTCTGTCTAGGCTATGTTCATGCGCCTTCGAGGTCATACGTGCAAGTACTGTATGGCAATTGATGAACAGCATTACAGGCGCCATCACGATATCGCCGAGCGGTTACGTGCCGTCTACGAGAGTTGCGGCGAGGTCGATTGGAGCATCGTACCAGATGAATTCGGGCCAGAGGAACGTGGAAGAGTGAGAGAACCCGGTGACGGGGATACACCATTGTCGAAGCGCGAGAGAAAGGATGCGAAGCGTCTTGTGAGAGCGGCCAGTAGATCGAGAGTCATCACTCTGGAGGAGATCGGATACATCGACTCCGTCGTGCACTCCGCTGAAGGCACAACGAGCAACGAAGCCGACGGACCGCGTAATCCAGAAGAGGTCGATGAGATCGAAAGGCAGCTCCGAGTAAGTGCTTGAGTTATACTGATCTCGATAGTTTCCATCGTTTTTGCTAATCCTTTCATAGTACCACGCTCATGTATATAGCACACAGGTCAATCGGAGGGGGCTTAGAAAGCTCGCCGAGGCTCATGAAGATACGTCCGATATCGACTTCGAAGCCGAGATGGAACGCATCCTGGAGACATTCCATATCAACAAGCTAATCAAACGCAACACAAAAACCAAGGGATTGCAGGGGAAAGAGCTAAAGACATTTCACAATTTCGTCGACGGTTTGAAGCACGCCGTGCTTGAGGATATTGTGTTGGTCAACAAAGACAATGCTGAGTCGCGCATGCGGCGGGCTGGTTACCTCAGATATACTAACAAGACATCCTACGGGATTGTAGAAGAAAGGTATACCGACAAGGACTGGAAGACCGGTGAGAAGTTTGCGTCCAGTTCGAATGATTTCAGTGGTGCCATCACTCCTGTACATGAAACCAGTATACTTCCAAGGTACGTTCATTTTCCTTGTCTCAGGTTGACCGGATTGCAGAGAGACGCTGAATAGCTCTGTGGAATCAATAGAAGAGGCTGTCAGCTAATGGCTCTCAGCGAAAACTTCGAAGACCAGTCTCCTTGCCGGCCTAGAAATGCTCACAGCCCGGACCGGAGACATCTTGAGAGTAGTCACAAGCGCGTTAGTGGCGATGATGGACTCTACGCTGCAGTTATCGAGCCTTATTATACCCCACTACTATCCTTACCACATGCTCCAGCTTCTGGTACGCCAGCTGCCGCGATCATGGTGATCAACATTAAACCTCCAGAGCGTGCACCAGCTCCAGTGCGTGGTCGCGCAGAGAAACCTGTCAAGACAGCCTCCGATGGCTGGAAGGCCGTTACGAACGGAGGTGTGCCAACAAAGCAGATACCAAAGGCACGTGTTTGGGGTAACATCCCAAGCAAGCGCCCAGCTCAGGCTTGCCGACCTGGGTCAGCACCATGGTCTTCCGACTCTCGCAACTTTCCCAATATCTCCGCTGCGAAAACGTCGTTCGATGATGCATATTCCCAAACTCGTGAGGTGAAGCCTCCGATGATCTGGTGTTCGAAAGAGCCTGAGACCTTCGTTTTCCAGACGGAAGACAATGTCAGTGGCCATGCCGCGGTTTCACAAAAGAAGAAAGCTAAGAAAGCTCGAGAAGCTAAGCGCAAAGCAAAGAAGCACTCTACATCAAACGTGATCATCACCGAAGACGTTGGAGATGAGCTTGACATCTCAATGCAAGGCCCTTCTACACCACAAAAGACCGAGGTCGACACCAACGTCCTAAATATCGACGAGACACTGCAATCTTTCTCGATAGATACAGAAACTGAAGGGAAGTTCGCCGACCTCATGGTAGAGTCAATTGCTATGATTCACGATTCCAGTGATGGGATATCGTTGGTGCCTCCGCCTGAATCTATGCCGATCACAAAACATGGCAAGCACATGCACTGGATCCGGTTTGTACGCAATTTTGTTGTTGATCAACTCACCAATCCATATTCGCCGTCGTGGAGTGGGTGTTCACACAGTAGCTCGTGTTCCTTTGAGAAAAATAACGTCCCGGATTGTCCTTTCCACGAGCCTCGTGAGTACTTCGCACTTGCATCTTCACAGTGGATATTAACTCCAATACAGATTGCTCCTGTGTCGATCCTTTGACAGACCAGTGCTATTTGGCGATGCCTTGTGTTGAGCTGTGTAGTACTGGACCGTTCAACCGCCTCCGTGGCGAGAAGCTGCTGTCGCTATATGAGAAGGATCATCGAACAAAGGGCCGCTTGATGCTCATAGACGATGACCTAATCAATTACTTTATGGAAGATCCTATCAGCCGATCGCGCAATCGCAACCCAGACGGCGTGCCCGCGCGTCTACAGAAGGAGTATGATGACGTCAAGAATGGACACAATCCCGGAACTCTTATGGCGCAAGAGCTTCGTTTTGAGCGACTCTACGCTAAGAACAGTTCTATGAACCAGGGGCTTACCCAGAGTATGCTACAGGATATCCAGCGCAACGAGTTCGAACGTTCGGATACGAGGTACATGTGCTATTGTCGTGCTGCCTTACCGAAGACAGGATCTCCAAAGACGGACATTATTGTTTGCTCATATCGCGACTGTTCCACTGGGAACTTTCATCGATCATGCATAAAGAAGCTTGGCTTCGGCTTGGTGTCGCGCTGGTATTGTACCGAATGTGAACAGAAGATGAAGGTACTCGCGCGCCAGACGTTACGCCGTTTAGGCTATACCGACACTCCACATGAAGGCCCATGCAGCTATTCATACGGATTTAGCGCGGAAAAGTTCGAAAAGATGTTCGATGAGAAATTCGCGGAGATGATGAACTCATCCGACATGGACTATCTGAAACTACTACCAGCCGACCTGAGGAGCAAGGTCAAGGAGGTCGGAGGGTTCACGGCTATGCCTAAAGAGCTCCAGCAGAAATTCAAAGAGAAGGTCAGGGCGCTTGGCGAAAAGTTTAGGGCAGCGGACGTCAAGATGTTCGATTTGTAATGGGAAGCGAAGCGCGCTTTGCATTGCGCAGTCTAAGTGGGCCGGGCATGTGCAGTTTGGCTGTTAAGATTGCAGAGTACTTGGGCTTCCAATTAGGAACGCTGGGATGAGTAATAAAGCGGAGGGAAGAGCATGTCGAACCATGATATAATTTGTGAACTCTGGTACAGTTGTCGTAGCTTCCACGTTTAGCATTACAAGGAAGGCCCAAAACTTTGACTAGTATATATAATACAGATGATATTTCATTCTCTCTGGGAGCTCACAAAGACATCGCATCGCCGGATTCATCCAGGCACTATGAAGCAGAAGCCATATCCACTCTTGTTTAGCAGACAATACCTTGAGCCTATAAGATACAGACGGCAACCTCGGCTTTCAAACGCTAGCGACTACAACCAATCATACAAATTCACCGAAAATATTCGACGAGTCCAACCCACAAGCTCTTGGAGCATGCTGTCACGTAACAAAACGACAGATAGTGGCATTCTCGCGACCATGTACCCACTCACGCGCTGCCAAGCAAGAACACCCTCATTCTCACTAGGACGCATGGGCATCGACCATATGACAAGAGAAATTGAAGATACCGAAGAGACTTCTGGCTCAGTCCTCCAAGCTGTCGGCAGTATTGTCATTGACAACTCTATTCCAGACCGCGGCATCGGTAACAATACAGACACTGAGGGAGAGGAAGAAGGGGAAGAAGATGTGAACGTTGAAGAGCTAGGATCTCTTGCTTCACGGACGGTGGATAGCATAGACTTGATACGTCGAGATAGTGAGATGATCGGGATGGCTAGTGCGAAACGTAGGATGAGCGGGAAGCATAAGGTTAGAGACTGGTTTGTGGAGTATACACCACGCTGGAGGAAGTATTTTCGGTAGAAACAGAGGGTGGATTAGAGGGAGATTGTTTCGTTGTAAAAGCTTTTGGGTGGGGATGACATAAGTACAAGTGTAGATCTCTGCCAATCAGACTGAAGGTACCCACAATGTCCACGCCGCATCTTTCTATACTGTCGCCCAGTTACCTCCCTTCTAGTAGTGTTTACTGCCACAAGTCAAGAGGGAGAACCATTTGTATCGTCTCCCTTTCCTTTGCTTAGTTAGCTTGTGGCCTTGTCCATCACTATTTGCTACAGCTCGTACAGTCCTATCTCTGCCTTTACCACGGCCCTGCACTTGAGCTGCTACAGTACTTTCGCTCTCGTTCTTGATGCGATACGCGTTGTCGTGCGCCTTGTTGTTATACTGGAAGACTTGGATGACGCATGGCGCCTCGAGTCTTCGATCTTGGGAACCAACAAAGGACCGGTGAGATGGTAAGTGAGTGTGCGAAGACACAGGCGGGCGTGGGCATTTCAGGGATGCCGAAGGTGGTGATGGTGAGGAAAGCGGCGGTAGCGCCGATGGTAATGGTAATGACGGAGGTCGATCCAAGTGCAACACGCCATCATGGCCTACAGTGGAAGCACTAAGGTCACCATTGTGATTGTCCACACCCTGTGAAGGATACGACAGATTTGGCTCATCGGGGTCGCCCACATGTATGCGCACTCTGGGATCACGAGCCTCATCTGGCTGGTTGGAGAACGAGCTACGTAGTAGCGTGTGAGTAGAATCTGGAGATCTGGGATGGCCTACATGATATTTGTGCTTAGGCATCTTCGACGAGTGCTTTTGTATACCATTACCGAATCCTCCAAAAGTTTTGGTCAGTTGTGGTCTATCGGCGTCGTTTACATCGATCGGATGTGTTGTGTGAGTGGATGTCCAACATCCGTTATCTGAACCTGTTTTGTTTGGCTGTATCTCGAGTTGTGGGTAAGAAGGGCGCCTCCTGTCGTTAACAAAGAACATCTCTGGCTGATTCTTGATGGGATCTGGACTAAACGATCGTGCTTCCGCCAATATTTCATTTCGAATAGCAAGGTCAGTCTTCGCGGTATTGAGGTTTCGTTCCAGTTTGCTGATTGAAGGTGCCGTCCTACCAGCAAAGCATATGAGGAAGTTTTCGGCATGACTGTTGCGTCCGATCTGGTCTCGAAGATGTTGAAAAGCTTCAAGGAGGGACTCGTCGGTAGTGTACTGGACGTCCAAGTCTGTACCTCTTCCGTTGATGATGTTGGTATGAATGCCAATCATCATCGTCATGAGATCATTCTGCAATCCAGTTAGACCAAGTTGCGCCGCTAGCACCCACGTTTGAGCGAAGAGAAGTAGGGATGCGTTGCCCTCGGCCAGACCTGTGAAGATTGGGGAACACTCTCCGCTGTCTAGGTAGTTCATCACAGCTCGGAAAGGCTCGAATTGCACACTTCGCAGTATAGCACCTGGGGGTATCGCGCTCAATACGAAACATCGCCTACGCATGCGACTACTGAGTTCAAAGGGAACATGAGAACCATCACCAGGTTCGAGCGCGATGGTGACGCTGTTACTGGATATGTTAGCTTGCATGCTTCCATCTAGAATGGAAAGAGTATTGGTGTATATGTGGAATATATGCTCTTGAGCGCTCTTGGAGCTCTCCTTTGCGATATCATTAGTTTGCATTACGTGAAAGAGAAGAAAGCAATTTTTGCATTGCCCTGAAAGCAACACCATGCCTTCTTTGGAGATGCTTTAGAGTTTGATCATGTTTGTGTTCGTTGGTCAATTGCACAATGCATATATTGAGAAGATATGTGCTTTGCGGTTATGGCCTACGAATGAGACTTCCATCGCATCTTCAAGCAGTTTGAAGTCTACACGCCTTCTGCATGGTCAAAGACGGCCCAAGACTTTCCGAGCGACTAGGATTGCTGCAGGCGGCGTTTCCAACGGCGCACCAATGGCTTCCAAAGATTTGTCTTTCCGTCGAAATACGAGTATGCTACGCCCAGCATTCCACCAGCGAAGTGAGCCTGTCGTCGTTAGCAAGTGATATGCGTCGCTCTGCGCGTTGAACCTACTGCGTGACCAAAGTTCACAAAGCTATACCCACGAATAATGCCAACCAGATCGAAAAGTAGGATCGCGGGCAGCACGTATTGCGCGTCGAAATGTACAGGGACAAATAATATTCCTAGGCCAGCATGAGGGTATTGCATGCAGAAGACTCCAAGAATTCCGAACAGTGCTCCTGATGCGCCTCCGGAACGAATAAAGATTTCAGGGATTGGTCGCCTATGAAAAGGTATGCGAGTGCTCAAAGTTGTCCAGTGTTGAGCGAAGCCCGAAAGCACACCAGCTGAGAGATAGAACGACAATGTATGGTACGGGCTGCCCTCGAATAGGCGAGAGTATCCGACTGGTGCCATGAAGTTGTTCAAGAAGTACATATTGACGAAGAAATGCAAAGCTCCACCATGTACAAACATGGATGTAAATTGGGTGTAATTGACGTTGCGAGCGGGCAGATGCCATAGTGTTTCCCAGGCTCTGGGCAGTAGAAAGCTGCTCAGGTGGATACCGCTGTTGGCTCCAATAATTCCATACGTGACTCTCGAAATTGGGTCAAGATTAGTCCAGGCTCCAGTCACGACTTCAGTCGGGGTCGGCGGGCCACGTTGTTTTGTACTCCATTGTGACGCTTGAAGCCATCCTCCACCAGATGCTGGTTTGGATTTGAGTTCGCTCTTGGCCTCTAGGTAGGCGAGACCGTAGAAGATGCCGCCGGATACAGAAAGTGCCCAAATCGCAGGAATGAAGTATCTCACTTTGACTTTGGGAAACTGTGTATATGTGTTGTCGGAACCATCGTCCACCGCCCGTCGTAGTACTTCTTCCGGTATAGGTGGCTGTTCGTTGTTAGGTCTTGGGGCTTCACTTCTCAGCTGGGCGTATTGTGCGCGCTGCTGCGAAAGGTAGCGAAGCCTTGACACGGTTGGACGAAAGACGGAAATCGCTGGTGGCTGAGACGCGTAGCATGCGCACCGCAGCGACGGTCCGGCTATCTTGTATGCAAACATCGCGTGTTTGGAGTGTAGCTGCAATGACGCGAAGCTTCCAATTGGCGTCGGCCCGACTAGCGTGGGGCACGTGCGAAGATTATCGCTATTCATGGCCGCCTGCTCCTCGACACTCTCTAACTTCATCGTTACCTGTCAAATCATCTCCGTCGAAAGACGTCTGTCAATAGGCAGCGATTGTTTATTCATATTCACGTCACCGTCCTATCGGAAAAGTCATCGGTACGCAAAGTATAGTCTATGGGCTGAAGTCTTTAAACGGTTATCCGGCGATTACGGCTGGTAACCTCCTTACGCTCATTGAGCAATCCTCACACACTCTCGCCATGACTTTCGCTATTCAGTTCCCAGTGCGCAGTGATAATATGCGCAATCTGAACGTATTAGTACCCGCAGTCTAATGGCATAAGAAAGATAAGCCTACCATCTTACTCATAGGAGGAAACTCATGTCCGGTTTACCTCACTTTAACGTCCAAAAGCACTCAAGGCCTCGCAGTATGCGGCCATGAGCTCTTTCTCATGACTACACAGCTCTTGTTGAACCTGGCGACACCAAAGTCCCACAAGCTCCTGGCTTCCTATACGTTGCTTTGAACTGAGTAGCTCCAATAAAATCAATAAGGACGCCAACAACCTTGGTTCGACCGTTAGCGAACCTTAGAAGCATTTCGAGTGTCAAGAACCGTACCCGACATCCCAGCCAAGCGAACTCTGGATTTGCCTATGGCTCTCACATCAAAATAATTTGCATTAGCATTTGCATCCCTTCATTCACTTTTCCTTACTCCACCGAACGCCCAATATTTCTGACCCGATCTTCCAGGCTTGGAGTCTCGACTCACTTGATTTCACGCTTCTAAATCGAGTAAATTTTTTCTGCCATTGCGCAGATGTTCAAGCTATTCAGAGAGACGTTCAGCTTTCGATTTGACTTTGGCAGAAGCTCTTCCACGAGTATCTCTTCTTCGAATGAAGACGATATCGAAGTTCAAGTGGGCAGACTACCTAATGCTCGTCTTGTTCATGTCCCGCGTACCGTTCTCAGGACATGTCGTGTACTACGCACAAATCTTGTGCATGGATGCAGAATCAAGAACACTGACGCTCTTGTCTTTGAAGTTATCTTGGCACACTTCAATGTCAATGGTTCGTTGGGACGGCTGCGACCGAATGCACGAAATCCATTGATGCAACTTACTGGCGGCTGCGACAGGATGCTCAAACTCGCCAAAGCATGGCATCTAGCGGACATGCTCGACGACATGCAGCTGCAGAACAAGCTGATAGATGTGTATCGCATTCTTTACCTTGAGCTGCTCAATGCAAACACCAAAATACCTCTAGACTACGAGGCATTCGTATATCTGGAATTCAATCTCGGTACCCATACGAAGATGGAGAAGTTCATGATAGACTTCTTCGCTGGACTATCTCGGTATACAGGCGATTTCAGTGCCCAGGAACTCCTTCCGCTTCGACCTGACGTCTCACGAGCATTAAAGTTGCGACGCGCGCAGCTGGTGGTACAGGGAAGGTTTGTCGATCTGATCGCTACCGGTAATACTTGCTTTAACGTGATCAAATCGGACGCGACAACACACAGCTCCTTGCAAGTGACTAAGCCGAAGAGACTTTCTTCAAGTGCGGGTCTCAACTCCTTACCATTACAGCATGGCCCCTCAACGTCTTCGATATCGTCTTTGGTCTCCCTTCCAATATCATCAACGGCCGCGATATAGTCTGCGTTACCGACGTGTGATCGCAAGCATCAAAGGCGTTTGTCGCTATCAGGAACTACGAGCATAAATGATCAACCAGAGGTCTTTTTATCTGGTACATTGGCTTCTATCTTCCAGTTGGCAATCAGTGCCACTTTGTGCCCTCGCCACACACGCTTGGTGTCTCCCACGACCCCAATATCTAGCCGCGCACCATTCACGGCAAAATTACCCGTTCCCTTTCGTCAACAGGCTCATATAGCTTCGGAAGACAATTCCTCCGACGACGACATAGCGTACGATATATTTCCATCAGGTCTGTAAGGCATGACTTCAGTCGAGCACGCTCGAGTGCGGAAGTAATGGAGTGTGTAAGGAACTCGCTGTCTGCCACTATGCTTGGGTCATAGGGTGTATGTGTTAAATAAAGCGCGAATGAGAAGTAGATTATTTACAAAAGATAAGGTTGTGGAATATTTAGAGGCTCTATCAATGCCATATACTGCTCCTCGACGGACTGAAGCCTACTGCTAAATTCCGCCGTATTATGCAATTTGGGTAGGCTATTGCGGATGTACTGGCATGAGTTTCAAATCTAGCATATACCCCTCGTACACTACGCTTGCTTGCCGACTGCCGCCGCAGGAACCGATGTGGGAACATGTTGGCTGCTCGAGCTACTGACGTTCGCCTCGTAGTGATTCTGCTCCATGAGACTCCAATCACCGATCTGCTCATCGCCAAACTGGTCGAGATCCAGGCCCATCATCTCAGCCTCTGAGGTGACGCGGAGATGCATGCCAGGAATGAACTTCAAGATGTACAAGAGAATACAAGAGACGACGAAAGAATAGGAGGCGATGGCGACAATCTCAGCCAGTTGTCGACCGATCTGCACACCTACACCATCCATGCCTCCGAGGCCGTCATACGGACCCATACCATCCAGGTCGTAGATCCAGGCTTGGCCGAAAATACCAGTGAGGAAGGAGCCAACCATGCCACCAATTCCGTGGAGCTTGAAGACATCCATGCCTTCGTCGATCTTGATCCACTTATCGACATTCTGGCAAAGAGAGCAAATCGCAGCAGTGAGAAAACCGATGAGGGCGGCTATCCACACAGAGACATAACCTGCAGCAGGAGTAATGCCGACAAGACCAGCGATAGCTCCAGAACAAGCACCGACCACGGAGAAGTGACCTTTGGTACGGACGTACTCAACCGACACCCAACCGAGAACTCCGAAGGAGGCCGCAGTGTTGGTGTTGAAGGCAGCCAACATCGAGCGCACGGTGCCGTTAAGAGCACTACCTCCGTTGAAGCCGAACCAGCCAAACCAGATGAAGACAGTGCCGATGAAGACGAGTGTAGGATTATGAGCTTTTCCGTGAATCTTGTCGCCCTTGTGAAGGCGTTTGCCGAGGACGAAGGCGTAGGCGAGGGCAGACCAGCCGGATGCAATGTGAACGGGGCCGCCACCTGCGAAGTCTAGAGAGGGGAGGTTGAAAAGCCAACCATTTCTAGAAGACCGTCAGTATGTCTCAGCAAGCACAATCTGTGAGGCTTACGCATTCCAGGTCCAGCAAGCGATTGGGCAGTACACGATAGTTGCCCAGCAGAAGGCGAAGACCATTGACGGCAGGATGCGACCGCGTTCAAAAGATCCACCAATAACAAGCTGTACAGTACACGCACAAAAAAGCATCTGGTAAAGGCCTACGTACAGTTAGTAAGTACGATCTAGCTCGGAATCCATGAGATACCTACAGAACACGATCTCAGGTAGAAATGAGGAGCCCGGCGAGGGTGCTGACATAACATTCTTTAACCCGAAGTTGTCCATGTTGCCAATGAAGGGACTGGCCGAGCGAGAGTATGCGAGCGAATAACCCCAGAACATCCACTGGAATGTAACTACTCCCATGACCGCGAACGACTGGAAGAGCATAGAAAGTGCCGACTTGCGGCGAGCAAGACCGGAGTAAAGAAAACCGATTCCAGGTATAATCAAAAACACAAGGAAAGCCATGATCATAAGGTAGATGTAGTGGAACTCCAGGCCAGTGTACTGAAGGTTGACATTTTCGATATCTGGGTTGCCGCCATTGGGCTTGGCCGGGTCGAACTCAGGCTACGCTTGTGTCAGTTGTCTTGCATGTTGAACAATGTTGTCTGCTGGGGAAACATACAGTGGGTGGTACCTCCATGGTGTAGGGGTGTCAGTGTATCGACTATGACTGGAACCTCGGGGGTGTTCTGGAAAGAGAAGACAAGAAGTGCAGGGGCTCTCCAGCGGATATATATCTTCCAACGCCTTTCCTCACACCATCCGGCCAATTTCCAGGGACCGAGATTGATGCGCCGTCAAACCCGGTTCGCCTTCTACTTCGATACATACGACGCTGCTGTGCCCCCAACGCTGAACGTGGCGCCGTCTGGGCAAAGATAAGCAGGGCGTTAGGAATCCCATGCTGATGGAGCCGAGCGCAGATTGTGGAGCTTCTTGCTTGGGTTGCTGTGTTTGGCCTGAGATTTGATGCCGCGAAGGATTCCGAAGACGGATTGCATGTCCCAAATAGCCAAGGCCCGTAAGCCACGGTCGCGCTTGTATAGAATGGTGAAGGTAAGAGTTCAGGGTCTTGGTGGCTGATAAGAGACGGGATGAAAGCGGTATAGCCCCTGTGCCTGAGTGATAAGCCGGTCTGACTGGAACAGGTGCGATTGGTTGGCCAGAATCGACCTACCGATGGCTGTACGGTGCTTTACGAACCGCTCTGTGTAACGAAATCTGAAGTAAAGATAGACAGATTCCATCCCGCTAATGTCGTACATTGGGTACCGCGTGGTGTTGCTGTACCGCCGTTGATGGCGGCTGATTTACTCCCGTTTGTCCGTGATTCCGAACACCAGGTCCGTGCCACTGCCACGGGGCTGATCCACTCCTATGGTATCATGGAATATCGTTCTCTCGTTGGACGCAAATTTACAACTATGTCAGTAGAAACTGTAGCGATCGACGAAGATGATGAGAGTGAGGGTTTGGATAGTACAGCTAGCGCCTTCTGAACAGGCAATCTGCGCCAGGACTTAGTGCCATGTACTGTGCCGCGAGGACATAAGACCAGATTTGCTGCACGGTTATCACTTACCGTATACACCCAAAACACAGGCTGTAAGGGAATCCTGCAAAGTGACATTAGGCATCTGGGTACTGCAAGGTTTACACATTGCATGTAGGACAAAGCGACTCGTCCCTTCCTGCGCTGAACGCTATAGCCCCTTGGCCCCCGCTCTGCTCGATCGTACGATCGATGAACATATCAGGGCAGGCGCACTTGCCCAGCCAATATATGCATTCTTTTCATTCTCCTGCGGCTGGCACCAGCGTTTTCAACAATGTACAGAGTGTGAGCCTCGTGTCAATGCACAAGATGTAAGAGGCATTGCCTTTGCAAGAGTCCTTTGTGCTAGGGCTATCCCTTCGTCGACACGGACATTGAATCTCTCGCCATGAGACATGAAGCCAGGGAACTTTATCAGCTATTGAGAATGCGTGCTGCCAATATCTCCTTAGTCTTCAAGGTCACCTGCAACGTAATCAGTAAAGTCTTAGATGAATTCTGTCATGAGCGTAGAGACACATACCACAAGCATTTTGTTGGATGAAATCTCTCGTCTATTGGTTGGTCAGGGTTATTGCAAAATCACGGGGCAGTATGCCGTAGGGCGGACATTTGCCTGATGGAGATAGCTCGAGTGTCTAAACAGATGGCATTGCTCGGAATTAGATACAAAGCAGGGCGTATAGCGATGGCGATATTTTGTCGTGTCGTGTTGGTGAGAAGAGAAAGGCTACAGGTCATTGTGACGGGTTCGGCTTTTGCCAAGAGAACCCAAACGGCTGTCGTCGTGCCCTCACCCAGCTTCTTTTCCAGACATCCGCCTTTAGCCCACGATACACACCCACAGGCGCGGCTGCAATGCGCCAAATAGGCAGACCTGACAGCAATCGCTATTACCTCTTTGAAGTTCAGAGCGCGCCAACTATATACACCCGTTTGGAAAGCCATCGTTCTATAGCGCGTGGGGCGCGTCGCGGATACTACGACTTTAGGCGAACCAGAACCATTCATGGTCAACCACTGCGAGCAGACAGTCGCTGATAGAACCGGCTATCGCAATTACACCATGCACTATGACGGTACAAGACCCCTCATTACATTCTTTCTTGCCCCTCCAGGCGTCCTTGTCTCTTGAGTTGTGCCTTTCGATTCACTCAAAAGCAGGCCGGCAACTCTGATGTGGACACTCAACGAGATACCGCGACCGATTTCGCTTCCCAGGGATCATGTCACAAGACCAGAAAGAAGGATCTACGAGGTTGAAAGGAACACCCGGGTGGATGCCTTGCGAGAAGAACTTAACACTTTAACATTACAGAATGCGCCGACCCTACCGCCAGCTCGCGTTGCGCCCGATACAGTCCTTCCTCGTACCACCAACTCGTCTCGCATCGAGCTTGCACCCGAAGTCTCAACCGCAAACAGAGGAGGAGCATACGCAGCAGTGTTTGGGTCTGGGCCGCAGACAAGGATGACCAGTCACAGCGTCAGTGATGACCGCCGATTCGGTATCTATCTTCCTGGTGCGACTGCGAGCGAGGACAACCTCGCACTGCATCGACTGGCGGCATTTACGCTTCGCGTCTTAGAGGGCCGGGCCGCAAGTCTCCCACCTACATCTCCAATGAAAGTAGCGGCTTTGGAGCAACGTACACGCCGACCGCGAGGATCCACACGTCGAAACAATCCTCCCCCCAACCACGATCCACCTCCAGAGTACGTCGCATTCGATCCCTATCCCTTTTTTGATGCCAAACCAAAACCCCGCCGTCGATCAACGATAGAAATCATCGAAACCTGCTGCAGGGACGGATTCAAGGCTACGACAGGCAAGGTCGGCAAGAGTGTGGTCAAACACATCGAAGACGTTGGCAAGATAGCCAAGGATGTACCTACTGCCTTCAAGGAAGCTCAGGTGAGATTGAGTTCGAAGAGGGCCAAGGATAAAATTCGATGGTTGGAGAAGCACAACTACCTGAGCGGACAGGAGAGGTTGCTGACGCAGGAGCTCGTTGGCTGAGATGTTGGCCATGTTGAAGGGTAAAACCTCCGACTGTTCTATCAGCGTTTATGGGAACCTCATACTTTAGAGCAATATGAGCGGGGGTGTTGTAGTAGCGTTGGTAATATTACTTGATTGAGCTTTTGTGGTGCCGATCCCAGCATCAGATTCACACTCATGATTTGTTCGACGTACGCGCGGTCGTTTGGTTCGCACAGCACTCTCAGCGCTGCATCTCCTTCCGTTCAAGAGTTGAGACGGCGTCGTGTATCCACCGCTGAGTCGCGATATCAACGAGGTGTAAAGCAGGGCTTTAATCACGGGTATTCGTCGCACCAATCGCCGCTTCCTTCTAAAGCAAGGCACGAACTACGCGCTTCGATGATCACTTGCTCCGCGTCGTTTTGCTTGACAGGCCCGGACCCGGAATCACTCCATCTAAGAGAGAGAACCGAGTAATGAGCTCATCTTTCAGCCTGCTACAAAGAACCGCCTCTGCAACAGTGTCAAGATGGATTGTATTCTACATGCCTACAGTGCCGCTAATATCATATCTGTGTTTCTTTTTGTGCTATTGTAGTCTGCAATGAAGTAGAGGATTTAGGTATCAATTCGGCCGTTTCTCCAGCTATTCGCAAGCAGTCGTTGTTTAGTAGAATAAGCATGTCAAATTAGTGTCTTCAGGCAACTGCAGACCAAATCAACTAGGTCAATTGAGAAGTACGTGGCAAGAGGTGCCAAGTCAACTTCAATCATGATGACTACTTTTTATGTTACATGATAAACTAGACTTATCCTCTCGCTGAATGCTGTTCTTGCCCCCGCCACTGCCACCGCCACCACCAAAGCCAGAACCAGACGAGGCAAGCTACTCGGTATCGGAACCTGAAGATGAACTGTCAGAAGCAGGAAGAGGAACGTTTCCATCCTCAAGACGCATACCTCTCAATATTTCCAGTTCTTCTGATGGGAGAGGGGACATGATCAAGTCCAGCTTATTTGGAAACCGCTTGTCAATCTGTTCAAGAGTCCAGATGGCGAAACTCCATTCATCGTCAAACTTGAGAGAAGACTTGAAAATCTGGCAGGCTTCGCACATCGCCTTCGGGCCGCCTGCTGCCTGACGCGAACTACCCTGATTTCTCGTCAGTATATGGTGCTCTTCTTGAAGAACAGACAAAAGATAAAATAGCTGACTTACTTTGAGCGCATTCAGAAATTCTTCCGGTACCTCGGGCTGGTCCTCGTCGATGTCCATAGCGTTCTCATCAATCTCCGTGGTGTTTTCGTCAACTTCCATACCGTTTTCTTCCAACTTCTTTCGAGCTCTGTACGCCATATACGCCATGTACGCCTTGATCGCTGCTTGGAGCTCATCGGATCGAGAAATCGATGTATTCGGCGCAACGGTGCACTCGTTTCCTGGCTTCTTGTGGTCCCACAGCACACATGTCCACATGTTATTCCAGGGTAACAGGAAAAGCGTAGATATAGTGGGTTGGAGGTCGATTTTGCTTGAATCATCGTCAGTTGGTGTGATAACCACAACCCGGTCGTCTGGTAATTGTTTGCACGCCTGCAACGCTTGAAAACTCAGGAAGAGTGCATTGTAGTTCCAGGAAGACAAGTCAGCGAAATTTTCAATAGTTGCATTCAATGGGATGGTTGCTTCAACGCCCATGAAATCCACTTTTAATAGGAACTGTCGAAGAAAGGACAGACTTCCGACAAGTGATGCTAGTCTTCGTTCAGGCGTTTCACCGATCAGTCCTTCAACGCTGTAGTCGCCTGTTCTGTTAGTCCTCTCGATATTGTTTGATGGTTCTAGAGACTCACCTCTCTTGAACATGGCCTGTTTCACTTCCTCCTTCCAAACAGAGGTGTCGCTGGTTTGAGAGAGCCTTCCGGTCCGCATTGATTCGGCGAGAGCTAGCCAAGCAAGAAGTTCATGGTTCTCGGGAGTGCAGACCCCATAGCTGCCGTACATCTTGGTCGATAGTAGAGAGGTAGAGGTGATTAACAACCAATCCAAGAAACTATTAGGAGAGCGAAGAAGCTCAGAGATTGTTGTAAGAAGCGTGGAAGCTGAGAGGTTGTTATGATTATTATAGCGTCTTATCTGGTCGCGCTAGCTGCAAGGTGAGAGACGTCTAGATCTGTTGATAGATGTGTATTACCTGAGGTATCGCTAGGCGCCGCTAATCAGGAGTCAGGACGCATGAATATATCGGAGATGATCGGTAACTCAAGTCCAAAGTCTCCGTCACCTCAGCAATACAGTGTTTGTAGTTTAACCTTGAATCAGAAAAGATAACGAGACTGCTGAGGAGATGTTAACAGAATGATGGAACGAAAGTTTGAGACATCTGGACCTTGCATACAGATGGTGAAGCATTTTGTTGAAAACAAAAGCAGTATTGATGTACTCCTAGCAGTCTAAGTGACGGAGGAAACTATGAAAGCCTGTCATGCAGGTGACTATTTGTATCCTCGATCTAGTTGCTGATTTACGCAAGATGTTCACAGGATCTACAGGCAAGTCACTAATGTCTATCAGGCTCAAGAAGTAGCCAAGTATGCATCACAGGTGCAAGATTATAGAAGACTTGTAATGACAGGCTGATAATACTTGTGAGGATAGTGCTGCAATCTGCCTTTATATACAAGATGGAAATGTTATGATCCCAGAAATCCAAAACATGCTCCTTGTTCACAACTTTTGGGCTTGAAATGATGAATGCAGGGGTAACTCGGTAAGCATAAGATAGAGCTGGTGCTCCACTCCTGTACGCTATAGTTGAAGGGGTTTGTCACAAGACTCGCGGGCCTCAATGCGGAAGACGTTTTGTAGTGTTTGGCGAAATGGGGCTGCATTTGCGCGGAGGCTTAGCAGATGCTCTATCTCGGTAAAGGCAAATCCCTGCAGCAAACGTATCATGTGATACGGGTCATGTATTTGAGCGTAATCTCGATCCACATCTTCGGCCGGTAATGGAGAATGAGGGGCATAGTCTGGAGGTAGAGGGGCATACTTCAGCTGTGTTGTTGCGGCTTTTCTATCCTGCAGATATGTTAATCAATGTGTTCAGTAGATCAGGCAAATGGTTCACCTTTTCGTTCCAGTCAAGAAGACTCAGATGTTTCAAACAATCGGTCCACCCCATTTCAAATCCCTTCATGGTGCTGTTGAGTAGTGCTTGACACATGTGATCCCTTCTTCCCATAGTGGCTTTTGCGTATATGTTGTTTTTGATGAGCACTTCAGTGTCTACTTTAGGGTATGCCCTGGCTTCTTCCAGTATTCCATGGGCGCTGACCACCTTGTCGTTGAAGTCCTCTGCAATCATTGGATGAGGGATGGGCGTGAGGTGGAACCACTTTGCTGCTAAGTCGATATCATCGATATAGAACTCGTCGAAAGGCAATGGACAGAAGTTCATGCCCCTCTCTCGGGCAAAGTCATCACTCCACTTTTTCGTTCTGACAAGTCCCGCAAGAGCTCCCTTAGGTCGAATGCCACACGATCTTAGTGCTTGACGGATGAATTGATACGTGGCGTGTTCCCAGGGGAAAACGGGAATATGTGTCTGAGAGACAAAGGCCAGCCACTCTTTAGCGTTGTATCCTGTTCTTACCAATGTCCTCAAGTCGGTCGATGTGGTGACAAGCAAATGCAGGTAGGGTGCCGTTTGGCTGATGTCTAGCATCTCCCTTGTGTCTTCGTGGCTCACGTAGCTCTCGCCAGCCTGCCATAGGGTTCGCGTCTTGTTGTGCTTCATTACCAGGTATCTGGGTTTCTTTAACACTTCGTCAATTTTTTCTCGTTCGGAGAATGGTGGCGTCTCCATCATCGTCATCTCGAGAGCCTTTGCCGAGAATGTCACGTCTTTTGTTTCGAAATCCTTGTTCTCTTCCATCTTTTTCTTTATTCTTCTCATCAACTTGTCAATGTTGGCCTCATCTACCTCAGAGAATGGCTATGTTGGGAAGAATTCTGGCTTCTTCTCCAGGAAGAGCCATTTTCCCAGTGTCCTCACGGCCTTTCGCTGATCTGTCTCGTTTTCTGCCGTATGCTCCCAGGGGAAAGCCCAGCGTATCTCCAAGGGACTACTCTTGTCAAATATGTTCCCGGGGATTCTCTTGCCGTCGTGCTCATAATATTTGAAAATCAGGTTGTCCGCAGGTCCTGTGAAACTAAGGTAGAGCTTTCCCGTTGTCTTTCCGCCATCTTCAACATCTTCTTCGTAGTCTCCTACGTACATCGCGATTCCGGGTCCGTCGTGGATCGCAAGTGAATCGTGCCATTTTATCTCGTCAACCTTCATGTCCTGCTTCCATTTCGCCCGCTTGAGTCCAGCGGCTTGTGCCTTCTCTTCATTTGTTCTTGTATCTGCCTTCTTGGCTACCTTCCTGGTTGCATTCTTTGTCGCTATTGGCGCCTCAGACATCGTAGCGTCTGCCATGTGAAGTGCGGGGCTCGTGTGCGCGGGAGAGGTGGATCAAAAGGCTTGTCGGCGGAGAAAAGGTGGGTTACGAGGCTTGTCGGCGGGAGAGGCGGATTATGAGGCTCTAGAGGGTAGGAGAGGTCGACCATCAAGCTTATAAGCGTGAGAGAGGTGAATCATCAAGCTTGTAGGTGTGGGAGAGGTGGATTGTGAGCTTTTAAGTGGAGGAGATATGGATCGTAAGGTTTGTCGAAGCGGGAGAGGTGAGATTATGAGGCTTGTGGTTGCGGGAAAGGTGGAGTAGGAGACCCACAGCTCCAGGAAGGTGAGATTTCGAAGTTCATAATTGAGTGCAGGTGAGGTGAGATTATACTGCTTGTAGGGGATGGAAAGGTGAGAGTATAAGGTTTATGAGAGTATGAGAGGAGGACTATGGGACCACGGCTCTGGGGATACGGACTTGGAGGCTTGGTTGCTCGTCTGAGGTGGCTTGCAAGATGCTCAAGTTTCCTCGAACCTTGAGGACGGGGCCTAGATTGTCACGTGTCATCGCGTTATCGTGTCATGACATGGTGTCGGAGGAGATTCATAGGCACAATATACGTTCTCGTAAAGTTGGAGAAGATAGAGAGGGTCCATTGTAAAGATTCAAGTCTGCACATAGTCCATGTACGTAGGACGGGCAATCGGCGTTGGGAAATACATTTTCAAGGCTATCTGCGTGAATCCTGGGTAGCCAGGTAAGCAATACGTCATACTCGTTCCCTTCGCAAAGTCCCTCAAGCCTCGAATTTCACGTCTAAAGAGCAGTCAGGCTCCAAGCTTTACCTCTAACATGGCTACCTAGGTAAAGGCTTCCGCAGCCCATTGATTAGCTTCACACTATCTCTCTCACCCTTCGAGGGCTTCTGCTGCCGAGAAATCACCTCCGACACTGCTACAGCCTTCCACAACCCACTGATTAGCTTCGCGCTATCTTTTCCACACCCCAAGAGTTTATACTGCTGAAGACCACCTCTTATGATATCTGAGTGCTTCTGAGACACAAAGCTGATCGTCCAGAAGCTCATTCAAGCTCGAGAGCACCGAGGACGCACCTGAAACCATTTCTGCCACCTGTTTTACATGGTGTGTTTGACCAAAGACTAACGACGTCCACGATTGCATGACTTCGCCCTCTGATCCATACTATTGAACTCCAAGATACAAACCCGGAGTAGCACAGGCTGGACCAGACATCATCCCTAGTCAGTTGCTCTTTCACTCGTTAGCAGCTTGTGGAATGGCATAACGACCTCAATTCCCAGGGATCCTCCAAGGTACAACGAACATTGGCGATTTCATCGAAGGTTACAAGATTGAAGACCTCAAAAAATAGCCGTTCGCCACTGTCAAGAACCTTCCTCCTCAATAGGTTGGACAAAGCAAACCACCGTCCCTTGTTGTTTACGACAACGCGACGATTCAGAGGTGAATGGACAGGTCGAGCATCAAGAACAATACGGCAGAAGCGAAGGAAGCATTCACGGACTATCCATCCAATTTCAAATGGAACGGAATGCCGTATTCTGTCCCGTTGGAAGATTTGTCATCAAAACAGTTGAAAGAGTGGAAGAAAAGAAGAACATCTGGGGAGGGAATTGCACACAACACAGTATATGCATGCTGTGCATTTGTATAACTCGGATGATCTGACATAGCTGACTCCGTAGTCCGGAAAACACGCCTCATCGCAAACCCCTAAGCCTGACACACGACACTCTCACAGCACCAACAACTCTCCTGCCATGTTCCTGATCGTAGTAATGCTTAATACTTGTGACCCTTGACCACGATCTTACCGCCCTCACACTTGAGGCTAATCTCCTCCCCGAAAGTGTAGTAACCGTGTTGATCGGCTTCCGGGACGGGCTTTGGCTGTGGTGCTGGATGTGGCTTATCATCCTCCTCCTTCTCCGGCTGAGGGGCTGGGTGTTCGGGCTGCGGCTTAGGAGGATTGGGGTGCTCGGGCTGCGGCTTGGGAGGAGCGGGATGCTCAGGTTGTGGCTTAGGAGGAACTGGATGTTCGGGCTTTGGGGGTGGATGTTCCGGCTTGGGAGGAGTTGGGTGCTCTGGCTTCGGAGGCTCTGGCTTGGGATGCTCTGGCTTGGGTGGTTCTGGCTTGGGTGGTTCTGGCTTGGGATGCTCTGGCTTGGGTGGTTCTGGCTTGGGTGGTTCTGGCTTGGGATGCTCTGGCTTGGGTGGTTCTGGCTTGGGTGGTTCTGGCTTGGGATGCTCTGGCTTAGGATGCTCAGGCTTGGGATGCTCAGGTTCTGGCTTGGGTGGTTCTGGCTTCGGAGGCTCTGGCTTAGGATGCTCTGGCTTAGGTGGTTCTGGCTTGGGATGCTCAGGCTTGGGATGCTCAGGTTCTGGCTTGGGTGGTTCTGGCTTCGGAGGCTCTGGCTTAGGATGCTCTGGCTTAGGTGGTTCTGGCTTTGGAGGTGGATGCTCTGGCTTTGGAGGAGTCGGATGCTCCGGCTTCGGGGGTGGATGCTCTGGTTGAGGCTTAGGTGGATGGGGCTTATAGCCATCGTCATCGTGTTCATCCTTGTCTTCTTCCGGTTTGGCTGGAGGGTCTGGCTGTGGCTTGTTGGGCTTGTAGCTTCCGTCGTCGTGCTCGTCCTTATCTCCATGTTCTTTGCCATCCCCTATAGGTTTGGGTACGTGAGGAAGATCCACCTTCGGAGGGATGCAGATCTTGCTATGGTCGTACTTGTCGCGTTGCTCACAGCACCTTTGATACTCCTCAGTGGCCTTTGCGTCATCTCCACGAACGGCGATCGGCGTCGCTGCGGCAGTAAAGGCCAGAATGGCAACGACAGCAGCTTGAGTGAGACGCATGGTCAAGAACGAGCAGTATTACGAACGATTGAGTATTTAGTGATCGAAGTTTGTTCGTGTAATTGAATGGTGGAATGCGGAGGACCGCAGTTACCGACTTTGTTGTATGATGGATATCCGCTTGGTGGCCGATGTCGAGACAATGCAGGTTATCTCTTTCATCTTTATACTTGAATGATGCATTGTTTGAATCGTCCCTATACCATTAACCCCTCTCTTCTTAGCTAGAGATATGCACAGTTACGTCTCGGAGTATTGAATTTTGGCTTCTGGACGCCCCACGGTCTTGGAGCGCAGCCAAAACACCGTCGTGGCACTCTAAACCTTGAGATACGCATATCAGGCCCTCTTCCTAGAGCTTGAAGCTAATGATATGAAGCCATGATTCGGTGTTGGACATCTTTAGCTGGTGTAGAATAGAGTGAACATCGTGATCGCTACGCAGGGAAATATTGCCCAGAGCTGCTTCATGGATCGGATTATACTCCACTGTGCTCAGAGAGGTCAGTTGCGAGAGAGATTCGAGAGTTTGCTGTGACGACTATGGCGGAACATTCGAGTTCTCGTATAATAGCCTTGGCTGGCTCTACCCGTTGGTCAAGACAACTGCAAACATCGCGATCGCGGATGATCTAGTAGCACGGAAGGACGTCTTCCAAGACGCCGTCGTGGAATCGAGAAGAAGGCTTTCTTGTACCGGACACGTCGGATGAAGATGGCGCAAACACGTGAGATGCTGAGAGGTTGGAGAGCGAAGCTCCTCAGCGGCGGACAAAGCGCCATCCGGGGTAGCGTCTTGGCGACGTGACACATCAAATTGCCGGACTGGGTCGGCACTGCTTCCCTTTCCATCGTCACGGTATCTAGACGATCACCTAGCGGTACATACTTCCAGTCCATCGGGTCGAAAGATACAACTCCAACCCACAGTACAGGCTGAGCGCGAGCTACCATCTGCACATATGAAGAATGTGAAATCTGCTCTAAATTACTTGGGTAGGTCACAACTACCCACGCCCGAGTGAAAGTGCAAGTAGCAACGTTTCCAACAACCTTACCAAAGGGGCATTCTGGCCTCGAACCCCGCACCACATCTTGACATGGAGCGCTGGCTCAAAGTCAATAGTAGGATACTAAACCCATAGATCGCCTTGGCTGCTCACATACCTAAGAGGCTAGTGCCTTGCCAACACGGACTTTATATCGAACTATCCAAATTTATATACGCCCTAGCTGTAGCGGATAAATCGATTGGCTCGACCCCTAAAAGAGATTGGTATTTTATCCTTCCTATGAACGAAATGTTTGCCATGTGGTGGCGACTACTAGATTGGAGCTGAGAAGTCAAACCTTGTTACCTTCCTAGGTACCTATGGTAACAATGGATCATTCCACTAAGCGACATGTATTCGCGCTCGAATCTAGTCTCAGAGATGCCATCCGAGTTGGTCTATTGCAGTATCACACTGCTGATATAGTGGCAGTGTCCAGTTGCGAGGTTAGCATTTCTTTGTCGAAGCTGTGGTCGGCCTAGGAAGTGAGGAGCTGCTCTAGGCATACGTGTTATCAAATCGAAGAACACTCTGACTGGATACAAAATGGGGTATGGCGTAGAACATCTGGATTTTCCGGGGATCCGTCTACCGTTTGGCATAATGAACGCCAATTCTCACTAAGTTTGTGGGGTACATGCGCTCGGTGCATGCCAGTCGCGGATAGATACCATGGTACTCTTCAGCCTATTGCGTGTCTTCCCGGTGCCAGCTTGTCTTGTATTCTGATACGACAAGAATCTAATTTCAGGCACCTACGTTGTATCGATACTCTATGTTCGGATTAAACACAATCGCAGAAGAGCAATCTGATCCAACTCAAACTGATGCATAATACTTTGTATTGGCTGTCGATAGGGTCAGTTAATTGATCTTGTGGATTAGTGGGCCTAGAGGAGGTCGCACTTAGGCGTAATAATGCAATGATCTGACATACACTTGAGATGTACAGCCTGGAATACCCACAGTAGGTACTTGGCAAAGACTGAGATGTACAATGACGTTCGTGCGGGGAAACCGACTTGTTTCACTTGGTAGTCATATTGTACTAACATGCTAAGCATCAGTGCAGTTTTGAGGGTCTTCCAGTCTTCCCATCAACCTGAAGAGATATGTAAGCTGAGTTCATGGATGTGGAATCAGAAAGGTGCATACAGAGTAATCACCGCGCTATTATCAGGCTCATTCGTATTAACCAGGCTTCCCCGTGTACGGGGCTGTGTCACCTTAAAAACGCGCAAAGAAAGCCTGTTTAGTCTACATCTTTCCCTGAGCTGTGTGGCAAACTACCACTTTGGCTTCTTCCCGTTGATTTGTACAGTTTACAATATCAACATGGTGTCAGTGACATCGCGTTGTAAGCGTCGTCGTTTACAAAGATATAGGAGCGCGATGAGAAAGCTGAAAGACGCGAACTGGACCTTGAAATCGACATCATCGACGAACGCTAAGCCATAATTGAACCTAGAAGCGATGCGCGCGAGCATATACGACAGCGCGTTACTGCTGAGAGCGCAATCACCGCCTGTGAAGAAGATAATTTCGAGTTGAAGCAAAAGCTTGATTTTATAAGCATGAAAAACGAGGCATTCGAGAAAAAGCTTCCAGCGCAGGATAAAGTAATTCACTGGATACACGCAAGGCAGGATAGACAGAAGGGCTGAAGGCATGATTGAGATAAGCAGAAAACTCACACATGTGCCCTGAGAACTGCTCGATCGTATAGATCCGGTTCAGGTGAACAGGGGAGTAGATCCCTGGGCACTGGATCAAGTCAAAATATAACTAATGGGGAATGCATCGGGAGGCAGCTTGAGGAGCATGTTGGATGCGATGATGGTGATGTTCAGAAGAAGTCGAAGGGTCATTCTTTACTGGATGTGCTCCTTATCGGTCAAAGAATGATGCTAGTCCTAGCCCTCTCAGAATAAAGTAACGTGTGACTAATATACCCAATCATGCTACATCATCACGCACTAGATGTACCAAAGACAGTGTTGTTTTCAGAATTATCGTTCATGCTATCTGGCATACACGCCATCGACCGCATGTTTCGCGTTGATCCCCCATCGCCGTGCTCAATCGAACTATGCACTCGGTCTCTCTCTTCGTGTTCTAACCCATCATTCCGAGGACAGGGACCGTAAAACTATGCCATGAGAGGAGAACGAACAAAGCTCGCATACATGATATAACCAAAATTCGTAGAACCGAGAACAGGAAATGAGTGATTAAAGAAACGCAGGAACGCCATCATGAAACATCTCATACATCTCGTCACAAGGTGCGACTCTCACCAATCTTTCGCGAGTGACAATGGCTGTCATGTGCCGCCAACCGTAGTTGTGTTTCTTAAGCCGCTTGGCTCAGGACCCTTCTTGTTTCGACGACCGAGTAATGTCGAGCTGTCCATGTTGAGCTCAAATGCGCCCTTGTTCCTGACTTGGCGCTTCGCTGCGGCCGCAACAGCTGGAGAATGTTGGCCATATCCTCGCTCTTGCTGTCGTGGTGCTGATTGTTGCTGACGGGCCTGAGCTGCGGCGGATAGTGTGGTGGTGCGCATCTTCTGCTCCATACCAGTGACATCAGCACCTTGAGACTTAGGAAGCTTCGCTGGTGGATGTTGCGATGACGGGTCGTACGGGACAGATTCAGCAGCGTACTCGTCATCGTCTTCACCCTCATCGAGGGCGTTCAATGAGTTCATGGCATTGGCGCCACGGTAACCCTGCTTGAACTGCTTCTTTCTCTTACCCTCCTCTTCCTGTCGATGTACAGCATAACTGACATCGAATACTTCTCGGAGGTTGACGGCACCAGGAGAGCGGAAGTCCATGCGACGAGCACCCGGTGACTCCAAGTGCGAGAAGTCTGGTTGCAGACGCTCCTTTTTGGCGGCAGGTGTGGCGAGGGGTGGTGCGTCGTAGGCAGAGTAGGTTGGCTCGTCGGCTTCACGTATCCATGGGTGGTTGAGGAACTGGTTGATGTCATATCGCTTTTCCGGGTCGACTGTCAGCAGATGGGAGACCAAGTCTTGCGCGGACTTTGAGATATCGTCCCACCAGGGTGAGAGGAAGGTGTACTGGCCACGAGCGACCTTCTCAGTGAGGGTTTGGATGGACTCATCGTAGAACGGCGGAAAACCACAGAGAAGTGTGTAAAGCACACAACCCAACGCCCACATGTCGACACTCTTGGAGTAACGCTCATCTTTGACAATCTCAGGTGCAGTATAGCCAACAGTACCGCAAGGTGTCATGGTTTGCGTGTCCCAGATAACCTTGCTGAGGCCGAAGTCGGCAATCTTGATTAGGCCGATACCACCAGCGCCCTTGCCCTTGACGAACTCTCCCTCGTCAGCCTTGTCTTCATCGTCTGGCCCCCTTGGCTTTGGGTTGCGTGTGGGGATGAATGGTGTGGGATAGAACAAGAGGTTCTCAGGCTTGATGTCTCTGTGATATGACGTCAGTGAAAATGCTTGGCATCGTGACAAAAAATACGAACCGATGGACAACACCTGCTTCCTCGTGCAGGTACTGAAGAGCTTTGGCCACCTGGATGATGGTGTGACGGGAAAGGTCCTCGGAGAAGTACGTTAGACGGACGATTTGATGGAACAGTTCGCCTCCTGGGCACAGTTCGAGCACGATGTAGTAGTACTGCCGTGATTCGGAAAAGTCGATAAGTTTGACGATGTTGGGGTGGTCTAGTTGGCGCATAATCTGTACTTCCTTGAGGATGTTCGCTCTCTATAGGGCAGTTAGTGTCTGCCCTTGCAAGCCCAGTCGTGATGGGGTGGAGGATGCTCAGAGTCGAGCATCGGGGGTAAGATTATCGCACCTCGGCTGCTTTGGGCGTCTTGAAGTCCGGATGCACATGCTTGTCCTACACCGGCCTCGCGTTGGTAACGTCCAAAAACACCCGACTGTTCAACGTGATGGGGAAAACAACAAGGGAATGTGCAGGGAAGGGCAGGGATTGGGTAGTACTAACCTGCTGTGAGTTCATCTCGAACTTACGGACGACCTTGATGGCCACTTCGTCCCATTGACCGGTCGTGTCTCGTGCGCGATATACGTTGCTAAAGGCGCCGTCGCCCATCTTTTCGAGCAGCGTCCATCGCTCAAGTCCGGGATATCTAGGCAACTTGCCCTTGGCCTCGCGCTCCTCGGCGACAATGCGCTCGAGTACTGATGGGTCGACGCCTGCGTTCTTGGCAGCGGCCTGCTTCTTCTGGTCCTTGCCAGCTGCGTGCGCAGCGGCATCACCTGCTTGGGCGGCAATATTGCGGTTATCTCCAGCGCCAGCGCCGACGGAGAAGTCGCCATGGGGAGCAGCATGGTTCTGAAGCGGCTTGTGGTCCATTACGGGCTCTGAGATGCCATGATGTACCGGGTCCGGGTGCTGATTGTACCGTTGATGTTGAGACTGAGCGTGCACATTGGAGACATTGGTCGTGGGCTCCGCGTTCTGGCGGGCCTGCTTTCCATGTCGCAGGAAGTTCTTAAAATTCTGTATCGCGGCCATGTTTAGTGCCTGGTTGGGGGGTAGAAAGTTGAATTACAAAGCCGCTGTCAGTAGCGGGGTCGAAGAGGCTGCGATGGTACAAAGTAGAGGGAACAAACGGGTGCAGCCGTTTCTTGGGGCAGAAAATGAACCAGCGGTAGTGCGACAGAAATGTTCGTGCAGTGAGGGGGGAATTCAAGGAAGAGACTTGGTTGGAAAGAAGGTCATGCATGGACGAGGAGGAGTGAAGCCGGAACAAGAGAGGAGCGACGTTGCGTCATTGGTGCACGGACTTCATGACGATGCAGGCTACATCATCGCCAAACAAGCTGCACCACGCGCACACGAAATGATAGCCGTGGCGCCTCGAGAAGCTTCTAGCATTTGTAGTGTAGAGGAAGAAATATATCGTACCTCGATTACTGGGAGACCCATCTTCTTGGTGCGTCCGCCTCGTGGAGAGGTGTTTTTGGACTGCATGTAGAGATTGGGATCTCGATGGTAGCCCTGGAGTGCGTCGTTTGTGCCCTACCGTCTGGTGGAGGTATGACGCTCGTATTGCGATTCCGCGTCCCGTCTGGGAGGGAGATCTTACGGCTTCCGCTAGCTTGGGCAAGGGTTTGATTCGAGGGTGAAAGGGAGCACCGTTCCTGGAGCCTGACCTGCTCAGCGGAAGGATCCGATCTCGATGATGGCTGGGGGCGGCGTGTAAGTCGTGATATGGCAAGACAGGCGCGCGATGGGGACGGGCAAGTGCGGCGGTATGATGTAGTAGTAAGAGGAGGAAGAGGAAGAAGTCTATGTACCCTTTGGAAGCGTTTTGCGCAAAGTCATGTTATTTGTCTTTTGCTTGGACAAGGCGACTGCGCTACCTCCGCGCGAATACTCTTCAGCAATAGTGGCACACGCTGACGCCCGCGGAATCTCCGGCAGCCTCCTCCCAGTTCCTAGTAGACTCGCAGAGTCGAGCCTGGCACCATCTAGAGGCTGAGAGGCTCGCTAGGGACGCTGCCGCCGACGCCACGCTGCATGCAAACCTCATTACAACCTTGGAAGAGGGTCCCCAGACGGCCTGAAAAGCGCCCAATGACCGCATATAAGACCAAGGCAGTACCCATGATGCTTTGTGGGTAGCAACTATGGCAATCTCTCATGCATGCGTCCTCCCAGCGCCCGCAATTCTAATTTCTTCCTCTGAGCAGTGCAACGGCCTAGCAACCTGCAGGGTCCAATTAGCGCAGCGGATCCGTTACGTCACGGTCTAGTGGGGAACGTTCATTGAAGACGTCAATCTTCGCCCTCTTGACATTCTGGGCTGAAACATATCCGCCGCTTACGGCGTCTTTGCATATTGGCCATGACCCATTTGCAGATCGCATTAGGCAGGCCACGAGACCTCTTACATAGATACATCTAGTACGTTGCTTTAGTGTCGGTCCAATGTCACGGCCTCGCGCATGAAATTCGGACCGTCCATCTATCATCGCGCGCGCTTTCTGCGTGATATGCAGGGTTGCGAGCGGAGCCGACATGGACATTCGGCAGCAAAGTCCCCGTCAGAATTTGGGTTGCAATGAATCTGATCTAGCAGCTAAGAGACCCTTTCCCACACCATCCTCGTGGCAATCATCTGGACCCTCGACGACATGACTGACCCGGCGGTTCCGTCAACAAGAACCGCCACTCTAGGCTCATATTCCTCGAAGCCTAGAACAGCAAATATACTAGGTTGAAATATAACTCAACAAGCCATATTTGTACAATCAAGTAGGTGCTGAGAACAGTCCTACGCGTTCAATATCACTAGCGAGCCGATACCCGTACAAAGTCAGGGAGCGGCTCGGAAGGGACAACATGCCGCACTTGGCAGCAGCTTCCACTCAACATTAATAGAGTTCATGCAACATCTATTGAACCAAACCTTTCGACACGTGAGTCAATCCGCATAGCAAGACAACTTGCGAATGCAAAATTGAGGGATATAGTGTTTGTTACTTGAGCGATGTTAGATGACGCGAGAGGTTTTCAGCACATTTTCAAAAAATCTTACCGTCCTATAAGTCGTCCTAGTGGCTACCTACTCAATCTGTTGCCTACAGTAGTTCTCATTTTAATACTCCTTTGAGTAGTATAGAATGAATACATTAGGCATACAGAAGTTGTAAGTCTAACATCAATTGACTACCGGCGACTACTACTGCTACTACTATAGTGCTTCACACCTCTCACACGCACAGTCAAACCCCCACGTCTTCTTTAACCTCAACAGTCTCTTACCACGACTCAGCTTCCTCTCCTCCCCACTAAGATATGTAATGCACAGTTCCTCTCCTTTCCCGATGTCTCTCCCAGCTTTGAAATACCACGTCTTGCCATTCCTGTTCTTCTCAATGTTCGGCCCGCACGAATGGTTGAAGTAGCTTGCCGCGGGCCAGCAACCGTATCCGAAGAATTCTGAGCCGTCATCTTCCAGGGAGCGAATACCGAAGGAGTTGTGCGAGTCGCGGGACGAGAGCGTGATTAGCGTCTCTGCAGTTACAAGTGGTAGGAGCGGTAGGGGAAGGATGGCAAGCAGATGTAAGTAGGTTCTTGTAAACGCGCCGAGATCGTCGGAGCTGTGGTAAGGAGTCTTGTCGTCTGCGAGTGCCTCCAGGCGTTCCCATTGCTCGGGATGAAGGTATCGCCATACCAGGCCACTCACACAAAAGCTCATCACATCAGGTGTAATGTTAGCTTGTAGTGCTTTAGACACAGCCTTCTTGTGCTGCTTTGTGATTGGAGCGACATCCTCCTTGTCCGGTATAGCTTGTTCGCTTACCCGTGCGGCCCGTATCAGCGCCGCCTGCGCAGCAACATTCCCCCAAGCCTGCTGAATCTCCTTGACCTTTGGTCGTGGTAGGTCGGCATCCACCATGTCGCTATCCTCCTTGCTCCGCTTTCTTACCAAAGCCTCGACAGCCGTCCACGCTTGAACACCAATCTCGCCGTTCTCTTCTCGCCATTGGTCCTGGCATGCCTTTGAGCAGAACGCGAACCCCACCGTCTTGTCTCGTATATCCAGATCCCGCCCGTACTCGTATCCGAAACATTGTCCACATACTTCGCGTCGATATTCGCGGAGGAGGACGTTGAGGGTCAGATCTTCTGAGCGCCACACGAGGGTGCCCTCTGCGATGTCTTGACTAGCGAAAACGGCGCGGCCGGCGGTCGGTGTGTGTCGGACTTGGAAGAGAGAGGATATCGGTGCGCCCGCTGGCAGATCCTTGGGTGTATCGGGCGGATGTATCGAAGAGGCTGATGAAGGGCGTGAGACACTGAAGACCGAGTCACTGGCTACAGGAACAGACGAGTCGCTTTCGGGGACGTCCATTGCAGCGGTATCGATGGATTAGTAGCACACACACAAGCGGACTGGCGGGTGAATGAATCAGCGCTCCGTTCAGGAGTCAAAAAGCAATCGTATCCCGCCGAGTATGCGGTAAACAACTATGCCCCTCGGTGTCTAGCAAAGGGCCAGGCAACGGATGGCAAACTGTCGCGCGGATTGTGGGTCAATTTCGTATGTCACGTATACTTATGCCAGAGTTGAATGATCGGAGGAATGCCATTGTGGGTATAGGTACGTGGGTTGTGGGTACGTTATCGTGACTGTTGATCGACAGAAGGCGAGAGATTTTGTGACGGTTGTGCCTGGCCAGACTTCAGACTAGACTGTACAGGGGCGCCGTGCTTAGCGCACGATAAGCGAGGCCTCGCAGTGGTCGTGATCTGGAACTTCTCGGAACAGAACTCACACTAGATCAATCACAAAGCTCAATCAAGAACACTTCCTCTTTTGCATCAGCCCGTGCGCAAGCGTCGTGATGATCTACTTTGTGTATTTGCGACTCGCAACCATATTTTCAGACCCCAAAGTCTTTGCTAATCTCCCTCCCCACAGCCTTCAAGTTCTCGACAATCCACAACTGTGCGTTGCTGAAGACCAATACAGCGCCTGGCAGGAAGGCAAAGTTGTTTGTCTCAACACCAATCCAGATCTTTCCAATTAGCGTCCCCAGGGGATTCCAAATGTGTATGCCGTCACCACATCCAGCCCAAACATTACCCTCCGTATCTGTGTGCAAACCATCAGGAAACCCGTTGTCTGAGTAAGCAAATGTGCGTCTTCCAGTCAGCCTCTTTCCGTCTTCCGTGATATCGAAAGCGTATAGTGTTGCTGGCCGCGTAAGGTTTTTGTCAAACTCCACAGCGCCCGTGTCAGAAACGTATAGCGTCTTATAGTCAGGGCTGAACTCAAGGCCGTTGGGTTGAGTGAATCCATCTGCCACAGCAGCAATTTCACCAGTCGCGGGAGAGAAGCGGTAAACATGCTTGGGAATGGTTGGTGCAGGTCGGAAGTGTTGGATGTAGCCATAGTCCGCGTCTGTGAACCAAATGTCGCCTGTCACAGGATGTTGACGTGCGTCGTTGGGTGAGCTAAAATTCCGACCAAGATAGTTGTTCAGGATCTTTTCAGACTCGCCTGTGACGGGGTCTACGGATACCAGACCTGCTGGGTTGACAAGATCGCCTTGGTCACAGTACAACACGCGTGATGGGGTCGAGCTGTTGGTCTGGGTACCAGGTGGATAGTAGGACGTTGCACCATTAGCTTCCGCAAGAGCTGAGTACCGCGTTGAGCTGATAGAATAGTTGTTTGCCAGGTCGATTATCGTAACGTTGATGGGGTTGTCCAAGTCGCCGGCCCAGTTGCTTGTGACGTAAAGCTTCTTTGCATCCTTGTTGTAAACACCGGCCTCATGGAAAGCTTGCCAATCGAGATTGTGAAGTTGTCGCGCTGTTGCATTCTCTCCGACCACAGACACGAAGCTTTCATCGTATGCGAGAAGGTTGATGACACTGGGGTTGGAGGCATTGGTAGTGACTAGAGTATTCAGGTACGACGGGTCCGTCGCAAAGGATACCAGGTCCACGGGGATGATGCTCGACATAATGTTCGTAACGATGGTGACGATTATTGTTTTCCAAATCACCGCCACCTGGGCTTCCATTTCTTGTTATAGTTTTGTCGCCGATCGTCGCGCCAAATAGCACTCGGTTCTTGTCAATTACGCTGGCGCGTCATCTAGCCGCCAAGTAGCCGACCCATGAATGCAAGCCATATGCCTGAGTAACGGTAATGAGGTCGGACGTTGTTTAGCTTGGCTATAAGCTTGGCTTGGTTGCTTGACTCGGAGCAAAGTGTAGGTTGCCGCGGCGTTTGCCCCGGTGACTGCTGGTCGGCAATATGGTTCTCCTCCGAACGATCGCGAGCATAAGGCTTGTTATACTATTACCGATGCTTGTTGCTCCTGCATCACTGATAGGTGCTTTTGCAAGGCTGAACACCCAATGTCGAAGTCAGTCCCTAGCATCTTTGATGGATTTTCGTCAGGCGCATGACCATGACATCATTATCACCGCGGTTACACCGTTAGCTTAGTCAAACGTTTACCTCCTGTTTAATGTAGATTTGTCTGTATCTGACATAAGCGCATAAGCTGGCTGCGGATTGTTAATTGGTCCTTGTATCTCCATTGCTGATGAGCCATATCCTCCGATCAGATTGCCTGTTCTAATATCCAGATACTTATCCATCAACTGTGATTCACTCGCTCAGCGCGCTGCTGTAATGGCGTCTACAGAGATATTCATGCTTGCTTCATTACGTCGCCAATAGCGTCAGCTCCCTTCCCACCACCTCTTAACTCCTTGTTCGTTGCCTGAATCAATACTCTCCGGTAGCTTGTTAGAGACGGCGTCCCGTCATCGGTAACTTCAAGTATCAGATGAAGCAGTTGACCTTGAGCAACCGGCTTTCTGCTCATCAGCTCTACTGCGCACTTCTCAGGTGGTGGAAGCGTAATCTCGACCTTTCTGCCCTCGTCGTCTAGCTTCTTGATTCCGAGTTCCGCAACTTCGGCATCAACCCACCATTGCGTAGCTGTGGGTTCACGATAATGCCACCATTTGAACGTGAGCTTTCTACCATCAGGATCGTAAGTAGCAGAGGCGTCAAGAAGGACGGTCGATCCGGCCTCTGCAGTGATCTGCGCAGGTGCCAAGCCTTTGAAACCACTGATGTTGATGACTGGGTGATGGTTTGCTTTTGCAAAGTCAGACTCCATGCTCCATTTGATACGTGCAGCAAAGTCATTTTGAAACGCATCGCGCCAGCGCCAGATAGTCGCATGATTCGATGTGTAGCTCTTATCACCGACTTTGACTCTGTCCACCACATCACTGTAGTGGTTGCTGTTCAATCCCTCGGTGCTGACATCAGTCCGTCCGTAGCGACCTCCCCAAGATCCGTAGCTCGGGCAATCCGGTACACCTAAACCATTTTGGATGAGGTAGAGGAACGTCGGTGTGTCGCCTTCAGGGATGAAAAGATAGTCAGGGTACGCGCTTCCAAGTGGCCCAATCTGGATGTTCTCCTTAATCCAACTCTTCTCCATTTTGGAGAAGTCCGGCCCACCCTCATCGAAGCCGTAGTACTTGTCGCCGGAGATACCAGTCCATGCAGCCATACCGTACTGGTTCCAGCCGTGGATGGAAGCGATGTAAAAGACGTCAGGGAAGTTGTTGCGAATCCACGCGCCCGTGTCGTCTTGGTCGGAGATAGCATAAACACGTAGACGCGAGAGTAGGCGCTTGGAGTCCTCAGGCTCGAAATCGTCATCTACTTTGAGCAATGCCGAGGCGAGTGTGTTTGTTCCGCCCCAGCAAAGTATCCACAGCGGCTGTGTAGAGGGTGCGATGATCCGATCATACAACAACTGACCGCCTGGAGACAGTGGGATGTCTGTGCCAACAGCAGACATGCCGTAGGTCTACAAACTATCAGCGCCATTCACAAGTGACACATTGCATGTTGTTTAGCAAATGAAAGCATACCTCGGCGCCCTTGCGAATCAACCCACGCATATGGTCTGCGGTTGGGTATTGCCATTCCGGGTGTACGTGCTTGTTCAGGTTATCAACAACGTCGGCATATGCGTCGATGATTTTTTCCATGTCTTGCGGGCACACTCTGTTCTTCATCCAGATGCTTGTACAAGCTACAAGGCCCTGTGTATCGAACTCATTGGAGTACAGAAGGTATCGACATAGCGATTCGGCATCATCCGGTTCATTAGAGATGTCGGATAAGATGAACACGCGGGGCTTTTGCGCGTATGTCTGAAGTCTCTCGGTAGCCATATTCGAAGATCTAGTTTCGGGCGATAAGAATGGCAAGGTCGATTATGAATAGAATGGAAGACAAGCTTCTATCCTCATGCTGTTGAGCTGTCGTGGTCCTTCAATGTTAGACAAAAAGCAACCGAAGTTGTACCACGACGTCTCACAAAGGTGGGGCGTTGAGCAGCGGATGCGGTGTCCTTAGGCAGCTCCTTCCGTCTGGAGTAAGGCCGGCTATACTTTCCACCCGTCCTTCTCCGCCTCAGGTTGCCCCTCACCATCTTCTGGATGGACTTGGCGGCAGTCGCCTCACCGTCCGCCTCGGAGTCTTCACAACAAGATACGGGAAAGCCGTTGCCACGCATTCTTAGTGTAGTGCGGCTCAGTCGTCTGCGCCACAACTAGGCTGCATTAAATCGTAGCTCAGCCTTGCATGCTATGACGTCCTTCAATCTACCTGCCCCGCTTCAACACCACCAGCCACGATCAAAGGACAGCAATGTAATTCAGGATTCAGGCGTCCAGTGACCCAAGGCACGACCATACATTTGTGCCGCTAATCCGTCCGCCAAGGATGAACGATCATAACCCTTTGACGTATAGCATCCGGTAGGAGGTAGGCTGTGCTCCTTGTTACTTCCTTGATATCTAGCGCACGTACTACGCCCATATCGTTATTGCTCACAGAGATACCAATCCTAACACCATATTCCGACATGTCAATCCATAACAAAATCCAGCAGGCAGCCCATCAAAATGAGCAACTCCTCCGCGGGCTCGAGGAAACCGACGCTGCACCCTCACAGCTCAAGCAGCAGAACGCATACATTGCTGACCTCGACTCGCAAATCAACAACACCAGAAAGCGTGTCAACGACCTGAAGAAGAAGACTGCTAGTGAGCTGAAGGATCACGAAAAGTACCGCGACTCAACTTTCCGCCGTTTTGCACACAAGGCCAGCGGCAAGAAGGAGAAGTTTGCCGAGAAGGCAGCAAAGGAAGAGAAAGAGTACTTTGATGCGATCCAGGAGCAGAAGAGTGCCGAAGACGAACTAGCCTACGTCAAGCAACTACGTGACGAAGCTGAGATACGCAAAAACGAAATTACATCGCAATCTAATCGTCACGATACCCTACAAGCCGAACTCGATGCGCTTTACAACTCAATCTTCGCCGGCCATACGCCCGAATTCCCCGACGAAGACCGCAAAGAAGAGGCTTGCAACGCCGCATCTGCCCAGGTCCAGAACTTGAACCAACGCCTCGAGCGCGAACGTCACATCCTTTTCCTCCTCGGACAAACCGTCGTCAAGCTCTCGGCGGCGCGTGAATATCTCGACGGCGCGTACGGCATGAGTCAATACGATATGTTTGGTGGCGGAACAATGGCCAGTATGCAGAAGCGCAACTATCTCGAGCGCGCAGAGAGCGCTATACAACAGGTGCGCATGCTACAACAGCAGGTCAAACAAGTCGCGCCCGAAATACCCGGGCTGGGTCAACTCAACATTGCAATGGGCAGTATCTGGAGCGATGTAGTTTTTGACAACATCTTCACGGATATGCAGATGCACGATCAGGTCAAGCAGTCTATTGTACAGGTTGACCGTGCAGGCAACAAATGCAGCGATATCATTAGGCAGCGCGAAGCGCAGGAGAAGAGTCTTCAGAGGGAAGTGGACCAAGCAAAAGCCAAATTGCAGCACTCGAGATTAGAGCTACAGCAAGCGCGCGAAGAGGCATTCAGGAGGGTGCTCGGTGGTGCGCAAGCAAACGCCGCTATGGGAGGTTTCATGTCTTCGGGTGATGAGGCCCCTCCGCCCGAGTATACTGCGCCGGCCGGCCCGCCACCTGGGTACTCGGCTTGAGCAACATGTCGTGCATGTACTTGTTGACATCGGGGATGGCGGAGCCTTCATTCGGGCCGCATACCCTGGTTCTATGCTTAGTATGCTATAGGGGCTCGGCATAACTTTAGTTCTCGTACAGTAGATAGAGGGTCCTTATGTGATTGCACATGAAGCTCGTAACGATATGCGTACCTCGGTAGTTTCTTAGTATAATCGAAGACATGAAGACATGAAGACATGTATTTACGAATCGGAAACTGAAGCGAAGCACTGGCACGAGCTTTATGTCTAGCATTCTATAATTCCGGCATCTCGTATTCGAGAGGATCTTTCCGTAGGGGGTTCGACGGGTCTATCGCAGAGACGCCGCAGGCATACAATGTCACTTGAGTTGTGATGCACGACATGACATGGTACCTGACCACCATTGTAAAATTGGCCGCTGGGTCTTCTGATAAGATAACTCTTCAAGAACATTCAATGACATGGGAGAATGCATGAATTGATAAAGTACTATATGAGATGTGCCTATATACACTCCATAATTATGTTGTTGATTACACTTGACTACTCTAAATGAAAGCATCAGTGAGGTAGGATTCAAAGTTGCTGTCCCGAAAGGATGGTGTCGCGTCACCAAAGTCTGTGTTCTCAATCGCACTCTTTGCCGCGGCAGGCATGCTATCCCACGCAATCACCGGTTGCTCTCCACCCTTTGTGGTTGTAGAAATAAGCTGGTGGTTGACGGGGAAAATGGACCTGTAACCAATGAGGGGACGAGTACCGTCAAGGTTCGGTTTGGTAACTTTTTGGTAGTCACCATGAGCAGAGATGGCGACGCCGCGGATAGCGGCGGTGGTGGATTGAGCTGACAGCCATACCACAATGTTCTCCCAATCGTGGCGGTGGCCGAGACCAGGGCTAGGGCTGTCTTTGGGCATGTACCACGAGTACATGATGGCGTAGGCGCCGTTGTGGGCGCCGGCACGGGCGTAGACTTGGCCGGGGCTAGAGCTGCACATTCCTGAGGGGTCGCCAGAGGGGGCCAGTCCGCCGCTGTCATGTACTGTTAGCCTGTAATTGTATAGATGCGTGTATGAGAACTTGCCTAGTGTCACCTGCGGCATTGACAGCAGGGAAAGGAACGCAACCATTCTCGACCTTTAGGAAGGGTTTGTACTTCAGCATGAGCTGGCCAACGATACCAGAGGGGACAGTTTCGGGGAAGCCAACAACAGCATCATGATTGATGACAGCACGGCTTTGGAGATTGACAGGTGATGCGAGGACGATACTCGCGGCTGCGAGGAGTTGAAGGGCGAAGTTGAGCATCTTGATCTTGAGTGTAAAGTGAACGAGCGTAGAAGCAGATGTCAGGGTGACTGCCTAGCGATTGACGAGCGTCCTTGAGCCGGTAGTGAGTTGACTTGTTCTTCGTGATATGTCGGGTACAATGGGTTTTATAGGAAGCGATTCGAGTTGTCTTCGGCTCCTTCCGGTGTCTTGCTCAGCGAGTAATCGTGTTTTCCCCTCTATATCTCCCGAGGTCTCAATGAGGAAGTTCACGATGAGACTAACGCAAAGGCGAAGTGCTGAGGACCGTGGACAGCGCGTGTGCAGCGCACATGCCCTAATATACTAGTAACGATTGGCCGTTCTTTACGCTACCTTGGATACGTAGCAATGTTGCCGACGTTGTCACTGGGGTACCTGCAGCACACCGGCGTCCGGCACGGGACGACTCAAAACGTGCATGTCTACGCTCGGAGGAAACATCTGCGGACGGTAAGGCAAGATGTCGATCGAACAGATTGAGGGCCAGGATGGTGCTTTGCTGACGAATAGGAAAAAATCGCGTGGTTGATCGTGACCGAACAATTGGTCCGTGGCCGAGGCTAAGCCGAGACCATATCAGGCAGGTGCAGGGGAGGTGAACATAATGTGTGGGAGCAAGTAGAAACAAAACAAGAAATGCGTCAGGTTTATGGTAGCAGACACGGAGACGGTGACGCGTTGGCATGAGCTGGTTGGAGCATTAAACATACCTACAGCCACTGGAGGACACAATGCATGATGGCGGTTATCGAACGGAAAAATGGGTGGTCATATTCCGCGATGCAGTCAATCATCCGAACTGTCTCCAGACAGTATTTCGCTGATCTTTTGGTGGTGTGTCGGGGCCTGGCATTAGCTCGCGGAGCATGTCGTTAATGTCCAGACCTCGCTCCTGACAATCATGCCACTGTCTTGGGTATCCCAGACTGACCTCTTCAAAGCGCGTATCGTCTATCCAGTCTGTTCTCCTGATGTGCAGATGGCCAGAGACGACGATTTTGGCGTTGTATTTGTTGTGCCAGTCTTCCGTCTTCTTGGTGCCGCACCACAGTGAGAAGCGTGGGACTCTGAAGAGTTTCACCAGGTCTTCGCGGAGCGGCCAGTGGCCTGCTATTATCAGTGGGATATCTGGATGCGCTGCGACGGCAGCCGCGAGCTTCTTCTCTGTCTTGTCGAGGAGAGCGTTACACCATTCGATACGCGACGAGTAGGGATCCGGATGCAGCAGGTGCTCGTCGGTCGCTTCTATGTCTTCCTCCCTCGCCCAGTCGAGAGCATCTTCTAGCTTCACATTACTGGGTCGGAAGGAGTAATCATACAAGGTGAAGATGGGCGCAATGAGACATGGGCCTCCCTCGCCCTCCCACAAAGTGTATCCATCCTCAGGTGTGATAATGCCATACTCGCGCGCAATGGCGACGCACTCCATGTATTTCGCCTCGCCTCTCGCGCCGTGGTCTTTCTCCGAGGGCAGCGTATATAGCTCGTGGTTCCCTGGCACCCAAAAGACCTGGCGAAAGCATTCCTTGACCTTGGTGAAGGCTATGCGGCAATGCTCTGCGGACTCGCCGACATCGCCGCAGAGTATCAGGTCGTCGTGCGGGTGCGGGAGGAGCTTCTCGAGAGCTTCGCGGTTGCCCTTGAAAGAGAGGTGTATATCGCTGATACCCCAGAGACGGCTCGCTGGAGGCGTTTCGGCGCATGGCGGGGAGCTAGGTGGGGTACGTGTCGCGTCTGAGGCTGCGGCGGCGGCGTCCGCAGCGGCGAGGAGAGGGTCCATAGTGGCGGGCGACGACGGTTGACTACACGTTAGTGGCAGCGCGCGGTGAATTTTATATGTTTATGGCGCCTCCCAGAAAGCGACGTGTCGCAAAAGAAACTACATCATAGTCCGCTTCAATCGCGTCTGCCGTGTCTATAGGCTATTATTATCGATTCGCACAGACCAGTAAGCTGTCAATCCTCATGACAGGACAGGCCTGCTGCATCCGCTCATCTATCTATCAAACATTAGCCGTTTGCTCAGGCTACGTACGTTCGACATATAGATGCCAGCTGCGCGGCCTCTGGATACCGGATCCCCGCTGCCTACCGGCTCATACCGCAAACATCAGGCGATAGACACTTGTTCGAGCTTCACTGCTAACGTGGATGAATCCTACCAATTATCATTCCAAGAATTGCATCAATACTTGATAGCAAAACATTTTCCTGCTCCACGGGTGCTCCAATTGGAAAGAAACGCGTACGGTTTGTTCCAAGACAGACACGTGAGATGCTATGAGTTGGATCTGTCTGTAATAACCTCTGAATCGGGGATTCTTGGTCATGCCGAACGTCGACACAGTATGTCTCACAATCACGAAGCTCTTTCCGAAACAATGGCTTGTCTCCATATCATGGCGAAACATTGGGATCTGGCTCTTGAGAACACAGCCATCAGCTTCAAGATGTTCCAGGATGGGCCATGTATGATTTTCTGTACATGAACAAGAGTCAGTCTAGCAGTCATCCTCACGCGCGAAGAACTTAAGCGTGTCTCCGCTGCTATGATCGTAGATCAGATTAGATCAAGGCGCTGTACGTTCCCTTAGCAGATCTGAAGTATCTCGGATCACGAGGGCAGAACCGAATTGAAGCTTTACGTAGAATTGGCGGATCGATGAGAGACGCCATCATCTTGATGACTGAGAATATAAGATTTCATCGGGAAGTGGAGGAAAGCGTGGAAGCTTGTTATGATGAGGCCATTGATGATAGTATCAGTACTTTCGAAGCTGATACCATGTCTTCGCATGGACGCTATTCAACTGTGACCTTTCTTTTCACCGTGCATGATATGCGATCACACAGTCGTGATCGCATGTCATGAGCATACTACATAAACGCTAGATCAGTTATCGTCTCCGGAAATTAGCAGTATCCCAAAAGACTGACCTACATGATGAGAGCGCCACTCACAACATATCTGTGTTTAAGCAGGTGAGCATCAGTAACGACAACCACCAGAGGGCTTGGATCGAATGTTATTGGCACCTAAAATGGGTTGAGGAGCTCGATGCATTTCTCAAAAAAGATGGCAAGACAACCTATGCCTCCAACTCTTCGATATTCCTCAACATGCGAAAAGTGTGAGGAATGAAGTGAATGAGACGTTGTGCCTAAATATACACTATCCCAGCATCGTGTAAAGTTTAAGTTGAAGAAGGCTGTAAGTACACAGCTCATATTACTTACGGATCCGCAACAACGAAGACACCAAGAACTACGATGCAGCGATACATATCGCGGCCGTCGTGGTGACCGATGAGTGCGCTAAAGAATACTTATGTTCAAGTCTTTGGTCTCAGACTACCAGAATGTCCCGAGCTAGATATAGGATAAATGGATCTAGTCACGGGATGAGTCTCAAGCGGGTAACTGGCGAACAAGGTGACATGCTCGACACTATGTTAAGCGTCCGATAGCTAAAAGCTCGGCCAACAACGTGCAGACGTAAGTCGCTGTTGAAAGACGGGGTGCAATTTGTAGCGTAGTGCATACCGGATTGTGGGAAACCATAGACCCTGGCGTCGAACCGCTGACGTCATGGCTTGCTGTCACCGAGACAAGAACCACTGAGTGGCAGCCCATCGGTCTTGTTATTGAGGTATTGACCGGACCTAGAAGGGATAACCCTACATGTTGTAAAGACTACGTCTCGTGTAATCGGGTCAAAACAGGTTGTCATTTAGCCACACGGGTCGCGTACGACCACGACGATCTCGACGATCTGAATGACGTAGCATATTCGCACTTGAGCTGTCACACTAGCACTAACCCATTGACCCAGCCTTCTGTCTGGACCCTTGCCATAACATTACCAGAGTTACACCTGGACGAAAAGATGCCACCGAAACAAGCACAACAGAAACCAAAACCAAAACCAAACGCCGCAAACCCACCAAGCCAGAATATGGCTAACAACAGCGCCGGTGGCCAACAAGGTGGCATTCCAGACCATGAGATCAAACAGAACGCCGGCGTATCAGCGAGCATGGCGCTCCAGGCGGGTCAGAAGGCGTGGGAGTTGAGGCAAGCTGCGCATGGAGCGGGCGACGCAAAGGCAAGAGAAGAGATTTTGGCGAAAGCAATCAACAAGGAGATCGAGGCAGAGTCTTTTGGAAAAGCGGCGAAGTACACGCAGTCGGGCGCTTTCCAGGGTCTTGCAGCTGGTGCCGGATTGGGAGTGCAGCCGGGTGTCACCATTGGAAAATTGACTGGTGCCCTGGTTGGTGGCACAATATCTACAGTGACAGGACTGCTTGGAGGTGGCATCGGGTCCGTTTACGGGGCGATGAACGGTCCCATGTGGGACCTTGGTGAGATGGCAAGTCAAGGTGTCCAGGGAGTCGTCGGAGACTTCCTTCCGGACATCAAGTCGACTCCATCGCAGAAAAAGGCTTTGGAGAAGATGGTTATGCAAACAAAGGAAACCCAAGCGCCATCCAAAGAGGAGCTGGAGCAAATGAAGAACGACGCACCAGACCAGATGCCGCAGTCTTGGTCTCAGTCGGCCAAAGACATGACAGCCTGGAGGCCGAGCATGCCGAGCATGCCATCAACTAAGGGTATGGGGGGTGCATTGGGACTAGGTGGAATAGGTGCCGCGATGAATCCATGGGGAGGACAGAGTCAACAGCAACAACAGCCGCAGCAGAGCTCATCGCAACCGAAGCAACAGCCTCAAAAGCAGGCTCAACAGGCTCCGAGTCAGCCCAAAAAATCAACCCAGCCTCAGAAAGATTCTCAAACAAAACCACAACAACCAAAGACAAACAACCCACAGCCGCCAAAGCAAGAGAAACCACAATCCAATGAACCACCAAAGGAAGCACCCAAACCTCGTTCTCAACGGCCGCCTACCACCAGAGGGCCCGCTAATCCCCAATCGTCTCAGCAGAACCAGGCACCGAGTGCACAACAGACCACAAGTCAGTCAAAGACCTCGTCACAGAAATCGAACTCAACGAGCAAGCCCGCCAATACCTCCAGTCAACCAAAGCGTGTGTCCTTTAGCGATAACAAAGAAAACAATGCCCCAGCCACTACCTCAAAAGAAAAAAGGAAGCCGAGAAAGTTGGGTCAGCAGGGGAGCAACACCCAGAAGAGCGGTGGTGCAAGTCAACCATCTGCTCCGAAGAAGGCACCGCGCAAGCTAGAACCAAGGAAGCCTGCTGCATAGATTATACGGCAGTGAAAGTAGGGGCGATGTGAAGTGAATGAGTAGACTAGAGGTCCGCATCGCTGCTGCTGACTAGAGTTGTCAACAATCAAGCTCATCAAGCTGAGCTAACGCGATATAGTAATGATTAGGCCCAAAGAAGTTAGCCGATTACTGTATCACGTTAGCTCGGCTTGATGAGCTTGATTGTTGACAACTCTGCTGCTGACCTGTATTTCTTCTAGTACCTGCCAGCTTTTTGTATGCTTCATACACGTATTTTAGCGACAATGTACCTTTACCCTAGTATTTTAAATCATTATCGATCACGTATTACACAATGACCCTCAATAGAAATCTTACATGCACATTTTGTTTCCTAATTAACTCCTTCCTTGTGTCGAACAATTTTTGCACAAAGTTGTAGCTAGAAGAAACGGATCGCTAGGAGAATGCCCATATCAACAGCCCACTTTCACTTAGATCCTTGTCAGCTTAGCAAGGCTATCGTTTTGCAATGATGGCGACTTGGACGCGCAAACAATGCTAGCGAAATGTCGAAAAACTATTTTACAGTACGCCCTACTACACTTGACCCAGACGAGACTTTTGTTTTTATTTCCAGTTCGACGTTGGCTAAGTACTAAGACATCCACGAATCGCTGTTGCTAGAATATCTCTGCTTTCCTGGTAATCGTTGCTACACAGCGCATGGATTTTCCATCTATAAACTTTAACGGAGACTATGGATTCACTGGACGAGAAGCACCGCGACGCATATAGGACAACAGTGGACTCTTCCATCTTGATGGTCATCAGACCACAACCTTCCAGTCTCTCAACTAGGTACTGTCTACAATTATCTTGACCCGACTAGCGTTTGATTTGTGCGCGAACATTCAAAGCAACTCCTAACCATCCAAGAGTTTCCACGACCACTACTTCTGTTATCACTTGGGAATGACTCAATCGAAGTCAGGGGACATCACTCACTACAACATGTCTCAGGAATACCCTCCGGTCGAGACCTCTGCTGTTAACAAGGACTTTGGCCTAGAATTTCCTGGGAACCAATACGATTTTGAAGCTCAACATCAAACAGCATCGGACGACGGAAGCGCACAATGGAATTCTAATAGTGGCATCACCATGTTCACCTTTCGCGAAGACTGGGCCCCAAGAACAGAAGGCAGTGATCTGGATGATGTTTTTGGGTACGGAAACAACAACGTTCAGCATCAACATAGCGCTACCCGAAGGACTGAACTGGCACTTGAGCAACTGGTAGCACAGCGTGTCCCATACATACCAGATCCGCCTTATCAGTTATTCCAAGAGCCTACCAGCTTTGGGGGTGCCCAGAAAAACGCATCCGATGCGCGCGCTCAAGATTATCGGTGGTGTGCAACGCTCAATCCGCATGAACACACTCAAACTACTGAAATTGCTTCAGCGCGAGGTGGTACCTGTGAATTGGTGTTCCGTAGTCTTGCGGAGGCAAAGAAAGCCATGCTTTCCCGCCATCTCGAAAAAGCTTGGTTCGCGCCAATTGGTGACAGTACAATTCCGACTAATGATGAAGAACGAGCTACATATGTTGCCGAACTGTTGGACGCAATGAAAGATACTTCGGCATGCTCAGACAAGCGCGAGACACCCGCGTTCATGAGCCGCTGGACTCCTAATGCTATTAACGCGCCAAATTCAACACATATGGAGAAGGTCTGTTGGCAGCTTGTTGATGTCGCTGAACGTTTGCACATCGATGGTCCAGCGTCGCTTCCGATCTATGACAAGCTGGCGCTTGCAATGGCCCGAAAATCACGCTATCTTACCTTTGGACAACGCATGAGTCATCTCAGTGCGCTGTTACGATTATCCAAGTACCGCTGTTTCTCGCTACTCAAGGGTAGGTAATGTCTCTGTACGGACCGCATGTAAGACAACTACTGACTTGGTACACTGACATTTAGGTGAAAATATTGAAACTACAGTTGCATCGCCAGCCCAGCGATGTTCAGGCACCATCGTAAACTGTGTACAAAACAGTAAGCGTCAAGAATTTATCAAGGAAGGACGACCGGTTTGGAAGGACAAGAACGGTGCAGCCAACAAAAAGATACAATCAGTGCCGGTGAACAACGACGAGTATATTAGCTCAGAGGTTTCGAGTTTGGACATCGCAGTGGGCCAAGCGCACACTGAAGATGCTCACCAGGATATACCAGTGTCTGTTCATTCCCCCTCACCTGCGCCCACAACCGATACACACCATACTCATATTTTTTCTGTCAATCATAGAACAACTTCTTACCGAGACTCCCACCTGGACGAAATTCATGGCGACTCTGAGCAAGGTAATATTGTCACAGGACGGTACGAAGGCAACCGCCATGTCAGTGACAGTTTGTACAATGCCAGCCACACACCCCGCTCAAACCACGCAGGTGTTTGTTATCTTCACCCTGGCGACGTTCCGAGTTCCTCCCAAGCACTGAAGCGCACTGCCAGAGATGCACAACTCGATAAAGATTCATGCCCACCTGCTCAGCGCCCACGCTTCGACTATTTAGTTGATCGCTCATATCAGGTATAGGAGACTGTGCGGGCAGCTAGTCTGGCTACGCAGTTTGAAATCTTCAAATGTCCTTTTACCCTATGGTATAAAAAGAGGAGACAAGGAAAGTTGCGTAAGTCGATAATGGAACCATGCTTCACAAGTGGAAGAAAGGAAGTAACGAACTTTTCGACGTCACTAGGGCCATTGCCGATCGGTCTGCCGTAGTCATGAGCGGAGTGCGTAACTCGAATGGTGTTTTTCTTCCGAAACCATTTTGTCTTTACCTCAAGCGTACCTTGAAGACCCATACTAATTCATTTGTCATGACCTCCAGAATGATTTTCCGCTTCGGTAGTCCTTTATGTATAGCACTCTCGTGTGGCCTGAAAAATAGACATGCCTAATGCATGGAAAGATCTTGTGCGTTCAACAAACTATTAGGTATGTCTGTGAGGTGTCGATCTTAGGTTGGAGTAACCGATGTTGATTCGATATAAGGGTGCTGCGAAGGTCGCCTAGGCCTCACCTCTTCAGCCACGTGCCAAACGTTCTTCTCCAGAACGCGATACTCTGCTGAGCCGTCTATCTCGCATGACGGGGACGAATGTGCAGTGTATGGCTGTGACCAGCTTGATGCTAAGTAGTGAGAGCATCCTGTCGATGGTTTGACAAGACTAACTGCAGGTAGTGGAGGCATCTGAACCGGCTGAACCCAAAGACGACAATGAGTCGTTGGCGTACGAAACCAGCCGAGAGGTCCGTAGCGTGGTGGATGGCTATCAATCTTCCCCAGCCATAACGCGGTTCGATATGTGAATAGTCACAACGACAAACTTCCAGCGCTGGTTGAGCTCGGGAGCATCATCGCGTACGCCAAATCGACAAACACCGTCGTCCAGCACAGTGGACATCTTGTCTCTCGTCCGTCCTCAGCTCTGTTTTCCAACATCGCCTCTAGCCCACTCTGGCCCCTGCCCTTCCTCTCTGTCTTTCGCTAATTTCTTTTCCAACTCCTGCCTCGCTTTCTCGCCAAACTTCTTCTCCCACTCTTTGTCTCTCTCCTTCTGCGGTGCAGCGAATTGAGTACTGAGCCCACCTCTACTCTTGACTTGCATTTTCTTCTCCGCTGCTTCATTCTGCTTCAGTTGCTCTTCGGCACTCTGTATCCGGCGCTTGAGACTGATCTCGAACATGTCCCTGCCTTTATGTCTCCCCTTGAGCCCGTTGTCGTCCTTGTCGAAGTATACTGCCCAGCGTAGTCCTTCTTTGCCCCACGGTGTATCGGGATCTTCATTAGCACCATCCCATTCGTCGATAGCCATGAAGCCTTCCCAGCCGTCGAATGTCAGGTGGGTCTCGTCTTCGGTCCAGTCCCAAACGCCTACGTGATGCACGATACTGCCCGTGCGATTCGAGTAGCGTAGCTCATACGTCTCTTTATCGCAGTATATCCAGTTCAGCATAGGCGGGTCGTCGCTGATGGTGCTAACCAGTCCCCTTTCCGGAGGGCAGCGATCCTCGTCCGGATATGCAATGTAGAAACCTGCAAACGGATGCAACGGCTCCCGTCCTCCACCGTCTACCCCGTCCGGCCACATTGGTTTGTTATCCGCGTCCCTCGGCACAACCCAGACTTTATCGTGGCGCACAACGAGGATGCCATTGTTGACTTCTTCTTTCGCGATCGGATCGGGGTCATCGCAGGCTACAAGGCAGTTGAACTTCCACATGCGCGACTCGTTGGCGGCTTCTTCGTTCTGCTTCTTTTGGTGCTCGACACCTTGCGCGACACCAGTAACGACGGGGATGGCGACCACGCAGCCGCCAAGGAAGATGCCTAGAGGAAGCGCCATATCGAATTATGCGACTGAACTTCGTTGTGGATGCAAGGCGGTACCGTCCAGAGTGGGATGAGACAAAAACGCGTTGCGTCATTGTTGGCACCTTTCCGAAATAAGCCTAATCTCCTGCGCGTTGAACCAACGCGTCCCGAGCTCGACATGTCGTTTCACAGTCATCGCACAGTTGATGTTCGGTGACATCGACAGAGAAGACGGGATATACCTCGTCGCAGTCAGCCAATATGATATCGACTTGCAGTAACCTTGCCCGTGACTCGGTGAGTAGCAACCTCATCGTACAGCTATTGTTGTTATCAACGTATAGTGGGATGAACCTGCATACAACGCCGAGGCCGCGGTTGCATGTTTGCACAATGTCTCGTTTCTCGAGAACAAAACATTTCTGATCAAGCTATTTGTATTTATTTCGCCCTCGAAATAGCAGCCGAGCCATCGATTGCGCAGCCACCATCAAGCACAACAATGAAGTCTACAGACACTGACTTTGCCTCCGCAATCACTTCTACAGCCGTTCGTTCCAAGCCGGCGTTCCATATCAATGCCTCATGCTCAGATCTTCATCTTCCTGTCGCACAACCGTCTCCCTTATTCGATGGCATCAGTGAAGACATCAACATACATCGATTCCCCGCCTTCCAGGACCCACTCACTATAGGTCAGGGCGTACCAGCGTTGGCGCCGCACTGCACGTTACATTGCGGCCACCGAGTCTGCATGCACTTAAGCATGAAAGGGTTGGATTCTCTAGCATGCCAATGTGGATCCGAACAACGTGAGCCCAAGGAAGAAAAGACGGTCATGCCTTGGTATCGACCAGAAATGGATCTCGACTATTTAGTCATGAACTCCATCGAAGACTCGATCGCTAACGCTGGCCCGCTTCATGAGATTGATGTTTACTATAACGAAGTTCTCAAGATACTTGCACACCTCCAAGAGCGTGCCAGATCTTTAGCGCTGCACAATGAGTATTTGGTACGTGCTATGCACTGCGACTACCCAGGCCACGAAGAAGAGATTGCTTATGCTGCAGTCGACCATATCTTCAGGATCATGCGCTTGTACTTCCATCGCATACTACGCTCTCAGGACCATCATCTGATAAGTATCCAACAGCTCCAGCGCGGATTGAACGTATATCTCTGGACGCTGCTTGCTGAGTGGCTGGAGGCGCATTGCGACGATGAGACTCGTAACCGTGTAGTATTAAATGAAGGCCCCGCCTCTATAATCCAGGCTATTTCGGGTTCTACAGCTGCTATCCTGGAGCTTTGGGAGGAGTGCATAGAAGGAGTTCTTGAATTGCTTCTTTGGCGAGACGAAGAGGTCAAGTGGTGCAAGGTGGAAAGCGGAGTGGTTTTTGGTGTTTTGACGGCAATACTCTTGTGGGCGCTCATCATAATCCTTTGGGGGGAACGTAGGTTCGCACATATAAGATCAAGGGATACCATAAACCTATAGATTATTTTTAAAATGAAATTATAGATTGTTCACGGCAAATTTTGGTACCTGTGACCTTATCATACCAGCGTGAAAGTCTCTCCTTGGGCGTGGTGCCAAGGATGTGGTAAATGCTCCAAAGGAGCGAAGTTTGGAACTTTGGTGATCTCCTCATCGAAATGGATGCAAGTCTTCAAGAGCCCCACCCTTCTGTAATGTCCATCGCTATTCGTTGGGACTAAGGCCAGCCCAAGTAATGTAAAGCAAGCTTGGACTTTCTCCGCTGGTCCTGGCCGCTGAGTCGATTCTTCTATCCGTGCCTTCGCCTTGCGTAATCTCGGATTGGAGAGGATACTTTTGTGTAGCATGCTTCCGACTTGCGAGGTTCTGGAACGGGATTCTTCTGTATTTTTCGATCGATTTCCAGAATCCAGAACCTTGCACAAGCAAAATTTGATGTTGTTTGTCGGAGTGTCGACAAGACTAGAGTCGAGAAGCAGCCATCCATAAGCTATCTGCCGCTTTGACTCGACGACTGGCCTAGCTCGCTTACTGTAGTCCATCTCCAGATAATTGTTGTAATGGAATGCGGTATGTCGTGACTTCTGCCATAGCATTTTTCTCTCTTTGGTTACCAACACCCTGCCGATCTCAAGATCGATGCAGCGCCCATACAGTGTCAAGGACCTGTTGACTATGCCTTGCATGTCCATAGTCGGTTGAACATACTCTGAGTTCTCATCGCTGGTAATAGCATCCACCTTGACGCTGTAAAGAACATGTGTTTGCTTCCCTTTCTTATTGGGTTCAAATTTGATGTTCTCACCCCACTGAGACACCCAACTCCACGAGATCGAGCAGAGCGACAGCCTGGTCATTGAATCTTGGACTTGTGGACCAGGATGCTCGTCCTTGCGACTGCTACTCACGGCCCATAATAGACCAGATGTAAAGTCTTCTTTCCAGATCCCATTCAGGTAAAAGATATGGTGATTGGCTGCAAAAATGGTTGCAAGACCGGCAAGAGCTGGTAGTACATCGGAACTGTAGCTCAAGGATCGGCGCGAAAAGGCTTCTACGACTCTGTACCATGTTTCAAATAGGCCTTTAGTTGCATGGAGTGAAGCGTCTGGTGCATTGGTGCTGTCCAGCCAAAAATGCAATAGTGGTAAATATGTTGTGACCATTTCAGGTTTACGTCCAACAAGGCCCTTTTTAACGTCGTCGAGGGTATCAGGAGATGCCGCATGGGTAATAGGCATGCTTTCTGACAGCTCACAGCTCCGGCATGTCCACTGCATCTCTGAATGCCGAAAAACCAGTCGTCGTGGCGCAAGCACCTCCTCTTGCAGAATCCATCCCCTAGTATCCAGCGGACACGGACTTCTTTCGGGCAAGGATTGCACGTACGCTGAAATTTGATGCGTCTCGTCTCCAACAGTAGCTGCAAAGTCCAGTTGACAAGGCTTGGTCAATCTGGGATCTCGTGTCATAGACAGGCCCGCATCAACGTTGTGTCCAGCGCCAGCGAATATTGTCAACGCAGACTGTTTATACACATCGCCCATTCGTGCAATCTCTGTGCGTGAGTCCTCGACTGAGTCCTGGATAATCGTTAGAGCATCTATCCAGATATATTTAAACCCCAATCGAGAAGCGAGGTGAATGGCCTCCTGGAAAGTTTGCGGAAGGTCACATCGTGGGATTGAGTTGTAGTGCTGCTCGAAATTTCCAGAGTTGGTTACGTATCTTTTCGTGACGTTACCCCATACATAGCTCAGCGTGGCGTATGTACGTATGCTAACGACCTCACTGTCTTCCAGAAAGGGATGGCTTGGATTGACAATGTTGATTAGGCGCGTGGGTAGATACGAGGTGGATATAGCGTCTCGGCAGGCAGTGTGGGTTTCCGAGCATATCTTGAGCCATGCTGAAGCCAAGGCAATGTTTGCGTCTGACAAAGTTGACGCGTCGCACTCTGGGGAGAATTCGTGGTTGCTGTGCTGTTCCTCGTCTTGCTGGGCTATTGCTTCTGCACTTGATGCGTCCGATCTTGGTTTGATCGACTTGGTTAGGGATGCCACCATGGTTGAAAACGGTTCTAGCACAGACTCAGCGCAACGCCTGCATTCTGAGTGATTTCGAACACCCACCAGCCATTCGAGGTATCAAGCATCTGAATCCGTAAACCATCGCCCCAAAGTATACACTCAGGACAGCTGTTTCAAGCGAAACCACAGTCGCTTCCTGGAGCTTCCGACTGATGCTGAGGATGATGCGTGACTCGGGGTCGTTCTTCTTTCGCAGACGCCGACCAATCTGCAATAGTGCTTGAATCTTGAGACAGAATTGACAACCGGTGTCAGCAGTACGTTGCAAACACTGAAGGTTGCACGAATGTTGGAAGAACAGTATGTGATCATTCTTAATGTCTTTCATATATCCAAGTAATGGTACCTGGAGTTGCTGTATAGCTGGAGGGCATGCTTCGATATGCCTGAAATGGATGCTGGTACACTTGGAACAAAGCATCGGCGGCAGTGGAACGAAGTTGCGAACAGCCCCAAACGAGGATTGCCGCTCAAAGTCTCGTCAAATACCACAATGGATAGATAGCACTGAATGTGTCGGTGGAGAGTTGCGCAATTCAATTGGACAGAAAATCGTGGGCTCGTGCAAGTAAGCTAGACAGACGGTGTTGCAAAGGGATTTGACGCGTACATGTTCATGTCATCGGCATTGCAGCGCGTACGCGGCCGTGGAAATGAACATGGCGGGGATGGGCCGCTAGGCTCAGATGATGCGCGTTATTCCCGATTGGCCACGAACAGGCTTAGAACGCACATTGGAGGGGGGTAGGGCAAATGCTTGGTGGAATGGAAAGTGCGCTTGTAGGCATGGGAAAGAGGAAAAGAAAGGCGGAGTGAACGAAGAGCTTTGGGTATGTCGTGTTCATTGATCATCGCTCGTGAGACAAATATACATAAAGTAGTGTAAAGAATGCAGCGTACAGCGCAATAGCTCAGGCCAGATGTATTAGAGCAAAGATGGCTCAAAAAGTATCCAACCCCATCTTCTGCAGGACGCCTACTAGGTCGACCTCCACGATCTCGTCCCAGCCCCTCTCAGGGCCCCAGGCAACGCGCTTCTGGTTGAGCTTCGTCTCTTCCAGCAAGCCCCTCAGGAGAGGGCTGGATTTAGACACACTCGGGTAGGCGTCGAACTCGACGTCGTCGATCGACGGCACCTGCGCGAGCAAACCTCTCAGCAGCCCGACGCAGTACTCAGTGTAGAAGTTTTTGCCGGCACGGAACCCTTCAAATACATCATTGGATGCAGGGTCGAGCTCTACAAAGACCTTAAGTCTATACACCTTCTTCATCGCCGCCAGGCCAAGGCGGCTGTCCACCACCCAGCATTTCGGCGGTTTGGTGAAGCCAGGCCCTAGTCTCAACTCCAAACGTGTGAGCTGTGCTCTGTATTTGCGAGGGAACCACGCGAGTAGCGGATGCTTGCGGTTGATGTACCGCCCGATAGGGAACACGCGAAAGGTGTTGCCGCCGTAGAAAACGCGCGAGGCTTCGTCGTGCATACGGTGGTCTACGAGGAAGAGGCGGAGGGCGGGTGCGATCGTGCGATAGTTCGTTTCATCGAGATCGATAGTCTTGGGTAAGATCAGAAGCTCTTCGTAAACGCGCAATCGCAGTTCGTAAGGAAGATCGAAGAAGCGAAAAGGCTGGCGCTGAGCGGCTTCCTTGCCGTCTTCCACTGGATCGTCTTGAGTTTGCGGCGGTGCAGCAGCCCGCTCATCCACCAGCCGCACTTTGCTCATGCGATTGACCATGTGGTCAATCGCCTTCGATTTACGCGCCATCCTATGGAACAGCACCCTCCAAAGCGATCACTTTTATCGCTTTGGTTGTATTTATGCATCCATCGCGTCACTCGTGCGTATACGTATCGGTATCGTTCGAGGCGAGAGGAGACGTAGCAATGATGAAAATTCTTAAGAGGATGTCTCGGAGCCACGGGACCGTCAGCCCATTCGGTAGGGGCAGGCAGTTCTTGGGGGCAAAGAGGTTCGATCTCCCCAGCTTATGTCAACTTCAATCTTGTAGAGGAACAAAGAGTGAGGTCAAATTCTGTGGGTGCAACTTTCTATATGGAAAAAGAAGAGAGAATGGCGGCGACGCGGAGAGTTTTGTCCAAGGTCCGACTAGCGTATTAGTCAGCCATCAGCCAAGGCCCACCGTTCGCCGACCCACCGACTTCGTGTTCTGCTCCGCTTTCTTACCTTGCACAACCATGTTGCATAACCACTTCATCGTAAAAATGTATATCTTTAGGGCAAGGTCTGCTCGTTCGAGAAAGGCCCATGAGATGGTCACTCTATTGCTGCAAATGTATATCGATGAGGAAAAGAAAAGAACAAAACAAATTCATCTGCAGTCCATTCTTCGTTATCAGCTACTGCTAAGTAATTCGTTCCTAATCCCATGCCTCATATTCATATGCAAGTAAAGCATGTTTTCATCGCGATACCAATAAACCTTCTCTTTCCAAAATGCTCTGTTCTTAAGGTCCCCTTATTCAAGCTTTCTTCGAAGACATCGCTACTAGGTCAATGGTCGGGAGCGCATGCATTACATGGCTCGCCACCGCCCCGCTCGGTCGCGACGGTGATGTTGACCAAACCACAGGATTCGTTCCCAATCGTGTATCCAGAGTAATCAAATGAGTGGGCGCCGTAGGTTTGACCTTGGTCTGGTCGGCCTTGCGGTGGAACAGGGTTCGGGAACGGTGCTGTGGCGTCAATGGGAACACCGGCGCTGCCGCGACCACCATACAAACCATTGCCACGATTGTTCCGGTGACCGTGGCGAGGAACCGTGTAGTAGCTGGGAGGGTGCATGTTGCGAGGTCCGGACGGGAGGCCAACGTTGCGCACAGTGGTGAGATCGACGTTGAAGTGGCGTGGAGCGTTGCTGTTCGAGTGACTGTTGAGGGCAGCCTGTTTAGATATCATATTGAGCTGATTCTCAAAAGGTCGATTTGCTCCAGCGTTGGCACTGTGCGGGATTGAGACCTCTCGGTTGGAAGCAGGATGACAAGTCTCTTGGCGGGTCTCTTCACGACGCCGAGTCGTAGGCAAAGGTGGTGGAGGCATTAGCTCTGCGGAAGTTGAGCGCTGATTCGCTGCAGCAGAGCGAGGAGTCGCTGGCCTGAGGGTCATGATGGGAACCGCCTTTGAAGAAGGATGAGGAGAATCGACCGGAGAAGACAGAGACGTGCGCTGTTTCCTGGATTGCTTGAACTTCTTGGGCGATTTAGGACGACCATTACGATAGCCCTGCTCGTAAGCAAATTGTACACCGTATATATACCACAGGAACGGTATGCCGTTTCTATCGAGTACCGTTGCATCTGGCAGACCAACGATGTCATGAGACGAGACCGAAGGTACGGTTCTCGTGGTAGCCTCGATCGTGCCAGCCATGGACGAACCCTGAGGTACGAATTCCGCAGCAGTCGCTCGAAGAGAGCCCACACTAGATTGAGTTGAACAACCGCTATCTCCTTTTTTACCCTCATCAGGAACATACCACTTACTTCTTCCTCGAACGGAAGTCACGTTGCCATCAGCGTCATCGATATCGTCCGTGGAGGTAGAGACAGGCTCTTCTTGTTTGACTGCGATGTTTGTATTTTCTGCATCAAAATTGTGAGCCATCATGACGACGATTGCGGGTATGCTTGTAGAATATGCAAGCGTCGTACCATGAGTAAAAGCTGCTGGGGCATCCCATGACATATTCTCTGGCCTCACAGTCTTGTACGAAGCCTCATGGTCGACCGTACAGTTTTTGACGCGGATAAAGTTTGCACCGCGTTGTGAGATGTTCTTTGGTTGGCCCGAAACCTCAATATTTGGAGCAGACATGGGACTTTCAACGTGAGCTAGCTGTTTCTGCTCGGCCTCAAAAACAGTGTCAAGTGCTTGATCATCACCATGTAATTCAGATGTCCGTGAGAGAATCGGAGTTGAGCCAGTACTGTCGACGGTGCGTACTTGACGCAGAGATGCTGGCAAAGGCTTTGGCGTTTCGGGTAGAGGCAATTTTGTCGCGTCAGACTGCATAGCTTGCAGCGTTTTGAGCTTGCATTGCAAAGACTTCACCGACTCAACTCGCTGGACGGTTGAGTTCCGAAGGGGAACTGCAATCTTGCTGGTAGCGCCAACACGTGGGATGCGAGACATTTGTGTAGGAGACACCGGACTTTGCGGACTCCTTAACATATACGAGCCGCTCGGCGCTGCTGTTGGTGCTGATGAAGAATCTCCATGGAGATCATGGCGTGAAACATATGGAGGAATTTTGAGCGCAAGCTTTGGTGTCAATGAACTCCGCCTGCCTTCTGTGTCCCCTTTCGCTGTCGTCGAACGCGGACTGCTAGAGTCATGATGCATCTGTTCATTATCAACGTCAGCCTTGAGGTCAAAATTAGGAACATCAAGGTCTTCGAGGTTCTCTGCAGCAGACTGAAAGCTATGTTCCGTGCTTGCAGAACTCCTTACTGGCGATCCTTCTGCGGTATGAAACGACATCCGGCCAGTAGAAGTAGCAACACTACTAGGTGCTCGTGAGTGCGCTGCTGATATCGACTCGGTGCTGAGATGTGTCGACTTGCTAGGTGATGTCCTGAAGGAGAGATTTTGCCGACGCACGCTGCTACGTAAGGGTCCAATAGGACTGTTCCATGGTCGCTTTGTTGGAGAGCCGTGTAGTCTGCTAGGGCTGAGCGGAGACGTGGGTGATGCTATGGTGCTATCGACAGCAGCTAGGGCCTCTTTTGTGAGGTATAGTACACCTTCTTTGCTACGTGTTCTTCTCAGGTCGCTTGAACTACGTGTTTCCCTTGGTGTCTTGACCTCGTCTGGAGAGTCGCTGTCCCAGCTATTTTTCGAAGTTCGTGCCTTTGCCCGCTGAGCGGTTGCGAGATTGGGACCAGTGCTCTTCAACAACCACTGGGTAGGTATGGACTTGCGAGGACTATGACCCGCGGCACCAACTGTATGTGCCGCGTACCGATAGTCCGCTTGTTCTTGACGATGCATAGCGATCGTATCAAGATCAGTAGTCGAATCGACATATTCGTCGTGAGATCCTTCGCGAGCGTTAGAGTGCCCGTTACGTGACTCAAATCGATCAAACAATTCAGGGACCTTACCGTCGTGAGTGACCTTCATATGCAATGAAGACTGTGTATTCAAGGGCATATCAGCGTCGACGTTGCTGTAGCTCTGCATGTCCAATACTGGGCTAGCGTCGCTGAGACTATTTTGTTGTTGCCGAGGGCCGTTAATAAGGGCAGAGCGTGGAATGAAAGCAGCCTGGTGATGGGATTGTACATCTCGCTCTTGCACGACGACGTCCCAAGTCGGTGTGTGCCCGGCTTCAGACGGCTTGATAATTGACATGTTATCGCTGTACTGTGATTGGTGCTGTCGCTGAGTATGCGATGGTAACTGCGAATGCGATGAGCTACCGTTGTTGACGGATGATGCAGGTGGATGAGCAGATGAGCCAGACTGAGCGCCGGGTTTATCGTTGAGGTTATTGTCTGCACTCTGGCCGTCTGGCGAATGACTGCCACTATCAGTTATGTGCCAGTCGTATCACAGGAACGGTGCTTACTTTCTGGGCAGACCGAGTGCTATCGCTTTGTTACAGTAGGATATTCTGGTGAACTCGGCGTGGCAACAGGTTGAGACATAAGAGTAATGATAAACACACATGATGTCGGGTAGCGGTTGTCGACTGCAACCAGCAGGAAAGGTCGATGTCGATTATCCAAAAAGTATGCAGGTGGGAAGAGGTGGCAGCGACGCAACAGAAAGCGCGGCGTTGAATGCGGCGTATGAGTAGCAGGGACTAGGTAAACAAACGAACGCGGAAGGAATCCGCAATAGCAGGTGAAGGTGGAAACTGTCGAGAAGTATGAATAGCCATACTTCCAACGCATTGTTAGAAAATTTTGTACAACGTTTGCCAGACGTCGTGTTATAGATACAAGACTGAATCGGGCATGTAAGTTTTCACGTTCATGTAAGATAAAGCAGTGAAAACATTGAACGAGTCGAACAAACGTCAAGAACAGAGTCGACCATGCGAATATTAGCGATAAATCCGGAACCAATCGTTTTACGTCTCAACACATGTGGTCCTTCAAGCACGTCGACTGAAGCGTCAAGGGTGGATGGTCTTCTTCTTGGCGGCTGTTGTGAGATAACATGTTCATTATTTGATGACTCAAAATCTCTTCTTCTTTTTTGCCTGGGCCTGTTTCTTCGCTGCTTCCTCATTCTTCCGCTTGAGTTCAGCCCGCTTTCGCTCTGCTTTCTCCTCTGGAGTTTCCTCGTGGACCTCCTTGACGGGCGACATCTCTTTCACCGCCCTAGACGGTGGCGGGGAGGACGGTGGTTCTGCAGTAGGTGATTGTGTGGTTCTGATACGGTTGGTGCTTGGTGAGATTGTTATCGCGCGTTGGGAAGCGTCTCCATCTACTGCCTTTCCTTTGCCTCCGATTCGGAAAGGCTTACGGGCTTTCTTTGGTGTCATAACTGATTGGGTCGCTTGCGAAGAAGGCACAAACTCTCTGGTCGGTAGGACCTCCGACTCCTGTTCCGCATCTATACTCCCCGGCAATGGTTGAGGAGATTCCACCCTTGTTGATTTGCCGCCTATTCGGAAACTGCTTACCTTGGCCTTCTGGACTGAGGATGATGCCGTCTTGGGCGGGGAGTAATGTTCAGGTGTGAGCGTCCTCTCGCGAATCGTCTCTTGTATTGTCTGGCCCTTACTTTTACTCTGACTTTTGGGAAGTGCATCCAAATCCTCGTCGTCTTCAGTACTATCACCCTCTGTCTCACTGGTCTTCTTATGCGGCGAAGAGGGTATGGGCACTGAGGATTCTACAGGTCTTCCGACGATATCGCGTGTCAGTGAGACTGTTAGCGACTTCGCTTCGTGTTGTGCTCTCATGTGCTTACGTTAAAATTTTCATGGGTTTCAAACTCGTCCTCCGTCTCTTCATCTGAGTCGGCAGTAACCTTCATTGACTTTGTAGCTGGAGTAGGCTTCTTAGCTTTGCTTTTAGCCGGAACTGTGACTGGTCCCAACTGAGTAGGCATCCCAGTCCACCACATAGATTCTTGATCTGACTTCAGTTTCCGTGGCACTCTCGGGGTAGTCTGCGCCAATGCTTCTTGGAACAAGCCAAGCGTAGTCAGGTTTGCGTCTTCCAATTGCTCCGTCTCCTGCCTCCATGCTGCTTCGCGAAACGGTCGTAAGGCGGGAACGTGCTTCGCCGCTTGTTCGCGTTTGACCACCTTCCTCCCCGTCTTGGTTCCGCCGATGCTGGGGAAAGCGGCAGCCAGGTCTACGTTGTTGGAATCGAACTGATCTATGAGTCGAGATATTGCCCTGTCCTTTTCGGTAACAGTAGATATAAGTGCGGTGATTCGTTCATTCTGGATGTGAGATGATACAAGCAGCGGAAGAATCAGTTCGTTCTTTAGAGTTGCAGACGTTCGCTTTTGCAGGTTGAATGTCCACGTCAAGCGGTCGAGGGGCTCTGGAAGGCAGATGCTAGTGTGCAAGGTGATGCCGTCCGTGTCGTTGCGAGTCACACGGCATATGGCATCCTCTCCACTCGCCAGGGATTTCTCAACATTGTCGAGAAGAATGACAAGCTGTGCAGTATCCTGTTTGCTGACTTCGATAGGTGATTGCTCCTGTGCAGCTCGTTTGACTATGCCATAGACGTCTAGCTCTTCGCACCATATGTTGCTGAGGTCGGTCAGATGCACCATGTACGAGTCCAGGTCGAAGGCGGGTTTGATGAGTAGCTGGGGGATGTGCTTGCCGTTGGGCTGCTCGCAGAGCTCCAGCACGCGCCAACAAGACATTTCAACCCGGACAGAAGGATGGATTGGCACGCATGTTTGCAAAGAGAGGGAGACGCGCGATTCTACGCAACGTTTTGTGGAGTCTCGATGTGACACGTGAATGTCAGCGCGAGGCGCAAATGAAAGGCAGCCGCGCCAAGGGTGGGCGGGCAGTTGCCCAAAGGGGAGTAGATGCCTGCAGGCGCGGTAGGCAGGCCAGCCGTACGTCACCAGCCTCGGCCAAAGATTTCGCGTCAGACATGACCACAACAGCCGCATTGTCTGCGTCTCAATAACATGTCATCACGTGAACCTCCATGGCGCAACGAGCGCAGCCGTCTGCCCCAGCGCGACGCGCCGTCTTCGTCTATTCCAGCAAAGCGGTCAGCCGACTCACGAGCACACGACAATCCTGCGAAGCGGTCAACCAACGCGGCCGAGGAGGCATGGGTGGCAGACGAGGATCGCTTCGTGCTGCAGCAGGCGAAGAAGAAGGCGGCACTGCGCGTCAAGGGCGGACGCGCGAGGCCCATTGACTGGCTGGCCGTCACGCTGCGCTTCATCGACCCTACAGAGAAGTCGATGCTCGACGAGGAGGTGGAAGACCACGAGCTGGACATCGTAGACCCCGAGGGCGTCTTGGAAGGCCTCAGCAACGACGATGTCTCAGAGCTGGAAAAGGAGATTGAAAACTACCTCGCCCTCGAGACAAGCAAGAGTAACCGCGACTACTGGAATGTGAGTGACCCACACTCATAGGCGCGTCCAGCGCAGCTAATCCTCCCAGTCCCTCAAAGCAATCTGCAAAGACATGCGCCGCAAATCCAAGTCGTCCAAGTCCGAAGCACGCGGCACCGGCTCCGTGGCTGCTGACATCGACCAGCTCCTCGCCCCTAAAACGTTCGAACAGCTTGAGACACTCGAGGTGCAGGTCAAGAGGAAGCTCGACTCGGACGAGCCCATCGACTATGACTACTGGGAGCAACTGCTGCGAAGCTTGCGCGTGTGGAAGGCCAAAGCGAGGCTGCGTCGTGTCTCGCAGGAGATCGTCAGGGAGCGCCTTCAGACGTTGCGCAAGCAGCAGGCTGAGGCTGCTGCGTCGGTACAAAACAGCATCTGCGCTATGCTCAACGGTGCCGACGAAGCGGGCGATGCGCAACCGACGACTGTCGCTTACGATGCAGCCTTCGATCCACAACCGCTGCTGAAGTTGCGCGCCGAAGACAAAGCCCTACCACAGACCGATGAGAAAGCGTTTCTGGAGCACCTGGCAGCTGAGAGGAGGAAGATCCAAAAGATTGGCTACGTGCCCTCCCAGGCCAAATCAAGTGATGCTACTGTCAGCAGTAGTCAGCCCACAACGAGCCAGACTGTAACCACAAGCGCCTCACGATTTGCGCCCGTGGAGAAGGAGGACTACTCCAAGGCAACCATGGCACTATACGAAAGGGAGGTCGCGCGAGGCGTCGAGGAAGGCGAGGAGATATTCACCGCCGAAGAGGAAGTCGCAACCGCCCGACCCCAGTGGGCTGGTAACTACAAGCCCCGGAAACCCCGCTACTTCAATCGTGTTCAGATGGGCTATGAATGGAACAAGTACAACCAGACGCACTACGATCACGACAATCCCCCGCCCAAAGTCGTACAGGGCTACAAGTTCAACATCTTCTATCCCGATCTCATTGACAAGTCAAAGGCACCCACCTACAAGATCGAGCGGGAGAATGGCCGCAAGAAGGGCCAATCCTTTGCTCCCGCTGGTGAAGACGACACGTGCCTCATCCGCTTCATCGCCGGCCCACCGTACGAAGACATCGCTTTCAGGATCATTGACAAGGAGTGGGATTATAGCGCTAAGCGCGAACGCGGCTTCAAGAGCAGCTTTGACAAGGTATGCCCCAGCTTTCTCTGCCATCGCTGGCTACGTGGCTAACGCAATGCAGGGCATCCTGCAACTTCATTTCCAATTCAAGAAGGTATGTCAAGATCGCATGACCCAACCGGTATCACGACTAACGCGTGGCAGATATACTATCGAAAGTAGCTGGACCTCCTATCAATGACATGGACGATTCACAGTCTACCCCGCTACATCTGGTCCCTCCTGGATTCAGCAGCTGCGATAGGACCAAGAGTAGGGCGGACGTTACACGAGTCCCTGCGCACCGATAGGCACATCATCCGGCAGGCTATGCCATCAATGCCAGGTTTTCCTTGCTGTGCCGTCACCCGTGGTCACCACATTGGCGATGACGTCTCAACCGACCCTTCTTCGTTCCCACGATGGAGTGTCTTCATCTCCGGGACCGTTGGCGGTGTACGATCCTATTCGAGCGGTGACAGGCCTCACGCCAGCGGCCAATCACAGACAATTGTTACTTTATGTGGGCTCGAGCAAGGACTACGAATGAATTTCACCGGAAGCAGGGTCGCAAGAGCTGTGTTACATGCTTCTGTGGGGTCTGCTCCCAAGCGGTTGCTCGCATCTTGCCTCTTTGCATGCGCAGCACATCATGTTACACCCCTGCGCATGCAGAACATTCGCCGTTGGCGTCCTTTTTCGAAAAGAGTTTGCACGTGAAAACCCTATTGTCTGTTCTTGAAGAGACTTGCTTCTTATGGGACGATTGCTGTAGTTCGTGAAAAGGGCCTGAATATAGATAATAAAACCTCAGAATAGAGAACTGCTGCCTGACTCGAACGAGGACAAGACCTACAGTGGACCGTTTCCGTCGCATGTACCGAAGCCGGACATACACATCGAACACCGGGACATTACCGCACAGGCCGATGGACGTTTCGATGTTGCAAATGGCCCATCAGTATGCAACTTCCCGCCTACCCTGTGTCAAGCTGGCAATCGTTGGCTGTTATGGTCGTACAGAGAGTCACTCCGAATGCCTGATGGAGTAGTGTAATGAGGGTCTGTAGGCTATGTCTCGGCCCGTGAGGCAATGATGCAATGTCGGCACTTCTGGACCCGTGACAACAGCCCTGCTGCTGCGCCCAGCGATATCTTCAGATTCTCTGTCTTTGCGATGAGATCTCATGCTTTGTTTGCCCACCCAAGCCCTGTCGCAGTATCAAGCCTGCAGGTGTGCTGGCAGCAGGAACCCGTCCAAGAAGCATCTAGGTGACAATGACATGGTTTCCAAGCAATCTCATTCGTTGGGGCATAGCGGAACATGATAATGTCTTAACGGCCGCTTCATTTGTGAGCATAGTCTTTCACTACTCTCATTTTCTGCCAGTCTTTTGGTTTCACACAGCACGTTGGCACTCGTTTCCGCGTATCCCATATCGATACGCTTATCATCTCTATTATCCATACCCGTGAGAGGCCAACACGACAGCCATGCCACACACGCAGTCACCTCATCGCCCCTCTTCTACAGATACCTGTGGTGAATTTGATACTGTCCACTTATCTAAAGACGCATTTCGTGATACCGCTCACCCACCCAAAGACGCCTTACGCACCCCGCTTCCATTTCACGTCCCAAATCCGCTGTTGTCGCTCACTTCCAGACTACCCATTGAGGTCCCGACCACCGCTGCCACCGCCCAGGACATTGCACCTTCCAACGAACACACAATCACGAACACCAGTATGAGCCTCGACGAACAAGAGTCAATGCAGTGGACTGCTCCAGCAAATTTTCTTCTCGGCTCCATGATCCAAAATGCTGCTGGTTACCATGCGCCTAATCCGTTCCCACCTAGCACTGGGGACCTTTACCACTACGCCGAGAACGGCATGTCATACAACGACAACTTCAATATCACATACTCACCACAATATTCTAGCTCAAGCTGTCCACGATCGTACACCGGCATCGACCTCACCGGCCTTCCCAACGACATTGATATGACGGACTCATACCCACCAACTGCATACCACATCGAGCCACCAAAATATCATGATTCCATGGACCTGTCAGATCACGAAATCAGCGATCAGCTCATGCAGCTGAGCAACGACTATGATCATCACCAATATGGCTCTCACGTAAAGGCCGAAGATCTTAACGACTACCAGAGCCCATACTCTGACCTGACTCAAGTTTCTACCCCCCATGATGATTCTTCTCTACACTCGCATGACCTTATTGCAGGTGAAGGTGGTATTATCGATAAAGAGCAACCGTATGCCCAGCTGATCTACCAGGCGCTGCTCAATGCGCCGAATAAGACGATGATACTGCGTGATATCTACGAATGGTTCAAGAACAACACCGACAAAGCCAGTGCTTCGGAAACAAAAGGATGGCAGAACAGTATCAGGCACAATCTATCAATGAATGGGGTATGTCTGTCTCTCATCCACAATATTGAGCGACCTAATAGATTACTAGGCCTTTGAGAAAGTTGACCAACCAGGCGAAGAATCCCGCAAAGGTTTCATGTGGCGTCTTACAGATGAGGCGATTCGCGAAGGTGTCAAGTCAACGACACGCTACCGCAGTAAGCAGCCCAACAAACGTGGTCACCGTACCCAACAACCGCAGCCGCAGCGCCAGGCCTCGGGGGCTAAAGGTGGTCAAGCTGCTCGCCGTTCAGCAAGGATGAAGCGCTCGGGCCGCATACAGGATACATATCGCAACGATCAATACATCTCACGCTCTGTGCCCGCGGCATTCGATCCTTCCTACCACGGTCCAGACTCCTCGATATCCTACCCACCTTCTCCATACTACGGAAGCGAAGTGGACTTTGGCTATGCCTCCAGAAATGACGACTTTGGTAGCGTCCCTGTACTTGGACATGCTCACCTTAATCTCTTTTCGCCAGCAAGGTCGTACACAGGAAGTCCCATATCGCAAGGCATACCAATCACGGACACAGCTTATGTGCTTGATCAGAGTCCGACTGAGAGTCTGTTTACAAACAGCCCTAGTCCTAGCACTGACGAGCCGCGAACACCTGTGGGCCAAGGCTGGCAAGAAGATGTAGGAATGGGACCGCCGTGTGTGTTCGATGATCAGCATGGTTACCGACCATATGCCGGTTAAGTCGCTGTCGATCAAAAGATGTTGGCGTGTGTCAGTCGGACTTAGCCGAGACGCTACCTATCGTCTTCTGCAATGTATTTTGGCTTTTTGAGATTGTGCATCTGTGCTATTTTGGGGCGAAGTGGCGTTGGGTGCATAGTATATGCTGGAGTAGAGTCTTAATGCATATCGAGCATGCCTTGTATCGTTCGCATAGCGATCTCGGAAAGTTACCTTCGTGAGATATCCTCAGCCGTTCAAATAGCATCAGGTTTTGTCAGTAGCATTTCAACAACGGAATTTACCTCTTCCTATACTGTTCCGTTCGACTGAGTTATCTTCCTGTTGACGATTAGTCTTTGTAACTCTCACGTTCCTTTCCTCCAACCAAACAACAATTCGATGCATGAGACCATACCACAGGACTTTGTCTTGTATATTAGAACGTAGCACCCAAAGGTCGTATGTCGAGTATGCGAGATGCACGCTGACCGACATGCATGTAGACGTCGTATACAAGCTGAACATCCCTGGGATCACACAAAAGTGCTTAATTGATACCTGAAGCGATAAATCTTGAAGACGGCTGTGACATCCTACTGGCCTCAGCTCTTCGTGGTAGTAGTAACGCAGATGAATTGCTAAGCTTTCGGGTCGGAACGACAAGAGTGCTCTTGGCTCAAGCCGCTTCTTGGGTTCTGGCGCCCGTCACGAAAGTTTGATGTTGTGAGCAGGATTACTATCATGTTTTTTTTTTGGCGTAATTTCGGTGCGATGTCAGGTCGGAGTCGGAACGCAGAGGATATCAAATGACCGAAACACGTCCGCATATCATCGTTGCTGCCAACGTTATCTTCATGATGGAGGCGGTCGTGCTGCGAATTTGTCAAAGTCTAGAAGTTCCAAGCAGACCCTGCCGAGCTTCTTTTGGCCGGTCGTTCCGCGGCAATACATTCAACCGCCACGAGGATGCATATTGTTCGAAGAACGTAGCCGTTGACGCGTAGACCGTCTTTTGGAAGCTGCCGTGGGGCGACAGGTCCGGAATCTGGGGTAGCAGAAACTCCACCAATCCGAGGAGCCAAGCGCCCAGGCGTGTGGGGAAAGCTTCGCTCGTCTTGGCTTAGCGCCACAGTCTTGCTCCAATTAGCCACTGTGGCCGTGAGGGGACCCCAGGATGACCCAGCAAAATTCCCAGAGTTCCTCCGCGCCTCCAATCTTACGGAAGCGCATATCATGGTCAGGAACCGGGGCCAAGGCCGCGGCTCGGACGGTTGGTAATACTACGATGAGGGTATATTAGACTGGCCGTCGTCGCGATAGTTTTGGTGATAAAGACGTTGACCTCAATCTTGTCAATTAAAACCGTCGGCCCCTGAACGTCTGCCAAGATGCGTGTCAACGAACTCCTCACATACGCTTTGCTGCAAGCATCAGCAGTACTGTCAACACCTCTCGATGAGCGAAGCGTGAGCGTTGCTGCTTCCAAGAGGCCACATCATCCCGCGTATCCGTACCACCCAAAGAAGGCGTGTCCAGTCTCACCGCCACGAACCAAGACCTGCAGTGTCAAGGCTCTCGGCAACGGCAAAGACGATTCTGCCAACATCTTGGCTGCTATTAAGAAGTGCAACAATGGCGGGCACGTCGTTTTCCCCAAGGACCAGAAGTTCACCATCGGAACCGCGCTAGATTTGACCTTCCTCAACGGTATTGATCTTGGTATGTAAGACCCTGGACTTGTTGGTCGTTCAGCGCTTACCACCAGAACAGACATCCAAGGATCTATTCAATTCACCAACGACACGGATTATTGGCAAGCCAATGCTTTTAAGCAAGTGTTCCAAAATGCCACCACCTTCTTCCAGCTCGGTGGCAAGGACATCAACGTTTACGGAGGTGGTACCCTCGATGGTAATGGTCAGGCTTGGTACGATCTCTATGCCAAGGACATCTACATCCTACGACCTATTCTCTTCGGTCTTATTGGTGCTGAAGGTGCCGTGATCTCGGATCTGAAGTTCAGATACAGCCCGCAGTGGTACACATTGGTTGCCAACTCAAGTGACGTTGTCTTTGATAACATCGACATCTTTGGCGGTAGTGTCAGCACGAACCCCGCGAAGAACACTGACGGCTGGGACACGTACCGTTCCGACAATATTGTCATCCAAAACTCACACATCGACAACGGCGACGACTGTGTCTCGTTCAAGCCTAACAGCACCAACATCGTTGTTCAGAACCTTATCTGCAACGGTAGCCACGGCATCAGCGTTGGCTCTTTGGGCCAGTACCCTGGCGAGGTCGACTACGTTGAGAACGTCTACGTGTACAACATTAGCATGTCCAATGCTTCAGACGGTGCGCGTATTAAGGTCTGGCCCGGCGCTGCCTCCGCTCTCTCTGGTGATCTGCAGGGTGGTGGCGGTGGTGGTGCAGTCAAGAACATCACATACGACGGCATGACCATCTCCAACGTCGACTACGCTATTGAGATTACTCAATGTTATGGCCAAAAGAATCTAACTCTTTGCAACCAAGTAAGTAAAAATATGGTGGTTTGCTTGTACTATGGTTCTAACGCAAATTAATAGTTCCCGTCCAACCTCACCATCTCCGACATTACTGTCAAGAACTTCCATGGCACTACCAGCAAGAAGTACGACCCGCTAGTTGGATACCTTGTCTGCTCCAGCCCAACAGTGTGCTCTAACATCAACATTGAGAACGTCAATGTCACCAGCCCAAGTGGAACCAACCAGTACACTTGCGCGAACATCGATGGCATTGGGAGCCAGGTCAACTGCACCACTAACGGAACCAAGGGAGGTGAATCGTAAGCATTTGTCATTGTTAGACCGTAGATAGGTACAGCAATTCGAGCATGTTGCTGGAGGAACCTGCGCACTTCATTGTTGTCATGCATGGATATGTGATCGCTACACTCATCAATGGAAGCTCGTAGTGCTTTTCTTCGAATCGGCCGGCTTCTTATGGCTTCTGCCAGAACCGGGTCAGGGGACGTTCGTTTTGACCACGATGTTGAAAATTTGAGGGGTTGGTCAGAGGGCGCATCGGTATGTTGAACAGATGGCTGGTTCAGGGACCAGTAAATATCAGCGGTATATATTTCGCTGTACTGACATCATGTTCGTGAAGACAGCCACTTCTAAGGCGTAACAATAACGTATCAGAGCCTCAAGCATATGCTTTTGCTCCCTGCTAAGTGTATGCTGAGGCTCATGTGTTCTCACGGAGGAAGCTGTAGTGACAGAGTGCGGTATGGTGATATAATGAAAAAGTATAGTTGCAGTCATGCGAATGGCTCCTGGGAACATTCCTTTTACAAGCTAACCTTACCCCACGCAACACGCGAATGCATCGCTTCCTGCTTCCTCATCACGACAATTATGTTGCTTATCGGCTCACGCATCGCAAACTACAGTTCTCGACGACAAACCCCATCCGACATACTTTAGACACTTTTTCTCTGCAGCCCGTCCGCCGCCTGGGCCTCCCGCACGAACCGCGAATCGCCCTACAACCTCTTCGTCGCCGACCAGAACTGCGTAACTAGTCGTTTTATCAGCCAACATATCTATTTGTCACAAAAGAAGGAAAGCACTTACTATAAGTGAACTTGAGCAGCGTGTCAGGTTGTTCAGCATACAGGCTGTCAATGCTCCTCCTTGACGTATGGTCCACGTCGAAACCGAGCAGATCTGCCAGTTGGAGCACTTCTTCGGCGGAGAGCTGGATAGCGGAGTGTGTACCCCATTTAAGCGCTGCATACGCGTTAATCAGTGTGATACAAAGATTAGGGATCCAGGAGAAGACGACAGTAACTTACGTCCAAGATTAATCCACAGTCCACCAGGCTTCAGCAGCCGATGTATATTACCCAAAAAGTCAACCACATTCTTGGAAATATCGATAAAAAACAGTGTGACAACAGCGTCGAATTCTCCATCCTGAGGAAACATGTCCAGAAAATCACCCTCTACAAGCTTGACCGCTTTGTTCGGCCAATGATCCGGCACTGTCAGGGTGGAGTAGCGCGAGGAGGGATTGGACTGATGCGTCCATTTGGTCACAAAGGGCTGGAAGGTGTGTTGGTGAAGCGATCTCGTGTGGTTTGTCAGCAGGTGGTAGGCCATGATGGAACCGTAATCCAGCTCGTTAGCCGTGACGTTGTACCCTGCGCCTGTGTAAGCCTGCGTCAACAAGGAGGAATAATGAACACACCAAGATCAGCGATATCGCTTGCAAGCCGACCCAAACCACTTCCTGGAACGAGTATCTTTTTCCCCCTCCCGTATTCGCCAAAGTGTTGCTCAAGCCCATGCAAAACAGGCGGAAACACAGTTTGTCTCTCCTTTGCACCCTGTGGGCTCCAGTCTCGGGAAAGGTGTCCAAAGACCAGGTCCACCGCCCCGAAGTCAGCGTCTTCTTTGTCCTCGAGCGCTTCTGGGCCGGTATGATAATATTCTCTCGCTATATGCGCCATCTGTTCCGAGAACCGGGCGTTCACCTCGATTCCCTTCCTGGCTTTTTCAAAGTGCGCAGGATAGCCGAGTTTGTTGCTTATGGTTTTCTGCATGGGTGTCTGCTTGGTGTATCGTAAATATTTCCTTTGGAGCACACGCTCAGCGAGGAAAGGGTATTGCTCGAAGGAGTTAATACAGTGCGCTAGTCCATCGGAGAGGGAAGGGTACTTCCTTCTTTCGCTCTTGTATGGATTGGCAGCCTTGGCATCTTTGAAGACCGGTGTGGGAGGGGCGGCAAGCTGGGACGCGAGGGCAATATGAAGCGCTTCAGTACGCTCAGATAGGGAAGATATGAGAAATTCAATGTCGGATAGAGAAGCGGTGGCACGAAGGGCGAGGTAGAGGAGGAAGACAAGGCAGAAGAGGAGAGGGAGGAAACGGGTGAGGTAGAGGGAGGTGCGCATGGCTGTGCTCGTGGCTCCAAATGGACGTACTGTCAGTAGCGCAAGGGAAAGCAGTGTATATACAAGCGTGAAGGATGGGATATAGTGTCACTATCAGTCTGGTTTGGCACCTGTCATTCCTCGTCCGTATATCGATAGCACAACGGCCAAGCCTCAATATTAAACGTATCCTTCGGCGCTACAGGCACACTCTGGACGTCGAAGCCCATGCGATGATCTGCGTGAGCAGTGAGGTCATAGCGCTCGTCAGTCATGTTCTGCGGATTTAGAGGGATGCCGGAGAAGGCAGCAAAGTTGGATGGGTGTTGGCGCTGCCACTATGCAATCCATGTCAGCAGTTGGGATGTTAGTAGGGTACAGGGGTACGAAGGCGCACCTTACTCCACAGCCGATCGAGTTGCGCATGATGCAGCCAGAAAAGCGGGTCATTAGGCGTGAAGCTTATCTTCATACCCCGGCAATCTTCCTTAGGCAGGACCTTTGGACAGTCCCCTGCCAAGTCGCCCCCAACGAAATTGTGTACATGATTGTGCATGAGTGCCATTGCGAACTGGAACCTGAAGAAGTCGCCTGTCGTTTGCTGCGTCGCATTACGCACAAAGTCCGGCCCAAGGGTCAGGTTCTGAGGTAACTCATCGTCGAACCAGCCGGTTATGAGTGTCAGGTTTCTCCGCAGTGGATGGGGAATAGGCCAAGAGAGCTCGAAGTTCCCGGTGGACGGGGAAAAAGCACCTGTGGTAACGACACAATCTGCGTCGGGGGAAGAGTCGCAATCCCCCGTTCCCCCCAGCCCATATTCCGGAGAATCCTCGAACACTGGTGCATCGAACATGTTTGCGTGATCGCGTGACCAGTCCCAGTATGGCGTTGGTCCGCTGTACCCGCATGTCTGGCGAAGAGAGGTGTCGAATAGGTGGAGAAACCAGCGATCTGCGGCCACGTAAGCATGTATTTGGGGAGGAGCGGGACGGGACGCACGCCACGGCAGAAAGTAGGCGTTTTTATGCGCACTATGTTCGGTTGACGCATGTGAGTAAGAGAAATCGTCGTAGAGGCTCCTCTTTCCCTCAAGCACAGTCTGGTCCTTGGTCAAGGATAGCCGTTCGTGTCGTATGCTTGCTAAGCACTTGACTGCTCCCACCCATTCTGTTTTCTCGCTAGTCGTCAACATCCGCCACTCCTTGCGTGTCAGCAGTTCACCACACTTGTGTGATTCTGGTTCCTTCCAATCGTGCGCATAAGAGAGGTGGTAGTTGGGAAAGATGGTGAGTACGCAGAGAAATAGCATCGAACGGCCCATGACTGCCATGCAACCAGACAGAGAACAGCGAGTAGGCACAGAGAAGTGACGAGATTGCAATACCTGGGTAGTCGAAGCATAACCCGCCGCCTAAATAGGTAGGCTCCATACCAACACGTTGGTGTAAAGGCATGGGTTACGACGGATACTCTCCGACGTCACGTACTTGGCGACATATCCTGGTGCCTGTCTCCCAAACCGCCTTACATTCGAGAGTGAATCTTATCTCAGATAAACCAGTATCTTCAACCCCACATATCGCCTGCATTATCTTCAGAAGCTCCTGCCTTTTCGGATTACATCTGCCCAGAACATCTGACGCTAATATGTGGCTAGAGAAGACGTAAACAGCCATCTGATCGTCCATCTCTCTTCATGCGAGGCACAGAAAGGCAGCACTCGCATGTCACGGTACGCCTTGCAGAGTTCCACTCACTTGCGAGCGATGCCATATCACTCGTTCCTTATGGTCGTATTCCCCATCTGACCATACCCACTAGTCTCATTCATCTCCACATTCCGCTCCCCATGACGCCTTTCCATCCAATCATACACTTGTCTCCAGTCCCGACAGGTATGCAGAGTCCCTACCCCCGAGGCGGCTGTATCCCTACTAGCCAATTTCATACTCATGGTCCCTGGTTCTAGGGTTGTGTCGGCAGCGCAGAGAATGCTCTGCCGCAGATAATGGAAGCAGTGGGCTGTATATTCTGCGCCGTCGTTTCCTTTAACGAGCGAACCGCGTATGTGGTTAAGGCAGTGCATCTGATGCCACATCGACACCCCGAAGGCCAAATGCTCCTCCCCTAGAACAACGAAACCCTTGCCTGGAGGAAGAATCGCGTCCCATTCAGCCTGAGCAGTGGTGCCTTCTATCCCGTAGTGTGATGGGTCATCACCAAAGGCGGACTGAATGGTGCGAACCTTGAGGGGCAGCTCGCGGGGTCGGTCACCAGCGAGATAGGCTGCTACATGTTAGCTCCAAACGGCAGATGAAGCTGTGACATCGCTCACTGTACCCCCGCGGTCTACGCGTTAAGATTCTAAGGGAGAAGAAGAGGGCGGCAAAATTCATGAGGATGGAGACGCATAGCGCAGCGATCAACCCACAGGAGAGGCCACGTAGGCGCGGGGCTAGGGATTTAGGAAACATCTTGATGTGCTGGTAGGGGTGATGCGTTGAGGTAGTAGAAGAAGAAGAAGAAGACGGGAGATGGTTCACCACCAGGAGGGCACTGTTTACAAGTCTATCTCCACCGAGTCACGAATCTAGAAGAGCGAGACAGGAGAAGACCCCTGCGGAAATGCTCCACATAACGGAACTCTATGAATCCATATGACTTCGTCGATCACAGGCACCTTGTTGATAGGGTACGCCAGTAGGTGGAGAAACATCTCGCATGATAACGCAGTTCTGGGGCAGTAATGGTACATATCAAGCGGCTTGGTGTATGAAGTTAGGAATGGGAGACGGGTCTACTGATTGGTATGAGTATTGTAGCTAGTCTGGACGGCGGTACCGGGCTTACTACTGTATCCTCTCCCACTATGACGCTGGATTGAAACGAAGAAGTGCTTCATGCAACAATGGGCCACCTGAGCAGGTGATCTAGCGGTGGTTGATTTGCCATCAATCCAGTCACGAATCCGCCACTTACCAACACCTCTCCCTGATCGGCAAGAAAGCCGGGATGGCGAGGCAGCTGACTGCGTCTTCTGCGGGTCCTAAGAGTATGAAATTACGCGCTTTTTGTTTGGCTCCAAGTGTTCTCTGCGTTCCAGCGGTCCAAATGCTGAAGATTTTGACACTTGGATATAGCGATGAGATGTCTATCTTGGCAGTAACATAATACCAGTAGGCACCATTCAGTAAGGCGATATACAAACAGCTCAACCAGATAGCTTTTAAAGCTCACAAGAACCCGAATGGATCGCCAACAGGTTTTCTTGCAGATTGATAGGTACGGAGTACTTGGAGGAGTTAGAAGAGCTATACGAGCTGACCAATCCTGTTCAGGTGGAAGACCCCCGATGCACATGCAGCTGCTAGCCAGGAACAAGCCTTTTGGCGCACTGGGCCTTTAGTCTTATCTCTACAAAGCAGTCAGGTTCTGACCAGGGTATACAGCCACCAAGGCCTGGTTGCTTTGATATCACTCTAAACCACGATCACGTCAAATGCACTAACAGCGGAGCGCTAACTTTCCATGCAGTTGTTACAGACGACCGCCAATCTACCTTCTCGATATGCATCTTCGTTGACCTTCCGTCGAAGATCTGTTCAGAGGGGAAACTGCATAAATACTCAAGAGAAAGACCAGAACTAATGACATCTCATCTGCAGTCTACTCCTGTGTCTTTTACAACCAAAGCACATACTTCTTACCAAATTGCAACGATGCAGCTCATCATCACTCTTCTCAGCCTCGCCAGCCTTGGCGCAAACGTCCTTCCCGTTCAATCTGCAGTGGTTCCTGTCGCTGCTGCTTTGGGCCCTCGCTATCAATGGGACGATGAGGTACCACATCGTCGCCATGCTGAGGCAGAGTTGGACATACCCGTCCGTCGCTCTGACTATGCACATGAATACAGACGCGATCCGGACGAGAAAGCCCACGAATACAGGAGCGACAATGACGAGAAGGCCCATGAATACCGAAGTGACAACGACGAGAGGGCTCACGAATATCGAAGTGACAACGACGAGAAGGCCCACGAATACAGAAGCGACAATGACGAGAAGGCCCATGAGTATAGGAGCGACCTTGACGAGAAGGCTCATGAGTATAGGAGCGACAACGATGAGAAGGCCCATGAGTACAGAAGCGACAACGACGAGAAAGCCCATGAATATCGCTCAGTTGCGGACTACTGAGGTCAGATGACCAAGCTTCACAAAAGCCTGCTCGAGTAGTTCGCTTAAGTTTTGTGAGAAGTGCAGTGGGCCTAGGTGCCTCGGCGGTAGTATTGTGTGGATTTGGCTCAGCTCTGTTATACTCATCACACTCGTTTGATTATCATAAGAGACGGTACATACAAGATAAGATAGGTTACTATACTTCAACTATAAGAACCGGTCTGCTTGCTCAAACGGAGAAACACTGTTGTAACTCCATCCCCCTATTCAATCTTAAGCTTGTTTTCCTTCTCCGCTGAAAGTCCTTCTCCTGATGTGACGCGAATGCAGAATAGGTTTAGAAGAAGATCACACCATATCTGCATAAAACTACGGCTCTTGAGCATGTTGCCTAAAGGTACTCATCTGGCATAGGGATAAGCGTCTCATTGTTAGCTGCACACATGGCCGGATGATCCTCTGGCAGAGCCATCATGTTGACCATCTTGACGTCTGAGCACTGTCTTTGCATCAGCATGATCTCTAACTCTCACAAACTGCAGTAACTGACATAGTGTTCCCAATTGCCCGTGTTCGGATCTTTGGCCTCAAAATACATGACACCCATCTCGTTAACAGCTGTCTCGAACGGTATTGTGACATTCACACATAGTTGTCCAGAAGGCTGGATGGGTACATCTCGCATAATGATGAGGGGGAAGTCCTCCCTCTTTCTCGGAACCCTATAGCGGGTATAGAGAACCGTCACAAGATCCCCAGGATGGCCTGAAAACGAGAGGAAACCGCGGGATCGGCGGGAGTACCGTTGCGGGTTATGCAATATCTTCCCTTTCTGGTATCAGCCCACACGGCCGAGCCAAAGATTGGGAAAGATGTGAGTACATACCACAAAAAGGAACGTATCTATCAATCGATGGTCGTCCGCGAGTCATCCATGGAAATTGGACATGAAAGCCGGCGTGTGCGGCGTAGACTAGGTCGGCGCTAATGGCAAACAGGAATGTGATTGCAGTGAGGGGTGCCATGATTGATAGAGGTGAGTTTGCATTCTGCAAGGTGGAATGCCAGAGCAAGATGTAGTGGACTCAGTCGGTCTAATGCCAGAGTTAGGAAGCCTTGCGAGTCGTGTAGGGTTCCACCCCAATGTGGCTAGACGCTGATCGCTCTCGGGTCGGTCCAGTTTTGGTAGCTTCAGATAAGACTTGATATTAATCTACCAAGTGGGTCGGGGCGGCTCAAGCCTTCTGCAAGTCGCACGCAAGCCTTTTGGTGTCGCACGCAAGCTTTTTGGCATGGTTGATTGTCTTTAGGCGTCCCGCCTTCCACAAAGATGCACAGGGCCCAGTCCCGCCACGCAGAGATGCATGTGAGATCCTGCACAATCTCGAAGGCACGGCCAACTTGTGACCAAACGTGCTTTCTCTGGCTAGCGGAAAGTCTTCCGGCGAGAGCGAGTGTATTCGATAGCAAGAGAGAGTGGCAAGGCTTATCTGGCGTCATGCAACCCCATTCTCTGAGCCAGCGCCTGTTTTGACCTTCGCTTCGCTCACGGCGCAGTCCTTTACCCTCACTCCGCTCTCTGACCACGTCTCTCCATGTTTTTCTCCAAAGCCAAACTTAGCTCCTCCCAATATGCCCCCCTGGCGATAGACCCTGACGGTGAGGAGACTATCAGAAGTCCCGAGAAGCGGTCCATCTCTGAGGATGACGATTCTTCCCTTTCCCTGATTGCATCAAACAACCTGCCTACCCTTGCACCATCCAAACTCTTCCAGCTACCCAAAATCGTCGTTTATCTCTCCTTCGCCCTGGCACTGCTATCAGCAGCAAATGTCGCTCTCCTCAACGTCACTCTAGCAGAATATCAAGCCTACCCGTTCTCTGACTCTGAGCTTGAGGCGCTTCCTCTCGGCGATGCCAGACTAGGACTAAACAGAGCAGCGGGCATGCTTGCCCCTTCCCATATATATCAATACTCTTGGGCAGATAGAATTGCACGAGTGAGCCGAAAGTTGAAGAGTACTGTGTGGGGCCAGGGGGTACAGGTGTATGTCACGGTTGAGGTTCGTCTTTCGTATTTGCTTCTTCTGCGTCTCCTTTGATCAGTCATCTACCTACTCTGCCTCGACTCTTGGGTCCGCATCTGCTAACGAACAAGAAGGACTCGACGATAATGCGCTTTCCGATCCCCTCCCCTGGCACCAATGCTTGTGCAGTTACCTGGAGTCCGCCTCTTGAGTTTTCTGCGCGTACTTGGAACTTCACAACGAAAGGGGATATCACGGAGATGGAGATCTGGCAGCTGATCGCGCCCTCCCCCGCCTCCGCCGTCATCCCCTCTGGTATGGATGAGCTCGACTATGATACCCTGTCATACTCGACCCTTCCTGTGCGCGGAGAGCTTCTCGGGGTATTAGATCTCACGGTCAAGCTGAATAGCACAACATTGGAGTTCGCCTGCCCTAGCGAGGCACAGAATCTGATCGTGGAGATGAGGTGTCAGCGGGTGGCGTGTCATTTAAGTTATAATCAGCTTGACGTGGCCTCGGGTTTCGGGTTTGGTCTGGCAAGGAGGCAGGATCGAGCGGAAGTATAGTAGTTATGTTGCTTCCTACCCGCGTCTTTTATCTATGTAGTACGGATGACAAGATGCCACAATCCTGCATGAGAACACGAGCTCTGTTTGTGAGACCACGCTAGACTAAGGACGGGATGTAGCACCGATGACTTGTAGTAAAAATCTATTGACCCACGATCACCTTAGTCTACCTTTCTTCAACTATCATCCTACCACGAATGATGTCACGTGGGTGCTTTGACAAGGATGTAACCCACCTTCCCACACAAGCTTAGCTCGATTCTCACATCATGTTCATGATATACTGTAGATAGCCCGCAAAGAACCCACCTAGCGGTTCGTTGTTCAACACTCATCAAGCACAACATGTTTACTCAACTTGACCCTGAGTCTATCGCTCGTCTCTCTCTACACGATCCGACCAACTTCGACATTCAGCATTCCCAAACCCTTCACCGTCTAGCAATTCTGCAGCACTGGAGAGTCTCCACTGGTTCGAAAGTACTGGAGCTAGGATGTGGGCAAGGAGATTGTACGACTGTGCTTGCCTCCGCTGTGGGTGAACAGGGCAAGGTCGTTGCCGTTGATCCGGCAGAATTGGACTATGGTACCTTTTTTCCATTCCTACCTTACCACTGTCTTGATGGATGAGTAGAGACTAACGGACTAATCCTCTTACAGGCTCTCCATATACTCTAGGCCAAGCACAGGATCACATCTCACGAAGTCCGTTAGGTAGGCAGATCGTTTGGGTCCAACAGTCGCCCGTGGACTATCTCTCGTCACTGCCAACAAGTAGTGGTCAAGAGTTCGATGCTACAGTGCTCGCCCACTGTCTGTGGTACTTCTCCTCCCCTTCACTTATCCTTTCCACTTTCAAGGCCATCAAGCAGCACAGCAAACGTCTGCTCCTTGCCGAGTGGTCTTTGATAGCGACACATTCTTCTTCCCAACCTCACGTACTAGCTGCGCTCGCGCAGGCAGCACTGGAGTGTCGTAAACCCAAGAGTATCTCGAATATACGCACAGTACTGGGGCCAAAGCGTCTTACTGAGCTAGCTCTGGCTGCCGGGTGGCAGTTAGAGAGTGAGAGCCGTGTGCGGAGTGGAGAGGAGTTGTCGGACGGACAATGGGAAGTCTCTGCTTGTCTCTCTCCTTCTTTTGAAAGACAAGTAGAGGAGAAGATAAGTGATGAAAGGGAACGAGGGGTGGTTTTAGCATTGCGGGATGCATGTGAGGCGAGCTTGGAGAATGTGCCGGGAGGACGGACGGGAGTTCGGGCGATGGACGTTTGGGTTGCTAATTTTGTTTGATCAGGCGAGCGGAGGATGTCGTCCGAGGAGAAGTCAGATCTGGTGTTGTCTCTCAGTAGCGTTACCGCACCTACATCTTGGTTGGTACGCTCGTATAATCTAGTGCAAATCTTGACCTTCGATGTAACCACTAGGGATCTTACTTCGATTCTCATGACCGAAGGATTGCTATGCCGCATCCGAGCATCCATCGTCATTCATGTGATGGTAAGTCATATCTTGGTGTCATCCAACCGTCACGCTGGATTCCCAAGGAAAAGGTCTCGGGTTGGAAGGCACAGCTCAGCTTCTCGGCATGAAGCTTACCCGGCGAGCGAAGCCCAGTGCATACGCTTCGTCGCAGCTGATGCAACATCGACTACGTTAGATGGAAAGAGCTAGGAGGACCCAAGCAGCCACTCGATCCTTCAGGCGGATACAAGCAATGACAAGGCCTTGGAGTGACGACAGTGGTAGGGCGTTACTCAAGGTTACTTCGTCTTGTGGGGAAGGTTGGGGTTGCGGTGATGGAAGGATGCTTCAATGCAAGGCCACCCTCAGCATACGAAGACAGTCAATCTATAGTGGAACACAGACTGGTTCCATTAGCCTCAATCATACCTGATCTTCCTCGTAAGGTGTTGTATTTAGACCCCACGGGGCGTACGGAACGCCTTACCCACCCCCAGGTTTCGGGAGTGCAGAGAGATGAGGTTTAGTTCCATGCAGGTCGCGATCCGTCGCGCAGCCGTTCTTCCCGATTTCCATTCTCCATTGGGTAATGGTTATTCATAGCCTTCTAAGAGATCAATTTGGTCATGGCCTCGAAAGGTGTATAAAGTCGTCCTGTGTCATCTTGGATATCTCCTCATCAACACAACTCGCATCCTCTCTTCACATTCCATTACCCAGAACAGCACTCTTCTCTCAAGAAGCAACCAATCATCCTCTTGCAATCACCATGCGTTTCGCTGCCATCATCGCTGCCCTCGCCGTCACGGCCACCGCGCTTCCCGCAACCTCGCTAGAGCAGACGGGTGCATCTCTTGGTACGTGATGTTTCTGTCGCCAAAGTCTCCACGTCCGGGGTACTTGGATAGTGAAAGGCCTGGCTAACGATTGGTTCTCATGTTAGACGCTCAGGCGGCCGCTTGTGCCCACCAAGACTCATATGACATCTGCCGTTCTAACTGCAGCCCGCTCGCTCCGTCGTTCGCCTGCCAGATCAACTGTCTCATCGCCTATTGTGCCTAAGGTACTACATGGAGCAATTGAAGCGTAGTGGAGCGGTACTGGATGGAGAGGATCCTGATTCACTGTTGAAGTAGGGTTGATAGGGTTGATAGGGTTGGAGACACGCATGCTTTCATGTAGGGCCTATAGACTGGCCAGCCATTCGTTGCCCCTTTGCACAATACAAATCAGTCAGAACCGAGTCAGATTAGTCTTGTCGCCGCAGACCCATGTGAAAGTCCAGAAATCTAATGTTTAGTATTGAAAGAGCAGATCATGTGTAGATTGGATATCATGTTCAGTACATACCCAAAACGCCCCAGACCGGAAAATCATGCCATCTCAAAGAGTCGTCAAGAATGAAGGGTGTTCCCACTGTGCAACCATTACGCCGTGCAAAACCCCCCAGCAAATCATCATTATGTCATGTCGAATAAAATCCACTAGCGCCGTCCAAAGCCATTGGCCATCTGTTTCTGTACATACTTGGCACCCTCTTTCTTGATGATGGGCAGAGCGTAGTCCTTGAACATGCCCATAGCCTGCCTCTGCCACTCAGGCTGTCCGGGCTTTCCTGGCTTGCCCACGTCTCCTCTACCGCTCCTACGGCGGTCATCATAGCGGTCGTCATCGTATCGACCGCGCCGGTCACGATCCCTGTCGTCATAGCGAGAGTCGCGACGCGGCTTGGTGTTGAACATGTCGTCGTAGCGGTCGTCGTAGCGGTCATCGTAGCGATCATCGCGGCGTCTGCGATCGTCACGTGGCCTGTCTCGGCGGTCGCGATCATCGTAGTAAGGGTCGCGGTCCTTGCGGCGGCGGTCCGACTTGTAGCCTTCAGACTTGTAGCCATCGCGTTCACGGCGGCCGTCATGCTTGGGTCTTCGGGGCGGATAGTGTTCGTCGTACGAGTCGTAGGTATCTTCGCGTCTAGATCTACGAGGGCGGTCGTCGCGGGGGCGGTCGTCGCGGTGGCTGCGTCGCGGAGGGGGCGGGGAGTCTGATTCCGAGTCGTCGGACGAGTACGAGGGCTGTCTGCGATGGCGACGTGGGCGACCGCCGCGGTCTCGGTGGTCACGGGCATCTTCCTTTCTGTTAGCTGGTGTTGCGAAACTGCCTTGACGAGCCGACATACCTGGCGGAGGGGGAGGGGGGTAGTCTGATGCTCCAGGTGGAGGAGGAGGAGGAGGGTAGTCTGATGCACCGGGCGGGGGAGGCGGATATTCTGAAGCCCCCGGCGGGGGTGGTGGATAGTGTGCAGCGCCTGGTGGGGGAGGAGGGTTCATTGGGTAAGGCGGCGGCGGCACATCGTCTTCAGCAGGCCGCTCCTTTCGGGGACGACGATGATCGCCCCTGCGGCTATTGCGATAGTCGCGGTAGTCTCTCTGATTGTCCTTTCCAGGCGCCCATTTCGGCTTGCCGTTTTCGTAGTTCTCAAAGTGGTATGTGGAATGTGCTGTGCCTTGTTAGCGCTGTGCCGACAGACTGGGCAATGGCATCTTACGGGGTGGTGGCTGCCCCATCGGAGGCGGCGGCGGCGGCGATATGGATGGCTCTCTATTTCTGTCACGGCGTCCCATACTCGTAGGCGGGTGGTGTCTGTGTGGTCAAGTTGGCGGTGGTGGTGGTGGTGTTGAGGTTTGAATGTGGACAAGGAAGTGTGGCCTAATGGCAGGCGGCGAGCATCTGACACTTAAAGCGCGGCTCTCGGCAGGGCTGCAGCTCTCAGCTCAGTCTCACAAGACACCATGTCGTCATCTGCCCTATTGCCTCAGCCCGTAGCGCAGAATTGGATTTTTGCGGGGCTTCCGACGCTTTTCGAAGCTTCGCGACGGCGTGGCAGAGGTCGAGTGGGCTGTGTATGTAGGCTGCGATCATCGTGCATGGGTAGCACCTCTGCCCGGGCCCACTCCTGCAGCTTGCGCGCGCTCCAAAAGGACCGACCGTTCCCCCGCACCATCGCGCGTGGGATGCAGGCAGATCAGGGTCTCGCGGAGAATATCCATGGATGTTTCTATGGAGAGTGCTACGTGGTCTCCAGACGGTGGTCTACTCATCCTCCTCTCCTCACACGCCCAGAGAGAAGTCAGGCACTGTGTCACCCAATCGCTACACTTGCTGACCATGTCTCGTTACCTCGTCACTGATGTCCTGACCTTGACCACGGTCACGGGGAGCGGTGAACGTCGACTCCAAATACAGGCTAGCCGTCTCATGACTCAACCCATCGGTGCCTGCATCCATCAATCACATTGAGATTGAACATCCTGGGTATTTCCACGACATCAAAGGCGCCCACCGACACATGGTTGATAAAGCGGCCTACGTCATACCGACTGCGCATTGTTAGGGAGCTTGGATTCATCAACGTCATAAAGTTTAGAAGATCATCATAACCAGACGAGTGGGCGACGGCCCTAACAACCCTCCGACGCCTAATACGTATGTATTGACTAGCTTGCCGTGATGCCCATTCCAGCTTCATCAGTACAATCACTCAAGACCCTGGCTTGCGACTGGCACTCTAAACCTCCTTTTCCCATTCCAAGACCAGTCTAGCGCAGCGCCTAGGATAATCGCACCAAGAATCGGTCCGGCATACTAGAAATGGATGTATGGATTCAGCGTATATCTTACTTGCACTTAACACGGAGACACTCACGTTCATATTGAACCTGTCCAGGGGAAGGACAGTAGGCAGCGGCATCCAAATGAAGGTGAATAGGATGTAGCACAAGGCACCAGTGTTGATATATGGTCCCGCAATACCCAGTCTAAATGGTCCCCATGGAATTGGCGATGGTGCCGTCCTCGACATTCGACGCCACAAAAGGAACAAGACAGGAAGGAAGTAGGAAAGGTACAAGCCCAGTGCCGTGAGAGAGATGATAGCGTTGAACGCCGTGCTTGAACCGACGTTGATCAGAGCAAGTATGCAAACACAAAGAGCACTGAGATATAGCGCGTTGACCGGCACTCCAAATGTCGGATGAACCTTTGCGAGTGCAGACGAACATGGTAATCCCCCGTCTCTTGAGAAAGCCCAGATGAGACGTGAGACTGAGGCGAAGACGTTGAAAAAAGATACAAATATGACATATATTAGCATAAAGATGAACAAGTTCGTAGCTGCTTTAGATCCAGTGGCTTGATAGTACACCTCGATGATCGGTAGAGGCGAAGCGGAGACACGTTGTGCGTCACCAATGGTGAACAAGACAGTGATCATATAAATGAGTTGCATGAGGCCGTTAACCACGACGGAGAAGATGATAGATCGTGGAACCCGGGTACGTGCTTGTTTGACTTCATCGGACATGTGAATGATACTATCGAAACCTATAGATCATTAGTATGTCCAAGTTAGAGATTACTTCCGCTAGCTTACCGCATAGAGGGTATGTAACAGTGATAAGTCCTATACCCCAGGCTACTGCCGAGTTGTCCCATCCGCTGACATCCTTGGTCAATGTTTGGAAGACATATTCTGTAGAGCTTTTCTGTGCCATGACTGCAGATGTGAAGATAAAGAGTCAACATATGCCTCACGTGCACTTCGTAGAGTCCAGCATACCTAATAATGTAATGACACCCGCAAGGAAAAATCCAACATGGCATATCGCTCCGGCTGTTTCGAGTATGTTGATGATCCTGGGTAGCCAGAGGTTGCCAATGAAAGGAATGGCTGTCGCGGCGCACATGATAAGTGTAGTATGCCATCGCTGGGAGACGTATCCCTGGTTGTTAAAGGAAGCCAAACCGACGACAATATTTGCTATCAATGCGGGATTGGAAGCACAGCTACAGACCCAGGCGAATACCGTAATCCACCCTTGCATCAAACCGAAGAAGCGGTTCCACTTCGGTGCAAAAGTAGCAGACCACCTATACTGAGCGCCGACCGTAGGATCCATGGATGACATTTCGGCAAGTGACAGGGCCACTAATATTGTTCCAGCCCAAGCGAAGATGCTGCCATAGACGACGGAGGCTGGACCGCCATTGCTCAGCGCGAATTGGAAAGTAACTGCAGATGCTTCCCATGAACATTGCATGAGGAAATTAAAGTTTACCGAAGAGGGGGTATTGATGTATCGCTGAAGGGCATTAGAGAAATCGTGTACTTGGACTGTGAGCGTACGTGTAGTGCCCCTCCTTCGAGGCCTCCTGCGCCATTAGCCCTGTGGCCCTCGACAGCATCTTTTACAGTCTCCTTGTTGGTGCTCGTTGTATCGCACTTCGAATCGACCAGCGTCTTTTCTGTCATCTTCATCATCAGCGCAGGCAGTGGTCTGATGTAGAAAAGTCATCTCAGGAACATTGGGCCAACGTCTTTTCTTATCGACGCAAGTTTTTTTTTCACAAATATCAGCCTTAAAAACTGCATACATGACTGATGATCATACGCCGTACAAGGCGATGGCATGCATGTGTGTCCAGGAGCTCTGCAGCATAAGCTAGTACTTTTATCCAACGGCCATTCGAGGCCAAGCAAATATATACTATCGTGCATTGCGGATACCCTGTCAGGCGCTTACTCTTCAAGCTGTGATAGGTCTGTTGTTCACGCTCTATGCTCTCAACATATCAGCCTTGCCTCGTTCGGGCAGCACTTAGCCACAAACGTTTGATCCCCGAATAGTACATCGTTTGGAGAATAAGAGTGACAATCGATACCATTTCGGCAAGGTATGCGGCTCCTGAGTTGGCTTACGAAGAACTGAATCTCGAACGATAACGGCTTCCATGAAGTAAGCTGATTAGCGGCATTGAATGACGTAGTGTTTGGGGTCTGAAGACCCGACTGTCGCTCTCTACATAGTACAGTACATAAAAGACACGAAGCACGCGATCGGCGGTAGTAGAGACTATTCTCAACCCCAAGGTGACGGCGATGATGCAAGTGGATGAAGAGGTGGCTGGACGGCGATGCCCAGGGTCGATTTCCCTCCCTCTTGACCCACAAGCCGACGTTTAGCGTCAGCCCTACCGCCGCCTTCACAACTCTAATTGTATTCAAATCCACGCCTGTCGGTTGCGCGTCCCTGCCCCCACCAATCGACGCGCATCCGCCATGCATCAAGCTTTCGCAGCAAGTCCGCCCACTGGACGACTGTAAGCAACCTGATCTAGCTCGGAAACCCTCACAGATCCTGGCAGCTCGTGCAGTTCACTTTCCCCGCAGGCTAACTGCGCAGGGTTGCCATCCTGTTCGTATCGATAAACGTCCTTTGGCGTGTACTCTTCAGGTGCACGAGTCGAGGGAGTCGCATCTCGCGCTTTCTTACGCCATCGCAACGCCTGAGCGATGAAAATCCCCAAACCTATCAAGGCGATAGCTCCGAGTGTTGCCCCAACACCAATGCCAGCTTTCGCACCCACAGACAGTTCATTGTTGCCGGTGGCTATCGCTGTGCTCGTTGCTGGCAGCGTCGATGTCGAAGACGAGATCATGGACGACACGGTTGAAGAGACAATCGATGAAGTCGCTGTAGGTATAGGGTCCCCGAAACGTGCCGCTATCGTGTATCGCGGGATAGTGCTCCTTTCAGCGCAGCATTGATTTGAAGACCCGCAACACCATGTTGCCGAATCAGCAGCACCAGTACAAGGTGTGACTATTTCATCGTTGTCTCTTTGCGAAGGGCTCTTTTCCAAGTTAGCTTTAGTGGCCTATACAAACGCCGTGTCTTGTGTACCTCCGCTGAGCAAAGCTCCTGGCATCCTCCTCCTTCCCAGCTGCTCTTCGTACACGTTTCCCGATAGATGATCGACGAATCCTTATTCTGGCACAGTCCGTTCGGTAGTAAGTTATCCCAAGAAGCGCAGCAAATGGTGCTGAGTGGATTCGAGGTATCGTTAATTCTTGGTGCGTACGCAGGATGCGTATTCTCAGTTCCGTTGCGCCAATAGCAGGCTGCCATCGCTTTCTGCAGGAAAGTGTGATGTTGTAGTAGAAGTACGGCGAATATATAGCGCGACACGACAGGAGGCCAGAATGACTGAAGAGCCAAAAAGCGAGAAGACGAAATTCGGGCTGGTTTTGGTACCAAGTAACAGGCCCCTTTTGAAAGATTGGCTTACCACCGCTCGCATAGCGCTGGGGGCTAACTTTCATCGATTTCGACTGCCACCAGTGAGACATAGCGAACCAGACACCAAGCTTGAGCAATAAGCGAGGTTTTTGAGTGTGCTCAGCCTTGTAACACTCGACGCTTACAACGGTTGGCTGATATGGTAGCAGGTAATCTCAAGCACGTAACCCCGACCGTCTCACCGGACTTCGCCTCACTGAGTATAGCCTTCCAACTATAACTGAGGTACAACGGAAGTCCTGCTTGGAGCGTCGTTGTTTCTGCCACAGTTGACTTCGGGTTACACTCGCTTACCCTTTAGCTGTCAGCCTTTTGGCTACAGGCGTCGCTTTATTGTCATGAACGAAAACGATAGACCACAACCCACACCATTGGCGAAGCTCACCAGTCTTCGAGATGAGGGTATGTATGTACTTGGTATTTTCAATATATACAATGAAGTCGCAAATATGGCACAGTTCAGCCCTCCCAAGAGAGCACTACGAGATGCTCAAGACCAGCTCAGGGAAGCCTTAGGTGCAGATGGTCCTCCCACCATTACCAGTAAGACTCCACTTAGTCTTGTTAGCTGTGCAAGCTAGATCCAGGTATACAAAGTCAGTACGTGTTTCAAATGTAGTTCGTATGGGGATACTTACGGCTCTCTCTCACAGTAGTTCCATCAACCTTGATGGCTATCGCGATGTCCCTGCTATTTGCAAATTCGGTCCTGGCGGCAAGACGAACTTCACCACCGCCGCTAACGGTACCGGCCTTGATGTTTACATTGTAGCAGTTCTCGAGCAAGATGGCGTTGTTGCCAGTGTTGGCGACATCGATGGTGCCAATCTCCACACCACCAGAAGCAGAGACACAGAAGATTCCGCGACCACCACCACGAGCCTTGACGCGGTTGACCTTGATATTAGTTGCGTATCCGCCGTTGAGCTTTCCAGCTTCGTTAGCAAAACGTAAGGCGGCGTATCCGGTGCCTGCGCCGCAGTTGTCGCAGTCTACGGTGCCGATGTTTGCGTTTGTAACCTTTTGAACGAGTAGGCCACACTCTCCGACATTCTTGCCGATTACGGAGCCGACTTCAAGCTTGTCAATGTTCCATGTCTCGACGCAGTGCGACGTGCCGCCGGTGCAGGTGATGGTGCCCATCTTGACGTTTGTATTGGCCGCTCGGTCACGATCGAATCGAATTCCCATCCCTTCCTTGAGATTGAAGTTGATGGTGCCAAGGGTTAGGTCTTTGGTACCAGAGAAGCGCATGCCAAAGTAGGTGGAACCGGCCATGGTCAGGTAAGGGATCTTGACCCCGGACTGATCAGTCACTTCAATGTTTCCTCCTCCGCTTTTGGGAGAAACTGTGATAGTCCCGCAGCCTTCGAATGTCTTTCCGCTCGTGATGGTAAGGGTGCTCGCGCCAATGTTACCGGACGCGATGACGGAAACACGCTGTCCACTGCTAATTCCATCGAGCGCACGTTGGATGGCTAGGCGGTAGTCGGAGCCAGTGTAGAGGTTTGTCGAGCCTTTGGTTGCTGTGTAAGAGCTACCAGATCCAGTGACCCGTGCGTCGGGTGTGCCGGAACCGCATTGAGCATAGGCAGCGGAGGCAAACGCCAGCACCGCTGTGAGACCAGTGAATTGAACCATTGTTTATCGCTTAGACGAAGGGAAAGGAACAGAGAGGATATGCTTTGGTTGGTTTCATTGACAGATCATCAGGGGCGCGCTTCTTATAGGACCGAAAAGTACGGCGATGATCCTTCACTCCTGCACTTCTCCTATCCAAATAACACCAAGACTCCGATATGACCTCCATCGGACCGCCTTCACCATTTCGGAGTCAGATGCAAAACAGCGAAGTATGCCAATAAGCGGCCCACTCGTCACTGTCAGACAAACATCTCCCAAAGTAGTCTCTCCCGTTGTCCTGCCGATCAATTGCAAACACCAGTATCCGGATATACCACCTATCATACCAGGCTCTCAAACGCTACCATGTCGTCCAAGACAATTGGCGCCAGCGCCACTCTCGTTTCATAGTTTTAGCAACCCCAGATATTTCCAAGCTCGGCAGATTGACTACTTCCCGGCATGTTTGGGAAAATCTCCACCACTGTACTACCCCAGAACATATCCATATTGCGGTAGTATCCGATACTTGTCTTGTTTGCGTAAACCTTCCGCATTACTGCATACACGATGTCGTGTGTTGTCGACAGTCATTTCGGTGCATCTACTCCCTGTGCCTCATGGTTACAGTTTAAGTGATCGTCCGGGGTGCGTATCCCCCGCAAAACCTCGTTTGCGCGCATCACGCGACGCCATGGCTCCGCGTGAACATGCAGCCTACTCGGGTTGATTCACCCCGCTAGATGTTTCTTGGCAGCATATTTCTCCGCCGCGTTATCTTGTGCATATTGTTCCGCTGCCAAGGTTACCAAGCTCAGCCATCCTGTTTCATCGCTTTTACAGCGGGACGTGTAAGAGGTTTCGCATGTTGTTCTGGAATTCATTGATTCATGGTCCCGCTAATACAATCAATCGGAGGGCGCTAAGGTTCAAAGCGCATCAAAATATTTCCTAGATACAGTACCGCAATTCGAAGTCTCTGATCCCAGGAGAACAGCTTGAACTATGAAACTCTTCTACTCGAACACATCGCTCACGTACCTGTCCTCCTTGATCTTTTCCAGCCATTCCAAGGCATCTTGTTCCGTCTTGCCTGGGAAAGTATCCCTAAAGATCTTCATGCACACTTCTGCTGTGCTCTTTGCCAACTTACTTGCACTACCACAGATGAAGATCTTCGCGCCTCCGTCCCCAAAAAGCTCGGCTAACTCCTTCCGCTCGTCCCACATACGATCAGGGACACGTTGCGCTTTCTCACCGCTAGGAGCGACCTTCGAGAAACAGCCACGCACACTGACGACGCCATCGGTCTCCCACTGCTTCAACTCATCCGAATAGATGAAGTCCTTCTCGTAATGACGACAGCCGAAGTACAAAATCGCCGGACCGACCTTCGCGTTACGAGCTTTCTTAATGGTTGCGCGCTCTTGGATGAAACCCCGCATGGGAGCGAGACCTGAGCCTGCACATATCATGATAACGGGTACAGTCGGGTCAGAAGGTAGGTGGAAATTGATGTTTGTCGGACGCGGGAAGCAACGAATCTTCTCTCCCGGCTCTTGACGTGCTAGGTATGTAGATGCGACACCGTGGAAGCGGCGATCATCACCGCTCCATGCAGCCTCGTCGTGGACGTCGTAAGTCAGAGATGCAGTCAGACGCTGGCTAGCATTTCCTTCAACTGTCTGGACAAACTCAACATTAGCGAGGGGCGATGACGAAATGCTGTATTGACGAGGAGACAGTGGTTTGAGTAAGTCGAGATAAACCGCAAAAGGTATCTGACAGTCTGGATGGTCTTCGAGAACATCAAGAATACTGTAGCGCTTGGGTATGACTTCTTTCTTGTACGTCTCGTCATTTGCTAGGTCCAATAGTCTGGCCCGTTTGTTCTCCGGTGTCGCCTCTGCAAGAGTTCGTAGTTGCTTTTGCGAGATCGGCGTACCCAGTTCCACACGTGTCATTAGCAGATCGAAGATCGAGATTGGTGCTTCGGTTGTGATGAAAGTCTTGTTGGTTCCAGTGATATGGATGTTGTCATCGGGTGACAGGTCGAAGCGCTTCATCACCCGTCTGACATTGGAGATGCCGTTGAGCGGCAGGATGACCATATAGTCGCCTGAACGATATGATGTCCCCGGTGGAAGTTCAATCTCCATGTGCTTTTTGGTAAGACCGACCTCGCCACCACCCAAAACCTTGTTGACCTTAACTTCAGCGTAACCGATTTCTTTACCTCCGAGGTACGTGGCGAACTTCGGAGGTGTGATGTCGGCCTGAAGCTGTCCACCGAGTATTTCAGTAGTAGTGCCACTCGAATTGCGAAGATCACTCCACATTTGTTCAGTCCACTTCTCCCACGGACCCATGATATCTTCTTTCACATTGACGAAACCGGTCTCAGTAAAGTGTTTCGCGCCCATCTTCTCGAACAACTCATCTGTGAGTTTGGGAACACGGTGATACGAATGAGTCCAGTCGCTATTTCCGACCCCAAAGACAGCATACTGGACTCCCTCAAACAGCTTGGAGTTTGCATTGCTCTCAAGCCATGCGGTGAACTTCTTTGCATTGTCAGCTGGCTTGCCTTCGTAAGACGGTTCAATGATGACGATGGGCTGGTCCTTAGGAATATGCTCAGTGGCTGAGTCCAAACTGCCTATGTTTGCCTTGAATCCGTATCGCCCAGCATTGGTCTCTAAGTCCTCGGCATAGGACTTGCATGTACCGGCGTTCGAACCGTATAGTACTGTAATGGGCTTGGCATCTTTGGTAGGTGCATTTGGTTCTCCAGTCTTGCCGAATCCATCGCCATCATCCTTCTTGGCAGCAGTGGTACTGGTACCAGCGCCACCCAGACTAGCCATTGTACGTCCAGGTCGCCTGCGCACTTTGATCTTCAAATCCTTCGGTTTTTGCGTGATGGTAACTGCTACATCTGAATAATTGGATCAGCAGTGTTCCTGTACATCAGGAAAATGATATACATACGAAGTTGGTAACCAGGATCTGCTAGCTCAACCTGAAACTTCTGCAAGATGAGTGCGACAACCATGATCATTTCCTGCTCAGCGAATGTCCTACCAATGCAAGCGCGCATTCCATCGCCGAAAGCCTTCCATGCGTTTGGAGGAAGATTCTCCCAACCACCGTTAAGGAAACGTTCAGGCCGAAAGACATCAGCATCGTCGCCATAGACCTTAGGGTCATGATGGAGTCCTTTTAAGTTCATCAGAATCTGATCCTTTGGCTGCACCTGATATTTTCCCTTGTTGCCATTAGCATGCCAATCATATCGCCGGGAAAATAGACTTACTGCGATCTTAGTAGGCTTCAATGAGTGCTTTCCATTGATTGCAATGGGGCCAAGGAAACGCAATGCCTCGTAGATTGCGAACTTTATGTAGGTAAGCTTCGGGATGTGCTTGAGTTCAAGCGGTTCGTCGCCAAGTACTTCGTCAACTTCTTGCTGAGCCTTCAGATACTTCTCTGGGTTTCTGAGTAGGTGATAGAATAAGAACCCCAAGGTTCCACTTGTGGTCTCATGCCCGGCGACCAAGAAAGTCACCATGTTGTACCTTACAGATTCTTTTGTCATCTTTTCTCCTGTCTCTTTATCGACACCTTCAAGCATAGGGTTCAGTAGATCCTTAGCATCTGGCTGAGGGTGAGCAATCCTGTCTGCAATGATCTGGTCGCACAGTTCGTGCATCTTCTTCACGTTTTCCTGCCGATGAGCTTCGGCAAAGACACGAAGCTTATTTTCGACAGACGTGCGGGTGGCTCTTCTTCCGGACTCTATTAGAACCTCGACCATCTCTTCTACGAAGGGATGTGCGCGGTCGGTATAGAAATTGTTGAACCTGTAACCGAATGCACACAAACCGATCATGTCAAATGTCAACCTCGAAGGTATTAGTAAAGGAAGGCAGGTCATGCGAGAAGGGTGTGATGGTTACCTTGTGAAATCATCACTGCATTCTATCTCGTGCTCTGGACCGAAACGGTCCCATCGAAGCAGCATTTGTGTTGAGATGTCCATCATGCCGTCGAACATCTTCCGTATCCCCATCGGTCCAAACACCGGCATCAGTAGCCGATGAGCAACACCCCAGGCCTGAGTCCTCTGTCAATGTGTATACGATGAGAAAGAATGTTCATTACGTACCTCTTCGCCAGGGTAGGCTGTGAACAAACCATCTCCAGTCAATGCGCGTACCTCCTCCAGGGTTGCATTGATGGGCTTTTCAAACCTCTCGCTGTCGCAACAGTCGTTTATCGTATCATACGAAGAGACAACGATGAGCTTGCCATCGCGTCCTGGAAGTTCGAGCTGGTAGATCTCGCCATAGATGTCCGCAAGCCGCTGGAAAGATCCTGGCGCATCATTGGGATCGATCTCAGCGAAATTACCCACGAACAAGTGAGGGGGAGGCTGAGGAATAGGGAGGGATTCCGATGATTCAGAGGCCATCGTCAAAGCCTGCCAGGTAATATGCAAATTAACTAGGGTAACGAACAAGTTCTTGAGTGATAATGGAGAGGTAAGAAACGACAAGAGATTTATGGTTCAGCTGATCATGTCTGGAGAGAGGAGCTGAGCTACATATACCCTGGGAACTACCACATCCCAGGACTTGTCAGCCTTGTTATGTCGACCTCCCATAGCAGCCGTCCACCGAAGCCTTACCAACTGATGCTGCCTAGTTGCTGACTCCACAGGGATACAGAGGGCCTAGAGGACATAATTGCAGCCAATGGCGTCCGATTAGGTATCACGCTGTCGGTAGTCAGCAGGATTGAGTTCAGCTCGGCTGTGCTAGCCACATGATAGGCTACCGACTTTTGGTGTACGATAACACAGCGGTATACCGATGCTGCGCCTCGTGCGAACTGTCGACCGAAGTCCTTCATGGAAATCAGCTGGAACGGGGTGCGCATCCTCTGCCAGTCCACAATGTCTTCACCGGACGATCCGAGGCGGGGCCACACGACCCGTCCACTCTAATCCGGAAGACCTGCGCCACATCGTAACACGCGCAGCGCCTACTGTTGGAAACATCACAATGGTTCAAACAAGCTTCTTGAGGGGGCAGATTCCGACGGAGCGGTTCTCTGTGGGTTATGGAAGTTGAGAAATCGGCCTGGTGAACGGAGGAAACATGGATACAAGCGTTCGGCGCTGGTTAGTCAACAAGTCGATCGTGGCAGCGTAGCGTGACTGGGCGCATCGTCAAGCTCAGATGCATCACTCTACACCATCTGCATCGCTTGCGTCGCGGTATTGGTGCTATTGGGTTTAGTGATCGTTGTGAGTGTGTATCCTATACATGCGTGGCAAGATTGACGGCAGTGGGTGTTCAGGACGCGCTTCAGTTCGGCCGGCTCGACCGGCCGAGGTGTGCCCTGCTCAGAGCGCGCATTGACCAAGTTCACACATTTTGCTTATACACATTGCAAGTTCATTTGCAGCTGCAGGAGAACATCAGTCGTCGATCTCGAATTGAATTTCATATGAGAAAGGGGTTAACCGCATTTCGGCAAGCGTGTCTGTACACTCTGTAACGTCGAGGTAAGGACCATCATCGTTACAAGAAGCATGTCTCGATTGAAGTGTGACGTAGATAGCTAAGCTTGAGTTAGACATATACACGGCTACTATGCATTGGGATGTGAATTTTTTCCTGCGCATATACGTTCCAGGTACACCCCTCATAGGTATGACTGAGGAAAGCAGAGCTTCGACCCAAGGTAGGATACGAGCCGCTTCAACTTATAACGAGGCTTCTAGGGAGTCGATGCCTTGGCCTGCTTCCCTTTCTTCCAGCTGGTGATGGTACGTCCATCAAGGTGAATCTGGTTGTAGTGTACCTGTAAGCCATGTTCACCCACATGACGCGTATATTTGCCAGTTGCTTCGCCGATAACATAGTCAAGTAGCTCGTAGTGCTCGAGATCCAACATACCCAAGCGGTCGAGAAGGACTAAAGAACAGCTGTACATGTTCTTCAAATGAAATCCCTTAGGAGCGCAACCTTGAGAGAAGCGAATGAAGATAGTGGGAACTTGAGTGTTGATGTCGAAAGTGAACTCCACGAGAGTACCTACACAGACGGTGTCGCGGAAGATCTTGAGCCAGGAATTGTTGCTGTTACTGAGGAATCTGTTTAGTCCCTGCAAGTACTGATAGCTTTCCTCCATTTCCAAGCGTGCTGTAACGAAAGCGTCTTCATGATCGCAATAGTCATTGCACACGCAATGAATACTATGTCCACAGTGACCGCATGGGCAGTTCGGCACATCGTCTTCGAGTACCCGGCGGGAGACGAATTTGGCAGTAAAATTGGGGCAATACGCGCGCAAACAGACCAGGAGCGTGATATCTGTTAGAACGTCCTCCATCGAATCCTCGTCAAAGCCGTTCAAGTCTTCATAGACTTCTCCAAACTCATCTTCAATGAGTCCATGATCCCAAGAAATTAGTAGAAGCTTCGGGGCGTTCTGATAATCCGTGACTTTAGGGTAGTACGTTTTGATAAATTGAGCAACTGCTGGGAGCTCCATGCGGAAGCATGATTGGCGAAGCCAGATAGGCCGAAATTCGGTCCGAATCTGCTTGCAGACTTGAGTGAATGCACGATAGCGCAGAGTGCCTAGTTGACTTGGGCTGACAGTGCCTCCAATTGAATTTTTGTGGCCCCTGCCTAAAAGGGACGTGTGCGAAGTCAGTCTTTGTCTCACATACAGTTCCTACAGGGACGCTTCTTACTCAGCAGTGGTGGTGTCAGCCATCCATCATAAACCTTCTCTTTGGTGAAGTGGTATATGCGATTGCGAATCTCTGCGGGTCGTTAGCCATCTAGGATTCAGGCAGAAGAAAGAGGGACATACCGGCAGGTAACTCGAGGAGGTAGCAATGATTGATCCCAAACTCGGCCATATTCTTGTTGCTGGGTGATCCATTGCTCCTCTTGCCACCGTTACTCTTCCGGCCTTCGATCGTCGGAAAAACGCGGTCTCCGCGTCTGTTGATCGGTCAGCGAAGAGCAGATGAATGACAAAGTGATCTAGGACAATACATACCCGTTGGAAGACATGTCTGCTGTAGCGTGTCGAGTTGGACGGGAAAAAGTCAAGTCGCTGACTGCTGGGTTGAGTACAGTTGATTAGGCAGACGCGACGTCCAGAGAAGTGAGAGTACGTTTTTTCAAATGTGGAAGGAGCGCAGGCGCGCGACGCGAGTTCCCGTGATAAGTGACGCAACAAGTCTACAACTCTTGATAGTCGCAGAACTCGCAAAATCGATAAGCCATCTCTACCGCCTAGAACAGTGTCTCATGCATGCCCAAACAAAACGACATACGTTGAAAGGGTGCTGAAGTGGAAATGGAAATGGAAACTCAAGCACCAAGTTTCAGTCCCCCGCTTAGCTGTGGTATGGAGTGAATGCCAACCGTCGCTGGCGATGCGAGGAATCAAACGTAGCGGATCCGATGACAGTGGTACACAAGTAGCACACTGTGAGTGTTCCGTTCCGATTGAATGATTTGGGGCCTCGCGGTGAGCTTTCCAGAAACGCGCACAAACAACAGGCGCCAGTGAGTGCCCGTCGCAGTTTGCTTCCGCTCCGTACAACGAACAGCTACCACACAACTCATCCTCTGCTCTTCCCAAGATTCTCCACGAGGTCATAAACATAACGCCCTACTTATCGACGCTGTCACCAAAAAGTGAACATGGCGGTATGGCTTTGATTTTGACCTTGTCCTATTGGACGCTTCACAGGTGAACGCAACCACATACCATGGGTGGTGACAATGAACCAGGGCAATAGAGGATCGGTACCAGCCACTCGTATTGTTTCTCTTTCACCAGAAAGTTCTACAACTCATGACAGCAAAAATTTCCACAACACCGACCCAGACTCACCAACCTCGGCTTCCAACTGCACCAAACACCAAACTCGAGTCGCAAACTTGTACGGTGAACTGTGAGTCAAGTCTCTAAGGCAACCAAAACACCACAGAATCCTTCGCTTTGAGCGAAACAGATCAGTATGTTCTCACAAGACTGCTTCCCGTACGAGCCAGAATCTGGGTTGTGTATCCACCAGCGCGACAGCACGCAATCCTATCTGCTTGGGTGTAAGCAATCCCCTTCCAGCAATGTGTACTTACGCGAGCTGCTCGGCCCTACGATAAACCTGCCAGCCATGCCTCGTAGCTGCCACGCTATCGGTTTACCTCATTGGAATGGCTTCAGCACGGCCCCAGAGCAAACCACACCGCCTGGGGAACTGAAAGCATCAGACCTCTTGAGAGATCGCGGCATCACGCCCACTTACAACCCTCCGGCAGGCGAGTGGTGCTACTTGGGCGCAGATCAGCCAAAGCCCATCGTACAGCCAGTCAAGTTTCGCGTCCATGACCATCGCGAGCGAAGGCGAGGAACAGACATGAGCTGGATGAAAATGAGAGAGCAAGATGAGGATGCTAGACCGAAAACGAGCACAGCACCTATCCAGTTTTTCAGGCAAGCGCCGAGACGAGTAAACACCAATTCAGAGCTCACAGCGTCCTTTGAGGCAAGATCGATGGAGAAAAGAAGATTGACGCTGGCGGAGGAATTCGCGTCCGAGGGATTGGACTGTACGGAACTTCCTTCAACATTCGACTCAGACGACGAGGAGGAATGTGAAGATATCTGGCATGCCCGTCGATGAGACAATAGAGGCTGCTAAGCACCATTGCCTGATTAATAGTTAGCAGGTGTCGCAAGGAGTAGCTAGGTGAAATAGCGGGCACAGGAACAAAGGTTCACACGCGCATCGATTGGAGAGTCATGCTTCCACAAGGCTCGTTGTATGGAATGGTTACATGGGCATACATCTGTACATGATTTTGAGCAGGCGACGAGCGGGGGAGTGCAAGGCGAGGCGCGCTGTATCAAGACGCCTCGCTTGTTGGCTGGTCCAAGCTCTCTTGTGCATCGATGACAGCATCGATCATGGCCTTTAGCATAACTTTCGGTCTGTCCATAGAGATACGCCACAACAATCAATTGCATACAACGACTATGGAGCGAAGCCTACTGCAATGCACGCGTCTCTTTCCAAGATGTACAGCGCAGACATCATGTCGTAGTCTGCCAAAACATAAGCCCTCGGCCGTCGCATCAGCACGACAAGCACGCTTCCTACATACGACACGCCCCGCCCTTCTCCAATCCAAACCTCCCAAAACGCGCGATCGCGGCCCCAAGAGTGATGAAGACACACAGACCGACTTCAGCGCTCTCGACGTCCTCCGAAATACGGTTGCGCCTGCTACGTCAATCGATGCCTGCACAGGCGATGGCTTCGCACTCAACAATCAGATGCGCATTAGCGGGTGCGGAATTCTCTTAATAGGCGGTGAAGCATATCGATGGCGGCCATGGCTACGCGAAGGAAGGAAAGAAGGTACTGTTGCTGGAGGAGGCACAGGAGATGATATGATGACGGGCAGACTGCTGAATGCAAAGGGCCAATGGGAAGTGCAGGAGCGGGCTTGGGGAGTGCTGGAGTTGCTATATCCAAAACCTGGTATGGTTGCGGTCTCCCTACAAGGATTTGGTAAGAATGGAAACTGACAATGGCGCGGCAGATCTGCTCATCGTCGGCACCGGCCCCAACACTATCCCTCTTGCGCCTGCGGTTCGCAAATACCTCAACGATTTGGGCATACGACTAGAAGTTCAAGATACTAGGAACGCGGCGGCGCAGTTCAACCTACTTGCAACGGAAAGGGGTGTAGGGCAGGTTGCAGCAGCGCTTATACCCATAGGTTGGAGAGAGGGCCGAGGGATTTCGCACTAACCGTAGTATACCATCATCTCATCACAATTCCTCAGAAATCTCACGCCTTGGTGGCTCACAGCTATCCTAAGTGACAATCTGCATGATAGCGAACATCCATACAGCAAAGATGCCCGACCCGTATGGGCGTCATGGAAGACGAGGATTCGTCTTGTCTCTGCAGAAGAGGCGACAGGAAGGTCCAGCGACCCGCCACTGTATAAGGACACGAGCGGGTGAGTCGGCGATCTTGTAAGACATACTTACCAAGTTGAGCACATTTATTGTATTATATTACCTGCAGATATTCCATTGTTCTTGGGGGCCCGAAAATCAACTTCCGTACCCGATCTTCCTTTCATGTATTTTCACCGTCATTGTCGTCGCTATCTTTATCTACTTAGCTACGGGATCTCTCGCGTTTGTTCGCGTTTCTACTCCCGCCCGAGCAAACAAACGCTGATTTAATTTACAGTCGCGACCTCTGCGCTCAAACCGTCTCCTTCAATCACGCCTTCCCAACAAAGCACGTGGCCCGGTAGCAAGTCACATCTTGCAAACCAATGCTGTTCGACTGCTTGAACCGCAACTTATCTTCCTTCCTCTCCATCGTCCTCATTGCGCTCACCCGAACTTGGGAAACAATGGAAGACGCTGCAATGAATGGGATAAGATGGTCGTTTGGCCCGCGTGTTGAGATTGCGGATGAGGAAGCAGCCTTGGATACAACGCCGCTAGTCCCCGAGAGCTGCTTCCGCGATGAAGGGGTGGGATGCAGCTGTTCGCCGACCTCGAGTATGGACCATAACGATTCTTTCACCGTCGCAGAACCCTCGATTATTCGTAGCCCGTCGCTTCCAGCAATTACACTCGATTCAGATCCTATGCATTCTATCCTCCGTTCGCTCAGACTCAGCAACTTATCCCGCCACATCAATCGATTCCTGCCGTCCACAGACGCCGACCGCCACCGAGCGCAGATGGCGTCGCAAGCTCGCGAAGGCTCTCACACTTCACTAACCCATATATTAGCACCCGTTCTCGCAGACCTGCAGGAGCTGAAGGCGCTGACGCCCGAGAGTCTGCCGCCAGGTAACTTGAACTTTGCTACCAGGTCGCATGCTCAGGTTCTTAATGAGAAACTGCTGCCAATAGGCAAGTTCATCGGAGACTACCTAGACGGTATTCCAGAGGCCAAGCGAGGTGTTCTCGAGTTGCGGATATGCCGCTATATTGCCGACGAATACTGGCCGTTGCCTGTCGAAAACTTCACCTATCTCAAGATACAGGAGAAATACCGCAATGCCCTCTACAAAAAGGCCCAACGCGGGACTGGTGGGCCAACCGTCGAACCGCCGCTGCCTGACGACACATCTTCTAGCCACCCGTCATCTGAAGACCCACCATCGGAGGCTGCAGGATACAAGGATACATTGAGCCAAAATCCTGTCACCATGAGTTCAGAAGGCGTCTCAAGCGTAGGGAACAGGGATTTGAACAGATAGTATCATGTGATGATCTCATTCGTAGACATTCTACCCCTAGAGCTAGAGAATCCGCAATCACGGGCCAGGGATTGTGTTCTGAGCATGTCAATATTCAACAAGGAATGTTGCGGCTTTTGGGACGGCTCATTCGAGATCGATAGCGACAAAGTCATCTGGAATGCGACGATGGACCCTGCCATCATCTTTTTCAACTTCCTCCTTCCTGCAGATCATATGACCGACAATGTTCTACCGCTCCTTCAAGCACGTAACCTGCTTGGTGGCATTCCATTGCAGGTAGCTTCAGCTCTCAACGAAGAGTATAAAAACGCCAGAGAATTCCTGGCCCTCCGTTACGCTGCAGACATCGCAGACCTTATCATTTTTCTGACCCGCACACGACCTGACCTGGAGCCCTTCGAAGTCTTATGGTGTGCAGCACACGCAACGGTATAGGTAAATCGTTTAACGTGTGAAAAGTACAAGAAGATACCTACGACGATTCGCGAGAGAGTCAAGCGAGATGCGACAGCACATTGTCGAGCTATACTGCACAATCCGCAATTCAAATTCGTCGGTCCCTTACTTGGCCATGCGCTCAAGGCGCTTGAGGTCTATATTCGTCCTTTAGCTACTGGCTCTTCATCATTGATCTGGATCGATGCTCAACTTCTGCACGACCTACACGATATACACGAGCTGAGTATGGATGGCGCGAAAGCCCGCAAAACTTTGTTCGATTACCTACAACACAGGCATCCTGGAGTGGAGACGCTGTGGCACAGCCTTGTTCAGATGTACAACACTTACGACGCAAAAAACTTTCCTCAATACAGTACTAAGCCGATGTCAACGCCAAGTCTGGTTTTATGGGAGTCCTTTTACAGGCATATCCGAGAGGATGTGCCATTGGAATACCCGCAGTCGCGGCCATTAGTTTTGAAGCGGAGGGACAGTCTTTCGAAATCGCAAGGGACCGTCGAAGAAGGTGAGAAGAAAAGATCGAAGAGGAAAAGGAAGAGTAAATCGAAGGGTGATGGGGATGTTGAGCCGGTGGAAAATCCAGCTTTGCCAAAGCACCACCCGCTTGAGACTCGACCAGTACCTGGGGAGCAGCCGGTATCTCATCAGCAATCTTCTGCAGTCACTGTCGAGATACTTCCGTTTTTGCCTACAGTACAACAACCGCTTGAGAAGAGCGAGCGGAAGCCATCGAAGAAGGACAGGAAGAGCACGAAAAGGAAGCTAAAGAAACTCAGAGCTGCTGTGCGATCGGAGTCGTCTGTCGCGGACGAGTACAAGCGATCGGTCGTAGGCAACAACGCTAATAGCGGCAGCAATGTCACTAGCATGAGGACGACAATGGTAGAAGTATTGAAGGACGACGATTGTGGCAGTACTGATGATGATGATGATTATGATGGCGTCTGCTTGACGTCACCTAGAGATCCCACCGATAATACGTCAGTCAAGGAAGGTCCCGCTCGGGAAGACTCAAGCGACAAAGAGGCTGCAGCGCAAAAGAGCAAGGTATCCGCAGCAAACGTGTACATCGGAATATCAGCTGAGAAGCGCACACTTCATGGTAGTTGTGGTGACACTCCAAATTTCGAAGAAGAGGATCACGCAAAATCCTCGGATAATTGGCAAAAGGTTGGAGTGCGCAAAGACTTGCCGCAGAAGCAGAAGCAGAAGCAGCGCAAGAATGATCGCAACATCGGCAAAGATGTGCCCAATACGACAAACCATGTTCCCATCGATACGAAATCACTGCCAGTCGAAGCAAACGTTATAGTATCATCAGCCAATTCGTTGGAATACAACGCAGAACCACGATCCATGAAGGTGAAGGCCCCAGTGCCATACATGGTCACCTCCGAACTGAGGAACGACAACAGTCAAGTCCCTCTAGATCAATGTACGTCGTGGTCAGCGCTTTTCAAGGGTTTCACAGATGCAAGAAGGCGCCGGTCCTTGCAAACTTCCGATGTATCCACAGATACTGCGGGCGCACAATCGCTTACATCACCTGACACGGAGAGCCACGGATCTATCCAGAAGAACCTTCCGTCTCTCGATCACTGCCCATTTGTGCGATCAGAGACTTCGATAGATGAAGAGGTGTCGAAGAGTTCTGCCGCTTGTAGCACGACCGCGCTGCCACCTCTAGAAGATGCCGATATGTCGGTCGATTCGCTTGCTGTGCGAGACGCAGACATATCACAGGTAGAGCAATGGCTCATGATCAGATATGCATCTGCTTTTGTTGGGCTTACGCAAGCGGAAATTGAGAGTGCACACTGGCGACCTGAGTAATCGAGCATCACTGTGGTTATGGATCGCTTTACTTTCTACAAGCGTGATATGGAACGCCCGAAGGAATAATGGAGGAACGGCGACGTAAGGAGTCGCAATATTATCTGTTTAGTACTTCTGGGCAGTGGCGCAGTGATGGCAACGTCATGTAGAAGGCTTAGAGGTATCGCATCAAATTCTCGAGACAACCAATCTTCTAGATCGTGCCCGTATATCGTATTTCGTTAGCGCCGGGCGATGCAGGGTTTCAGGGTACGCGAAAGTGGATCCCGCATCTTGTTCCTGAGCGCACGGTCTCATGTCGTAGGGCTATCCGCGTATTCGTCTGGCAGTGGATCTTTACACAGGCTTATGCACTTTGGGCGCAACTTGCGAGCAGGATTTCAGTTGTATAAGGAGAAGTGGTATGCATGTTGATGAGTCTTGCAAACCATACATTCACTTCATCTGCTTTCATCTGTTCATCTTCTTACACACGACTTTCTTACTTTCTACGTTCGTTTACAGCAATTACCCTTCTTCTGTAAGAGGCACTCGCTTCCTCTTCACCCCATTGTACTGCGCTTCTAGACATCTCCAACTGAGAGTACCCTCGGGATACCACAATGGCAGGTGATACATCTTCCCAAGCCGGAAACAATGGTCTCTATCCCTACTCCCCTAGTGAGGTCGGCGCGATCCTCTTTGCTGGACTCTTCGGCCTAAGTACACTCTATCATCTTTTCCAGATGATCAGAGGACGAGCATGGTTTTACACTGCATTCGTCGTCGGAGCAACAAGTACGTTCTCTTTCCCTTACGTACACTCAACACGTTTTCCAGAACTTCGCATGAACTAATGATCTACCAGTGATGACGGTCGGTTACGCAGCCCGCTACCTTTCTGCTCAGTCCCCCGCCAAACTGATGACCTACATCCTTCAATCGCTCTTCATAATCCTGCCTCCCTCTCTTTACGCCGCAACAATCTATATGATCTACGGACGCCTCGTTATATTCGTAAACGCTGAACACGCATCAATTATCCGACCTACACGGGTAACCAAGATCTTTGTTTGCGGTGATGTCCTCGCATTCCTCATGCAGGCCAGTGGTGGAGGTATGATGGCGCAGGCTAGCATGACAGACATGGGACAGAAGATCATGTTGCTCGGACTGTTTGTGCAGTTGTTGTTCTTTGGGTTCTTTGTGGTGATTAGTGTCATCTTCTATATGAGGATGAGGAGTTCGCCACAGAGACATACCATCCCACAGTATGGAAAGTATGGGTGGCCGGCTTTGGTAAGTCTCTCTCTCGTCATGGTTCTTACACCCTTCTTCTTACTTCGAGCCATACATCTCTTTTTGTCAAGGAAATATACATTAACGGTATGGTAGTACAAACTTCTCGCCATTGCGGCCGTCGTCATCATCCTCCGATGCATCTATCGCGTGATTGAGTTTGCACAGGGTCACAGTGGATATTTGGCTTCCCATGAGGTTTACATGTATATCTTCGATACGCTACCCATGTTCGTGGTTCAGGTTTTGTTTCATGCTGTACGTGCAGATGACGTGTTCGGGACGAACCATGGGGCAGCGAAAAAATTGGATAGCGAGATTATTGGGCTGTACGAGAGAGCTTGATGGCATCAATGTAACCGCGCTCTTTGCAGTATCATCTTACTAGCGGCGCAAAAGATTCCCAGTATTCACAAGGCGTTTGGTTGTCATGGCATGGGTTTGAGCATGGGTTCTAGACATTATTTAGAAGCACACTTTCCAGATCCAAATGAATTACGGATACACAAGAAGGTCTTCAGTATGCGAGTCATACAAACGACCATAACCTGCGTATGTTGCAAGTTGATCTTGTTGTGTCAAGGAGTCGGAATCGTCCGTTAGTACAACCAGCCGGAACCCTGTTGGTCAAACCATATCGGGTTAGATCCGTTCTTTTTTATCTGTAGTGCTAATGCAGGCTCCACCGCTGCGTATTTCGTTCTTCGTTTCTCGTTTACCCTCCCGTCGCCTGGCTACCTCTTCCACTCCTTTTTCTTACACAACGAGCCAAGCGGCGATTGCAATTGGTCAGACTCAATGGTTTTGAAGAGAAAAGCTCACACAAAATCGCGGACGGGCTGTGGCACCTGTAAACGTCGCCGAATCAAGGTATGGCTCATTTCCTATGCGAACACCTGTTCTGACGCACGACATAGTGCGACGAAGAAAAGCCGCGATGTTCGCACTGCGTCCGGCACGAAGTTGCATGTGTATATCCAGAGTTGGTGCCACCGCGAGCCAAAAGTTCAAGCGCAGCCGCAATATCACCCGGACTGCCGCCAACAACTCCAGATGCATTACTACGCTTGGCTACACCTCAGAACGATCCTTTCGCGGCCAGCACACCATGCTCAGAAACGAACATTATTCCCTCGTTTTCGCTCAAAGACATGTCTTTGTTGCACCATTGGACAGTAGCCACGAGCCATTCGATACTACCGGGCGTGCCAGCAGTCAACCGACTTTGGCAGGATGTTTACCCAGAAATTGCATATAACCACGCTTACATGATGCATAGTCTCATCAGTGTCTCAGCTTTACATATTGCCTATGTTCGTCCAAGCGATAGACGCGCAAATCTGCACATTGCCGCGCATCACCACACGCTCGCTCTTAGCGGGTTCAGGGCAGACACTTACTCCATCAGACCAGAAAATGCCGATGCAATACTGGCCACTTCAACACTCATGTTTTTCTACGCCTTTTGTACATTCTCCAAACTTTCAGACGAAATAGTGGGCATACAGCATGATGGCGACAGTGCCAGCATCTCAGCTCGTACATCGCGTATCCTAGGTGCAGAATGGATACCACTAATCCACGGCGTAGGGACCGTGATACGTCCGGTATTCGAGTACCTCAAAGAAGGACCTTTGCGATCACAACTCCATCTGAAGGACTGGGATACTATGGACCCTGACGTACACCCTGGGCCGGATGACGAGCACTTGTTGCGCATCAAACAAACTTGGGCGGAAGACGAACACAAAGCAATTTACGACGAGGCGTTGTACGTCTTAAGAAAGATGAGTGCGTGGGAGGCACATTTCAACAATACTTGGGAGACGCAACAAGAGGAGTGGGGATACAATGGTGGCTATTCTGCTGTAAGTCACTCAATATCTCTCTCCATCTCAAATGGACGATTTGACTAATGGACGATATTTTCTTTCATCGGTACAGCCGTTCGTCTGGTTATCAGTAGTCCCCAAAGAGTACTTCAAGCTACAGCGGCAAAGGCAGCCTTTGGCTTTGCTCATCTTTGCCTATTTTGGTGCACTACTAGAGCAGATTCTTCAGCATTGGTGGACAGATAGTTGCGGGAAGAGTATCGTCGATGTGGTCGATGACTGCCTAGGATCGTATTGGGCTGAATGGATGGCATGGCCAAAACAAGTTGTCAACCAACAGCAGCAACAACGTTATCAGCGAAAAGCCGAGAGCTGAAGGATATGGATTCCTCACGATCCAAAGTAAGAGGTCGTTTCTCAAGGCTCAACCCCAAATGCCTCATAAACCGCCGCAATAAACGCTTTTGTCCTGGTATTACCCATACCGCCTTTACCCTCCTCCTGCTGCCCTAGCCCAGCCGCCTCCATCTTGTTCATAACATAGCTAATCGTCAACTTTCTGTCAGCATCAGCAACAACCTGACTTCCACCCCACCCTCCCCAACTCGTCACGCGTCCCTGAGGTAGATTCGCCATCATGCTTCCTTCGGCTGGTAACGCGAACCCGAGTCCGAGACGAACCTTCACCGGTATAACGAGATCCTTGTGCTCTTGCTGCGTTGAGAAGATTTGGTCGATGGTTTTGTCGGAGAGGAATGAACGGTTTTCCAAAGAGATGACGGACAGGAGGCGGACAAGGCCGCGGGCGTTGCTATACCCGTTTCCTGCGGCGATAGCAGAGTTTCTCAAGAGGGACTGATTGGCCCAGTTGGCATCCATACCAGGGTTCTTGCCTAGAGACCTGAACGTGAGATTGTTCGGATCCAGTGCAAACGCCTGCATCTCTTGTTTTGCGGGCATCGGTGGAGGGATGATGTCAGCGACTCTGTTCCACTCCTTCTCGGGAATGCCCAGTTGGAAGTCCGCGGCGAGTGGGTGGGCGAGCTCTTCGGCAATGAATTCTTGAATCGGCTTTCCTGTTACGCGACGGACTAGTTCGCCGACGAGGTGACCCATTGTCCAGCCATGGTAACCAGTCGCCGTACCAGGCTCCCACCAGGGCGCTTGTTGCTCGAGGAGCTTTGTGCTCTTCTCGATGTTGCACATATCTTCTATGGTGATGGACTCCTCCCAGCCACTCAGTCCGCTCGCGTGCGAAAGAAAATGTCGGACTTCCACACCTTCCTTGCCATTTGCAGCGAATTCAGGCCAGTACTTTGACACCTTCTCGTATGGATTCAGTAGCCCGCGGTCGATGCACACCAGAGCTGCCAAGGCGCAGACAGTCTTGGTAGAGGACCAGATACACGTTACAGTGTCTTTCTCCCACGAGCGAGTTCGAGCTTCATCTGCGTGACCACCCCAGATGTCGACGACATCTTTGCCGTCGACATTGACGCAGACAGATGCGCCGAGCTCTTCTCCAGAGTCGAGGTAGGACTGGAAGAGGTCTTTGACCTTGGCGAAGCGGGGCTCGCAGGTTCCTTGGACTTTGGCCATGGTGATAGAAGTTCCTGCTAAAATTCCGGGTACCTTCAGATGTTTTTGTATTGTATGTGTGTTGTATTCGCCATGGCTGGGAATCTGGAGAACCAGCTTTTAAAAGTATCCATTGCTGTAAGCAAACATGGCAGATTAGGGCACCGGGTTGACGAGTACCCGAACTTTCGCGTTGCTGGCATAACAGACGTGAAATTAGCGGAATGAGTAAACGAATTCCTGAAGTTTTGCGTTTCACGTATTGGTTACGGAATCGCGGTATTCCGATTCCGCCATGTAAAGAACGGTAATGGATTCTACCTGCGGGGTTCGTCTCGTATGGCGTGCATCTTTTGACGCCACGGGGCCCAACGCCCGAGAGTGGAGTACCTATTGAATAGTGACCGTGAAAGGCAACAAGCCAACGAAAAGTGCTGAGATCACTTGGCTACATGTCTTGATCAGATCCTTGCTTCTTTCTCACCTCCAGGGCTAGGTCGTAGGCAAATAGCCGTACAACCTCTCATCTTGACCAAAAACTGCGACACAAAAACGTTCGGGGACGAATTGCGGTACGAGTAAAGCTATTGACTATAGTGGTGCTTGACGCTAGGTGTAGTACCAGCCCCTTTTCGATGTTCTCGCGCGGAGGATCGGCGGTATTCCACCGTTCTCCGCAATTCGACAAGCGGTAAAGGCGGGAGCAAAGCTACCAAATGCGGAGAAGCCCGGGATCTGTTATTTCAAAAGTACGGAGATACAATGTTCTAAAACCGAGTGAAAAAGAATCGGAGTACTTGTATCTACGACTCGCGCACTATCTTCTCGTCTATAAAGTATCACCTTTTGTTGAAACGCAAGCAACCACAGCCGCTTCAACTCCCGGTATGCGAGCACTTGTTCATCACCATATACCTCAGCACCACTGCCCCAGTTTCTTTCGAGTGATTACTACCCGTAAGCTTCACTTGAGGAACTTACTCACAAGACCCTTTCCACCTTTGATCAGGTTCTTTACCTCCCTCTTGATATCATCCGTTGAGTTGCCGCCCTGATGTCCTGGCTCCATGAACCCTCCACCCGCACCCCCGGCACCGCCACAATGACCTTGGCCTCCACAAGCGCCTCCAGGACAACCTTGGATGAAATGCTCGATTTCACCACAACATCTTCCACATTCGCCAGAACCCATGAATGGACCTCCTTGGCCCCACCCGACGCGCATGACGCGCGCTTTACGACCTTCCCATCCCGTTTTCGCATCAGTAGCGTGAAAGACGCCCCAGACTTCTGGACCACCGGGGCCGTTAACTAGGACGAAATTTCCGTGGCCTGGTCCATAAGGCGGAGAATCATCGCGAGCGGCTTTGAGAAGAGGTTTATTGGACTTCGCCCAAGAATGTGGATCGAGAGGGTGACCGCCAGTGTAGTACAAGATATTCATCTTGTACTCGTGTGTCCAGCTTCCCGCGCAACTATACACAAGGCCCATCCAACGGCCATCAGGAGAGCAGAGAAACTGCGGACCCTCGTTGATGCCGCTGCTACCAGAAAACTCGAATTGCAGATCTGGTGTGCTGATGCGAATGGGATGACCGGTACATTCTGTTGGCGACACCATCTCGATGATGAAAATTTCCTGGCGAGATTCATCGGCGTGCGTACCGAGGGGCCAGCCAGAGTAGACAAAGAGCATAGAACCACCGAGCGTAACAACTGTGCCGTCGATTGCCCATTGCTCTTCAGGGAGGCCACCTAGACGGCCGAAAAAGTTCCATTTGCTTGGTTCGAGAGGGTCCTCCTCTGCCGATGGTCCAGCAAGGACATACATGCGGTGCGATTTGTTGCCATGTTTGGGGTCGTCAGCCGCAAAGTATACATACCACCGACCGTGGATTGAGTGTAGTTCGGGCGCCCATAGATCGGCGGAGTAGGGTTGGTCTGGTGGAGGACGCCAAATTACGTTCTTTTTACATTTCTTTTCGAAATCGAAGAGGGAGTCTGCAGACCAGATCTCGATGTGGCCGCCGCAGGTAAAGGTCATATAATATGTACCCTTGTCCCAGAGTACGTACGGATCCGCACAACTGCTGTGCGTGATGGTGAGAATCGTATCGTTGTATGCAGGTCTCTGTTGAGGCCATGCCGGCTGCAGTTGTTGCGCCATGTTGTCGACCGTTCTTTGCTTTGCTCCGATTTCTAGTGCTGGCAGGACGTATAGCTTGGATAGACCTGGACTTCTGGAGGGGTAATCGAAGTCTGCTTTCCGAAGAAGCGCCAGTGTAAGCGGTTTAACAATCTAGAACTATCCTAATAGCGGTGGCTGCGTGGGCATGTGGTCTCAGCCCCGTCAGGCGCACGCGCGTAACAGCTGTATGATGACGTCATCGTTTACATTCGTTTCCTTGGTACCACAACAGCCGGGCAACTTCACCTTGAGCAATAGGCATGGGAACGGTCCGAAAGGGTGAAAACGCATGATGCGAAACAACTGGTAATAAGTGCCGAGGCGAAAACAGGGTCCAAAGAAGCGCTGATATGGGGAAGGTGCAAGCCACCTTACTGGTTGTAGTGGTGACTGACTATCCTAAATCGTGTTGTTATTCCACTACCAACTAAAATTTCTTCCTAATCCAGCTATATTACCATATAACAAGCCGTCCGTGTTCGTGGTACCTCATAGACCAGTCTGAATAGGCTGATTATTCAAGACGGCTTACCCTATGCCCTAAACCTATGCCTACATGAAGTCTGGCACAATATCGTCAACCGACCAGTGCCATAATAAACAATAATAATATGTTCTGTAATGGGTTCCAAGCCTCACATGCCCTCGTGTCCTGACGTCGCATCGAAGAGGTGGTATCCAGCATTGCTGGTGGTAGTAGCCAAGAAAACACAGATTGGTGGATGCTATGAGGCCGCGGGATCCGTAACCGCCATGCCAGATGTGCAGAGCTGAAGAATGGCAAAACACATTGCAATGAAAGGTCGCCCTTGAGATATACTACGTAGTCGTATCATACGTTAAAATCAGTTTGTGTGTCAGTTGTCGCATTATAGCTCTGTTTTGAGCGTTTGGTCGACAGTGAGCTCGCCGGACTCGATACGGTCCACGCGAAGTACGAGCTCCTGTATTATGATCAGCATGTGTACAAGTTGCTGTTGCTTTTGTGTAGCTTACCTTGAGAGCCCTAGCGGTCTTGAACGCAAGTGGCGGGATCTTCTCGCGACCCTCACCCCTGATGTCAACGGAAAGCATGTTTTGTCTGCATTCGTCAAGCACCTCTACAACGGGAAGCGCATGCTTTTTCAATGCAGGGTTGGAAAGCTGGTTTACAGCATCGTAGGTTTTGTTGCCAGTGTCATCGACTGCTTGCGAGATGTCTTGGATGTAATCGTAGATTTGCTGCTCATCCCCAGGAGTCGATTCGGGGTTCGTACGGATGAGGTTAACTAGTGGTTGTATGCTCTGAACAAGGGTTGCTGTTTGATCCTCGAGGTAGTTCTGTACGCGTTAGTAGGTATGACTACCAGGCTTGTTAGGAACATACCTTGAATTCAATCATGCCGCTATCGCCTGTGCCATTGGCACCGTTCATGCCGCCGGTTTGGCCATCGTATCCACTGTATGGAGAACTGTAGGCGCTGTATCGAGTCGTATCACTGCTACCGCCTTTGCTGCTGCGACTGCGGTGATGACCGTATGCTGAGGTGACACTGCTGCTATTCGTGTTGTCGTTGATGTTGCTTGGCGAGGAAGCATTGTAGTTGTTGTATACGTTCGACTTCAACGGCATGGGCCTATCGGCATCCTCGTCATCCCCTTCGAGTTCGTCTTCCGGTGTGGGCCGCACTTTGACGTGCTTGACCAGCTCCACAACGGCTGTCGACAAGTGACTAGCTGCGGCGTCCAGTAGACTGACTGGTGACAATCCTCCAGATGAGGTATGATTCTTGGTAGCTGTAATAAGGTTGTTGGCTGTAGCACTAACGCGAGACTTGAGTTTTGCTTGCTGCTTCTCAGGACTCGCGAAAATGTCGCCACTCACACTACTGGTAGGAGACTGGATCTGTGAAAGAGACGTGCTATCGATATCGCCCGTGATGGCTCGTACACATTTCACGACATGACGCATACTCTCGAGAGTCTGCTCCGAGTTTGCTCTTCGCGCGTTTTGGAGCAGCTCGTCAATGCTAAGCTGAAACTTGGTAACATGGACGTCCTTGACCAGTCCGTCCGGCGTTGTAAAAGCAGCATCGCGGGAGTAGTTGAGCAGATCCGGCGACGCAAGTTGCGATAGGCCCATGGAAGATGCTTTCAAATTTCGAAGCTGCGTCTTAGCCTTGGCATATCTCGATTTCCAGTCCTTGAGCTCAGCCTCTAATGATGACACTTGGTTTGCCATCTGCTCTTCCTTCTCGGCTGCGGCATCACTGCGGGCTGATAGTTCCTTCATCTCTTGCAAGAAGATGGATGCGTCTCTCCGTACTTCCTCTGCTACCTGTTGTTGTTCGTTCAATTCCCGTTCAAGCTCTTCGCACCGTTGTCTCCATTGAGCGTCTCCGTCATCGTACGCTTGCTGAGGTGGGCGAGACTCGAGATCTGCGATCTGGGCACGGAGGCTATTCTCGACACTTTCGTTCTCGCTGCGTAGTTTGTCTATTTCAGAACGAAGTGAGGAATTGAGATTCTCTGCTTTCTCAACCTTCTCCTCGAGCGCATAGCGGAGTTCGTCCCACTCGGCACGCTCAGAGGCCGAAGCGCCATCGCGTGTTCTATCGTCGTCTTGGAATCGCTGCAGCTCGTCGTCCTTGTTACGTATGGTAGCCTCTAATGAGTCAACTTTACCCTGCAACTCAGAGACTTGGTTTTGCAAATCCGCAGTTATCTTCTCGTGCGCCATGCTCATGCTCTTTGCGCTCTTGTTTGTCTGTCTTCTCGCAGCAGCGCCTTCTAGGTTGAATGCATCATCATCGTCCGCTCCGCTATCGTCGTCGTCTTCGACTAGTGTGCCCTTGTTTGGCACAATTGTGTTGGATTGGAACGTCTTCGGAAGCGGGCGCCCGAAAGAACCTGGCTCGTTCCCTGAACCGGGCCGCAGTCCTCCCGGTGGACCTGGAGGTCCTCCTGGGGGTCCACCCATAGGCCCCATGGGCCCGCCCATTGGAGGTGGCCCTCTGTAGCCCGGTCCTGGCGGGGGTCGTCCGCCCATGCTATTCGGAGTGCCGCCTCTACTGGGAGGTCCTCTATTACTTATGCGACTCGCGATGCTGCCGTTGGGGCTCGAGGGTCGTGGGGGCATGTCACCCCCGGTGAAGCGCGGGAATCTCCGTTCGAGTTCGTAGAAGACGTCGGTTGCGAGTTGACGGAAGCGCTCGAGAGGCAGTGTGGAGAGCTTTTGTCTCGCCTGGTTGCGCTTGGGATGGAAATTATTCTTGGGCAAAAGATATTTGGGAGTGTCGTTGCCAGGCGCACCTGGCCCTCCCCGCTTGCGGTCCGTTTCTCTGCGTATCGACTCATCATATACGTCGGTGCTGAGCTCCTGGAACTGGACAGCAGATAGCCTAGTCAGCTTGTCCTTGGCCCTGCTCGGGCGCGGGTTGCCCTTCTCGTCATTGAGGTAGGGCCCTAGGTATGCCTTGAGCACTCTGAAATGTTCCGACATGGTCTCCTCTAGCGCCTGCATCTTCCTACCATCCATGATGGGGCGTGTACTATCACTTATGCTCGAGGCATACAGCCCCGTGCCGTCGCTCGATCGGCCTACTGAACTGGGCGGCGAGGGGTTTCCATTGCTGGTGCCAGGGCGCATACCATTGAGCATGCCGCCATCGGGGTTGCTGGGCCCATATGCGTTGGGAGGGATCGTGGGCGAGTATGGGTTGTCGCCGGCGATGTTCCGGTAGCCTGTAATGGGCGACCACTCTTGGCTGTCGGTGGAGAGGGGCGACAGGGCGCCATTGCGCGTGTTCATGGCATTCATGGTGGCTGCGTCGCGTTTCACCCCGCGGGTTGCCGCTGTCAACCAGGATCGTATCCGTATCGGAGCGTGTTAGTGGGCTTCAGACCGGAGCGAAGGTTTGCAAAAGCAGTGCGGAGCTGGCAGAGTGGCTGCGGAGGAAGGCTGCTGGTGAAACCCTAGGCGTGGTAGGAGTCGACGGGCGCCCGGCACTGTTCCGAATCTGAGTGTGCGATGCGGTGAAGGAGCGGATGCAAACAAAGCAGTGCGTCAACTAGCCAAGGGAGTGTGAATGCACGCCAGCGTCTAGTCAAAGAGGCCGCGGTGCGAAGAGAGAGCGACGGTGATACGAGTATGCAGGAACCAGCAGCCGGGGCCAACAACTCTTATGAGGCTTTCCGCTGCTGTTATCCAATGTCGGTGATGCTGCCCCTTTCGCCTGCGCCTTGGCTGGGGGATTTAGGCGCTAGCTGCCCGCCGCGCGGGCGACGACGATGCATGGCAAGGGCGCTCGAACGGCCGCTCGAGGTTTCCATATCACCGCTCGACAGCCTGGAGCGGTTATGCCTACCTGGCTTTGTTTTGCTGCATTGCATGTCTTGTCACCGGTCACGCTTGCTTTTTCCCAACTTGCATGGCCCTCCGTAGTCAGCCTGTTTACGAGGAGATTACCATGGCCATCCCGGGCCTCGGGTCTGGCCCGGCGATCATGGCCAGTACTGTGGAGACGGTGCTAATTTCGTGCAGCGAGTACGCAATTTGTTGGGGTATAGAACAGTATATCGTATCGCAACTACCACGTACAAGAGAGCCATCTAATGCCGGGCGACTCGCTCGTGGCTTTTCCCACTCAGCGCCTCTCCCGCACGCCATCAGCCAAGTGCGACTCTGCCAAGCCACAGCACCTGTCTAGTCTGTCACGTGCCAAACCCCGAACCCACAATGCCCGCGTACATTTGTCTCAAGCCCGTTCCTAACGTGCTCTCTTGATCTTTGAAGGCGCCTGATTCCTGCACTCTGGACAAAGCCAGTCTCCCAATGGCTCCTCCTTGATACCTACACACTCCCAGTGGAACCACTGATACCGACAGTTGTCGTTGTCGCACGCTACCATATCGCCGAAGCTGACGCGCTGGCATGTGCAGTACTTGGTGTCATCCGACTCGTCCTCCTCTGCATCGCCGCCTCCCATGCCTGACATGTCCTCGTCTTCCGTGCCCGCCTCACTTGCCACACTCTCGTCGTCTGCCGTTGTCGACGGCGATGCTCGGGATCCACCCTTGCGCCGTTTCTTGTTGACCCCGGACTTGGCTGTAAGGGCCGCCTTGCGCAGCGGTTGCTGAGGTTTCGCCTTTTTAACTGTGAGTGCATTCTTTTGCGGTCGTGGTCCTACGCTGCCTGCGCGTGAGCCTGGTGTTGAGGGTTTCGGAGTCCCGGGCCCTATGGACCCTTGTCGGCCCAGGTTTGAAGATGCTGCAGGGAGGGGACCAATGCTTCCTGTCGGCCGGCGACGCTTGCTGTCGCTTCCCGCTGAGAGTTCCCGCTCCTGTCGTGCATTTGCTTGTATGGCACTTTGCGCGTTGGTCAGTCGCTGTTGGTTCAGGAGCGCTTGTGTTTGCATGTTCTGTAGTGATGGGTTCGTCCTCGAGTTGAGGCCCACATTCGTCGCATTTGTCAGTCGCGCGATGGCAGCTGCCTGGGCAAGATTTGGAGCGCCGCCCCCATTACCAGACACGGGTAGCAGCGGTGTGCTGGACCCCGTATTCGATTGTGACGCTGGCGGGACTAAATTCCCAGGAGAGTCCCTGAGCAGCGAGGGCATCTGGGGGTCAGTGGGTATTGAGCCATCATTCTGCAGGTCGCGCAGCTTGATATCAAGGCGCTTTACATGTCGGTCGAGCTATGTTGTTGTAAGTAGATAGAACCAACATTGCAGATCAACAACGTACAAGTGCGGCAGCTTTATCGACAAGCCCAATCTTCTCTTCTTGCAGTATCTGCGCTTTCTCGTAATTTGCCATGATGGTTTTCGAATATCCAGCCTCTTTTGGATTCTCAACTAGACTTCCATTGAGCTTGATGAATTTCTGTATGCTGCCATCTCGCTGTTGTATTGCAGAGCGCAGTTCTTGAATCTGATTGTCCTTGGCTTGGACTTCTTCGTAGAGATGCGTGATCTCTGCGGGAAGGTTCGCAACTGCCACTTGTCAGCTGCGACGGTCGTGCTAAAGATGATAAGTGAAAATACCGTCGTGTATGAACTGTTCGAGTACTGTCGCTGCATCTTCTGCGATAGCCATGTTGAAATGTTAGGTCCTATGTCGTCAGGCGTATCGACGCGTGTGGCGAGGATCTTGTCAAGGTATACTTCGCGCAGCCAGGACGCGGTCGATGGGACCCGGCTAGAAAGCAAAGGGGCAGAAATCGAGTTGCTTGCCTGTTGCACTTGCAATTTTGATGAAATTCGATGGGACGTTGATGCCTTTGGAAGTGAAAAAGCCGTGTCGCGACAGAGAAAGAAACAACGCAGCGCAAAACCTTTCTGTTCAACCCTCACTTCGTGTCCACTTTTCTTTCGGTGCTCAAGTTCTGTTTATATCCGTGGTCGGATTATTTCGTAAGCTTCGCTCTCGCGATAGACTAATGGAGTCGTGTTGTAACGCGTTGACATGCAGGAACAGCCGCTGACAAAGAGGCTCGATTACGTGTTCGGCAAGATGCTGCGTTATCATACCCAATCAGATGATTGCGCCCAAGACAAGGTTGGCTCATCCACCGCAAGCGAACCTTGTCACAACGACAACTACAACAGAGAAGACATTCAGAACGAAGACCAAGAAGTTTTCGCATACAGTCACGATACTACCGGCGCACATGTCGACCCTCAGCTCGCTGCTCTCCTGAACGGACCACAGTGGCAGAAATCAAATCCGAACACGCGTCGCGCGACCAGAGCAGACTACAGCTGCAAGAAGCCGTCGCAAATTGCAACGAGAAAACGTTCTCGTAAAGCAAAGGTAAACATCCCTTCTCTGCACCAAAGATCTCATCCGAACAATGAAGACTCCTAATGTTGTGTCTACTGATTTCTGGGGGCTTAGGAAGCTCTGGTATTCTTGGACACTCGCTAATTGCCGCAGTACCGTGCAGCGGACGATAATCGGATCCCACATCTTGTGCTCGAGCCTAAGACTCTAGCACGTTGGAACAGATTTTGGGAAGAGGATTTGAGGCCCGAATCTTTTGTTAAGACATTCATCAGCAACAAAGACGACTTGAAGCGCTAGATCTACGAGGGTGCTCCGAACCCACGTCTTATCAACCCAAACAGAGGATTTCTCGACGACGCGTTACATATTCCTCGAAACATGCGAGTTGCCGGCTATGCTCCGCCAGGCGGACCCAGTGATATTGTGCAGGAGTACCTCTCTCCGGACGATCCTTGGGTCGCCAATTACCAGGATTTCAAGGTACTTACTGATGCCGAGAAAAAGGACGTAATTGCTCGTGAAGCCGAAGAACATGGTCTCGAGAGACCAAAAGGCTGGAATGTGTCTTTCCATTACAATCCGCACGTGGAGTATCATCACTTCGGCAGCTCACATCCGATGAAACCATGGCGTTTGACGCTGACGAAACAGCTTGTTCTTGCGTATGGGTTGGAGTATACCATGGATCTCTTCGAGCCAAGACCAGCCAGCTTCCAGGACCTTGCTGTGTTCCACGACCGCGAATATCTAGCCTATCTCAGCAAAATCACGCCTCAGAACGCACAGCCCGAGGATCCTCAGTATATAGCATATGGCTTTGGTGGCGAGTCGAACGACTGCCCAGTATTTGATGGACTGTGGAACTACGTATCACTTTATACGGGTGCTACAATGAGCGCCGCCTACAATCTCATCAACAATCAGTCTAATATCGCCATAAACTGGTCTGGGGGTTTACATCACGCGAAGAAGAATCTTGCCTCCGGATTCTGCTATGTCAACGACATTGTGATAGCGATCCAAACTCTACTTTCGCGGAACCAGCGCGTCCTGTACATTGATATTGACGTCCACCACGGCGATGGTGTCGAACAGGCATTCGAGTCTACAGATCGTGTATTTACGCTCTCGTACCACAAGTATGGTATCGACAAGCACGGCTATCCGTTCTTCCCAGGTACAGGAGCCATCGACGAGACGGGCCCTGCAGATCCTAGAAATCCCGGCAAGGCCCACAGCCTGAATATTCCCATTGATGACGGCATCGACGACGACCAGTACAAGTGGCTCTTCAAGACGGTTACCGGCGCAGTAATCGAAAAATACAACCCGCAAGCTATCGTCCTGCAGTCAGGTGCCGACTCTCTTGGGGGTGACCGCCTCGGTCGCTTCAATCTCAACATCAAAGCGCACGGCTATTGCGTAGAAACAGTAAAAGCTTACGGTCGTCCTCTGCTCATCATAGGCGGTGGTGGCTACACGCCTCGCAATGTTGCACGGACATGGTGTCACGAAACGTCTGTCTGTGTAGGTGCAACGCTTCATAATGAGCTACCTGCCCACATACCCTACCTCCAAGCCTTCCAAGGAGCAGAGAATGGCGACGGAGTTTTATACCCTGATCTACACAACACGAAGCGTCACGACAACCTGAACTCGCAGGCTAAATTGCACAAGCTGGTCGAGCAAGCGCTAGAGAATTTGAGGTACTTGGAGGGTGCACCTAGTGTGGTCGTAGACACAAAGGGCATTCCGCTAGAAGAGCTCATGAGAGTGAGGGAGGCGATTGATCGAGAGATGGAAGAAGAGGCGGAGGACAAGGCCCGTCTCTCGGTCGAGAATAGCAGACGCAGGAAAGAGAAGAACATTGGCGGCCGAAGTGAGCGGAGATAGACTCGGAGCCGGGAAGCGCGATGCAACGACTCAACTTGATGGCGTTTAGGAAAATACTGGAGTCACAGGAGGATACGCTTTCGGCGATACCCATGGTACATGATTCAGACTAGGCAACAACTTGTTTGGATGCACAATGAGTGTTCTGGTGAGATTCTAGAGCGTGCGCTTATCAGATGGAAATGATCTGCGGAGGTGACTTGGCACGCTCCGAATTTCTCACCGATCGCAGTCCACGGGATGCGACAGGCGTAAATGGGTAGCACTTGATGAAGCTTGATCCTGTCTGCAGAGTAGTCACGACGAAAGACAGAGCCGGCTAGGCCTACATGGATGACTCAGACGTCCCCTCATACGAGATTGTGCATAGCAGAGGGTGATGTTCAGCCGGTGGAATGACGTTGGGCCGGCCTTAGGCGGGCATAAGAGGTGATGGACGGTGGTTCCTCCGCAGATATGCGTGTCAAGCGATCTGAGTCGACGACCTGTTTTCGCAAAGTCCCTGTCTTGACCGGCGAGTGCAGTGTGGGATAGCTAGACGACAAGCTCTGATTCGCCAGGCCCCACCAGGGACGTTCCGCTTCGTACTGGTGTCGTACAAATGATCGGAGCCTGAAGTTGGGTCAGCGCCGACAATCGACTAGGGTCTCGCCGCAAAAGTCAAGCCACACGGAGGAACGAGTGTCGAGAGCAAGAAGAGGGATTTCGGCAGAGGGAAGAAGCAGCTTCCTGTATCACCCATCCCTTCCACAATGTCCGACGAGATACAGTCTAGCCAAACGTCACCCAATGGTGCCCAGAGGCTCAACGGCAGTGTCAGCGGCCCCTCACCCGGTGGAGGTGCTGGGCCGACGCCAAACCCCCGGTCGTGCGTTACCTGCCGTAGGCGCAAGGTCAAATGCGACAAAAAGAACCCGTGTTCCAACTGCGTGCGCGCCAAAATCGACTGCATCTTCCCTGGGCCTGGACGCGCGCCGCGAAAGAGCAGAAAGCCACCCGATGCCGAGTTGTTGGAGAGACTGCGCCGCCTGGAGGGCGTCGTCACCAGTCTGAACGCTCAGGTCGAGGGCCACGAGCAGGAGGCGGCCGACCGCGAGAGGGAGCGACAGAACAGCGCAAGCGCAGAGGGAGGCTGTCCGAGCGGGCAGCCCCAGGTCCCATGGCCGACCAAGCAGCATGGCGCAAGAGTCGAAACCGACAACAGTGTAGAGGGCCTTGAGAACCGCTTCGGACGGCTGGTGGTGGAAAAAGGTCGGAGTCGCTACATCAACAACAGCTTCTGGGCCTCTCTGAACAACGAGGTCGAAGACCTCAAGTCGATCCTCATCGAGCCATCCGACGACGAAGATGATGCGCCCTCGCCCGAGTCCTCCAACATGTCCTCACACCAGAGCTTCGTCTTTGGTTACAGCTCCTCCAACGTCGACATGCACGCGCTACACCCTCCCGAACAGCAAGCGCGCGAATTCTGGGACGTCTACAAGGACCACGTCGAGTCTTTGGTCAAAGTGCTCCACGTTCCCAGTTTCGAACCTGTCATCTTCGACGCTTTTGCGCATATCGACAAAGTGAGCAAAGGAATGGAAACACTCTTGTTCGCCATATACTACGGCGCAGTAACAAGCACAACCGCGGAAGTCTGTCTGGAGAGGTGGGGCGAAGACCGAAACACACTCCTTAACAAATATCGGTTTGGGTTGGAACAGGCGCTGGCAAGAGCAAACTTCCTCTACTGCGACGAAGTCATCATCCTCCAATCCTTTGTCATCTTCCTCGTCTTACTGCGGCGCAACGACGACGCGCGCAAGATTTGGACTCTGACTGGCTTGGCAGTGCGCATTGCGCAGACGCTTGGTATACACCGAGATGGTAGTCATTTTGGCCTGCCGCCATTCGAGATCGAAATGCGTAGGCGCCTGTGGTGGCAGGTCTGCATTCTTGATGCGAGATCTTCGGAAGATCACGGTTGCGATCCGACCATTGTCGAAGCCCAGTTTGACACCAAGATGGTATGTCAGTTCGTCTCATGTCTACAATCACACACTAACAACTACCCTACAGCCACTTAATGTCAACGATACCGACCTACACCCCGACATGACCGAGTTTCCCGAAGACCGCCAAGGTTTCACCGACATGACCTTCTGCCTCCTTCGTTTCGAAATCACCCACATTTTCCGCCGTATCATATACGTCCCCCCGGGCCCTAATAGATGCACCGAATATTTCTCTGGTTTGACAATTGAGCAAAAGGAGAAATGGATTAGCGATGCTCACCAGGCCATGGAAGACAAGTATCTTAAGAATTGCGATATGAGTATTCCGATCTGTTGGGTTACAGCGACTATCTCAAGGCTCATCATGAGCAAGATGTGGTTGGTTGTCTATCACCCACACCAACGGAAAGACGGAGGCGCCACACTGCCGCAAGAGACCAAAGACAAACTCTTCATCACCTCGCTTGAGAATGTCGAGTACTCCATCCTACTCGAGACCGAAGCGCGTACCATGAAGTGGGGCTGGCTCTTCCGCACATATGTCCAGTGGCACGCCATTGCCTTCCTGCTCTCTGAATTATGCGTCCGCACCAAAGGCGAGGCTGTAGAGCGCGCATGGAGAGCCCTGGAAGCAACTGCTGGCCGTTGGTGGTTCCCGCTCAACGATGCTTCACCACTACGTAAAGGCCAACAAGGAACTCTTTGGAAACCGCTACGAAAACTTCTTGCAAAAGCAAGGGCAGCGCGGGAACGAGAGCTGGCTCTCGAGCGGGCTAGCCTGGCTCTCCGGAATGGGCAGTTTGCCAACAGCGCATTTGCTTTCCAAGGTCCGAATGCGCTGAATCAGACAAACCAGTCAGTAGCCACTGCAGCTCAACACGAAGCCAAGATCTTGGACAGCATGTTGCGACCTTCGGCACCGAAACTAGGTGAGATGCCTAGCGCTGAACTTCCGAGTTGGCCCAGCAGCCCTGCGCAAGCCAAGTCACGAACGAACTCGCTGCAAGATGGAAAGAGCTCGATTCAGCAACAACCATTGCCAAACGAACAGTCAAACAGCGCAAGAGGCAAGAGCGCCTCTCCTGGAAAGGATTTTGGGGATTTGTTCGAATACGGCCTTGATAACGTGATCAACGACGTTATGGGATCTGGTGGGGTCCTCGACGGTACAGTCCTAAACTGGCCCGCATATACCCCCACGACCATGACCGCTCAGCCTGCTACCTCGAACACCACCTCAACACACTCATACGGCACACACGGGATGAACCCGCCCACAGCCGCAAATGGCTATCCTACGTTCGGAGATGGCATGCTTCCAACCACAAGTATGGATTTTAGCATCGATAGCAGTGGTACTGCGGGTTTGAGTAATGCCAATATCAATGGCAATAGGCAGCAGCACGTTCAAGAAGCTGTCATGATGGATGATGGGGATATGGACTGGACACTTTGGGATGACATGGTGAATCAGTATGGGATTGAAGGAACCCCGACGAATCCGGCTAGTACGGCTGGCCTCGTGCCCTGGTTCTGATTGACTATTTGTCTAAAGCATTATCTTTCGCGAAGCCATGATGGGTGTTTACGGCGTTTGGGCGAGAAAGAGCTCTACTCCATCTATTTGTGGCTTGCATTGAGCGAGGAAACAATTGTTATACCCTGTATTTGATAACGTTGAAATTCTATATATTGTATAAAACCAACAACTATGCTTTTGTTACTCTCGGATCTAAGCAAGAAGGAGTAGTACATACCTTGATGTTAGCGGATCCCATGCTCAAATATCTAGCGGCGACCACGCAGGGATGCGGCAGGGATAAGACGCATGTATCACCACGTGGAAGCTCTGATTGCGTTGGTGCTGCTCTTGGTATCGATAACCAGAGCTTCACCGCTTGCCAGCGGCTTATGCCCCGCGTACGTCGACTCTCACGTACATGCTATGCTGCATTTCGCTGTACATGCTTGAACGGACAACATCACAGTATGTACTAATAATTTGCGCTCAAGAGCAGTACAGTATCTGGCGACGTGCGGTGGTTGTTTCCCGGCTGTGAATAAACGGTTAAAGAGGCGGAATCTCAACAAGCTGCTGTACTAGTCAGGTGCACCCTAGTATTTGGTCGCGAAGTGCCAATCACTTGGTGCTATAAGACGTGGTTTGTGGGACGAAAAGATATCTAGAAGTCGAGTTACAGCTTTGTGGATTTATCCGTCGCACGTCTCGACCTCGCTCCAAATCTGTTTTTGACTGCATTTTCTTATATCTGTCCAAGTACCTGATCCGGGCGTCACCTGCACAAGGTATCTTTCGGAAACGAACTCGAAGGCATTACATCATGTCCTCAGTAACACCGACGCCTCAGGACTCCGGTCTTCCTGCAGCCGCAACGCCGTATCGATCCTCGTCATCACTATCAAACACTTGTTCTTCGTCAAAACCGACTATACTACATCTTGGTGACGATATTCGATGGAATCATGAATTATATGCTAAGCTAAATGACACATTTAACATTGTACGGACGCACTCGATGGGAAGAGAGGAGTTCATGAAAGCGTTGGAAGAAAAAAGATGGGGTGATTTTGTAGGAATGTACCGTCCCTTCTGGAACACTGGAGGAGAAATGGGGAATTGGAACAAAGAGCTGATCGACCTCCTTCCCACCTCTTGCAAGATCTACGCCTCAGCTGGCGCAGGCTTCGACTGGGTCGACGTCCAATACCTCGCCTCGCACGGCACCATATACTGCAACAGTGCCTCTGCATGTACAGAATCCGTTGCCGATGCCGCCATCGTCCTCATCCTATCTTGCTTTCGCGCAATCACCTGGTCCTTCCTCGCAGCACGTTCCTGTGATCACGATCAATTCCGCAACGCAAACCAGAACATTGCGGCTGTGACGCACAATCCCAATGCCAGTACGCTTGGTATCGTGGGTCTTGGTCGAATCGGTATGCGAGTTGCGGAGAAGGCGGCCCGCGCTTTCGAGATGAAGATTGCATATTACGATATTGTCAGAATGTCGGATAGGGAGAAGGAGATTGGTGCAAGGTGGTGTGAAACACTTGAGGAGCTTCTGTCCACATCAGACTGTGTGTTACTTGCTACGCCGTTTTCGGGGGAGACGCTGCTTTCTGCAAAGGAGTTCAGCAAGTTTAAACATGGGGCGAGACTTGTTAATATTGCGAGGGGGAAGCTAGTGGATGAGGAGGCGCTTAATGTTGCGTTGGATAATGGGACGATTTCGGCGGCTGGGCTCGACGTTCATGCCAATGAACCATATGTCAATAAGAGGTTGGTGGAGAGAAGTAATGTTATGGTGTTAAGCCATACAGCTGGAGCGAGTGTAGAAAGCCATGTTGGGTTTGAGAGATTGGGTATGGAGAACTTGCTTGGATGGTTGGAGAAGGGGGAGAGTGGTTGTTTGAGTGCAGTAAATCTGGCGTGGTTGAAGAGGGGGGAATGAAAGTTGTTGCCGTTTTGATGGCGTTACAAGTGGATGTGAGTATGTGGACATGAAATGAGGGTGTGGATGGATTTAGATCTGGTGACGTTTCTTCCTATTGATGTTCTCCGCCAACACACCAAGACTCATTCAATAGTTTCTGTCACATCGCCAGACTGATATAAAGGTCGATCTTTTTCTTTCCTTCTTTCTCCTACAACCTCGCCACACGGTCTACTGCGTCGCTGCTACGGAGACTTTCGCCAGCATGACTCGCCTACCCACCATAAATCTCGTTAGTCTTATCAATAGATACGCTCCAGCTCAAGCATCTATCTTGCAGCAACTGGAGATCCGAGATATCATATCCTTATCTCGTGTGTGTAAGAAATTGAGTCATGTCTACAACACCACAATCAAAACTCAGTACAACATCAATGATAGCTTGAGGCGGTTTTTCAATTCACCAATCGAATTTCGTAACGTGCAAGCGGAAACTGATGCCATCATCTGCAACAGCACCGCACTCTACTTTTTTCTTCGTAGACCCTTCACAGGAATATCGATATTTGTGGGCAAAGGAGCATCTGCTACAAGGATGCTTGATTACCTCAAAGAGGATGGTTGGTATGAGATCGGAGAAAATGCAGCGCATGAGAACTACGACGAGGTAGGCTTTGCTATGTGTTGATTCAAATCCAAGGTTGACGGCGAATAGTTACATTATTTCGACAAGCATACTGCTAGCTGCCCTAACAGGGTAAGGAAGAATGAGACAGATAGTTGGAATCCCTGCTTCTGTCCCCATCTGTGTCTTGTGGCCACATGCGAGTCTGCGCTTTTCACTGCGCTGATCGATCCACACGTCACAGAAGCACTCAACATCATTACGTGGTCACACGCGTATTCTCTTCTGCCGTATACAACTTTCATCCTCAAACGCTCCTTTCTCTTAGAGAATGCTGTCAATCGTTCTCCGCAGCGCCTGGGACAGGTATTGCGGTCTAAGAAGCATATCCTCGATCTACCAACTGAACCTTTAGACATTCGAGATGCACAAAATGCAAGTCCTACTGCCTTTTCACCTCCAGCTCTCTCGAGGCGGCTAGTATCCCGTGTAGATCACGGCCATCGGCGCATGGGAGATAGACATACATGGACGATAGCTTTGAACACTGACGGAATTCGTCAACCGACTAAATCTACGATCCCAACCACCTACGCGAGCTTCCGGATCATACCTGAGTCCAACCCTCCACCCATTGAAGACAACCATAGAAGACTCCGAGACACTCCATCCTACTACTACGTTCTCTTTAATTCCGTCGCTGCCCCGTGTTTGAAGTACGAGTACCTTGTCGATCCTACCGATGGTGGAAACCCTGCTTGTAGCATTGTTGCAAGGCGGTACAAAGAGATTAGCTTTGCCCAGATAGAGGCATTGGAAGATGTAGAGAAGCCACCACGTTGGATATCAAATGGTTCGACTAGCTTGAGACATGGGTGGGAAAAGTTTGGCTGCGAGATACCTGTCAGTTGGAAGTGGTACGATGATGAGGTTGAGGAATTGTTGAGGTCGCGATGGGATAGGGATAGCCCGCTAGAGGGACGGCTGATATAGATGATGGTTCCTCGACTGAGAGCCTGATGTTGAGGGGTTCGCTAGTAGACATCTACCGTGTGCAAAGACGAGTGTGCTGATTGCAACGTCTGGCGTTTCAGAATATTCAAGCGAGTGAAGATCCTGATCATATGACACATTTGAAACTGAGTATGAGATGGAGAGCAATAGCTGCATGGAGACATCATGGCAAAGGTTCTTTCAAAAGTTTACGATCAGTCGCCAATTCAGCATTTCAACATTTGACACTCCAAATCAATGCCTTCTCTCTTCCTTTCCATCTAAGCCGTCAAGACTCCACCTGTGCAACCCTAACCTGGACCATCGGTCCGTCTCTTCCGAATCCGAGTGCATCCCACATCTGAAATTCATCAGATCTTTCTCTTCCAATACCCAATCCTGGCTTCCCACCTCCAGACTCGGGCTCATCAGGGGCCAATCGTAGGTCGAAGCGCCAGAGTAAATGTGCCAGTGTCAACTTCAATTGCAAGTATGCTAGGTTTCTGCCACTACACATCCTACTGCCAATGCTGAACGGGAAAAATGCCCTTCGGGCGAAGGCGATGGAGGAAGCGGGGTTGGAAGGCGACTCGATCCACCGTTCGGGTAAGAAAGCAAATGGTGCAGGGAAACGGGTGGGGTCGTTGTGTAGAGCATACATTGGTACGCCTACTGTTGTGCCGGTCGGGATGTGAACGCCATCGATCTCCATACCTCCGTCTAAGACGATGCGTGGAAGGTGGCTGGGTACCGGCGCGGTGCGACGAAGGGTCTCTTCGATGACAGCGTAGAGGTAGGTGCAGTGATTTAGTACTGAGCCATTGACAATTTCGGAAGGCGAGGTAAAAGACGATCGTATCTCTTGAGTAACTCTGCGAAGTGCATCCGGGTTTCGCACTAGGTAGAAGATAGCTCCGGCAAGAACCCCACTGAAGGGATCCGCCCCAGCATTCATCAGGTTGAGACTCTCGGTACCGAGATCTGCTGTCGAAGGATGCCAATCAGTTTTCTTATCCCTTGCTGTAACCAGATGCGAAAGAAAATCTACTCGTTGGGAGTTACTATCTCTCTCTGCCTTGACTTTCGATTGTTGTAATCGAACTTGGGTGGCACCATAATCGATCAAGCGATTATTGTCTGTAACAGATTTACCGCCTAATATCTCGAATAGCCTAGTTCTTAACATAGGCCGTACGATCAATGCTGGGGGCAGATACGAAATCTGTTATTCGAGATTAGCACTAAGGGTAGCGGTATCCGGGTGTGTAGAGAACTCGTACCCAGTACATCAACATGCTAGCTGGTAAAACTGAGCTGGCCAACGGCCTAAACATCTCTTTTTGCACCGTCTCAAATCTGCTCCCAAACACGAGTGCCCCCATGATATCAAATCCGAGGTATGTGCTCATCTCGCTAGCATTCCATTTCTCTCCCCAATCACCATTGCTTTCTTCTTTACAGTCTTGCCTGAAACTCCTCAAAGTCTCACAAAACCGTTCTATGATACCACGCACCGTCTGCTCATTTGAATTCAGACTTTCAGGCGAAAAGATAGGACCCATCCACCTCCTCTTTGCTGCATGTTTGTCCCTACTCGTTTCTGTGAAGCTGCTATACGTTCCAGCAGCTATATCGAAAGTTTTATACCACTCTCCCTTCTTCACATTGGCGTTGCGCGGGGCATAAATAGTATGGAGTGCAGACGCAGTATTGAAGGAAAGCGCGTTAGGAGAAATCCGAACCACAGGACCATATTTCTGATGATCGTGGAGGTGGCAGATGTGACGATTGCCGATATAGGCCTGCCAGACGAGAGGCCATCCGCTTATCTTGTAGGACAGAGGACCGGGGAATGAGGATAAAGGGTGAAAGTAGACGCGATAGATACATAGCAAAGTGATCTGGAGATACATTAGTACAGCATATACATAGATTGGCTGAGATAATCACGTAGACACCCAAGCTAACAACAGTATACTCAGCATTCTGTACGGTAATTAGACTGAAAATAGTGCTAATCATTGTGATTCAATCAACCGAGAGAAGCGTCGACTAAGAAAAGGAAGAGTGTGTTCCAGTTCATCTATATCAGCTCCAAATTGACATATTGTTGACGACCGCGCTTAGCACCATTACGTCTTCGTGCTGACAACCGTGATACCGTCCTCCAGGATGTAATGCATGTCATCGCATTTGCATCGTCGCAACTTCATCAGATAGTGGTCGGTTGTGCGACGCAAACACCCCGCGTGGCTGCCCGAAGAGGGAGGTGCGGGGTACTGCTTGCAGGAGGTGCGCATCTCCTATCAACAACTTAGAACCCCTACCAGCCGAATAGCCAATCTTTGATGCCGTTCGAGTTTGGACTTTAACCTTGACATCAGTTATGCCGCACGAATCGTTTTCCAGCGGAAAGCGGCCTCTAAAGCCTGCGATGAACCCGATGACATCAACTTCTGCTTCTTCAGCTGTAACGGACAAGGGAGACTTGGCATTTACTCTCGAGAATAGGAAAAGCAAGGGTATGTTCATCACTTCAAGAGCTGAGTGCGATGCTAAGCGACCAAACAGTCACAACTTTCAACCCTCTCCTGACGCCATCGCCATTGCTAGAACCAAAGGTCCTGGAGCGCAAAACTAAAATGCTAGCCCATCGGTAGAAACTCTGATGCCATCACTAAAGCCGGACGTACTTTGAGTAGACGACTTAGAAGACCTCGCAAAGCTGTATATACGTTCGTAATTTACATCAACTTGATCGTTTTCAATAGGTTATAACCCATGTTTTAGAATGCAATATATAATATCGCCTTTGGCGACAACGAACAAGCTTAGATCAAAACGAATCAGCGAATACTTTGGATGCCCATAATATAGCTGAAAGTAGCACTTGCATTTCGCTTATAACATTATAATACACTATACACATTTTTGACTGAGTCTCAATCATCGCCCATTCTCCACTTTCCATGCAGTTGATCATGTGATGCAAAAACGCCAACCCTTAGGAACTCCGTAAGATGGTATAAGCCTCCTCAATGCACCCCTTCTTTTTTTGTACACTAATCCACCTACTCAAACTGGTTCTCGCGATCGACCCAGACGTCTTCCAACTCGGCAAAGTTGTGGAAATGCAGTGGTCGATGTATACTGTCGTAGAAGCGGACAGGCGTATCGAGACGCACGTGAACTGGCTTCTTTTCTACAGAACCGAATGTGCTACCCATGAAGCTGTAGTTCCAGATGCCGTTATCTGGCACCAGGAAGTAGCCTCGTATTTTGTCTGACAGCAGCAACTGGCACTTCTCGCCAAAGCTGGTGCTGAAACCTGTCGGGTTGTCGGACATGGTGTCCTTGTTCTCAGCACCCCATTTGTAGCCGTTCGGGGTAAGAGCCCAGGCAGCGAGTGAAACGGAACCAGGGGTGAAGGAGACGGTCATGGAGACAGTCTTCTTGTCCCAACTGGCGTGCTGGTTCATGAGGCGAGCGTGCTGGGTAACATCGCTGGCTTGCATGTATGGTGGCTCATTACCACTAACAGTGTGAATAATGCCCAGAGGCTCAAGGTTATCAAGGTACTCATGTCTGGGCAATTCCTTGGGAAGCTGAACATCGCGGGTGTTTCCGACTTGAGGAATCATGACGATCGTGCTAATCTCCTTGACCTGGTCGTTGTCTGGCGGAGACCTTCCGTACAGGTAACCAGCAACCTGGACACGGAGGTCGGCGATGGTGATGAAGCGCTTCAGCACATTCTTGGGCATGACGTACGTAAAGTGGCCCTCTTCCTTGACATCCTCAGAGTTGATGTAGATGTTATTCGCACGAGTGCGCAAGTTGGAAGTGGCCACGGCCCTCGTCCGCCACTCAGTCTTGGAAGCGAACGACGCCTGTTCGTATTGCGACGTAGTGGTGACAACCATCTCCTCACCGTGGATGTTTTGGGTCTTGGTCGTCACAGCAGTCAACTGCTGTTGCTCTTCTTGCTGCTTGTCGATTTCGGCAGCTTGCTGACGTTGCATCGAAGGTGCAGAGATCTCCATACCGAGGATAATGTCACGGACTTCACTGCTGGTGAGCGATGAAGTGTTGACATTGTTCTTCTTTCCATAGTCAAGCAGGATGAGATCTCGCAATTGTACCTCGACCTTGATCCAATCTTCATCAGCTAGTGAGGGCCAGATGTGATGTTCTTGCGTGATGACGGTCTTATCTGGCCGCAGCAGTAGCTTGGTCTTGTCCTGGTTGACGTGCAATGCACGCAAAATGAGGATCAAACGAGAGAAAGCGGTGTACGAAGAGATCGTCTTGAGCCACTCGTCGTACAAGTTGAAGAGCACCATCTGAGGTCCGGTCGCTCGAAGAATCATGTCACCAAGCTTCTCGACCTTCATAGCAGCCTGGAAGGGGAGTTGCAATTCCGAGGCACGGATGGAGATGTTGGGGAAATCAAGCAAATGCACCTCGAGAGGGTCGAGCAGACCCTTACGGGTCACGATAAGCTGCTTCGGCTGCTCTTCCACGGGCAGAGATCGAATGAGAGCCGCCACTTCTTCAGCAGTCTTCCACTTCGCCAATTGACCAAGACGCTTCTGACCAGCCCAGACACTCGTGTGGATAATCTTCAAGAACAGTTGTCCAGTGCGAGGGTTGAAGATGAAGATGGCACCGTTGATAGGTTTTGTCGTCAAGTTACCTTCGAAGGTCTTGTGGATTGTTACACGATAGACGTTGGTGTCATCGATAAACAATTGGATCTGGTTGCTGAACAGTTCAGAGTAGTTCTGCGAGTTGAGGAACTCTTGAGAACTTTCTGACGCGTACAGCTGAAGACCCTTCCTGATACGCTCACGAAGGACGTAAAGGGCAGGGTTGGCCTTCATGACCTTGGCCATTGCTTGCTGAACGAGCTGTTTGAGACCAGGGAAGTATTGTCCGTACGCTGAGTACAGGTTGTAGGCCAGGTCGATACCGATCATAAGACCAGTAGCAGACGGGTAGATACTCATGCTATCCTGAGTGTAGTCAAGGTACTTTGCGCGTACGTATCGCTCGATGTCATGAGAATCGTAATCACCATATCGTAGTTGGACGTCTATCCAGAACTTGTTCGTTGTGGTAGCGCTCATGGTATCCTTGGTGTCGTAAAGCATAGACGGCGGTGAGACACTCCACTTATGGCTGGCGAAAAGCAGGATGTCAGCGCAAGAGCTGTTCATCTTGTACGACTTTCGGGGATGGATAGTCTCCTTCTGGACAGTCTCGATACCAAGAGCTTCGAGCTCCTGGTCGAAGACCTGACACAAGTCCATGACAACCGATTCGTGAATCTTCTGCCACAAATGGGCTCGGAAGATTTGAATGAGCGAGATCTTGAGCGTGGGGATTTTTCCGTGCAAGAAGATACCCGTAAGATCCAGCTGGACCTGGAAACCGACATAGACGTTGGCTCGGTTGATGGTTGGTGACCACCAAAGAGTGAAGCGACGGTTGGGAATCTGGTTAAGACCGGAACGTTGGGCGTTGGTAAGCTTCTTGAACTTCATTGATTCTTCAAAACCTGATGCCTAAAGATACGTATACGAAGTCAGTGTATGTCTCACGTGCAGTTCGCACGAGGATATTTCTTACCTTTTCCCAAAAGAGACCTTCCCACGATGGGAAAGCCGTCGCCTTGAACAATGTATGCTCCAGGATGGTTTCAACACCACCCAAGGCTTGGATAACATCTGTTCTACAGACGAAGTCAGTGTATGTCTCAGGTGCATTTCGTACAATCATAACTTACCTATATGCGTTCAAATTCCAGAGCTTACCGTCGTGGCGTTGGCTTGTCCACCAGAACGGGTTGCTCTTCATGTGTTGGTAGATCTTGAACTCCGTACGTGCGCGGAAACCCTTGTCAAAACTGAGAGTGGAACGATCCTTTTGGAACAGTGTGTTGATACGAGGAAGACCACGGTCCCAGCTGTCCTCCAGATCCTCCAAGGTTAGTCGTCGGTTCTGTTGTTGAGCCTCTTGGCGCTTCTGAGAATACTCCATCCACACACGCTGGGAGTCGACGAACTCGGACTCCCAAGGGATGATGTAACGGAAAATGTTAGGAATGAGAGTCTCTTCATCGTGCGACATACCGGCACGGTAGTGCGTAACACCAGTGTCAGTCTGCTTTGACCATCGTTTGTCGCTGGTGGGGATGAGGATGTGGGATCCGGAGATCATACCTAGACCACCCAGCTCCTTCGGTGTGTAGAACACGGCAGGAGGGAAACGAGACGGCATCTTTGAGTTAAGACCAATCTTCACACGCGTCTGGATCTTGGTTTCGCACTTGACGATGGTATCAAGTAGATTGACAGTGGAGACGGCGGCCTCACGGTAGTAAGTGAAGAGTGCGATGAGAGTCGTGTTCCACTTGTTGGCAATCTTCGTGAATGTAGTGGATCCAGACGACATAAGGATTTGCCTAATGCGGTTGTTGAACTTTTGAATGTCTTCCTCGGTGACCTGCAAGAAAGCATCTGCGGTACGCTCCTTGGTAGAGTTGTCGACGAGCGACCATACACTGTCCTTAACAGGGAATTCGCCAGTCAAGTTGCGGATCTTGGGCAAGATGCGGACTTCAAAGCCATTCATCGAGAAGAGCAGGTTGGGGTTGTCACGACTGTAAACACTAGCGAAAGTGTCGTCCCACTCAATCGTGGTTACTGACCGCGGAAGGCGGTTCTTGAGATCCCAAAAGACTGCGCGACCCAGGTTGACATCGTGACGCATCAGTCGCATCCTAGAGTCACGTGGCCAACATTTCTTGTTCTTATACCCGACAACGTTTTCGAAATTAGGGTCCGGGTTCTCAGTCAAGAAACGCTGAATCAGATCGCGCGACTCATCAGCGGTGAACCTGAAGAAGACCCAGATACGGTCAATGTACCTGGTGTACAATCGGATCGGGTGGCGGACCTCGGTGTCCCTGTCCTTGAACTGCAGGAAATCGTTCGGGCTTTCTGGTGCACCAGCAATCTCGTTCGCACGCTGCAAACCTAGAAGGAGGATATCCAGCACGAGACCATAGAACTGGAAGACGAATCCGGAGAATTGTAGACCACGGATCATACCGTAAGCGTTGACGTGGTTCATATCCTTGTAGTTGAGCTGCACGTTGTTCTTCGCCGTGATGTAGTCTGCCAAATTGTGGTCCATGATGAGACGCAACAAACGGTTCAACATGGTTAGATCAATCTTCTCGTAGACCTTCGACAGCTGAGTCTCAATCATGACGTTACACTCTCCATCTTGAGTTTCCCAGACCTTGTCAAGGTTGTTGATACCCTGTGCCCACTTGTATGTCAGGAGAGGCGGAACCTCAGAGTCTGAGGGCTTGATCCAGGCTGGGAACAGATGCCGTTGATCAGCTTGGTACCACAGGTATTGGTCAAGGTAGGCATCAGTGATCTTCTCCATGGGCTCGATGTCGTAGACCGGGTTGATGTTGCTGTAGTTGTCGTTCATGTCGATTCCAACCTCCTTGAAAGCACGCTGGGTAAGTAGGAAGCGCTTAATACGCGCCAGAGTAGTACCCGGAGAATCATAAGCCTGCTCGATGAGTGCCAATTCTTCACGCTGACTCTGGTTGAGTCTACCCTTGACAGAGTACGCCTCTCTGAGGCGCTCTAACGCCAAGATGAGAATCTTGGTGTCGTGCTTGTAAGAGACGCTAGGGAAGGGAATTGGTTGGAACTTCCTCGCCTCCAGCCAATGTACCATGGTCGTGTAGATGGCAACAGCCTCTTCGGAAGAGACGTAAGGACCATCCTTCATGTAGTTGTGCTGCCTCTCCTGTTCGGCCTTGAGCCACAGACGCGTCAATCGTCCCAGGTTCTTCTTGGCCACAGTCTTGTCAACTGTAGCGCCGCGTCGAATACGCTCACGGTTGTAGTGTGCGACCGAGATCCACCAGTCTGCCTTGCTCTTGACGTATCGCAGGATGATGTTCTCGATCGGCGCTGGTAGACCGGGTACCTTCCAGGGAATGTTACTCTTCCAGCAACGCCATGCTTCCGACAGGTGCTGCAAAACAGTGTTGACCTTGTTTTGCTTGATTCCCTCAGGCATCATATCCATGAGATCACTCATGACGGCAGCGCGGAGCTCCAAGTCAAAGTGGGATTCAACACGCTGCTTTGTGACAGTCTTCGCGACACCTTTGCTATGTCTGCCTTCAAATTGACGGGAGAGCAAGTTACCGAGCCAGCGCTCCAGCAGAGGGATGATACCGCGCATGAAGAACAACCAGACTCTCCAAGCAGGGGCCCAGAAACCACAGCCCGGTCCCTTACCAACGGGGCCAGAGTTGAACCGGTAGTAAATCAGATGCTTCAGGTCCTTGCAAGAACGAATCTGGTGCATCAGTTTGTACTTGTATCGGTACATGCCAGTCAACTGACCAACGTGGTTGAAGGCGTAGAGGATGCCATCAGCAAGTTGGAAAGCGTCGATGTTGCCTAGACGGTACTGGACCTGGGCATCAACGATGAGCTTGGTCAACCTCAGAATCTCACGCATAAGGTGGAAAGCGTTTCCGAAACGCGACTTCTTCCGCTCCTTGGTGGTGAGCGTCTTGACAGGCTTCAAATTGAAGTTGTAATCAAGATGCAGATACGTCAAGTTCTTCCGGTGAATAAGCAGGTTCAACATGTTGTAACCTTGTCGGCAGACCTGCAGGCCCGCCTCAACCCAATCAATCTTGGTCTGCTGGAAGAACTTGGTGCTCTTGAGCGTCCGCATCAAATTCTGCTTATTTTGTGCTTGTGGTGGCTTCTTATGCAACTCGTTCAAGACAAAAGTCTTTAGCAATTTCTGGTATGAGACCCGGACTTTGACAGGCTGACCTGCAGGAACGTGCTCAAGATACCACTGCTTGACTAGAGGTACGTCTTGTGCTCGTACCATGCGACCTGATCGTTTGTCGAATGGGTGAGGTGCCCACCAAAGTGCGATGGCTGAAGCAGTTTCTGAAGTGGAGAGCTCCTCATCGGCCATGAAAGGTTCCATCTCTTCTGGCATCTGGAAGTCGTCCTCGTCGTCCTCGTCGTCTTCGCCAAAGACCATATCCTCATGGCTTACGGAGATGTTCTTCGGAGCAACGGCTCTGGAAGAGATGGGGTTGATTCCAGGATCGAAGTAGAAAGCTGGCAAATCCGGATCCTCAGCACGAACGTATACGACCTGCGGATGAGAATACCAAGCCAGCTTGACACTTCGCGGCAGGGAGTTGTATAGATATGGGTATGACACGCGGTACTCTGTACGAATGGGAGATCGGAAAATGATGCGATCAATGGCGTTGAACTCGCCAAAATCCTCGTCATTCGGGTCGATGTCCTTGTACAATGGCTCGAAGCGGGGTCCTCCGGGTATCGCAACGTTGAGTGCCTTTGCTGTCTGGAAGCTGTCCATGTCAAACATGTGGAAATAGTTCTTGTCTACAATGTCGCTTAGGAGCTGCTTGCTGAGACGGTATAACGTTGCCATCTGAGGCAGGTCCAAGTTCCATGTCTCATAGCTCGGTCCATTGACATGTGGAGTATCGAGAAGCGCCCGGTGCTCGTAGAACCACTCGTATACGGGGCTGTCTTCGTCCTCGTCGAGCTCCAGCTGAATAGGCTCCAGGGGCTCAACATCTTCAATGTTCTCCGAGTATGATAGAGGCGGCTCTTCATCGTCAAAGGGCGGGAAGCGCATGCGCTTGAAATGTCGGCGATCGCTCTTCTCCTTCCTCATAGCTAACCACATAGCTGCCCATTGAGCATGAAAGACAGGCTCAATCACACGAGGGACCTCGTTGACTAGTGTCAGACATCCGTTGGTGTGGTAGAGGACTTTTACATCGCGTCTACTCTCCCAAGGCATGGGCATGTTCTCCAAAAGCTTGAGAACGGCATGTGGCATGAACTTGAGTGCACCGAGATAGCTTCGCTTGTCCGTGGTGAACTTCTTCTGGGATACGTCTCCAATATCTCTGAACACCTTGCGCAGATGCTCCGGGGGTAGATCCGCCTTTTGTGTCTCGACGTAGCCTGCCTTGCGCTTCTCGCCAAATCTCTGGCGTTGTTGCCGTAACCAGTCCTTCTTCTTCTGTGCAAACTTTGCGACTTGCGGGTCGATGGGTGGTCGCATGCCAGGCGGGCCTACAGCAGAGCCTGGTGGTCCAGGAGGGGGCGGCGGCGGCGGCGGCGCATATCCAGAACCTGGAGGACCCGGGGGAGGAGGAGGTGGTGGCGCGAATCCAGAGCCCGGGGGCCCTGGTGGTGGTGGGGGAGGAGGGGGAGGGAAAGCCATGTTGACTGGAATTAGGGTAGAGAAGGAAATCTGATGTCGTCAGAAGGGATGAAAACGCGAAACCAAACGAAAGATGCGCCTCTTTTGTTGGCGTTGAAACATACGGTCGTTGGGAGGCCCCCGTGAAAAAGAGACTTGAAGAGAGTAACTAACCTTAGTAACGCGATCGCAATGCTATACTGGACTCGTGGGTTGAGCACAGTCGGTCGCGCGACAAGCTTAGGAGTCGGGTCCTCAGCTTTTGCGGACGGCGCCGCGATTGAAGAAGGGGAATTCGCGTCGGCGCGTGGATTTCCAGACAATCTCCAGAAGCTCGAAAGTCGTGTAGTTGGCGGCGCACACAAAGCAGAGATACAACCTCCGCGCGTTGTGTGGAGTGGCGATGGAGATGTTCTCGCGGCATAGTCTAGTGAATCTTCTTGCAAGGCCGCTGCGCACGGCCTGTCATCACGTGACAGCGGGTCTGGAAAGTCCCGGGGCCTTGTCTAGCGTACTAGTGCAGGTCAGCTAACCGAGCACACGAAATTTCGACGGTCTCACTAACCAACGACGACAACAGTGGTAAGCAATCTCGCCGTCCTGGGAATTTCTTCGACGATACTAACCCACAGTCTTCAGACCCAGGTACGATTGTGTCCATCCGCAATACCACTCCCGACATCAGCCCGCTCACACGCACAACAGACAATCGCCCACTGATTCCCCGGGAAATCTATCACAATGCCGTCCAACAGACTCACCTACGTACGTCGCACCGCAAACCCGAGCGCTGGAGGAGGCGATTGAGGATCTTGGAATTGTTAGGACTGTAGACTAACAACGGGCAGAGGCGTCGCGCCCCCTACAACACCAAGAGCCAGAAGGTCCGCGTCATCAAGACGCCCGGTGGTGAGCTCCGTTACCTGCACATCAAGAAGAAGGGCACTGCCCCCAAGTGCGGTGTAAGTCAGACCTGGACGCATGTACAGGCCTGCTGTTGACAGTTCGTAGGACTGCGGTTCCAAGCTCCAGGGTGTCCCAGCCCTCCGCCCCCGCGAGTACGCCCAGGTTTCCCGCCCCAAGAAGACCGTCCAGCGCGCCTACGGTGGATCGCGATGCGCCGGCTGCGTCCAGGACCGCATCGTCCGTGCTTTCCTGATCGAGGAGCAGAAGGTCGTCAAGAAGGTCCTCAAGGAGTCCCAGCAAAAGAAGCGTTAGGCGGTTGCATTGAGTGAAGGGGTTTAGCATGTCAAAACTGGGTCTTCGGTGTTCATGTGCATTATGGGCAGTCTCCTGGTTCGGTCGGCTTTTACGATATCAAGACGATTTCTACGTCACTCCGCCAGGATGTAGCTGAGTAGGGTCACGAATACATCCACAAGCTACACGACGTGTTTCCAGCGAATACTACTGTGACGCCATCAAGGGAGCTTGGTGGCTTGAATGCTACTTCAATCTCATCTCCCAAGTGCCTGAAGTCTCTTAGCCTGCACAAGATGGGAGAATGTACGGGATCAGGCAACAGCCAATGGCTGACCGATTTACCATCTCACACAAATCAGCGATGCCACTGCAGCTCTGGGAGGTTCCCATTTCGATCCACTGCGTTCTCTAATGAGATCACAAATGCGCTCAACAGTCTACACCTTCACTCACGACGTACATGGTAATAATGTCACAAGGTCAATCTGGATGCGTAACTCTTCAAATGTCATGTTGATCATCTTACGTAGCATGAAGTTGTGTAAAGACTCGTTTTTGGAAGTCTCAATCCGAACACTAATGCTTACTTTCCATATGCATGAACCGTCACTTTTGTCAGAGTTGCAAGTTAGATTCCTGCATGTGCCTTGAGAGTACCAGTAATCATGAGTACACAAGTCAGAAAACAACGAGCTTCGCCCGCACGCTCGGCGCACCCTGTTGTAAAGGCAGCCTCGGATATGCCTTTACATGTAAATGCGAATAATTCAGAGACCAGCTCGTGACGCATAGAGAGTATCTCGGATACCAGCGGTGGAGCCTACCTGAACGAGGCTGGGTGCCGCGATTCAGCATGGGTTCCCAAGCTGTGATTGGAGAATTTTGACCAATTCTGACAAGCTCGCCCGCGGCCTGGAGCCCATAGTTCGGCGGCATCCTGCAGGAGCTTGCAGCTTGCGATAGCAGTCAATGGCGCGCATGCCCAGGTGATCGAGAGAGTCTCCCGCGGCATTGGAGTCAGAGACGTGGTCTGGCAGCTGGTCAAGCTTCGCACGCGCTTGCGGCCTCGGACTCACACCAGCTGGACCCCCACTTCCACCTACCCTCACAACCTAAATTCCCTGCGATATCGGTCGGATATGTCGAGCAATATGCTGCATTCCATGTCACCAACGACGCCAGGACTACCAGGCCTACCGCATCCGTTCCAAAGCCCCAACAGCACACACACCCGAGGCTTCAAGCGCTCCGCATCCAGCGACGACGATGAAAATGGCGACGGCGATACGCGGCCCTCGTCGTCGTCGCGGCGCAATACCGCCGTGAAGCGCGCGTGCAATGAGTGTCGCCAGCAGAAGGTAAGTACTTTTTTTTTGTATATGACGCCATAGAGGAACGCGCGCCCGTTGGTGAGCTCTGTCTCAAGCATGAGTGCGCCCGCTTATGCCTGGCCGCCACCAGTACGTGTGTCCGTCTATGATGATGATTCACATCTTCCCGACATGCGCCTACCACCAACCATGAGGCTGTCAGACGTCAGTGTTCCAGGTCCCCACTAACTGTGCCTTCGCAGCTCAAGTGTAACGTCCAGCAAGATCCCTTTGTCAGTTGTGCGCGATGTCAGAAGCAAAACCTGCGATGCGTAATCGAACCCAACTTCAAGCGCGTCGGAAAGCGTAATAGAAATGCCGAGATGGAGAAGGAGATGGAGTACTTGCGCGAACGTCTCGCCATGTACGAGGGCCAGTCCACGCCGAATCAGCCTGTCTTGAATGCTCCACAGCAAGCGCCAGACAACCATGGCTTCACTCCCGGCCCGGTCCCCAAAGTGGAAGACGACGCATTCCTACAGACACAGCATACACAAGTGGCAGCGACGTCTCTGCTAGACCTGCGCAGCGGTTCGCCTATGATCTTCGCGCTTGGTACAGGCGAAGTGCGCCTTGGTCATGGGGAGGTTAATGAGCTCTTCGCCGAGTACTTCCAGCTATACCATCCATTCTTGCCATTCCTAGACCAAGTACGTTCGCCAGACGAATATTACTCGCAAGATCACAAGTTGCTGTTCTGGGCAATAATTGCTGTCGCAGCTCGGCGCTATGGGCCACGACCGTCTCTTCTTAAGGATCTCTCCAAACCGCTGAGCGATCTCATCTGGGATTCGATTAGAAACCAGCCGAACCACCATGTAGTCAAGGCGTTATGTCTACTTTGTACCTGGCCCCTTCCGGCGGAGCGGACGGTGACGGATCCGACCTTCATACTATGCGGCGCCATGATGCAGGTTGCCATGCAGATTGGGTTGCATCAGCCGACACACCCAGACGATTTTTCTAGGACAAAGATGCAGCTGCGGCGCGAGGATATACACGATCGGTTGCGCACATGGGCAGTCTGCAACATTGTTGCTCAAACGTGAGTTCGCTGCCATTCAAATGTATACCGCAAACGCTGACGTAGTATAGTGTGTCTACAGGAAACGGACAGCCTTCCATAACGCTTTACGATTCGACGTTAGAGTTCAAGGTGGACGACGAAGAGCACATGCGCATAATACCACCAACGCTGTTTGTCCGCTTGCGCCAGGAAATGGCGGCAAGCAGGATCAATAAGCTTCTATACTCTTCCAACAGCCACCGCTTTGCGGAGGGTGCGGCGATAAGCTACATGAGCCTTGAAGCCGATCGCCTGAAAGAAGAGCGCGTGAAGGAAGAGAATAGCTCACTTGACGGAGTGGACAGTGGTATGTCTAACGACCTTAGCCATACTCAATGATCTCTGACTTTTCGAACAGGTTTAGAAGAACTATATCACTATGCAGTTGCACTACATCTCCACCTATACTCATTCTTCAGTCCGGAACTTCGCCTCGAGCGACGAGACGATCTTGTCGCACTATACTTTGCTGCAACGGCCTACCTCGAGCGTGTATTCAAACTGCAGCGTGAAGGAAGGCTACTCTATGTTCCATACTACGTCATGCAAATGGCTCTTGCAGCCGGATTTGCTTTGCTGAAGCTCCTTAATTCAGACTTCGCCAGCAAATTGCCCGCAGACAAAGGTCGCCAGTTCGTTCTACAAACTGTGGATGCGCTGAGGAAGTCCAAAGTGTGGTCAAACGATCTCCTGGATCGATTTGCCGAAGTTTTGGCGCAGCTATGGAAAGAGAGTTCTCGTGGACGCAGCCTACACAGCCTCTCACAATCACCGTCTCTCAGCAATTCAGGGATGAATTCCATGTTCAACCACCACAACCAGCAGCAGCATCAGCAGCAGAGCCAAAGACGAGGTAGTATTGGTATGCTAGATGATCCTCTTGGTCTCATCATTCGCAGTCGCATGAGCATGAGTGTGGTGTTCGATTGCGCATGGCGCTGGCGAGAGGCGCAGGTCAGCGGTGCTGCGGAACAACTCGAGAATACGGTTATGACGAACCCCACCAACCCAGACTCATCTAGTAACTCTACACCACCCCCTGGCGTCGTTGAGAACCCAGCCCATACTCTTCCGAACTTCAATCCGCACGTCAACACTTTAAGTATGCCCCTTCAGCTGACAAACGGCATGGCTAGCGCGAACAGTTTCGAGATGTTCGATTCTGTATCGTGGTTGTTGGACACCCAGCCAGATTGGACGTACGGTAGCGGTAATTTTGGAAACGACTTTGGTGTCTAAAAGGCTCAAAGTTGTCAGTTTCTGTCGGGTAAACCGCGATCATTTCAATCTTCTTAGTGCTATTGGGATGGGCCATTCTCCAGTTTGCAATTTGCCGTTGTATTAGCGTGGCGTTTGGGAGTCCTCCGTAGAGATCTTACTATCACTATCAACTTTTGTTGCTTTTTGCCAATCTCTGGTACGCCTGAAAAGGTATTCTGCAAGTATTCGCTATGACTTTTAGCAAGAGAGTAAAAATTGTGACCTACATATTTTCCAGCCTATATTCTTAATGTTAGACACGGTTCCGTTTTTCCATCGTCGTCGTAATACTTTACACAATGAGATTTATTGTTTTCGATAGAATAACTGATGTTGATTGCATCCTCAAGGCAAACATGCGATACCCTGTCATGTCGTAATTCCCTCGGCATACTCCACTTGCGCTTTCTTCGACATTCCGTAGCAACTACGAACGACCGCTTGTCTCAGAACAGCGTCCTACCTACCGCATTATCACATCCTCGCCATACACCTGTGCAGTCCTTCATTCACAAGACAGAACCTTCATACAACCATGTCCTCCACGTCGTCTCCTCCATTCTCTGCTGTCACTACTCCTCACAAGCACCAACTCCATGCCCTGAAGGTCCACCTCATAATCCACATGCTTGTACTCAGCACCGTCGTTTTCCTTGTTATGCAGCTTATATCGCACACAACTGCCATAGGAGATATCGGATCTTATGTAATGCCGCGGGCTTGGGAAGAGGCGTTCCTTGGACAATGGTTCGATAACGCAGATATGTTCAGGTGGATAGCTGTCTATCTGTTTGTGAGTCTGCGAGCATGTTGGGTAACGGAATGGGGAGTAAAGCCTGCAATAAGATGAGAACGGGAGACTGGATGCTCAGAGACTATGGGTGTTGACATCTCGATAGGTATCGCTCGATGGATTGCATGCACTGTTATGCATAGGGTGGTATGCTGAACAGTTACACCCGGTACGAAGGAGAAGGGATGTGGGGAGGAGGCGCAGGGCTACCAAAACATGCTTGGAAAGTACACAGCGGAACATTGAAGCATGGCGGCAACGATATCTTGGATCGTTTGGAACAAGAAGTGGGAAAGAAGATCCGCAAAAACCCACACACGATACGGAACGCCATTCAGCGACACCACAGCATGTACCCCAAAACCGCACATCTGTGAACTGGATAGAGAGCTTGGACAACACACCATCACCACCTTGTCCCCTCGATCCACACACATACCATCCTCTCCTACGTCCAACCTATACATCCCTAACCCGCCATATCCTCCTCGCCGTCTGGGATGTAATCGTGCTCTTGACCGTCACTTTCCATGTCTACACTTATGCGACAAACATCCGCCCCAGCATCGCTTTTTGCGACGAACACGATTACCCTCTCTGGTATTTCTATGATCACCCAGCTACATTGCGGCAGCGCTGTACCCGCATCAATTGGCGTATACACAGCGCTGGGGGTTGTTCGGCAACTGGCGCGGTGACACTCGCTTTGTGGCATTTCTGCGCACTCATGAGCAGGCTATGGGCCGTTCTAGACAAGAGAGGTTGGAGGAGGTTGGAGGACAAGACATTGGAGAAATTCAAATCCAAGTTACGTGTGAGAAGGAAAAGGGATAACGATGTGGATGTTGGTATGGCGGGTTGGCAATGCCCACCAAGAGATGTGGATGTAAGGTCAAGGTCGGCTAGGAGAAGTGTTGAGTCAGAGGCTCTGACTGGGACAGAAGTGACATCGAGGCATCTGCCCACTGTGAGTCAAGAGGAGTTAGGAATTGGGCTAGGGCGGAGAAGAAAGGGGGGAAGGCAAAGAAACGATGATACAAGTAGCAATGGTGGTAAAGACAAAGATATGAGGAGTAGCAAGTGGAGCTGGAGGAGTGAGGGATTTCTAGAATGTTTGGTGTGACAGTGGTTTTAGTAGCATGCTTTCTTATACATCTTGAAAGAAAGATGTTCTTCAAACAATATCAAGAGACAAGCCAGAGGGAAAGCTGGAAATCAATGAATTGACGCCATAATCTCAATAGTCTATCGACCGGTATCTCTTTAAGCCTTGATGTCCAAACGCCAAATTATGCCAAACAGCGCTAAAATCAATGTCCACATCCACACGACTCCCCATGGACTATACCACTGTCACCTCTCTTCTTGAAATCTCCCCCATAGCTAGCCAGATGGGTCTGGCCATCCAGTCTTTGCCCATCCTCAGGTACTTTGCCCATCCAGCTGACCTCTGTGCCGTTCACGTCGAGTACCGTCAACCCAGTACCCTTTTCTCTGAGCTCCTTGGTGACTGATTCGACATCCACGCCCAAATAGTCGCGCAAAAAGTCCCCAACCTCGGTGTTCTCGTGGTTGCCCACCAGTGCCATGGCAGCCTTGGGGTCAGAGGAGTAAATGTTGACGTCCGCACCGCTGTGGCCGTGGGTTGACCAGCCAGTCTGTGAACGACGGGATACCATGTCTGCGTATTGATACAAAGCTGTGGCAGGTTCGGCGACAAGGTCAGAGACTTCCTTGTCGGTGTAGTCGTAGATGCCGAGACCGGATGTGATGGATTCGCGCACAAAATCAGTCGTCTCATCGGCAGATGGGTCGGTAAGCAGATGCTTTGTATAATCGAGAGCGAGACGCTCAGCGGAATGGGAGGCATTTGCGAGGGGAGAGGGGTACCAGAGGTATTCAGGGTAAGACGCGTGGAGCTCTGCTGATTGTTAACAATGACTACTACCAAAGGGGTGGACAGAACATACGGCGAGCAGCAGCCAGACCGCCAGTCTCGTGATCCGATGTCGAGACCATGACGGTCTGGGTTTCCTCGTTCTTGATGAAATCCAGCACACTTGTAAAGGCCCTGTCGTAGGCGAGGACCTCGTGTACCTGAGCAGCAGGGTCGTTGTGGTGGCCTGCGTGGTCAATCCTGGAGCCTTCAATCATGAGGAAGAAGCCCTTGTCGCTATCCCTCGTTGCATCACTGAGCGCCTTCATGGCAGCCTCAGCCATCTCGTGCAAGCTTGGGTAGATGTCGTTCTCGTTGCGGCGGTCGATTTCATACGGGATGTCAGTTTCGGCGAAGAGTCCCAACATTGGCAGGTCGAGACTGGCTCCTCCCTTGAGGCTGTCAAAGCCCGCGCGGTCCGAGATGTAGTTGAATCCGTTCTTCTTGGCCAAGTCGACAATGTCCCTGTCATCCGCGCGACAGCTGGAGTCGATTGTCGAGTTGGGCAGGAAGTGGCATCGTCCGCCTCCAAACATCAGATCGACGACGCGGCCAAGGGGGTAGTCTCCGACCATCTGTTCTGCAATACGGTCCTCCTCTGATCGCATGTTGACGTGAGCCGCAAAGCAGGCGGGTGTCGCATCTGTGATCCTCGTAGTAACTACAAGACCCGTCATGTACCCAGCCTTCTTGGCCGCTTCCAGCACCGTTCCGCATGGCTCGTGGTCGGGTGTGACGGAGATGGCACCGTTGTAGCTCTTCTGTGCACATGAGAAAGCCGTCGCACCCGCCGCTGAATCGGTAATGAGAGACGAGGCAGAACGGGTCCGCGACTGTCCGATGAGGTGCTGATCGATAACGAGCTGCTCGTTGAAGGGCGCGCCGTTCTTGTATTGCATGAAGGATCGTGTGAGTGATAGCGAGGTAGGGCCCATGCCATCCGAAACCATGAAGATGAGATTCTTCTTTCCGCTCGCATGTGAAGTCTTGGAGTCGGAACCTGCCCGTTGGAAGATGACGGCGAGTACGATAACGGCTGCCGTTGCGATGACAGCCCAGACAAACAGACCTATCTCCCTCCACAACTTCCACGATCGCGGTCCCTCTTTCTCCATGCGCGCTGTTCGCTGGCCTGTGAGCAGGGCATCTTCCTCTGCTATATCGCGATCACCGCTGATGTCCGAGGACGCGCGGTTCGAGAGGAGAGGCCGAGTGCCAGACATGATCTTGGATGCAACAAAGGGAAGCTAGTTGTGATGCAAAGGCAAACGCTGTAGGCAGACTAAAAGAGTGTCGGCCTGTCTCAAAGGAACATGGCGTTGATGGTCGAGTCAAGCAGTCGATCCGTCACTCACTCGGGAGGCCACGAGACGTCGCGCCGGCTGATCGTCATGAGGATGGAACGCTTGCGGGAACGTGCGTCTTGGCGCTAGGAATAGTATCATCTGAACTTGGGGCATGACTGCTCATCCAGACGCTTCCAAAAGCTACTCAGTATTGCCTCACGTGCAAGTTGATGTGTTTGGTACAGAAGGAGACTGCTCCGCCCTTCACATGTCAAGCAAAGGTAGCCTCAATCACTCTTCCATCCCCACCCCACAATCCCGTCAAACTCCATGCCCACTTCACCGTCCTCTCCAGTCTCGTTTTCTACGATCCCCTTCATAGCATCACTCAACTCCCCCAAGACGCCCTCTCGCTCTTTCTCCCACCATGTCTTTGCCAGAAACTGTAGCGGAAACTGCATGCTCTCTATGAAAACCTTGGGCGCCCCAGCACGTATGCCCTCCTTCTGCGTCCATGTGTCTACTCGCTGTAGCCCCGCGGCTTCAAGACGTTGTGCCACGTACGATTCGGCAGCCCAGGGTCCACAGAGTTTCTCCTGAATCTCCTTGTGCGAAGGTGGATAAGGCTGCGGTGCGTCCATGAGCGCGATGCTGCGAGTAAGGAGACTATGCCAGGGCATGGCAGACCATGTCGCTAATGCTATGAAGCCACCTGGGCGTAGGAGAGAACACAAGTGCGAGAGTGTCTGTTCTGGGAGCATGTTCAGAGCGAATGTGACAAATATGTGCGTGAACGAGGACTTGGGTAGAGCCTGTGTAAAGTCGCCCTTCAAGAAAGCGTTAGTATCGGAGACGATGCTGAGGCTTGTGCAAGGAAAAGAAACCTCACGTTTCCATCTACAATTTTCGTCTCTAGCCCCATCCATCCTTGCGTCTCTCCTCGCGCTTTTAAGTATTCCAACATCGGTGGGCTAATATCAGCGCCTAGTACTTTCAGCTGTCCCCATCTTTCCTTTGGTATAGTGTCATAGAGTTTCTGTACTACGACTCCAGTTCCGCATGCAAAGTCGAGAACATTGGCTTCAGCTCCTGAGTCCAGATGCGCAACTATCCCGGATTGTCCGACGATGGTTTTGGCATAAGGGCCAGTAGCTTTCTCGGCGTTCTTGTATCTTTGCGCGGCTTCGGCTTCAAGAAAGTTGGCCATGTTGGTGTTTGATGGTGAGAAGTTAAGTACCCGGCAGTGAAAGGCCGCAAATGGGTGTTTGGGCTTGAGGCTTGAGAGAAGTTGGTGTGCTATGTGTCGAGTACTGATTATGGGCGCACGCATCTTATGTAAGTGCAATTCTTCAACATCGCTTCGTGCGGTCGCAGTCTGAGCCTTGCCGTGTAAGCCCAATGTCAGCCAGCAGATGGACGAATACTTTCGATTGTCTCACTTTTGGTTCTCGACAAATGTCTCCGAGTGAAGATCTTCATCATCTCGGAGACTTTGTGGGACAGACTATCGGAGAGTTAGAGCATCAGGCAAGGATCTCTGATTAAATGTCTGCGAAAGCGACCAGGCATCTGACACAAGTCATCTTGAGTATCTAGAGGCCGAACAGGAAGGTGTTGGTAAAAATTGTATTTGAATAGATGGGTATACCTTTCCGATCCTCTATGCAAATGCTGACAACCAGAACTCCGCGCTATGCATTTTGAGTGAAGCTCGTAAGCTTACTGTGTAGACGGCTTAACTTTGCCCGCTAAGCCCTCATGGTCTCGTGTGTTATGAAATGACTATATCTCCTCAGAGGTGGTCTCTAGCCATTGGCCAAAATAGACGCAGGTTCTTGCTGATATCTCACCCTCATCCCCGCAAAGATCAAAGACGGGGCAGTTACCACATGGTGCATCAACAAAGCCGTTGTAGACCTTGGTGTCGGTGGCTCGTAACACCGTTCGATAATTGGTACCAGATATCTTCTCGAGCCGGTCGTCAAGTACCATCATCTCCAACAATTGTTCCATGTCGTCCTCACGTACAGTCTTGCCGCGCAAAATCTCCTTTGAGTTAAGCCATTGGGCTACAGAGGCAGCTGTTGGGTACTGCGGGTTGTGTCGATGAACGAGCTTGGATGTGTTTGGGTCTCTAGATGGGTTGTAGGGTTTTACGGCGGGCGCTTCCTCTATATCCCGTACGGCTCCCAATACTTCGGCCTTCTTTTGGGCAATAGCGGCCGTCCTGTCGCCTGTTATCTCATAGTCGTTCCAATTTCCAGGTACCCTGATGCAAGTCTCGTTCTCCACATGCTGGGCGACGATGCCCGATATTGTGTCGATCAGCGCAGTGTCAAAGTCGCCCTCGGATTGCCACGGCCCACCTGCAATATCTTCGGATGGCTTCAGATGCTTCAACAGGTACATTTTCCTATTCGGGAACTTGACACTCATGACTGACTGCACCAAGTCCTTGGATTCCAAGCTTTTGAGACATTTTGTTAGAGTCTGTTGAGTGACGTTGGTTTTGGCTCGCAGGGCTTTGGACCAGATGCCGTCAGCCTGCACTTGATCGATGTGGTGGTAGAGGAGACGCTCGTCGGGTGTAAGTCGTCGCAGTCTGGAGGACACGTGCTCGTCAGAAGAATCCAGGTAGGCCAAATTGTACAGAATTACACATACTTGTCGGCGTCTTCTCTGGACCGTAGCTTCCAGCATGGGTCGCCCTCAAATGTCATAAGCTTCAAGAGATGTCGGTCACATAGCTCTTGCAACAGCACTGTTAGCTGTGCCATAGTCTCAGCCACCTGCATGTTTGAGAGATCGCGCTGGAAGAAGATCTGGCCCGCAGGCCGCTGCGCGCATTTCTCGTAAAGGGCATCAGCGGGGCTGACAACTTCGCTGACGGCCGTCTCGACGGGTTCCTCTTTCGGTGCTGGTGAGGGTGCGGCTACTGAAGCCATCGTGTGCGTTGTTCGGCGAACGTGGTGTCGGCGGTGGATTATACGAGTATCGCAAGTTGTCGCGAGTGAGCTCAAGTCGCGACATGTGAATCACCAAAAGTTTTGAGTGGGGACCCCGACCAAGAACGCCCAATTATGCTTCAGTGGCGCAACTATCCGCTAATGGTACCCCATCACCAAAGCTTACTCCCAGCCACGACTCCTACGTGTTTGTGGCTCCAGGATCATCGCAGCCCTACGCCTCTCATGGCTCGTCCTCCGTCTGGCAGCGTCATTCCCCTGTTCTCAATGGGATGTGAATGCGGGGAACGTCAGCCCTTAACCTCATCACGTCGCGTCGCGCCGCTTACCCCAGACTAAACATCATATATCAATCAATTGTTCTGTATCGATATGCATACGAGGGCGCCGTCAGTGTCACAGTCACGCGGGTCCCAGCATCCACTGTGCCGGCATCCACCATCGCATTGATCAACGTGTCGCGACGTTCAAATAGCGCGAGCGGATTGAAAATGGGCTCTCGAGATTCTGGGTAGCTGAAACAGAACATCAGAGTCCAGACCCCGCATCTATGTCCCGCTAGATCAGCAGTATAACCCGGTTAACGACTGTCGAAGGCGGACCGGACACATTAGGTACTGCACGCGGGAAACGTTAGACGATCATGCATTCGAGCACTCGGGCATCATGCAACCACGGACTTTGGAATAGATTGCTGTGCAGTCAGCATTGCATACTCAATACGTACAGTAGCCTACTGGACAGTTACAAGGCGTACATGCTGTAAGACCTCATAGCTAGTAGTCTGCAGGGTTCTTTTTCACAAGAGCAGGCCCACGGGACTCCCGGATACCGTCACCCGGACGCAGTCCAGGAGTATCTTCTCGATACACTCAGCCTCTACCGACTACCCCCGAGGCGAGAGCCTCCGCTTGTTGACGCCAAAGCACGTGGATCTAGCTTGCGCGTAACATTCTGGACCCATGTAGACGCTCAAAGTACCAATTGACATACGGCGGCTTGTCCCTATGTAGACAAGTAGATCTTTACTCCGGATTCCGAAAAGATGGCGCATACATGACAGTGTCTCCCGGCTATCTGGAACCTGCCTCACCAGGCATTTGCTCCACATGGCTCTGGGGAACCCCGGATTTACAACCCATGATTCGTGAGCAACTCCTGTATGATAAAGACAACCCCAGAGCCCAGTGTGGTTGCGCAAATTAGTCTCTGCGTTTCTTGCGCTCCCTTCCACACAGTCTCGTAACATCAAGCCAGAGTCACTGCAAGATGGCTGAAGAGAAGCAGTATCGTGAAGAGGTCACGACTGATCCCAGCCTCACCCATCAACACACCGCGAGCAGTCATGGCCTTCACCATGACCATGTCGCTCAAGAAGCCCTTGGTGGTCACACCGCTGATCTGGGCAAGTCATACTTCACATCCATCAACTTTATTGGCACTGTAGTGGTAAGTCCACCATAACCAAAGTCAAGAAATATGCTTACGATCGATGAAGGCAACGTGTCTAGCGCAGATTTCTGGGTATGTGCTCTCTCCGAGCAGAATTTACGAAGAACTTGCTAAGAAATGTCCAGTTACCTCGGGTGGGTTCTTCCTGCGAATACGCTGAGCCTCATCAACGCCGCGATTGGACCATCGCCGGATATCATCTGGGTCGGCATCTCGTGGACGGCTGGATTCGCCATCGGTTTCACTCTCGTCGGTCGTCTGTCGGACATCTTCGGTCGTAGATGGTTCTTCATCTGCTCTTCAATACTCGGCCTGGTCGGAAATATCATCGGGGCAAGCGCACAAAGCATCAACATGCTGATTGTATGTTCTGGCAACCATGGGATCTGTAGACGATGCTGACCCCCTCTTAGGCAACAAACTCCATTAATGGACTCGCCGCAGCCGGCCAACTTTCGTTCCATATTATCCTTGGCGAGCTCGTTCCAAACTCCCTGAGAGGTCCTGTGAACGCTTTCGTGCTTTCGACTTCTGTCCCTTTCGCTGTGTTCGGACCGCCAGTAGCAAGATCCCTCTACCAGACCACTGAGCTACAATGGAGATGGTGCTACATCCTCGGATGCATTGTCAACGTACTGGCAATTGTTTTATACTTCTTCTTCTACTTCCCACCAACATATGTAAGAATCTCCAAGTTGAACATTCGTACAGTGGATTAACCATCCTAGGAAATGCTCCACGTGGGCGGCAAATCGAAATTGAAACAACTCAAAACGCTTGACTGGGTGGGTATCGCCTTATTCTCGACTGGTCTTGTCGTTTTCCTGATTGGCATGAACTGGGGCGGGTCAGCATATCCATGGAAGAGCGGACACGTACTGGGAGCACTCTTTGCTGGATTTGGTACTCTAGTCGCATTCTGCTTTTGGGAAGCTTATGCCCCGAGACTAGAGTACCCCCTCATTCCTTTACGACTCTTCAGAAACATTCAGTATGATGCCAATGTGGCTTGTGCTAGTCTGGCAGCCATCGTATATTACGCGAACTCCATCATCTGGCCAACGATGGTCTCTTCGCTCTTCACCACAGATATCACCAAGATCGGATGGCTTTCGGTAGGTCTACAAATGTCTTCACTGTAGGATTATCGCTGCTAACAACATCTAGTGCGCTGTTGGTGGTGGCCTTCTCCTCGGACAAATCCTCGGAGGCGCTGGTGTGCGCTACCTTCCGCGAATGAAGATCCAGATGACTGTCGCGGCAGTCATCACTACAGCTTTTGTCGCTGCTGTCGCTGCTTCGAATGAAACGACAGAAGACCGCACGACCGCCTTACTTTTGATCGGTACCATTGCTGCAGGCTACATCGAGAACCTCACACTTTCCAGTACAGCCTACCTCTGGGATCCTGCCGATATTGGTCTGGTGACAGGTGTCATGGGTGCTATCCGAACTGGTCTTTCTGCGATAGCTACGAGCATGTACTCGTCGATACTCGCCACTGAATCAGCCAAGTACATTCCCCAAAAGGTCATGCCGGCTGCGCTAGCTGCGGGTCTTCCTGAAACGTCGCTCCCCGCGCTGTTGACTAGTATCACATTGGGTGACTTCAGCGCTGTACCTGGTATCTCACCTGCCATCATCGCAGCAACAGGTCAAGCTGTGAAGAGCGCATACGCACTGTCGTTCCGAACTGTATATCTCTGTACACTTCCTTTTGGCGTACTTCTTATTGTTGCAGCTTTGCTCTCGCCTAATGTGGAACAGTATCTTACAGATGAGGTTGCGAGGAAGATGCATGCCAGGGACGATGAAAAGGGTGACCAGGCTGTGATGAAGGAGGTTGCCGATGCATAGAGTATGGATCATTTAATTAAGACTTCGATAGAATCAGGTTTGGTGTATCCTGGTTGAATGGCACGATGCTCTTCTCCATAAGAACCAACTATGAGGCAATCTTTGCTGAGATGTATAAGGACAAATGGAACAACCAGCTCATCTACTAATGCTGTGATCGCCGAAGTAGCAGCCTATCCTAGGAGCACGACATCTACACAATGTGTCTGTACAACCTGGAAGATTTGAAGTCCTCAGCTCGCCGACCGGAAATGGTTAGCGCAGCCAACGAAGCAGGCGCTCTAGATGCCATCAGCTTCGATACTTAGGCGGTAGGCACCTCTAATAAGATAGCAAAACAATCGCAAAGAGTGAAAGGTCGAATGAAGATGTCCATACCAGACTCGGAAAGTGTGCAGCATTATAACAAACATTTCATCCCTCTCGAATCAAATCCAGACGTCTTTACCGAGCTTGCGCATAAGCTCGGTTTATCCACTTCATTGGGCTTCCAAGATGTACTCTCTATAGACGACCCGGAGCTACTCGGCTTTCTTTCACGTCCAGTCCTCGCATTGATCCTGGTGTTTCCGACAACAGAGGCGTATGAGAAGAGAGCTCAGGATGAGGATGCCAAGCTCGAGGAGCTCCACAGCTCTGGCGATGTTGTATTCTTCAAACAGACCATTAACAATGCATGCGGTCTTTATGCAATCTTGCATGCTATCTGTAATGGCGAAGCGCGGCAGAAGATCGGTACGATAGTTATGAGCCTCTGTTCTCTACTGGGGCGTTACTGAAATTGGTTAGATGAGGTCTCGATCATCGCTCAATTACTGGAGGCCAGTCTGGCGCCTGATATAGACGGATTGGCTCAGGCATTAGAGGAAAACAAGGCGTTGGAAGTTGCATATGCTGGCGTAGCAAGCAAAGGCGATACTGAGGCGCCTCTGAATGCGGAAGACGAGGTGGAATACCACTATATCGCTTTTGCCAAATCGTCCAAAGACAACCATCTATACCAACTCGACGGCGACCGCAAGTGTCCTCTAGATCTCGGGGCGCTCACAGCAGACGAAGACGTTCTCTCTGAGAGATGTCTCAGCGTCATTCGTGGTATGATGGCAAGCGAGGACGAGAACCTCAACTTCAGTTTGATGGCTCTGACAGAGCACGCAGAGATGTAGGTAGCCAAGGAGTCACACTCTTCGTAGGATTTCTCCGAAGAGCGAGGAAGTGTGAACTATGAAGGACCTTTTTATTTGCTCTTGCAACGAACTTCGTCAGACGAAGAATGCACGTACTTGAGTACAGCCGCATACACCACAGCTAAGCAAGACGCAAAGATGTGGGATGCTCCCCGAAGGGACTTGTAAAAGTGTCGAAGACTCAAGTGGCTGGTGTGCGGGTTGCGTCCTATGATGATAATGATGTGTACGAAGCTAGCATAACATGCATTTGTACCAGTTCACCTCGCATTAGAGGTTGTTGATCATGTCTGTCATGGTGTCGTCGCGAGAGTGAAACGGCGTTCTGGCGAAGAAAAGTTAACATGTTCGCCGCATGGACCACCGCGCTAGGCTAGCTCTCCAGGAATCGCGAGCCCTGAGCTTCACTTCCACCGACCGCGATCGCGACTACATCCTTCCCCACTTCACCCATTCCGATCGCGACGATGACGAAGAAACGCAGAAGATATCCAGATCTGAACCAGAAGCTCGAGGTACGAGATGCGCATACAAGTTGTCCATGGAATGCAAGCTGACCTCTATAGCGACCATGGTGTTACTACTGCGAGCGCGACTTCGACGACCTTAAGATTCTCATCTCTCACCAAAAGGCCAAACATTTCAAATGCGACCGCTGCGGAAGACGGCTAAACACCGCTGGAGGTACGCATCAGCCGACTCAAGACCTCATGTGTTAGAGCGATACTAACACCTGCTCAGGTCTCTCCGTGCATATGAACCAAGTCCACAAGGAGACGCTCACCCACGTTGAGAATGCCAACCCCGGACGTCAAGGTCTTGATCTCGAGATCTTCGGTATGGAAGGTGTACCCGCCGAGATAATAGATCAACACAACCAGCAAGTCACACAGGCACATTTCGCTGAAGAGCAAGAACGCGCGCGAATCACCGGAAATCCCATGCGTGGAGCGTACGTCAATGGACAAGCAGCGCCAAATAAGAGGCCGAAGATCAACGAGAGTCTAGAGGAGATCGAGGAGAGGGCAGCCAAGTTCCGAGAGGATCGAAAGAACGGCGTTCTGCCTGCACCGGTAGAGCCTGTGCAAAATGCCGTGCGTACTCGAGCATCTGAGCATGAAAGAAAATACTTGGCTAACATGTCTACAGACGCCCCCAGTTGCTCAAAGCCCGTACGGCGTGCCACCTCCTGGCGCACCCGTGGCCTTTCCACCTAGTGCGTCCGCATACCCCCCACAAGGCGTCCCGCAGCCCTTCTCACCTGCCAACGGCGCCATACCCGCACGCCCTGGCAGCATACCGGGCCAGCCTGGCGCGTTACCTCCTCGGCCTGGTTTCGGTGCTCCACCGCCTGGTGCCTATCCACCAGGCCAGAACGGCGACATCTCCAACTCTGTCGATGATCTGATCAATGAGGTGACAAAAGAGGCTGCGCCCAAGGAAGAGAAGAAGAGCAAAAAGGACAAGAACCAGCGACTCATCTTCTTTGCGGAGACGACAAGTCCAGAGGAGAAGATGGCTGCTTTGCCGAGGTTTGCGGAGTTTATGCGGACATGATGAAACCAGGGGCAATTTGCTGTGTAAACCGAGAGAAAGCCAAGTCGCGATTACGCATGTTGGCAGTTCTGCTAAAGAGCCTTGAGGCTGGCGCAAGGGCAAGAGCCCACAGATGCCGCACGACGCAGGACGGACCGCATCAACCAAGGCGCTGGGGCGCGAAAAAGAGTGGCTTTGCATATAGTATCTATCTAAGAGCGATCAACTCACGAGACGAGCAAGACCAAGCCCACGTTCGGATTCACCAAAGATGAGTATGACGATAGCTCATTGACATTGAATAGCACGGCACAATGAAGCAAACAAGCTTGGAAAATAAGGGTATCTTGCAAATCAACGCATCAAGTAATTATACAGCAATCCAGTCGTGCAGCCTAACCAAACCCTACCATGTTTTATTGGTCGTAAAAGCCCAATTCTTCACCCTCTTCTTCCTCGTCCTCGTCGTACTCTTCGCTCTGTTCATCATCACTGCTTCGATCCTCACTAGCACGCGCCCATTCGGAGCTTTCGGTAAACAGCGACTCGCCAAGATCCAGTCCGCGTGTCTGAGTAGTTCCCATAATGCCTTGTTCCTCCTGCGTCACATCGGTGACGTCTTCTTGCTCAGGCATAGGATCGACTTGCCTCAGCAAAGCTTTCTCATCCAACTCATTGTCTTCATCGTTGTGGCTAGTAGCGAAGCCAACAGACTTTGCTGTACTCGGTCGTTCGTGCACTTCAGTATGCTCGACCCGACGGGGCTGTTCCTCGATGATGTCGCCGTTCCAAGGTCGGCATTCCTTGACTGTCTCGCCGCAGCGCAGACACGTCCAGCCTTCGCCCTCCTCGTTTGCGATCCGTTGCGCAATGCATGCGAAACAATATATACAGCCGCATGGGATGGCTTCATATGGGTTGGTGATGTCTGTTGTTGCAGAGCCGACGACGCCGCCGCCACCGGCTGAGGAGGTGAGGATATCAGCTTCGCTGGCGGTTGTTGGGTTCTGGTCGCGGTAGCAGATTGCGCAGGTCCGTTCGGGCAGGAAAGCGAGTTCACCGGCGGCCTTGGCCTCTTCATCTCCTTCATCGTTGTTGGGCTTTGAGCGACCGAGAAGGGAAAGTACGGTCGTTCGCAGTTTCTTGAATGTGCGGCTCAGAATGCGACGCCAGCGGGAGATGCCGACGAGTGGGAGGAGGAAGAGGAGGAACTCGGTGAAGGCGTGCCATACAAGTTGGCGGTTGAGGTACTCGAAACTGACTTCGCGTGATGTCGTGTGTGATGTCGGTGTCAGACGTAGTCGGAGGAGGCGATCTGTAATGGTCCTGTACCGACCGTCAACAAGGAAGACTAGGAAACTGGCAAGACCGAGGACGTCATGCGCGTTTCCTGCCAATTCGCTCAAGCGCGCCAGAAGCTTCAACCTTGGGCTCTCAGGTCGAGTATAGTCCTCGGACGCAGACAAAAGGTACTCTTCCCATTTTGTCCACGCATACCTTCCTCCCACTGTGACAGCCCCATAGGCGACCTTTTGCCACGGTTTCGGCGGCGGACGGTTGGGCGCACTACTCCGCGCATCGGTATACCTCAGCCCCTGTAGATGCGCGCCATAACTCGCATTCTGATCCCAAATGCTCAGCTTCCATAGCACGGCCCTCAATGCCAGCAATATTTCAGCCGAGTAGTTGTCCGTAACATGGCTTCCGAAATATTTTAAGCCTTCGCCAACCTGATCCTTCATCAGCGTCAGGAGTTCTTCGTCGAGCAGTTCGGCATCAACCTGGCCGACGCGGAACTCTGGTCGTGTCCCCGATCGGCCTTTTATCGCGTCCCAGATGCTGAATCCCGTGGTGGACAGGCTGCTGAAGGGGAAGGGCAGGCGCGACAGGGCGCGTTGTGCGGTTGATGGCGGAGGTTCATGATGATTCCGCCGTTGAAGGGCGCGTTGAGCGCGGCGGGCTGCTATGCGTTGCTGGGCGGCGGCGAAGTCTGCGGAGGGCATTTGGGAGCATTGGGAGGCGGCGACGTGCAGGCAGAGCGGCTGAGGTTATGGACGCCGTTGGGCAACGGTGCGAGATGTGGATGGAGCGTGATGATAGCGTGATGGAGAGACGGACCAGACTGGAGTTGCGACGGACCGAGGTTGGCTGGGGAAGTAGCCGACGCACGCGACGCCTTCTCCAGACAAGCCAGGACCATGTCTGGGGACGCCATGACAATACGTCTCTAACTGGGCAACCCCAAGTGTACGTCGGACAAACGGTATGCAATTAGTAGTTCCGAATTTGGCTTGTGTCAACTGCCAAAACGCCGTCACCCAACGTCGCCGTCTCGTGTCTCGGGGGTCCGAGCTGTGACGTGGGGAGCTTCTCGAATTTGTTTCCTCTAAACACCAAGATAGTTTTCCCAAACAAGACTTGCCGCATACTGGTCACAGCCTGGGTGAGCAGGCTTCATATCCTTCACTCTCACCGTGAATCGCATCCACCCAGCCACTCACCGCTTCCTTTCCGTGTCTACAACTTCACCTACTTGCGACTGCCCCACTACCGCAGCACTTGAAGTGTCCACGCCACACGATGAGTAACGAATTCAGCGTTGAGGTGCCGGGAGAGGCGAATCCTCTGACTGAGAATATCCTCTTCCATGTCTTGCGCTCGGCGTCTTCGGCGGACCAGACTCAGGTTCAGTCCGGCACCAAGCAACTCCAGCAATGGGAGAAGGCCCAGGGTTACTACCCTCTACTGCAGACGGTGTTTCTGGACCAGTCCCTTCCACTAGAAGTCCGCTATCTCGCCATCATCCAGCTCAAGAATGGCATCGACAAGTACTGGCGCAAGACAGCCACCAAGTACGTCTCCATACCATGTCGCATCAACACAGAGTCTGACATGGGCGTAGCGCAGTGAGCAAACAAGACAAGGCTACCATACGAGCCCGCCTACTCGAGAGTGCCGTCAACGAAGCCGACCACCGCCTAGCACTACAGAATGCTCTGGTAGTTGCCAAGATTGTCCGCTTCGAGTTCCCCAATGACTGGTGAGCCTGGACAAGAGGTATGGCATTCCCTACTCTAACATCATCCAGGCCTGAGCTGTTCCAACAACTACTCCATATCCTCCGCGCCTCAACCGATCCGAACGCTTACCCACTTCAACTTCCTCGCGCTCTTCTCGTCTTACTGTACATTGTCAAGGAATTATCAACTGGGCGACTTTTAAGGACGCGGCAAAGCTTACAGACGGTTGCACCAGAAATTTTCAACGTGTTAGGCACCATCTATATGAACAAGGTACAAACATGGCAAGCCTTCTTTCGCGACGGTGGAGACGACGAAGGCGGTGCACTCGAGAGCATCGACAACAGCTTACTCGCTATCAAGACGATGCGGCGGTTGATCATTGCAGGCTACGAATTCCCAGGCAGAGACAAGGACGTCCAA